CAAAGCGCAAGCCCGGCCCGGGCTTGGCAATGTTTAATTTTGTATTTTACTAGGAAGTACGTATGTGTAGGATCTGTACCGCGCAATTTTGCTTAGATCATCGTGATTATCATACGTATGTGGATATGGTTTTTAATTCATGTCTCTGTATACCTAGATGAACGCGGTGTACGTATATCATCATGCAAGAGCCATTTAGAAGAAACGGGGACGTGGCCGGGGGGGTTTGCAGGTTGTATTTCGGTAGCCCGAAAGGCTTCAAAAAGGGTGAAAAGGAGCCGACAAATTGTCGCTGCATCGACGGCCAGTCCGTTCATGCAAATCCACTATAGATGAATTCACGATACTGTTCAATGCGACGGTCAGGCGTACACATATAAAAGCTTGGTAAAATTTACCCCGTACTACTGTAGCTAACCATTTTCATGCAGACTCAAATGATGATCCTGATGCCAGGGTAGCAAAATACATATTACTTACCCGCCTTGAAATTGGTGCCAATTCAGCTCATAGTATAATCATATAACCTGACCTGGTCACATAGCCTCGCATATCGTTGCCATCGCCCACGCATTGTAATGTTCGCTGTGTAGGGTCATTGCTACGTATGGAATAGGGTTGGCGAAGGATGGAGATCCTGACCTTTTGATTTGCTTAATGAGTTTGGGATTGGGCGTGGGAGCTATAGTGCTCAGGGGTATTCCATTTGACGCACTCCGATGCTTCTTAAGTCCGTGTAACATCTCGGGATACCTCTTATAGCACCAATATTAACTAGAGGATAAAGTATAGTATTGCCCAGAATTCATTAAGTGGAAACAGCCCTATAGCCCAGGGTTCAAAAGTCCTCCTTATCTTTTTTAAGCATGTCTAAGTCTGGGCGGCTAGTATTCTTAAAGGCTTCTGTACCCAGGTTTATGATGATTCATTCCTGACATACGCGTATATGTGGATATCTAGTTTCAACGGTTACTCAAATCGAGTTGGTTGTTGCCCTATGCTATAGTTTTAAGGCTGATCGCGCGGCGAGGACTTCGATGACTATTATCTGCGCGGTATCTTATTGGCTAGCCACGGCCAACATGAAGATAATCCTAACTATCCAGGCACCCTAGCTACCAAAGAACAAGATGCATTTACCACGTTAGGAGTTTGGGGCTAGATTTTTGCGCGGCTAACTCTTTTGCTCCCCGGTAAAAGGTAGTAACCACGCCGCACGGGGAGCGGGCCTAATATCAATAATAGATGTCGAACATGGTCTAATCAAGTAGATCGAAACGGTTCGCCTCCAACAGCTTCATCAAAAGGACATATCATATCCACTACAAACGTATCGCTATACTAACTATCAACATATACTAGGCTTCAAGAGGAGTTGGATAGGCTATGGAGTTCTTAAATGAACCACTCAGCGGGGTGTGTATTAATGCGACGTTACCTATAGAGGATTTAGTTTTAAATTCCCGAATCCCTCGAAGCTAAGGCACCAATCCCAAGTTGTCAATGAGCAGAGAAGAGCAAGCCCCAGGTTTACTACTTAGGCTATCGTCGATTTCATCCTTATTAAAATGGGTTAGTTATGACGCCATCAAAGGAGCAGTATTGAGGGTCCTTCTAGAACAATTCGGTCTGGTCGTTGGCTACCGAATATCTGTAGTTGATGCCTTTTGATACCGGCTAGGATACTAGTTGTTAGTTGTTAGCTGTTTCGAAATAGCTGTTTTTAGATACCTTAAGACGAAGTACCTTGAAATCCGGGCCCTTAAGGCGCCTATATTGAACAAATCCTGCGGTAATATGTGGCCCCGTTAATTCATTAATTCATAAAACTCAAGGCTTAAGAGCCCCAATAAGTGGGTGTTCAGCTAATGTTAGAATTGCCCAGATAGTGTGGATCGGAAGGTCGTCGCGAAGTTGGCCTATGCTGTCGGGCCCGAGAGGGACTTAAAATCATGTCACTTTGCAAATACCGCCACTCCTTATGTAACATCGTGGAGTAAATAGATGTTTTCGAGTAAATGAAGTGGTTTAGTAATATGAGAACGTGGAGTAAGAAGCGGCTAATACTAGGCAGCAAAATAACTACATTGTCCTAAGGGGTGTTCGAAATACGAGTCTGATTGGTTCAAGTGCGAGCTGTTCGGGACACTGACGACCGACCCAGATACATCCTAAATGTGGGATGATAATGCCGAGTATCGATCTTGAGACGGGAACAGGGCTTCCATGGTTCCTTAGAAATGGGAGTATAGTAGGCCGATATATATGCATAGGAGGAACAATAAGCAACTTCCAATCAGGGGAGCTGTGAAAATCACACCATTAGAGAATTATTCTGGGAATAGGACAAGTTTGTGGAATCATAGTCTGAAGAATGTATGTTTATTACCTGGTAGATTGTTTCAAGTTCTCCTAGACTTGTGGAAAGTATGAACCAGGAGTCGTGTATAGACCAATGTTATAAGATTAATATATTAAAATAGAATAGAAACGTACGTTTCCCTGACTTCATATTGTAGATTATTAGATTTTGAAATCGTAGAGAAATATCTAGACATAAAAGATACGAGTAAATGGTGTATGGCATTCGGTTTTGGATGACTTCTTCCGGTATCGTGGACTCAATAAGTGTATATACTCTGTGTTTACTTCTAAATGTACTTACGTATTTGTTATATTCATTACCTGGATACATTTCATGTCATTTGATTACCCATATGTGAATGATAAAACCCCCTCGACATAAATTTGAAAAAGTATAGCTACCTAGGTATGTTAGAACTAATATGGTACTACACATTCATATACAATAGATTGTAAAAGCATATTCTCCCATAGCTAAAATAAACGCTTCGTAATATCACATTCATTGCATTATGGAATCATTAACAGTATCATGAGAAATGTCCTTAACTGCCTACAAAATATGTGAAAGCAACCCTATCAACGCCTGCATCAGCATTCATGTTTTGTGAAGCACTCCCTATAAGCTTCATAAACACGACTACTGTGCCGGCTAGCCGTAAGACCATAACGATGCTGCATGTCAACCTGTCCTGCCCTAATAGCCTCCTACTCCTCAAGCTACTCCTAGAACGTCGTCCGTGCCATGACAATGGAAGTAGAATTTCTCGACGAGTTTCAGGCCCTTTTTGATTCCTCGCATTTTCTATCTCCTAATAGGCAGGTAATCAAGATATTCCCATATACGCCTAATTCTCGTATGGGTAGAAAATGTTGTCATCCTCTTCGTCGAAGCTCCGGGCCCGCTCGTCTATAATTTCCTGGCGTCTAATCCTCTCAGCAGGGGAGATAGGTTCGGCGTTCTTCGGCGGCTGCAGATGTCCGTGACCGTGAGGCCTCTGGGGCACGTTAACATTGTCCCGAAAAGCGGGGGTGCTCCGTGGACGCTTCGGGTAGTGTCCGTTCTGAAGTTGATATCGCTCGTTATGTGGGGGCTTCAGGCCTTGGTAACGCTGCTGTAGGATCTGCTGGTATCCATTTTGATTCTGTTGTCTCTGGTTGTTTTGACGGGCCTGGATGGGAGTGTAGAGAGCCTCGAAGGTCGGACTATTGACTAAGGTCTGGCGTGGATCGGTTACGATCTGGCGCTTACTGGGCTTTAGAGTAGGGCTCTGCGGGGCGCTTCCGCTTCTAGGCGCAGAAGGTGTGGGTGAGAAATTCGGCGATGAGAGCATGGGAGACGCTGTGGCACGAGGCCCAGTCGGGGGGTGATGCGGTCTCTGGGTGTTGGTAGAGTTCTGTGTAACGGTGCGGGTGTCGCTACCAGCCGGGGGGAGCACAACTCTAGGCTTTAGCGTATTGGACGGCCGTGCCTCGTTATCGGATAGTCCTCCTGGAGGATGAGGAGCCGCCGTACTTTCAGAACGGTTAGGCGATTGGCTCCAATTCGCAGTGTTACGGTTAGCAGTAGGCTTTCCTATCTCAGACCAAGGTGTGGTACTCCGATGAGAAGGGTAAACAGGGTAAGTAGGTGCTACTATGAAATAAAATCAGTAAGTTCAATCTGGACGTAGAAATTTCAAGTCAGGTTACTCACCAGCGCCACGATTTCCGAAATGTTGGTCAACTGACGGCTCTCTTCGGCTTGCGGGATTAGCAGTGACAGCACTCCAGACGGGCATTCGCTGGGCGGCAGGTTGGGTAGCAGAAGAATATCCAGAGTATCTAGATGTGTTATAGTAGGAGGCATTGAAGCCCGGAGGGTGAATCCCATAGCTGCCGTTGCCGCCGTAGTTGGAAGCCATGTCGATGGTGTTGTGGAAAGATCGACGATGGTTCTGCGAGGACCTAGAGTGGCAGGACAAGGGGAGAAAGACTGAAGGAGAAGGAATAGACAAGAATAGATGGTCGAGGATACTTGTCAATAATGATGATGGTGATTGATGAAAGACGCTATGATACCCTATGTATTTTATGTATAATCGATCACCTTGAAGATGCCTCAATCAACAAAAATATGTCAAGTATAGATTATGTGTATCTGCCTGCTGCGAAAAAATTTCTCTTGTACCGAGTTGACCCGCATATATGTATGGTTAAATGAAGGTGAAGCATTGTGTGAAGGAGGAGCGTGTTGCCGCGGTGTTGTTAGCCCTAGGCGTAACACGCGCGTTGTTGATAGGGCATGCTCACGGCGTGGGAAAGAACTTTCTACTTAAGGCACATAAGGTACGTGATGAATAACGTGTCAACGGCAGGAAGGACTTTCTAAATATCATAGCCCTGGAGGTAACCTTATAATGCGATAGGGGTCGTAGCTTCACTATTCCTCTAGATAATTGGAGGCCAAGGAGGACAAGGTTCGTCGCCCCTTATCCAGGGGCAAGCGCGGGCAGGCGCGAGCCTTCGTTATTCTTCATGGCTATTCACCTGAGGCAACTGCTATTTGCCCTTTAGGTTCAAGGCCGGAAGCGCATTTTTGGTATATACTCTTACAACTTCAACCAAAGAAAAGAAACATCGGGTCGTGTATATGATGGTAATGAATAAGATTCTATGGCTATGAAGTGCGGCTACTAGCTTCACACTATAGTTCAAAGCACTGCATATAAAGGGTCTCTGATATAGTTTCAGAGAACATAGGGCTTCCTTGCGAATCATTATCCTTGGTTACAAATTTAAAAGGAAACATACTGCCTTTTCCGGTGGGTATCTCATATATTTCATTATCTATTCGTCTAACGTAGCAGGCATCTCTCGACCTGTGTCAAGCTTAGTTCAACATGCCAGAGAAGGTAGAGGACTACTCGGCTTACCAAGTAGCTTTAACCACGCCCGGGGATCGCAGGAGGGGGAGCGATCCTCGTGTCAAATACTCTTCGGTCGATAGGCTTGAACTCGAATAATATATCCAGTTCCATCTTCACCGCTAATAGCTCCTCGCTCGCCTTCTTCAACTTGTCTGGTTGACTATCATCGAGTAGGTTAAGTTTTACATTCAACACCCATTTCTGGGCTGGATCTAATGGGCGAAGATCCGCCCACGCAGGAAGACTCGCCACTGGTTGTCCTGGAGAATCTGGCAGATGATAATATCTGCTGAAGATGAATTCAATATTCTCCCTGACATAAGAATGGCTCTCTTGGATTATCTCGTTCTTATACCTAGGAAAATGCATTAGTACTGGCTAGGGTGCTAACTTGCGGTCAATCTCACTGGAAACCGTTGTCAATCATAGCCATCGGTAAATTGACCTGTTCTGGGATCTCAATCTTCTTTCTTGACGTAACTGGCGTATCTCGGAGGGGATCAGGTAAATCTGTCCAGCGCAAAAAACCGGGCAAAGAATTAAATTCCATTGTCGTTCCTTTTCCAAGATCCCTATCCGGAATTACCTCGTAGGCCGCTTGTAAAATGTACGATGATCGAGCCAATTGGTTGCTTAACTCTTTCCATAGAGGTAGGTAACGCGACTGCTGGAAAGCACGCACGTTCTTAAGAGGCTTTGGTTGTGGATGACCTTGGTAGAATAGAATGCGATGGATAGATTGGCGCGCAGACATCCATGTCATGCCCTGCAAGACGGCGCATGCCATTGTGAAATCGGAGTCCTTGACGGTCGCCGTCAGGAAAAGCTCCCTAGGCATCTTGATTAAATATTGAATGAGATTGCTTCTTTAACGGGGTCCTTTATTTATCACCGGTCGATTATATTTTCGCTTCTGGGTGTCGGTTTATATGAATGGATTGGAGATGGAATGGACAATGTGATGAGGATGGCTGAAGATTAAGAGGTGAATGATGAAAGATGTAAGTAGAAGATGCTCCACTTGTGCCTTGCAGACGGGATCTACAGGTGGTAATAGCGGGATATTACCCCACCAACCCAGTAAAGAGGCTCCTAAAACATCCCATCCCTAGCGCGTCTAGCGTATATTTAGCGTCATTCGAAGGTTAAGCTCTCACCATTTTAGGGGACTATAATGTATTAGGTAAGTCAGAGACAGTATTGTTGTATCGTGCTTAAGACTCTGATATTTCTATATATGGAGTAATGGGGGAATATTAGTAATATTAGTAAGCCTTAGGCAAGCATCTTATGTATTTAAAAGGTAATTATCTCGTACGGATTAGATAATCCCATTTCTCAGCTCAGATGAACCGCTAAAAAATGGTGAACCTTTGAACTGGTAAACCACTGAAATCCAACAGATTGTATCCTTCTTGCGAATTGATTCCCATCATCAATACCCCAAGTCGTTCGTATCGGTTATGATTACTATTCAAAGGGGAAGCACTAAGGAAAAGAAAGAATTGCGTGCCTAAACCGTCCGCATCCTGGGAGTGTGCTAACAAGAACACAGACACCATTGTTCTACCCTCCAATTTTATAAACCCTTCATTAGCAGGTTTAGCTGACCTTCTAGCGGTCCGCTGTGGGAGGCCGTTAGCAGCTGTAAAACAGAAGGTTTCAAGCTGGATATCTGCCTCAAAGGTCAAATCTCTACCACCGAGCAGAACAGAGTAATTCGCGTATTCATCATCCATTGGACCGTGCAATTCTACGTCTTGCATCATTCTCCCCTCCATTGTTATAGACGATCCAAGTTCTACCCGGCCGAATGGATCAACACCTGATAACAAAATGTTCGAATCTACAAGTTTCGCATCTTCGTGCAAAGTAGCGGCCTGTTCTACAACATCGGGATTAGTTGTAAAGGTAATGATCGGACATTCTAGGGACGCCCACGAAAAGCTCGGAGCCCTAAATTTAGGCGGCATTGACGTATCCGCATCTTCGAAAAAAGGGTGGAAACTGTGTCGCGTCCATAGGAGCTGAGAAATGAAATGCTCTTTCCATAGCCCAGCTAGGTACTGCCATCCAGTCTGTTCATGAATAAGTTGACTTATTCCAGATATCGCAGGGAATTTGTCTTCCAGGTATGTGAGTTGTCGTTGCGTGTAAATGCGCACAAGCTTATCCCATTGTTCGAGTGTCTCTAGTTGGCTTCGTCCGATGAGAAAGCTTGCTACCTGTTGGTCATTTGTCCTGCTTTGGCATTCACAAGATCGGGTCGATCGGCAATGCCACTGAAGCTCATCTGTCGAATACGATATGGCTCTAGTTGGCAATATCGCTTCTTGTAGCGTCCAACCCCTCACTATTGTAGGATCCGGCGCCACACGATTCCCTATCCCCATAGATGAATCGAAATGATGACCACTCTTACACTCCCTTCTAGCTCCCAAAAGTATGTCTTGTTTGCCGGGGACATGGTAATGGAACGTCTCGGGCCGCGCACTATGGTCGAGGAAGGAAACATTCGCTGCGTCAGATGAAGATGCGATAATGGTTAGATGTGCTTTCTCATATATCGAGCACATTTTAGCTGATTGATCTTCCCAGTCCAGCTTGCTATCTTGTATGATGCATAGCGCATCAACCCAAAGGTATTTCAGCCCAAGCTTCTGAGTTACATAAGCTGCATCTTGCACGGCTGCTGGCAATTGCTTAAGATCGAAGCCCCGCATCAGCGACTGAATGTTTGAGCTTTCGGTTTTTAGGACGCTGCTTTTGCCCCAGCAGTAACTTAGAGCCACATATGGTTCCCGAAAATCATTAGGCGTTTCGTAAAGTCGAACTGAGCCATTTCCGCGAGTCCCAAGTTGAAGCAAACGCTTTGGTGGCGACAAGAGATCCTGCTGGCAAGAATCATGAGTCTCAATGCAGGTTTTCAGACAAGCTTTTAGGTAGGTGAATGATTCTTCTGAACTTGGAGGCTTGATATCTGGTAAAACTGGGATATGTGCATAGGCAGAGCCGGACTGCTTCGATATCGAATCTAAGAACACAGAATCAGCGAAGTACTTTTAATATTGCCGTTGCTTTAGGTAGTATATAGAAGTCGCTCAGATCATACCAGTTGGTCGATATATGTAAACGACTCCTTGAAAATTGATCCGTCCATTGATAGTGTTAGGATTCGTGGGGAGAAAATGTATAAATGTACTATCTTCTCGCAGACACAGCAGCATCGAATCACCATCGATAGTCTGGTTCGGAATGAACGTATCAATAACTTCGCTAAGAAATCTGCAGTATTCGCAACCTGAGGATCTGGACTCCTTTATGAATTGGCATTGGCAGTCGATTTGATACCCCGTCTCGAATCGACCGGCATAATACCCGCTGTTTTGATACCGATTCTTGAAACCAGGCGTTAATTCTGCTTCTCTAGCGATGTCTAGGCTGAAATTACAGCACACATCGCACCAAGTTTCGGGGATCATAGTCGTCCGTGGCGCACTGAACCCTCCTGAAGCGAGGCGGGGCTAGGCGTGAGTGACGGTTTCCCGCGCTGACTTCAGTGGAGATAGGGGCAATTGGAAACGCCTTGTTACTATTCTGATGCTGGTGGATGTCGACTGTGAATAAACACTTATGGTAGCTAGGGGTCCAATGGTCTCCGTACCGCTAAGACTGCTAGTATGGATGTCTTAGGATGAAATTCCTAAGGAAATATTCGTAATGCGAGATAAAAGTATGGTCATTAGGATTAGAACGGATGCTGACATCTTGAAGAATCCTACTTCAGCGGAAGCGCTACCTAGAAATGAACGTCGCGACCCTGCTAATCCCCCAATTCTCACTGGAAACTATAGGGGACTTGTTGATTACTCATGGTCTGTTTATGGTGACGACGATTATTAATATTCTTAGTAATAATCTCATTACTTGGACCTAGGTAGGTATTCTCAGCCCCCATACACTGCTATTGGGGCCTATAATTTGACTAATATTGTAGTCCTCTCCTCGCCTTGTGTCTATGATGGTTTAGCTAGATTTATTCTTCTGTTCGACTTCCTGTTCCATCTTGTGGACTTCTTCATCAGCTACTGCGGATTGACTCGTAACGCCAGACTCTTTAGCGCCGTTCTCAGCTGCCTCACGCTGTTCCTCTTCCTTCTTCTCTTGCTCCGCTAATTTCTGCTCTTCATGTCCAATTTCCTGCAAATCGATATCCTCAAAGCCAATGCGCTTGAGGATAGGAGCCGTCGCATGACGGTATAAAGTATGCCCTTTTACCAAATCACCGACTTCAATATTTTCAACACCTTTAACATTGACCACTGAATTTAAACCCGCAACACCGAATTGAATGCTACTGCTTCTGTATAAAAAAGCAAGGATGTAGTCGTTGGTGCTGTAGGCGTTGACGACTCTACCAGTAACCACTGAACGGATGCGACGCCAGTCAGCAGAATTACTTGGGGTGGGTGCACCCAACATTATAGCGTTCTCAATCAGACCGAAGGCTTTTCGCTCAGCGAGTTGCTGTAGGCAGACATAAATGACTTTAGCGCCTAGTGAGTACCCGACAAGTGTGACTGGCCGCTCGCCCTGGGCTTTGTTGATTAGGGCATCGGCGAGTACTTCCCCGGCTTTCTGGGCACGCTGGTTGGCGATGCTCCAGGGGTTATCAATGATGTGGCTTGCTTTCTACAGGTGCGTTAGTAACTGTAAGAAGCCTATACATTTTCCTTCTAATGGACGCTCTATTATTTTCGTAGGAAGTTACCTAGGTGGGGATAATAGGCATGTATGCACCATGTTACAGGGGAGAAAAAAAGCAATTCGTACGTACCAGTAGGCCTAATGGCCATAAACCAGCGCTCAGAGCAGCGAAGACAGTTCGCTTAATAATCTCAGATTTAGCATACGACCAAGCAGCTGAAGTCACCAAAGTAGTGAGCGCATTTCCAAGGTTCATCAACGCCTCAAGTTCGAAGCGAAGAGCAAATGTTTCCTGCCCTGACCCAATGCACTTCCAAGGCTTAACTACTTCGTCCTTATCTCCTAACCAACCAGATATACCGATAGCAACCCGTAACCGGCGTGCTTCGGTTTCGCTTTCCCCTAACTTCTGAATGGGAACAAAAGCGAAGTCCTCTACGTCTCTAGTATATTGTTCCACTGTAACGATTAGCGTAAATATCCAAATTTACAGGGCTTTTAGGGGTTTGAATCCTCCAGACAATGCTAGCAGCCCTGAAATAGCGACTAGACGTGGAGTAATAGGGGATACTCACTGGCTTTGCTTGTCATCTTTGCGCCATAAGCACCAAATAAGCCACCGACGAGGACACCACTACCGGCTAACGCACCCAAGTATCCTGCCGTAGCGGTAGCCCCGAGACCAATACCTCCCAGAACGGTGCCGACGCCAGCAGCTAAGAATGGGGCTGCTAGACCACCCGTAATGCCAATAAGTGCAGCACCTGCGACTCCAGCTACACCCATCTTCCAGCGGCGAGAAGTGCGGTTTTCCTCGGCCCTTTTCTTGGTCTCCTCTTCCGCCGACATCTTTTCAGCTGCGTCTAGGAGGCCCCTGGCGACTTTCTTTTCGTCCTCTGACAGCACTGTAGCTGAAAGCCCCAGGCTCGTGGTTAGGTACAACAGCAGGGTTCGCGAGTGCGCATTATAGTGCTCCAAACTCAGTGTTAGAAGAAACACCGAGTGCAGTATCAGTACCCTTTTCTCCTTGGCCAACCCACGTAGCGGGGTCTCAACAGGGGCATATAGCTTCAGGAGCGTTTCTGCGATGATATCTTCATGCTCGTTTTTCTCGATCCCTTCTAAGGCGGGTTCAGTATCCTGGCGCACAAGTTCGGGTTTTGCCTGTTTTGATTGATTTTCAGCCGTTTTCCTTGAGTTGACGATTTCACCAATGCGGAGAACGATGCTATCCCTCCAGTCGTCGAAGAACCCTAACGCACTTGTCTTCAATGCAACCATTTTCTCTTCACTGACTTCTTTTTCAAGTTTGGTTAATTCAGCTTTCTGTTTCTCGAGTAGCTTCTGCAATTCCTTGCTACGTTCATCCTCGCCCAGCTTCTCAAGGTTAATGGGCTCGCCATTATCGTCCGTTAGTTGGTCGTCTTGGGAACCTGTGAGTTTGGGATCAAAAGTATCAACGACTTGCTTGCGCATAAGTTCAGTAATGTTAGAAACGAGAATAGTGAGAGCGCTGCGGTCTTCATCCGTTTCCAGCACTGTCGTTAGCGACTCGCCCTCCTCATCTTGCTTCTTGGTTTCGTCCTCATTACCACCTAAGAAAGAGCCTGCTTTTTTAAACATCGACGCCATTTTTATGTGAATTTAACTACACTATCAAGTAGATCATAGAAGAAATAAACAATAAAATCATTAATTAATAAAATTTAAAGTCAAGTTGCCTGTTTTCAGTATTCGAGGAATCCCTACGTCATCAATTCGGGCCTCGCTGACATCACCCCTGTTCACTAAAACGTGCACGTAACCAGTATAGCCAAGTTATTTAATGGGGAGCTGATTCAACTATAGAGGTACTAATAGGGGGGTTAGCTATTAGTGTAAGCGCTATTTCTTTGGCTTAAGCTAGGAGCAATTTCATTTAACCTTCTAATACCTCTCATGCTTTAACCTCTCCTTCTACAATGATTTGCGAAAATCGCTCGGATGTGCGCTATACGTCTAACCCAGAGCATCTCTTAATTCATTGTTTACAACCTAGGAATATCTTCATTTCATAAATCAGGATCTCTCGTTCGACAATGCAATGCTATTTGGTCGACTAGCAGAGCCCAGCGTGTCCATATATTTGCGTATAGCATCATCTGTCGCACTTCCGACATAGAAGTTCCCTAAGAGCTGCGCTGTCATCTCAGCGTGTGTTATCACCCCGAGGCGAATCGCATCATGCATTAGGTCCATTAGACTGTGCTGTGTTACAGCGCGCCTGACACGTTCTGAGATATTGTCAGTACCTATCTTCTAGGTCTGTCGGTACCCGGGTAGGGCCCTGTCCATGCAGCTACCCTCCCGAGCCCCGGCTCGTGGTATGAGGTGGCGTAACGGGGTCTTGGTACTCACTTTTCATAACTTTGTTCTTGCTCTTCAAAATCTTGATCTCGTACTTGATTAAGGAAGAGCTTGGGTATTCCGTATTCAATCCGACCTCGTGCCCAAGACCGATGATGAGATAGTCGAGCGGTTGGCTAGTGAAGCCGAAGTATTTCGGGAGCACTTTCGAGACTATTAGTTTGCGACGCTCGAATTTATGAAAGGTAAAAAGAGCCTTCACATACGGTTGCTATCGTCCTTCATCTCCTTTGCATTGACGACATCCAATTTAATTTGCGAAGCGTCTACGTTCGCACTCTTCAAGGTGTCTCTGATGACCTCATCGTCCTCTGGTTTCAGTTAAGTATCGCCATTAAGTATTTATGATTTGGAGAGAGTCGTCGAACTGGGGGGATCAACTTACTATAGATGATTATTCCTTTCTCAAAACGAGCGTCCGCCGAGTAACACATGAGGAAGAAAACATCGACGAAGCCAATGAGCCGTACTTTCCCGGCCCATCTTTCGCCGTTAATCAGAACCTCCCATGGATGGATGTCGCTAAATTAATTTTGTTAGAAGACAAAAAAACAAAGAATAACAAGACCATGTGAATTTGGCAACAAACATACCAATCGCATTCTAAGGATTTATCTCGAATGGTCCGGTCGAACACTTTCAATACGCGATGGTAAGACGCCATTTGGGTTTCTGCAACGAGTCTATTTTTTTTCGCCTTGAGTTGAAATACTATCGCAGCCTCAGACGATGTCAACCCGCAGTGAAGGAAACCCCCTTGATTAACTACCTGAGATACATACCTAGCCATGATCTAAGGCTAGATGTACCGCATTTCCTATTCGTGTTTCTCTACGGCAAGACTAACCGAAGTAAATTGACCCCTAGCTTTTCAGCCGCAATAAATTGGGGGAATTAACGAAATATTGGCAGCTGAATGTCTAACTTAGGCAAGTGGTCGACGCGCTGTAGCATCCTTCCGCTCAGCACACTGGGCAACCACTAATCCTAGGCACTAAATCAATGCTAGGTCGCCGAATACAGCTGCCACATCGCTTCTAATATATCCTACGAGCCAACTAAATGTTAAACAATAAGGCCCTGGACTTGATTTGCTCGTATCCTACGAATTATTATCTCGAAAATACCTTGCTCGTCGCCGAGTTATAGTGATAATATCTGCAATATAGCCTTAACAAGGGAAGGATAATGAAGCGTCGCAGAGCTGAAAGAGATTATCCTTGGGCATCACTGCCTATGCTAGCCTACATCACACCAATAATGCAGGCCCCAAGCTGAATGGCATTACGAGGAAAATCCGCCTGGGGAAAGGTGCATGTCTATGAGGAGACAATATGATCTGTCGCTGAGCCTCCCCAATTCTCGCTCTACTGGTATTCATTCCGTGCGCCGCGGCTTAAAATCGCGGGTATATCTTTTCAGTGAGGCGAGTTGAGATCTCTGAACACAACCAGTACCGAAGCAAACCACCACAACGTCAGGGCCTAAGGTTCTGTAGTTAGCTCATCAATAAATTTCTTCCGGAGACAACGATGTCAAAGGCAACAGCCGAATATGTCACGGCAAGAGCTGTCGACTTGAAGACTAAGTCGACAGCGGCTTTCGAGATTGCTGTCGGCAAGGATCCAGACAAAGTACGGGCCATGTTAAATGTCTGGCTGGTACCTGAATTCAAGCCCACTTTCTACGACGACGACGGCCGTTACTCTAAAGGAATCTCGACTACTATAGGCCTTGAAGATGTCGGGTTGTTGGATCCATCGTACTCGACGGCAGTTGCAGATCCGGGTGGTCAAGAGGGCCGATACCCGATCCGCATGATCGACCTTGATACCAAACATCTCATCGACTATCCTGATATTGGCCCTCGAAGCCAATACTGCATCCTCTCGCACAGCTGGAAAGGTGTTGAAATCAGTTATAAGTATATAACCGACGCCAAAGCTAAAGCCTTTAATCGCGCCTTAGCAGCTGCCGGAGCCAACGGATCTTTGAGCGATAAGACACATGCTCCCATCGACAAGCTAAATGACATCGACACAATCAAAAACCAGTGCGACTTAGACATTACCGAGCAAGAAAAGCGAATCGAGAAATTGGCACGAGAGAATAACATATTACCTGAACTCGGAATTGGCGACAGCGGTATTATTGTCGAAGAGTTGCTGTCGCGACGGGTCAAGGTCCAAGCTCTTGAAAGAGGGGATGATGGCCGGGGCGGGCTTCAAAGGGCTAAGAATAGGCTCGCAATAGCCCTAGCCGCCCGCCATGCCGAAGCCATGGAAGATGATGTCTTCAAACAATTCTTTGAAGATATCGGTCTCGACGAAGACAAGGCTAAGGAAGTAATGAATGCAGACAGGGACGGCAGCGAACAGAAACAATCAGACATCGACGTGGCAAACGCCGAGAAAACTCTCTTAGAGGAAAATCGGAGACAGTCCGAAGGAGCTGACAACGTCAAATTTTTCGAGCGCCATGGTCACATTCGGGAGGCCGTTGAGGATTTGATAGGGCTCATTCAGCAAAGAAAGTCCATGACCAAGGTTGACCAAGCGATTGAACGATCTAAGGAGATATTTGACACTAATCCATTTCCACGGACTGAAAAACGGTACCTATGGATCGACTCTTGTTGCATTAACAGAGCCGATAGTGGCGAATACGCCAGGAGTATCTCTGCTATGGGAGAGTGGTACAAGAATGCCGAGTTCTGTTTAGTACACCTAGACACCAATAGGGGCGTGCCTAGCGATTCACTGGCAGATTGGCGTGTCATAAAATCCCTTGACCCCACCCCGCCATCAAATATCACGAGTTACGCAGATATCATCGCCCATAAACCAGAATGGTCTACTCGAGCTTGGACACTTCAGGAACTTGTTATGAGCAAGGCGACCTTTTATGTCAATTCTTCTTGGAAACTTCTCAGTCGGCCAGTGGAATATCTTGGCCCATGGTACTTTCTATGCCCATTTGTTTCTCTTTACACCAACATCGACGCCAATAACCCATATTCCCCGGCACTTGGAGATGAGAAAACCATAGAATCTCTAACTAGCGTTCTCGATGCGAGCGGTATTCAGGTATGTATACATAATCTTTCTTCACACTCCTTATATGCCAATATTTCCGTCTCCATAGAGTAAACGAAGACCACAACTAACTCAAAGCAGTATCGCCTCCGCCGCCATGATCAAAATAGAGACGACATTAGTGCCGCACAAAAATTGATCGCTATGCTTGAGATCCTAGATCTTCGAATCCCGTCGGACATAGCTATAGACACAGCAATATCTCAAATTGCTCAATCCGTCCACATAGTTGTTTCAAGCTTGACGGCCGACACAGGAGAAACCAGTAATGGAAAGCGGCTACTGGATAACATCTTGAGGGTCCTCCAGCCATACCTACTGAATTCCCAAGCCTATTCATTGGCAGAACGAGCGAGATATGCAATCAACACCCTTATCCGATGCTTAGTCAGCCTCATAGAGCGCCCGATTCTTGATGATAGGAGTTATATCGCGGATTTCGGAAATTTACCTGGGCTTGACCTTTGGCAGAAAGGACTTGTTCGGAGTCAATTTTCAACCCACAAAGCAATGTCTCTAGTCTGTGGGAGAGACGCTACCGTCACGACCGATCGCGCATACTGTTTAATGGGTATGCTTGGTGTGAAGTATCCCACTTTCCCCGCTGAAGGTCTAACGAAAGCTCTCTCTCGGCTATTGGACGAGGTCATCATTTCATCAAACGATGTTTCTGTTTTCAATTGGACTGGAAGGCAATACGGAAGCCCTGTTAGGGGAAGATCTCTATACCCATTCTCGCCGGAAGCATACAAATTTGGCAAAGATGCAAATCGCAAGAAAAGAAAAGACCAGAAACTGGCACATATTCTCCAACTCGAGCGCTACGAAGTTATGTCGGACTTCCTCGCTATTTCTGGCATGCTTCTGGACACTATCATGTTTGTTAAGGAGCAGCAGAAGCAAAACATTCCCCTTCTATGGGTGAAGGAGATCCTCCGAGTCGTTAAGAGGACTAAGTTCGAGCTGCTGAAGCCGCATATTACCAACATCGGGAAAATTCTCAAATATGTTGAAACGGCGTTTGATAATAAACCATCTCTTGATCCACCTTCTGCAGCCAAATCCGGAACCCCGACCAAGGAATCGGCCCCCAACCAAACTAGTCCATCATTTTCTCCATTCAGCTCTCTCTCGTCCCAAATCAAAACTCCTTCCTTGCCCAAGGATATAACACCCTTCAAGACTCCAAGCTTTGGTCGTAAAAAGACCGAACCCGAGGCAGCCCCGCCAAAGTCTTCTAGTCGAGGAATTGGAGGCTTCAAGGCACCATCACTCAAAAGTTTCGGGAGAAAGGACTCAGGAAATTCTCAGTCGAGCCAGACGCCGAGATCCGGGACACCAATCAACGAGCCAGATGCCGTTAGCTTACCGTCGGGTCCTCCAACGCCGTCATTAATGGTCTCGGATACATCAAAACATTCCTTGGATGAACAAGTCTTATCCTACATTGGAAGTATTAAGGTCGTAGATGAGGGAATCCAGAACGATGGTGATGGGGAAAATAAACCCAAACCCTCACCTGTACTACCACCCGAATTGGAGAAAGTACTAGCAGATATTCCAACGCGAGAATTTTCAAGACCGGAAATAAAGTCGGAGGAGATTGACACGATGATCTCACCTAATCCTATAATCATCAAAAATTCGGGGATCGAGGGCCTGTTCGATGTTCAACGAGTTGTTGTTTCAATGGCACAGCCTGAGAAGCTTCGCAGACAGATAAAACTCGCGGTCAGCCCAAACCAGAAGATTACTGGATGGTGTATTATTAGTACTGGTTTTGCTAGTAAGTATATCTTCATCACAACAACCCTCCAAAGAGTGTTACCTCTTTGCGGCAATTGCAATCAAAATTTCCTATTATAAATCAATAACTAACAATATTACAGGGGTCATGGTTAGCTTCGCCTGTCCAAAGTACATCCTCGAAAAGGAGCTTGACATTGTCCAATCAGTTGAGAGTAAAGTCCTTAACGGGAAGGACGATGAAGAAACCTCGGATGACAGCAAAGAAACAAACGGCGATGAAGCGGTTAAGGAAAAACACGGCGCAACACTGCCTATGGAAAATGTCTGGCAAAGAACTGTCAAAACTATCAACACATCCGAGCCGACGGAAAATAATACCAACGATCCAGAAGACCCGGGTCTTGAGAAAGCCAAAACAGAAGGCGCTAGAGTGAGCAGAATGATTGGCTTCGTTCAAGAATCAAACTTGGCGGAGGTCGCGGGCGAATGGGTTCTTGCCCGATTCTCTGGTGTTCCGGGTGCGAAGTGGTTCTTGTGTCACCTAGAATTAGGGGGCACCGGGCGGGACTTCTACGGGCATCGAATCGCAACTGACGAGATTGACTTCCACAATGCGGCTCCTGAAATGGGTCTCCTGAAGTATTGGGAGTACTATAGTAAGTGCAACGCAGTCCTATTTATCCCCCTATCCCGTACCCCATAGAATCAATGAATTCCCCTTCCTTTGTGATGTATTTACTAACTAAGACACCTTATAGTGATGCAAAAGAAGAATAGGCTCTGTACCATCCTACAGAAATTGATGGAAAGCAGAGACTGGGGCAACTTCAAGACGGAAATGGGCCAGAACATCTTCAAGAGAGTAGCCAAGGAGACCGGAATGAGTGGCCAGGAGGAAGGTGCCGAAGAAGATTCCGACGACGAAGACAGCGACGCCGGTTTCTCAGATACCATAAAAGATATCGGCGGAATGGCATTAACTATGGCTGGAGCTGGTCTCGTCCAGCAGTTCTACCAGTGGCGTGCGGATCGCTTACAGAAGAATCTCGCTGCCGATGTGCTCAAGAAGTTCCCGACCCATATGCAGACAGCGATGGAAAGTCTAGATGATAATAAGGACTTGATGCCCTCCAGTATGTTATAGCCCGAATTCCTTTCTTGCCTTCCCACTCAGCCTCTTCTATTATAAGAAATAAAATACTAACTTTTATCATCAGTGTTTCATTCAGCCAAGACGATACACATGTTCTAAACAGACAATTCATTTTCTTACTCTGTCGAGTTTGTTGTTTCAAACCGTGCAGGGGCCTAGCTCGAAAAATCTATAGGGCGCAGAGGTTGGGCAAGATTTGGTCTAGCTAGCAGAATTTGATGAGTCAAGAGTGAAGTAATCTCAAACTGCTTAATCATTGATAGGTACCCTGTTCTCTTTTGTTTTCCTCATAACTCTTCCTTGTATCTCGAACTAAGGAGCGGTGTCGCCAACATGGGCGGTGAAACAAAAGATAGGGGTATGACCGTGCCCACTTAAGGCCAAGTCTTTGCCCATATAAATGACACCAAGGACCAACAACTTGAGGATCAAATCATCTTCAACCATCTCTATAGCCACAATGATATCTCACTCTCCAACTGCTTCTCGAAGCCCCACCACATGATATAGACTCTTGTTGCTTGACTATCTTACACGCATATTCCCGACTAAACCGGATATAACGGAGATGATCTCTCATGTCAAGCTGTTTGCTATAGGCTACTATCTAAATCTCTGAATCTAACATTTCGCATATTTCCGAAAAGTTTTGTTGCCATATTCTATAAATTCCCTCTTAAGATTCTAAACTTCAAAATCAAAATAATCCTAAATAATCCGAAACACCTAGAAACCGAAGCAATGACTGGTTTCAACGATCTACCTCTAGAACTTCGAAGTCTCATCTGGGAGTACTCCCTCCCAGGTCCACGGAACGTCTCCGTGGACATCCAACGGCACACCCGCGCCCCAGTCATCTTCCACATATGCCAAGAGTCCCGCGCCGAAGCGCAAAGAATCGGGCATTACGAACTAGCCTTCCCAGTGCCCACCACGGACCTAAAAGTCAACAAAGGGCGCGTGATATGGTTCAACTTCTCGCATGATCGACTCTGCGTCGACAAATTCCTGCTCTGGCTAGTAATATGCCCTGAGAGCTCGCAACCACTTCGCTCCCTCGGGTTAATGTGTGTGCGTCCGTTAATATGCTGGGAAATCCTAAGTCACATCGGAAACTGGCGAAAAGCGCTTTCCGGGCTCGAGGAAGTAGTGCTGATTCGCAAAGACGATAACGACGCGGATCATGCTAAGTTGGTGGATACCGCGTCCGTGCCCGCGCCTGTGGATACGTATCGCCGGTGTCCGCTTATTAAACCGTATTGGACGATACCGATGCGAGTCCAGATTTCGCGGGCGGAGGGGAATCCGTTTGATGATCCGTTGTGTGCGCCGTCGATGGATAAGTCGCATGCTTATGTTTTTCGTTGCGCTACGACTGGGGAGGTCGAGGTTCAGGTACTTTCCAGGCAGCGATTGCGCCAGTTTAGGAAGGAAGAGGAATGTATCGGTGAAAATGGGTTATTAATGGAAAATGCGTCTGTTCTGGGATTTAAAGGGTGCCCGAAACACCCTTGGGAGTCGGGAGGCAAGAAACACATCAAGACTGGTATCACAGCCGTCGACGATACATAGTAGTCTTATTATAATTGAGGTTGCCTGTAAATAAATACTCGAAAAATTAATGATAATTCTATTTTCAATTAGTATTACTTCGAATGTTGCAATAATGGATCCTCTTCGTCAAGCTTCAGTATAAGATTACCTAATCAACGTGTAACCCCTTTATCTCGTTACACCGACTGTATAGTGTACCACAATAGATCTTTTGGCAGAAATATCATCAAATTTTGGCCAAGATATACAGGATGTGGGAAAAGTCATAAAAGCCCAAATCCTCGAAAATGTCGCTGAGAGTATTCACATAAACAAGCCAATAATCCATCAAATATCACAAAGCAACCATCCATAAGACCGTATTGATGCAAGTAAATCAAATCGCATTATGTGCGTCTGCGCCGGAGTATCTATGAACAACTATTATGCGCTTTCTTTTCGAGGGTAGGATTCAGATTCTGAAGATGCACCTTTCCATCTAGCAATGCAAAGTATAAAGAATACTCTATCCCTTCCACCAATTTGGGATTGGATACTCTCCGAATCAAACTCCTTATGTCGAAAAGCCATCGACCCCGACCCCACCAACGCCGAAAACCCTTAATTGTAACCGTTCCATGCAAGCCTCATATTAATCATGCAAATCATGCTTTTGTAAATGATATAGAGGATGGAGCTTTGTCCATTCCATCTTTGAAAGGGACGTCTTTTAATCAAAAACATCAACATCCCCACCGTCCCACTCAGGGTCTGAATCTTCCGATTCATCCAAGAAATCGTCCATGTCGAAACGCCTTTCCATAGGTCGATGGTTATCAACCTGGATGTCTACCACATCGCACATGCCATGGATAAATTCGCCGCCATCAGGGAGATACTTTGAGATTTTTCGAACCCTGCGATCCAGTTGGCTTGCGTCAGAGTGGTCGGCGGCAAGTTCATCTTCGCTATCTTCGTCGTCGGCGTCTTGTTCTTTGAGGAGCAATCCGCTTCCTCTGAGTCGCTTAAGTTCTTTGCTAATGGCCGATGCCTTCACAAGTTGAGCCTTGCTAACGTAGGTCGTTTTGGCATAAGCCGTCTCACCTTCCGATGAAGTTAGGGCAGGTGAGATGTTAGCTATTCGCGTACTTCGCCGGCTTGGCAACGCCGCAGGTGAATTGGGTTTCACTCTCGATTCCTGTTGAACCTGTTGGCGGGGTTCAGTGGGGTGCGGACGGAGCGTCTTGGCATTTTTCGGTGTTGCTGCCCTTCTCTTAAAGACCCCTACCATCTTGTCAACCCAGAACTCCCGAAGCTCTTGTCGTTGGCGCCAGCTTATATCCAGCGCGACCCTGAAGGCAAGACGGCGAAGATGGGGGAGGTCAGGCGCACTTTGCACCAAGCTTCCAAAGAACGCCTCTGCTGCCTTTCGACCCCACTTTCGCATGTGGAAGATTTCAATGGACTGGATTGAAGAAGGCCATGTTGGTACCTCATCTTCCGCGAGAAGTGTCTCATATTCGGGTTTGTTGTCAGCATAATGCTCGTGGTGTTTGTAATACGATAAATCCATATACAAATGCTCCAGTTTCGGGCAACCCGCCCGCAAGACAGGCAGGAAGGACAGACTCAACGATTGGCAATGATTTATGGTAAGGCTTTGTAGTTGACTACCATGCGAAAGCAAAAAGCTAGTAAGATCGCTAGCTATTAGTTCCCAACAGTTGATGAGTTCAAGGTGCTTGAGCGAATTCGGGAGTCGATTCAGTAATGCGCCGTTGACCAACGTAGACGTCTCTAAGATGAGATGTTCAAGCTTCGGCAATGCTGAAATGCAACTAGCAAGTTGAGCCATGTAAGCTTGGCTCTTTCTCTGCACCTCTTCACTAGCATGGAGCCTTGCCGGCAGTCTCCAAGACGCATCCTGATAATTCACAAAGGCGATCTTGCGCAGACTTGCAAAACTAGGGTTCATATGGAAACCTTCCAGTTTGTCTAGAGGAAGAGACTTCTGAGACATGAGTCTAGAGTTCCAGCGCCAACTCGTCAGTTCTATACGCACAGTTTTGTCGTCGGCTCTATTTCCCCCTAGAGCTTCAACTAAATCGTCTTTTTCGCATTTGAACCGAATGGTCTCATCGAGTTTACGGTAGGGCGGCTCATCAAACTCGTGGTACAACTCTAGGCAAGACAGTCTAGGGAGGTTCGGGATCACATTTCGTAAAGCTAGGTAATTCGCGTTGAATTTTTGCGTCAAAGTTGAGCCTACTTCGATCTGGAGATTCTCGACTTTCGGTCGATACTTGATGATGGTTATATCCGGGCACATATTCAGAGCGTCGAGAAATTGACTGAAAGACGTAAAGGGATCCTTAGTATAGCGCCATGGGTGGTAGAACGGGGGGCATTTGTATAGATTTGCTAGTGCGGGCTCGCAGAAGGACTTGCAAGTTCGTGCAGCGGACATCAGATCGTTGACGGCCTCATAGACATCCTCGCGACGTGATGAGGGATCGCGAATAGGTGCAGCGACTTGGTCGAAAAGACACTTTAGAACATGGTATGGCAGTGTAGACCAGGGAGGGAAGACGGTAGGAGTATCTGTGGACGTAGAAATAGGTGTGTCCGCAGTCGAACTCGGTGTATGAATAGCATGTGTGGTGCGGGTGGTGCGAGCAGTCCGCGACGGTGATTGCGCAACATCACGAGTTGAATTTCGGGTTGATCTACGGGTGACCTTGCTGAGACGGGGCGAGTAGTCGTCGTTATCGTTCTTTCGCTTTCGTTTAGCAGAGTATGTGCTCTGTATTAGGGAGTGGTCGCTATCCGAGGAGTCATCGTCAAGGTCGTCATCGGAGGAGGAGGGCGGCGAACTGAAATATGCTACTGTTGATCGTGTCTCGCGCACCGGTCTCTTCACTTTGGCAGCTCGGGACGGATTGCTCCGTAAGGCTCGTCGAGGACGGTCCATTGTTAGGAACAAGAACCATTCATTTGCTTGGGTGTACGAAGGGTTAGTATGGAAGCCGGCATACGGAAGACAAAGGGTGCGCGAAGTAGGAACGTTGCGCTGTGTGGAATGCGATCTTTGAAAATAATCTGGTGGTGATGAATGGATGAAGTGCAACACACCTTTGTACAGTATGAATGGCGGGCACCTGAACATTGACTCAGAGCTAAGATAAGATTAGGAAACAGCTCCACTGAATAAAGTTCCTGCTCATGATTGGATCTACACTTTCCAGTCCCATATCTGCGCAACTTCCAATCCTGGAAGTCATTGCTGCAAGCAGCTGAAAGTGTACCTAACAAAGTACCCATGCACCCGCCAACTCTGCACGACACCAGATTTCAGAGCTACATCATCTATGCATGTATTTAGGTACGTATATGTACTATCATTTATATAAGAAGTGTACCTCCCTCCTATCCCTAATGCGCTCCATCCTTCGTTTTACCGAATCTGTCTAACATTGATACTACACTTAGATGTGTCGCACCAAGCTTCTCGATGAGTGCGAACTAAGTATAAGAGAAAATATTATCTTCGGCCTCGCAACTTCCGCGAATTCTCACTTTGAGAGAAATTGTTACAATGAAGCTTAGGAAAGAGACAAACAGGGAACCTTACCTATATGATACATGACGTATCTTCCATCTACATATATGTATTTGCGATCTAGGCACCTGGGTACATGGATTGTTCATCGAAGACCAGACTACACCTTGATGGTGGTTACACAACTACTTACCACACGTATAAATATACGACAAGTAACATTGACCTCCTGCCGCCGATATTGCACCAATTATTTCCTTCCATGTTGCTCCTAATTAAATATATATAATCGTACAAATATCGAATATCGACTGTGTTCGTCTGTCGACTTGCCGCCGTGCGTAAGTAACTGCTTGAAAAGATATCCGAATGACTACCTACTCTTTTAATAAAATACGGCGTTGATGGTCCAAAACGGCACCTAGTTAGATAAGTCAATCATTAAGTTCTTCGGAACGAACATATTGATAAAAATCTTGGGGACCCCGATCCCCAACTCAAATAAATAAGTACACTAACTTCTTTAAGTTCAACACTAAAATACAGTTCCTACACATGCATGTATGGATGTCCACTATATGCAACTTGTGGTAGCTGCATACATGTAGCGAGTACTTTAATAAATGAACATAAATAAATCGATTCCATTTTGAGTTTAAGTTGGCTGGTGCAGAAGTTTCAATGTCGAAAAACCCCGACATAAGGGGTAATTACCTATGTGGATCGGCGAGTAACGGTCGCAAATAGTTTGTGGCTTACACGCTTGCTTGCTTGATATAAGTTTTTTTTTTTTTTTCTTCCCTCCTTCCTCCATAGACAGGGGGGGTCCGCCATAAAAGGTGCGACCGTAGCCACACATTTCCTTGGATTTCATTAACCCCTGCAGGGTTCTGGCGTCTCGTCTCTTGACCAACTTGGTTAGTGAGAACGCGTCGACGGGTTCTTCCACTTTTCACGCCTCGCATCGCGGACACATACTCAATCATACACATCACATGCCCTCTCGGCTCACCCTTCTATAGTCGCATTTTTTTATTCAATATTCACGACCTTTATTACGACTTCATGCGCTGGTGGCCTGGCGGCTTTTGTCGCTGATTTCTTCTCTTGCATGTAAACAATCCGGCCCGTAGCCACTCACGCATACAACGCATCTGACATTTCACATCTGATTTGCTTGCTGCTGCATATCGATATTTCTCACAATAGCCGTTCATTTTTTTTTTATTTTTGATCGTCATCCCCGGATTTGCGCCTTTGCTATTCCGCCTTGCCATCACTTCAACTTTACACATTTATAACATACACTGATTGGTCCTCGACACTGGGGACATCAATAATGCTAGCCCAATTTCTGTAATACTTAATTGGTTGCGTCGAAAGGCGCTGCCTCCTACTCGTACGGGCACGGGCACACCCATCTACCTACTTCGTGCCTACCTAGGTACATACCCACGTAGGTATCTACTAAGGTATTGCTTGTGGCATTAAGCAGGAGGTCGTCCGGCGGCTCTCATAAGGTGGTTGTCCGGCAATATCCGACCTCATCCGTTCTATCTTTAGTGCAGGAGGCCACAACTTCGTGGCGAGCTGCGCCGATGTTCTCCTTTAGAGATGGCGACCATCACCCCATACAAACGCGAATTACCTTTACTTCACAGGGCCTGGAAAACTGCCATCGATCATCTCTCTCCATACAATATGGGGATCAAGTTGTCTTCGACGAACGGTGACAATGCTGTTAGCGACGACCACGTTCCGCGCGCTGCTAAGAGACGGCGCCTCACTGATAGCTCCCCCGAGGCTATTCTGAATAGTGCTGTGAGTCACATATTACCCGAGGGTGATGATGACTTTGAAAAAGCTCTGCGCGTTGAAATCCTTCAGATCGCCCATAAGGACAACTCTAACCCGAAAATTAACAACTTGCTTGATGGCACGGGGTCCCCTACCAAAAAGGATAATCCGACTATTCGAGTTCGCTGCAAGTTGAGCATCTTCCGCTGGAGGGCTACTGCCGGGGAAGTCCGTATACTCTACTGTGATAGCCAGTTATGCAATTTGAAGATGTTTCGAGATTCGGATGGCATTTGTCGCAGGGCTAGGATCTATTTAAATTCACCATTTCATATACCGGCGCAAAAAATTTACGTCGAGCGAGAAGACGACAATGGGTTCGATTTATCCGATGATTACTTGGTTCAAGCCGAATTAGAGTCAGCGGGTGATCCTAATTGGCCACCCGTCGATCTACTACCAAGGGAAGAAATTCATGATATGCCCTCGAGCCATCCGCAGCATTGGGTTCTATCGTCTCGGTTTAATTACAGATTTGAGAAGCCCCGGGCCTCCGTACCTGTTCAGATTAGGAAACGGGTTGGTACTGAGCCCACCACCCTCGATTTGATAATGGATATGGATCTTCGATGGTCAACATGTCATAGAGCGGGTAGCACCACCGAAGTTGAGGCTTCCCCTCCAGAAGTCAAGCCATCGATCCCCAATGGCACTTTAAAACCGTTAACAAATGGTCACATGAACGAGAGAGTAGACAATGCGGAAAACGATCCGCCGAAAGATGATCAGGACGTCTTGATGGATGACGACGAAGATCACGAAGAGGCAGCAACTCCCAGTCGTTCATTGAGAACGAGGGGGAAGCAAAATTATAACCTAAAACTCCTGAGCGACAAAGCGAGGGGCAAAGAAAGGAAGGAGCAGAAAAAACAGCGTAAGTTAGCAGATACTAGAAACCAAGCGGGCCAGATTACGTGGATCCTCCCCCACACTGGCGAAATCGCACTGAAGAATCTTCAATGCATAAGATGCTTTGCGGTTCATTCATCCATGGGTCAGCTAGAAAAACACGTGAGAATTCATCCCGAATTTAAGTACGAGTTTGATTCAAGCTCTTCCCGCATATGGGTCTCTCAACACGGCCAAGTGATCCGTCGTCGTTCAAGCTCTCTATTGGAAGTTCAGAGTTCAGAGGGCGCCGAAAGCGACTCAGACGACGATATGTCATTAGATGACCAAAGAACTCTCACACAACCAAGGTCCTCACAAGTGAGTAGAAAATATGCCTTGAAACCCGTTAATATGCTAACCTAATATAAAGCCAATGTTCTCAACTGGGCCAAAGGATCCAAGGCAGCGAGTTCCCAACAACAAGCAGCCCATGTATGATCGTCTCAGCAAAGCGTTACTTGAACCCGGAAGCTTGGTCGATCCGCCAGAGATCGACGACGGTTGGTTAGTCCAAAAACATCGAGATATCATTCGAGATTACAGCGATGTCCACCCAGATGAGAAGGAGTATATCGCAGAATGGGACGCCTTCGTGAATAGGGAATGCGTGACTTCTGAACCCCACTTGCAGATTGTTTATCTCAAATTCGTTCAGGAAAAGGCGGCATGGTTAGCTGCTACTCAGAGTCGGATGACAGAATTTTCAAAGCATCTAAGCTACCTGAAGGCACGAAATTCTCTAGCTGAATCGACAATCGCTGAAGCCCTAGCAATCATGCGACAGGTAAAACCTCAGAAGCGCCCTGAGCCGACTGAAACGACGAAACCACCATCTCCGAGAACCGAATATCGCAAGTCAGCGTCAGGATGCGCTGTATGTGGACAACCAGTCCGCGGCCCGTCTACGTTAATCTGCTCTAATTTAGTTAGTATTTTTGCTATTACTAAGTCCCTCCTAGATCGGTTTTATGAAGCATTCGACTAACAATTTACAGGATTGCGACACACCTCTTTATCACGTTAATTGCATCCAACACGACGCAAAGGTTCCAGTAAAAAACCGCAACTGGCGCTGCAATGGTTGCTGTGGGGATTAAAGGAGGTATTTTTTACGCGAAAGTTGCAATGCTTTCAACCCGCCTCCAACTCACATTGAAAAATGTAGAGCCTAGGAAAATGAGCGGATTCAACTCACCTGCATTCAAACAACCTAGAAACGATTGCTGTACTCCAGGGGTGGTATTGGCTCCACCATCTAAGAGCATGGCGCAGGGCCTATCAACAATAATACAATCCCAAATCATCTGGTCACAGTCGCCATTTGAGAAAGCCGCAACAACAGATCTGGGGGCTCTATGTAAGCTACATTATACACACTGCTGCGTTTCTGATGCCCTCTCAGAAAGGGATCCTTTCAATATTCCAGGATCGTAGCCTATAAATAATTTATTACAACACAAATTAAGACCATTCAAGAACGCAACGTCTCATTGTCGCACCTCCGTGATAGAGAAATCAATCAGTAAGCCCCTTTAAATGATGTCAGTAACTAATCATGTCCTTGATTCGATACGATTCGCATTGAATAATACGCTATTCCCGTAAACGTCTTGTTCACGATTCTACTTGTGTGTCCACGAGTATTTCCCCAAACCCACACGCCAAGAACTTCTATGAGTCTACGTGAATATATAAGTTATAGATGAGACCGCAATTTGTAAAATTCTAAGCCATATTTTCATTGAGTACGAAATATTTGATATTTCGATAAACCAAGTAAAATGTCTTCATTTTATGTCCGTCAGGTTTATTTCTAAAAAAAAAGCTATTTTCAATCTCATCCTTAAATAAAAGGTCCAGCACCCGCTGCCCCCTCTCTTTTCTCCTGCGGCAGATTCTTCGTGACTAATTGTACACTCCGGTCTATCACTCCCCTAGTCATGGGACAGCCTTACACACTCATAATCGAAAAGTTTTCAATTCCTCAGACCAAAATACACCGAGATGATACTCCCAAAGTCAGAACACAAGTAATAATGAAGGACCAAGGAAGCCGAGTCATGTCCAATGTTGTTCTTGATTTGACTTCCCGGACTCGAAAAGGGTTTTATTATTTAACCTAGAACAACCTCTATAACTTTTGAACATTTTCTAACCACATATCATCAACCCAAAGAAGCCTGCTCTCGCCACCCAGATAGTATCTAAGACCCGACCCAACGACAACACACAAGACCCTCCTGCCACCATGTCGCGAAATACCCTTTTTGCCATCTTCTCCGTTCTTCTCTCGATAGCTCTCTGCAACGCTGCACCGGTCGGGGTGCAGTCAGTTATCCTGAAGAGAGAGCTAAGCGAGGGAGGGAAAATAGCTATTTACTGCGTTGGAGTTATGATCGGAATCGGTCTACTTACCTTTGTTTGCAGGAAGATCCTCAACCATCTTGACCGTCTCGAAAGGAGGTGATTCAAGGATGGCTTATCACTGCTGTTATGAACAATCTAGTCGGGGGCCTAAGTCACTTGTACCGTTATTCTCATCTCAAGTCCTGACACTCGAAAGCACTTTTTTAATTACATAGGTACCTACTTAACACGTTACGATTTATTTTCCCATTCGTCTTTTTCAATATCATTCTTCCCACTAATTAAACCTCACAACCTTCTCATCACCCAACACCATCCGAACGAGAATAACGAACACGAAATCAACACCTTACGAAATCTCCCAATTTTACTTCCACGATGTTGAGGAACCTTTTCTTGGTCGCCCTATTCGCCCTCGGTTTAGTAGCTGCCTGCAGCGCAGCACCAGTCGGTACTCAAGGAGTAATATCACCAAGATCTATCACGCCCGTCACGATAGGGGTAATTGCTTCAGGATCAGTGATTATACTCCTTATACTCTTTTTATGTTGCTGCGGGTTCGTCAAATACGTCTAATTACCCGACAATCACTTTTTGTTGCCCTTTCAGGGATCATAGATGTTAGAAGAGTTGGCGAGGAAGTATTCAATACGCTTTATTCGGTACGGGTCAAATCACGAAGGGATATTGTTTAGGCGTCTCGACAACTTCGAGGTACACCACCAACAAGATCACCACAATGTGTCGGGGCGTACGGTGCAGGCATGCAAGGTTCGATGGAGCATAAACTATGGTAGACAAAAGGGGGATTTTGGAGTTCAGCGATCCATTCATGCAATAGAATATTTTGATCTAAAAGGGGCTTCAGTGAATCTGCCGTGTATATAAGTCTATGTCATATTTCTTGAAAACATCCCTTGAGGGAGCCATAAATAACATCTGCATTTGCCGTCACTCCCTAGGCGCAATAATTGATATTGATTTGGATGCTTGGGAAATGTTGTCTTGCAGAAGTAAAAAAGGAGACTGGCTGTATCTACATCAATTTTCTCAAACCCCTATATTTAAGCCGTCTTAAACCGCTATAGGGGCGTTTTGTGGCGCGCCCTAGCCTATGCGAGTACCCGGGATAGGTATTGTATCGCTACCTAGGTACTTATAGTCTTCCCGAAACTCGTGCAATGAAGCTGAACGCAATGTTGCCGTCCCGATTACTTTCAAGGCGAAAGTGATCAGCCTGCTAACATTTAATTGATATTAAAGATCATCGCACACTTACATAGGAATACTATCACATGACCAGTATCATAGCGAATATATTAATAAGACTGGGGAGGTGTACTTAATATCCGGGTTGGAGAGTTAGGTCCTTGTTCTCGAACCTCCCCTTTTAGGCAGTGATCGGACTCCAAATACGTGCCCCCGGACCGCCTCGAACAGGAAAAGCTCACGCTGTACTCCAAACTCTACCGATGTCGTGGGATCCCAACGCTGTAAGATGAATGGGTCGTACCCCGCATCCGAGGGCGTACAGGATGCTGTGCCGCTCGACCCAATCACCGGAGTTTTTAGCTTGCTATGATAACGACCTACAGGTTTGGTTTGGTTTTGTTTTTTTTGTTTCCGGGGGGAAGGTGGTTGGTTGGCTAGACCGCGGGAGGTGGCATTGTATCTTCGCCTAAGGGATGGCATGGTGGTAACGTTGCGGGGTATGTCTATTACGAGCTGCTGGGTAATACGATGGCGCTCGGGAGCTGACGGTAGGGCTTTACCTAGGTTTGATCGGTTCGGTTCGTCAAACAGCGACAAAGGAAATTTAATAGACAACTCAACTCCTCGTGCTTATAGAAGACAAAGACAATCGAGCTTCTACTCATGCCTCAGATTCAGTGATTGTTGCTTTGGATAACTGCGACTAAGATGGCTCAGCAGGGAGGTCGACCATCTCACGTAGTGGAAGGGGATGAGAAAGTTCAACCGGAGTTGCGACAAGACGTTACTAGTGGTGAAGAACGCGACTCGGAAAAGGGCCTCGGGAATGAACATTCGCGGGACGATGGGCAACTTACTCAGATTGATCCGGCTATCGCCAGCCGCATTGCAGCAAACGTCGACGATTTCATGGTGAGCCTCTTACCCTTTTTGAAATCGATTTGGCGGGATAAGGGAATACTAACTCCAATGCAGACACTCGTAAATGAGGCAAATGAAGCGAACGAAAGGGAGCGAGGCATGAAACTTTCGCAAGCCTTCAAGATCTACCCCAAAGCCATCGCTTGGTCTATGATTCTCTCCTCATGTCTCATAATGGAAGGGTTCGGGACGGCAGTGGTTGGTTCATGTAAGAAATTTGCTTATTACTACCAGCACTTTGACGTGTGTGGCGTCGATATATTAACTCCGACAGATATTTCGTACCCCCCATTCCGCGATAGGTTCGGCACACAAGCCCCCAACGGGGACTATCAAATTTCCGCAAGTTGGCAGAACGGCATTGCGGGTGCAACCAATGTTGGTGAAATTATTGGACTTCAGGTATAACGTTTTCTGAACTACTGAACTCTTGAAAGTATTGGATGTCATTTACTAATGTGGAATATGCGATCATAGATCGCCGGTGTTTTGTGCGAACGCTGGGGTTACCGATATACGCTTCTTGTCGCATTGATCGCAGTTACCGGTTTCATTTTCTTCCCCTTCTTCGCTGATAGCCTTGCTGTTTTTCTTGTGGGTGAACTATTCCAAGGAATAGCATGGGGTATCTTCCAGACTATGACTGTCGCCTATGCGGCTGAGGTTTGTCCCGTTCCCTTGAGACATTATCTCACCAGCTACGTCAACCTCTGCTGGATCATCGGTCAATTTATCTCTTCAGGTGTGCTCGTTGGGCTTGAGAGTCGACAAGATGAGTGGGGGTAAGTTTGAAGCTATTTAATGGGCGTCTCTGTACTAATTTTCTCAGATACAAAATCCCCTTTTCTCTACAATGGGTCTGGCCGATCCCTATTGGCATTGGTACATATCTCGCGCCGGAATCGCCTTGGTGGTGTGTACGACACGGCTATAAAGAACGAGCAGAGATATCGTTGAAACGGCTGGCTAGAAGCTCTGGGTTTTCCCAACGCGATGCTGATGCGGCGATGGCCTGTAGGTTTCATGAATACCAGAATCATCCCTGTCCAGCTGCTAATGTGGGTATTTGGTAGTGATGGTCTACACGGACGAAATGGAGAAGCAAGTTTCTGAAGGAACCACGTACTGGGACTGCTTCAAAGGAATCGACCTTAGGCGGACCGAGATCGTCTGTGGGATCTGGATCGCGCAGACCATGTCCGGTACAGCAGTCGGTGGGCTATCATCCTACTTTTACCAACAAGCCGGTATATCAGATTCGGACTCATTCAAGCTCAATTGGGGACAGAATGGCCTCAATTTCGTTGGGACTGTTGCAGCTTGGTTCATACTGAATAAGGTTGGACGAAAAACGTTGGTCCTTGGCGGGATGATTGTGATGTTTGTCTTGCTCATGTGAGTGGTTATACGCAGCTTACCTAGAAACGCACATCTAAGTGGTACATTGGCTAACTACGTCCGCAGTATCACCGGTTTCATGGGCATTCACACACCACCTAGCACGGCAGAAGCCTGGACGGCTGGAACGATGGTCCTTCTTCTCAGTGCCGTAGCAAACTTCTCCATCGGCCCCGTGGTATACACCATCGTATCTGAAATTCCATCAACGCGGCTCCGTGCTAAATCCATCATTCTCGCCCGCAACGCTTACAACGCCATCAACATCGCCTTCATCAACGTCGTATCCTACCGCCAGCTCAACCCCGCTGAGTGGAATTGGGGCCCCAAAGCTGCCTTTTTCTGGGCTGGTACCAATGCCATATTCACGGCATGGGTCTTCTTCCGTTTGCGTTCGTATACCCTTTCCTTTTTATATCCTAAAGATATCTCCACAGTCGATATATACTAACTACAAATAGCCGAGACTAAAGGACGAACCTATGCTGAAATCGATATCCTTTTCGACAACAAAGTACCTGCTCGTAAATTCGCAGTAACCAAAATCGAAACCTTGGTTCAGGGAACTGAGGGCGCGCAAAAGGAACAGGCCGATCTTATTAGCAGGGCTGCCACGAATACAGAGGGGAGAACCGTGGGCGACTAAGGAGGAATAATGACTGCAACTCCTGAGCCGAGCTTCGTCTGAACCAAGATGTATATCGTATGCGAATTGAAGCTATATAGTCGGTTAAATCAATGGACTTTTATTTGACAGTCGCAAAGTGCATATAAATCATTTATAAGTGAACTGCGTCGTGGGGGTTGATGATTATTGATTTGAATTCACTCCCCAAAGGTGGCCCTTTTTGCACCATCCACCGTTCCCATTGCAAGTATACACTAATAAGTACACGTCAATTCAACGCCAGCCCTAGCCCAAAAAGCTCGCCAGCCTAGAACCTGTACTTCTTCCTTTCGTCTCTCTTCTCCTCATCTCGCTTTAGTCTCTTACGGCTCTCGTTTGCAATCATCTCGTCGAGGCCTTCTTCTCTCCTCCAATTAGCACCAACGCCCTCTTCACGTCGGCCTTCCTCAAATTTCTTCTTCATTTCGTCCTTGCTGATACCATCTACTAACGCATCCGGATCGAAAGACACATCCACATCACCAGGCTTCTTGCGTTTTCTACTGCTATCTTCGTCTTGACCGAGAACGCGCATGTCACCCCCAGCATTCTTGAGATCATACATGCGATCACTGCCGAAGAAACCTTCTGCTCGGGCCTGCTTCTCCTGGATGACCGTGTAAGCCGCACGAGGGTGCGTGGAATCTTCAGTCTCATATCCACGGCGAGACTTTCGCAGATCCAACTCTCCGGCCACGGATTCAGTGGCTGTGCCGTATTCTGTTGGTACGCTACTGACCAAACCGCCGGGAGTTTCCATTCCAGACGGAGTCTGCAAGCCCGCACCAACGTCTTCTTCATCCTCGTCTTCCTCTTCGTCCTCATCTTCTTCCTCTTCCTCGGACTCTTCCTCGGGTTCTTGGAGTTCACCCCATGGCGTGCGCTCGATAGGTTCGCCGGGCGGTGGCGCCGTTTGAGAGGGTTGCATGATACCAAAGATATCACCTCCATATAACGGTCGGTTGTATTCATCCACGGGCGGCTTACCATAGCATCCGGGGTTGAAACCCCATTGAGCGCCCGATGGGATCGGGGCGTTCAGTCCAGGAATTCGGAGAGAGGGATAAGAAGGCGGGGGCCCGAATCGTTGCTGGTTGATAAGCCATGGTGGGGGGGCGCCAGGAGGAATACTTAAAGCTTCCTTAAGAGGATCACTAAGCTCGCCAGGCCGAAGGTGTCGTAAATCTGTCTCATACTCCTTGCCTTCGTAGTAAACCTCACCGAAACGCGTCAGTTGCGGTTTGCTTTGGAATCTGAAGAAGGCATCGTAAAGCTTCTGGTAGTCAATATCCAGCTTGCCCATTTTCGGTTGTACCCTTTCGCGTTGCTTCTGCTTCAGAGACTGCTCTGCTTGCTTTTCCAATACAGCATCTCTCATCTCTGAAATACCGGTATCCGCGATGAACTTAGGTAACTTAAAAGCAGGCTTCTCGATACCGCGCTTGGATGAAAGATACTCGCGTTTTAGTGACCAATGCGAAGGCACCGGAACCACGTTTCGTTGCGCCTTGATTTGTACCAACAATCGCGGATCCGACGATGATGTATCATGCCATTCCACTACTTCGGGTTTCCTCACCAATGCTTTCAGTTCTGCAATAGAGAGCTTGTTGAGCATCTTCCGCTTCTTTTTAGAGAGCTTAGGTTGGGTATTCCTTTCGTCCTCTTCATCGGGTATTTCGTTGTCGTCGTCAAAAAACACTTCGCCCTGGTTTCCGGCGTTGGCCTCTTTCGCGATATCATCTTCTTCTCTTGATACGCCAAACTTTGTGAAGATATCCTTGTACATAGAATAGGCAGGGTCTTCGTTGTCAAGGTCAAATTCGTCGGTAGGTTGAGTGGGACCATCGGCGGGTGTTTTATCTGATGCGGCAGGCTCCTTTACTTCGAGTTCCGCTGAAGAGGCATTTCCATCGGGCGCATCTTTCTCTTGATTCGATTCATCCTCGCTCGGTTCAACTTGGGGGGTACCGTCGGCCGTAGATGTTTCCTGGATAACATGAGTATTTAGGAAAACGCGAATCAAATTTGACATAACTTACATCTGTCTTTGCTAGCTTATCTGCCTTCTTCTTTGCGCGTCGCTTCTGGTTCTTTGTCATCTTAGGGGCGGCCATCTTGTCAATATGGTTGGGCGTACGCCTCTCTCTCGCTATAGTTCTATGTCTATGCGGCGATTCAAGCGCGACGGCCGGGCTATCCCCAAATGAAAGGGGAAAAGAAAATTAGGTACTTCAGAATGTTTGGTGTTATTGATGGGGGATCGGCGATGACAAGACGATAAAATTAGAAGAAAAGTGAGGTGTGGGATGAAGATAGTGAGTGACAAGGCTGATGATTAACAATTCGTTCACATTTCCAGCACGCGACTTCGAAAACTTGAGGTCGAGCCTGCAAAGCTAGAGCTTCTAAGCCACACCAAGCCAAAGAGCCCCATATTTTATATTTGAGTTGTGGCGCAAACATTAACCGGTGGGCGCCGTCATTTTAAATTTAGCTACTAAGGGTAGGTACGAAATACGTGCATGATAACATGTAAGCCGTCCACTAGCGTCCTCTGCTTAAATTGATAAGGGACCAAGCGTCGCGGCGGCTCTTGGCAATTTGTTACGTTTTGTTACGTTTCGTTACGAAAGACTCTCCCAAGTTTTTTCAATCGCGTCAGTCAGCCAGTCATTTTAACAGGGGTCGCCACGCGGCAGAAGTCAGACCCTCCCTTTATTACCTACATCGGTATAGAGAGGTCTTTTTTTTCATGATTACAATCTGATACGATACTGTACCACCCAAGCCTGATATCCATAACTGCCGGCCAGCGATCTTGAGGATTTTCATCATCGTTTCTATCTCACCCCGGATTTCGAGATTCCCCAGATTCGTATCGTACGTTCCGAAGCAATGGTCTTGTAAATTCCCCTTTTTCGAGTCTTTGCGCGTTGCTCCTTTGTCGCTCGTTACACCCCTACCAACCCGCACCGCAAACTCAACTAAAGTCACACGATGCCTCATTCAACGAGCTCCGGCTCCTACGCCCGAGATCCCTCCGTCCCGCGACCCAGCGCCAAGAATCCGGATGACTATGAAAGCGACGCCGGTTCCGGTCTTGAGAAATTCCCAGATCATATCGACTCTCCTGCAATGCGCGCCAATGGTGCAAGATCATCAAGTCCCGCCGGATTAAACGCATATGGTATCGGATTGAGTGGAGGGGCTCAGATTAATGGAGATCGCTGGCAACCACGAAGAGACCTTTCTGCATCTCGGGGTGTAAGATTTGGTTCTCCATTGGGTCCGTCGGCTGGTGTCCCTCGAGGTCATGGACGACAGAAGAGCATTAGTGAAGCCTTCCGAACCATCAGGGATAGAAATGGCAGTGTTAGCCAGAATGCGCACGAGTTAGCAGATGCACTGCGGGCACCTATATCCCCTAAGCTCATTGTATGTCATGTGAACATCATCACAACTTGCCAATCATGTACTGACATGGCATGCGTAAATCTAGATCCTCTGCATAATGTGGTACATGTCCTCTGCCCTGACCAATACATCTTCGAAATCGATCCTAAATGCATTCGATAAACCTGCCACCTTGACCATGATCCAATTCTTCTTGGTCGCCTTTTACTGCATTACTTCTTCATGGCTGGCATCTGTATTCCCGACCCTTCGAGAGTCGATCCCAGCCTTGAAGAACCCCATTCGATATCCATCTAGAGATGTTATCACAACTACTCTCCCACTAGCGGCGTTCCAGATAGGTGGACATCTACTAAGTTCGACAGCGACCTCTAAGATTCCGGTTTCTATGGTCCATACCGTAAAGGGGCTTTCACCCCTATTTACTGTTTTCGCCTACCGATTCATCTTCAACATTCGATACCCGAAAGCGACATATTACTCCTTGATACCGCTCACCTTAGGTGTGATGCTAGCATGCTCCTCCAACCATTCTTTTAAGGGAGAGATACTTGGAATCATCTATGCACTACTTGCAACCATCATCTTCGTCACACAGAACATTTTCTCGAAGAGACTATTTAACGAAGCTGCCAAAGCAGAAGCAGACGGCCAATCAGCAAAATCCCGCAAGCTTGACAAGCTTAACCTTCTGTGTTATTCCTCTGGGCTAGCTTTCCTCTTGACATCGCCGATATGGTTCTGGAGTGAAGGCGTCGGTCTCGTGAGAGATGTCTACCATGATGGTTCAGTGGATCTTTCCACACATCCAAACAGCTTTGACCACGGACGACTAACACTTGAGTTTTTATTCAACGGCACCTTTCACTTCGGACAAAATATCTTGGCATTTGTCTTGCTATCGCTTGTGTCTCCAGTCACTTACTCAGTCGCATCATTAATCAAGCGGGTGTGGGTTATTGTGGTAGCGATATTGTGGTTCCGCAACCCTACAACCCCAATTCAAGCAGTGGGTATTACGCTGACATTCCTTGGCCTCTATCTGTACGACCGAACAAGCGATAGCAACAAAGCCGATCGCCGCGCACGTTTCATGAGCCAAAATACACGAGATCAGCCATTGCTACCCCTCAACACCAATCAAGGACCCGCGGGCTCAGCCGTGCAAACGCCACAAGTATTCGAGAGCCCGATGCCTGTATCTAACGGATCGACACCTCACCCGTATACTAATGGTTATTCTACGCAAACAAGCGGTGGTACCGAGGACTTTAAGAAAAGTGATGACGTTGGCAAGGGGCGACAGAGAGGGAGCAGCAATGCAGCTTGGTTACCGCCTGGTACCAAGCAAGAGGAGACTTGGAGATATGAGGATAGGGTTAGTGTTCGATAAGTAATAGGCTCCCTTCACTCAGGGTCAACAAAGACAGATAGGTTATGACACATCGGAGGATACGTATAGAAGGGCGAATCTTTTTTCTTTGCAACGAGGGATGAACAGTGCTAGTGCATCTAGGCTAATGAGGAGCTGCCGTCGCTGTCGTCATCTTGTACATAAAATGTTAAGGATTAAGGGCTAGGAACTTCATGGCATAAAGTGGACAGGAGTTGGAATGCGACTGATTTTTCAATTGTCTATATAAGAACATCATCTTGCAAGTTAATGGCGTGTGGTCCTTTTGCACGGGAGTTAAAGGTTTAGATATTCTTGTAAGGGGCATAGAATACCAGCTTCATCCTAGACTGGATCTAGATTGGATCGAGTCGGTTATCTTGGGGAATAGACATAGAAGAAGGTGGATTTGGTACGTTTGAGCTTATATACTCGCATGAAGTATATTTATGAGCTTAATAGCTTTCTGTAAATAATGTTAAAAGCCAATTGCTTAAATTTAACTCCTGGAATAACCGTTGAAAGCTTGTTACTTTAATTTTCCAAGCTCTCTTCCTGGTCTAGTGTGATTGAGGCTAGCTAGAAAGAAGAAAATCAACTCAAAGTGGAGTACAAATCGGGTTGTCGGGTGGTACCGTAAGGTCAGGTGACGTACTAAGTCACGTGTACTAGCTGGAGCAGTGGAGCTTGGCGAGTGGAATTCCAAAGTTCATCCGGGACCAAATGGCCGCCAGCGCCATTTTCACCTCGAACCTGCTTCAAATTATTTCCTTCTCTCCAGACTCATCACCTCCTCCACTCCATCCATCCTTAATCGCTCTCGGTCATCTTTCAAGATGTTCAAGAGGTAAGTAATATTATTTAGATATTCTTTTTAATACCTCCAATCCCCAATTGAGGTCAATTGAGCTGATCAAGAGTTTTTTTTACCCCGACTTTAGCGGCCTCTCCTCCTTCGCGAGAGCTACCAGGCCTGCTTTTGCCGCCCCGAGGCGCGCGGTAAGGCCAGCTCAATCTGCTTTCAGATTTCCTCTTACCAGCCGATTCGCAAGCACATCAAGTGCCGGTGATGGCAAGATTTACCAGGTGAGTTTTGGCGCAAAATAACAAATAACCGCTGGCGAAGCTTTGCCGCATAAACGGATTGACGGATCGGAGCTAATGGGATACGTAAACAGGTCATCGGTGCCGTCGTCGACGGTTAGTAAAACTCTCAATGCCTATCATAGGACTTCTCAATCGCAATTATCTATATCTATATTAACACATTATTGTTATAGTCAAGTTTGATGGCACCAAGCTACCCCCCATTCTAAACGCCTTGGAGACAAACAACCAAGGCAACAAGCTAGTCCTTGAGGTCTCAGTAAGCTTATATACCGCACAGCTGGAACTTGGAAAATATTTTTCTAACTTCATATATAGCAACATCTAGGTGAAAATGTCGTCCGTTGCATTGCTATGGACGGTAGGTCATTCTTGAAAAAAAATTTCGCATGCGATTATAAACTCACAATTTCATAGGTACCGAGGGTCTTACCCGAGGCGCCAAGGCCACTGACACTGGCGCTCCCATCACAATTCCTGTCGGCCCTGCCACTCTTGGTCGTATCATAAACGTCACTGGTGACCCGATCGACGAACGTGGACCCATCAAGACCGACAAGTTCCTACCCATTCACGCCGACCCCCCCGAGTTCATTGAACAATCCACTGCTGCCGAGATTTTGGTTACCGGTATCAAGGTCGTCGACCTGCTGGCTCCCTACGCTCGTGGTGGAAAGATTGGTCTATTCGGTGGTGCTGGTGTTGGAAAGACTGTGTTCATTCAGGAACTTATCAACAACATCGCCAAGGCTCACGGTGGTTACTCTGTCTTCACTGGTGTCGGCGAGCGAACCCGTGAGGGTAACGATTTGTACCACGAAATGCAGGAGACTTCCGTCATTCAACTCGATGGCGAGTCCAAGGTCGCCCTTGTGTTCGGTCAGATGAACGAGCCCCCCGGTGCCCGTGCCCGTGTCGCTCTTACTGGTTTGACCATTGCCGAGTACTTCCGTGACCAGGAAGGACAGGATGGTATGAGTTGTCTCCCAGGCTCCGTTACTTTATTACCTACTAACTCTGCATAGTGCTTCTCTTCATTGACAACATTTTCCGATTCACCCAAGCCGGTTCTGAAGTGTCTGCTCTGCTAGGTCGTATCCCCTCTGCTGTCGGTTACCAACCCACTCTCGCCATTGATATGGGTGGTATGCAAGAACGAATTACCACCACTACCAAGGGTTCCATTACTTCCGTCCAGGCCGTCTACGTCCCTGCTGACGATTTGACTGATCCTGCTCCTGCCACCACCTTCGCCCACTTGGACGCCACCACTGTGTTGTCCCGTGGTATCTCTGAGTTGGGTATCTACCCCGCCGTCGACCCTCTCGACTCCAAGTCCCGTATGCTCGACCCCCGTGTCGTTGGTCAGGACCACTACGACACCGCCACCCGTGTCCAGCAAATTCTCCAGGAGTACAAGTCTCTCCAAGATATCATTGCCATTTTGGGTATGGACGAATTGTCGGAAGCTGACAAGCTTACCGTCGAGCGTGCCCGTAAGATCCAGCGTTTCTTGAGCCAGCCTTTCACTGTCGCTCAGGTTTTCACTGGTATCGAGGGTAGACTAGTCGACCTTAAGGACACCATTTCCTCTTTCAAGGCTATCCTAGCTGGTGAGGGTGATGACCTACCTGAAGGTGCCTTCTACATGGTTGGTAACTTTGCGTCCGCAAGGGAGAAGGGAGAGAAGATCTTGGCGGAGCTAGAGAAGTCGTAAGGATCTAATATGGACTGCTGTTAAATAGACGCTACTAAAAAAAGAAAGGTAGTGACCTGTGTATATCTAGAAAAGGGGAGCAATGCGGTCTGATGAATTCCCTAGCTCAATCGAGTTCCTTTTGTGAGCTATATACCTTACAAATATCCACCCTAATTTCTGATATGTTATGATGTTGCTATGTCTTCGTACGTGTGTGCCGTAAAAGTAACTTTTGTAAGTCTTTCAAAGTCCCTATAACATAAGAGATGTCCGGATTCGTCGAGGATGGATCAATGAGTTCGGTCGACAATCCGCCAATTATCAACAACTTAAGAAAACGTTCTAGTTTCACTGAAGATGAGATTCTCATTCTAGAATACAATGTAGCCGCCAATACAATTCATCCAAGTCATGAAAAAGGTGAAGATTTCGCAGAGTTAATGATACTGCTCACCACTACTCAAAGTGTTTGGCCCAAGATCTCTTGTCCCAATTTAATATTACTATATTTGTGACCATGTTTCTTGAGAAAAGCTCTTCTATAGAAAATCATAGAATCTTGCCTACCCTAAGTGAAGTCCGAAAACCGTATGCTATAAATCACATAAGTACCTAGGTATCTACCTAGGGGCTCAATAGAGTCTGTGGGCCTTAATAGGCATCCTTTGTAGCGTACCTAGGTAGGTAGTATAATTCGTTTTTACCTCCTCATGGGCTATGGGGATACGAAAAGAATTATATATAATTAAAATCTGCAGTTGAGGTATGTTGCATATTCTATCAACACAGCTCAGGACAGGCGAGCTAATATTACCGTTTCAGATAAATAACAACGGTCCTCTACCCATACCTGCGGTATTTTACGTTATCCAGTCTATCTTACAGTATTCCATCGGCATACATCCTAGCTGGTACAACCCGCAGCGAGATCTAGGGACATCTAAAGAATCCGGAAGAGGCCCCTGACTATTTGATTCAGTACCACCACTCGTAGATTGCCCATAGAATCTACGCTGCATTAATGGTCTCATTTCCGCGCGATAAATGCAGGCAGCCGCTTCAAAAGTAAGTAATCTATCCGAGACAAAACACGGCAGATATGCTATTCTCGTGCGTACTGCATGTAGTAGACACAGCAGCGGCAGCTATGCAATACGGAAGCACGCAGAACAAACCTACCACGGAGTAGGAGGAAATAATTATTCCATCGAATCCCCAATTCGACTGTTATGTGTAGGTACATAATCACCACATGAAATCAGTTCATCGCTCATTAATTTTATATTACCCCTATCGTATCCCTAACCGTCGTACATTACATCATACCTATTTTGTGTCTATTTCGCTCCGCCCATATGGGGCTGGCTTTCTTCCTGACCGAAATTCGATTTCGCTTCTGTTTAGTATCAAGCCTTTGCCACCCCACCGCCTCCAGAAACAGCAGTTACAGTAACGACCTCAGGCTCCGTGCCCGTGGCCTCCGAGGACCTTACCGCAGAATCCGTGGTCTGGATCTCGGCGTGGTTCTCAGCCCATGCTGTAGCCGCGTCGTCGGGCGCGAGACCGTACCAGATTACTACTAGGACACCTAGGATACCGCTGAGCGCGCTGAAAGCCAGGGCGACTTTTCCGCGGGTTGTGAAGCTGTTTTGCGTTAGTACGTGTTTCAATAGCAAGGAGGATGTGTAGAGGATAAACAACGTACCCATCAGGTAGGCGGTCGGGGGACTTAGGCTCCCCGGTAAGATCGAGGAAGTTCATATTAGCAGCGGCGTTGCCGCTTGTGGCGATGTGTGCGTTTGCGCAAACCTTTAGGTGGTCTTCTGGGATCGTGATGGTTTTTTGGAGTTCGAGGGGTGCTTCGACCATTGTTGCGACTGTGATATATTGGGTTAGTCACTATTATTCATAGAATTAAGGGATGAAAACAGGAGGCTTCAAGCCTAACGTGTACTTACTCAGACCAGATGAAACGTGCCACTCGATGTGACAGTGGAAGAGCCAGATACCTATCAAATCTGTAAGTATGCGCTATAACAACCGTGGAGGTAGATAAAACTCACCAGGATTATCCGCACGGAATCTTAGTACGATAAATCCAGTGTCGAATAATACAAACGTATCGCGACGCATAGGTATTTCAGGATAGTCCGCTTCTGTAAGGTTTGCGTCTTCAAAAGTTCCAGCTAAGTCTTCCGAGCGATAGAGAGCCTGGAAATTGTGTCCGTGGAGATGGAACGGGTGGCGTCCAGTATCCAAGTTGTTCACCACAATTTGGACTACCTCATCCTTCTCTAGAACGAAAGAGTGGGTGTAGGATCCATAGACAGTAGGATTGGTTGCCAAGTCTCCAGCAGATAGAGCCGTGTAGAGAGAGGGCACTTTAGGAGCCTTGTATGTGATGTTGTCGAAGAAGGCACTATGAGGAATAGGATTAGCATCTCAGGGGAAAAGACATATTTCGTTCGGGGGACCCACTAGTTGGCTCCATCACCTAAGTTGTCCATGATAACATTGAGTTCGATGTTTTTAGTAGGTTCCTTGAGAAGAGTCTGGTTATCATAAGGGACGAGAGTGATATCATCGAAGTTATTCAACTCGTCAAGGAAAGCGGCATCATTGAAGGGTTTTTGGAGGTTGTATGTCAACCATGCCGTGGCGTTCCAATTTAAATCGTCTGGCATAGTATCGAATAAAGACTAGTATATGGCACATCAATCGGTTAGCATTTAACAATTGTATTGATATCAAACTCAAGGTGAGACTCACGGTGTCCATGCTAGCCACGAATGGAAAGTTGGCATCGTCGTTGTCTTTAGTCTTTATGAAGAAACTGCAGCGCTGGGCAGCAGATAGGTAAATCATCTCGACTTCTGTAGGCTGAGTATAAACACCATCCACTTCAATGATAGTCATATTGTGGCCTTCAAACCAGATGTACTGGCCAGCAAATGCTCCTATGTTCATCACGCGGAACAAGTAAGTGGTATCGCGCCTAACGATAACATTTAAACTGTACGTGTCATTCCATAGGACAGAATTGGGGACCGGCTCAGCCCCTGTTGGGTTACCTTTGTTAATAAAGGTGGGAAGAAGGTCTGCCATCTGATCGTGATACCAATCCGATATGGTCAAGATGTACTCGTCGTTATCATAGCCCGAATAGTTTTGAAAGGGAAACTTGGGATCATGGATGATGAAAGCTCCTCTGAGTCCATCAGGGTATTGCCCATCAGTGTGTGAATGATACCAATATGTGCCAGATTGGTTGATCTGTCTATTGTTTAGTTCCCTCCATTGTAATTATGTTAGGAGGTAGGTTCTTACGGTAAAGTTATATGTCATTTTCGACCCGGGCGGAATCGAGCACTGTGAAACTTGAGAGGGTCCATCCATATGTGTGGTACCATTCATGTATAGGCCGTGGAAGTGGAGAGAGGTCGATTGGTTTCCAAGTTCGTTCCTCGCAACGACGATGACATTGTCGCCAACATCGGCGAAGATAGGGGGAGGGGGGAATTTGCCGTTTATACCAATAGTCGGCCTGCTATGGCTGCCGTCGGGATTGGCCCTGATCCAGGATATCGCGAAGTCATATCTAACGACTTTGGCATTGGTGATGTCGAAAAGAGTCGCGATCCAAGCTATGAGCAGGACGACACGTCCGAATATTGAGGACATGGTGAAGGCGCCCTGCCCGAAGGATACTTAGGTAATGTGATGAGAAGCAGTAAGAAGGTAAAAAGGCTGGGAGCTTTTGAGGCTGTAAATAGGATTGCCAAGAGTAAGAAAATGAATGGGTAGTAGTGATAAATTCGAGTGAGTCCTGTGGATACAATACCAAGTAGGTATAGCTGAACACCACACCACACACCAACTTGGGCACACAAGGTCCTAGAAGTAGTAGTAGCCCGAGGTAAGCCAAACACACAAAGTGAATGGACAAGAATTAGGTGAATGTTTTGTTGCTAGGTCAAGTCAAGATCGGGCTTGGACTACCTGATGGGGGAGGGTACCTAGGTATGTAAATTACATACTCGACCCGCCTTGGTAGGTAGGTCTTTGTTCTTACCGACTGAGTAGTGGCCGGGATATGGTAGGGGGGAGGGATCAAATAGGGAATTAATACACGGGCAGTTAATACATATACATGGTAGATAATCTTATCAATCAGTCCGTCAATGCATCGGCTGGAAGCGCGCACGGTGACATCGACCCATGTCGACGACTAATATCCTTTTCTTATTCTTCTTTTTCTCTTTACATTAGGTAAATTTGATACATTACTTAAGTATCTTGGGGTTTTAAAAGCGGCAGGGTAGAAAGGGAAGTAAGTGTGAATAGTTCCGGGTTGCTAAAGTCGGAATGTACGAGACTTTGCCTCATTTGCGAAAGAAGAATGGAACTTATTCCGCCTACCTAGGCTCCTAGACTGCTACATAGGTACCCTAACCTTTCAAGAGCGATGCCGCCAATAGATCATACAATTCCCGTTATTAGCGTACGGCGCTACTACCTAGGTACAGTAGGTACAATTGGTACAGTTGGTATTGATAGGTAAGGATCATTGATGCTTTTGGGATCTAGCCCCCAAGGCCGATTAAATGACTTTGGTAGGTCATGGATAGACAAGGGTTGTTATACTTGTGATATACTTATCATTTTTATATAGAAGGAAGAGGGGTTTGTGTGGTAACCTAAGGTTGCTAATTTTACTCGATGAGGCCATCACCAATGACACGAGTTTTGGAAATGTTTGTTATGAGGAGAAAGTGAAGGAAGTAAGAAAAAAAAAAAACCGCACAAACATTATGATAAATTATAGTGCATCTCTTTGTGTTACCCATCCTATTACCTTTTTAGGTAGTTGGCGGACCCTACCGCACTATGCAAGTCCCTGTATTAGCGACCTCGGTGGACAAATAGCACCCACTCACCACCCACCCCTCCACTAAGTTCCCTTCTGCAGTGCGATGATCTGATAAGATTTCACCTAGGGGTCTAGCGGTAACGGCGTGGGGTGTACCGTGCTCGCTCTAAATCATGTAGCTCTTTTTTAGTACCTAAAGAAGGGATCAAATGACGACCAATTATGAAGAAAGACGAATGAATCAATAACTCAAAGAGGAAGGCGGAAACGAAGAAAAAGAGGAACAGTCTCGGCTGAATTATTGTATACTTGAGTCTAGTGTATAAGTGTAGCGTACCTGAGTTAGGTAGATAAGCAAGCAAGTAAAAAGAAATTTTGATGATGGATCTAATCAAGCAAACCTTCAGCGAGTCCCCATTCTCTTTTTTTGATGCAGGTAAAATCCCCGTAACTTTCAAGCTTCTTACAGGTGGTGTAACCCCACAATGGGTAAAATGTAAAAGATCGGTGACAAAAAACAGCTGGAGAATTTAGAATTAACATACCTAACCTTACATGTGCCTAGGTGCCTAGGTTGGTCGGGGAATTGCACTTGATACGGTTGGCAAAGCTTGAATCGCCAAGGCTAAAAGTCCTTGGGTACAGCAAATGTAGCGTGGTGTAGCGTGTGTAGCGTTGCAAGCAGCGATAAGTTACCCCATGTCTAGCCATGCCTAGACCCTGTTTAGAATCCTTTCAACTTATATTAGTGAAACTTAAAAATCCCTACCTACGTCTAGCTATTCGCTCTACCCGTCTCGCTATAACTGCCTAACTAAGATACCTAAGATACCTTAGATACCCGCCTAAGGTTAAGCTAGGCTGGTGATTTGGTAACTTGATAAACTGCGGGCTGCCTCCGTCACTCCGTCACTCGCTCAACTCTCATGAAGGTAACCTACAAGGATGACTTGAAAATCAAGCATCTGATTTTTCCCATTAATCGAACCATCTCGGTACCTCGTCATAGCCGATCTTATAGCTGATCTTATGCCATACTTGCATTGCTTCTTCTTCTCCCTTTCGTGCTAACTCCCACTCCTATCTCGCATCTCTTTGGCGCGATTTCACCAACCACGATCGGGACAACCACGCGAGTCCTTAGCTCCTTAGTTAGGAAATACGAGCTGAACTTGGTCTCACCCGATAGATGAGATCACTAGTTAAAGCTGAACAAAGCATCATTCCATCCGATGGTCCAGATTTCTTTCATCTTCCCGTGATCGGCGGTCGACGGTCCAAGCAACAAGAAACGCCCCCCTCCACGGCTGCTGTACCGTACCCTCAAGCATCATCGTCAATTTTTCAAGTATAACCGAGTCACACACAAACACACAGACATACTGATACCACCCCCCATACTGCGCCCCACATAAAAGATTATCTGATTGTATTTATCAGATCAACAGATAATTCGCCCTATTTTTTCCATACTACCACACCGAAACCCGTTCCCCAATTCCTTATTAACTTGGCCTTGAGGGAATCGAGATTTTGCTTGGATTATCTCAGCTGTCACCTTCATCCTCACCTTCACCATGGCGGCAGAAGATGTCTTCGCCGTCCCGGTGTTTCTCGTCGTATTTCGAGAGACACTCGAGTGTGTCGTTATCGTCTCTGTCTTGCTAGCTTTTCTCAAGCAGACCCTCGATGGACCTAATCGGGATGAGAAGGTGTATAAGACACTCGTCAAGCAAGTAAGAACAGCCCCTTTCATCCTTATTCCATGTCTCCATTTTCATCCGTAATCATGGATAGGACGTAGGTCAATTAACAACTGGACCACTAGGTATGGATCGGAGTCGCAACTGGGTTCGGTCTTTGTCTTATAGTCGCCGCCGGCCTCATCGGCGCCTTTTACAAACTAGGCACAGACAAATGGTCGCTTAACGAGTACAACTACGAGGGTGCATTCGCCCTCGTCGCGGCAGTCATTATTAGCATCATGGGCGTTGCTCTCCTCCGCGTCGGCAAGATGCAGGAGAAATGGCGCGTCAAGCTTGCCAAGTCCCTCGAAGCCCCTGAAGCCACTGCCGGTCGGAAAAGGTGGTTCCAACCCGGCTGGTTCAAGCGTTATGCAGAGAAATACGCCATGTTCTTCCTCCCGTTCATCACTGTGTTGCGTGAGGGTATCGAGGCGATTGTTTTCGTCGCTGGTGTCTCGTTCAGTGCGCCGGCCAAGGCTTTCCCGCTTCCTGTTGTTGTGGGGCTGATTGCTGGGGGTATTGTAGGATACTTCTTATACAAGTGAGTATTCGTGTGTGATTATTGATTACTGCGATTCGCTAACTCGTATCAGGGGAGGTGCTGGTGCTAAATTGCAGTATTTCTTGATTGCTTCCACATGTCTGCTATACCTAGTAGGCGCGGGTCTCTTCTCGCGTGCTGTCTGGTACCTTGAAAACCAACAGTGGAACAACATCATCGGTGGTGATGCTGCCGAACTGGGAGATGGTCCGGGATCTTATGACATTGACAAGAGTGTCTGGCACGTAAACGTATGTGACCCGATTCTGATTATTGTCTTGCAACTTACTAATTGTTCGCCACAGTGCTGCAGCCCGGAGTTAAATGGAGGCGAGGGTGGTTGGGGTATCTTTAACGCCATCCTCGGATGGACTAACTCGGCTACCTACGGCTCCGTTATCTCATATAACGTTTATTGGATCTTCGTCATGGCCTCATTTGGCGTCTTGAGATACCGTGAGGTTAAGGGTCACTGGCCGTTCTTGAAGCCGAAGAAGAGCGCGGCTGATCCAGTGCCCGAAACAGTTGGCCCGAGCCATGGAGCAGACGGAGTGAAGGATGTCACAGACAAGCCGGAGGCTTAGGAAGGTCTACCTGAAAAGGCTGTGATATTTTTTTGCTAAAGATGGGGGGTAGTGCAGTGAGTTATCAACTGGAGCGCAGCGGACCGCTCGGCCGCGTGGGCTCGGAGATCGAGTAATCCCGCTAAACGTAAGGGCCGCTTTAGAAATCTTCCTCTTTGAAGGTTGAAACCATTAATTGGGCCATTTGGAACGATAGGATAGATAATTGGTTAATGGTAAATATGAATGATAGAATAGCAAAAGTTTGTATACACATTGAGAATGCCTATATCTTTGGTAGGTACCTATAATGAGATGAAATGATGCAAATGATTGGACCTGGGGTTTTCACACTAATCGCTGTAAGCTTTGGGCAGCACGGAATGAACGTCATTTCCTATACTACCTAGGTATTTCTCAACTAAAATATGGAGAATAATTGAATGCTATTTATATTCGATCTCAAATTCCCATACTGATTTTATTACTATCTGATCAGTATCGGGATAAGACGAATTTAGGCCAGGTATTCTCGGAATTTGGCATTGGCGAGGAGTTTAGAACTGATGACCACCTCGGACATCTGCATCTTTAGGGTATTGCCTCACACGGGAGACAAGCCGAATGGACGACTCACCCCGTGCTCCGGACGCCGATGCGCCGGAACCAAATCCTACAGGGACGCTCCCTGAAGTGGTCAACATTGTTGAAGATGGAGATATAATACTTGACGTGATCTTTGAGAATTCTAAAGACACTATCCGATCCGCACGTGCTACTCAATCACGACTGGCGAGCCGAGAATTACAGCCTGCACCAAAAAGAAAAGCACGCCTAGCTTTCCGCGTTAACCTCAAGGTACTCAAGAGCCAGTCCAAGTACTTTGAGAAACTTCTTACGGACGGTCGCTTCAAAGAAGCCAAGGATATTACCGGCGCATTTGCCGCGCTATCCTTGAAAAATGTCAAGCCCGAAGCCGCTGACGTGAAGGACCTCCCCTGGATAGAAATTCGCGATGATGATCAAGCCACACACTACGCCCACCGTGAAGGTGCATTTGCCGATCTTATGCGCATCCTTCATGAGAAAGAAGTAACCACAAAGCAGGCCGCCCTGTCGTTTGTGACAACGCTGGCGGTATTGGCGGATCGTTTCGATTGTACGGTTCCGGTCTCGAAGTATGTCATCAACACACTGAAGCCGAAATGGCCCGCGACGAATCGTAACCTCATTAGGGATGAGGTACCTGTCATGAGTCGCAATAATGAAGATGTCTTGCGACAGAAGATCTTAGTATCGTGGCTGTTGTCTCATCCTACTAGGTTTCAAGCTGTCACGAAGGAAATCATTATGAATGGCTCCTGTAAATGGGGTTCCTTCGCCGAAGATGATGAGGCTTCGGATGCTACGTGGTGGTACTTGCAAGATGGCCTTGAACGTGAGTTTTATACAATCCCAACATCCCCTATTCCGACGCATATTAACATCTAAACTAGAGGAGCTTCAGTACCGGCGACAATGTATCCTAAACACAATCGCCTCAGTACAGCGACATTTCCTTACATTATACACGTCGCGAGCGCGACAGTGTAAACTCGGCTACGACTCAAGCGCGGCCTGCGACTCATACCAGTTAGGCGAGATGTTTAAGTTCCTCGCCAACAAAAACCTGATGTTCCTCGTCGACTTCTCACCGGGATCTCTAGACTCCATCGCCGACACCTCGTTACTACAGATCGATTCTCTCCTATCCACCTTACGACAATGTCCCAGCTACCAAATCGACAAAAACCACACCAACTGCGGACTCCGTACACGCATACTCCCCATTCTAGACTTCATACATAGTCTGCTATCCGCGAATTTTATCCCGATCAATAGGAACGCATGGAAGAACCATCGTTCAGTCGCAGCTTGGATGCCATCTGACGCTGAAAACAAGAAAGAGAAGCCGTTCCGATTTACGCGGTCTATTGCGGGTGATCAACGGCTGCGTTTTGAGAATGGTCTGGGAACAGAGGGGTTGGCGAAGCATGTGTTCACGGCGACGAGTTGGGATTGGACGGCCGAGGACCAAGCGCAGGATGGCCTTTCATCTACTACACCTAGGTGGAGTTTGAGATGAATAGGAGCGTTACTGCGGTCTGTATAAAGTGTTGAGATAACAGAATTGCATTCTGAACATTCTCTGTTACTATATCGTAATCGACTATATCCCTGGATATATCGATACGATGAGATATCACAGACAACATTTATAATAAACAAAAATGAGCCAAACTATTATAGGCCCCGTGATAAAATAGTAAAAAGCGCCGATCCATGTATAAAATCTAATTCTAGATAGACATCGAACTTAGTAATTGTATATACGCGAGCGTCCTGGCCGTCTGTTCTTGCTTCGAGAAAACATCATGATCTGAATACTAAGTACTGTTGCCTACCCAATCCGACAATGATAGCAATAACGATGATGTTGATGATGATGATCGTGATCGTAACCCGGTAGATGCTACTCCGTAACGCCGATACGAATTATGACTCAAGAACAGTAAGGTTGTTTCTTCCCAAAGTATCTAGTAGATAGACTTCAAACAACGACTCGTCCATCTTCTTCGCTGGTCTAGCTTCTCAAAGCTTCCAATCTGTTCCTCATCTGATCCATCATGGCCTCCTGGTCTTCCTCTTCCTCGTCCAATCTCTGCGCCGCAACAGGCTCTGGTTCTGGCTGCGCCGGCACCTCCGCAGGCGTCTGTCCCGCCTTATCCATCTTGCCCTTCAATATTTCACCAAGCACCTTATCAACCTCACCCTCAGCCTCTTCCTCTTCATCCTCAAGCATATCATCAACCGGCAGACTCTCGCCCACCATCTCCTCAATAACACCAGCCTTCATCAACTCAACACTCAACTCCCGCATCGTGCCCGCAAGCTGTGGCAGCCTCACAAGTGCATTTACATCCTTCATAACACCCACCGAAGCGCGAATACTCCCCTCGATCTTGCGCACCGCAAACGCTTCATTGACCTGCATCTGCACGGACGCAAGCTGCGCCTTCGACGTAACTAATCTTTGCGATGTCCGGCGCGCTCGTAGCAGTTCGCGCGCGAAATCACGCGCTTCGCGTTGGGCTTGCCGTGCTTGTTGCGGGTTGCGCTGTCCCCGGCGATCGGCTTGGACGATTAGGTTTTTGGTCTTGATTTCGACTTGTTTGACTTGGCTGATGTCGCGGTCGAGTTTGCGGATGTTGGAGCGGATTAGGGCGTTGCATTTTCGCATCTTTTTTTAAGATTCGGTTAGTACCATTAAACAGTTGCGAGGGGGTGATTAGGGTGATAGAAGCTTACCTGGGCATTGGGATCCGGCTTGACGAAGAGCGATTTGAGGCTCTCCATCTTGGGAGAAGCGGTGTTAGGGGGTATATTAGGAGATCAGGAGATATAATTCGACTTGGTTGGGTTGGATGAAGCTTCAATGAGGGCGGCTCCTACCGGGGAGCCTTGTATTAGGATCTGGCAGAGCACCCTCAATTCAATAAGGGTAGCTGTATACCAAATCTACATGTAGGTAGAGTAGTGGTTGGATCTAGTGGACCTGATGGAATAATAGAGAGATGGATAATAGGGTAATGCAGGTTAATGCGATCTAAATGACGTTGGTCTGGGCGAGCAGCGGCCTGGCGGGCTGACAAGGAGGGATGCGGATTCAGGAACAGCCTAACCCCGCTAAGTGCCAAACCGTATCTCTAGCACGGTGCAAGAGCAAATCCACTTATTAAGCATTTGGTAGCAAGGTTTGACTTTCTACGTACAGCTTATGTAATTTATCTCCAACAGCTTATACATATGTACATATATCTAGGCGAATAAACATGCAGGTAGAAAGTCTATCTTACATTCTATAGGGTTTCATAGGATAGCGGGACGTTACTTACAACTAATATAACTCAGCTTTGAACGTTCTGCCACGACGGCAAGAAGTAATCATTTGATCAACATCCACATCACTTCCATCAACCGAGAATAAATTTAATTCACATGAAAATATTTAATATGAATAATCCAGAGATTTGTAAATAGGTTGCTTCACTATTCCCAAATCCTGTATTACTTGCATGGTATTGTATCGGTGAATGTAACTTCAATATTATTCTTGCAGATAAAATCCGAGACTTTGGAACCTACGTAAGGCTTCTAAAATTCTTCAGCCCTCTATATATGCAGTCATCTCGGCGTTTGCTTTTCTTCATTGTTCTTTTTCGATATTCCGTTTTCCCATGTAGGCATCTGAAGACGGTGAATGCTGTTGTTATCAATACCGTAATGTACCTACCCGCCACATGTAATACTAGTAGAAGCTTCTTGTCAAATGGATTTATTGACCTGTCATTCCAGAATATGCACCTAGTTGAGTCCTTCCACCTAATTGATGGGGATACGAAGGTACGACATACAGGGACATTGTGACGGCCGTTGTCCCGATTGGGTTAATCTCTTTGCCTTCTCAACTTTCTTACAGTGCGAGTTCCCACTAAATTAGCAATGACCTAGGCACCTACCCCCCCTTGCCAAAAACCCAGCCCTGTTGCTGCTTCCGCCGCTTTCGTGCTGGTTCGATGTTCATCGGAGGGGTGCATCATTAAGCTTTTGGAACAGCCTCATATTTTGCGATTTTTCATTCCACCGCTCCTTCTTCCATTTTTCTTCACACCAATTTGGAGAACGGAAAATACCCCCAAGTGTTTGCTCACGCCTACCTTTAATCACCTACATTAACATTCGTCTGTGTATTCTAGCACTTTGTTGCTATCCTCCCCTCTCCCTCTCTCCCACCTTAAACAACTACCCGCCACCGAAAAATATCCCACTTCCGCCAACATCATGGCACAAGTCACCCCCGAAGGTAAGCTCACACCCATCAACATTTACACCCTATAGCTTTACGATACGGATAAAATCACCATAGCATATACTATAAACAATTATCCCCTCATTCGCATAAGTTTTCCAAGCTATTGAAGTAGATATAAGCTAACAATATTATTCACAGTTCTATGGGCTCAGCGCTCCTCTAACACCGACCCCGAAAAGAACTTCATCTACCTCACCATCTCGGTTCCCGATGTTCCTAAGGAGAACCTGAAGCTTGACCTTCAGCCTACGACCCTTACTTTCACCGGTCATTCCGACACTCTCAAGAGAACGTACCACCTAGACCTTACTTTCTACGCTGAGATCGACCCCGCGGAGAGCAAGACCCATCACACTGCCCGCAATGTCGAGCTGAAGCTTCGCAAGAAGGACCTCAACGAAGAATACTGGCCGCGACTCCTTAAGGAGTCCAAGAAGGTTCAGTTCCTCAAGACTGACTTCGACAAGTGGGTCGATGAGGATGAGCAGAACGAAGCGCCTGAGGATGACTTCTCCCAATTCGGTGGCATGGGTATGTGAAGCCCTTTCCTAATTCACACGTGGCCTTCTCATGGATTTCACAACATGTGAAAAGGACCCTTAACATTTAATGTTCGGGAATTTCACGCTAACACATTATTTTAATAGGTGGCATGCCAGGCATGGGAGGTATGGGTACGTAATCAATTAACCTAGTGCTATGATTTATGCGCTTCGGTATCTCTATATTAATCAACAAAACTAACGCTCGAGTTACAGGTGGTGGCGACTTTAGCGGCATTGACTTCTCCAAGCTTGGCGGTGGTGATCTCCCTACTGGCGGCGAGGAGGAGGAAGATGACTCCGACGATGACGACATGCCCGCTCTTGAAGGCGAAGAAGATGGCAAGGACAAGGAACCAGCTAAGGCGTAAACACGGTCTCTATGTGCTGTAAAAGCATCAACCCTTCCTCAGCTACCTCGTGCAAGGTCCATTCGTCTGTCCTACTAGGTCTCGAATACGCCTTCAGACGCATGGAGGAGAATTAGCAAGTGGTAATGCTGCTCAGAGATGTTTCGGAAGCTGGCGAACTATTGGCTATCTAGGTGGATAGGTTACCTAAGTGCTTGACGCTGGGACCCGATGAATTTATGAAGTAATCAAGCAGCTTTTCATGACTTGGAATTCTGAATGTGAACAGGGATTGCGTTAAGATCGAATTTTATTCCTACACATTGGCTCTTCTCGCATATGGCTACACAACTATTTCCACGCTGGGGACCTTCACCATTGATCACGAACACGCCCTCTTGTTCATGGCGAGTGTCTTGGAGTTCGGCAAGCAGAGTAGCCGCAATTCCCCATAGCCTACGTGATTGGCCACGTCCGAACCCCCGGGTCTGTAAGTCTCTGGTTGGTGTGACGTTAGCTGTCCGTTGTCATTCTTTCACGTCAGCTCCGAACGAGGTGTCCCGTCGCACAGTTGCTAAACCTTGGGTTCAACATTTCCGTGTACCTGTCTCTCTCCGATGGGTCCTCTTTCCCTGCTTTCCTTCGCATCAATGCTATGTTCTATTTCTGGCTGCCTCCCGCGGTGGGCCTTGTCCAAGGCTTGGTACTGATTATCTATTCTCAAGGTCTTGTCAATATGCGAGGCTCCGTCCTACTTAACCCCCATGAACCCCTCGCTGTGCTGTGATCATGATCCAGGAGATCGGATACCGCACTGAGGATCCTGCGAGATTCAGCACGCCGTTCGGTCTCACAGATATATTGAAACTGGTTAAAATTATTCATGATTATTGTATTGCCATATGTCATAGGGTACGCACGTAGTTCGTGGGTACGAGGTAGTAACGACGTGGCTACGGTATGGAACCAATCTGCCGGATCCTGCTTCGGTGAATCTTGTCATGCCCTGTGAACGGAACGATGATTGTTTCTCTTTCCTTAGCACTGACGACTTGCATATGGAGGAAAATGGCGAGTTGCATTTACATATAAGTCTCCCTCTTTTCTCCTTGCTTAGAGCAGTCCTTCTAATTTAACGAATTTATATGGTCTTCGCCTGAAGGTTTTCTTCAAACATTTCATTACAACTTGAAACATACCATCTAAACTAGCGGCTATATACCCTTCTCGGCATCTCTTTACTTCATATAGATTCTACCTATTGTCAACTTGGAGATCTTACTTGACGACTACGTACGAGCTAAGACCTAAGACCCTATTAGGTCCAGTTACGATGCCTCACGCCACGAAGTCCAAGCCCAAGTCGTCACGCCCCCGACCCACCACGACCACGTCTACTCCTATCCAATGCAGCCAATCTAACACCTCGACGACGCACTCAGCTTCATCTTCAGCCTCTTCTTCGTACACTTGGACGGCTAGTGATGCGGCTGAAGCTTCAAGAGACGGAGCATTCATCACGGCCTGGCCTTGTGAGGAGCCATACTACGCCCCACTGGTACACATGCCTGATCAGAGTAGTCGTGGGGATAGTGAACCCCAGTACTACTACTCTTCTGGGCGGAAACACTCTTCAGCTACGAATCAAGGAGGGGGTAGCGGTGGGAAGTAAGTCTAATATTGAGGTCTAGGAGGGAGTCTGTTGGATATTGACGCTGATTGTAGGTCATTGAATGGATAGGGGCAGTAAAGGAGTTCAACTTATCAGGTGTATGATTTAAGATGAGCTTGGCTATATTATGTATTGTTTAATGGCTTGACAAGATATACGAGAGATTGTAATGGGGGTACTTTGGGGGGGGGTGTCTGCGTATAGGGAGGTATACATCCTTTTACTATCGCAGAGTATCTACGTCCAATTTAGGAAGATATTTGCAATAATACTTGCGTATCCTAACAAGTACGCACTCGTGCTCTCTAGAATTTCATGTTTGAGCTACATATTCAGTCTATTGACCGTCCTCTGTGATGAATAGTCGAGGTGCAAGACCACTCAGTTAAACAACGAGGTGTCTGAAAATTGAGTCCATTTGCCATAGATTACTCCTGAGAACAGTCGTCAGGCCCTTAAATGACCACGCTAAACCAAAGACGTTAAGATGCTCTTCGAGCATACACCCTTCCCAACCCCTTATGACGATAGAACAGGCGAGCAATTGATCTCTTGCTGAATTCATGTCTAGCCCTCAGCAGGTCCATATAATTGCGTCAAAGTAAAGAACATACGACACTCGTCCTTATCTACTTACGAGAGAAACAGAATCGACCGTACGGACAATCCAACTTCCGTCTTGGGAGAGCACATCCCCAACCGCCTACAGAAGGCGCTTCGAAATGCCTGATACGAAGGCTACACTTGGACGGTGGTGATACTACATATGTTTGTTTCTATTTCTATTTGTAGTGATGAAAGATATAGTAATATTCTCTGAACTTGGGTTAGAACCGTTTGCTTCGAAGTCAGGGGATTTATGACTGACTTATTCACCCTTCGTTTCCATCTGAGAAGTCGACTCGCCCATCATGCGAATGCTTTATAAGACAGCAGTTGTACAAGGGATAGCCCATGTTAACTTATAACAAGGAAGTCAGCTCATCATTGTGAAGGCTTTATGTGAGCTCATGATTTTCTGGGCCCCGAGATTCGGGTAGGGTGAGCTCTGGACTGGTCGTTAATACGCTTCCTAGTGCGACGGCGACGGCTAGGGGTTGAGAAATTGGGTGAATGTCATGATAGTATAGTCTATCTTCATTGAAGGAATGTAGAACCCGGACAAATCGATGAGCTCATATAACTATGTAGGGAGAGACGCCGACAATAGTCTCTTAGGAGATTACTCCATCGAATGTATCACGATTAAACCGGAACTCCTGAAACGACAACTCACATAAAACAAGATATCTAGCCCCTTGATTGACGACCAATTGTAATAGTCTTATAAATTGGATGCATACCTGATATAGACTTGAGCATGGGAGTGGTCGTCATCTAGAAGCTCGCTGTCGCCCTTGCATAGACGACTAGATGTTGACCCTATCAGATGTCCATAAACGGCAGGTCCATCATAGCCTATAGACCTCATTACACAATGCGAATCATTCTAATTAACTATAATTTGGAGATCGTATTAAATGCAAGGGCTCTGCATTCGGCCGTTCCCAATACTCTCGGCCTACATTGTGCTTGATTGGACACGATCGCATCCAGCTTTTCTACTCGAAGCGAGTGCATTTATAGATGTATCTAGACGAGTGCTGAGGCTTTCTAAGCAATCGCTTATACAATACGGCAGTCCTGATGACCTTATCATCCAACTCAGTACTGAGTCGGATTATGGCTCATTGTCGATATAACTCTCACTGCGAATGGTGATATTATCACATGCCTTCCTAACCTATCTCAGAACAAGAGTCTCACATGGGGTGGGTGCTATTGGCTAGATATAGAAGGTCACAAGGCTGAAGACAAGCCTGGCGATATTAAAGTCAGCTTCCCTAATCACATTCTTACCTAGGTATATATGCATGGAGGCTATAATATGGGATATAAAACTTCCCTGTATCAGTAGGCGCGTAACGTTCCCTTTAAGCTTAAGTCCTTTTTATCACGCAATGTAAGCTTAATGGTTCGGCAATGCTTAAGCGATCTCTAAATCGGCCAATCCTGGATAACTATTCTCCATAATAGACGGTATTATAAGGGTTGCTGACGAGTCTTATTTAACAGCCAGATATGGAAAGAAGCTCGGCCTCAAGTGGAGTAACACAAGATTGTCTCTCTGCGGTTCGGCGGTCCGTAAAGGAGGTGGTTGGGTGGTTAGTACCTCTACAGTCATGTGCGCTTCCTTGGCTAGTAGAACTCGTCACATCCATCACATCACACACATTTCGGAGTTAAATATCGCATCGTAGCTAATCAGATCACGATCTGAGCGCCATCTACCTACCTGACTCGCAGTTATCTCGGCCGCTAGCATATAAGCATAAAGGGAAGATGGAACGCCTCAATCACCGGGGTTATCACTTTCCGAGATGTGATAGCGGCGCAATTTGTTGCCAACCATTACTTCATCGTTGCTAATCCACACGCGACGCCCCGACGCCCCTATAGGTATCTGTGTAAGTATCTATCGATATCGCGAAGCCATCTCCGTCCTCGGCGTCCATTTGCGATATACCCCCGGGTTGATTGGTCAATGGGTGCTTCATTGACTTACCTACCTCATTCCTTGTGCTTCAAGACGAGCGAACGTGTCCGAACAGGAGTGTGTGATTCAATTACACAAGTTGCGTCGCATACATACCATAGCGCCGATTGCGACGACGATGAAAGGTTAGTTCGATGCTTGGTACTAGGTTTTTGCTTCCGCGCTGCGTTTCGCGCAAATCAAAATCGGTGTTTGAAGCCATCGTGGCCGCGGGCGGCGTGCCACGTCTGTCTGGGCTGCAGCTACCTACCTACCTAAGCTTGCTTTGCTTCGTCGGATATAGGACCGTGAACGTAATATAACCAGACACTATAACACATACACACTTGTCCATGGTTCCTTGCTGCAGCGGAAGCGCCCCTTTCTACGAAGCAGAATCAAGATAGAAAACTAGACATGTAGACGAGCAGATGAACTAACCAGTCATAATTGGAATATTATCGCCTTAGGTTTGAGGTAGATGTAAGTGTGCATATAAAAACCTGCAATGGGCCTGTCAAACTTGTCTGTGATGCGCCCACGACAACGACAATGACGCCCGTGCGTCGTTCAAAACAGGGGGTTGTTGGGAATTTTGAACAACGAACATACGCTGGTGTAGCTACGACTACTGCTACTGCTACTGCTGTGTTGCCCCTGTTCGATGCGCATTTCTTCAACAATGGCATTGGGCCTCAATGCGCTTTCGGGGGAGGCGGTCCTGCGGGGGGTTGCAACTTTGCAACCATCGAACCGTACAGATTTTCTCCGAGATGTAGCGGTCACAGGAAAAAAGAACCAATTTGGTCTTTGCGATTCTTCTTTTCTCCTCTTTTGAAATTGCAGAATGTAGACGAAAAGAATTGCCCTAGCTTCGAGACTTCTTAAGCGAGCGGCACATCGTAGGTGATGGTGATGGGGAAATGGTAGGGTGGCTACACCCTCTTCCTAGCTTTCATTGCTTCTTAGGGAATTTTATCTATGTATCGCCCACTCTAGAATGGGTTGTGCGCGGTGCAACACACGTCCACACGACTTCTTTCGTGGTCGCGACACATTCCAGACTCTGTCCATCAAGGCCAATCCGTCGATCTTATCACCTATATCAAGTAAGGGTTGGCTATAATAGAGATGTGATTCGGCCGCGCTTAGTTTGCACTGATGCTTGGCGTAGATCGTTGACTTGACGAGGGTGTGTATAATAGGGCCTAGGGCTAGAGAGTTACTTTCACAATTGGTGATGGGATTTTCATACCCGTCAGGAACACAAATTGTGTAGTAGATGATCAACGTGTAAAGCAACTGTTTTTGTTGGCCAAGTACAGCATATGCCAGAAGCAGAAGATAGACAGAAAAAGTTGCTGCTTAGGGCAACCCGTGTCGAAGGCGTTTCGTTCTACAACAGCTAATTTGTCTTAAACCACCGGCTGTTGAATGAACTCCGTGTTGCTGCTTACTGAACTTGATGTCTGGAGTCGTGCCGGAGTTGAGTTGCGTATAGTGTGTGTGGCAACATGATGTTCCATCTTGTTCAAATTGTATTCGTCAAATACTACAGTGCTGCGAACACGGCAGTAACACATCTTAGCTGTTGTAGCTCCCCAAGACTTTGCCCCGGATTAATAACACAATAACCGTACATGACAATATAATCTTGGAGAAATCTGTGCTTCCACATCATTTTTGCTTTTCCCACTCGGGACTTGTCTCTTACGAATCCGGGGAAAACTTTGGCATTGTTGTATTGTTGTAACGAAGCGGCAGAATTCATGGCGGCTTCATCTAGGTACCCCGTACGCGAAAACTCCACCACTCGGTTCGTGACTCTTGGCGGCGGCAATATCGGACCTTCGGAGTATGCGCTATAACGTAGATGGCTTTTAGTGTCTTTTATTTCTTCTCTCGTCTAATTAACATATTATAATATATCCTATATAACATCTACGTATGCTCTTTACGATACCGGCTACTTCTCCACAGCCGGCTACGTACGGGCCGTCATGTCAAGGCCCGATTTCTGCATGTCTCCCACAGGTTCAATTAAGGTGAGTATATTAGCCAAGTGAAAAAAAAAAAAGAGCACACGAGGACACGAGAAGATAGAAGAATGACGTCGTGGCTTCGTTATTGTTTCGGCAATTTCTTTATTTTTCATATAATGTTTTATGTGCCGACCGAAATGCTTGTATTTTCGAAAAGAGTCCGATTTGTCCGACCGTGATGCAATGTTGTGGTAATAGGATCATCTACCTAGGTAATTCAACGGAATTTATTTTTCTTGATGGAAAATTTTTGAACATGTCGAGAAATCTCCATGTGCCCCTAGAAACTTCGGCATGCGTGTTGCCGGTTTCCGGACTTATTCATGTATGGATCATGGATATCTAGGATCCTGACATCGGAAACCCGTTCAACTGACTAAGATATCCATGGAGGAGGGTAACACAGAGAAACTCCGAAGCGTGGGGTTCCTTTCATCGCCATTGTGTCTTGTATTCCCCATCCCATCGTGGATCATCCCCCCTCCCTTTGCCCCCATCCTCCATCCCCCATCCTCCATCTACATATGTACCTCACTTTGTGGGGGTGCTCCAGTAGCTAAAATCGTGACAATGTAGTAATAATAACTCTATTTAGGGTGACGAAGGAATGGGAATGGGAGCTGTCACCTGCTAGGCTGGGGCAAGGGTATTAAGATAGACGTGATCCTCCTTGAGATATGAGACATCGTTTTGAGATGTGAAAGGACAAGAGATCATTTCGTGTATTTCGTTTTTATTTATTTCACTTGTAGGGTTTACCACCCAATAGCCTAGCAGTATATCCTAATCACCATTTACCTAGGTATTTACGGCTTGGCCTTTACCCATCATAGCAAGTGCTAAATAGGATATATCCCGGGTTGTCCAGAATAGGCAATAAAGACGAATCTGGTAGTTTAACAAGAAAAAAAAAGTACTCGATATCTTTTCGGAGAGATAGGAAGAGTTCAAACAAATTCACAAGCTGTCAATTTGGAATCATCCGAAATACCGAAGCTCTTACAAGTTACAGCTGTGAGGATGTAACATATGTAGGTAGCCACCCAATCTGAATAATAATTAAGTTGATCGTCAAGGAGGCATCCTATAGTCTCGTAAGTGCCTCACGATTCGCGTCGTACATGGCAAAACAGATTTATGAGTCTTCCCCTCGTGAATCCGGCAAGATGGTTGTTGGTCGGGTGCATGCGGGCTTTAGTTGATGGATGGTAGATGGCCTCCGACAACTCCCTGACTTCGTCTCGTGTATGGCTCTTTTGCGTTCATGGCGTTCATGGTGTCCATGACACATAGCCATCATAGCGCAATGGGTGGCTCGTCCAGATCGCCAATAGTCGTAGGAATCGTCATTCCACCGGTGCGACTCGAAACTACTGGACAACGAACCGAAGGAGGTTTGATGAGCCTCGGGAGCTAGAAGTGCGGCACTGCACCTTCTTTATTTGATCTTATTCGTTGGCCTCGGTCAAAATTTCGGTTGAGCATTCCAACGAAACTAGCCGTCCTAAATGATTTTAAGTGCCCTCGCGGCGTCGCGTCGACTCGACACGAAACGTTGCGGCGGGATTTCGCGAGTCGTACGGGAATCTTGAATCGGGCGAGGATCTACAACTATTTTTCTGCTATCTACACAATAGTTTCTCAGGAAGCAAAACAATCTAGCCTTCCCCATAGCCCATTATAGCCCATTATAGTCCATAGTAGGCCAAATTAATGCCTAGCTAAGCCGCTTCCGGACCGCTTCGGTCGCGGTGTGCTCGACGCCGTCTTGTCTGCTTGTCTAGACTTTTCGGAAAATCCGCATTGAAATCTGGGGTGACATGGTGGGCAAGGTCCAGTTGTTGATCCCATCACTGACTGGTTGGTCTTGTTCGGAATACTGGAGCGTCTAGGCGATGACTGGAAACTCCATCTTTTTTCCCTACTGGTACCGGTAGCTGCAATACGAGGCGGTCAGCGTGGACCCGAAACGTTCGCAGTCTTCTTTCTAGAACACCTTTCACTGTAACCCTATCAACTTTGTTTGTATGGTCGTTACCTGGGTTCTGGTAGGCGAACACTATAGTTGAAGCGGTAACATGCAGCGAACACGCCTATGACACAGCAGCTACCTTTATTCTCTCCAGTTTTCCCCATGTGTACACGCGTGTGTGTACGACATGGTCGACGTTTCTCCATATTCAATATGTTGACTGCCTATCAAGGCACGGCCCCGAATAACCGACTTACCTATGAATGGGAGGTTGATAGATTCAATGTAGCAGCAGTGGTCGCAATTGTGCGAGCGACTTAACATCGACAACCAAAACTAGATCCGGATATTATCATGAAAAGGGGAAGCTCGACAACATGACCGTGAGATAATAGCAAACAATAATCCTACATCAAGCAAGCAGTCATGTTTGTATCTCGCATTGTAGGAGGTAAGCACCAAAGTCGCGCATCAATCAAAACCCGAAATAGCAATAAAATGCTTGGATTGGAGGAATAGGTAAGAGAGTAAGCGCCACTTTTGTGTGTGGGATGAGATTCCGATCCTTTTGGTACGGATATAGATACAAATATTCTATGAATGGAACATGGCTGCCCACCAACATCTACACTGCCATGTAGGTACAGGTACATTCGCGCGTTCGCGCACACATTTGATATTTCCAGAATATCCTAGTGACAGGGTCAAAAATCCGGCCGTTGTGTGACATATTACGTCTGAGTCAGGATGTATCGTAAAACGGTCCCGACGATTACGGGATCTTGACCTTTTGGGGATTTGGGATTTCTTACGCACGTACATATTTTTAGGCAGAAAATCAAACGCCGAGGGCATGTTAGACTTGAAATCCCACCTATACGAGTCGAGCTTTGGGCAGGCGGTCAGGAGAAATGCCGGTATTGGCCAATACAACGAAGAGGAAAAGACATGTTGCGGTCAGCCAACTCACCTTTGGGTCACCCCGTTGGTCAAATAAGGCCGTTAGGTAGCAAGCAAAATCCATAGCTTCGTTGCTAAGCCGCCGAAGCTTGCTTTGCTGACTGCCATCGTGGCGTAGGGACCGAGGGAGGGAGGGCAGCCAGTTGCGAGAGGAGCAGAAGCGTAATTGCTCGATACGACCAACCGTCGTCATCGTCATCAATGCCATCGCCAGGAAGCATGGGAATCGAAGAAGGGAAAAAAGTAACGCAACGGCAAACTATTACCTGTTTTCCCTTTCAACCATTCCCGTCTAACCCCAAAATGAAAACGAAATTGCAATCGAATCCCGAGGGAGTGCTACCTTTTTTTCTTTTCTTTTTGAAATAAGCCGACGCTCGGACGGCACACAGGGGGAATAGAAAGCAAAAATAATAATACCTGGTTGGAAATAATAATAAAAAAACACAATAATGACCAAGGGGGGAATGGATTCAGAACATCGGCTATTATTGAAAATTTAGCGGTTTGCAAATGAAGCAATCAATGCAAGCCAACGGAACGGACGTGGGAACCTCTCCCCGTTTTAACAATCGTGCCCGAGGTGAATAGCTGCCCGAGGGCCAACCAAAAGGGACCAAAGGAACGCCTCCTTCGTCACTAAATTGGGGTGTCATGTGGTGACTGGAATAGTAAGAAAAAACCTGCTATTCCGTCTATTACAAAGTACAATGTACGTACATACGATACATGTGTGACGGATTCTCACACCTCACTCCGGCTCCTCCTTAACTCCTTTACCCCTTCCTACTGCTATCGTAACCCGAAAGCGAAAGCAAAACGGTGGCTCGGCAGAGCAGGATTCCATTCTGCAATTAACGCCCCGTAGCCATTCACGAATGAACCTGCGAGTTTCGGCAACTGATTGCCATTACCACGTTGCGATTTATGGTTATTACTGATGTCGGAAGCCAAGGAATTTTGCATCCTGCTGTAGTAGGAATAATTTTGTTCTTGTAGCATTGTGTGTAGTATATTACTTTACTCACCAGTAATCAACCGAAGCTGGTATTGCTACGTGATACTTCTGACAATATACAATATACGCACAATAATACTCAATAAAGATGTACCATATTAACCTCCGGTTGTCTTGTACGACTCCCCGCTTTCTTGTTCTCCCCAGCTTCCCAGAACCGTGAACGGGTTACGAGCTTACTGTAACCTGAGAGCCGATACGTACGATACGTATTTACTCCGTAGGTACCTAACCCTCGGTAATGAGGGCTTGTAACCTGGATACGAAGCTAACTAACCTAGGATGCTGGATGCGCGCTTGGATGCTTAGGCAAGCGGGAGATAGACCCGGCCGCGGCAGTCGGATAAGACAATCCAATGTGGGACACTTGTCGAACCCTGATCGTCATGATTTCCCACGGATCCATGAAGCCCTGCTCGCCGGGATCCTGGCTCCAGTGCTTGTTGTTTCTGCATGGGGCGTTTCCCGCGGTCTGGTAAGTGTGCAAATCTGTCTTCTCTGGCCGCGATTCAGTGGCTGCCCTGAATCTTTTCCTTCTACGCTGGCTGCTATAGGCTTGTGGGGAATGCAAACGAAGCATCAGGGAAGAAAGAGAAGAAAGCCCAACGGCGTGTTGCCAGCAATGTCGTACATACATACTTACAGATTCCGGGCCTCCTTTGCTCTGGTACGTCCGTAATTGGGAATACAAAAAAAGTAGGTCTTATTTTAGCGGTGTCCTATCCGTTACTTTTTGGGAGGAAATGATTGGTAGGACCGCACTCGGGGATTGCAAGACCGCCTGGATGATGGGCAGGCAGGTAGGATGGACAGGGCCAGGGCTTAGGAAATACAGGAAATACAATAATACAAATGGGTTTCAAAGCTGACTCCTGTTAAGGCGGTCTAGGCTGACTAGGTGTTAACACCCATTCCCTACCTCCCGGCCACACCCCCTTTCTCGCAACCCGCATCCATGACAGGCGGTCTGCCAGGATCTTTCACTGCAACGTGGGGGGGTGAAAAGCGAAGAACGGGGAAACTGGAAAAAATACCAAGGTACTTAGTAGGGCATGTAACAAGTCAGTTTGTACTGTTGCCTCCGTGCGGTGATGATTCACGGCCACCGCTACCACCACCATTACCAAGCTACCACACACCCTTTCCGGTATATATATGTTCTCATGGCCATCCCATGCGCTCCCGTCCCATGCCTCCGTTCTCCCTTGTCTGATACCCCAGATAATTTACCATTAGCCATAGAGCAGTAATACATAATAATCCACCTCGTCCATCCCAGTTCTTCAACTCCACTTGAATTTCTTCAAGCTACTTGACATTACTGCTACTACTGCTACTGCGTCACGATCGTCGACTCACTACTACACGCATACTACTGACTTTCGCAACGCGATCTGCACGGTACACGAACACCGACTAGGAATCACATATTTGGACGAAGCGAGTTATTAGTACAAGCGAAATCAAATACGAACAAAATGTACAGCCCATACGGCTCCTACAGCTCCATGAGCTCCCCAGCTCAACCGATGGAGATCCCCACCAACAGCTACCTATTCTCCTCGCGAGACTACAGCGCCAGCTGCGCGTTCCCCTCGTGGCCGCAGCGATCCTCGCTCACCAACGAAGAGCAAGAACAACCGTACCAACGCGCGTCTTCATACCTCTCCGACGACGATCTATTCCCCTGCGACGGCTTCGAGGATGACGCGCACAGCGTATCTAGTGCGGGCAGCACGACACCCACGTCACCGACAGCAGTTGCCGAGGACGCCGCCGAGATGCTAAGAATCCAACGCGAACAGCAAATGGCAGTGCAACGTGAAGCAGTCAAGTTCCTGCTCAACGAGAAGGAGCGCCGAAGACAACAACTCAAGCGCCAACGCCGTGGCAGTGGCGGCTCGTCGAAGAAGAGCACACCCAAAAGCAAGCAAGCGCATCTCGACGCCATCGCCGAGGCTGGTGAATGAAGCGACCACTCCTAGAACGCGGATACAGTTTATTAATGGTGAGTCACCTTCCTCGGTAACACCTATTGGCCTGCACAGCCTACTAACTACGTCGCCGAATAGATATTTTGGAAACAATTTTACGAAGCAATGTTTATTTTACGATGACACGAAATGGAACGACACGATACGAATTAATACCCATGATACCCTATTATGATACCCCCAATACCACCACCTATCAGCACTAGCACCAACGCCCATCACCGAGAACTCATTATAATGAGTCATTCCCTAATAAGGCAAGACGGAAGGATGATGGTTGGTTGGTTGGTGAGGATGGCTGGCGCGGCGCCGCAGATGGCATTCGCCCCGCGCCACATCTACATCGACTACGATACGGTGAAGACTCGGTCTTACACATTTGCCTTGCCTTACTAGGCATTTACCCAAACGTTGCACACTTACTACATACTTACACCATGGCTCGTAAGGAGAACAATAATATTGGTTTGTCTTGCCTTGCGCCTGGTTACGCCGCCACTACACTGCCCCATCACTACAATCACAATTACAACCACCCCTTTTGGTATCACTGGGAATACGTTACGTGTCAACCAACTTGGTCAAACATTATGGAGGATGGGAAGGACAATGAGGAAGAATGATTTGTCAGTCTGTTCAGTTCAGTTGAATTTTTATTCGGGAATGGTTTGAAGTGTGTTTGTTGTTTGTGCTATGCTATGCTACTGTGGATGGATGAGGGGTAGCAAGTTAGCTATGGATGCTTGAAGGAGGGGCAGAAAGGCAGCAAGTGGAGGATTTCCGCAGTACCCAGAGGCTTTTCCGGAGCAGGGTTCATGTGTTAGATTTCAGAAACTTGTTGTGTGTTGCTGTGTGCCGTGAAGCAGAAAGTTTTAGTTGAGAAAGTGGAGTTTGACCCGAAATGCAAGATGCAGATTCAGATGCAGAAATTTGTCTGGCGGTGAATGATGCAACAAGGTGATTTGATTCGACGGAAGGAGAACTTAGCAAGGCGATTACACATGTTGGGGGGGATGATGGACCGGTGACGAAACTGGAGTTGCCGGATTGGGCACTTTGAACGAATGGAAATCACGGAGGGGCAGGAGCGATGGGGAAGCGATGGTGGAAAGTGAACCCGGGTATTCGGGTTGCGGTGATACCATTGGATAATAATTAAATATCGTTTGCAGTGGCACGAAGTCTCTTTTTTCTTGGTTCTATTGTCAATTGGTCACGTCACGTAATGCATTTATGGATGCCCAGCTTGTGATTTATGTTTGTAATTGGAAGACTAAATAAGTTCTTATTGGGAGCGGTGATAGGTGTTATGATATTTCGCTTGTATTGGGGTTAATCGGAAGAATGTAATTTATATCGAATCACTAAACTCTTTAGAAGTCAAATATTAAACAAGTAATTGTGTCTTGAATTAACCAGTGAAATATCTATTCTGTTGGGATCTTAATGACAAAAGTCTACACTTCAACCCCCAAATGTCTAAGATAGAGGAGGTCTGACTCTAACCACCTTAGCATCAACGTCTTACAACGTCTTCACACATTTTCGGGATTAGCGCGGTGATCCATTTTGGAACTTTTTTTTTTTCATCTTTCCTAATATGTAAATCTCGAATAACTTTATTGACATTAGGGTTTTGTGATGATCGTCCAAGTATGCAGACGGCCCGGTCGTTGACGGACATGGGCACATCACATTTAATAGCATCACGCTACGCGCCGCACGCCAACATCCGGAACCACTAGCTTATTCCTCATTCAAGCAAGCGGTTAGACTAGCAAGGAAGGGAGAGAAAACCCTTACCCTAACTTGGTTATGATGCTATACGATGTTGTGCCATTGCTATTTTGCTACATTGCTCGATGAGGGGTGGGGGTGCACACATACATACACACATACAGAAAAACGACAACTCGGTACGGGCACGTCACTATGCTTGAGTGTGTATGGACGTGTGTGTGTGGGCGGACGTGTCGGTGTATGCGCTGTTGACAGGTGACTCACGAGAATGGAGTCAAGGTGGAGAGTTGGGCAGTTATTATCAACTGCATATGAGGGGCAGAAGCTATCCCAAGAACCCGGTGTTGTCTTGTTGAGTTTCTTCACGAGAGGGATGGAGATGGGTTGGGGGATGGCCGCTGCTGCGTGGGAGGTAATGCAAACCACCAATCGGTGGATGGCGTTCTCTAGTGATCGACTATGATTTGTCGTTTTCTTGGTTGGCCCTTGACCGCCGGAGCACCCTCGAAAGCTTTCGTGGATCGGTCTCGTTTGGTACTCGACTACCTGTTTTGGGCCATTAGGTTTCCGTGATAAGAGTCGAGACACACAGTTGGGCAATACGATGACGAGGGGCAAAAGTGCAAAGACGGAAGTTGTTCTGGCTGAGTGAGCTGGAACGGACGGCGAGATCTGTACCCCACATCCACCGGATCACCTTGTTCGTCTTACTGGTAATTCTGTGACCGGCGTGGCGCCCATTATCTCGCGCTAATAGAGCTCTCTATCATTAATGGGCAGAAACGCAACCTATTACGGTCTTTAAGCTTACCCTTGACCGGATCGGCGCAAGGTCAGCAGACTCAGCCTCCGTATATGAGACAAGTTCAGCTATAAGCGGAGTAAAGGCGGAGAGCTCGATCGTTGTGAGGCCGACTTACTAAGTATTATCGATACAATCATCTACCTTACTTACATAGATTAAGTAGGTGGGCTGGTGGGTAGGTAGTTGGCTGATAAGATGCGCGCTGGCTGCGAGATAGTCGTGACGAGTGCCCGGAGCCCGGAGCTTTCCCCCCGCATGTGATACTCAAGCAAGGGTGAGGTTCGATGCACATCTTATCCATTTTCATGGTGTAGATAGGCTGTTTTTGTAAATCAAGTCTTTCTTGAAAGTCATCACAGACGCGGGGGTTGAATCGTCAACGAACTCTTAAGATGCTCACCTAAGACGATCACATTCTCGATCGCGTTATGTAAATCTATGCCTCATAACCTTGGTATCTACCCGAGTAAGTAGCAATTCGTAACAACACAAGACGAATAGTCTATCCGCATGGTCTGATAAGAAACCGGGACGGGACGCATCAATGTTCCCGTCCCGTGTCCTTCCCGTGGTCCGTCGCTTATATCCTTGAAAAGCGTGGCTTATTCCCTCAGAGAACGTGGTACAATACTAATTATATAGGTGTTGCAATTGCTTTTTCTTAGCATGAAGTTGGTTATTAAAGGTTACTACGATCCTTTCAGTAATTATGTCAACGCGTCAACCGCTACTACGGCAGCGAGGCACAGCGACTTCGGCATGTTTAAGAAATTATAAGGTGTTGTCGTTGGCTACCAATCGAGCTGACGCATGGAACAGGGTGAAGTCGCACGGACATATCACAGCTTAGAAGAGGCCTCAACCTGAGAGAGCCTTGCAGCCTTGCAATATACTAAGGTGGTATCGATCATTTCGTTTATATAACTCGTCTACACCGTTGGTATTCCATTACCAAGTTGGTTCTCTCGATATGGAGGGTAGATGGCAATCCCGACTACGATGAAGAGATTTAGAGGGGAAATGGGGGGTGATCATTCGATAAATATCAGGGCAGCCCCTGGTCTGCATCGTATCTTGGGGTATGACAATATGCAAGGGACTGAAGAGGTGAGGAGAATGCGTGATCGGAACGCCTAGCTACGAAATGAGGCTGCTACTTGACGGGAATGAAACATGAGTTATTTCATGTACCTACTATAATAGGTATTCAGGTGGGTAGGTCAGTCTACCTATCCAGTTAACTCGTTGACTGGATATACCGACATGCTTTCATACAATTTCCATACATGTAAGAACTTGTGAAGAAGGTCGCTTTGGCCGCGACCTCTGCGGGGTCGACATCAGAAATGTTCCTAATGCGCGACACCATACCTGCAACCCCCGAACCGATCCCAGGTATCGGGTTGTACACATGGCTTGAGAATACGAGTGTTCCTGGTAAACTGCCTATGAGGGATTTCACATAAAGTGTTTAAGAAGTTGTGCGAGCATAGAACATGTAATACAAGAATCCCCAGCTTTCTCGACGGATGTCGGTTATGAACCTCTCAACAACACGTGTGTAAGTATGTATGTCTTATGTCTTTTAGTAGGTTGCTGAAGATCTGCATGGCCCTATGTACATGAGTTAGTTTCTAAGCTGTTGGGATAAACAGGCGGCTGACGTTATCGGCATAAGGAAGAAAAAATAATACATTGTCCTTATAATGGTTTTGCTAGGATTCCCGGAATCCGATGTGACGATAGGCTCCTAATAATATGCTCAGATGGTATGCCATCTAATGCCATCCCGTGTCGCTTTGACATATTCATCTGGCTATCTATCTAAGTCATGTACCTACGAGATCTTGCTTCTACTTGATTCATGCACTACATAACTAGCTTGCGTGTTCATCGCAATGAAGCAATATATTATGCATATCTGGATCTGACTATCTTTCCTGATCGAGCTTGGGTTCCAGCTGCTACCAGCCTCAACTTTCCCCATCTTTCCAACCTCGCGCTCTTGAACTACCTCTTTTACTTCGTAACCATTCCTATTTCAACTACAGATACATCTCGTCAGAGTTGACGATTATCTAGCATCGGCAACACGGCATTGAACTGTGGTGTCTCCTAACATTTCCCCCCTAATTCAAGGTTAAGTGCGCAAGAGAGAGGGGAGGAGTAGAGAAGAGAAGAAGCGCGTACCACACGTGAGGTAACGCGGATAGGATGCTGGTACCCATCGGTGAGGAAACGAGAGCCACGACGTCTGATGTACTATCTACCTAATGTAATGTGTGTGTGATATGCGTGCGTGCCGTGTGCACATGGGATGTTGATCTTGCTTTAGGTATCTATGTAGTGGGGTTTATGGTCATGGTAGCTTATGACTTCTTATGGTCAGCTTCAACCTTTTGAAGAAAAATACCCTTTTTCGTAGCTGGGTTGGACGGGCTGCTAGGTTATGGGTTGGATCACCCCTGAAAGAATGGGGTGGGTTAGGTTGGGATTATTCCATCGTGGAGAACGGATAGTGGAGAGAGAACAGAAGGATTAGGTACATGGTGCTAGGTATCCAGGTATCTTAGGGAGGTACCGTACCTGACCATGCCCTGTAAGTTCATGTAAGTGGTGCAAGTGTTCAGGTACGTACCTAAGGTAAATACCCAGGTACCTAAGTAATTGTTGTATAATGCTTTACGAGTTTATTAGGTATGAATTAGTATAAAACAATATAGGAAGCGTAATGCATTACATTATGATCCATTGTCAATTCATGCCTTCTTTTGTTTCAAGGAATTGGTATTTGAGAGGAATTAAAGAAAGAAAAAAAGAGAGGCTGTTGTTATGTCGAATCGCTATTCTAAAGTTTTGACCCTTGCATCTATCTACCAACGAATTGTCTCGTCACTCTTTTTTACCGCCGCGCCAAGCCTTAGTAAATGCATTAGAACCAATCATCCATCCGGCTTAGGGACCCCCTTGCCGACAACTGGCCAATCCTAGGCTGTAACCGCTCTTTCCACTACAGTCGGCGCTACTGCGAGGAACGACGTTCGTCAACATCCATTTCTTACTTGTCCCATCTTGTCCATGCTAACCCACTTAACCCATTTACCTTTTTACCCAACCACAATTCACTATTCGCTTTTTCCTTCACTGCGAACAGAAAATAGCCAAATGACATTCTTTGCGCTAGATTTCCCATTTACCACTTACCACACTAGTACCATCGAATAAGGGGCACGAAACCATCGCTGTTGAACATTACGAGCCACTAAGTAATTACAGGGCTATAAGCTATGGCTGGCGACCTACGCAACAATTCCCGGTTGGGCCTCCCTGTATAGTGGTGCAATGGCTTTCCAATGAGTTCTGAAAGCTCATTGAATGTGAACTGCGCCTTAAAATCTCAGGTCCTTAAACCACACACCCTTCCCCCCCAGATGTTCCTTTTCTCCAAAGGAACTCGGGGCCATACAATCCCGAGGGGAACCGCCTCGCTGGATATCTGCTGATGCTGCAGACAAAAACAAAAAAAAATTGCGCCTCTTCTGCCCGGTAGATTACATGGCCGGACGCCGCGTAGGCCTAATGCGACTCGTTCCTCACCTTAACATCTTGAGAATTCCTATTTCTAGCTATATGTCTAATATGTATGTCGGCAGCCAAGTGGCGAAGCTAGGCGAGCCTCATCGCCCCCAGAAAAGAGGCCCAGTAAGGTCACAGCAGTGCCAGAGATACAGCAATGAAAAAAACAAGAGGCGACGCTAATTATACCTCAACCTCGAATTGTAGTGTACCTATTCATGTACACTATTATACCCTTCCGGTTCTGTCCCTTGTCTTGCATGATCCATCGCACTACTGTACTCAGAACGATTCGATCACCTTGCTACCCTGAATTGCACCCTGTCCACTCGGCAGGCGATGGCTTGATCAGACCCCTGCGAGATACTGCCAATGTATATGTAGAGACCTGGGCTTAGCCGGACCCGCATCCGCTCTAGATATGGCCCCCCGGTTCTTTACTACGTAGTATATGCGATCTGGGCCATTGAGAGCTCAGAGTCAACTCCTCTTTAGGCGCTGGACCTGATGAACAGCGATATACGTCTTATTTGTTCTCGCACACCCCCAAGCTTCGACCGAGCGTACCGTTCCTCTACTTCCTCTCTTAATCCCAACTGCTGCTGTCCCTTTTTCTTTTTTATTTCTGGTATACGACCCAAGGGATCTTCTCATGCAGCAGACAGGCGCCTCCCAAGCCATCCTGATTCAAATATAGTCGCACTGCCGCTACCGTAGCACGCTTCCACGAGTAAATAGTCGGATTAACACGCTTCTGTGCGACGTTGCCGATTTCTTCCCTCCACCTCTTGGGGTCCCTTCTTTTTTCCCCTTATTAACAACATCTAACCTCCACAACCTTCCCTTCCCCCCCTTTTCACCTAGGGCCTAAAAGGAGACAGGAGCATCAGCACCCTTCCGAGCCGGCGCAACATAGCAGCAGTGCTATCGTGGAACCTCGACAACTTTTCTAGGAAGCTAATTTGCGCATCCGGTTCTCGTGGGTTCGACATTGTAGCTCTGGCACGAGGAACGTGGGAAAGAGAAAAGGTCAATTCAATCCGGGAACGGGCAGGTCCAGGTGTTGCGTGTGATGTTCGGGGGCCGAATTGTGTAGCGCCCCCGCTTGCTTGGACACTGGGAGAGTATTATCTCGCGGATATACAACGCAAGTTGAGGTAAGTGATGTGTCCAATTTTAGATTCTTGCGAACCAGCCTGATCTACAAGAGCCTTTCCGCCCCAATTCGCCCACACATACTTGGCAGATGTGTGTGGTCGGTCCATCGTGTTATATTACGGTGGCATTAACACACTGATAGGTGACTAATAGCTACGATGTCGTCTTCGAGCTACCAGACGATGCCGAGGCATCGCAACACATCCACAAGTTCCGCCGGGCGCTCCTCGAGGAAAGGAAAAGTGGCTGCCGCCGAACCGAGAGATTTCACATCGCCAACTGCTCTCGTCAGGCATTTTGAGCCAATAGCAGCGACAGCTTCTATGCTGTTATATGGACGTAAGTAGCACATTAAATCGTCAATTGCTAGACTCGAGAGACTAACTCATTCTATAGAGGGCAGCTCGGTAGTTGTTGCGCATCACGACAGCCTTACGATCGAAAGGCGGTTTTCACGACATTCCGCAGAAATACATCTGTTAGCCGTGGATACGCAAAGTGATATAGGAGCTGGTCGATTGGTGGTTAGTTACGATGCGGATATGACAGCTATCGTATGGGACCTGATGGCAGGAGATGAAGTTGCTCGGTTCGCTTCGTATGAAACCCTTACATGCGCAGCTTGGATGCGGAGTGGAAATGTCGCATTTGGTATGTCTCTTTTGAATGAATATATCGTCGATCCCTAACTAATATCGTGGCTGCAGGCAACACGCAAGGAAATGTTATACTATTCGAGCCCACAACATCAGAGCATATCTCTGCAAGGACAATCGACCAAATACCAATTACAGCCTTAGCACCTGCAGCCGATTGCAGGACCTTCGCCATTGGGTTAGTTCCTATTCTTCTCCTCTCCTAAGTCCGATCTGGTGTAACTTAATAGGACCCCTTTTGTACTAATTCATATAAAGATATCAAAATGGCTCCCTCTTAATTGCTACACTTCAACCGAGGTTTACAATTCTACATAATCTGAGCACGTCAAGGGCACCGTCACCGATTGTGAATCTTGCGTGGCATGCCTCATCGGCGCGCCAGAAGTCGGATATGTTGGCTGTGCAAACCAATGATGGCGATCTTAGGGTCTGGAGCGTGGCGAAATCCCTTAGTAGCGACGATGCTGCCAAGGTAGTCCGAATATTGAAACGCACGGAGAATTATGTTAATGGACCCAACTGGATGGGTTGGTCTAAGAACGGTCGCATAATTCAGTACTCGGAAGGGTAAGGTCCACACCACACCATGCATGAGCGCACACAGATACGCGCGCGCTAAGTTTGTACAATGCTAATGATATCATTCGGCATAGCGAGACACTTTCATGGGATGTTCGAACAAAACACATCACTAATGATGGCATCCCGACCCTTGAACATGTTCGTGGCCTTGCCGTGTATGGACCAGCTGCAACCCTTTTCACCCTTGGTGCCAACAACACCGTCCAACAGTTCGACCTGAACACGCCATCGATGATGGTTGCTAACGTCCAGCATCCTGCTAATCTTTTGCCACCGTCTCCGCCAGTGTCGATCGAAGAGCAGCCTGAGCAAGGAGTCGTGATCATCGGCACATCCGAGTCTGACTCGTCACTTCCCATTAACCCTGAAATTTCCGAAAGTGATGATGATCATATGTCGCCATTTGCGAGGATTGCCCGTGGAACAGATATTACCCCTGAGACACTCGAACAGGAGAGATACATGACAAGGAGCCCGGCGTCCACAAGCCAATCATCGACTGTTTCAAAATCGTCTACCGGCTCCGGCACTAGAGGCAAATACCAGGCTTCGGTCTTGTCACGTGGAATGACCGAGAACACTTACATCTCTGCCGGATCTTCTCTGAGATCTTCTGCTAGGCCACCGTACGGCGATAAGGACGCCTACTCGCTTAGCAGCATTAGCTCTGCCTCGATAACTTCGTCTTCTCGTTCTCATCGTCGACCTTCTCGACTAAGGAATGAGGTTCTGCCCAGTCCCGAGGAGTCTAAGGTCCATGATCTCTTCAAGTACACAAGGAGCCGTCTTCATGATATCCCTTACAAACATGCTCCTTTGGTTGACCAGACTCGCCTCACTAACGATGACCTTCGACGGCAGATGCTTAGCACTATCTTTGGGTGGAACGGAGAGATTGAGGATCTTATTCGTGATGAGATGGCACGGCACCCATTAGGCTCCGCTGGCCGTATTCTTCTTTCGAAATGGCTTGGTGACATCGACGCGGATGTGATGACGGCGACGTCGGAGAACATGACTTCGTCGGACTGGATGTTGTTGGCTCTGAGTGGGATTGGAGGTACTGCCTCCCAACATAAGCTGGGACGAGCATACGTGCAGCGTCTTCTGGAGAGCGGTGATGTGCATGCGGCAACGACAATTATGATTGGAATGGGTGATCACAACGATGCTATTGAGATCTATGTTTCGCACAAGAAGTACATGGAAGCTCTCATCCTGCTTTGCCTTTTCTTCCCTAGTGTCTGGGAGCGACAGACTCAGATTATCAAGAAATGGGGAGAGTTCGCTGTTCAACACGGTCAACAACAGCTGGCAATCCGATGGTAAGTTCTTATGCAACGCTAAGAGTAAAAACACACAGCACTAACAATTTCGAACAGCTTCGCTTGCACTGGAATAGAGTCCACTGAGCCCTGGACCTCACCATCAGCAGCGCAACTGACTTTCCAGAGTATGAACCCGAGTATTCCCGAGGTTTTGAGCCCACCTTTATCTCCTCCTGACCTGAGCCGTGGACCACAACGCAGCATTGCAAAAACATCAGCGCTCAAGCTCATCACCTCGTTTGGTGACCAAGGGAAGAAGTCTAAGTTCTTTGCAACTGGTGGTGACGGAGGCGCGACCCCCATCGCTGCCGGTGTTACGCCAATAGCTGAGTCTGCTGTGTCTCCTGGTGGACGTGACCCCAGCACCGCATTTCTTCGTCCCTCGCAGCGAAGCGCCCTCAATACCCCCGCCAGTGCAAAGCCTACCACACCCGGTGGATTTGGACGACAACGCTTGCCCTCTATTGGAGAGATCCCTCACGATGCTATCCCCCGTGACCTTCGAGAAGGACGGAATCTGCCGACACCGCCAAGCGACCTTGCCCCTGAAATGACCCAAACTCATCGTGCCCAGCATTCTTACAAGGGCTCTCTTGACGAGCAATACAGCGCTGGGCTGTCACTCTCTAGAGCTGCTAGTGCAAGCCCAATGATGATGAAGGACAGCAACCGCCGCAGAGACCCGCCTCCTCCCTCTCCTTCCCCGGCGTCGATTCAGGCGCTGATGCAACAAGGTCGCACGAGCCGAAATGGCGCTCGGGAGCGGAAGCCCGAAGGAATGGAGCTAAGGATTAATTCTATTGAGGCTACGATGAGTGGCGATATAGCTTCCCCTGAGCAATCAGTAGCATCCTCCACTCGCTTCCATTGGCCCACTCGCCGTCGTGGCCCAGGTTCCATTGCCAGCTCTGTTACATCTCAATCTAGTGCAGGCCGAAGCTACAAGACCGACCGGACTGGTCATGGCCAAGGAGGTCGTGGTCTGAATGAATACATCCACAGCTTGGAGGCTGCTCAACATTATTCCAAGAAGCAGAGGAGCCGCGAAAGCAGTCGCCACCGCCAGGAGGAGAGACATGGTCGAAGCCGTGAAAGCAGCCGAAACCGCCAGACTACGCGAGACAATTCGGAGGACAGAGGTAGGGGTATCTCCCGAAACTGGACTCCCAAACCTGCCAAGCGATCACCCACTTCGCCCGTGCCCATGTCCCCCGAGGATCTCATCAACCTAAGCACTCCGCAACATGTTGAATCGAACGAGGAGTTCGAGTCTGGGGAGCCATCCACTGTCCGAAAGGCTAGCCAAATCCGACGATCTTCGCCCCGAAGCACTCGCATGTCCAGCCGTGCTTCCAGTCGAACCGGTCGACAGAGGAGCTTGGAACGACGACCGCCAGCGTTAGAACTTCGCGGCAGGAGTAAGAGCCGTGGTGATGGTTCTATTGCGAGGTCACCTTCGTCGCCATTACCGCTTTCAGCTCCTATGCATTTCCTTGGGGGATCGGATGATGAGGATGACTACCGAGCTGCTGTTGTCGCACAGGAACAGTTCCGGACCAGGCACAACCGCAGTGGCCAGAAGGATCCCGCTTCGCCTGCCGTATCACGGGCTCGCGATCGGTCGCAGAGCCGCAAGAGGAATAAGACACCCGGAGACCAGGACCCGATGCCTGCGATTCAAGTAGCACCTAAGCAGCAACCGCTATTGCAACCTTTGCAATTGCAGTTACAGCCACAGCAGTATCAGCAACAGACGAATGCACCCCGTGCTGGAGACCTCAAGATGATCTCAGCTGAAAGGCAATTGAAGAAAGAGGCTGCAGCCCGTGAACTTGAGGAACGCCGCAAGTCACTTGCGCGCCGCCCCTCAGCGCCACCGATCCCTCACCCAGATGACTTGTCCCCAATTATTGCTCGCCCACCAAGTGCCTTTGAATTACCTCAGACCACTTTTATCCCTCACAAGGATATGCCCGCTAGAAGCCACACTGCTGATCCCCACAAGAGCTCACACACTCGCAGCGGAACCGTCCCCATGATCGGTCTGCCAGCGACGCCCAGGGCTATGCGTCTTCAATTTGAGACAAGCAAGTCAAGCAAGTCGAACAAGCACAATGTGGCCGTACCTCCCATCCCTGCTGCTTACAAGTCCTCTTCATCGCCGTCGTCTTCAGGACAACCATCTCCTGATCGCCCTTTGAACATCAGCAACTCTGCTAACAACTCACCGACCAAGTCTTCCCCAACTAAGGTGTCAGAGGCAAACGCCGAGTCAACCCCGCCGTTGACTCTTCTTCCATCTACCGTGTACTCGCCTCCCTCAAGGCCCAACATCGCGCGATGCATGTCCGCTCCTATTCCCGAGGAGGGAATGCAGGCAGGTGGTCAGCAACCTCGACGGGGTTCCGTCTCAACTAGGAAAATGAGCGCGGATGCTACTGCGGGCCTGCCTGGTATTGAGGAGAGATTAGGAGCTGGCCGACACTCGAGACGTACGTCCCGAGATGACCAAATCCCACCTCCGCCTCCACCACCACCAGTTCTAAAGGAGCTTCAGCATCTAGCTACCCCGCCCCCTCCACCCCCAGCACCTCTACCCGGCGCGAGACCCAACGTATACACGCAACCATCGGGATCTGGGACTATTGAGATCGTAATGGACGAGGACGAACAGCAGCAACAGAACATCCCACCACCTCCACCACCGCCTCAACAAGAGCAGCCACAGCAACCTCCTCCCCTAACCATTGTACCCGTCTCCAACCCTCCTTCGTCGGCAGCAATAGCCGTCTCCCCTTCATCGCGTAGTGGGCGTGGACACACACGTGGCAGTAGCTTTACAGACAACAGTATCGCAGGGCGCATCAGCCGAGCGACCGAGCGCATGCGGTCTGCTAGTCGCGGACGCACCAGCTCGATCCTTGGAAGCCGAACTAAGTCGCCCGATACCGCAAATATGCCATATGAAAGCGTGCCACCTCCTGTAAGCATGCACAACAACGGTGGTGGGTATACTTCGCCTGTTGATAGGCAATCCCAACAGCTGCAGGGAGTTGAACGACATCCTCGTGAGGTCCGCGCCGCGTACCAGGAACGCGAGTTCGGCAGTGGGTTGCATGCTAGTGAGATGATCTAAAAGTGCCTCGGACGTCAATGAATCATTCCCTCCTCAAAATCCTCTACTCGACAACTCATCCAAATCGTCGTTGTCTTTATATCTCTCTACCACGCCTTCTTATTCATTTTCGCTATTTTGGACTCACTTATGACGCATACTTATTCGCTTTTTGAATTCTTCTGCATCTCTTGCATCCTTTTGCATGGCGCCGGCGTTTTATATATATACTTGATATACACATGTATCTATCTTGTTCTTTTCTTCCTTCGCACCGATATTCGGCTTCATTCCAATTGATACCACTTCTTCCTCGGAATTCGACTTTTTGTAACGCCCGCCATTTTGAGCTTTTTTTTTACTCTACGCATGCCTACTACGTTAGCAATAACAGTGTTTCGCTTCACGGCTTAGGAATCCTGGGGAATGATTGTATTCGAACCTACCTAATGGCAATGAACCGCGGGTGGGGAGTTGAGATTTGGAACGACGTTAATACCACTTCATCTTTTATTTTTTTGACAACGATGCTTCTTTTACCTACCGATTGATCGACTTCTTCGCTTCTGATATGCAACTTGTATACTTCTTTTCTTGTTCTCCGACTCGAGACGGGGATTGACTGGAAAAAAAGAGATTCGTCAATACCCCTTTATGTTTATGACCTTCACGTGTGCGAGCATGGTGGATGGTACACCTTTTGAAATCATCACGACTTATGACCTGTTTTGGAGATGGAATGGATGGATGGATGGACAGATATTAAGACAACGAGGGCAACTACTTTGGATGGTCAGAGGAAAAATGAAACCGTAGAGGACTACTACCTACCTTACCTACCTTGGTACGTTATGGTGGAACGAAGGAGAGGAGGATTGACGAGGGGGATGTGTTCATGTACAGAACGAAGGCAGCAAGCAGCATATCTGCATGGCTATCTATGATCATGACCTAACCGAACTGGAGAGAAAGAGACTTAAAAAAAGGGGACGAAAAGAATAAATAAGTCCCTAAAAAGAGAAGACGCGAAACTAAAAACAAAAAGTCTGACGACTAAGAATGGTGCTGCCTCACGGCATACTGTTATTTTTCGCTTCTTACTTTACCTACCCCGCCTACCTTACTTACCTATATGACGATGTTGTTATTGTTACGTTTTGCTTGCTGGTCGAGGGTTGGTGATTGAGGAAGTAGTGGTTATGCATGAATATTTCCTTGGAGTATGTTGTTACATAGTATTATACCTCTTAGTTATTGCGTATTTACCTAGGTAGTTAATTAGGAGTTGATTCCTAATTTTGATTTGACCGTTCGTTTAAAGTAATATTTGGTGATGTTGTGGTGGAACAACTCCATCCTCAAAAGTTGACGATAATGACGTTGGGGTTCGAATCCCTTCGTAACTGCGTTTTAACAAACAAAAAAGATTATCTCTGGTAGACGATTAAAATAGTGAATATCCAGCATCTAAAATCTAAAGTTAGATAATTTTATACCCTACGTAGGGGTGGTAGAAAATGATAAAAATGCAAAAAATAACAGAGTTGACAATCTCCATCGCTTTCCACTAGCCCAAATCCCCAGGCCAACGTGTTCCGCCACACCATACGACGGTGGAGATACTCTGCAGAGTGAAACCTCCCTGAAGTTTGCTCTCCATTTCCTAGGATTAACTAGTCAACACTGGTTACCCAAGTGGATAGATGATCACCGCGGTATTTGCAGCGGGCGCGGCCCGGGGGTTCTTATGGAATTGGGATTAGCGGAAAGCGAATTTCAAGCGCCTTCGCCCAATTGACCATTACAGTCAAGAAAAGTTGCTTTTACTTTGGCTTATATACCATGTAAAGGAAAAACTCCGGGTAAACTTTTGATATCGGCAGTTAGAGCTCCGACTATTTGCAGGCCCCACCTCCAATTAATCTTCGGGATAAAGCTCCTTGTCGACTTTCAAGCTCCCTAGCTTTGAACTAATTTCGATATACTATGTGCTGATACTTTCCAGGCAATGATTCTTCGTTATAATGCGCTATAAACCAGTGCATAAATGTTAACAACAATACCATACCTGCGCATACGGCGCCCCTCGCCCACTACCGCTGAATTTGTCGTTTCAACACTCCCACCACCAACTATAGCACTGCGACTCGCTCTCACTGCCGTATACTTCGTGCGTCTCGTGTTAGGCCTCGCTGTCCTACTCTTGTTATATTCAGCTTGGGCCCAGAGCCCATACTCCCCTGCTTCTGCGACAACGAACCCTCTAGACCCATCGCAAGCACCTACATCGCCAGCATATGCAGATACCACTCCCTCCGACACTATTGCCCCCAATGCTGCCGCATCCAATTGTGTCACAAACGACAGCCCTCTGTTCTCTCTTGCTGGCCTCCAACATACTCTACAAATAGTCCTCTGCTCCCGCGTAGGGACTCTCTCTACATCCCTCGCAGCCTCGATTCCCCCCTGGGTTCTAATCCCCACCTCGCTCGCTACGCTTTACCTCTTATCCCTACGTGTCGGCATCGAAGAACGACTCCTCGTCCTCCGCGGTCTCGGGATCCAGACGAGTTCTAGCGGTGCGACTATCTTCAGTTCCTTAAAGACACGGTTTATACCCACCGACAAGATACAAGATGTCCTGATCAACGAAGCCTTCCGCGGGTTCGAAGTCCGGCATTATTTGGTCGTAGTTGTGGAAGGGGAAGAGCATGTGGTAGTTGTGTTTCCAAGATTATTACCGCGTCCGAGGATCGTAGAGAAGGTTTGGAGGGGTGTGAGGGCGTGTCTGCATGAACACGATGGAGAGCTGAAGCGTGATGGCAAGAGTTAGAGACGCTTGCTATTATCGGAAGAAATGAGTAATATAGATTGGGTATAATGAGATTGGCGTACGGTATGGACTTTTATGGACTATGATACCCCAAGAACGCTGCGTAGCTTAGATATCTACAATGCACAATGTGTTATATTCTCTTTTTGAATTCTCCTATTCAGCTTCCTCCTCTAGTGCCGCTACTTCTGGCGGTGGTTCACCCGCCGCCGCTGCAGCCTCTTCCCTTTTCCTTATAAATGCTTCCCTCATATCCGCCGCGTCTGCGTATCCCTTCCTCCTCGCTTCCTTGTCGAAGGTTTCTTGTGGCGAAGGAAGTCTCGGCTTTTTCAATAGTGGCTGATACTTGCCAGCCAGACGCTCCTTATCACCACCTTCAAATATCCTCGTCGTGGTGGTGGGTATATGCAATGGTGCTTTGGGGTCTCTACGGAGGTTGATATCCGCTTGTGAGGACACTATATTTAGGAGCTGACTGGCGAGCAACTCGTCCATTTTCTTTTCACGCCAGTACTCCCACACACCACCCAAGAGACCCGTTATTCCGTGCTGGTACAGGGGGTTGTCCTCACCTACATATGCCCAGTCGAGCGCATTCTGAGGTTTCTCGGGCCTAGGGAATTTGCAATCCCATAATACTAACGGGATTTCGTCCGCAAGTTGATAGTTTGGTCTTCGTGGCTCGGCTTCGATGTCTAGAAGCCTGTCTATCACCGATGGGTCTTCTAACCCCTGACCCACCATAAAGATAACCGATGCCATGCATCGTATTTGATGCCATAAGAACGCAGTTCCTCGCACGTGGAAATAGTACACCTTAGGCAACTTCTTCAAACCGGCATCTGACGTCGACGTAGGCTTAAACTCATCACGATCTAGGAACGGCAGTGCCGTTTCCGCATCCTCGACCTCCACTATATCCGCCTCAAACACTTTTCGCTCGAAATTGATATTAAGTTTGCTCGGATCGACTCGGCAGAAATTTCGAAAATCATGAGTTCCCTCAAATTTCTTGGCGGCCCGTCGCATAGCCTCAATGTCTAACCAGCCGCCCTTTACTTTGGTAGTAGCAGTCCCAGCCGGGTTCTCGAGGCTCTGTGGATATGGTGCGAACGCCGGTTGCGTGAAAAAGTATCGGTATTGTCTTTCTCGGCAATCGTGCCTCGCAGAGAAATCCGCCGCTGTCGTGGGGCACCACGCTAGCATCCTTATATCAGGCGGTAGGAGTTTATTCAAGATCCTGCAATACGGCAACTCATCCGTAAAGTCATCGAACTCGCGTTTCTCCTCTGCCGCACCACCCTCCCCTTCCACATTCCCACCATCTTCCCGTTCACCCTCTGGCGCCTCCTTAGGCAAAGGCCTATTACTCCTCACCCTCACAGCAATGACCTGTCCAAACGCACTCACACCCCGATCCGTGCGTCCACACTTCGAGTACTCGCAACTATCCCAATCAACTACATCAGGGTTTTCAGGGAAAATAAGACACGCTTTGACAAACGCCTTCCACAACTCCTCTTCGATCGACGGTAGATTGGCGTGGACCGCGAACTCGAAGCCGCCGTACCTTTTGCCCAAGTATGCGAGTTTGAACGCCACCAGCCGTGTTGAGTATTTGGATGAATCGATCTTGCGCTCTATTTTCTTTTTCTTTGGGGGGCTGGGTGTAGCATTATTAGTACTAGACCCCTCTGCTGCCGTGGTTGTGGTAGAATCCTGGTTATGCGTCTCAGCGCGGACGAGATTCGCTTCCAGCGTCTGTATGCGCTTTATGAGAGCATCCTTCGTCCATCTTTCATACGCTGCTTTCTTTTTATCCATTTTGACTCTAAGCGCAATCAGGCCTGTTGAAAATCCGCATCGGGTCTCTCGACGGGAAATAGTAGATATGAATCCAGACGTTAGAAGCCGCTGGCTATAACATTTCTTGAGGGATTTCATTCATTCCCGCCGCCAAAATGTGCCCGTTGTGATGAGTCCTTTAATGCTCTAGTGTGTTCGTGCCTGAAATATTTATGAGTAAAAGCTGTATGTCAGTATAATAGTGGGCTTATCGATAGTGGTACTCACTAAAAGGCGGCTTTAAGTACCTGGAAAGCCCCGGAATTATAGCGTAACATGCTGCATCTCAATTGTACCTATTCACGTTCACCTCGAGTTCTCTACAGTTAGCTTAGATTTTTATCAAATTCCAAACGCTTAAATCGTTATCATTGATGGATGACGTGGTAGTCAAGGTCCTCCTTCTCGGAGATGAGAAAGTAGGAAAATCAACATTTCTATCGTATGTGTAGGTTCCAGCCCAGTACAAACCCCTTTGCTAATGAACTGTAGACGAATTAGTGGGGGTAGCAGGAGTCTCGATGGTCACGCCCAAATCACTTTATTACGAGACATAGATCAGCCATTTATTTTCGAAGTTACAAATAGGAGGCGCAGATATTGTCTAGAATTCTATGATACGTCTAGTCCAGAGGACTGGCGACTCCTGCAGCCAGATCTCGTCTTGATATGCTATGATATCAGCCAGAGGCTATCTCTCATCGACATGCAAAGAGTTGTGAGTCTAACCCAGACCCCATCCAAACCTTCATGCCTCTAATTTCGCCTTTCTAGTGGATCAAGCAGGTCCACAGCACCTTCCAAACCAGCGATGGACTCCCTATCATGGTCGTCGGCCTCAAGAGAGACTTAAGGTCTGAAGACGATCCTAACGGTATTATATATCCTCAAGAAGGATACAAGGTGGCGCAAGAGATGAGGGTCGATAAATATGTTGAATGCTCGGCTGTTACAGGGGAGCTTCTCAAGTTGGCCTTTGAGGAGATCTGCAATACCGCTGTAAAGACATCAACCGCGGATGGCGGGCAGAGCGAAGGCGGATGTGCGATATTGTAATTCCTTGAGACGGTGGCTGTCCTGTATATCATCTTGCCGCTTTTATCGATCGTCCGGAATCCGGAAATTGGTTCATATTGGCACCTTGTGTGACCAATATTTACGCCATCGGCCCCCATTGACGAAACCCCTTCCGTAGTTTTAACAGCAAGATCCTGTGATACCCCATTCCGTTCATAGAATAACTTTTTTCGGTATCGCATCATACAGAAATTTTAGTCGTGAATTATCGGATATTTAGCGGCATCGCGGAAAAAATTGCTCCCGTCACTGACCGTCCTCAACATCTCCTTGGCCGTCTTCTTCCAGCTCCTCGGGGAATTGCCCAAGAATCTCGGTAGTAATGTCAATAATTTGTTGCTGCTCATCGCTGCTAAAACGGGATTCCATATCTTCGATAACAGTATTCAGAACCGGAACGTTAGTTGGACGAATGTTTAAGAGCATAATTAATTCTCCTTTGCTAAGTTGGTATTGGCGCAATCTCTTGATCATCTGGGGAATAGCTGTAGTATCAAAAGGTAAAGGTTTCTGACTCAGAGGACCTGGAGGCGACTCAAAGTATTGCAGCACCTATGCTTGGATTAATGAAAGTGTGTACGTATGCAGGTGAAATAAAGCCAATCTTACCTCTTGACGTAGTGTTTCAAGATTAGCAGGACCCTTGCGCTTTTGATCTTGATATTGCTTCGCTTGGTTGTTTAGAAATGTGTAGACCTCGACATTGGTCAATACGGCTGATTGAGCTTCTAAAATCTTCATCGTGACCTTTTTTTTTTCGACACCACCCCAGCGCAATAATAATTGGTGAAGATTTAGGAGAGTGAATAGTATTGAATGAAGATGGGGATTTAAGAAATGAGTTCTTCAGTGTAGGTAAACCTTGCCTTGTCACGTACTGTGTGCGAAGTTTGTAAATTGAATGGTCTAATTCTAGTTTAATTTTCTTAGCAAGTATCGATGTACATTCCGATCGCACCCCACCCATCGGCTCCACTAGCAATTAAAGTTCCGTCCGTTCGGATAGGTACCTAAAAATAAGCATTTAGGTGTCCGTGCCGATATCTCCAGCTCGAGTTTCCATCTTCCGTACATTATCTTTATCCTCTATTCATCTTCATCAGCCCTTCGGTTTTCCAGCTTTATCATATTTCGAACTCCAAGATTCGAGATAATCCTTGGCCCTCTGTAGGCTATCTTCGGGGTTTTTAGGCTTCTCACTAGCAACCAGTCGTTCGGTTACAGATGTTGGTGGGCTTTGTAGATATTTGTGTAGGCTATGGGACACGTTTGAAGTCTGAGGAGTTCTGTCCAACAATCGTTAGTAAGTTGGGTAGCCTACTTAGAAGATACGGTAGCCTACTTGCTACTGTCAGACAGCACGATCGAGGGGTCGGTTCTCATCGACATCTGAGTCGTCACAGAGTGTTCAGGCGGTGATTGCTGATATCATCCAGCCAAGTTAAGTCTCCTCATATTCACCGCCCTTTGAATATATATAACTCATAGCTTCTATCATTTCGTTTGTATGAATACCATTTGGACACAATTGTTTCCCTTCGATTTGCTGGTCTAGACATTTCATCGATGCCAGAGTGCTCATAGAAAGGTCCAAACATAAATCCAGCACAATTGTGTTCCTAGCAAGCGTGTAGAAAACACTAGCAATAACTTCACAGCTGTGATTCCGCTTGAATACCCCAAGCTATATATCATTTACATGATTAAATCACAATTGTGCTTTAGTTATGGTAACGGTAAGAAATAATTCGCTGTCTGGTGTGAAATTATGTCGGATCAAGCAGTGCAAGAGCACAATGGTGCTTTACAACTTTGCGGGCATCACATAAATGTAGCATTGCACGGAGACGTAGGCACCTGGTAAACAATGAGACCACGACACACCATGAGTTCCCATAGTATCTTCGGTTCACAATTGGGATATGCGTGAATTTCCTTCAATTTTGATCTTTTGAATCATTGTAGGCCGGCTCGAAGCCGCTGTAACTGGCTCATTATTCCATACAGCGGTCTACTCTCCGCCCCACCATTATCGGAATTGGCGGCAGCTTTTCTAGAGTTATTGTCTAAATCTGCTTTGTTATCACGACGTCCGTTCTGTTCCACTTCTCGCAACAATTCCTTGTGTCTGTCTTCGACCATCTTAGCCAGACCGTCGATGAATTTTGTTCTTCCTTTCTCCTCTGCCGTCCCTTTCCATACTTTTGTCAACTCTTTTAGCTCTTCTATGCGATGAGCTGCCTTTTCAATTCCTTCCACTGGGTCGCTACTTTTAGCTAGTAGGCCTGATATTTCCTCTTTAAGTTGCCTGAGAACTTGTTGTCCTTTTTCTTCTGTACTGTGCGCCTCCACCCCAGGTTCCGGCGCTGAAACAGACAAGAATGACGAACCGACCGAGAGTTCCGAGGGTGGGAATACAAATTCCATAGCTTCACCAAACGTCTTAACAACCGTATCGAGCCGGGAGCGTACTAGTGTCAGGGTTTGTAGTTGGCTTATGTATTGCGGGTCTTGACTGTTATTGTCTTGTGGGATAGACTCTAGGTTCGTCGGAGGCTTCGCTTCGGATTCGCGCCTCTGCGTCGGTTGGGCGGTTCCACTTGCCTTGGTATCGGGGAGTTCCCGTATACCGTCGGGTATAAACCTTGTGACTTCTTTGTGTAGGCCATCTGATAGCGTTTCCGATAGACTTAGGGTCTCGCCGCGCAGCAATTCCACTTCATATGCCAACCTGCTCCCGCTCCGTAGTATATCATCCGTGAGTTGTGTAAGGGTATTCGTCAATCTCGTCGTATGGGCGTTCAATTGGGAGAGTTGCGTTTGAGCTTGTGTGGATAGCTCTGCTAATGGAACTGCGGCATCGGTCGTTCGTGTCGACGCGGACGTGGTCTGGAGTGAGGGAAGCGAGGCATTGAGATATTCGGCGGGGTCGAAAGATGGCGTTAGGAAGTTTTGGAGAAATGGGTCGGTAACATAATGGGATCTAGGCTGCGCCGGTATTTTCGACTGCTGTCTTGTATGATGCGGCAATGCTCGAGAAGAGCTCACGGAGCTATTTTGGCGCCGCCTACCTCCGGATTTGGCATCCCAGGACATACTCTCGAAATTGGAAATTGGAAATTGGACGCAGGATAGCCCTCAATGCGGCCCTCCAAAGTTTATGTGTATTCGAATTATGAAGTTTAAAAGTTGGCTGAGAAGATTGGATCATCCATGAAAGAATCTCTACCTAAATTGGCATTGTTTAGCGGAGTTAGTGGGGCTACAGCTCACTGGTACATATGTACCCCCCAGCTAGTGTAACCCCACAGGCGAACCAAGTCAGACCCCACCTACATATCCCGCCCCACCGGGTTGCCTACAACTAGGTACCTATCAATGGATATCGATCTGATCGAAGTGATGTCAGCCTACCTTACCTTCCTACTAAATACATGCAATACCAACGGATTTACTCAAAGCCTTACCATCTATTCTTCATTTCTATCTTGGTGATTTCTAACTAAATTTGTATTCTTGTCTGCTAAGACGTTACTTACGCATTGCATACATCCAACCGTTTTATCTTGTCCGAAAAAGCAAGAATTTCTGTTTGTGCTCCAAGCTTACTTAGGTGCCTAAGCGTGTTGTTTCGGTCAGATGTCTCCATATGGGATTTAAGATGCCTTACCTGAATTTTTGTGAAGACTAAGAGAAGAGGGGGCCCGCGTACTAATGGTGCCTTCCTCATACCTAGGTACATGATGGGTTCGGATACTACTTATATGTACGTCAAGGTTCGCCGGCGTGGTCTGTGGGTTTGAGCCTAACTTTCGACTTCAGACATTGGCCTGTGTGCACTTCCGTTTTTGTTTGCCTTGACTTTATTATTATCGTAAGGCTGAATGAGTTCGGTGAGGCAGCCTTACCCACCGACTAAAGCCCATTTATACTTCAAAGCAATGAGCCTAGGAAACGAGAGAGACAATTTCACATTCATCCACATGATTCTTCTTCTCGACGTTGGCACTTTACCTTATTCACCACTCGGTACTGTTACGTGACGAGGGCCTCCTACCCATCCGAGATTCACTAGCGCTAGTGGTCCACGTAATTCGCATTTCAAGCACTCGCCGTTGACGCTTCTCCTCGATTCGGGTTAAATTCTGGCATACTTGTCGAGACATCAAGTGCTTTTTGTTCACTTCATACCTCGGTATCCATCTACATAAAGTCGTAGTGTGTGGGCCAGACAGAACAATCCCATTCATCGCCATAGAGGTCCTTAGGGCTTAGCACTGTCCTCTGTTGTTGTGCCGCCACCTTTTAATAGGGTCCCAGCAACCCCCCAATCAACCCTCAGATACAGTACACGAGACGAACTCTACGACATTCATTTCCTTCTTTTATTTTTCTTTCCACAATACATTGTTCATCTTACAAGAACTCGTTTAGTCAAGAATTAGGTAAGCTTCCTTTCTTTAATAAGTCGTTTCGTATTTCTAACTTACACAAACTACTGTAACTCGATATTCAAGCAGAGAGGAAAGACATCGCAATATCTGTCTAAACTGTACACTGCTCTTCCCCTCCTTCATAATTCAATGCTCAAAGCCTACATCTATACACACACTCTATATCCTCAAGAAAGTTAACGCAAGCTACTAATACTAATATTACTCCACGGAGTAGGCCTTCTGGTTGGGGAATATTTAGGATTGACACCTTCCAACGGGATCCGCTATGACGCCGTCAAAGGCGAGCTCTCGGTTCCAAGCCGACTTGAAGTCGGCCATGGAAAGGAGCCATCCCGAGATCTCAGACGTCAAGAAGGGGGATGCATCAGACGAGTTCACCTTCATATTCAGCTTTCAAAGCGCATCCGGCCCCTTGCGAGTCAAAATATGTGTACTTCCACAAGGTAAGTGTTACCATATCCATGCATCGCTGGCGAGATTGGGTACCGCCTACTCTACCATCCACTTATGACGATGTAAATCTCAATACTAACAACGAACTAGATGTTCGAGGCTACCCAGATTTCAATTGCTTTCTTGCTTACACCGACAACGACGTGCCACAAGCGGTCGCACAGGTACTAGAAGAATCCTTGGTCGAGACAAAAGGCATGAGGGTTGAAAAATTCCTCGATATAATTTCTAAGAAGATACGGATTGCTTTGGAACCTGAGATAGAAGAAGACATTGCAATGGTGGACCCAGATGGCATAGAGTCAGACGAATGCCCTATAGACGACACCGATGACGACGCTAGTATCGACGACGGAGATGATGACAATATCTATGATGATGCTTTTAGTATCCAAACGTTCCGTATTCCACAGGCACCCAGAGTTTCTCCTCTCCAACCAGCTATATCTCTCTCACCCGCGCTTTTAGGGCGCGTGCGACGGGATCTTCGGTCTGTGGTTGACGCGGGGTTCCACACGGGGAGGGTGTATGGCCTAGAGGATAAGAAGCACGAAACTGTCATCTCGATTTCGATTCGTGTGAACAAGCTGGGTCTCTCAAAAGAGACGCGTGAGGCGTGGGACCTTGCATCGTCGGGGTATATTGTTCTGCTTATTCAATACGTTCGAGGATATAGGACATTCGAGGACGTTCTCGAGCGGTCGGTCGGCTCCGCCTGTCTGAAGTTTCGCCTGAGGAAGTGCAACAGCAAGAAACCGCCAACCCAACAGGCTGCTGAAACGTTTTCGGGCGATAATGTTTCGTTGGGAGGCCCAGAGCTTTTGCCTACTTGGATCAGTGCATCGATCGAGGAATTCATGAATAATGAGTTTATACCGTTATTGAAGATGAGGAAACGCTATGGTGGCTCCTGGGAGTCGGCGAATGAGTTGTTACGCTCCCGAATTTTCGACCCGGGAGTTGACTCGTTGCCCGATGCGGCTCCGGATCATGTTGATGTAGGGGAAGCAATCGGCAACAACATAGAGGAGCCCACCAACGAAGCAAAACTGCCTACTTGTATTGCCAACGACCACTTTCTAAGCGATGGGGAATTATCCTTACCGCTCCTAGCCGCACAATTTGCCTTAAGGTACTTAGTCAGATGTACTGACTACTGCACAGCCTGTCATCGAAAAATGGAAGGCAATTTTGAAGCAATAAAGCCCTACGTCTGCGATAGACCCCTGTGTCTTCATCAGTACATGAATCTAGGGTTTGGACCGAGCATAGATTCTGAGATTATTAACAGGCCTCAAGTTGTCGATCTCTTAATCAGTTTCTGTTACGCTAGCATATGTTGTGATGCTTATTCTAAAAGAGTCGGCATGCGAGAATTTCCCACGGGGTTGGGCCTACAAGTACCAAAAATCCGACTTAAAAAAGGCTCTACCACATACTCCAAAATTCATGGAGGTGAGCTTGTGGACCCTAAAAATGTCGTCTTCAATTGGGACGAGTCTACAGCTATGCTACCACCAGAGGACGACAACATCAATCTAAGCGAAGGCCAATGGGTCGTTATCGTAACGCAAACGGGTGCCGCAGGCACAAGTTCGCCAACAATCGTACTACACCATGCCCATATCGTATCAAGAAGCGGCTTGATTCTACTATTGGACGTTGCATCACGACATACATTGCCTTATATGAGCCGCCCCATTCTCGATGGCACAACGTACAAGCGTCAGACACCAAACGAATCGTCGGCCTCTCTTGTGTTGTACAATGATGACTTGGATGATTTAAATGACCAATATGAACAGGCGTTTTCTATGATGCTTGTACTTGCAGCCTTGCCATCCGTAGACGATATGAGATCATACTTGATGAGTAGCGGCTCTCCACCCCTGAATAAATGGGGTCGGATGTCACGAGGTTCCGTGGACTTGTTACGGTGGATTGTGGCTTCAAACCGATCATACATTGTGCAGGTTGACGACACTCGATCTCATGAGAGGATTCGCGGTGTTGAAGGCTGGATACAATTCAGGTTTGCTCAGGGATCTCGAGAGAAAGAGGTACTTTTTAACGAAGCTCTGAAAGGTATCGACAAACCACAGAAGACGCTCGTTGCATGGCATGGGAGTGCTCTGGAGAATTGGCACAGTATTATTCGCCAGGGCCTAAACTACGACATTTCCCTTCATGGTCGATCTTTTGGTAATGGAATTTACTTTGCTAGAGATTTCGATTACAGCCGTACCTACACAAACTCGGCTCACGTAAGTGCTATAACCTTGAACCTATATAGAATTGGAAGGCGGTTCTAACATCTTTGACAGATGGCTATATGGCCCCAGTCAGCTTTACAGGTACAGGGAGCCATCAGTTTAAATGAGCTCGTCAACGACACCAACTCATTCGTGAACACAAATCCCTTCTTCGTCGTACAACATTGTCACTGGACCCAATGTAGGTACCTTTTTGTTCAAACCACAGCGAATCCAGCCGGAACCAACGTCAAACAAACCACAAATAAAAAAACTCAGGGAGGAGGTATATACGAAGTCCCGAAGTTTATACAGGATCCAGAATGGATTGCCACGGGCCCAAAGAAAACACGTCTGGACATACCCCAATATGCGATACGCTTTACACACGAAGTACCGGCGGGTTCTTTCACCGCGGATATGGAGGAACCTGAGATGATCACTAGTGACGAAGATGAACAAGACGCCGAATTCCTCTCTCGTGATGACGGCGCCTCTGCAACGAAGCTAACATGCGAAACCAATTTTTGCCCTGGAACCCTTGACTTCTCTACGCTTCCGCTGTTGGCGGAACCCTCATTTGCAACTGGTACAGCTCAAAAGGCTCTTGGATTGGAGCTCAAGAAGCTGGAGAAAGTTCAATCATCGACACCTCTTCACCAACTCGGTTGGTATATCGATTTTGACAAAATCGATAACATGTTCCAGTGGATCGTGGAATTACACTCTTTCGACCCAGATTTACCTCTTGCGAAGGACATGGAATCAGCAGGCGTTACCAGTATTGTCCTGGAGCTTCGCTTTCTGCGTGGCTTTCCAATGTCACCGCCGTTTGTGCGCGTTATTCGCCCTCGGTTCCTCCCGTTCATGCATGGCGGTGGCGGTCATGTCACAGCTGGAGGAGCTATGTGCATGGAGCTTCTCACGAATTCAGGCTGGTCTCCAGCCAACGATATAGAAAGTATTTTACTGCAGGTCCGCATGGCTATTTGCAGCGTCGACCCCCAACCAGCACGACTAGAGAAACCGCTCAACAAGAATAGGCAATATAGCGTCGGAGAGGCAATCGATGCGTACATCCGGGCCGCTGCAGTACATGGATGGGAAGTTCCCGATGACTTCCGTAGCATGTCTGCCTAAAGACTATATACCAAACAGCTGCTCGTGGTCGAGGGCTAGTTTTCGCGCTCGCCTACTTGGTTTGCATGCTTTATTTGCATGATCTACGCACAAGATGATGGCCACCAGTCTAGCTTGCCTTGGTGGATGGTGTGCAACATTGTGTGTGGACAGTAGCACGTAACAAATATACGGACTCTGTACTTCTACACATAAGAAGCCACGGCAGATAGACAATAGGTATACGAGGCGGTGAGTTCGCTAGTGGATTGTAAGTTACATATATATCTACGCGAGGTGGTGGTTAGGACATTTATAGACAATAGGAAAAACAAAAAAAACATACGTGAAACAGACAAATGCCGAATTTCTCCTTGTGATTGCTGAATGTGCTCGGATATTGTTACAATGAGTCCATCGAAATATTTATTAGTCGGCAGTCAGTCAGCAAGGATACGCCTTCAATAAAAATGTTACATCCCTTTCGTTGTTTTGACCAACTTGCCTCTCTGGCAACACAAGCACTTTAAATATCTAAATTCACGCTCAGTCTTTCCGACAGCTGTGCTTATTATTCATATGAACTATTGAAGATTATGTTTCTGGTCTACTTTATTTCATTCGCTTTCTATACATTTCTAGCCTCAATATTGAAGCATCGCTGCTATGCCGAAGTCAACTACGTTACTACCCCAATACACTGGAAGCAACAGTCACACTCAAGGCGTTTTATGCCACTATGCATTACTGAAACGTTTGGTCACCATGGTTTTGTTGGCGTTCTTGCTGGCGGGTTTTCTCGCTGCACGGCGATGGAAGGTTAGTATAATGCTGATCCTGGTATATCCGAGGAGGTTGCTAATGGTGATAGTTATTTGAGTATAAGTTCTCGTCTATAACTATGCCGTCGATGGAGGAACTACAGAACCACTATTTCGTGGTAACGAGACCTCGGGATTTATTTGAAGATGAGGACTACGGTCGGTATCTCGTTAGATGATGGGTGAAGGGATCTTAGGCTGTCGAAAATTTCCTGCCTAGGATTATGGTCATTGCCCTACCTGGATTCCGCCCGCCTACTGAGGCAATGGGGAGGGAGAGTAATGGAGGAGGCTGGAGGCTGTGTTACCGAAATTCGAACTGTGGTGCGGTGCCTAGATTGAGAACGAGTATGCCGTGTTAAGGGAGTTACGAGCCATGACTCAACAATAAAATTAAGGATGGTCACGATGCTGCCGGTAAGATGGTATAAGATTCGATTTTGGATAGGATGCTTTGAAGGTGTGAAGTTCGGGCGAGCTTTGGTATCGAAATATAAAAATACGTTCCAAATAAGGACGTGCAAGACGAAGGTACGCATCTAGATATGGTCCTAATTAGGAAAGTGGGGTTCTAGAAATAACCAGGGGGCTGATCTGCCGCGCTTTTAAGCCTATCATCTGCCCTGGCGCGAGTGCACGAGGTTCCTGAGCACAAGTACGTACTTCCTTATCGGTATCGCACTAGCTGGACAGCTGGCGCAGGGTAGCACAAATAGACTTTCGGGGCTTGTAAGTGAAATCAGCTTGGTTTTCTAAGGTTGCGCCCAGAGATCCTAACAGAGATCCATCCTTACACATCCTTTTTGTCTTCTACCTTCGATCTCATCACTTCTTCTATACAATTACACCATTTTGTTTATTGCCTTCTCAATACACAAGTTGTCAACTGGAATTTACCACTGGTAACTTCGTGCCAATACAAACACTTTCCCATACTTCAATTTGACTTTCAACTTCCATCTTCTGCATGGTCGGTAGAAGACGCAACCGGACCTGGACACTCTAGAAGTTTGACTTCGTCCGTCGTCCACAATCTGATTCATAATTCTACCTCCAAACTTCTCAAGCTACTTAATTCTACACACACACACACATTTACACTTCCCTTACTTTACTTCTAAATCCGAATTATTTTTCTTGTTCGTGGAACTTGGAAATTCCAAGCTTCTTTTCACCCATTTTATTCTCCAAATACATTCGCCATGGCCTCCGTCGACTCTGCCCAGTCGGCAACTCTAGTAGCCACTTCCAACAAGACCAGCCGCCTTTCCCCCCCGCCTCAGTCGAAGCGCGACAAGAAGCGACAAGTCCTGAATGATCGTTTAGCGACTTTATCAGACAAGTTCAGCCGCGATAAGGATAAGAACTACCGAGACGAACTCCATAAGATCCAAATCGACGTCAACCTTGTCGGCCGAGTCGACCCTTACGCCGACCGTCCTCTTGATGCGATCGATCGCGAATACCGCGAGATACAAGCTGCGAATGCGCAGCAAGCCGCCAGCGCCCCCACTAATGGCGAACCCAAGCGAAGCCTGCTAGAAATGGCAGGCCCTACATTTTCTGACTGGGTCCACCAGATTGAGGATCTTGTTGAACATCGTGACTACGAAATGACTTGCCAAAGAGTACTTTTCCCGTCTATCTACTTCAATATTACTCGCATTGCTAACATTTATTCTATTAGGTCGAATATGAGAGGAAGCTTCACGAATACAACAAAACCCGTGCCTACAAAATCGAAGTAGCGAAGAGAGAACACCGAGCGCTGTCCAACACACTCCGAGATCGTCTCATCAACGCTATTACATCGAAGAAATACCGATTGGGCAAAGAGAAAGAAGCCCTCGAAATCACCGATAGTTCCGCTCTCCTCCTACATCCCAACCAATTTAGCCTTACCAACCCTGCGAGCCCTGGCGGAACACACATGAAGCGCAACACTCGATTGCGAAGAGAGATGGAGGATTTGCCCGGTTTCTCGGAGAATAAGAAGAGAAAGCGCAACGCAGCAGATGACGAAGGATCCCCAGTTCCCAAGAGAGGAGCTCTTGACACCGCTAATACCACGCCTTTCTGGTCGAGCGAGAGAGTAAGAAGCCTGCGCAAAGAGACGGGACCTGTTTACAGCATAGACAAGCTGTTCACCGATAAGGAACTCGCATTGACATACAACGTCGCGGCTCTCGCAGCCCACAAACACCTTTTGATCCGCCGCGACACAAACGGCAACATTATTACCCCCGACGAGAGTGTCAATGGCAATGGCGATGCCAACGACGACGAGGATCTTGCTGCTACAAGCATGGAGCGACAGCCTTCGCACACCACGCGAAGCACCCGAGGCGGTCATGCCCAGCAGCAAAACTTCTACGACGACCAGCTGATTGGAATTGAAGCGTTGGCCAACTTCGAGATTCCCGGTAATCTAGATAAAGTGGCTGGGCAAGAGCCTAGGCTCCCTCCCCTTATCCATTCTCAATATTCGAAGGCGTACAGACGTGACGAGTCCAACACACCTACCATCCTAGCCGAATCCGATCGAGACAAAGATTTCATGGCCATGAAGCTTCTGAAGGCTTATGAAAACAAGCATGGTGTTGGGTCTAATTTTGACAATCCAAACGGTGGTCGTCGACTACTTGAGACGATGTCTACACCGGTGTCTAAGAGCAAATATATTGCTTACAACCAAGGTCCGCGACCTTCCGCGGAAATAATATCAGAGTCACTTGGACTTCAGGAAAGTGACCTAAGAGGCGAACCCACAGGTGCCTCATCGGACGTTGCTGGAGGTGCCAAAGATTCCCCGGCAGGAGCAAAAGACTCCCCCTCCGTATTCAAGGAGGCTACAGGAGGTGTGCCGATGAGCAGACAGAGTAGCTTGGGAGGTGTTGCGATGAGCCGATCAGGAAGCGCACGAGGAAAGCGCAAGGCTTAATTTCAGATGGTCATAATATTTACGGATTGGGTTCAGGGGTACCACGAAAGGAGGAGTAGGGGGTGTGCATAAGGGTTTTCTGTTTATACTTGGATCCCTGCTGGAATCATTTACAGCACATCATGGCATAATGTGGTACAGCGACATGGTATGTACCATCAGGATTGGCGTTAGGGATACATTAGCCTGGCTGGCTTTCCATGACATTTCATATTGAGCTGGACATTCATGGTCGATACCAAACAAAGCGATTGCTGATTATTCATTCATTCTGCTTATAGATAAGTGCGAAATTATACTACGTGACATGGCATACTATAACAATTTCATCGTCTCGATCATCTTCAAGGGCCAAAGACTAGAGCCCGGACCTCAATGCTCTCTCTACCCTCAGCATCTGCCCTGGTTCTAGGGTCTTCAAAGGCGGTATGCGGAACCCGGCCACCAGCTACATTCGAACCCTCTTTCAAGGCCTCACTATCGAAGCACTCAAGCAGCAGACGCTCATCACCTGTCATGCCGCTTAGGTAATACCACCTCTGCTCGGGGTTATACGCAATCGCAGCGGTCTGTCCGATATACCCAGTAGGTGTTCTATGCTCGACGGGGATAATATCGCCATGGGCTAGTGACGCGCTAGACCCGAACGCTAACGGCATCGATTCAACGGGGTTTTTGTTCAAAGTACGCCATACATTAACAATGCGATACCGTCCTTTGAGTAGCTCATCTGCATCGGAACCCATATGGCGAACGACGCGCTTCGCGGCGGAGTACGGGGTTTGGTCGATGTGTACTGATGTTACGGCTTTGCGGTATGCATTTGGATCTGCGCGGCGGATCGTGTGGTCGAAGATGAAAACGCGGTTGCTTTTGGGGATGTTGTTAAGGAGCAGGGCTTCGACTTCGGGGTAGTAGTTTGTGGTTATGGAGGTGTCGTCTGTGAATCCTGACCCTGTGCCTGGGAGCTCTTCTTTGGAGGGGGGCAGGTGTTGGAGTACGGCGAAGGCGTCTTGGTCGAGCGTGTAGGAGGATTCGTGGCCCCGGATGTCGGTTATGGTTACGGGGTGCGTGTCCGGGGTTATGTTGCGTTGGGGTTCGCCAGGGGGAGGCGTGTCGGTGTAGTTGAATGCTACGACGCCGGGAGGTGGTGGGTGGGAGAAGTTGAGGTTGGCGGTTACGGGACCGCGGGGTGGGGTTGATGCTGTGATTGCCATTATGGATGTCGAAGCTATAAGCTATGTGACGGAGTTTGTAGAGATAGTTCCAATGGATGAGTAGACTAGATTTGATTGAGAGCTTTATCTGACAAACTAAACTTACCATGGCATCGACTTCGATGCTTGACTTATATAGACATCAGAGCTCCATGGCTCGACAACGGCATTCGCCATTGTAATACCTAGGTAGGCAAGTGTATTTCAAAGCAGCGGAAGTTAGGAAAGGCGCTCCGAATCACGTCATTTAGAAATGAAAGAGATATGATTATTCGATTGTAAGATACCTAGGTAGGTTTGAAGCATGTAGGGTCAGACAGCTCCATCATTGGTTTGTCATGCATATGTAGTGCAAGAGATGGGTAGATGTTGCAGAATCTACCGAACCTTACCCGATGATATGCCGTTGTAAAGGCGTACATGCAAATCTAGATGCGAGATGAGTCAAATCAGGCCATAGTGGATTAATCATGGGGTCAAAATGGGATCTTAAGGTTGCGTTTTGTTCGGCCTCCGCGGACCGTATATCTTTGAAATCGAGACGATGACGTAGTTGAAGGTTTAACTCAGACGGAAATTAAAGTTCTTGCTTAGCTAAAAGTAAACTTTTTCGGCGGAATTGGTGTCCCTCAACTCCGATTTAGCATGCAACCAATCAGGGTGTAAGTTCAATAGTCTTGAAGTATTTACCCCACTTATACGTACACGTGCACATTGAGCCGCCACTTGCCAAATAGCCTTGCCCGACCCAGTCCCAGCCTACCTTTATGGATACCACGATAACCTATCAGATCACGCTATCATCCACCAATTCAAAGTAAACAAACTGCTGCTTTGGGGCCATCTCGGTAGGGTTGGGTAGCTTTCCGGCGCGTCCCCTGCATGTGGAATCTGTGGAATCTTTCACAATCCGATGCGCGGTGTCGAATTTCGATGAACCAATTGCTTGCATCCCGTACCTGGCTGATTGGGATTGTCTTTCTTTGTTCGGACAGTATTATTTTGCTACCTAATTACGAGTTACTGTTACTGCTGCCAGTATGGATGACTTACCGTCATCTCCAGATCCGCTGGGGGACGAACCTCCAAGTTCGGCGCAATCATTCGCGCGACATACTAAAGATAATACAATTACCCAGCATGATCTTTCCGCGCTTTCCTTACCGAAGACTACGTATAACTCGAGACGGACCTCACCTACAAGAACCATCTCTCCTAGAAAGAGGACATTCGAACTCGATGTCGGCAATGAACTCTCACCGCAAAAGATCCTCGTCACCGTTGAGGCAGAAGAAGCAGAGGCCTTGAAGCGGGGTATCAACCGCAGACTATTCCAACAACAACCGACATCCTCCCCGACCCGAGGCCGCCGCCCAAGAGAAACCGTCACGACTGCTACCATACCGCTGAATGACGAGATAGAGAACGAGTCTACCCCGCGTCGACCCGGCCGACCGCGACGGCGAACTAGTAATGGTACACCCATGCCGAAGGGTAAGAAGAGGGCTGGAACGCCTATGAAAGAATCCCGACAGACGCGACGAAAAGGCGGCCTAGATTCCGACGCGAGCGTGTTCGACGATACACCAGCGGGAACAGACGAAAACGCGCCAACACCAAAGGCACAAACGAAAGTTCGGAAGACGCCTAAGGCGCTCTCTACGACACAAGTAGTGCTTTCGTCGCAAATATCCACCGCGACGAAGAGGAAGCGAGGGCGTCCGCGGAAAGCGCCGATAGAAGATGTCACCATATTAGCTGACGCGGACGATGTATTGACTAGTGATGCGGTAAACCACGATATTGCTCACCCTTCTCGAGAAAACCCAAGGATCTTTCCGCCATCAGCACCGATCTCGAATCCAAATTCTTCTAGATATGAAAGTAGTCGGCGATTCTATGCCGATGACGAGGAGGACAATACGGAAGCTTTCATTGGAGAGTTGGCAAGAGATGGCGATAGGACACCGACGCAGGATAATATTTCCAACCTACATGAACAAGAGAATACGCGACTAGATCCAGAATTACCAGCGCGATCACATAATGAAGGAAGATTGGATGATGATGATATGGATGTGGGCAACGATTATCCGCCATTGATGGAAAATCATAGTGATGTAGGATCGGAGTTCGATGATTTTGATAATGTCCCTCACAGTGGACAAGATACGTTGGCGCACGCGTCTGATTTCAGCATGATAGCTGTGGAATCTCTACCTTCGTTTCAAGCAAACCGAAGCGCATTCCCTTCCGACCCCCAAGAGATTGGTGATGAAACTAACCAGATCATCAATGAAACTATTGAATCGTTGCGGAATAGCATCCAAGCCGATGCCGCAAAAGATCAATCAAGCAGACACGACCTACCGCCAGAAGAAAACCGATCTGGTATACAAGGGAGTTCATTTTTCAATCAGAGCCCGCGACGACCATCAAAAAGCCCTAGGAGGCAAAAGCAACTTCCATTAAGTCGACAAGTATTCAATGGAAAAGCGCCTCATGTGGATGACTCGTTTTCGAACATTGCGGATACTATTCTTCACGCAACAACACCTGGTCGCTTACCTATGAAGCCGACCTCTGGAATGGAACAGTATGAGAAAAGCGGTGCATATGATGATTCGTTTTCCGAGATACCAGAAGAGGTCCTTGAAGCCGCTACTCCAAAGCCGAAGAGTCGCGTCGGAATGCCTAGAGAGCGGGATGATGCAGAAGTCTCAGCTCCCCAGGATCAACCTAATTCTGTTAATAGACAAACGGGGTCAAACTTTGGGTCGAGCAGGTTACCAACTCCGGATGATACCTCATCTTCGAATGCTGGTTCTAAGAAAGCCCCAGAAGAAGATGCTGGCCCGTCTTCAAGACCTCAAGCGGACGCTGTTTCTACTTCCAATTCCGCCGTGCAATCTTCACCTCCTGTCATGAATCGACCTCGTGCGATGGATTTTGGACCATCGCTGTTAGATCAAGAGATGAACAATACGCCAGAATTACAACAATCTTCCCCTCAGTTGCCTCCATCTGCTAAAGAAATTGTCGAACCTGCTAAATCGTTGGAGCCCCCCCCTAATGTTAGACCTTCGTTATCGCCGATTGTACGAGCTGGCCGATACCTTCAAGATGTGGTGTCGGATAGATCGTCTCCCAGAGTTCGCGAGGGCAGCCTGGGCAGTCCGTTCAGGGGAGCGGCTAATGACCCTTCACGATCATTGCAGGATACTTCTAATCCTTCATCTATGCCCGAATCTCCAACTCGGCCCAATTATAATATCTCCGGCCAATTTGCCGCCCGAAATTTATTTAATTTCAACCCTACCGTTAATCAGAGTATGCGGTCTAACATATCTCGCTCCCAACCACCTCCACAAGGCGAAGTACTTGGAAACGTCTCGGATCCTTTCGGACTAGATATTCAGGAGACACGAAACGAAGCTTTGAGAAAAGATACGCATGACACAAGTTACCGGGAGCTGCAACGCGACACGGCTTTCGCTCAATCCGCCGCCAGTTCGACTAGAGTGATGCCACCAAATGAGGATGAGATGAGTTGGATGGCAGATGGGAACCAGCAGGAAGCAGAACATCGCGCGGACCCACAGTACATGCGTTCTCAAAACTCAAGTATCTACGCTACTCGTGGTTCAAATGGAAGCCACGCTGCTATTTCTGCTGCAAACGCTGCGTACAACGAAGTTGATATGGAAGGTGATCAGGATTTGAGAGATCGAAGAGAACCGGAAGAGGACTACGGCGATGACTATACTGGCGGTGGGATAGACTTTGAGGATGACGATATTTGGGACGTTGAAGCCTCGCGACCGACGCCTAGAAGGCCAAGGCCGGAAAGGGAGCCAGAGCCAGAACGACGTGCTTCACAATTGTACGACCCCCCTCGACGAAACAAAATCCCAAGCCCTTGGAGACGAACCAGCCGACGACTCATCTACCGGCAAGAGATTGCAAGTCCTTCTCAAATAGAAATTGAGGAGAACCCGCAAAGTGAGCCGGATGAGCAAGTCCCCAGATCCCGTTCCGGACCGCGACGCTCGGACGCTCAATCTATAGTACGGAGAGAGCAGCCTGAACTTAGGGTCACTGAGGAACGTGAACGTACACCTTCCGAACCTGAGCAATATGAACAATACGAACAATTTGAACAACAATCTCCAAGTCCTCCTCCATATTTGGAGCCAGAATTTTCACCAGAACCAGAGCAGGAGCTGCAACAAGAACCCGAGCGAGAGCCAGAACAGGAGCCTGAGCCCGAGCCTGAGCTTGAATCAGAAATTGAAGAACCCATAGCAGAACAAGCTCCAGGACAAGGTCCGGCAGAGGCTGTGGAGGCTTCTGAATACTCGATGCTAATTCGACCAACTGAGGATACTCCGGCGACCCAAAAGAAACCCACCCCTGCTAAGACTCAACTTTTCGGCAGCTTTAACCTCATGTCATTCTTCTCATCGCCTGCAACGTTGCCTACAAAAGTCCCTGAAGCTGGTCCGGCCACTAAAATCCGTGAAACCGAGAAAACCGCACAGCCCGCATATCAGAAGCCTGTTCCTAGAGAGCCAGAGCCAGAGCCAAAACCACAACCACAACCACAACCACACAAAGAACCTCCAAAGTCTCTTTGGTCGACGGGGTTTTTCTCCTCAATCCCGCAGAAGCAAGTCCAGCCAAGTTCGGAACGGCAAACCGACCAATCATCCCCTGCGCCCCCCTCGCAATCCAACGAAACGGTGGCAGATACTTATGAGGCGACTTCTCCTAGCCATGCGCCATCACCAACACCATCCCCTTCGCCTGCTCCCGATCCATCACTCTCACCCAAACCTGCTCCTGCGCCGTCACTCTCGCCTGAATTATCTCATCCACCGCCTGAGCCTTCACCGGCACCATCTCAGACACCCGAGCCGATGTCCCCGCCATCACCCCAGCCCTCGACTCCCGAGCAACAAGTTTACCAGCCTATTGAGCAAAAACGCAACTTCACGCCTCGGCCAGGTCAATCCGGCTCATCTCTTTTCAGAACTGGCCCTTCTCCAAGTAGGGTTGAAAGAAATTATAGCGATGATTTTCTCTTGCCACCAAGTGATGAGCAGCAAGAGTCTTCGCTCTTGACAGATGGGACAGAGTATGAGCGCTTGCCTCCTAGGGAGAAGCCGTCGCGTTGGGATAGGACCCTGTCGCCATCCAAATCGTCATTCAGATCACCACTGAAACCGACAACACCAGGGCGCGTCGTGACTTTCAAGCCTAGCGGTTTATCACCTGTCACACAGAATGAGGATCAACCCGAAAGCCAAGCTTACAGCCGCGATGATAACCGCGGAGTGTTATCTCAGCGTCCACAACTCCCATCCCTTAATAAGGGCAAGGGGGTTGTACGGAGAAATTCTTTACTCTCTCGTCCCCCCATGAGGAACAGCGCCGTGTACAACCCTTCGCCGGCTGCTACTAACGAGAACAATTTCATGGCAACGATATTGGACACCAGCCCAGAACCGCAACCAGAGCCCGAACCTCCGGTTTTCGCTCCGGCTCCAGCGCCGGCTCCCTTGTCCATTGCCACCACGAACCCTTCCGCTGCCGCCACTGTCTCAGCTCCTACCTCTAACACACCACTATCACAAACCGAGTGGACGCGTGCACATTGGGTTCGTCTAGACGAATTACTCCAAATATGCCGCCAAAATCCCCGCGCATTCAAACGTCGCGTCCCGCTACCACCACGCAGCGAGCGCCGATCTCTTACTACTCTCCTGGGCAAGGAAGTATCAACCCCGTCACACCCCGAGAGCCTAATCCTCGATAGGGGACATCTCGATATTATCGACGCGTTCAAACTTGAGGTTGGCGGCTGGGAAGAACATGACTTGGCGAGGAGATTGTTCGCGTTGATGGTTGGTGAGGAGAGAAGACGGCTGGGGAAAGTGCCACAGAGGGATCGTGAGCATGAGGATGAAAATAGGGATAGGGTTCAGACTGGGTATTGGGGAGATGAAATTGAGCGTGCGGGCGAGAGCCAAACTAGGAGGGAGAAGGAGAAGGAAGAGAGAATAAAAAGGAGGGAAGAGAGAAGGAGGGAGAAAGAGAGGCAGAGGAGGGAGGAGAGGATTTTTACTTAAGGGGTTGGGTTTACAATACCCTATTTTCCCTACGATCGACGTTGCTGCGGGCTCACATTCACGAGCTACGAAAGACGGATTTGCTCTACATCACTTCGCTACTCTGTCCTATCCATTCAGGTTATCGGTCTAACAGCTTGGAGGAAGCATCCCCAAATCACACTTTTCAGGGGAGCAGTATATATTTCACATGCATTATATTCGGCGTTATTGGCGATAGGCAAGTCAGGATGACATAACCTCATAGGATAGGCGGTTGGTCAGTATCAAAAAAGGGGAATCGGCAAGGGGTGTTTACTTGCTAGGTTAGGTTACTGAGGAATTGAGATTGCTTTGATTTTGATGCCATAGCATACTGCCTTTTTTCAAAGGTGGATAATTCGAACGGAATTATATTTCATGTTGAATCCGAAAATTGTTATTTGAGTGAGGTCCAGTGACGGAAAGTAAGTTCTAAGAGTTTTGGGGGGTTTTAGACTCTAGACTTCTAAGGGTCAGGAAAGGGCACTACAAAAGTGATCACTTCTACTCATAATATGTGCAAGTTGAAAAGTGCCACAACGCCCTGTATCTTTATTTAACTAACGTCCTAGCTTCGAATCGTCAGCTCTCTACCTAGTAATATTACAACGGCCGAGTAGCATTTCTTCCTTCTATTCCATGAAGAGAGTAATCCGCATCGACTCGGCCCGCCGTACAAAATTTACTCCTTTACTTCCCAGCCACCATACCAAGCTACTGCCACCATTATCTCCTTTACTCTAGCATGGAAGCCTGGTTCGTGTACAGCACATCCACGACATTGCTCAACTTCTCAATCGTCTGGAGCGCAGCATCATAAGATTCATCGCGGTGTGTCTCATCGAAAATAATCAGACAACCGGCGCCTTGGTCAAGAACACCCACAATAACCTTGTCAAGAATCATCTGGGAGAGCTTGCGCTCGACCTGCTGGGTATCTAGACCAACCATTCCCGCGACGTGGGCGATCTCGACGCGGCTGAAGGGTTCGATGACCTTGATGAGGTTCTGCTCGAGCATGGCGTCGTACAAACGGCGGAGGTGGTTGCGGATGAAAGCGTCGCTGCCCAGCTCATAGCGGTATGTAGCGAGCGCGCGTTCGTACTCTTCGAGAGATCGGTTCGAGTGTGCGCGCGCGATCGCTTTCATGGCTTCCAAGTTCTGACCTGCGTATTTCTGCGCTTGCTTCGATGCCATTAAGTTGTTGACGTCGTCGACTAGGTTTAGCATGATCTTGCAAAGAAGCATATACTGTAGAGCTGCTGTAGCCTTAGCCGATTCATCTTGTGTGTGGTATCCATCGAGCGCCTCGATGAAGTAGGAGTATGCTGTGTTGAAGTCTTGGTCCATTGTGTGAAGCATGCCGGATTGCATATCAAGGTTCGCCTGGAGTAGAGGTGGTGTGTAGACAGAGGCGGCGCTTGTTCGGGCGCTGGTTAAGGCTGCGCGGGCCTTGGAGTTGTTGCCAAGAGCGTGGTATACTCTAGATTCCAGCAGTTGGACTTCTACGAGTACTAGTTTGTCATCGAGACGCTTGAGTTCTCGCAGCAAGCCGTTGATGAGGGTCAGGGCATCGTAGTAGGATTGTTTGGCCATGTGCAGGGTAACAAGGCGGGTCTCGAGGTTCTGGCGCAGGAAACTCCTTCGTTCGGAAGTAGCCCATTCTATACATGACTTGGTGACGGCGATCTGGATGTCGGTTGTGTTCGGGATGGCTTCGAAGAGGTCGAGTAATTGACGGACTATGTAACATAAAGATTAGAAGACAGTTTACTATTAGAAAAGCAAGATGATGATCAGGACATACCCAATTTGGCCGTCTTAGCCTTTGCAAAACTAGAAAGAACAGTCCTACTGGTCGTAACTAGATCTACAAGCTCTTTTGGCTTCCTACACACAAATGTCAGATACGATGCGCCAAAGTCAAACTTCTCTTGAGGATGATGCTCACTTCTCATCCCGATACAATTCTCCTAAGCTTATCAAGGCGCTCTCGTACTCCTTAATCGCCGCATCGGAGGTAACAGAGGGAGGTTGAGATATGATATCCTTGTAAATAGCTTCAGCTTTTCGCGGATCGGAGCTGGCGAGGGATTGCGCCTCCTTCACGGACGGCTTCTTTGAAGCCATGTTGATTGGCGCGTGCTCGGGAAGAGGTTTAGATTTATTTTTGGAGGAAGATGGCAAGGTTTTTGTTTTTAGAGTAAGTCGTTAGAGTTCCGAATCAATCCACGACGGTTGTCCCTGCAGAAATTGATTGTTGGTGTGAATGAGAAGGGCAAGAATTACTGAATAGTACGAATGTACAACTGGAGCTTAATGGCCGTTGATGTTTCGTTCGTATGGTAGCTTCCAGCCTTGCGATTACCTAAAGCAATTAAAGTGGGTACCTACCACTGACGCAGCTTGAACTGCCTGGACTAGCGCGGAGTTGCCCGTAAATCCGTTCCGCCCACGATTCAAAGGTACAGAGGTACTTCATGTAGGTACATTCTCAATCTTCTACATCTCAAGCACACATCAGTGCCCAGTCCATTGGCTCGAAGGATAACCCCAGATACCTTGTATTGCTTTGAAATGGGAGTAGTATTGCTAAAGAGATAACGATAATCAAAGAATAGTACTTGTAGCCTTGTTAAGAGATACCCAGAATATATACGACACCTACTATACCTCTAAGTAGCAGTATTATGTGCCAATTATCACTATATGTTAGGAATCGCTCTTAACCTTCCTACATGCCAGGTATTTGGATTCGTTGGCTCAATATCGTCATTATACGACTAAGTTGTGATAATGTACCTAGGTAGGTTATGCTTTCACAATATTCATCTCACATTCAACCATCCTCCAACTGACCAAATTTCCACCCAGTTACTCACGATAAAAGATATACACATAACTACCTAGGTAGTTAGGTAAGTTACGTGTTAGTCCAAGAGAAACCTCCTCCATCTCCCTAAACGAGAGTATAGACACAAGTGCCACCAAGATGATTCTTTTCATTTTCCCCATATCAAAAAACCCCAACTCCCTATACGTGTATGTGCCGCTTCCAATCAACCCTCCCAACCGTTCCTCCTGACCTCATGCCCCAAAGGATTACCCAAAACTCGTCGTTTCTACCATCATACGCCATAATGTCAGTTAATCATTCTTCCCTCTACATCGAACTAGTACGAGAGAGGTTACCCCCACCATCTGCGGCGTACATATGAGCCTGCCAAGTGCGCACCCTATTCATCCCAGCATTTCGCTGCGCCTGCGAGCTACTCCCCGTCGCACTCCCACTCGCGCCCGCCATATCCCGCTCTTGGATCGAGCTACTACTCAACGGGCGATAAGCCGCCAACTTTGATGACGAACCGGGTCTAACAGACCCACTATACCGCCTCGGCGTCGTCGCGATATTAAATCCGTCCCCGCGACTAATATGCAGACCGCCGAGCCCGAAATCGAAGCCTTCGTACTGGTGCACGCAATGCGGTTCCGCGATCCCGCATTCCTCGGTTAGGATGCGGTATACGCGCTGCTCGACTTCTCTGGCCGTAGGCCGTTCCTGGGGCACAACCGACATCATACGAGCCACGAGCTGTAGCGTCGGGGCCACACCGCGGAATATCGGATCCTCGCCGCGGTGTTTTTTGTTCTTGGCCGCGGCTTCCTTGGCTAAGCCCGTCATCCAGGATTCGACTTGTCCAATGTTTTTGTGGAATGAGGAGTCTAGGACTGCGCCGCCTCGGCCCGCCTGCTTATGCTTGGCTGCGCGGTGCGAGGCGAAGTTGCGGGTTTGGCGTTTTAAGAGGAGGGACATGAGTTCGAGGATTATGCATCCGAGGGAGAATATGTCGACGGCGAGAGGGTTGAGAGAGGGTGTGGGGGAGTGTAGGAGAGAAGAGGGTGATGTGCTGCTTTCGGATGTTCCGCGGTTGATAGAAAATGAGGAGTTATCTGAGGATGTGGAGGCTGATACTGAGGAGGCGATGAGTGTGCTTTTCCGGTGGAGCCCGGAATGAGAGTGCGTGGGTGATGGGCGGTACCATTGTTCAGGGGCGGCGTAGTCGTAGGATTCTTTGTCGAAGGTTGGGCGGTCTGAGTTATTGGATATTGCGTCTATGCTTAGACGGCTTATATCTGTGTAGAATATTTGATTTTCGGAGTTGAATAGAATGGTTGATGGTTTGATGTTTCCATGTGATAATCCGTGGCTGTGGAGATAGCAGAGCGAATCCACAAGGCAGTGTATCCAGTTCATGAGGAGGCGCCGCCGGTCTTGCTTTGCTAATGATTTCAATGAGCTAGGCATGTTCACTAACAAGGACTTGAGGCTATAGTCGCTTGGGTGTGTGAAGAGAACATAAACGAACCCCTGGTGAGCATACGACCCGAAGTAAGACACGAGATGATCATTCTCAAAATTCTTGCCTTTATGGATCTCGTAGAGGAACTCATCTTCCGTCAACATGCCAGGTCCATTTCCAATCGGGATGCGACGCCGCGAGAAAGCCTCTCCAGGTCTGTTCGGTAACTCAACTCTATCCACGACGCTGTTGAGATTCAGTCCGGGTCGTTTGTCCACGTTCAGTGGGACGACCTCGGGACCTTGGTATACTACATATTCGCCTTTTTCGACGAATTTGAGTAGATAGTGGAATTGCCGGAAATAAAATCTCTTCTCGAGTTTGTCATCCCGGGTGGGTGTAAGCGCCAGCCGTTCGATCTCACCTGGGGGTATCGGAAGGTCATCATCATCCCAGCTATCATCGATAAGTCCGAAGATCTGATCCGGTACACCTAGGTCTACAAGAATGAGAAATATGCGTTTCGCCTTTTCGTCAATCCATTCCCAGTATGTTCCATCTGTTAACCCATCGCCGAACCCTAGTGGTAAATCCAGTCGTTTGATCTCCTCGGGAAGCAAATGCGAACAGACGAATTGTCGAGTAACAGTCGCTTCAATCCGAGATGGATCCCACCACATGGCTACCGTAGACATAGCAAGGGTAGCATTACACCATAGATCGATCCACCCTAAACGGTCAGTATGGTCACGCGACCCTGGCGCGTCATGTACGGTAATGTATGTAATGTGTGTATGTAATATAAAATAATAATAATATACCGGTATGAGGTATGTATGGGGAATATTGCGACAACAAAAATTTCCCTGGTAGATTAGGGCATGAGATTTGGTAATGTAATGTCAGCAGAGCAACACAGGAAAGTAAGCCGTATTATACATTAGTAGAATCTACGAGTAACAAATGCGTATGCATACTCCTTAACCGAGAGAGGGCGTCGGCGCAGGTGTAACATGAAGGGGGTCAAAGTAGTTCAGCACAAAGCAAATGTTGCCTGGAGGAGGCAATCTTTCTGTTTTTGCGGTCTGGCATTTTCAAGCACATATACTACCCCCGAGAGGACAAGAGGGACCTCGATAAGTTCCATATAAGACTGGCGTAGTAGTAGTAAAAGGGCAATCCGTTAAAGTAGGAGGAGCATGGTATATGATAAGAGAAGACCAGAAGACCCCTTCACGGCTGCTGCTGGAGAATCCTGACCTGATTTACTTTGTAGGTACCTAGACTTAGCAAATCATGTTGGTGGTTATTTAGGGTGATTCTTGGATGAGGTGAAGGATGCGATTGGTCGAAGGAAGGCAATAGATAAGAACATGTCCTTGGGTGTCTGATTATATAAATTACTTCGATACATTTCTTCTTGTCACTCGACTAATTCAGTATAGTGTATCCGCCGCTTTTGTTCCAATTCGATTCAGGTAATTCTCAGTTACATGACTAAGCTGTTGTATTTATGAATGGTCATGAATAAGTTATGCATGGGAATGTGAAAGTGCAATGTTGAAAGTGCTCGATGTTTCCGGCTTGAATATTGAAATTAAATTCAAATTTATGACTTTAAGTTACCCCTATTTCTCTACCATTAGACTGGAACTAATTGTCTTTTCTAACTCTACAACTTTCACGTAATATTAAGTTTAGCATGACATAAAGTATAGACTTTATTTATGACATTGTCGAATTAGAATTAACCATCTCGATACCAACGGTAGTTATCTTGAGCACGTACCTCTAACACTAAAGCTAAATGTAGACGCCCCCCATTTTACATTAGCGTGAGCCCCACGCTTTCGCAGTATATTTCCTCGGCAAAATCGGGGGAGACTAGAGAGTGGAGGTATTGCAACTAACTATACGCCACACCTACAATATAAGCACAACAAATCAACCAACTTTTAATCATTAGTCTTGGTGGCTCAGTTGGTCAGAGCGTTGGTCTCATAGAGTCATATGACTCAATCCCCCAGGATTGGGCTATCCAAAGGTCGTGAGTTCGAGCCTCACCCAGGACATAAAATGTCTGGACGACTACATTCTATAATTTTTTCTTAATTGCTGCTTGTACTTTTGACTTTTTTAGTGCCGAATCTTGAACTGCGCCTATCGTCAATAAAAACATAGGTTACAACGATGAAGGTCAATGATCTGATTATGTCAGTTTATCATTTTGGGGGTCTGGAGCCAAGCAGGCTGTAGCGTAAAGCGGCGTGATCAAGGGTCTCTTCCCCCCACCTGAATCGATGTCAAACCCATTTATCAGGATCGACTTTCTCGAGTCGATAAACCACCCCCCCCCCCGGTCAACGCCACTAATGCGGGATACAATTGAGAGGCTCTCGTGAGTTTCGATATCGACGTATATACTCTAGAGGGGCGTTTAATAATGCCTGGAATAAGCTCATAGAGGCGTTAGTCTCGCCCCCGAAGATACCCTTCCTCGTGTTCACAAGCAACAATATATTGTCCGGTGAACCCGCCAGGCAGGTCTCCAAGGCTGACTTTCCTATGCAAGTCATTAGATTGATCCTTCAGAGAGACCTAAAGACCTGATGATTATGTCAATCCCTTATTTTCTAGGAACCCCCCTGTTCCCCCACGCGCCGCAATCCTTTAATGCGATGCCCCAACCTCGACTTCTCAGGGATCTTTTGGTACTTGGGAAAGATGTGCCGTGACACGGCTCCAGCCCTAGTATGCATGGGATAAGGCACAATGATTTAATATTGACATGTCGATGTTTTTCCATTTAGAGCCGATGAATACCGATAGCACCCTTGGCTGTTAAGGTGACCTTCTTGATAGCCAAATTGTTATAGGATCACGAGCCACTTGGCAGCCGTTGAGAAGTGTATAGAATTAGTACAGTAATCAAGACCAAGGCTAGGCGCTCCCTTAATTCGTTAATTCGGAACGGCTGGAACTCCGGTTAGTGGGTTGTGGTGGCGTCAATTATGTCCATATAAAATTATTTTACATATGAATTGCCTCTTAAAGGTCAGATGGCGAATGTAAGGAAAAGGAGTTATGATTTTCGCTGGCAGAAGACCGAATTCTACTTTGAGCTTAACTTTTCCAGCTGTAAATCAGCTATTCAGCCTTCTACGTAACTTCTATCTCGAGATATTCACCGGATGTAACTATACATCTAGAATATCCTTTCCTTCCCTTCTCAGATTATTAGGTGATTTTTTCCAATATACATAAAACCTCACCACTATCCCTTTTCAGCTGCTTCTTGATACATCTAACAAACAATGTTAATTGACGTTCCCTTCACGAGATGCACTTTCTTCTCATACACCTTGATCTTGGTCCTGCAAGATAGATTAAAAGAGGCAGGTTGGTCATTACACAACACATAAAGGGGCTTCAGATATCTCAATCACCTAATGATTCAGCAAGCACACGAGGTAAGATCGCCGGTTATGTGTACGCGTTTTGGCGTCGACCGCTTGCCTGATTGTATTGTATTAGCAGTATTGCATTGGAATTTAAATTACATTCAAGCAGCCTCTTAGATATATTGGATTGTGGCATGGGAAAATGTTCATGCTGTATCACCATCGGCTATTGCACATACGTGCGTACTACCTCACTGATGATAAGGGGTTACTTACGAAGGTGTGTATGCGAACTCCTATCATTCCCCTGAAGCAAGTCTAGGCGAGGCAAAAAGTTATTCACCTCGTTTTGCTTTAGCACTGATCGCATTTGAAGCCGGCGAACAATGCCCTGATACGAAAAAATAAAAGAACTTACTAGGGCTACACCCCTATACATGACGTCGTCGGCTGTCGCCCGTGGGCGGTGTTACATATATGTACCGCAGCAGCTGCATCAGCACGGGAGCGGGCGCAACCCGGATTCATTGTGATAAGCCAACATCAATTGGAGTGTTATACCAGACCTGCAGGTAGCCGCGTGGGCGTCTTTAAAGCTTTCGGTGATATTAGCGACAAGACTCGGACCGAACTAACCAGTCACAGCATGAGATATCTACAATACTATATGCAGTGCGACATATCCTACTGGCTCGATTAGAATTAAGGCCCTAAATGGCCAGCCCGCGGCGGCCATTGTGACTGGTAATTTTCGGTCGCCTTCACCTGATCAAGACAGGGCACGGTTCTCAGGTGGCTGGATGCGATACGAATAATGTCGAACAGCAGGCTAGCAGACAAGTTACACAACAGTTTATCCAAGATTTGTGCATAGCCTCAAACACATCAAGATATTCGTAAGTCTTGCTGAAGCGTGCCACTTGTTTTACTACACCGCACATACCTAGAGGTATTTTTATACATTACACCCATCACTATATCTTAACAGATTCGCGAACGCCAGCATTCGGCCGTCTGCGTGCGGTATTTAATCGTAAATAGCCTTCCATTAACTAGATCTCCTCAACCAAACCCAGCTAGATCAAGCTTCCGTTCTTTTCGCTCAATTCGGTTCCCTTGCGGCCGACAAACGTCTTCATACCAGTGTCTATGCCCGAAAGTTTTCGGGCGATCTTCTGAACACCCACAGGCAACACATTGTACCAATCCACCCAGCGTGCGTATAGAGGGGTGCCAATGTGATCACTCAGGCCAAGATCAATGGCCTTGATGATCTCCTTGGCCACCTCTATCGGTTCGACCACTGGGGCAATGAAGGGGTTCGGAGTTTTGACGCCATAGAAAAGTGGCGTGCTGAGTTGACCGGGCGTAACAAGTATGGTCTTAATCTCCGGGTACTCTTGTAATTCGGCGGCGAGAGACTTGTGTAGAGCTGTTACTCCGGCCTTGGCGGCAGCGTAGTCGGCTAGCTGAGCAGCACCGAGGTGGCCAATAACACTTGATAGAGTTACAATAGTGCCACCAGTATCGTTACGAATCATACCCGGAAGAAACTGCTTGATAGTATAGAAGTGCGACAAGAGGTTAGTTGTGAGGCTCCTCTCAACTTCTTCTACATCCATATCGAGCAGCTTCTTGCCAACAACAATGGCGGCATTGTTGATTAGGACGGTAGGTGTTCCAAGCTGTGAATTGTACTGTTAGTCAAGTCACGTAAGAATACCATAAGTCAATACGTACATCGCGCTCTATCTCTTGTGCAACTCTCGCAATCTGGGCCTTGTCTGTCACATCGCACTTGTAATATGTAATGCCGCGGGCATCGGTACTCTCTAGATCGGCAATGTCCAGAACAGCGACCGTAGCACCTCTCATACCATACACTTCAGCGATCAACAGGCCAAGCCCACTAGCTCCACCTGTTATCACAATGACCTCTTCAGTCAAGTCTACCTCTCGGTGTATCCCATATGCGATCTTGTGGCTCATGACATTTCCCATCCATAGCAGCGTAACGAATATCGCCCACGTAATACTAACTATCATCGGCCTCGTAGTATAGTCTTGGTGTTCGGCGCGGAAGCATAGCGGTATAATCCATGCTACGAATGGATGTAATAAGGTAACGTTGAGGACTTTGAGGAAGAGGTCGACGGATATGGACGAAACCCACGATTCGCGCGTCGTTGGCCGAGGTTGGTTCATGATTGCGGATAGTTGAGGACACGATGCTGACCAGCAAGCACCTAGAATTGACTTTAGAGAATGGAATTCTGAGTACCTACGATTAGGACACTGCCAAAAAGAATGGTATAAAGTTAAATTATCGAACAACAAGGTGGAAAGAAGGAAAAAAGGAAGTTTGTTAGACCAGCTTAGTGTCTACAATCAGATGTTCGAATCCGGGATCGCAACTTCACTTTCAGCTTCTAAAAGCTAAAAAGCTTTACTGTACAACATCCGACCCTTGAAACAATTGGCCCGAGCGCCTAAAGTTTCAACTAAGGCAGGTTCCTACTGTACCTAACCAATCGGCGGGAACCGATCTTACAGGGGTATCGTTACGACTTAACTTTCAAGTACTTGTAGATTTCTGCTCAGGAGGCATCTTGTCTCGTGATATTATTCGTGTATTCTTTGTGGTAGAATTATAAGTGCAAATTTCAGCGCCTACTTAAGGTTCTTATGAGAGATTTATCATTCATAATTCTCATCTCTGATTTTGTATTGTGAGAATACGGATGCAGCTAACCTAAGTCTTGCCTGGTATCGATTTTTGATCTCCAACTCCTTTAACGCCCTGTAAATGCATTGCCTGAATGTACCATAGCGTAAGCCTCTTCATGAAGGATATCATCAACCATCACTTCTCCTTTGCTAGAATGACCTTATCACGTTCACTCTTCCTCTTCTCAAACTGCTTCCTTGTGTGTTTCCTCTCATTCTCCTCTCGTCGCTTGATAGCCTTGAGTTCTTCCTTCTTAATTTCACCAGCCTTCTTCACAACCTTTGGTAGATGTCTGTGACGCTTGATACGTCTAATCTCAGGCTAAAGTGGTTTATGTTAGTAGGAAACCTCTTGGTAAGGAATAAGCAGAAACGTACCATATGACTAAATCTCTCGGATAATGTATCGTTGTATTCAAGTGCTTGTCTCTGCCGAGCAGACTTGACACCTTCTCGCTTGGAGGATTCTGCCCTCCAAAGACGAATGTTTCCGTCATCAGATCCACTTAGCAAATACTTTGAGTCTGGTGTCCATCGCGCACAGAAAACTCTTTGCATCCGCTTTGTGTGATATACATCTCTAGAATGTCCTTGGTCTCGGTTGAATAATCGGATAGTGCGGTCGTAAGAAGCCGTAACAAGCTCCTGTCCTGTAGGCGAGAACTCTACATCCATAACTGCTGCTACATGGTCCTTCAGGATGTTCAATGCTCGGTCGAATCTTCGCATATCGAATATATACACGTTGTGGTCTTCACTCGCCGCAGCGAAGTTCATTGGCTCGATAGGATTCCAAGATAACTTGTTGCAGCTGAAGTTTAGATAGGTACGCGCAAGTGGCGAGGATGTTCGGAGGTCGTATAGAATAATTGAGCGGTCGGTAGAGCAAGACGCCAGCACTGAAGTCTCGCTCTGATTAAAGGAGACTGAAGTAATCGTTTCGCCGGATGAAGGCCATCGGAGAACTTCTGGTGCGGCTGTAAATCGGTCGAGATCGTAAATAGAAATAACGTCGGAAGCAACTGCGAATGCGTTCTTCGACCTATGAACACTCAAGCTTGTAAAAGCGTTCGTACCAAGCCATGAGTGAATAGGTCCTGAATCGTCCGGTGTGTTGTAGGGGTCGTGAATCTTGACTGATCTATCGGAAGCGCATGTAAGAAGTTTTTGATCAGGCGTCCATGCCATTCCCTTAACAATGTTTTCGTGCGCAGTCGTCTTCCAGATTTGGTCTCTACTTGTCAAACTCCAGCATTTTACAACACCATCACCTGAACCCGACGCAAATCTATCAAGGGAATTGGGATCCTTCGCCAAGGAGTAAACACCGTCTACGTGACCATTTCCAAGCTGCGCAATGAATGGTTGCGCAAACATGCGCTCCAATTTTACGGCATTGAGAGCGCGCGTGTATTCTCGTGCTCGCTCGAAAGGATGGATCGCTGGGTCGAGGTTTCGAGGCGCTTTGGGGACATCAGATCCGGCTGGTTGGTAGGTCGCAACCGAGCGACTTAAAGCTTTTATCTTCTATCAAGGGCGTTAGTATTTGTATTAAAAAGTAAATCAGGAAATCAACGTACCATGGTTGCTGAACAAGATGAATGTCGGAGATAGAAATTCCCACATTCAACTTGACCGCATAGAAAAAAAAGTTATTGGAAGTTTCTTATCCCACCTTTGCCGGCTGGCGGCATCCGTCCAAGCCCGAATGAGCTTATCACCTTATCGATAAATATATTTGCTCCAGTTAATCTCGACCAATTGGAATCATCGGGCTCAGATTGTACCTAGGTACTTCCACGCACATCACATTGATTACTACGACACAATTACATTAGGATTGTAGTACCACCCATCCATCAACATTTTATTTTGTGTTTCTGAATCGGTTTGAAACGAATCCAGCGTGTCGGATATCGAAATTGTTTAGTTGCTTGTGTAAGCCGTTAATTAGAGAGAGGCAGATGAAGTAGATACCCGTGCTGCCCAGGTGATAAATCTACATATTTGCAGATCGCCTAATATTATTGGACGAAAGGCATTTAGCTCTCAGTCTTCATGTACCCAAGGAGAGTGCATATGTACATGGAACTAGAATTACTTGACGTCACTCGATGCAGGAAACTTGCACTAGAGCTGCACTCAGCAACAAGGAAGAAGAACAAAAAAGTTACAGGCTCGCCAACTTAAATATTTTATCTGACTCGAGCTGAATCGAATTTCCATTTTTCCTATCAGACTTATGAATTAGGTTCATGTAGTTTGAAGAGGCTAGGATACTCCCGAGATGCTTGGCTTAATAGTTGAAGAAATGACTCGGATCCAACCTTACATTACATTCCTAAATCATCCCAAAGTCAACTACAGCTGTTGAAATTAACGGCTAAATGAAGGAATTCGGATCGAACACCTCTTCGTTCCATCCCCAACGAAGTGCATTGAGTCTATTACGTATCCCTGCTATTTGATAGATCCCACAATGTCCGTTATGAGAATAGCATCTGGATGAGAAGGTCTGAAACACGGAACAACTACGATAGGATGAACCAATGATGATGCAAGACATTCAAACCGCTTGCAGCGATACACGGTTGTTCGAGCCAATAAATCCAATTGCCCGCACTTTACATACGCGTCACAGCTTGGCGATAGGTACAATAGGTACAATGATCAGAAGGAAAGGCCGTTGAGAGGGCACTTGCACCTTCTTAAATTTTCTTTACTAGGACCATCGAACAGGGGATATATGTGGATCCTTTCCTCGTCCTTGGTTTTTCGACCTTGAAAAAGAAAAGAGACCCAATCCAATCTTATCTCTCTTTGTCTAGGCCAAGGTGGGATTCCCCGGAGATTTCAGTCCACCGACCTATAGAATCCAAGCTTACATTCAACTTCCCCAAAAAATCAAGGTAGGATAGTCTTTTATTTACCAGGATTGTTTACGATTACCTAGGGGATAGGTCCCGCTTTCGATTATTAGCTACTTAGCTAACTTAGCTATGGTGGTAGTGCGTTTGATATGTAGGTACAAGCCCAGGGATTATTAAGTACTTTTTTCTATATGGATTTTTGCTGGGTTCTACTGGGTTTTGCCTTGTCTTGGTGTGACTTAGAGCGTGCAATCTCACCCTATCCCGTACGCCACGACACATCCATATTTCTTCTCCAGATCTTCGTTCTCTACTTTTATTTTCTCTCTTCCCTCTCCACACATCATCTTCATCTGTGGTTTATTCGCGGAGGATTAAGAGTGTCGGATCGAGTCGAGTTAAACGACGAAGAGAGAAATATCATTAGACATTCGTTTTGTCCGTTTGTTACCAGGTTTCGCTACTGGGCGCCTTCGTTTGTCGACAACTTACGGGCATTGATACTTCTCTATCCCTTGCACTCGCTAATCACCATTCGCTCTTATCTCGACTTACACTCGCTCCCGAACTCTCGTTTTTGATCGCTATTGCAACTCGAGCTTTCCAGTAGTAATAAAGTAGGAAATATTGTTACGAGGCAAGAATCGATATTGTTTTCATACAAATATTTTTAACTACGTTACGATGCTCTCTTCCCTGGTTCTGGCGCTTTCTGGCGCTACTCTATCCTACGCGATACCGACAATCGAGGCAGTCGGCAACAAGTTCTTCACGAGCGATGGCGACCAATTCTTCATAAAAGGAGTTGCTTACCAACTTACTGAGAGTAAGCCTGAAATTATATCATTTGCATAAGCTATATTGTTTCTAATATTTCCTTTAGAGGACCCGTTGGTTGATACTGAGCAATGTACTCGAGATGCATCGCTTATGAAGAAATTGGGTGCCAACACCATTCGCGTCTACCACGTTGACCCGAATGAGGATCATTCCGGCTGCATGTCTGCTTTCTCTGACGCTGGCATTTACACCATGATCGACATGGATACCTTTGATACTTATATCCTACCGGTAAGTCAATACTCTTAAGAATTATTCGATTATATTTTAAGGCAGCTCGAACTAACCTTCTATAGAATGATCCGTGGTGGAACCAGACACAATTCGATGCCTACTCCAAAGTTATGGATACCTTCCACAACTACGATAACTTGCTAGGCTTATTCGTTGGAAATGAGATCATTGCTATTAACAACCAGTCTCTCGCTGCTCCCTTCATCAAATCTAGCTGCCGTGATCTAAAGGCATACAGAGACTCCAAGGGTTATCGTAAGATTCCGATCGGTTACTCCGCTACCGATATCGCGGAACTCCGACCTTGGCTCCAGGACTATCTTACCTGTGGAGGAAACTCGTCCGAGAACATTGACTTCTACGGTCTCAACTCGTACCAGTGGTGTGATCCTACTGATTACCAGACCTCCGGCTACTCCAACCTACAGGACCAGGCCAAGAACTTCCCCGTCCCCATTTTCTTCTCTGAGACTGGATGCAATAAGCCCGGCCCGCGATTATTCGATGATCAAGACTCTATTTTCGGCTCTGAAATGGTGAATGACTGGAGTGGAGCCATCATCTATGAGTGGTTAGAAGAAGCCAATGATTACGGTCTTATTTCCTACGGACCAAAGGCCGACCCAACTGCTACCGGCGCCAATTTGATTGGAGGTTACACACGTGCTGGTACCCCGACACCTGTCTCACCCGATTTCGAGAACCTTAGCAAGCACTGGGCGACTCTCACTCCTACTGGAGTTGCCAAGTCCGCCTACGACACTAAAGCGGTTTCGACACGTGCGTGCCCGACATCAACAGCTAGCGGATGGCTCGTTGACGGCAACGTCGCTCTCCCCACCTTAGGAGAGACACTGACTCACGGATATTCATCAATTCCCAGTGCTACGGGCTCAGCCGCTAGCCCTAGCGCCACGGAGACACCAAACTCCGTCTCTGGATCCCAGGAGATTGCCGGCATGGGCGCAGGCCTTGTGGGTGTAATGATTGTTTTTACCATCTTCTTTTGAGTCTACGACAAATCTTTAGAATTACAACCTTCCAACCCCGATGCTTCACTCGTTGGTCTCCTACCCTACTTTATAGGGCATCGGAGTCTTTATGCTGCGCATTATTCGTCGAGAATAATTCTAATTTCGCTTCGATTACACAGCTAGTGGCTTGTCACCAAGCATCCAAAAAGGCATAGTACACGGCGTTTTCTGCCTTGAGTTAGATGGACTAGATGGGTCTACGCCATCACCTAATGAACGGCGTTCTGCCGTAGGGATTCGTACATACTGGACGATACACTCCTGGAAATGACAACAGGATGTGTTTCAAAATTGCATATGAAGAGAACGCATTAAAGATTTCAGGCAAATGACGCGGACGATGGTCATGAAGCAACAATTTCATAGTTGGGGAATATCGAATTCCCGAAACTAATTGAATAAGTGCCAAATCGGCAATGATACCCAGATGGAACGAGATTCATGAGATTCATAAGATGTGACATGATTGGTGTAGAGTTTCAACAGTACTACTACGGTGTGTAAGGTAAGAAGTGAAGGGGATACTAACTTCCCAGACACTTCGATGAGCGCGTCGTTCTTACTACGGACTTTCAATTTATCATATCAAGGGAAGGCGTGATGGATGGGAACCCATCTACATTTATTTAACTACTTTCTCGAGTGGAACTTTACACTGACTTCGAAAAGACCACAATCCTCCATCAAATCAACGATCCTTTGTAACCTATACTCATCATTTCAATATCGCCCTAGAAACAGATATTTCTTACAGTTATAATACGCTACCTACAATCCACGAACGATAATACTCTATTCTAACTAGGCCTATCTATATCTATCCCAGTTAACCATGTCTGAACCAAACCCACCTAATCAACCTGAAGAACCTAAGAAAACCGAGCACCCAAACCAACCGCAACCTCAAAAACCAACCACACCTCCCCCGACTGCCACGACTCCCGCCACCGTCCGCGTTAACCCATCTACACCGGTATACACACCAGCCCCGATCCCCTCAGCACACTGCGCATCGCACAAACGCGAGGTCTAGGAGACGGACGTCGAGAAGAGTAATCCACCGCTCAAAACCCGCTTCAAGCGACTGCTTAACTGGCACCGATGGTGTCCGTTCCAGAACCGACCGCGCCTGCGTTGGGCTTTCTTGATCGGGCTTGTGGTTTTAGTTGTTGCGGTTTTGATTGTGGGGGTTGTGTTCACGGTTTATTATGATGCTATGTATTATTCGAGTGGAGCGTTTCTGTTGAAGGATAAGAGTGATGGGGGTGCGCTTGGTGGAAAAGGTGGTGGTGATGAGGGTGAGGGAGGGAGGCAGATTGGGAGGAGAGGTGGAGGTGGAGGTGGGAGTGGGAATGAGAATATTGTGTTGGGGATTGGGGTTTGTGGGATGAAGGATAGTTGTGAGGCTTTTGGACAGCCGGTGAGTTTTTTTCTACTTACTTCTTTTCTGTCCTTCTTTCTCCTTTCACGGTTCAATCGAAGGTGAAGGGGGAAATTTAACTAACGGAAACGTACCGCAGAATATGTGCTGTCCCACCAACATGACATGCCACAGCACCTCTTTCTCCCCGTCCGGCGTATACTGCTGCGTAGTGACAACAACAGAAGACGAGTGTCTAGCTACCGCAGACCGTCGTCCCCGCTGCGATCCTCGCGCTTCGGCATGTGGTAACGACTTCGGCGGCGGGTGTTGTCCCCCGGGTACGCAGTGTGCGCATGATGGGTGTCTGAAGGTGTACCGCGCTGCCCCTGGGTTTGCGACGAGCGTTTTGAGCGGCTCGCAGGTTCCACCGACTTTGCTGGGGACAAGTACTGCTACTACTACTTCGAGTGGAAGTGGAAGTGTGGGAACAAGCACACCGACGAAGACTACATTAGGACTAGAAGACGGCGCTACAGTACTGACTGTGAAGACGGCCGAGACGGCTTTGAGTGGAGGAGCCAAGGGTCTTAGACCTGATTTTGGGTTCTCTAGTTGTGTACCACTGGAGTTAGCAGCTTAGGGGGTTGCGCTTGGGGTTGCGTGGTTTATGGTTCTGAGATATGCTTAAGGGTGTGCCCTCGGTGAGTGAAGGTTGACGGCGTTGTGGGAGAATGATTAGGGGCCTGAGAAGAACTTTCGTATAAATCGTACGTCGTTCATACATGTAGTATCATTAGTGGTATCGGTTTACCTATAGTAGAACCTTAAGATTGAATAAAGCTTACCTAAAGGAGATCCCTAAAAATGTTAGTCCTAAATTCATGATAGCATCTAGATTCCCACGTTAGAATTCGATGTTAATTTCACCCATCTCCTAGCGTAGTAATCCGCAATTTCAAATGACGTTGGCTCTTCTCTTGTGATATGCAGTTAGTCGTAACCATGGGGATGGGGCTAGACGTCAATTTGCGAGACCCCCAACAAGAATATGAGATATGATCAATAGTCCTATGGTAGGTAGTTGGTAGTATCCAGGCGAGATATAATTAGATTGCGATAAAATACTCGTCTTAAATATCTATGAAATTGTGTCGAACAACCCCAGAATGTAGCATAGCATCGTCGTATTACATAGTTGTAGTAGTAAAACAAACGCTCGGGGTAAGGATCCATCCGTCATTGCAAAAGGTCTTCGGCTGACGCAGGAGCGCCGCTCGGAATTAACCCCCGACTTGCATCCTGCCGGTATTTTTTGATTTTGTTCTCCCGCTGCGGGCTGAAACGCGAAGGAATTGCGATATGATCTGATATCGATTTCGTTTAGGACGATTGCCGAATTGACGGTATGAAGTTGTCCTGGGGAAATCCTTCGCGCGTATGTGAATACTTTGGAATACGCTTTCTCATACTCAAAGTCTCGTTGTCTCGCTTAGGGGTTGGTTTCCGTCGCGTGTTGGCTTTTGGTGTGGCGGACTGAGATATCAAGACTTCTGAATGTGCCATTGTTGAATGATCGACTCATCTCCATTTATCAATATATAATTCTATTATAGAGTGTAGGATTGCGAGCCTGGCGGCTCATTAGCCATGCAGAGGAGAGGAAACTACATCGCAAACGATGTCATTTCGTGATAGTCAATCCTTGTTACATCGTGTGGCATGCGCATGCAGCCGCAGGTTTAATTGAAGTTACTCGATCTCGGTGTCGCTAGGTATGCGCGCTTGCGGCTACTCTACGAACAAGTAATGTCGGCTATGCCCATACAGATGCCTCGCTTCGACCGATGTTGGTGTACATTTGTTAAGAGTGTAGAAACAGTCTCATTGCCGAAGGATTATTTCTGTATCAATTCTTCTGAGGGCTTCTCGCTTGAGAATGTAGTAGTGTATTTGCGATGGAATGAACATGGCACTACTGCTACACACCATATGTAATTCTCGCTCACAAGGTCGGCTATTAAATACATAGGTTACTACAACAAGTCGGGTCCCCCTTCATATTATACGGATGTGTCGTGTTTGATCCTACCTAGGTACATTTACTATGTTAATTGTTAACTTCGCCAATCCATCTTACTCATAGCGTAGGACAGGGGGATAATTGTTGAAGAAATTGAACGAAAGTACTAGGTTATAGACAAAGTAGATCCTAACTTACTACTAGAAATTTCTACCTTCGTTCCCAGCTGTATTCCCATACGTCGTCACTGTTTTGTCGCGGGCTCGGATATAACTTTGGTGTGAGAAGTCATCGATGGGTTCGTGGTTTAGTTCACACTTGAGGGGTATAGGGGCATTCAAGGAGAAGATACCGGCCAGATTATCTTTCGAAGAGATAATTAGGGATAATACACGGTCCGTAAGTATATTCAGGTTGAAACCTGTAGGTATTAATACTAACCCACAGTCCAGCCATGCTCCCTAGACGAGTTCAGAGATTACTTGATATATGTAGAGCGCAACGCAGAAAACCTTCAGTTTTACCTATGGTATTGCGACTATGTTGAGAGATGGAGCCAGCTGTCTGAGCAAGAGAAAGCGCGATCTTCGTCATGGGAAACAAAAAGAGGAGCACACCTCCGACAGCTCTCATGGTCAGCGGCGCTAGGAGAGAGGACGGAAAAGTTGAATCGTATACTTAAGATCTTGGACCAAATCACAACAACCGGGACTCAGCACATCGCATCTTTCAAGGAACTAGACTCCGAAATTAGCCGAGTAGAAACCAATTTCTCGAGGCCTCGAACTCCGGCGTCTAAGTTGGGTATTAAAGAGAGCCAGAAGGAATTGCAATGGCAGCCTTGTAAGTAGCTTCCTCTTCATGGATTACCCAGTTGCTAACGTTGGGACAGTTTCAGCGCAGCCGTTCCGAGACGAGGTCACACAAATAACCCGCCATTATATCTCGATATCCGGGCTACGAAAGTTGACACTGACAAGCAAAGATCGGACGGCTTGTATGCATGCGCTGCAACACACGACACATCCATCTGCTTTCCTACCTGCCTTCTTAGCCACAGAGTTGATATTAAGAGAACATAGTCATCCTAATTTCATTCAATGGAGCATTCACAATAGCAATCGTCCACGAGTACTATTTGCTAGAGCTGTCGGAACTCTCTTAATCGTCTTAGCCATTTTACTAGATATCGCATTCATACTTTCAAGTCTCAATCGACTGGTTCGATTATCCGCTTTGCCGTTTTGGTATGGTGGCCTTTACTTCTGGTTGATAGAAGGCCGCGGAATTAGTGTCGGGTTGTACATGAATCGCAAGCGTCAGCTCCGCCCATGGGAACGAGTTATGGATGTGGATCTCGAAAACAATCACTCAGAGATGGACCCTGGACAGGCGCAACCACATGGTCCATCTGATTCGCCCGATAATAAGATACAGAAGATAATAACAGAAAACTCCTCGAAAACAGAAAGCTTGAAAGGTTTGGGGCCGGCGAACAATTTTGACGGAGAATCATGGGTCCGATTATATCGGGAGAAACCGATGCGGCACAAGATTTTCGATACGACCGTCTTGAACCATAACAGGCATCTAAGAGCTCTACAAGATCGAATCGTTTTTACTTCATTACTGTGGGCGAGTTTCTTAATGATAGTGTTGACAGTTGGTTCGGTATTGATACCCTCAGCGGATTTGTTTTAGGTATGGTTAATAAGAGGGGGCAGGGGTTATACGTGTAATTCTTAATATGTACCTACATGATTACGTACGCAAATAGCAAAATAATAAGCAGTTTATCTGACCCCGATTTCCGATCTGTTGGAACCTTGGAACCTTTAAAAAATCGGCCCCACCGATCCTCTATGTGCGGCTCAGGAACCATGGAAAGAAGTACCCTTGAGCTTACAAGCTTATGCCACGAGACCAGCCAGCGGGCACCTGCTCAACTACATTCATTCCTTCTACATTATTATCCCGTTCTATTTCGTCATAACTCGACTCTAAATACCTAACGCCGACACACATACGATCGATTTCGTGTTTTTAACGTTCACGCGATGTTCACAGCCGCGCTGCTGACATGATCTCTACAACCCGATCCAATTACGATTCGTAGCAACCGAACATCACAATGGCAGACGCAGCAGAGGAACCCCTGATGCAGCATCAGGAAGATGACATGCAAGATGGCATATCCTCGGAACCTGCAGATACCGAGGACGTGGATAACGACACGGAATGGCCGGCAGGTCGTCCGGGCCTATTCATCTGGCTCCTAACGCTATCCGCAGGCATCAGCGGGCTGCTATTCGGATGCAAGTAAGATCCAACCCGCGAGATCCTGCACAAACCTGCTTACACGTTACGTCACGTTACAAAGACGACACAGGAGTCATATCGGCGACTCTAGTCTCAATAGGATCCTCGCTTTCCGGCCGGCCGTTGACGTCGCTCGATAAATCTGTTATTACATCGTGTACCTCGCTCTTTGCCCTCGTCGCCTCGCCGATTTCGTCGGTCCTTGCGGACTACTTCGGTCGGAAACCTGTTATATTGTTATCCGATCTATTATTCGTGTTCGGTGCCCTGGTACAAGCTCTTAGTTACTCCGTAGCTGGGATGGTGCTGGGGAGGTCGATTGTGGGCGCGGCGATTGGTGCGGCGAGTTTTGTTACCCCGTTATACATCGCTGAGCTTGCTCCGCCTGCTCACCGGGGTAGGCTGGTGACTATGAATGTCCTCTCGATTACACTAGGTCAGGTGGTGGCTTATGTAATTGGTTGGGTATTCGCTGAACATGGTGACCCCTCGACGGGATGGAGGTGGCTGGTCGGGTTGGGCGCCGTGCCGGCTGCTCTTCAGTGTGCACTATTACTGTTCATGCCTGAGACCCCGCGCTGGTTGGTGAAGGCCGGGAAGTCTTTAGATGCTCGACGGATTATTAAGAAGACAATAGGGTCTGACGTCGTCTCCCGCCGCTTGGTTGACAACGTCGTGAAGGATATCGAAGCAGAACTTAGAGAAGAGCAAGGAAATGTTACTCCAGTGAGTAATAGAAGAAAAGGTAGTGATGGCTGGCTTAAGGGGTGGTACCAACTTCTTAGAGTGCCGAAGAACCGACGAGCTTTGGTTATTGCATGCTTACTTCAGGGGTTGCAACAGCTTTCTGGCTTCGTAAGTACTTGGAATTCGTACATTTTATCGTATATCTTAACTGACGATATAGAATTCGTTGATGTACTTTTCAGCGACGATTTTCACAATTCTAGGGTTTTCGATACCCACACTCACGTCGCTAACAGTTGCTGCGACGAATTTTGCTTTTACCGTACTTGCATTATTCTTAATCGACCGAATTGGTCGTAGGCGCATCTTACTGTACTCAATACCCTTTATGGTAATTGGTCTTTGGTTATCGGCATTCGGATTTAGTTTTATTAAGCTATCGTCCGGAGAAACCAATGATGGCCCTCTATCTACAACTATCGATGCTGCTTCTTCGGGCCCTTCGCAAGATGCTGCTGTCGTCATACTGATAAGTATTATGATATTTGTAGCTTCTTATGCTTTGGGCCTCGGAAATGTTCCCTGGATGCAAAGCGAGCTATTCCCTCTGAATGTAAGATCGTTGGGTAGTGGATTAGCAACTGCTACAAATTGGCTTGCGAATTTCATTATTGGATTAACATTCCTGCCTTTGGTATGTATCGCATTTCCAAGTTTATGCTGCCTTATCTTTTGCGTTATACAATTACTAACATAGAATGTAGTAAGTGATAAACAGCCTCGGAACTATGTTTCGTTATACAATCGTCCCGCCTTTGATACAGTAGACTAACGTATAACAGAATGGATTTACTAACACCCACCTTGACGTTTGGATTATATGGTATTATATGTGTCATTGGTTGGTATACGATTTGGAGAATATATCCGGAGACAGCGGGATTGACGCTCGAAGAAGCGACTTGCCTACTAGAAAATGGATGGGGTGTGAAATAAAGACTAGAGAGCCTCCGATATATAAGACAAGAGTCATCCGTTAAGATATATATCAGTCAACAAAAGCCGTAAACGTCCAATTCCGATGCGCAAGTGACATTTTAATTACGTGTACCCAACGCCGGACGTTCCGTGCTTCGTGATACCGTACTGTTAGTGCTCAATTGCTATCCCGGGTGTAGTTGATTTTTTTATGCTTATTGATTCCGCAGATTTCGGAATTAATTTAGTTGACCAACCTAACACCGTTTCACCGCTTACCGATCAACAAAGAAATTCGGCCCGCTTTGAGACAAAACGAACTCGCAACCATTTCTAGGTCGTTGGTCCAGAAAGAATCGAGGAACAGCCCTGAATTATATGTTACGTGACCGGTCCAGAGCTGAATCATTAGCGAGTAAGCAGTATTATGTTTGTTAGTCGGATTTTGATTAGCCACGATATGTTCCCAGATTATGGTGTGATGACATTTGTTACAATTGAATCATTACTATTTTGTATCACCCCTCTGTATATACCTAGGTAAGTACCCAATTGTAAGATCTTGGCAGATGCGACCGAAAACAAAGCTGCTGCGACAAATTCCGTGCATAATTATTATGGAACCTTGCATTCGGAAGAGTACCGCTAGAGCAAACTTAACGTATTATTGACGTATTTTTGGCAGAACATCCCGAGGTACCCAGACATGCAGGTTGATATCGCGATTCATGTAAGTGTGTTTGCTATTATATAATCGTATCATCCTGCCAACGTTTATTACTCGATATCATATTGCAAAAAATTTTATCGTATTCGTTGACACCCTTTCTTAAAAAATAATTTCTTCCCTGGACACTTAGTAGGTAAAGTGACGGCGAGCCGCGGCTTGATTGTTTCCCGGTGGATGCGGAGATAAGATTATCTCTTAAAAGGTTTTTCTTTGTTTTGTAACTGGACAATTGAAAGGTTGCACCGACTACAAGCGTCCCCAGCCGAGGCCGAGGTGGGAAATCACGAATGAATAAGCCGATCTTTAAATCTCAACCAAGTTTAGCCTGCCGCGAAGTCCTTGACTGGCATAAACGTTAAATGGAGTAAATGGAGAACGAGTGGGGGCCTTTTTTTATGTACTCATTTTTAATAGGTACAATGGAAAACAATACAAGCTTCTAGTCACAGATCTATCCATTACTATCAATTGATCCATAGATTGTTAGATACGAGACTCCGCTATCGTAACATTCCCAATTTTCACCTCGGCCCCTTCTACTCCTTTCACTTGTCCTTTTTTTTCAGCTTGCCGCCCCTCTGTAAATTTTTCATTTTCCTTCAATTCCCTTTATTTCATTGCATACATCCTCCTTAAGCGGTGTAACCCATCCTACCCGAAGCTTGACCAACTATTGTTGGTATCATGGTTATAATTATATAATTATGGTAAGAAGGGATACACCTATCAAACGGCTGCGAATAACAACAACTAGGTAATGGAGGAATCTCGTGTAACTAACGTTATATTTATTACAGAGGGAGCCAACAAGCTAAGAATACAACCTAGTACAGCGTATGTACCTAGAGGTAAGGAATTAGTAGGTACCATGTATGTAAGGAATTATAATCACGATGGGTCACAATGGCATGATTGAGTCAGTCGGAAAGCTGCTTTGCTTAATAAATTGAATTCAACCTTACTAGTTTAGTTCGATTTATGTCGTAACGCCGATGGAACGAGGATAGCATGGGACGAGCAAGACGAGCTTTCCCTTAGCCTCGGAACCCTTCGCGCACCTTCTGGAATCTGGAACAGGTCAAGCTTTCCAATGCGCGCGGCGGCCGGTTTCATGCACCATCCCGAGAGGTACATTGCCCAGGTACCCATGTACCTAACGGGTCTAGCGAGCCTAGGCTGCTTAGGTGCAGTTAAGTTGCAGGGCCGGTCCTGCATCTCGGCGCGGATTATGGCTCTGTGGGAAGTCTTTGCCCCGGTCACTTCTGATCAATTATGGTCAATCCTTCGTCATTGAAGCCCCAAAGCTTACATCTAATACGTCTAACGACCTTAGTAACCTATGTAATTCAAATGTACATACAACATTCGCCTACATGTAGAGTGAAGAGGCCCATAATTTCTTTCGAAATGCAAGAAGCGAATGCCGAACCCCTTCTCTCTTCTCGCTGTATCGCCTCTATACACTAGAATAATTAGAAGCGTGCTTTTAATCCCGGAAGAAAATGACTATTCCCAAATTATCCCGTGGACCGTTTCCTTTATTATTATTAAAGAAGCTTGGTGCCCAAGCTCAAGGAAAATCTTGAAAAAATTTCTGATCCTCAAGATCACATTAGATTTCAGATTCCTCTTCCTCTTAGTGGAATAAGTGTACTTTCTATTTTGTATATCGTTCTTTCTCTCTTCATAAGATACAGGTATACATACACTTACATTACCTTTGTCCTAATCACCTATCCTAATCGAGTCGACTTACAACTTTTACTTTACGTGCCAGTCAAGTGATCCACGCCAAGTAAAAGAAAACCGAATCTCAAAATATTTAACCGGCACTTTCAGCTACAAGCCAAAACATACATAATAGAGTATCGCGCAAACAGAGATCTCCCTCATCCAGTCAACATGGACGAGGTCGATCGCGAGCTCATTCGGGCTGAGCAAGACGCCCAACAACACATATCTCCCACCAGCGAACACCCTCCTCGTCGCGCTAGCAATGAAGTCGAGCGAGTTATATCAGCTTCATCCGTCTCTACAGATTCCAGTGAACACCTAGCGCAAAGGCGAACGGGAGGCATGAGCCGTGTGCCGACATCACGAGACCTCGAACGACATCCCACAGAACTTAGCCGTATCAACACCGCCCGAAGCCAACACAGCGCCACCGTCGGACGAAGTCTCAGGAGCCGCGAGTCTAGGAGGCCGTTACCTGCGTTCGGCGCTGGAAAACCATTCCCGCCTCCTCTACCAAATCAGGAAGAATATGTCGTCGAGTTCGACGGCCCAGACGACCCATACCATGCGCAGAACTGGTCGCTTAAGAAGAAGTAAGTTCGGCGCAAGCCATCTAAGACATTCCATATATATGTCAGTTAACTAACCAAATTTCTCTCCTAGGCTGCTTACAGCTGCCATGCTTGGTTATACCACCATGACATCCGCATTCGCATCCAGTATTTTCTCAGCCGCCACACCGTATGTGGCTAAAGAATTCAACGTCAGTTCAGAAGTCGGCTTATTAGGTGTATCGCTATTCGTCCTTGGTTTTGCAACTGGCCCAACATTCTGGGCACCTCTATCTGAATTAAAGGGACGACGCCTGCCGATTGTAACCGCTATGTTCGGATTCTCAGTTTTCTCTATCGCATGCGCTACGGGCAAGGACTTACAGACGATTCTGATCTGCCGTTTCTTCGCTGGTTTCTTCGGTGCTTGTCCCTTGGCCGTCGTCGCTGCTGTCTTCTCCGATATGTTCAACAACGCTACTCGAGGAGTGGCGATTACGCTTTTCTCCATGGCCGTATTTACAGGACCTTTGCTTGCGCCCTTCGTTGGTGGTTTCATCGTCCAATCGTATCTCGGATGGCGCTGGACTATGTACATTGCCAGCATCATGGGCTTTGTTGCCTTCGTCCTCGATTTGTTCTTCCTGAGCGAGACTTACCCGCCCGTGATCCTAATCGAGAAAGCTGCCGAGCTACGTCGCCGTACAAGGAACTGGGGTATCCATGCGAAGCAAGAGGAAATCGAGGTCGATCTCAAAGAGCTGGTTCAGAAGAACTTTACTCGTCCTATGCGACTTCTGTTCACTGAGCCGATCGTCCTTCTCTTGTCCATCTACATGGCCTTCATTTACGGACTGCTGTACCTCTTCCTAACGGCCTATCCGCTCATCTTCCAGGGTGTTCACCACTTCAACGCCGGTCAATCTGGTCTGACCTTCTTCGGGATGATTACCGGTCAGCTCCTCGCGGGTCTCGTAGTGCTGCTTGACCAACCTCGATACCAGCGCAAGCTTGCGGCTAACAATGGAGTGCCCATCCCCGAATGGCGTCTTCCCATCGTCATTGCCGGCGGAGTATCATTCACTGGAGGTATATTCTGGCTTTCCTGGTCTGGTTATCGTGCCGATGTCCACTGGATCGTCCCAGCTGCATCGGGTATTCTAACTGGTTTCGGACTCATGGGTATCTTCCTTCAAGCTCTCAACTACCTTGTCGACGCCTATCTTATGTTCGCTGCATCCGCCATTGCAGGTAATACGTTCCTCCGATCCCTCTGCGGTGCCGGATTTCCTTTGTTCGCAAGTTATATGTTCAATGGCATGGGCATCCAATGGGCGGGCACCCTACTAGGTTGCTTTGCCGCCTTACTTGTGCCTATTCCGGTCATCTTTTACCTATACGGCCACAAGATTCGGGCTAAGAGTAACTTCGCGCCAACGCTCCCTGGAAACATGCCGGGTGCTGCCTCCAGCTCTAGTAACGACACGGCAGTTGACAGGGAGGATGTTGTGGACCATGCCGCCGCGTCAAATGTCCCCAAAACAAACATTGAGACCGAAAAGGCCTAAGCGTATTTTCTAATATCGGTTTTCTTAGGATTTAAAAAAATAAAGGGGGAAGGAGAAGGATTGGTCAACAGGATTATGCGACCAAGCTTAGATTTATAGACATTATACGAAGAGGATCGCGCGCACGAATGATGCGGTCCAACACAACGGTGGAATTAGGAAGATAACACTTGTTAGATGACATGTAGTTACTTTACCCCATAAACTCGATAGTAAAGAGTTAATTAATATGATAAAAATTGTTGAACTATAGTAAACTTCCACGTATCCTAGAAAGAAGTTCAAAAATAAATAAGCTTAATTTCATAATTCGTCATTACTGATTGAGCGGCGTATGGTAAACGACTCCGCCAATGAAGTTAAACCTCGACGCCCGATTTGTATATTAAGAGGGTCTAGTCTGTTCTTGTTCTTATTCTGCTTACCCTCGACATGGACTCCCTGGGCGGAATCATCTCCCCGGAAAATCGACTTGTACCCCAAGACTTGGTAGGGTTTAGGTATACGGCACAGCCAAGGATATCGATGGCTTCGAAGTTTGGGATGTAAGTGCATATACTTAAGTACTAACATCAAAACTAGCTAACTACGAAGAGTCATAAAACAGAGAGCCGGTTTCCGAACTGTATGTGGAAATTGACGCGGAGGTGGGTGGTGATTACCAATCCGGATCCGCTTGCAGATCTACCCGATCTAGGTAATTCGGTTGCCGTTTTCTGCATGCTGGGGACCGGATAGACTTACAGGTAGGTGGCTTGTCGAATAGGGTGGAAGAGAAAAAAATGAAAAGGGCTTGATGTCGGTAGAGAATTGTTTCGCGGATGGGGTCTTAACTTCAAATGGCAAGTTTGGTCTCGGGTGGCTGCAGATACTTAGACCAGGGTTCTGTATCCGCGCCCATGGCTGGCATAAAGGGCGTGGCGTGGGTGTTAGGTACCGTTCCCTATCTTGATTTCCGGGATGGGATTAATAATTGGAAGAGTCAGGGATGTGTATATAAAGGATTATACGACTACTGTGAGTTTCACTTTTTGAATTTCGATGTACTACCACGTATCATCCTCCTCTATTTCTGAGCTATCGCTGCTGAATACAGGGGCTTTGATCCTGTCACCTCTCACGAAGTAAGTGGCGTTTACCGAGAAACAGCAGAAGCCACCAAGAGGGGAGTGGATGTAGGAGCGACAGACAGGAAGAAGAAAAAAAGCAAAACCAAAGGAAAGGGAAAATAAAAAGCAATGGGCGCTTCGGAACAAGGAGGACAGGAGGAGAGTGGCACGTATGAGGGTGGCTGCCACTGTGGATACATCAAATTCTCAGTCACACTGTCACCGCCGCTACCCGAGTATACAGTCATGAATTGCAGCTGTTCTGGGTGTTTCCGCCTAGGATATCTGCTTGTGTGTAAGTGGCGTGTCAATCTTACCTTCTCTGAGTACCATCTTCCTACCCCCTAATCAACGCCTTGCTCCTTCGAAGCGCCACATATTATGGGCGCGTTGCGATTTGCCGCCAGGCAAAGAATTACCTCCTTCAGTTAGTACCGGAAGAACATAAATATACATGCTAACACGATATGATACACCTACAGACCCCAAAGCCAAAGACGTAGTATGGCATAACGACGGGCGAAAACGATGTGCTAGCTACCGCTTCAACACTAAGACGAAAGACCAGATGTTCTGCCCCAAGTGCGGTACCAGTATAGGCATCGACTTCGAGGCCGTCCATAAGGAACATACATACGGTATTAGTGTAAGTGTAACCCGACCAGTTGAAGTAGCCGCAAGAAAGAGCGGAAAAGGAGGTGGTCATGGAGATAGGGGATAAGAAAGTCACCCAATATGCTGACACACGATCAATACAGGTTCGTGCGCTCTACGGTATCAATATCGATGAACTAAACTACAAGAAGCTTAAAGGAGTGACACGGGTCGAGCCCGCATATGACTTATCCGGACATATTTGGGATGAGGAGAAGCAGGAAATGAGATAGGCTACTTGAAGTAATTAGTAAACCACCGGGTCTCCGAGGCTATTCTGAGACTTACATACATATATCAATGCAGTAGTGTGAGAAATAAATTGCCTCACAAGTTAAGGGGCTTGATGTCTGAGCACCCAGCGAATCGTTGCTTTGATATGTCAACGGATCCTGCAGATACAGAGCTAGCAAGTGGTAATAGTAATCGTTCTGATTCTTATACCCGTTCGCTATGAAATCGGGATAGCGAGTACACCGGTAGAGATTTTGAGCAATGGTCAAAATACCTAGGCAGCACATAGTGTAACACAAGGGAAATGTTATCGGCTGCAAAGTGATGATCTTCGTCGAGAGGTACGAAGCTTCTCCACAAGGACGGCCAACTTCACCGAAATATCACACTAAGTACCTACCTGGTATTTAGGAAGGCTCTGTATACCTCAGCTTCCTAGCATCTGGAATGGTCCTATCCGAAATACCCAAGATTTATATGTAATTGCTCTTAGGAGAGTCGCACAACAAAATCCTCTATAGCGCACCAAGCCCAAGTCAACACAGCCACCAAGATCAGTCAGTCATTTCAAGTAAGCAAGGCAATCGATTTCCTTATTGATCCAGTGTTACCTAACATGAAGCCGCAGAGACACCATCATCCCGCAAGCCCCTTTTATATCAAGCACATGCCCATTGAAAACCCGATATCATCTAAATTTCGAATCTTTTCATTTACAATAAGCCCTCTATTTTCATTTCTTTATCTTCCATTTTCTATTTTTGTCTTCTCGCGTAGAGACTTTCCGCCGAAGTGATGCACTGCGTGTTAGCACCCAACTTGTTTATCGTCTCCACCCACTCGTCGTACGGGTCCGAGTCGAAGACAATACCGCCTCCTATTATTGTAGTTAGCATTCGTACTTGTAATATTTCGTAATAGGATAAGGGTAGATAGTAAATACTTACCAGCCTGCAAATACGCCACGCCATCTTTAACCAGCATAGTCCTCAGCGCAATACACGTATCCATCGCGCCTTCCTTCTCCTTACCATCCACACCCACGCTGCCGTACCCGAAGTATCCCACCGCTCCAGCATACACACCTCTCTTCTCCTTCTCCAACTCCGCAATCAGCTCCATAGCACGCACCTTCGGCGCGCCGGACACCGTGCCAGCAGGGAATATCGAGCGGAACGCATCAAACCTCGTCTGTTCAGGGCGCAGCACACCCGAGACCTGGGACACGAGATGCTGAACATGGCTGAATTTCTCAACTACCATTAACCGATCCACCCTTGTAGTCAAAGGGTCGCACACGCGGTTGATATCGTTACGCGCGAGATCAACCAACATGACATGCTCAGCGCGGTCTTTAAGCGAGTTGCGTAGTTCACTAGCAAGTTTTTCATCTTCCTCGGGCGTCTTACCGCGCTTGACAGTACCAGCGATCGGGTGAGTGATAATCCGGCCTTCCTCTTCTTTTACGAGGAGTTCAGGTGACGCGCCGACGATTTGGAAGTCCTGGCAGTTGATGAAGAAGAGGTATGGGGAGGGGTTAACGGTACGGAGGTGGCGGTAGATATTAAACGGGTGTAGGGAAGTCGGGCGAGCGAAACGCTGCGAGGGCACGGCTTGGATGATGTCGCCGACCACAATGTGCTTCTTCAATTCCGTTACATGTGCCTCGTAGCCTTCTTGCCCAATGTTGGAAGTATATTGCTGACCGAGCTTGATCGGTTGTTGTTCAGGGATGGGTATCTCGGGGGAGTTTAGGACGTCAATGAGCTCCTGGATGGTTGCCGTAGCCTTGTTATATTCGTCTGAGAGGGTCTCTAAGTTCCCTGGTATTCGAAGGTAGGTGATGACTTTAATGACACCGAAAAATCTATCAAAAGCCACAATGGTATCAAATAACATAAAAAGCGACTCGGGTATTTTAAGAACATCCTTCATAGGCCTCGCCGTCTTGGGCTCGAAGTACCGCACGCAGTCATAGCCTACGTAACCAACGGCAGCACCGGTAAGTGGCGGTAGCCTTAATTCTGGTACTTCGAGAACGACATGTTGTTCCAACTCCTTCTCGAGTACAGGTAGCGGGTCTACAGACTCTCCATGACCTTCACCAGTCTTTATAATCTTACGTGGTCCAGCACCAACGAAGCTATACCGGCCAACCCGTTCTGTGGCGGCGCTTTCGAGGAGAAAAGAGAAGTCTGATTTCGAATGTGCCGAGACTTTTAGATATGCTGCGGAAGGTGTGATTAGGTCGGCGGATATTTGGCCATATAAAGGTACGAGGTTTGGTTTCTTGGGTCCTGGTATTGTTTTGGAGAGTAGATCCTTTACGGTGTCAAGGGATGGTAGAACAACATCCTATAACAAGCAAGCAATACTACGTGTTAGTTCACTCGGATATTAATTGATTGATGTGACTAGAGGGGCATGAGAACTAGGAACTTCTTACTGCTTGAGCCATGGTGGGCAGACTATTAAGAAAGATAAGAAGAAGAATAGAAAAGTAAGAGGGCTTCCCGCATCCTCAGGTTTCCTCCTCACTTCTTCCTATTCTTTATACCGAGCAAGCAGGTTGACTCAGTATTAGTATTAGGTAGAGAATAAATTAAGAGGAAGCTTAAGTAATTCGGATTTTGGTCCCTTACATTAACTTCCATTTAGTACAAATGCACTTTTTATCCGAAGACGGAGTTAATGAGGCGGGGCACTTGCAGTTGTACCAGTTGTACGTATTGTTACCCCACATTGTGTCACCAACCAATTCGAATCCGCCATTTACATAAAACAACGTAGAATAGAAGTAGCGGGGTATTCACGAATCGAGATCCATCTTTTCTCAGTCGTCTGCCCAGTTATGATCACCATCATCAACAGTCAATCATCCTGTTCGACCAAACTCAAACCCCGTCGATTTAACTCTCAACCGCCAATGCCTTCGCACCAACAATTTTCGCATTCGCGCCCTTTCCCTCCGTCGTAATAACCCAGTACTCGACTTTCACACCTCCCTTCGCAACACGATACACTCTCACATCATTCCCCTTACCCGCCTTCCGTACCGCGTCCAGAATTGCCTTATACTGTCCCTGCGTATCCCAATCGGCTGGATCCTGTATCTCGATCTGTGCGTTCGACGGATCGGGATGTCGTATCAAGGATGCGAATTCCTCTATAAAACCAATCATTGTTAGCACTGCTACTACACACGTGAGGAAAAGAGGCGGGCATCGATGCAACCCACCTTCATCTGGCAGTCCTTTACCGCTCTCGTCCCATGCTAGATATACAGGTACAAACGGCTCATCGGCGTCGCTCACGTAGAAGATATCCTCAGTAGCTTCTTGGATAGCAGTTGGAATTTGTGCTCCATCATCCGTAGCCTTGAAATCTTGTTTGCTGGAGTTCTGTGATTTGACATACCCCTCGTTTGGGTCTCGGTTCGCCTTGTCAAGAAAAGCCATGTAGTCTTCATCCGACGCCATTCTTAGTACCCTAGCTGTAGTGAAGCTTCTCAGGTTATCAAAATTTCGTGGTATTGGAAAATCGGCCGAAGCTAGGTGATCAGGTCTACTCCGTATTCTGGGGTTATTGGTATAATGCGAAATTAGGACCTTGAAAAGTAACCGAATATTACACTGCTTCAATGACTTGCAAATAGAGCTGTGTTTGCGCAATGGCAAACCGAGTCTCATCGACATATAAAGATAAAATTGTATTGGGCAGCAAAACTGTTGTCTCGTATGATTCAAGGCAAGCTTAAGAAGGCTGCTTTTATCGCTTTTTATCACTAGTTACATCATAGCTGCTGCAACTGCTTCTTATACTCATACCCCCTTTTAATATATATTGCCTTTGTGCATAGTATCTTGTATCTTACAGGCCTCAAACAGAAGTTGAGCCACACGCTGCAGTCCTACCAAAATGTTACGATCTAACTCTAACACCGTCCACCCATGTTCAGTGCCCACCCTATTTCCCAGTCCGTTGCGCAGTTGGAGACAATCGCCTCTCCCCTTAGAATGATTCGGATATCGTTCGCCCCTGCTATATATGTGGCAACAGCCACAACCCTTGGGTACAATGGCCTAGACGCGACGATTAGGTACCCAGAGACCTAGAGAGCCGGGTTTTGGGGGAAAGAACCGCATTGTAGCATGTCATCGAGTCGTGCGGTAGGTGTCTGGTTTAACAGCACGAAGCTTCCTATTTGTTCAAGGAACTCTTCCCGGGAACATCTTGTGAGTGCAAATCGGCACTCACTCGGCAGTCTCGCGCCTGGGTCTGCTTTGCCTGCTGCCGCCGATATCGACAAGGAACAGCAATGCTTCGATCTATTGCTTTACACAAAATTGGTGCCCACCTGAGGGATGCGGGAGACGTCGCTTTTTTACTTCTTACTTCATGCTAGAAAACTAGATAATTCGGAATCTTTTGTGATCGCTCTTTCGCCATAGAATGATTGCTCGTTGTCCCTTGAGACTATTGAATCCCGATTCTCGTAGTGTGCCGATGTTGCCTCCGCGGTAGAGCGGAACGTAAGTAGAGCTGGGGTTGTTTTTGCTGTTGGTTGATGTTCAGAGGCATCTGGTATGAGCGAGCAGGGTAATGAGTTGAGATGATATATTTGAAAAGCGAAGGAGATGGGGAGATCTGAACGAGTGGTGGTAACAAGGCTAGATGTAGGTACCAGCTAAGCTGGCATTTTGTAGGTATGGATGGATGGATCTTGATGCTCCGTGTTGAGGAATGAAGGTTGAGAGAGAGAGGAGAGAGAGGGTTGGATTCCACGTATTTATAATGAGAGGAACTGAGGGGGCAGAGTGCTCTGAAAGATTGCCGACTGCACCTGAAAATGACAGAAGGTTTATGAAATTAAAGGACTGTCGGATGATCTGTTTAAGATTTCGAGTTGAGCTGTCGCTGCTCCTTTCTCTGGCAGAATCTACCTAATAGCAATCTCGACAAACCGTATATCATAACCGAAGACCAAATGCATTCTGTCAGATCTCTCGATAGAGTTTCGTCGACCGTCAGCGTGTGAGCTCAAGCTCCAAGTATAACTATAACTTTAGGCTAGACCCATAGTAAGAACGTCAGCCTCTACCTAAGAAAGCGTAATGTCAGCTCATCAAACCACGATAGCTTCAAACACCGTTCACTAGACTGAAGCTTAGGCATCTAGATTATGTGAAAAGAACCTTACGAAACTCTACCTCATCTTTTACCATAGGGGCAAGTACCAATACGCACTATAATATGTACTGGGACAACGGTCAACATGTAAAGCCTGCTGTGGGAAGTAGGACCGTTGGCGCGTCCCATACTGTAAAATCAAATTCTAATCCAGATAGGGTAGATTTGACTTTCGTAATAAACATTAAACACAAGTAGGTAGGCATGATCTATAGAAACCCCTTGTAGAAAGTTGAATAGATGGTCGTATTGGTTTTTTTCGCTCATAGTTATGGAATCTGCGTCACACTACCACCTATCAAAATGGCCCTTGTGAAACACGAAAGAGTTCGCAGCTATGTAAATATCGGGGTTGGTAAGAATTGTGTTGAAAAAGGATACAATGGGGTGGACAATTACAAGTGGCCAATCTACGCACGCGTCGTGACTAAATTTATATTTGATTTGGTGTTCTTACTACGTACCTATATAGTTACTAGAAGTACTGGGCAATGATTATCACTGAGAGTCATAGATGTTTATATTTTACTGTTTTTGCTTTATGCATTTGTTCATTATCTGCTTTTAGACTCAAATGCAAATCCTAGACCATGCCCATCATAGCAGCCGTAAAAGGGACCCAGAAACACCGATGCAAAGACGAGAAGACGTGATACAAGGAGACACAAAGCTCTCTACGAACTTTGGACGAGGTCCTTCTTGAGCGTACCCTGGAATTGCTTCTTCTCCGCAGGTGTCTGGAAAGCACCGTGACCGAACTCGGAAGATGTGTCGATCCATTTCAGCTCCACCTTCTCTAATGCTCGTCGCGAAGTGTGAGTGAACATAGACTTGCGCAGCGTCATGACACGCTTCTTGACACCAGGGATGGAACCCTTGACCATGACGAAGTCGTTGTTGACCTCACCATATCGGACGAAGCCACCCAGACTATAAATATGTTAGTATGAATACGATACATTTATGCGTCAATTTCAACTTACGGAGTGATGGTCTTCTTGGTAACGTCCTGCTCAGTGGAGGCGTTGGACTCGTTGTCACCCTTACCGATACGGTAAACCTTGTGGTTGACCGAGGTACGGTGGTGGTAACCCTGCTGACCAGCACGGGCAACGGTCCACTGGACGTGGGAAGGATGCCAGGCACCGATGCAAGCAACCTTTCGGAGACCCTTGTGGGTCTTACGCGGGAGCTTCTTGGTACCCCAACGGGCAGTAACACCGTTGAAACCGTGACCCTTGGTGACGGCGATGACGTCGATCATCTCATCCTGTTCGAAGATGGTGTCGATGCTGACGGGCTTCTCGAATAGACCGTGGCCAAAGTCGACCTTGTCAGCGACGGAACCACCGTTGACCTGGATTTCCATAAGGTGGGCCTTCTTCTGCTTCAAAGGGGTCTTTCGGATCTGGGTGTGGGCGAGGACACGGACGACGGTGCAATACTTCTTGATGCGCTCGAGCTCGCGAGTGATAGAGGAGCCGCTGCTCTCGGAGTGCTTCTTAGCGTACTTGGTGAAAGCCTTCTTCTTGCTCTTGTACCAGTTCTTGTAGAATCGTCGCTTAACTTCGTCGCTCAAGTGCTCGGCCCAGATGGTGGTGAGAGATCGGAGACCGCGGGGAGTCTCGATGTAGCCCACAAGACCAACAACGATCATCTGTGATAAGATGTTAGCCATAGGCACATAGCCAAGCGGGCTGCGTTGTTCGTACAGGTGGAGTATCAATAATGGAAACAGCTTCCACGATTTCCTTCTTGTGCGACTTCGCGCCGGGTCGGTCGAGATCACGAACGATCGTGGTCATACCAGCCTTGTAGCCCAAGGCGGCAGTGAGGTGGACGGGCTTCTTAGGGTCATCCTTAGGGAAGCTGTCAGGTGTAATTGAACATTAGCATCAAGTTTCATGTGAAATTGGTGCGCGAGGCCGGAGAGGCTTTGGCGATGTAGATTAGGAATGGATTTACTTACGACTTTACCTTGCCGCGATGACGGGCAGCACGCTTGCGCGGCAGGAAGGCAAGAGAGCCGTGACGGGGAGCCTCGAACTTACGGTGCGACATTTTCGATTGATCCTTTGGTGTTGTAGGAAGAAGTCAATCGAAAGGTCGTGGGTGGGAGGATTAAAGAAAATATTAGGAATTGAGAGGGATTGAGAAAAGCTGAACTTTTTTTTTTCAGTGGTGCAGTAGCGCACAAAGCTGTGGGCTGCAAAACGAAAAAAAAAGAAAGCACCTGGCAAATAACCGAATGTGGGAAGGAAACCCCACACTGTAGAACCCTAAAGCTTTGTCCACGTGACTTCCAAGGTTGAGTTGTTGCTGTCGAGATCTCTGCACCCATGCACCTACCTACATATGTAGATACAGATGCATGTACTGTTGTAGAATTTCGTGTAGAACCCTGTTCCAATCTAATGATCTGCTACTTTAATCTGTAGCTTTAATTGTATCGGGACTGCTTATGAATTTGCATAGGTATATACATTGTATGAATTAATCGTGCGGTAATGATATCTACAAGCAACACATCAAGCTATGCACTTTTCCGCTTTCACTTATGGAATTATATTTTGAGGCACATCTGGTTTGTTGAGATAATAAACGTTCTTTTGAAAAGATAGACAGACTTGCTGACTGCCACCTGACCTAACTAGGAGCAGCTCACCAACTCGACAATTGATATACATGACTTAGAAACAATCCTGAACAGCAATAGGAAATGGGTATGTATTGGCGTTCAGAGTTCGTAGATAAAAAATAAAAAATCCAGTTCAAGCAGTTCCCTCTGCCTTCGGGGCAGGTCCCATTATTCCGTTCAGGCTAGCACTGGTAGGTGTTGTATTCTTTAAATCTCCTGATGCGGAGCTGGGTCCTGACGCGGCACCGTTTACCGTCACCTTTTTCTCCTCCTCTCCACTGTCATCGTAATCGTCATCGACGTCCATCTTCCTAGCGGCTCGTTCGGGTTCGTTGATCTGCGACGGAGTCGGAGCCTGGGGGTGTTCGAGCCTCTGGCGCTCGTCTTGGGCGTAGTCTTTTGGGGCCGGGCTTGGCTGGGGTCCGTCATGGAGTAATCCTTGCATAGGCGGAGGTGGGCCTTGTTGCATCGGAGGTAGGTGATTTGGTATCGAATGCGTCGGGGGATGATGTGCAGCATCGGATGGGTGGTAGCTCTCGTTGGGGTGCCTTTGCTCCTCGACACGACGCATTTCCTCGGCGCGTCTCTGGTCATCAACACGTCGCTGTTCATCCATGCGTCGTTGCTCCTCAAAGCGATGCGCGTCCGGGGAACGGCGATATGGATCCCGTGGCGGTGTTGACGGTCGTCGATGACGAATGTCTTCCATCCGAGCCCGATTTTCCTCATTGGCGGGCTTCTTAATAGCAGGTTCATCCTCCCATTCCCGCATCCTCTTGGAAGCAACAGATGCTGGTCGATCATGGTCCCTGTGTATATCAGGGCCAATTATCCCTTTTGGGTGAGGGGCGGTGTCCATGCTAGGGATACCTCCTTCCGGGTGATGGGGGAATGCGGGCTGATGCTGAGGATATGCTGACTTGGGCGAAGGCATTCGGTTATCGTGAATGGGCCTCGGTTCCGAGCGAGGGGATCCATTGCGATAGGACATCAAAGAATGCGGTGGTGGAGCACCATTGGGCGGTCCATTAGCAGGAGCCATGTTTGAAGCAGGCGCCGGTGTATAGTTAGGATTGTTAACTCGAGTGGGACCCTGCGCAGGCGGTGGAGGCTGCTGCGCTGGTCCTGGAGGAGCGTACTGAGTCGGCGGTCCCGGAGAAGGGCCCCTTCGAATTGGTGCCGGACCAGGTCGATTGGCTTCTCCGTATTGCCTCATCTCCTGCCGGGGACTGGGCTGTCGAGGGAGGGGAGGTGCTGGCCCACGAAAGGGCTCCCGTTGGTCATAGGGATTAGGCGGCTGAGGTGGGTTGATATCACTGGTTCTTTGACCCCATCCATTGGCTGCTGCAGGTCCAGGAGGCGGCCTATGAGGGCCTCCAGGTCCGGATTGTTGTTGCATCTGTGCGGAACCGGTCCATGGCGGTGCTTGCGGTCCCTGGGCCCCATAAGATTGGGGGTGAACGTCAGTGGGGACGGCTTGCGGGAGATTTCCCGACGTTTGGCCAGCCCGCAAGAGTTGAAGTCTAGCCTTGATGTGAGGGTTGGCAGGATCTAACTCAGCAGCCCTCTGGTATGCATCCAAAGCATCGTTGATCTGGTTATTGCAAGATTCATACTGTGACACTTCGTTAATGGGGTGGTACTTGTGAGAGTGGCAAACTCAACTTACCAAAGTACCTAGGTCATACCAAACCTCAGATATGTACGGGTTTAGGCGTATCGCCCGGGAGTACGCATCTAAGGCATCTCGATACTGATTGATCTGGTAATAAAGTACACCAATGGAGCACCAAAATGTAGGATTCCGTCCGTCGCGGTACACAGCTTGTTGATATGCTTCATAAGCCTTGGGATACTTCTGTTGTGACATGTAACATCGACCAAGGAGATACCAGCTTTGGGCATCATTGTTGTCTGCCACGTGTGTCAGAAACATACGAATCTTGTCAACTTTGAATTTAACGAGAATCACCTACCTGCGGCAACGGATTTTTCCAGGTACTCAATTGCGCGCTCTTGAGTCTGGAAGCTACTGCTCTGTTGGTGATGAAGCCAACCAAGCTGTTGCAAAACCTTTGCGTGATTTGGGTCACGTTCAAGTACTCGCATGTAAGCGGCTTTAGCGCTGTCATACTGCGTAATAGTTAGCAGTAGAAATTATGTATATCCGGTAATATCAAAACTTACATCCTTTTGTTGCTCGTGCACGTGTCCGATTTGAAACCAAATATCTTCCTCGGTCAAGGGTGGCGGAGGTGAGCTGACAATGTATTTAAAGCACTGAGACAAATTAGACAAGTCATAGAAAACAGGTGGGCGTTCATTCATCGAGTCATACCTCTAAGCTTGGGCCATATTTTGATTGTTGTTTGTAAATTATACCGAGTCGGAAGTAGATTTCGTTGGCCTTTTCAAAATCCGGTTGCATCTGCATAACTTGCGAAAAGGCTTCCTCGGCGTGATCAAGAGATCCATACCGATCGTAGAGAATGCCTATGCCATACCAAAGTTTGGGCTCCTGCTATGTGTTAGTTGGGCATATGTTAAAAGAGGCCTATGGGAGATTTTAAAATACTTTTGGATTTGGGAGATTGACTAGGGCTGATTGATAAGCAGCGTATGCTTGCTGCAAGTCATCCATCATGAGGTAACAGTGGCCTAAAGAATTATGTTAATTCTGCGGTTGCGTGAGATTATAATGCGCGGGTTGAACATACCCAGACTGCCCCAAACTTCACCTTGGGTGGCGTCTATCTTGAGTATAGCTTGTAAATACTCTACCGCCTTATGGAAATCTTCGCGAGTTCGAAGGATTAAACTAATTGCGTTCATGGCTGGAATCGAGGTTGGGTTCGCTAATAGCGCACGCTCGTAAGCGCCCATGGCATCGTCCAAATTGCCAAGGAGTTCAGAGAAACTGCCTGCGAGAAATTGTCAATTGACTACACCGAAAGTAACAACCCCGTAAAGATCTACTCACCAATTTGCATCCAAAGAGCCTCGTTTACGGCGACAATATGCTGCGACGGTGTCCTCCATTGTGCCCCTTGAGCTGGACCCGGGGGAGGAGGGGGAGGAACCGGCGGACCGTGGTGCTGCATTTGCATCGCCATTTGTGGCGAAGGGTGATGATTCGCCATGAAGCTCGTTTGACTCGAATAGGACGTTAAGGATGCTGTCTTGTAGAATTTCAATCCTTATCGAAGTAGAGTCGGAGCTCTATAGTGCGGTGAATTCGCGGCGAAGAAATTATATGAGAGGCGCGTGCATGAAAAAGGGAAAAAAAAAAAAAATAGAAATTAAGTGAGAGGCCTAATAAAAGAAAAAAGACCGGTCGGGAAAAATATGGTTTTAAGAATTGCGCGGCGATGTGTCAGAATCCGACAATAAACCACGGTCGTTAGAAATACCCGATGGTCGCAAGTTGGAAAGACAATGGATGGTGATTGTGATGATGATGGCTCGCGGACAACACAGCGCTTAAAGAGTTGCCGCTAGTACCAAGCAACAACAATGCGTATCGGATGCGACTAAAATAAGCGGGATCGAAGGCGACGAGGAATAAGTTTGGGGTTAGGTTTGGAGAATGAAGAGGCGATGTTGAGGCTCTATCTTGACCGCGAATTGCCTGACGCCGAATATGGGAGGGGAGAATAAGCGGTGGAGAGGCTGGACGGGAAGAGAAGAAGAGTAGAGTTGGGAGGAGGCCCAACGAGGATTTCGCAATTCTCAGCTACCCTAACCCATGGATAGCAGATAGAAGGAGCATGGGAGTTTATGTGGGGCGCGGGAGAGAGTTCCTAGACCTGCACCACGCCCAGACGCAGGTAGCCTACAAGTATATGTACTCTGGGTTTTTAAGACGTGCATGCAATGTGGGGCTCTCTCTTAGTCTAGCCCCATAAGTTCCCAGTACCATTTAGGTTCCTGGATGGACCCTTTTTTAGTTGCTTCCACTTTCTTCATTTATTCATACATATACTTATTTAATATGAACAAACTCTTTATTTTATCCCAATTATTCCTATGACCATGCTAGTATGAGGACTTCTCAGACATATCGGATGATATATACGGATACAAAATGGATGTAGGTGTGTTTTTACGGTGTTGTGTGGGGGTCATAGGATGTTAACTATCAATCTCGTCATTCTACTGACAGATGATTTAGGTAGAAGAAGAAATAAAGTGTGTAGATGTGGAAATAAATGCAATAGACATATCAATTAATACTAGGCTTAAATGTAATACTAACTAATTAGCAATAATTGTTAACTAATTGTCGTCGCCTCGTTGCCGAAGAGAACGAAATGTTTCCTTCGTTTTGTGTTTAGCTCGTCCCCCGAGCTGCGTCACCATTCCGGCTCGTGGTACTCTAAATATCCTTTTTATTTTTCGCAAACTTTAGTCTAATACCGCCAGTCTAGTAAGAACAGGCTTTGTGTCATTTTAGACAACGGGAATCTAAAATGTGCCTTGGGAAAGAAAAATAAAAAAACGGGTTGCGGCTAGGTCCCGCGTTAGTACAAGGTACTTCGCTAACCTTGATTGAAACCGAACTCTTTAGTGACGGTTCCTGTAAGGAATTAAGGAAAAGGAACCGGGAGGTACTTTCCCAGGACTTAGACCGAGGTGCGGCCAAAGTTCCGAAACACGTACAAATTTGGGTCAATCACCGGTCATGGCGGCTCGGACGGATTCGCTCTTACCTTGCCGCTTGGCCTTGCTTGGAAGGCAGGGGAGGGGGTGTGGATGTGGGTCATCCTGCAGGTCTTGGCATTCGAAGCTACACACCCACACCCTCTCTGCCTCTTACCCTCTTTTTAATACAACCTGTACAACCTACTACGTAGCATACGTAAAGGAACCCCAAGGATAGCAATTTAATAATTTTCGAGGAACGCTTATCTCCAGCTTGTATCGGAGTATTTATCCTCGCTCCATCCCTCCCTCCCTTCAAAAAAAAAAAAAACACTTTACATCGTGAGGCTTGACGTACAGGAACAAACTGCCCAACAAAGTTAGAATGGATGTCAATAATTCTAGCTGTTCTGGCGAATTTCCAACCTTCCCGGCTTGACACTTGTCAAACGTACAGGACACAACAACGACGCACTTGACTGTACGATAGTGCGATCTTAGCATCAACAATTATTTTCTATATCTAATGCTATTTAAGATGGGGTATGAATTAAACCCGGGTTAAATAAACTGTGGATAAAATAGAAAAATACTAATGTAGCTAAAGGTAGTGTATAAAAAAGTAGGTCCCGAGGTATTTAAGTATTTAGTTCAGAAGATGTTCGACAGCGATTATTACCCATGATTCGTGTTCGCGCCCGTTTCCTAAGTCTGTCGCCGGGTAGTGTAGTTTATTTAATAGTATTGGTTAAGTCGAAATGGTGGGTCGTCACAATTCAGGTAACTCGCCATTGCCGGGTTTTCGTCGCTGCAAATCATGCAGAAGCTTGTCTAGATCATCCCGTTGCTGAAAAGGGGGGGAAGGACTTTTACACAATTCGGCGAGGCCAACCAGAGAGGAAAGAAGTAAAAATCATACGCAGAATATTAACCAGCTTATATGGGTAACGCCTGACAATATCTATCACAATCTGACAATGCGACTCTCGTCACAACACACACACTGAGAAGACCAGGCAGGAGTTTTAGTGTAATACCTTGGTACTTACCTACTTGCTATGTAAGGCTATTTGTGGGCTAGCTGGGTTGTGTCAGCAGGGAGATTATGGTGGAAATAGCCAAGCGACCAATCTCGTCATCTCCCGAAGATCGAGGGTGAAGAAACACCGGCGATGTGGCACCAATTCTTTAGATTTGGGGGGGGGGGAAGCTTGAACGAGACAATAAATAGCTGAGTGATCATTCCCGTTGAGGTAATGTTGATGTTGGCGCTAACACATTTATAGAAAGCCCACGTGTCATGTTAAGAAGGGGCTGGAATCTTACCGCGAGCCCTCTGAACCTCTGAACGCTTGGGGCTTATTTCTTATTTACGCAGTACCTACACTAGTAATACCTGGTGTCCTTCCAAGAAATCCTACGGCTTTGCTTCAATGGATACTTTACTTACCTGAACGGTTTCATCACTTCGGGGCTTTTCCTCTCGTCGACTGTTTTGTCGCTGCGGGCTCCGTATTATATACCTCTTACTACACGATATGTATGCACGCACAAATATAGGCGCTTATGTACATACATACATACAGGCCTACATAATATATAATACATAGTAGGAACGGCAGTCGATCCTATCAAGATGATGTTTCAAGATCGTCCGCCATGAAATCATCGTCATCATCAATGTACCTGAGTATATCCTTACATACACATTTTGGGAAGTACGTACACATCCTAGTACACATATGCGTACGATGTGGTGGTATGTGTATTCCCTACCTAATCTAGTCCCTAAAAGTCAGGTCGAGACGGGAGCAGGGGGATGTGGGGTTAGTAAGAACTATTCAATGTATTATTCATACGAAAGGTTCATGAGTCGGGATGTTTAGTGCGTCGCTTTCGATAATCTACTTAGATTGATTGATCATTTGGAAGATGGCCGGTTGGCTGATCGCTAAATGTGTGATCGTCGTCATCATCAGGCAGTCCAAGGGAAGCTTTTTTCTCCCGCAACTGCACGCAGCACGCATGCAATATGTGATTGCCCGGCATAAGGGGTGGCGGAAGGAGTGTATATAGCGCGAAGAAGAACCGCAACATGGGTGTATATACAAATATACATAGATGAGTGGGTAGGATAGTTCGAAGCGCCCCAGGAAAAGGAGAGGCAAGGAAAGGCAGGTCAAATAGGACAAGTTGGGTTAGGTTCATAATAACAATGATAATAATTAAAAGAGAAAAAAAATACTGGAGGGACAAACGGGGAAAAGGGGTGGCGGTCGAGGGACCTCGTAGCCGGTGCAACTATACAAAGGTACGAGGCACTAGCTTATGTATGTCTGCTGTACACATCTCACGCATATGCAGCTGTTGGTACGTGGCTATCATTAGCCAAATCCCCAGCGGTATGTGCCACACAGATCACATCCATGTGAGTGGAGCTGCCGTCCTGCCTGCATCGGACCCCGGCGGTCTAGTAGTAATGACGATGATGGATGGTGTGTAGTATGGTAGTGATGGATGCGAGTTACCTAAGTACTTACGTACCAAATAGATAGATATGTAGGTTCCCAGCCCAAGTGTTCATACATTACATATATGTATGCAAGCGCTTTTCATCGCTGATGAGTTGACGATGAGGGAGGTGGCCAAGATGGGCCGAGCAGTTGAAGGCAAAAGAGCAAACCAAAAACAATGGACATGGAAAATGCGAGCGGATTGTGTATGCACCACGGTATTTCGACTTCACTGCCTCGATGAGCCTCGTCAGATTGTTTTACTATACCTGGTCTTCATTACATGCTTGCTCATTTACTCACACGCTCATTCAATTAAGGCGTGGGATAACTGGACATTTTGCAGCACACATAAAAGAAGCAAAAATTTCTAGCGCTTTCGGCGCTCGTATTCCCGTAACTTGATGCCGCAACCTGTATAGACTATTCAATCGGTCAGCCAGCCAACATCTGACCAAACCGCAGCACTCACCGACGGGCCGATGGGCAAAACCCAAGTTAGTCTTTCTCCGCGAACAATAGAGAATGAACCATCAGTAGGTAATAATGTTGGTTCGTAGCATTCGTTTGTTTGTAGGAAAAAAGCGACGAGGTAGGAATGAAACTCAACACAAATCCATCCAGTTTTTGGCAAACCCGTTGGGAGATACCTAGGTAGGTAGGGCAAGGTGACCGGGAGAGAGGGCTATCCCATGTAGCACCAGGGGCACAGCGAGCTGAGTTACCCACTGGTAGATTAACGATGGAAAGAATAGGATTTAAGGCACACAGGGATTCATTCGCTTGGAACGAAACGTTTTGGAGGACAAGTGTGTAAGCTTTTTTCTTTTTTCTTTTTCTTCCTGAGAACAGGTTGCTTCCGAAAGCACGAGATTTGCCGACGTGCACCTGGCAGCCTAGTACATGGTATAGTACATAGTAACAAGGTATGCACAGGTTAGGTAGGATAAGTCACATGTATTGGAGAGAAATGGATGGTCGATGTTTCGACGTATCGGGAATAGGGGCCGTGGAACTGAACTCGATACGTGGACAAGCTGTCGTACTAGGTATTTTAGATGCGGTGGAAGAAACTGGTTAATGATGAGACAGTCCGTGCCTGTTCCAGGTTTCCCCAAACTGATGTACGTCGTACCACATGGATTCAATTTAGGTATGGCATAATGATGTATACAAGCCACAATTGCAACGCCACCATTCCTCCTTTTTCCCGCCCTTTATGATGGGCTACGAGGCTAGGACAATTGACTTTGTCCTAACAAGAGAAGCTTAAAGTCTAGTTGTTTGACGTCCTTGAGTGTATGTACATAGTAGGAAAGCACATACGTATAGACATAAAGTTCAGATGCACTTAATTGAAAGCCTATACATATGGATCTACAAAACATCATCCTTCTCGAAAACTCCACAATAATGTCTATGCCCCGTAATTATGGTAGGTATAAATTAAGCTTTAATAGTCTTTCCGTATTCCGTATTCCGGATCTGAATCTGTATCTGAAGATGTCAACCTCAAACGTTCTAGATGAACTAAGTGTCTCCTGTCTTAACTTTACTAATCGTTACTTATAAATGCAAGAGGCTACCGATATGTCCGAGCAAACCGCGTGAGAATATCAATTCAACTCACCTTATATAAACAAGATGCCCGAGTTTAAGTTTAACGAAGTTTAAAATGACAAGCCTCCGTAAACACGTGGATGGTATCATATGAGTTCATGTCGTATTATTATCCAAGCGCTAAGCACTGATGGCATTATATGCATTTTAAAGACTGATATAGGACGTACGCTAAGCCCATCTTAATTCACTGAGGTCACGTCTTGCGTAGAGCCCGGTAAGATGGAGCTTGGACGGTCACCTATCCGCTGCTGCTTGCAACCTAGCACAGCGAGAGTTTCGGTATTGCGTGATCGAGAATACACCACCCGCTAAACCCAAGACCCAAATGGCTCATCCTCTAATGCCGACTCCGAACGCGCGAGTGCTCCCATGGTAGAAATACAAACGTATTCAGACACAAGACAAAGATATTTCGAAGCCAAAATAATGGATACAGCCACTGCCTCCTCACTCAAAGCTCAACATCCAAGTTCAAGAGTCTTCCTTTTCAATATGGTCTTGTTCGGGGTTATAATTTGTTTCCCCCAACACCGTGTTTGGTTGTGTTGTCATCGCGGCCTGACTATTCGCCTGCGGTTGCGTGTGTATTGTTGGGCCGGAAGGCTGGTTAGGAGGCTGTGGTTGAGTTCGCGAAGAGCCGCTAGGTCCTGCGGTTGCAGCATGTAGTCGTTGGTCCAGTACTTTCAAAGCCAGAGCTCGTCGTCTCTCTGCCTCGGCCCTAACACCTCCGTGGCCGGTTCGCTGTATGAAGCTACTTCCCTGTGCAGCAGCAGAGATATCGGCTTGCGAAAAAGGAGTGCAAATTCTTATCGCTACCAACAAGTTGAAAATTTGCTCCGTAATTGGTGCTACAAACGGCTTGACAGGCCCGGGGAAAAATTCAGCAAAAGCAAACGTCTCACTTGCATCACCACGCATCGAAGTTGGCTGCGAAGAATCGAGGTCTGGGAAAACGGTCTTGTAGAAACGTAAGTAGGTCCAACTCGACAGGAGACCGAATAAGGCTAGGAGTAGAGACGCGCTCGTGAGCAATGGTGTCAGTGCGAGTATCGCAACGAGACCAATGTAAAGTAGAGGGAACCGAGGTACCCGTAAGGAGAGGACACCTCGGAAGAGAGTAACGGTATGGGCAGGAACAAGTTGGCTAAAAGCAACGAGGAATGAAATCTGGAGTGGTATCGTGCCGGCAATAGTCATCAACCTAAATTTTTGTATGATTAGTATAATCCCTTGTATATATATGGTCACTCAAAGATTTTAAAAGCCATAACTTACGTCCAATCTTCATTTCGAGTGATAGTGAATAGCGTGACGAGAACTAGAAAGGTCAAGGTATTGGGTATCAGGGATGCCACAAGAAGGAACTTTGCGAATTCCCTGGAGGACCAGGCTCGTTCCAGATACTTGCCCCCATGGTAAAGAGTGAGGCCGGCAATAGCCAAGGTGAATATATTATTCTCGACCAATGTAGCCGTTAAAAAGGTCCATGGATAAAATAGTGATAATTGTGGTATCAGGGTAAGCCATTCGACAACGATCTCCGAATGTGCGGACCACTGACGATAGCGCACAGCAGCGCTTAAGACGGACTGAAGAAGGAGGACCACAAGCACAACCCGGGTAACCGGCGGGATATTTAGTCGAGGAGGCATTGTGGCAGTTGGATTTTGAGGCTTTGGGCGTCGAGCAGAATTTGAGAAGTTGTCGGATTTTCGGGATCGCGTCGAAGCGCACATCAGCTCATGAGATTAACTTTTGGTAGCCTGGCTTATGTGGCCTGTGCTTATTTCCCCTTCCGTCAGCCACAGCTTAGTAACCAGAGCTTCAGCCTTTAATGTTTAATCGTAGCCAAGCTCCATATGCGCCACTCGGTACCTTGCCTGCACCGTGCTTTACTTTAAATGGGGGAAACCTTCAAATTTAACCTTTACGGGTGTGCCGCTTCTATCTACCTAGGTACATATACCATTCATTGTTGCATCTACACTGGACACATATCACTTGATCAACTTAAAAATCGTGGGTTTTTATCAGATAAGAACAAGGCACTCGTGGCTATTAAGATGCCTATACTCCTATATAAACTTACGGCCTACCTATATTAGACATGATATTTGTCCATAAGGTAAATGCTCATCCGTCTATCCGCCTCCGCCTTTACCGAACGGAGTATGAGGGTTGTCCGTGTCCATGACCTAAAATGGCTTAGTTCTGACCCCTAGCACCACGAAATTTCTCGCAGGGGATCAGGGTTAGAAATGGTTTCGATACATTTCACGTGTACATCTTGCTGCTTACAGGCATTACTTAGGTACCTGGTTATTTATATGAGTGGTTTTTTTATTTATTGCGATAAAGCAAAGCCGATCCATGAAAACTACAAAGGCACTCAATTTAATTATTAAGTTTAAGTACCTAGGTGTTTGGGTTGTCGGGTCTCATAATAATCGGCTACGCGCATGGGGGAAGAAAGAAAAGACTTTGGAGATGCAGGTAGCAAAGTACATTAGATGCGCCTTTCACCCATCTTTAATTTTAGCGTGGTTGCATGTTTAGGGATTGTTGGTGATGCCGGCGAGGCATAATACTATTTTCAATGCACTAAGCCCCAAATGGATAAGAACGACTCATTAGTCGGATGGCAGCGACTTAAAAGATCGTCTGTTTCTTCGCCTAAGGTTAGCGTGGACGGGACTCCCTGGTCAGGTACGTATCCTCTTCTCAGCTCTGGTGGGCTACCTACATAAGGTACCCAAGTAAATTCCAACTCCCTTTTCAAGATCATGCACTCTGCTACATTTGCTCAAAAACCTACCTAGCCTAAGTACCTTGAATACTTCCTTTTTCTTTCTTCCTTTAATATCGAAACGATCTTCACTATCGGAGACAGCCACTGATATAATACGTCAAAGCCACTTATAATGTAATTGTATAGGATGTTATTTTACACTAATTATTTATTTATTCTATCTCTCCTTTCTAGCCCTTAGCACAACCCGATCTCAGTTTTTCTAAGATCCTGTTCGATTGCGAATTTCCGGGAGTACCCCAGCCAAGCCAAGCCAAGCCAGGATGACGGATTAATAAAATTGATGAACCCTGATCATTACTTGTGGGGACCGTCTGGAGTTTCGCTGTCGTTTCCATTGTTCGAAGAAAAACCATCTCATAGGCTCACCCAATCTTTTTCTCCCTGACAGAATGAAGTCTAGCCTCCCCATCCGTTCTGCTACCCGCCAGAACACCTGCAGTAGGAAACGCCCTACCGCGTGGGTCATGATCGATGAAGACACGGTCAGAAAAAAAAAAAAAAAAAAGGATGCCAAGGCACTGTACAATGAAAAACGAAAATGGTTACAATGCCGAACCTGAATCGGATAAGAATTCTGACTATTTTGGTTCAAAAAGGTATCTGCAGTAAGGCAATTCGTCAATGCAACCCGACGGAACTGCACGTGTATAATTGAATACTTGAATGCGTCCTTAAAGAAGCAATGTCGACTGATGCCCAGCCTAAAAAATGCGGCGGAGCAACAGCCCTATTATCATGTACACAAATTATTGGATGTGTGTGGACGGATGGACGTACTGAGTATGGACGTAGGCGTGCAGGCATGTTGATGTACAATACACCCACATTTAGTGTTACATATACATACATAATCAAAGACGCCGCCCCGAAGCTAAGACCCTCTACTTTCAGACAGAGATTTCCCGGTCAACTTGTGTCTTTCAAGCACATTCTTTTTCTACCTATGGTCAGACAAGACGCGTGGGTTTGAAGTTTGGATGTTTATAGTTGAATGTAAGCTTTCGCCTATATGTGCACTATAGACGCCTTATGGTATTGGCTTGGATCTTAAATCACCCTATACACGAAATAATGTTTTGCCCGACGACTAGAAATGCTCAAAATGATCATACAAGTTGGGTATATGTAAGTACATTTGTGATGTACCCGTAGGTACCGATGCAGGCTGTAGCTTCCCCAATTACGATGAGCGACATGGTAGGTAGGGTTTGTATAGTACTTAATAGCTCCATAATATCAAAGTATATACCTAATCCACCCATGGACCTATCCATAGACGTACTAGGATGGATTGTGGAGTGGGTCTACCATTGGCCCCTTCCCGTGGACAAGTTCCAAGGCCTTCAGCGGGCAAAATCTCATTATCTTCTTTCCTTCACCATCCTCAAGACAACAACTCAAAATACCACTTATCCAGAACCTGCTAACGCCACTGCTCGAATCGATACGCACAATCACGATCCTACGGCTCTTTGTAGCTTGCTGTTCGCAATTATGAAGGAGTATTTAGACTCTGACCGAGTCAATTTCTTGATTTGGAGGTATGTTATTTTTTTCCCACTTAGGTATCCCCGGTCTCCCTCGCACCACCAAAAAAACCACCGGTGTTATTTTTGCATCGCTACCCTCATAATTGCTTATGCTGTTATCGCTCTCTACTGGGTCATTGACATGAATATCGCAGGTATTTGATAGAAGGAAGTACGTAAATAATCTAGCTGTCGCTTGTCACTTCACGCATCTTAAGCTACGTAGTGAGATGAATGTGTGGTGGTGACAGTGACATTCGCCGTCTGGACGGCCGCATTTGAACTAACCTTGGACGTTGCAGATTATCGAGAGACAGCGGTCAAATTTCAAAAGGAATGGCACGTCAAGGAACCTCACCGACAGCTTGATTTCGCGCAACATGTCAAAAGTCATGCGCTAGTTAATGTGATAAACAAGGGTTTATTGTATAGCTCATTAGAAAGGGAACATGCGCAATCACAACAACAACTGCAGCAACAACAGGTATGTCATTCAAATAATTTCACATCCATAGTCGGTGCATTAGATGAGACACGAATCCGACACGCGGGTTGCGATGAAGGCAAATTTGATCTCTCTCCAATCCTGCCCGGGATCCGGCCAAATGGGCACTGACAGATTTTCCTTCTGTGCAGGTACCTCGTGACGCGGCTACGCCAACGGCACTGGCCGAACTAGGGATATTTGGGCCGTTACTTGCACATCCGCCGCTTCATCAGCAGCTATTAGAACAACGTCAAGCGGATGAAATGGACCAGGATGATGATGCAGAAACAGATACAGTAGCAGCAGCAGCAGCAACAACTACCTCCGGAGGTGGTGATGCGGAAAATAACCGAAAGCGTCAAATTGACAGGCAACAACAGGCGCCGCTTCTGAATGGCTCCCCAGCTAAGCGACCAAGACTGAGTAATGGGTACGAAAATGGGGTGGATGCAGCCACAACACCAATGGAGCTGGACGGCCAGAACCACCACGGCGATAATCATGCTTACCCGTCACCCCAGGAAGGCGAACAAGCACCAACGCCTATTCCCCGAACTGACGGACCCGAACAGGGTACACAAGTAGAAAAAGTCGAAGAACTAACCACAGAAACCACCTTTATCCCCCTTGGTTTCGGTGTCGATGATGCACCTACCTCTTCGCCAACCACGGCATTGGCAAGAATTAATGGCGAAAGCGCCCCTGTGCTACTGCATTGCCAGTGGCATCCCCGAGATCCCACCATCTTGGCGGCTGCTGGAACCGATGCGCTAGCCCGCATCTGGAACATTTCTCGTGGAGCCACAACTGACCTTGCATCCAATGGTCACGTGAATGGCGTCGCTCCGAATTTCCATACTCTGGTCGAAGATGATATACAGCCCAGGGCCAACATTACTGCTATGGCGTGGAATACTGATGGGAGCGCGATCGCTATTGCTACGGATTCGGATTCAAAAGCCCGAATTAATCTCTGGGGCCCCGAGGGCGCTCATTTGCAACGCTTCGAGGTCCCCGAACCACCTGTCTACAAACTGCGCTGGAACCCTAGTGGTGCGGCTATTCTAGGCATTGCGCCTGATAATGGGGGTGCTTTGATAACAGTTTATCACGCGCCAACGTCGAATTCGATGACATATTACCTCCCGCGACATGATCTAGATGCCGAACCTTTGGATGTAGCGTGGACAAGCGAGTCAGAATTCCTATTATGTGGTGGTGACCTATTAGTTGCTCTCAAGTGTGCCGACGGGGAGATCGCAGAAGTCAAGAAATTTGAAACCCGGGATGGTGACATCTTGACACAAGTCCAGTTCGATTCCAGGACTTCATTAGCAGCTACTTGCGGAGATAAAGGATATGTTGATGTAGGTGCCCATCACTACATAAGGTTGGGGTATTGTTTCTAACGAGTGCACTATTAGATATGGGATACATCTGGCCGACGACGCGAAATCAAGGCTCATGTTGACGCAGTTACGAAGTTAGCCTGGCAACCTCTGGAACAACAACCTTCCGGCGATGAGCGACTTTTGGCTTCTGGTGGTGAGGACGGAGCTATCTTCGTGTGGAATGCTTTGGCCCCCGATAGTAAAGCCAAATGCTCCATGACCATGGGTCCAGCCATTGTTGCACTTGCTTTCACTCCCGATGGCGCATTTATAGCTGGAGCTACTAACGAGAGGATACTTATCTGGAAGGTTGGCGACTGCAGTATCCCACGAGCAAGTTGGAGTCGAGGACCCCATCCAGGCTGGCTCAGTCCACGTGCGAACGCCGAGTCGGACGAAGAGGATGAACATTGCTTGGGATGGGATGCTACAGGCCATAAACTAGCTTATGGGGTCAACAACCGAGTAAGTTAATTTTCTGTGTGTTTCCATCAAAAGTAGGGCTAACTGAAAATAAGCTTGCGATCATCAACTTTCGATGATGTGGAACTGCATTGCCCATTGAAATACTTAAAATAGGGATCGGGTCCATTTTCGCTTCGTCTGCTTATCTATCGGCAAGGTAGCAACCCGTTAAAACACCAATACTATTCATCACACAGACGAGATGAGAATTACGCACACTTATCGCTTAATATGACCCACCGCGATGGATCCATCCCGTCTCGACTACAAGGCAACTAGAGCCTACTAATACAGCTATACCGGCTCATGATCTCGACCAGTTGTCGGAAGCAAAAAGAAATCGCTTCTGGGGGCACTGGCGGGGCTATGATGCCGAAAGGATTACTTGAAGATATTATAAGGCAAACGAGGGATTAATCCCGCGCCAAATAGCTTCAGATGTACGAATGACGCTGGAGAAGATGGAATATATGGAAGAGTTTGCAGCTTACGCTAAGCTGTGTATCGAATGACCGTGGTTGACATCACGAAGCTTACACGGACACCGACAGTGCTAGTTCATCCCAATGAACACGACGACGCTACGAGTTGCTCCTGGGTATCGAATAGATGTATCTGATTATGACGGAAGCGCCAGGGGCGCTATTAAAAACGTATACCTCACTTGCTTACACTCACCTCTTTAGCTGACCCCTTTTCCCAGGGTATAGCACACACCGAGCTAGGGAATGTTCCCATTTGTATAATCGTCGCATTTGCATTCCGACGCGCGGCGCAGTTTTTTGTGTTTTTTTTATGTGCGAAGAGAAGAAGACGGCTCAAATCAAGCCAGTCGTGTCAGTCATGTCAGATTAAGATATTTTTTATTGTGTCTACCGAAGAAATCCCAAACACGTACATATAAGTAGTTTACTCCAACTCGAATCGAGATTTCAAGCTCTGAGTTCAAATGTTTACGATTTCCATCTCAACAGCGTGAACGTATGCTTCGCAAACGTATATTTCCCTTTTCCATCCCAACGGCCTTCAGATAAGCCCACTTCCTCCTTATCCTCGGTATTTGTCGAACTAACTTGTGCCCCAGCTACGGTGTATACGGCCACATCGCTACCTAAACCCTTCAAATCTACAGCGAAATCTTCATCTTCGCTAATATTAACAACAGCCAGATTGACAAATCCATCATCTCCCAACGCTGCGCTCACATCTAATAAAGGCGCCCCCTCACTCTCCTGCAACAACGCACCTTGTAACCAAGTGGGTTGCGTAGGCCCATCGTACGTTCCAGCTCTAACATGCGCGGCAACAGTCCATCCACGCATATACTTCGAGAAAAGTAGTAGCGGCCACCAAGTCGCCTGACGCACGACACCGCGCTTGGTCGTGAGTAAGGGGCTGATTACGTTTACGGTCTGTGCTATATTCGCCATCCCGATGTACCGGCTCTGCCGCACAAACACGTTTAACCACACCCCGACGGCTAAGGCGTCGGAGAGTGTATATTGTTCTTCTGCGCCTTTGTCACCCGGGGCGCGCTCCGGGTCCCAGACGTTCCACTCGTCGAAACAGATCTTGGTCGGTGGTTTGCTGGGGGGTACGTTGTTTTCAATGCGCGCGAGTTCGATTAGGGAGGCGGTGATGCGGATCGCGCGCTCAGCGGCTAGGGGCGCGGTTGCGTTTTGGAGGTGTGTGTTTGAGGCTGTGTATACGTGGATGCTGTGCATGTCGACGGAAGACACCGCTTCGCGGAGGACGTGGTGGTCCCACGAGCTTTGTCCGTCTTGACCGCAGAGGATGAGGGTTATGCTGGGGTCGAGGAGACGTAGGGCTTTGGCCCATTGTACGGCTTTTCTGGCGTATTCTTCTTTGGTGGTTTGCTCGACTTGCCATGGTCCCCAGACTTCGTTGCCGAGGGCCCAGTATTTTACCCGGTAGGGCTCGAGGTGTCCGTTTGCGCGACGGAGGTTCGCGTAGTATGTGTCGCGTGTACCATTGCAGTATTCAAGCCATGCGAGGGCTTCGTCTAATGTGCCGGTGCCGAAGTTTAAACATATGTATGGCTCGACCCTACGCCCGTTCGGTAGGCCTTCGCTTAGGACATCCAGCCATTGCATGAATTCGTCGGTGCCGAATTGGTTCGATTCTACTCCTAGCCACGCGAGTTCGGGTCGCTTGGGACGCTTGTCGCGAGGCCCGATGCCGTCTTGCCAATGGTATGTTGCGACAAAATTCCCGCCTGGGTATCGGATTACTGGGATATCGAGCTCCCGTAGAGCGTCTAGGACGTCTTTTCGGAACCCGTTCGCGTCGGCGTGTGGGCTTCCTGGTTCATAGATACCTCCGTATATGCAGCGACCCATATGTCTAATTGTTTAGTATTGCCGTCAGTTATTGACACGGGGAGTTGCTGGTATAGCTCTTACTCAGTAAATCCTCCATATGTCATAGGATCAATCTTAGACAAGCGCTTCCCAGCATCAACTTCGATGAGAGGGGTCTCATCCCCAACAATCTTGGTGAAGGTAGCCATTGTGAAATCGATGATAATTTCTACCCCAAACTAGAAGAAGTCTCAAGAACATACTTCCCCTCAACTCGGATCTCGTGCTCCTATATATTTGTATAGCTCCTACGTGCCCGCCCCCTCAATGGTTCCAGTCCCACCGGGGACCGGAGCGGGCGCGGGAAGTTGTCCCATTCGGGGGAATCTCGTCCGCTAGGTGCCGATTGGTGCGCATAATGAAGTACGAGTAAGACGAGTTGGAGACTAATGGCTTGGTCTTTTTTGACGGGGACGAAGAGAGTTGTCGAGATTATTTACCTTTTCCTTAGTTAGTAAAGACAATTCACTGCCTTGGGAAACTAGTTGTAAGCATGGGGAATTATAAAAAGCAAATCCAAGTCGCCCGATTGCTTAGTCAATTATACTAAGATTTCCCCAGGGAAGTACTTACGTTACCCCGCGATGGAGTATACTACATATACAGTAACAGTTACGTATACATGACTATGACTATACAATACACTGATTATATTTATGATAGGAATAAAAACTTCATTTTAGATCTAATTCTCCCTTTATTTTACTTGTACCATTTCTTTATGTTACGGTTATCCTAATGAATAACTTCACATTCGTTTGAATTTTATTTCATTAAATGAACTTCGTAAGTACATAAAGGATTCCCCCACACAAAACCCCGTGTACCGTGCCGCGGGAAGGAACCTTGGAACCTTACACATTTTCCTTTTTCTCCCTTTTGTTACGCGGGGGGTCACGGTATAATCTTGGCTACTGGCTACTGGCTACACTAGATCGAGCAACGTACACATATCGACCCTTTTCCCCCCACACAAAATTCCCTATTGGGTGAAAAAGCATCTCTATGTATGCCTTCGTTAAATTTTCCCCATCAGAGCGCAAAAAAAAAAACCTTAAAACGATAAAAATATAATTATTTTATTACCTCTTGCGTACCAACAAGGCAGTATTTTCGGTCTACCTTACCCGGAAAATAAAAATAACAAGATCCATTTCTTTTCTTATCATAGCAACCAACAAGCGAAAAATATCCCACCAATAGGTGACTTTCGAAGACCTACTACTATTACGAAAAAGGAAAAGGGAAAAAAAGAGCGAGGGCTAATAATAGGGGGGCATACGCAAAAATGAGTACTCATATTCCTCCCGGCTACGGCGCCGCTAGACTGCCCCTGAACATCGCCGGACAGCCAGGAGGCGCGGGTACGGTGGGGGATGTATTCACGCCCGAGATGCGGGATCGGCAGGCCCGAGGGAAAGACCCGTATGTGTCTTCGGATGACAGTAGCGACTGGCCAAGCGAGGATACTAGGAAATATCGCGCTGGAGGGTACGTATCGAAGACCGTCACTATGACCCCCTCTACTCCATTTCTACCTACCATCTCACTCTTGTATACGGACTTGGGAGGGGTGACACAAAACTCCGGTTATACTCTTAACTAACTCTCACTCTCTATAGAACCAAAGACGAACCTCACGAAGTCGTAGAGCGTCGCCGAATCGCCGCGCAGGTACTAGATAGTCCGGAACTTCTAATGATGGCTGCGCAACGAGACAACGAGGTATTCTCATTCTTCTTTACCCCCTTTCCGTTCTTCCATTTTTCTTGTATCACTATTATAACAATACTATACAGAGTATACCAGCTACGCGTCTTCGGTACACCCGCATGCTCTGCGGTTTCGAAGAGCCATCTCCACCTGCACGCAAGAAGTCTCACCGTGGTGGCGCGGGTGGTTCTCGCATGTCTGGCGGATCTACTCCGGGTCGGTCTAGGAAGAATGTTTGAGGATCTATCGGATTATCGATGTGGGAGGACGATGAGAGTCGGTGCTGATCCGAGAAGAGAAAGGAGGCAGGCGGCGTCTACGTTCGGCTTCAAAGTCGACTTGCTAGTCGGTGGCTAGTCGATTTGATAGACGCCGTTCGGTCAATCCCGCCGGTTTACACCCCCACCTCGGTTGTCGAAGGGTGGGAGTACGCTCGCGGGATGGAATCGATATTCGAGACGGTTCGTGAGATGGAGAGTGCGAGGAGAATTAATTAATCGCTTCAGAGAGGGGGGGGGGGGAGGGGGGGGGGAAAAAACTAAGAAAAGCGAAGAACAGAGCAGAGAAGAAAATAGGGGTAATACGCACGAGAAGCTATCAAGCGATCGCGTGTATTCATTCCTCTTGCTATCGAGCGCCGCTATAGTATAGCTGGCAAGCTCGTCGCGGGAAAATAGAGCGTGTAAGTGTAAGGTCCAAGCTTACATCTCGCATTCTTAGGGTTGGGCGCTCAAAGAACGCACGGGTACCCGGCAGGCTGGTTCTCTGCTAGAACTTCGCTATTTCCAGTGGAGTAAGTTGGTTGGTCGGTCGATCATGAACTGACCTCATCGGCGTAATCCCCTAAAAAACCGATTATATTATTCTTATTTGCGGAGTCAGGGCTAAAAAACGCGTTCAAATGATGAAACCCTTATTAGGGGAGAATTGATGGGCCTATAGGATGTGCTCTTCAATTCCATCATAATTGTTCGTCGTTTAGAACAGTAATAATATTTATTTCTATGCACTTAATCAGGTTTCCTTCCTCCTTTTTCTAAACCTCAAGTCGGAAGTAAACCCAGCTTGGTCGCCTTCCTATGGCACATGATTCCTAGTTCCGTTGTATAAAGTCAGGGGAGGTTGCTATATACCTAAAATATAGCCCCCATGCTATCCAAAAAATCAAAAGACATGAATAATCCAAGGTCATAATCCCGTTACCCAAATGCATGCTTGGCTAAAAACGCCCACAACACCATGATATGATGACATCCAATAATATCCTTTACAAGGCCCTTTATAGGTGAGTTTTCCTCTCACCCAACGCCTTGAATTTCCCATATTCCCAGTTACCAGCCTAGGTTCTTCTGGCCACGAGGTCGTATTACGCGTACCGCATTGTGGGCCTCCATTGTTGTTGGTCCTGCCAAGGCTGTTGCTGCATCCTTTGGCTGTTCATTTCTCGAGCTGCTGGGGGTGGGCGCGGCATCGAGTTACCAGCCCACGCTCCGCCGTTTCCGGCCACCCAACTACTGCTGGGCTGTACAGTCTTGGCTATCTTTCTTCTCCGAGCCCTGCGTCGGCATGATGTTATTATACAGCAGCTAATAGCAAGAAGGATTAGGCCACCGACAGACGCGGCCACAGGGATGATAATATTTTTGTTGTCGCGGAAGAAACTTCCCACCTGGTCGGCTACACTTGAACCTTGGCATTGTCCATTGGAGCAGTGCCCACCACCTTGGCAAGGAGTACCGTCCAAGAAGTATTGCTGCATATCGTAACACGCATTAGGTCCAAGTTGCGATGAGGCACAGCGTAGTTGACAGGTCTGCGAATCGCACGCTTTCGTATCGGTATTGTTGGTCATCGAACCGACGAGAGTCGAACATTGCAGATCGCGAGAAGTACATTGCCCAGAAGCACATGTCAAGCCGGCGCCATCGGTACCGCAAGATTGACCATCCGGAGCCTTGACGTCGGTAGGGCACGTTCCGGAGGTACCACTGCAAGTCTCTTGGGGATCACACGAGCTACTACTAGCCCTACAAACCGATCCTGATGACTTGAACTGGCATTGACTCGTACAGCAATCCTCATTGGACGGATCACACACGGCGTTATCCTGAAACTGGCACGTCTTGGGATTACAGCAGCTGTTGTTAGCGCACCCGCTCTCGCCACCGCAATCACACTGCTCTCCCGCTTCCACGATGCCGTTTCCGCATTGACTTCCCGTGATCGTGACAACATTTTGATTGTTGGTTAAACAAGTCGACCTCACGCTATTGCGACCCATAGCCGAGCAGATATTACCAATGGTACATGGCGAAAATCGGGTGATACCCGGAGACGTGGAAGGGTTCATAATAAAACCTCCATCGGCGTCGCAGGTTGAGGTACTGAGCGGGCAACATTTCTGCATCGATGATGTTCCGTCTGAGCATGTGTCGGATGTACAATCATGAAAAGCGCCGAATGTATGGCCAGATTCGTGGGCAAAGACCTGCCATTCAGTCGAGGTTCGGACGACGACGTTAGCCCCTGCGATCGTCTCGTTTCCTCCACTCGAATCTGCTTGAGTTCCCGACCCTTGGGAGCAGAGCTGACCCAGCCATGCTAGTCCTACTGCCGCATCGGTGTTACAGGTGCTGAGCAATGTCCAGTATGCATTGGTGTCGTTAAATTGCCCCCTCCAAGCTGAAAATAGATTAAGCCGATCGGTGATAGTAACACTACTACTACATGGAACATTCCATTGAGCATTTTGCGATGGTGTTCCCGGACAAGTCGCCTCACTAATTGTTAAATTTTGAATACCCAATGAAATATTGAATGAACTCTCGTATAGAGCTGAGGCCGAGTTGACTTGTTGAATGATGTTAGAGCGAACGTCGCTGTTAGAGCTGAACTGTGCCGTATAAGTGCAGTCGGTAGCAATTCCTACCAGTGCAACCTTGCGGGTAGTGGGACAGCCTTGGGTTGACCCAATGCTCTGAGCAAGGTTAACACCTGCGCCATTTCCACCAGTCGTTGGATCGATCTGATCGCGACCGAAAAGCCCGTTTGCGTCCACTACTGACATGTCGCGAAGGTCGAGGCCCTGGTGTACAGGATGCGCATCTTCATTGTTGAAATTGAGCTCGTCGGACGAGCACGAATGACTATTCAATCCTCGCTTCAATTCAGAGACGTCATATAGATCCGATTGTATGTCCGAGTCCCTCCAAACAACCATATATTCATCCTCGGCAAAGTCGGCGCTGGGGTCATCTTCGTGCTGTGTTTGCCTATAATTGGAACTGGTTTGAATGTGGTGATGGTTTCCATGGACCCGGAACGTGCCCTCGAATATCGGATTCGCTCCATCTCGGTGAACAGTTATTCTCGCCCAGCCCGAATTAATCCATTCCAAATGGTCTGCATGTTGTACAAAAGCATGTCCCTTGAACACTCTGTGATCCGTTCTTTCTACCTTCTCTTCGCGTGTTACGGTTCCGTCCGGACCGAGATACCGGACGCTCGCCGAGTCGGATAGTACATCGTGGTTTGGTTCTAACGATATTCGGACTTTGTCCTTCTCGTTGTGGAGGAGGAACGTGAGGTCAAATGAGGAATAGGCGTGAACTCGATTAGAGGGTGTGTGAATTACTGGATTATCTAGTCGGCTTATATAATTTAATGGATTTCTTTTGACCGAGTGCGCATCTGAGAAATATGACAAAGTAGATAGCGATAATATTATGGCCGTAGCCTTGAAGATGCCGAGCATGTTGGGACTGGGGTTGAAGTCCTGCTCCGAGGACGATAATTCCGTTCTCAAGACCCCATGCGACGATGCGATTTCGGAATGTTACGGCCACAGGTGTCTCGAGTTAGGAATTTAGAAAATTAGAAGATTAGCAGAGTATCGTCGTCGTTACTGTCGGCGAGAATAGTATGTACAATGCAATCGCGAATTTTCAAAACTCAGACCAAGAATTCGAGTGAAGAAGCGGAACCAAGATGAAACAGGGCAACAAATGCCAAGTTTACTCTAGGGGCGAGCGAGGCTCGGCAACGTTGTAAGAGAGGGTTGGTTAGGTATTAGGTAGGATTTCAAATCTTGGAGGGGCTGGAATACTGCCGAGCTGATCTCGTTTTTTCCAGTTTATTTCTTGTCGCCGACCATCGCAGAAAGGTACACCAGATTCTAACCGCCAAACGATCCTGTCCAATGATCCGATAAATAGGCAGAAACGAAAGTAGTAGCCTACTTAAATGAGAAAAGACAGTGAAAAGGTACGGGAATGGGGATGTTTCAATTGTGAATAAAGAAAAAAGTAAGAGAAAATAGAAGAGGAATGATGGGAATTGCGGCTGTGCAGGCTTCAAGCCAGCAGATCAAGATATATAAGACGAAGTGACGAAGTACGAAGAAGATGAAAAAAAGAGTCCTGCTTAGAGGAATGATATGCGAAGAATGTACGAAGAAAGGCAAGTGCTGATTCCCACTTGTTGCCTCTATTGTTAAGTTTACTTGCTCAGGTCGCTGCTGAGTCCAGTGTCCTGCATAAGTACATTGAACAGAGGACCAATCATATCCCTGTATTCGTTTGATATGATAATAGCAGGTGAGACGGACAGGACGGTTTATTGGAGCGGGGCAACTGCAACTGTACAAGATCTTGGGGCATCTTCCAATGATGCTACAGCACAAACGAAGGTAATTGCAGGCCTACCTGAAGGGGAAAGGGAAGGAGGTACCTACCCTAGGTACCTAGCAGCCTGGCAACTCTGAGCCGGCTTGGCAAATCAGCTTTACGTCAAGCCTATTTCGTCTATTTCGTACTCGCTTCACCAAAAAGAAATACGTATTCAAATACGAATGAGATATTTCCCACTTCATCTATTTCATCGACTTCGTCACCAGAAACACATATATTCATCAGCAGTAATATGCTACACAAACTTTACACGTTAGTAAAAAAAAAAAAAAAAAAAGAATTACGAAGATCTAGCAATCTAGGAACCGGAACACCGTTATACCATCAATGCGTTAACGAATACACGGGTTGATCAGACCCTGCGGCGAAACAACCCCGGCTCTTATTTCTCTATTTATACACCCGTTCATCCAGTCCGTGTGTTATAATTATACGTTCGAGCTTCTCGTTCCGTTTCAGAGGGCTGTCCGTACCAATCTTCGGAGTTGAAATATGTGGAAATTCCGGTGCATTATTACCCGAGCATGTTGTTTACATTAATAAGATGACAAAGAGAATACAATCTGTCAATTGTCTCGGCGGCCACCCGCCGGACCTGTCGGGTTCTTGCAGATCGTATGTATACGTAGTACCAACAGCCTTATCCTTTAGATGTTAGAGCACGCAGTTATTTCGCAATGTCTCTTAAATAGCGCTGTATTTACTTTTCCCCTTAAAACTATGGGATTTGACATATTATCAACGCTAACGCGGATTCCATGTTTAAGACGTCTGCCAAGGAGGCTTGATTGCGAATGCTCATCATGTATAAGTAGCGGTCATGACGCGTCTTTCTATCTTGGCTCTTTTCTATCAAGATCTTTTGGTAGATGCTCGACTGCACATTTTTCCTATTCTGTATTTATGTGCAGTGAGACGATCTTGAATTGCGCCACATTCCCGCCGGAATATACGTGCGCACAATCTTTCCCGAATAGTAAGGTGGGCACTTCAGTATTCTGTGGCTGATATTGTTTCTTTCATACGACTGCTTTATTAATGAACAATAGCCTACTACCCCCTTCATTTGCAACTAGCTAATTTTGAGCAATCCAAATAATGCATCATTTATATAGAGGCTATTCCTCAACTCTTCGCCGGGGAGCTGTTCAGCTACAATACCCAAGGCAAATTAGGGTTGACCGGAACGGGATGTGGAAATCTCGTGCTACTATGAACACACTTTGTTGAAGGACTAATTATGACCACTCAAGCCCTGCTGTCGCCAGTCACGTTCCAAACCTCCCCACATCTAAAACAGAATGGTATCAGAAATCCGTATCGGAATCAACTTCTTACTATTTACTTCTTTCTTGCTTCGTGGACGGTAGTAATGATCTTGTCAACCACAGACGGGTCGGAGAGCTATCGTAAAGGCATCAGCATTCAATTTTCAAGGGGTATGAAAGACAAGTCGCGGAAACTAACCGTTGTTATGTCACCCAATTGATCTTCCTCACCGGCTAGGATCTTTCTCAAGATGCGGCGCATAATCTTGCCACTTCGCGTCTTGGGAAGATCGGGTACAATGAATACCGCTTTGGGTGCGGCAAATGGTCCGATACTCTTCCGTACTTGCAGGATGAATTCCTTCCGTAAGGCATCCGAAGCCTCGCTAACGTTCTTGATTGCCACAAACGCGTTGACCGCTTGTCCAGTAAGTTCATCGGCAACGCCCACTACGGCGGCTTCGGCCACGGAATGGTGCTCAATTAGGGCGGCTTCGATTTCCGCAGTTGATAAACGGTGACCACTAACATTTACCACGTCGTCTACTCGTCCTCGGATCCAGTAGAAGCCTTCGTGATCTCGGCCAGCTCCGTCTCCGGTGAACTAAGACTTATTAGTAAGTGTGGGGAAATAGTTCCGTGCCGTAAACTCACATAATAACCCTTATAGACATTTAGGTAGGTCTCCATATATCTCTTATGCGCACCCCAGACGGTGCGGGCCATGCTAGGCCATGGCTGCTTGAAAGCTAGCACACCCTCAACATCGTTCCCGTGGATTTCCTCGCCGGATACAGGGTCAATAATAGCAGGCTCTATGCCGAAGAAAGGCAGAGATGCACTTCCCGGTTTCGTCGGTGTTACTCCCGCTAAAGGAGTAATTACATTTGAGCCAGTCTCGGTTTGCCAGTAAGTCTGCTCTCAGTTAGAAACAGTGACCCCATAAACAAGGTCCAATTGCACTTACGTCGACAATCTGTGCCTCCTCTTTGCCTACAACTTCGAAGTACCACTTCCAAACTTCAGCAGCAATAGGCTCACCTACAGAGCCCAGGACTCTCAGCTTTGGCATGTGGGCCTTAACAAAGTCATCACCAGCACGTTTTAATAATCTCAATGCTGTTGGTGCAACATAGAACTGAGTAACTTCGTGCTTTGCGATGATGTCCCAGTATCGTGAGAAGTTCGGGTAAGCAGGGGTTCCCTCAAAGACAACCGTGGAGACACCGAGGAGTAAAGGCGCATAGACGACGTATGTGTGGCCGGTAATCCAACCAACATCTCCACCACAGAAGTATCGGTCCCCGTCGTGAATATCGAACACGTATTTACCGGTCAAAGCGGCACCTAGTAGATATCCAGCAGTTGTGTGCATAACGCCCTTCGGCTTGCCTGTCGAACCTGATGTATATAGTAGGAAGAGAGGGTCCTCGGAGTTCACTACTTCAGGAGCGATGTAAGAAGGCCACTTCTCGACCTCTTCGTGCCACCACAGATCTCGGCCAGGAGTCCAGGGAATGTCAGCACCGGTGCGCTTGTAAACAAGTACGCCTGTGACACCCGGGCATTGCTTGAGCGCGTCGTCAACAATCTTCTTGGTACCAATGAGCTTGCCACCTCGCTTTCCTTCATCTGTGGTGATGACCACCTTGGATTGGGCGTCGATAACACGGTCACGTAGCGAGTCGGCTGAGAAACCGGCGAAAACGACAGAGTGGATAGCACCAATACGGATAACCGCGAGGAAAGCAATGATAGCTTCGGGAATCATAGGTAGGTAAATGGCGACAGTGTCTCCCTTTCGAACGCCCATCTTCTTGAGGACGTATGCGACCTTGCTAACCTCTCGGAGGAGCTCGCTATAAGTCAAATTTCGACCCTCATTGGGCTCATCAGCCTCGTAGATGATTGCGACTCTGTCAGGGTCTTTGAAGGCATGTCTGTCGACCAGGTTGTATGAAGCATTCAGTTGGCCTTCAGGAAACCAAGCAACGTCACCATTGGTCAAAGATCCGGTACGAACAGTCTCGAAGTCTCGTTGCCATGTTAATAATTCTCTAGCCGTTCTACTAAAGAACTTTTCAGGCTCGGTAATGGATTCCTTGTATAATTGTTGGTACTCCTCGAGACCTATCACATATTAAAACTCGTATTCTTGCATGCCAAAAAGCAAAAGTGCATATTTGTCTTACCACTAAGATGGGGTTTACTGGGATGCTCTAAGCTTGTGTTAGCTTCATCTATACTGTGTAACCCTCACATATCGGAGGCGTAAAAACTCCACGAATGAGTTATATCTTACTGTCAAGCATCTTTTGCGGGGGGTCTATTTCGAGTCAAGTTAGCATTGGATAAGCTTTACTTAATATTCTTGGATATCATCTGGTTGGGGGTTCTCACGATAGGTATCAACCAGATGGGCTTCAGCGACCACTGGAGCCTTGGCTTGGTCGGCCATAGTGACGATGGGGGGTATGACTGATGGTGGTGATTTGTTCTTGGTGGTAGTAACGTGTGGTTGTGTTGGTTTTGATCGTTGAGACACTGCGGGGTTACTAATAATTTAGGTAGGAAGAAAGTCCCAAGCAAGAGAAAAGGATAGGGATTGGAGCTATATAATTTGCGCAAAGCAATGAGCTGGTATTATTTATATAAGTGTAGCTGAATAGCGTAGCAACTGCCCCAGCTCCGATCCGAAGCTATAAGAGCGATAAAGACGAAGGAAGGAAGACAAAGAGCAATGACGACCGGGTCAAGCCCAAATATTGGTGACGAGGGCGAGGCACTTTTTGTATTACGGCAAAAATATTGGGAGAAATGGGTAGGCGCGGGACGTAGCACTACATAGCATCCACGCTTGCATTGTACTGTACATCCACATATGCAGTTCCTGGTACGGCAGGTGGCACGCAAAGTACGATGGGGTACTTCTGCGGGCACAAAGTGGGCAACTACGCAGCTACGGCCCTTAGGCAGCTCACCTTTAGCCCCTAAAAGCGTGACCTACCCTACATACATTAGGTGCTAAATGCGCTAGTCAATACCCAGCCAGCCCAGATTATAGGTAATCTGATACCTGTAGCACTGGACTGGATAGGTTCGTTGGGGATTCGCCGACTCGGACCGGGGTTTGTGAACGCCATGTGGGGCTATTTCTCTCTCTTCCGCTCGACCGTTTGAACTATATCTCAGGTATGCATGTATCTAAACCCCGTACTCTTTTCTCTTTTTCTCCATGACCATGGCCATGTGTATTGTATAACCATTCTAGACTAAAACCATGGAACCTTCTAACGCCAACTCTTCTAGTCCTACGTACGAAATACAACTAGCCATGCCCAACATAGCCCGCAAATTATTAAATGCAGTTTCACCTGACTCTTGACGCACGCAGGTCGGTATCGAACTCACACCCTCCTAGATTATCATACTACGTAGCAATATGTAGATAGGTAGTAGGATGGGCTAGTGATAGCTCTAGGCCGCAGCACCCTTTGGACCGGTTGGTCGTACCGCGCAGACGAATGTGCAGATAAGTTGGAACGGGGTTTTATGTACTATACCCAGCTGTTCGGGCTAGGGTGTATGCGCGCACGTAGGCCATATGAGCCTATAAGCCAACATCATCGAGAGCAAAGCCCGACGACTTGTGTAACTCGCCCCTCTTAAAAAGAGATTACGGTGTAAGATTACATACTACTTATCACGGACACCGGGTGGGATATCTTGAGAAGACAAAGGAACCGTTCTATCTATTTTACCGGTATACTGGACCACCTCTGCAGTTGGTTGATTCTAGATGGAGAATCCTGCAGGGGAACGGCCCAAGCCTCTTCTTTTCGTTCCCGGTGTGATGGTGGAAATTACATATAACGGTTTGCTAGGGCGTAGAAAAGAGACTAAGACTATGCACCTTACTCAAGGGTCTGTTTTAAAATATTTGTTTGTTGGCTTATTCAGAATAGGGATAGACGTCTATCAACAAGCATGAATAGGGCATGTCACTTAGATGTAACTATAGGGCTAATGTGGTATGAAAGACTTATACAATGTATAGAATGTACATACAACAATTCATTTCCCTTCGGTGTCGTGATTATTGTCTTTTAGTTTGTGATCCTACAATTCTATTAGTCGAATGATCGCCTAACCCTGACCAAGCGCCCAAAAGCTCAAAGGACGAACCCTCTATGTCTCGCCCCTCAACCCCGCATCCCACTTCTACGTACTTCGACTTACCCCAGCTCCTTGCAGCCAAGCCGTACACTAAACATCACCAAATCTCCGCAGCTCCGTTGACCTCGTGCTCATCCGAAAGGATCCAATCGAAGCCTTAGGAATTTTTAATCTTCACTTAAATACTCAATAATGGTGCTCTTCTACTTATTAGTAAATGATATCCTATCATTAGAATATCCGATCCGGACTTTACTTATCATTTAGCCCCTGTCCTCCGTTGCGACGTATGTCGTCACCTATTTTGCCAAGCTTCCTTCCGCCCTTGTCTAGAACAACTCGATTCTGGTTGATGGGATTGCGGGGGAGACTAATATTTCTTCCTTCTTGGGTTAGCCACATTACCATATCTGAATCAGGATTCCAAAAGCATCAATCAGATACCTTCCTTCGATCTATACCTACACTTCTTCCCTATGGGATGTTTTCGGCTCGAACCATACTTGTGAAGGAATCTCCAAATTGGGGGAGGTACTTAGGTACATATAGCAACATCGTCCCATAAATTCGTCTAAAACGAACACGCTATGATGAAGCTACATAAACTCTAAACTTCCCCCTAGCCGAGGTATCAATACGCATTCTGTATGGTCGCGGTTATGCCTATGCGAGCTTAGAGCCTCATGCTCCACCACAGCTCCGTTCTGTATCCAAGCTCCCGGAACTCGGTTAACTTCATGCCCATTGCCGGATGCGACCATCGGACGATGACGTCTAATGCGGGCCGGGATCAATTCGGCCTTTCGGAGACCATATCGTTAGTTATGCTTCCGAATTCATTGAGAAGATGGAAAAAGATCGGTGTTGATATGATTCCGATAATTCCCATACATCTTGGCAAGAGATAGGTTTTCGGATTCGTCCAATCACGGCTTCTCTAGACTTTACAATCTATTAGAATAATAAGTTGCCAATTCGGATATCATTAGTATCTGCGAAGTGAGCTACAGTAGGCCTCCGACCATGTAGCTATAAAACATCCGTTACTCCATAAGCTCTATGTTGATATACATTATTCATTCCGTCGACAGTCGACAACTCAATCCATTCACATGTCCATGCTCATCAAATACATCTCGATTATACGCATGAACTTGGCAACGAAAGCCTCTAGATGGAAGATGACCTTGGTTCCTGTTCTTATTCGGTGTTCGTAGAAAGCGGACCATTTGATGACTTCGTATTTCAAGTCGTCATCGATCATCGGGATAAGTTTGAATGTAAGGATTTTGAGTATCGTGGTGGGAGGAATGCAATGTGTAAGCAGATCGTATAGTTTCGATCGAACTTGCAAGATGCGTGCTGGTGAGTGTTCTTCCATAATCTCCTTGGCAATTTGTGCGATCAATGCTTCCCAATCAGGGGGCGGAATAGGCGTGTCGTCAGTAACTTTCTCACTGGGGTTTGTTAGCTAGGGTACGGCGCAAACTCGCAAGGACGAACGCACTTCTGAGCATGTACTGCCTCGTACATCAATAACGCCCTTCTTAGATTCCGTCCACTCTCTTCAGCAATTCTCTTATGCAGTCCCTTAACAACAGGCCAACCTTCTTTCTTGGCAGAATCTGCAAGTACGTTTGCAATCTCGTCGACTGTTGGCGCAGCCACCCTTACGAGGAGCGTTCGACTTCGAATAGGGGCGATGATGTTGGCTGTGCTGTTGGCCAAGAGTATTAATCGAAGGTTTGGACTATATTTCTCCATAGTTCTTCTCAAAGCTGCCTGGGCATCTCGTGTTAGATGGTCTGCTTCATTGATAACGACAACCTTGAACTTTTGTTTGGCTGATTGGTCCACTTGTTGGGTCTGGGCGACTTCTTTCAGTAGATCTTGTACGACGACTCGATCATAGTTTCCAACATCGGACGGTGTAATCTCGAGATGGTAGACGGAGGCTACGATGTTGAATTCCAATTTGCGACTACTAGTCGTTTGGAAAACTCGAGCATCGATTTTGATCTTCTCGACACCGGGGCCGTAAAGTTCTTTGAGGGTTGCGACGATACGAGTTTTCTTGCCCGCACCGGAGGGGCCGTATACTAATAGATGAGGAAAATCGCCGCTTTGCGCCTGTGGCATGGATTGTTAGCTAACATGTCAAAGAGGTCATAGGGGTTAGGACCACATACTAAGGATCGAAGCCTCTCGGACAGCTCAGAATGGTAGGTAAGTGAATCGAGAGAACGCGGTCGGTGTTTGTCAACTATTAGAGCCATTTTCGCAAAATTTCGTGTTATGCTTTTGTGATGTTGGTAGGGTCGCCGAAATTATTCATCCGTAATTGCTGATAGTGAATAGAGTTTACTGGCAAAGACAAAAAGGTTATAATGCCAAGGACTAAGGGACGCGTTAATTGACTTTGTAACGCGTTAGACTATTTGTGCCGTCCGTTACCGCCTGTAGTTTTGAGGGGTCAGTTTTTATCCCGTCATAGTAGGTACGTACAAAGGTTCATCCCTTCAATCGCGGGGCACTGGTCTACCTTACGTAATTCTATGTGAGTGTACGTAAGATGTTCACTGATTCGCCTTAACACGGTAGTGCTAAACGGAAACTCCGATGAGGAGCAGCTCTTCTGCCCCTCACCTAACAGTTGATCACAACAGGTTCCTTTACGAAAACCGTTTGAGACAACTTAGTCAGCCTAGGAAATACAAAAATACAGATCCACCACCAGCTACCTTACTTTTTAGACAGGTAATAAACGGATGAAACTATTTGATATGAAAATACACCCTTGATCGAGATGTTCACCTTGGAATAAATTACTACCAACTCACTGCAGGGAAACAAGTAGGGAAGGCAATACATATACATATATGTAAATACCTGCATATGTAGGCACTTAGGTAGGAAATTGGAGCTATGAGACATCTCCCGGTGGCACGAATACGGAACACGGATGCTGTTTTACTCGCGGACTCTCGTCCCTTCGGCGGCCGGATAGACCATTTAATATGGAGATAGGCAAGCCACGTAGGGATATTGTCGTTTAGCAATATGAGTCCCGGTTTCTTCCACCTTGAGGTTTCAGAATTGCACCCACGTACGAATATAAAAAGCATGTTCATCTACAGGTACCACTTACTGTATACATGTAGATGTGCAATGGAAGCAAAGAAGCGAAGATGTAGTGTAACTGGAGTCTGGGAATCCTACCTTGCCCCCCCCTTATTATGCATACTGTCGGGTAGCATACATACGTACGGGTACATAAGTAGATCCAGATCAATGTCTCATTCCGCGATTTCAAGTCCTGATGCAGATTTTATTTTCGAATTGACAAATTTTTCTGTCGCGCCAGTGCCTTGTAATATGCGATTGAGTATACAATTAGGCATAGATCTAACTCAGTTGATGAGATGAATACAAACATTCGTGAATTTGAACATTAAATTTTAAATACATACATTATGTTAGGTACGCACGCACGTATTTCATCTGATAGGTCATCATCGTACTTGCCGATAAACCGGTCTTGCTTCGCACACACCTCAGGGAGATACATGCAGTACAAGGAAGGTACTGTTTGTCGTAACCTTACGCACCTGCAAACCAAACCAAGCCCAGCCCTGTCTTGCCTGAATTCATATGTACATAATGTAGGTGTGAATAATTTTTTTCTTATTTCCTGCACTTAAATTCTTCAATCTGAGGCCTAACATTGGATGTAAGCTTGATTGATCACCGGCCCGCATCCCATGACTTCAACTTTCTAGCGATCCACCCAACCTTGGAACCCGCTAGGACGACGTTCCTCTTTTGTCGTACCCCACTTTGCATTTCGAGCCCAAAGGGCACACCGACAACCATCGCGATATCATCCTCTTCTAACCCCCCCTTTACCATTCTTTTTTTATTTCTTAAGCTGTACCTATCCTGCGCGACCCTGCCAGCTTTCTTTTATTTAAAAAGCAAGACCGTCCCTCTGGATAATTGGCGTTTTTAGTTGAGTAAATTCTACCCTACCTACTCTCCCCTCCACCCTTTCATTTTACTTACCATCCCACCATTAGGCTTAGACAAATCAAGTCGCCGAGATGTCGTTCAATAATCGCAAGTTCTCCATGTAAGCTGATACCCAAACCTCCGTCATTGGCTCTCTTATCACACATCGCATGCCCTACGGCGATGTACCAGAAAATATTCTGCAGCTTCAATGCGTGATAAGAAAATGTCAATTCTTACTAAAACCCAACAATAGGAATAGGAACACTGGTGTCCCGCGAAGAAGATTTAGTATCGGTGACCCAAGTGCTAATGGTATGGTATTTTAATAATTCTACAACCGTTCTTCCCCGGATCTTCATGTCGTAATACCGCCAAGAACAGCACGGTTCTGTTCTTGTGTCCGGTCTGATATACAACTTGTGGCGGCCTTGGCTCTTGGCAAACGTGGCCCTCATGCTATTACCGCAGCATGTCTCGGTCTAGACGTAATTACAATTATTGACAGCCTTGGCAGAGACGAGCTCTAAAATCCACCGTCAATTCCGTGCCGCAAACCCGGGTCATCTTCCTCACGCCGGCTTAGACGCATCGCGTGCCTCCACCGGTGTCGTATGGTGTACCGAGCGCGCTTCCGAATATGGATTCCTCGAGGAACCCGAGAAGTGGGCCAATCTTGGCCAGGGTGCTCCCGAGGTTGAAGACGACATTGAGGGTTGCTTTGAGCGCCCCCACACGATAGACGTCTCCGTCGCTCTTAGAGAATATGGCCCCACTGCTGGTATCAAGCCTCTGCGCGCTGCTGTCGCCAGAATGTACAACGAGATGCATCGCCAGGGAAAGGAAAGCCAGTACTCATGGGAGAACGTCGCCATTGTTCCCGGTGGAAGAGCAGGTCTGATCCGTATCGCCGCTGTCCTCAACAACGCTTATGTCGGTTTCTTCATCCCCGACTATACTGCTTACAATGAGATGTTGTCCCTCTTCAAGAACGTAAGATAATGTGTACTGGTCCTGGCATAGAATACACCTAACAGCTAGTAGTTCGCCGCAATCCCAACACCGCTTTCCGAGGAAGATGGATATCACATTCACCCAGATGTCATCGCGAAAGAAATCGCTCGAGGAACTTCAGTCATTATTACCTCGAACCCCCGCAACCCGACCGGAAGAGTGGTAGCCAACCCCGAATTGGCTGAAATTCAGGATATTTGCCGTGGACGTGCGACCTTAGTTAGCGATGAGTTCTATTCTGGTTACAACTACACCAGCAATTGTGACGGTACCACGATCTCAGCCGCCGAAAACATCGAAGACGTGGACGAAGATGATGTTCTCATCATTGATGGACTCACCAAGCGATTCCGACTTCCTGGATGGCGTATTGCCTGGATTCTAGGACCCAAGGAATTCATCAAGGCGTGAGTTCGAGCTGTGCGCTATGGCCTTAGAAATAAACGAACTAATATAATATTAATAGTATCGGTTCTTGCGGTTCGTACCTTGATGGTGGAGCTAACGCTCCCTTCCAAGAAGCAGCTATCCCCATGTTGGAGCCTTCCCTTGTCCGCACAGAGATGGAAGCTCTTCAGCATCACTTCAGAGTAGGCAGTCCTTGGGAACATCACCATTTCTGGTGTTTAACTGACGTCCTTTCTTTATAGGACAAGCGAGACTACGTAGTTAAGCGCCTACGAGACATGGGCTTCGTGATTAAGTACGTGCCGGACAGCACATTCTACCTTTGGCTCAACCTTGAGGGTCTTCCCGGCCCTATCTCCGACGGTCTAAACTTCTTCCAGGCCTGCTTAGAAGAGAAGGTTATCGTTGTGCCTGGTATCTTCTTCGACTTGAACCCCTCTCGCCGCCGAGACTTATTCGACAGCCCTTGCCACCACTGTAAGCGATCTCTATATCCTTCCTATTATATAGTTACTAATATTTTACAATAGTCGTCCGGTTTTCGTATGGCCCCAAGATGGATGTCCTAAGAATGGGCTGTGATGGTATTGAACGTGTCGTCAACAAGTGAGCCTACTCCTTAGCTAAGTTATAAAATACGGTATCTAACAAGTCTACAGATTCAAGAAGTACTCCGAATAGATTAGATGTTGCTAACAAGCAACAATAACGAGAACATATGCCAGCCATTGACATATTTTACACAGGAATGGGATGGTGGATCTCATTATGACCTATCTAGACAAGACAGAAAATGGGGGTTAGGAGGTTTATAGTCTAGCAACACGGGGTCCTATAGAAGATACTTATTAACGAACAAATGAACATTTCTTTTTTTTTTATATTTAATTCGTCCCAGCGTATTGCTTAGTGACGTCACATGTTATACCTGAAGGATGGGCTAGGGGTTGAATCCATACTCAACCGGGTATACGTGCCATTTCTGCGTGAACGCGGCGTTGAAAATACGCTTAGGCACGTAATGCCGAGAAGAGTGAGATGCTTGAAGATCCCACGCTAAAACGGCAGGGATATATTGTCAGTGAATTTGTAAATGACGTTTAATAATTTTGATTGATTCATTTAGGTGTATCAAAATATTTACGCATAGGACGCTTCTATATCTAAGCTTAGAAGTGTGCTAGCCCCAAGACAACACCATAGCGCCTCTATCCAGCAACAGCCATCTGATTCACGAATTCGGGAAAGAAATAGGGAAAATTCCAGGGGAAGTGCCATGTGTATTACCCTGCCTTATTAAGCAACTATCTGGAGAAACCTATCGTGCATGCATCTCATCTCGATTGGCGACTTAAAGCGAAGCCAAATGACCGACCGACTGACCCCCATCCGGACCGGAATAGAAACGTGTGGTCCACCCCTCATGTCGCACTCCCTATCTCAGTAGCAAAGAAAAAAGGAAAGAGAGCGCCATGTTATGGCACAAGCAATCAATAAGAGCAGATGCAATTTGGCACCCTCATCCCCGATCCAGTCTCAATTATGTCCAAGCAATCCGTTTACTACATTGTGGTTAGCAAAGTGAATACTAGTTGTCAATTCAGGTGCACATACTAGAATGTCGTCCTCCATAGCTGCGTCACCGTTTGTGGCAGCGGGAGCGGGGGCACCGCCATTGGTGTTCTCACTCTGGTTGTTGGCGTCAAAGTAGTCAGCCATCTCAGAATCGAGTTCTTCAGCCGTCTTTTTGGTAGGGCGGCCGTTACGAGCAGGGCGTCGCTTGCGGCCGCGAGTACCAGCACCAGCACCAGCAGCCTTTCCGGCGGCTTCCTTTTTCTTATCGTTCGCGGCAGACTTCGGCTGAGCCTTGGGTTGGGTAATACGCTCAGTGAGAGTCTTTGCGGGAGGCGCAATTTCGGCGGCCTTGGCAGCGCTAACGACAATTTCGATCTATGAGATATTAGTAAACTAAGTAAGGTAATTAGATTGAATGGGGACTAACCTTGATGGGTCTGTTGTCAACAAGAAGGCCGTTCAAGGCGTTGAACGCTCTGCTAGCACCATCGGGCTTGGCGAAGGTAACTGTAGCGATCCCACGGCTGACACTATTCGGTCCGTATGAGAGCTCCACACGCTTGATGGGTCCAACTGATGTCGAAAAATACTCCTATGGAGGGCACGAATGTTAGTCTCATAAAATCCATTCGACGTTCGCGTAGAATGGTAAGCAATATCGACACCACCGAAGAATCCTAGCCGACAGATATTCGTCCATGGTAAGCATCCGAAGGTAAATCAACATCAACGAGCATGCAGTGAGCGTTAGTGGATCAGCGTCGACCCCAGCTGGAAATAAATAGCCCCCGAATGGCAACCACCCGCCATCATAACTAGTATCGACTCCATCGTGACTAGGTCAAAGTCCTTTGCAGAAAAGATGCGACTCTAAAAAAAACACTATCTTCGTTCTGCAAAGTTACCCTCAATCCGTGTCTAGTGTAAAAATGCCGCCTCTGTTCAAGACGACGCATTAAAGGGCACACCTTGCTAAGCCCACCGTATGACCAATAATACCAATACCTGGAGATATCGATGGAAGTCTTTACTTATTGTGCGCTGTAATGCTGTTGCTCACTGCTATGCTCGCTGGGTTGTAATTGTCCTATAGAGGGATGTTGCGCCAATAAAGACAGTCTCGCTATTCGGAGATATCATGCTCGTCAAGATCTATATAGCCCATATACGTCTGCGCATTGTAGCCTGCATTGGAGGGTTGCCAAGCCTACCAGAGGGTCAACAATATTGGCGCGTAGCGACGATAGCTCGACTCCCGACGCTTCTGCGGTATTAAAAGTATACGCGGTCAAGGGAGGAGACTAGGCAATCTGACGGCTCTGAGCTGGCCATAGTGAACCACCTTCGGGTAAGAGGATAATCATTTCGATCGCATAAAGTTACGAGCGTACGGGTCAAGGAAGATGTCGACGAAATTCCGCAGGCGAAAGCCTTAGGAAACATACCTTTATCTGGCCCTCGTTCACATCTTTCGGCTGTAATATTGTTAGCAGGTCTGCGCGAAAGCGAGTATCGAATCTGAGATGATGACTTACCAAGTTGCTAACAACAACCTTGCTCTCTCCGTTGCCACCGCCTGCCTTAGCGGGAACTTGCTTCGTCGCGGCGGCACGAGGCGGCTTGGACGTCTTTTGAACGCCGCCGACGGGTGCTGCAGTGGTAGCTCGTCCTGCCGAACGGCGGGGAACGCGGCGACGGCCGCCAGCAGCGCGACGCTGAGTCGAGACGATCTCGTCAAGGGACTGGTCAAGTTTTCCAGACATGTTGATTTGTATTATGACTGATTATTATCGGGATGGGTTGTATGGTATGAAGAATACACGCTGAACGGGCGCGTCGAAATATCAGGCTGAAGGTGGAATCGGCCCAACGGGTGGCGTTTTAAGTACGAGCGCAAAGGCGTACAGCTCGATTGATGTATCAACGCAAGTGAATGCTTGATGACTTCGCGACGGTCTAACAAGGCGCTAGTTCTATGCGCGTTGCAAGGGGAAGTAAGACGGCGAAAGGTTTTGATTTGTTGAGTGTTGTGAGTGGAGGCGTGGATGGAAGAAAAAATCTGTCTCGCGATTCTTTAACGACGAGGTAGATATGGCTGACGAAGTTGGATGCAGCTGGGAGAAATAAATAAGCGAAAATAAATATTATTGAAGAATTCTCCTCAGTAGAAGATGGGTGAAGAGAAGACTGGATTGGGAGTGGGTTGATGTTGATGGAGTGGGAGAGAGAGATGGCAGGAGAAGTCTCGGTTTGAGAAAGAGTCGCAGTCTAAAAGGGAAATCAAGGAGGGAAGCGCGAGAGAGATTGAGTGGGAAAAAACAATGAGTCGCCCCGGCACTGTGAGCCACCGACTCCAGGTGCGACCGCAACTGGGAATTCTCCACTATGTGGCGCACGGTTGCCTGATTTAGACCAGTGCTAAAAAGTACCTACATATCCACCCTTTTACCCAGAGCAACCCAAAATAGGCAAGCGCAGTACTGTATACAGTGACTTTAGGTTGCGATTTACAGGCGAATAGCATCCAATTCAACTATACTTCTTCAACAATCGGCTACCGAAAATAGAGAATGCTACAATGTGGACCTAGACCTGAAACGATATTGGCATGTTATTGGCGCCTTAGTTTGATTCTTTCGCAGCTAAGCCTACGTTATTCTTGCCAACATAAAGAACCCCAAGTGAATGCGTGGTTCTGTGCAAGTTGAACATGATTGGGCCTACTCAATTTTATTGTTTATGGGGTGACTATAAGACCACATATAGAAGCAATCAACATTTAGGCCTTGGGAAGTTGTGGCAATGATTTCCTTATAACTTTAATCCATCTTCCAGAATTACCCACTCATAGATGTCGAGTTGACGTCCACCACATTGCTCGATTGGAGAGCACTTCCAGCTCATAGGCACTTTGGGTGTATTTTATGTGCGTGTTTTGCTTCCATATCACTATACTAAACGCCGGTCATGATTATGACTTTGCACTCTTCGTAACCGGCCCAGATCTATGAAAACGCCCGTGTCCTTTGGTACGGTCCGTCTCCTGTCATTTTGTCGTGCCTGATTGTTTCCCAACTGCTGCAGGTTGTTGCGCCGGTGTCGATTTGGCAGCTTTCTCAGCGAGTGCGCTGTCCTCGCGTGAATTGACCTCGAAGAAATGGTACAACACAATGAGAACCATGGCCACCGAGCCAAGGAAGATGGCGAGCGAGTACAAGTCGTCGTCGGAGATCATGGTGGAAGAAGCGCAGAGAAACGGAGTGGTATATCGGTTGGGGCGGAGGATCTAACTAGGAGATGGATGTTAACTGTCTGGGTTGTCTTTGTTAGCTTATATGAATGCACAATACGTACTGTATGCACCTGCGACGCCTTGTTGTCACAATTGATATTGTACAAGGAGTGCGATGAACGTAAAAGGAGTGTCGGGATGGTGTGTGGTAAGTTTGATTCTTTTCCACGTTCACATTTGGAGAAATTCAGAATTGAGGCCAGTTTGGAGCTTCCCAATTCTATGTTGCAGCTTTCGCAGGCGCAGGGAATACGTAACCTTTGTTAGGTACGTACCTTTGCGTTTGTGGCTGAAGTGGACCCTGTTCCTGACTAAGACAGCGTTTTGATCATGTGACGTAGCCTCGGAATTCTATTTTACTGGACCCCGCCGAGGCGACAATATAGCCCACTAACTCTACCGCTAGCGTTCTTAATTTAGTGAAGTAATTGCATCGCTCTTACAACCCGTCTATTCCTACAAACCTTTTCAATATTGCGACATCTAATTGCTCCAACGTCTAAGCATATACTTTAGTTGGGCAATTAGAAGCCTCTCCCGATAATCTTAATATCCTACAACCCCGAGAATCGTACTCGCCGCCGAATTATAAAACGCCCCACTACCTGACAGAATGCCTCCAAAGAAAAAGGAAGACCCCAAAGGCAAGAAGCCTTCTGCCTCCAAGGCTGCCGAAGACAAGACCTTTGGTATGAAAAATAAGAAGGGTTCAGTTGCCCAAAAACATATCAAACAGATTCAAGCGTCAGCCAAGGCCGGAGGTAGTGCGGAAGAGAAAAAGAAGCAAGCCGAAAAAGAAGCACGCGCCCGAGAGAAGAAGGCCGCCGAGGACGCCAAGCGAGAAACCGAAGCTCTCCTAAATAAGCCAGCCCAAATTCAAAAGGTCCCCTTTGGTGTCGATCCCAAGACTGTTGTCTGTATCTTCTTCAAGAAAGGCAATTGCGAAAAGGGGAAGAAATGTAAATTCGCACACGACCTATCAGTTGAACGAAAGACCGAGAAGAAGAATTTGTACACCGATGGCCGAGCAGAGGAGGAAGAGAAGAAGAAGCAGGAGACGTCCGATGATTGGGATGAAGAGAAGTTACGAAAGGTAGTACTCTCCAAAAAGGGTAACCAAGTCACCACTACCGACAAGGTCTGCAAGTTCTTCATTGAAGCAATCGAAGATGGAAAATACGGTTGGTTCTGGAAATGTCCAAACGGAGGTGACGACTGCAAGTATAGACATGCGCTTCCACCAGGGTAAGATTTCCCCTCCGCTACGTTTTCGTGATTTATCTAACCTCATCGTTTTAGCTTCGTACTTAAGACAAAAGAACAGCGCGCGGCTGAGAAAGCCCTTATGGACAAATCTCCTCTCAAGACTCTTACTCTCGAAGATTTCTTAGAATCAGAAAGGCACAAACTTACTGGAACGCTTACTCCCGTCACCCCAGAGACTTTCGCAAAGTGGAAGAAGGAGCGATTAGACAAGAAGGCCGCCGAAGAACAAGCCCGGAAAGCCAAGGAATCGACCGGTCGTGCTCTGTTCGAAAGTGGCAACTGGAGATATGGCGAAGACGAGTCCGAAGAAGACGACGACGACGACGACGAAGATGATGCCTGGAATTTGGAGAGGCTAAGGCAAGAAACACAAGCTATTCGGGATAAGAAAGAAGCCGATCGCTTAGCCGCAGCGGCGGGTTACTCTGCGGGTCCATACCAGCCTCCGGATACCGGCGATGGCACAGCAGTCGCCGCAGGCGCCTGAGATCTATACCCTCAAAGTGGTGAGATATAACGGAGCAAAAGATCTTAGGAAAAGAGAATACCATCGCAAAGATGGGTACTCGAGATAAGCGACGGGTCAGGGAAAACGGCATTCTAACAAGCCAAGAATATCCCGTCTGGGCCACAGCAAATCCCGTATTGATTGAGCCATCACTGGTCTCCCAATATCTGCGGGATGGTGGGGATTCTTCGGGATCAGCGGGTTTAGTCTTCTGGCTTGTGTTTATAGGGCTATGCGAGGTCAGATTGGTTGAAATAAGAAGCATATTATATATAATTCTTCAGACACGATGTCTCGCCATCAATATAGTTACTCCGGTGCACATTCACTTCGTCGGCATATTAAGGCATTTAATTGCTGATTTATTAAGAGAACGTAGCGTTGGATAATTCCTATCTCTCATCGAAGCTACCAGCTTCTAGATTCAAAGGCGCATGATACAACGTCTTGATGTAGTTATCAACACTTCAAATCCCCAGGTAGTTCCTCAAGATCCCATTGCAGCCCCTGCTCTTACTCTCTTACCAAATAATGAGGTTTAAAACTTCTCGACATAGGGTCGTATATCAATTTCTTGTGTGAACGCAGAACGGTGTTGAGTGTGTAGGCCCCAGTAGCTTTCGGCGATCTGTCTCAAAGTTAGCAATAAAATCAGCATCCTAAAATCTACAATACTAACCGCATCGGCTCTGATCTTTCCATCCTCAGCGCCATTGTTCACGGTATAGTGAGTCGTCCTCGGGATATCAATAACACCATCTACGATAGCATGCGCTACATGTATACCCTTAGGTCCAAACTCGCGCGCCAGGGACTGACCAAGAGCTCGTCGGGCGAACATGCCAGCCGCCGCCACAGACCATAGATATGAGCCCCTGATGGAGGCAGTCGCGCCTGTGATGATCAGGGTAGGGGGGTGCTCCGAGATAGGCACTGATTCTAGGAGTAGAGGAACAGTCTTCTGAGCGAAGTTGAAGAGACCCCGCCTATGAGATATTTTAGTTCAATTTGAGTATATCAAGTTTGATATTAAGATATGCATACGCATTGGCACCAAGAGCGGCGTCAAAATCGTCGGCAGTCAGCTCAAGGAATGGCTTCCTGTTAAGATTGCCGCCAACGTTGAAGATAGCGGCGGCAAGCTTCAGACCTGGTAACTCCTTCGCAATCGTCTCGAAGGCTGAGTCTAGCGACTTGACGTCCGAGGCATCCGCGCTGATACCAATTGCCTTACCTCCAGCGTTGTTAATCTCGGCTACTGTGCCCTGAAAGTTCTCAGGGTTACGGGTAATGAGGACTACTGGGTAGGCCTTGGAGAATCGAATAGCAGTTGCTCTGCCTAGTAGGGATTAGCAGGTGCTGAGCCGTATTCTGCTGGCGCGAAGGACTTACCAGTTCCGGGGCCAGCACCGGCGACGACGGCGAAGAATTTGGAAGACATTGTTACTAGTTTTAGTTGCTAAAGTTGTAAGTGCCTAGACGTTCTTAAAATGATATCAAATTTAAGCTATAAGTTTTACTTTTAGGATGAGGATATATGATTCAAACAGGCGATCGAAGCTCTCTTATAAATAACAAAGAGCCAATGTGATTATAAAGACGATTATCTATTAGATGTACGAAGCACGCCACGAGAGGAGATGTGCCGCGGTCGTGATTAATAATTCTATATCCCTTCGGAAGGTTGGAGTGCTGATGACAAATTTCAAAAGATGTCGCAATTCCCTAACCACCGAATGATGAGCTATGGATTTGAAGAGATATGCAGCTTGGTATGACCTAGTTCCAGATGCCCCTCAAGATGGTGACGTGCAGCATCCGTAGGTGCATGCCCCGGAGTAATAGAGAAAAAGAAGCAAAGTTGGAGAGCGTAGTATAGAATGGAGGCTGCTCCAGGGCTTCTTTAGGGAGCTATGGCCACTATGACTATGGGTACGATTACCCCACTTAAACGGAACAAAACCGTATCGTATGTACATGTACAGTACCTAGGTACAAACGGTCCCCAACGAAGGTTTCCGTTTTCTTAACAGTTAAAGCTGGAATCTCATTGAATTCAAGACGCGTCTAACTCTAAGCGTATCATCATTCATCTCATCGAGAACGTTTGTATCTCACAAACAAGAGCACGGGGCTCAATTAATACTGCTATTCTGATATCTCTAGTAAGTAAAATTTCAAATACTAAACAAATGATTTAATTCTAATCTCATTAAAGATCTAATATTATCTCATGTTACGGCTACCAAAAGCAAAGATATCGATTGATTCTGAGATCAACGCTATGGAAGATAATAGAGCAGGGGCCTCTCATAAGCCCATTGTCACAACATTCGCCAACGACTCTTCTCCTGACGAATTAGGAGAAGATGCTATCATGCCCCCGGTTGTGTCAGATATCATGCAGACACGTCACATTATCAGCCCCAAAGCGCCCATACCACACCAGCAAATCCAGCAAACTTCAGCTACCAAGCCAAAAGTGCAAGGGCCTTCTACTAATATACCTACAAATACGCCGACCGCCACCCCGACAAAGCCAACTACTCAAATAGCCGTACATATTCGATCAGTATCCGCCTCGCCATCTCATGCGCGGCAAGAGAAGCTTATAGCAGATAGAAGCCGAAGGTTGCGGCCAGAAACACAACCGAGGCCGATGGCGAAAAGGGTTTCTGTCATTCCGTCTTTTACGCAAAATGATAGGGAAGAATCCAGTCCTCAACCAAAGAAAAGGGGTAGACCGAAAGGCTGGAGACCTGGAAGGCCCTACGCGGATGGCAAAGAAGGCAGCAGAGAGACCGCTAGTCCCGCTCCCAAAAAGAACCAACCTACTAAAGAATTAAAACGACGAGGAAGACCACCGCGCCCTCCCGAACTCCCTGCCAGAGATAATTATCTGCAATCTAAGGCCGAGTACATACCGTTTACCTGCGAATGGAAATATTCCTCTGCGCGGGCATGTCCAGCAGAGTTGCATAACATGAAGACCCTACGCAAGCACGTATTTATCGTCCACGGCGACGAAGAGCCAGCTACCTGCTTATGGGGGAAATGTGCAGCAAGGAAACCACCTATCGAGTTCACAGACCGGGAAGAATTCGAGGCGCACATGGAGAAAGAACATTTCAGATCGTATATGTGGTACAGAGGCGAAGGATATCAGAATGATGGTATCATAACACTAAAACCCGAGACTGTTGATGGACTTCCGTCCTACCTATTCGACAAAGATGGCAATCAAATCACTCCCTCGGTTACGGACCAGCAATTCGAGGACGACCAGCATTTCAAGGAAAGGAACCGAAAGTTGAGGCGATTGCTAATACAGATGGATGAGAATGCCCTTACGGAAGAGGAGTACAGAAAACAGACGCTAGGAATTGACTGATTCGATGTGAATCATGACGATAAAATCCGATTGTATATAGGGATAAAGCCGATGCTTTTTGCCTTATTCCCGTGCCGAGCCGCAGTCTCGCTAATCCGGATGGATCTCCGCTGATTGTCGATTTTGCTAATTGGGTCTCATGACGCGATACTAATAGGATAAGTGGCGTTTGGCAATGTACACTGCATGTCTACACACATAATTCTACATTCCCTTGTCCGATTTTCTCAGGGATGGATGTACATACCACAAATCGAGAACTCGAAAAAATAGGCGTATGATTGACACGCATAAAAGAAGAGTTTAAAGCTCTGTTGCATACAAAGGAGTGCAGAAAAAAATGGTAGAGTCCTGGAGACTTGAGTTTACCAGGTTCTCATGCGTTAGGTATCAAAGACAGTACTCACGGACAGCAAACTTTTGTAATCACGAAGTTTCCCGCATGATGAAACAGCTTGCCGAGTTAAATGTGTGCCGCAATATATCATTTAAAGGAGACAATGCATTATCTTGTATCTTACGACTACCGTATATCTACGGTACTGAGGATCCTTAGAGATTCCCCGATGGCGTTAAGGCTGACCAATCAATATGGAACCCCTGACGATGGCACGATGCTTATCAGTGTATAGGCTTCTGGATATAGGTATGTCATAATTGTCATAATAACTAAACTTACGGGCTCCAGCTTGCCTATTTTCTATTATGACGTAAGATGCATAACCGGCATTAATAGCGTAGCACCGAAGGGGATCCATTCCACGAGCTCCAGTCGGTGAGTTGCATAAAACAACTTGGAGATGGTGATGTATTAAAGGATCCATACCATCATATGTGTTGGTGGTTGTTCTCGTTTCCTTTTTTATATTATACCCTTTGAAGGACATGCATAGGTGAAAGAAATTATAATAAAAAATGGCACACGTGTCGAGTTTGTTCAAAAAGTGTTTCGGTATTATGGCGAGAGTACGGACCGATGGATGTGTACTACAACGATAAGTACAAGTACATTTGCTGGTGTAGATTATCAAATGTGGGATAACTGCGGGAATAAGAGTGGCGCCTAGAATCAAGCGTCTTACCTACAGAACTTCAGCGTAGACAGGCAGGTACAATACCTGTAACGAGCTAGCAGATCAAGTACCTATCCTACCTGTTGTACCACCTAAATCTACCTACAAACTTAGGTGACTACATGTAAATGAACTCAGGTGAAAGTTAAGCTGAGATGTATTTCTAAGCCCCGAATTCGCGTCGCCCTTCTTAATTCAATCAATCCATTTGATCAAAAGGGATTCATATCCCTTTTTAACTTCACCATTCCTATATTTCCCTACTACTACAACAACTACTACTAAATACAAAATCAATGTTGCTTGCTTTTTTCCCCTTTTCTATTTGCCGAACTCTTACCTAGAAGATAACCAAGGTCAACGAATCAATTCGTGAGTGAGTCGTTCTATGAGCGAACACCCATAGTTTTGCCAATGTTCATGCGGACCGAATGGTTCTAGCTAAGTGTCTAGGCTTGTCGCGTACGTAGCCTGGTCGTACTTTATTAGCGCATCCGCAGCTATCGGAAGAGAACAAGAAAACAAGAGAAAAGAGGAAAAGAGAAAAAGGGAAACCGTTTTGTTTGAGTTGGACCAGGACCTTGGTTCTGATCCTGGAACCTGGACCTGGAACCCGAATCTGAATCTGACTTCGTATATCCGGACGTCCCTTTTTAGGACCTTTTCCTTCGTATTGGCACTGCAGCAACAGCAACAGCAGTACAGGGGTTGGAAGAAGGGGAAATACGATCCAGGAATTCAAGAAACCCCATAATTCCGGGGCTCCTCGAGACATCACGGTATACCGGTATCTGCAGTGTCTGTCTAACTGGCTAGGTTCTGTACTGTACCTAGGAGGTAGGTACCTACGGAATGATGAGCTAGGTACATTGCATCAACTAATCTATTCTACCCAGTGTTCTGATTAGCAAGCAAAAAAAAGGAAACCCGAACCTGGAACGCTACGCAACGCAACGCAACGTATCCCAAGTGGGAACTCAGCCCCCTCTCAGCGTCCTTTAGACCCGCCCCTTTTGCCCCTCGCTCGCTCTAAGCGGCTCCCCCGACCGAAGCCAGGCCTTGCCAGCTTACCAAGTGAGCGTAGCGTAATAGCCTGCCCTTGGTGCCCTTGCCCCAAGCGCCCAGCGCCAGGCCTGGTTTGGCAGACCTAAGCCCGTCCAGCCAGACAATTGTCATAATAGCGGCTACTAACGTACTGCTTGTACTGCTTGTACTGCTTCTGCCGCGCTACCGCCGACATGGGGTCCGACGAGTCAATTGAACACCATTCCAACCTCAACCGACCATCCCCAAACCCTCCCTCTCCAACATCTTCCTTCGCGAAACGAGGTTCCCACTTCCGCATCAGAAAGAGATTCACATCATGGCATCATCCGAATGTTGACCTTAGGGATTCTAGCTTAGGCGACAACACCGATAACGAAAAAATGCCCGTCAAGTCGCCCGCCTCTGCTGGCACCAATAGCCATTTCAACCAAAAATTGAAGAATTTCTTCCGTATCAACAACAATAATTCCAATAACAATAGCGAAAAAGAGAAGAGCCTTGACCATTCCTTAAAGTCAGAAGGAAAAGTTGGCTTCCGTCAATCGAGGAGGTTTTTCACCAATGTCGGTAGGATTAGGTCGACTACCACAGCGAGTGAGGGTAACCCCTTAGACGATACTCTTAGTCCCACCGCCAATGCCAACCCGTATTTCGCCCACCAAGGCCAACCTGCGTTACGCCATCACGATTCGGGATCCGTACCACCCAGCCCACCCGATACTCCGAGCTTAAAAATACATGGACCAGATGGCGCGAAACAACAAGCTACGAATGCTACAAAAGAAGAGCTGGCAAGAAAACTACGGAGGGTTGCAAGTGCCCCGAATGCCCAGGGCCTCTTTAGCCAAGGTAAAGGTAGCGGAGAAAGACCAGCCACCGCGGAGCTTGGCAAAGAGCCATTGATCCACGGTGAAGACTCTATATCATTAGGATTCATCGATGCTAAAGCTTCACTTGCCGATGCTGCAACACTTTCCGTGCCCGAAAATGATGGTCTCGGAGCTCTTCCGCCACCAACCCAAAATTCCCTAGCTTTCCGCAGGACGTATAGCTCCAATTCGATCAAGGTCCGCACTGTCGAAGTCGGGCCCGCGAGTTTTGACAAGATCAAGCTCATTGGAAAGGGAGACGTTGGAAAGGTTTACCTCGTAAGAGAAAAGAAGAGCTCTAGACTCTATGCTATGAAAGGTTGGTTCCCTATTCCCCTATCCCCGGCATTTACGGAGTAGTGCTTACGAAAGCAGTCCTGAGCAAGAAGGAGATGATCAAGCGCAATAAGATCAAGAGAGCGTTAGCCGAACAAGAAATTCTAGCGACGAGCAACCATCCATTTATCGTAACATTATATCATTCATTCCAATCCGAAGACCATCTTTATCTATGCATGGAATATTGTAGCGGTGGAGAATTCTTCCGAGCTTTGCAAACCCGCCCCGGAAAATGTATCCCCGAAGATGACGCGCGATTCTACGCCGCAGAGGTTACAGCTGCTCTGGAATACCTTCATTTGATGGGATTCATTTACAGAGACTTGAAGCCAGAGAGTATGCATTTTTATTCCTTTTTTCAGAATTTTACTAATGACGTTGAAAGACATTCTGCTCCACCAATCGGGGCATATCATGCTTTCTGACTTCGATCTCTCGAAACAATCGGATCCTGGTGGTAAGCCCACCATGATCATGGGCAAAAACGGCGCCAGCACCTCGTCCCTCCCTACGATAGATACGAAATCGTGTATCGCGAACTTCCGGACGAATTCATTTGTAGGAACTGAAGAATACATTGCTCCAGAAGTCATCAAGGGTAGTGGACACACGAGTGCTGTGGACTGGTGGACCTTAGGCATCTTGATCTACGAGATGTTATATGGTACTACGCCCTTCAAGGGCAAGAATCGTAACGCGACTTTTGCCAACATTCTCCGAGAGGAAATACCATTCCCGGAGCATTCCGGAGCGCCCCAGATTTCAAAGTATGTCTAAACAAGTTCGTCTCTGTTGTGACCATGCTAACTATTGTGTAGTCTCTGCAAGTCTTTAATACGAAAGCTATTAATCAAGGATGAGACCAGGAGATTGGGCGCAAGAGCTGGCGCGTCCGATATTAAAGCGCATCCTTTCTTTAGGACAACACAATGGGCTCTCATTCGACACATGAAGCCACCAATAGTTCCTCATGCGGGCCGTGGTGTTGATACGGTCAACTTTAGAAACGTTAAAGAGAGCGAAAGCGTCGACATTACCGGCTCGAAACAACTGGGTTACGCCAAAGGTGTGCCGTTAGATAGTGAACTGGCGACACCCGGGAACGAGGCCGCGGACCCTTTCGAAGAGTTTAACAGTGTTACATTACATCACGATGGCGACGACCACTATAGCAGCGACAGGTGATTTATCATTTAGAAGTACGCCTCTACCCACACACCAATAGCTTGTTTTGCATCAACTTTTATGGCTTTCTATGGCATAGCTTCTTTTGCTACTGAGCTCTCACATTACTGTCGAAATAAGATACTGTCAGCACAGCATCATACTCGCCATCATCGATGGGTTGTACTATGAACTTTAAGATAAAGAAAGGGGGCAAAATTTCAAGATCACTATCTATTTACGACATTCCTATAATGCTATTGATGTTGAAGATTGTTATCAGGGCTACGCACAAGAGGGAAAAAGGGCGAAGGTGGCATCAAGCATTCATATATGTACGGCGTTTATCGGCACGAAGGAGTTTTTGAAGGGAAAGACGACAAGAAAAGGGACCCGCGGGTCAGCAGTGGTTTGTACGACAGTTGCAAATAAGGCTTTTACTCGCTCATCATCTCGTCAATGTTGTCTTAGAAGTCCGTTTGAGACAGCCCACGCTACCACTTTGTTTAGCCTGCTCCTGTGATATAGCATTCATTAACCAGTTTTATCATCAAAATATCTGCTTTACGCCCCTCCGTCTGGTGTTTCCATTCTCTTATTCTGTGGCGCGCGGCAAGTGTCCCAGATTTCGGCGATCGGACCTCTCGTCTGTTCACATGCCTACTAGCAATCGAGTGTTCTTTTCTCAGTTTCAGCCTCTTTGTTCATTCTATCAGATACTGACCATATAAGTGAAAAGCAACATAACTACAAAATTGGAAATTATACAGATTATACAGATATTTCTATTATTTATCAAATCTGATACATACCTAGGAGATGACGTAAATACCATGGCGGTTGGTTAGAACGGTTACTTGCGGCTGACACCTGCTGACTTCTATCAAGATGGTGTGTCACATCAACCGATTTGATATCCCTGTGACTTTTATGACTTATTTTTACTTATTTTTACCCGGGGCACGAGGTTGGTTTCTAAATGAGGCGTCTTCTAGCATCAGATCCGTCTGCCTACACGGGTAGGTGAACTAGATGGTACCACCTACCTGTTAAGCTCCGAAGATCCGATCCGATCTCTGTGATACTACGTCGTTAGACTATTTAGAGTCGAGGTTCGCAGCCTCGAAATACTACATGGCATCTTATTCGGATTTTTTATTTCCTTGCTCTTCTATGATAATACGGTTAACGATAGATTACTTATAAGCAAAAACTTGCCGGACTTATCTCACGCCTGCTTTAGTACACACGCTAGCTTGTTGGTTATAAGAGACGCTTTTCCGAATCTCACATAGGATCGTCATCCTAGAGTAGGTTACTAAGAGGTAGGTAACGCTTTCGACGAAAAAGAAATTTTATTGACGTTATTAATAGGACCGAGGTAACTCGAACTTTCTGGGTTTATTGCTGTACCGCTAGCATAATAGAGAGCATGGTGATGTGATTACTGTACGCACTGAATGGATAATCGCGGCAGAGGTTGCTGCTGGATAGATGATATAACTCTGCATGCGACAAAATTAGACAGTTGGAAAGGCATGATTAAAAAGCCAGCCTGTTAAATATGGCGCGGGCAAATACCATCGGAATAAACCTCTCCGGTCCACCTCGCGTCGCGTCCTCCACCAACGTAACACAAAGCCTAGAGCAACAACGTCTTGATCTACTCGGTCCGGTATACTTACTAGAATGGCCGAGCGGGCAACGGCACTGCACCCGAACGCATCTCGGAGGCGCCTCGGAGCTGCGCGCTAGTCTCCGGCGAGAGGGACGTAACTCACCAGGACACACGCGCAGGCTATTTGTCATTCACGGATTACCTTCGGATTGTCTAGATGTTCTGAAGGAGGCGCTTAATATCGATGCGCGGTTTGTTGATGCGCATGTCGGTAGACGGATATACCGACCCCTGACGAAACGAAGACGAGTAAGGGATGAGGCTTTTGGGTTTGCTTATTTTGAGTATCCGGAGCTGCTCGCGTCGGCGACGGCCGATGGGCATATCTCACTGGCGGACGGTGTTCTTGGAGGACCACCTGTGCATATGACATCAGCAGATGGGCAAGCTGTGATGTTTTGCCATGCTTCGTTGTGGTTAAGTCCCAAGGCAGACGGTATGTAGTATCCCTACTCCACATCCGGACCGATCCCAGAAATTCAATATTAACAGTATTATGTAGTTCTCCTCGTAGACCGTCCGATATGGACGCGACCATCATCGTATTTCCAAAAAGCGCATTATCGCTCATCAGGCGCAAGCCCTGCTTTCGGGGAACCTGGGACAAGTAGCGACACATTGCATAACGAACACACCAACACTCTAAACGGTGAAGAAATCCCATGTTTCGAGACTTTGCTATACGAAACCCTAGCAGAACAAGCCAACGATTCCGTAGACGTAGACGTACGATCACTCGTCGAAGACGTAACCCTACACCAATGGAGTGGATTCTTTGAAATCCTATCCACGGACTTACCAGTCGGTGCAATTGAAACGACAGCTCTATACTGGCAAGCGCAAAAGAGCCTTGAGCGAAACCTGAGTGACTCGCAGTTCCACGATCGATCATATCACTCTCTTGAACCCTCATCAACGACCGGGGAGTGGGAAGCGCTTCTCTCACGTCTCGGACGACGCGCCACACTATTAAACCAACTGAATCCTATCGTCACCAACATCCAACTACCTTCCGAGCAAACACAACCACCTTCGCAGCAAGAACAACCTACAAACCCTATTACAATAGAAAACGTCCCAACCTTCATCCCCCGCCGACGCCGCCGAACCCGCGCCCGGGGCCCATCAAACACCAACAACGGCAATAGCAGTTCCGACGACGACAACAAACACAGTCTCGACCGAGTATCCTACATGGGCGGAGTCCTCCTCCCCCTATCCATAGTCTCCAGTATCCTATCCATGAGCGACCCCTTCGGTCCCACCGGGAACCAATTCTTCGTCTTCTGGGCGGCTTCTATACCTCTAGTCCTAATCGTCTTACTCATCATCTACGCTGACACGATTCGAAAAGCCGAGGTCTGGATCGAAGTCGCTAGTAACGCTTCCAGTTCTGAAACAGCTATTGGAGAAAAACCACATGATGAGGAAGCAGGGCAGGCTATGCCGTATAGTGAGACGATACAAATAAGTGCACCACCAACGACTAGAGTGGGGATTTCGTCGCTTAGACCGGAGAATGAGGAGGATGGGGATGAATATTCTGAAGGAGAAAGTTTTGATGAGCCATCTATGATGGTGGAGAAACTGTTCAAAAACGGTGGGAATAGGAAGTGGCGCAAAGAACAACTCGGTTGGACGGGTGCATGCAAGACGGCCTTCCGCATTTACAGGCTCAAGAAAGGCAAGCCGCCCAACTGGGTGGGTGAAACGAGACATGGGAGGACGCTTTAGATAATCGAGTACACAATTGTGTATTGAATCATAATAACTATATCATAATATCCTATTAAATATCAAATGTTGAATGCCAAATCTATACAGGCTTAGGCTAGATACGAGAAACAAGGCTCCCAAGTGGCGCCTAATTTCCAAGTACCTTTATCTTCTGGCAATGCTTTTTATCATGATTCGTAATGCATAATCGAAAGTGAATTACGAGGCGCATATTGGGCATTCCCTTTATCACACCCTGACACCAGGGATGAGTATGGTCAAATTGTTGTAGTATAGTGTGTAGGACGGCGCCTGGGTCGAGTAGGGATCTCGTCTGGTTTCCTAGTCGACCCGGGGAATGGACGATGGACGAAAATGGTATGTTTTCTTGAGCTTTAAGCCAGAGATCTTTCAAGTCGTTCTGCGATTGTTCGATGTAATCCCCTTCCGGGTCCATAACACGTTCAAGCCAGTCCGCAACCCTTCGCTGTTTACCCTTTGTGTCAATATCACGTTATGAATTTAGAGGCATAGGGACAACATTGGGAAGTGAGTGAAGGAGAGGCTCATTGTATTGGAAATGTGGGAAATGGAAAAAAGGGGCCGGGCGACAGACCTGGGAGTAGGTTGTATCGGACTCATCAACGTACAACCTGTGTAGTTTTCGTAGTTTCCCATAATCACGCGCGTCGACGAGAAGTGTATGGCATCTATCAGCGCCCTTCCCAAATATCTCTTGGACCTTAGGGGATCTACCCAGGTGCATCAATATGCTATCGTGATAATATTGGCATTGTGGTACGCCGTGCCAGAAACCTCGAAGCCTACGGTTCCACTGCTCTGCAAAGAACTTCCCCGAATTTCCTGCCAACGCTGCAAGGCTGACGCAGACAGGGCTCACAGGTGACTGAGCAAAGTAGAATCTAGTGATAGCGGGATTATTAGTATTTTCGGTTTGTAGGCCGTTCCGTTCTGTTATTTGCCCAGCAATATTTTGAATAGCGGAGTCGTCGAAACAAAGAGTGTCTGTTGTTGGATCGAACCACGTCTCTAACTTGAGAACTCGGCAGATACCTCGAGGACGGCTGCCGACACATTTCCATGATCCGGTACGCTTAGCTATTTTCCGGGATTCGCGACAGACCGACAACAATGCTGGCGGAGCCAGAATTACGGCCACCAGATCTGAACTACGGAGTCGCCAAGCATCATGGTCGAGATCTTTAAAGTCGCCTACTTCGTCATCTAGCCTGACGGAAACCGTCTCTCTTCGGATCTCGAATGCTCGGCGTGGTAAAGAAAATCGCCATATCAAAAGTCTCAACTCGGCGGGGAGATCTTGGAACCGTGGAAATGTAGTAACAATAGCAGATTCGGAATCTACCATAACTTTCTGTTGTGTCATTTGCGCCTCTCGTGTACAACGCGTCAGAGTGGCGGTTTAATAGTAAAGGGGGAAGTAATAGGGAAGGGATGAAATAAGTCTCTTCAGCTTAGATAGGGTGACTTCACATTCGTTGGCGAGGAATACACTAGTGTTGGGGGCAGAGATCTAGATTGTTACCACAATAAAAATAGCAAACGAGTTAGATGAGAATCCTTCCGTGGAGAGAAGGAAAGATAGATAGGTAGACATTTAGTGGCAGGTCATTTACTACCCGGCCGAGACTCGGTAGTCGGAAACCGACCAGCTTTGGGGCAAACGAGGGCCGAGCCAAGAGTCGAGGCTCACATATCTGGGCCGCGAGGAACATATAAAGGTGTATTACCTTCAAAGTCCTACCTTACCTAAGGTATCGTCCTTTAGTCCCTCCCTTAGGTGGCTGCAGAAATCTGAGAAAGGCAGGTGGCCAGTTCTCTCTTCTCATTACACCCTGGCGGGTTTAGTCGGCCGACGCAAGCGGCTTGTGTTCTTGTACGATTACAATCCATTATGTCTTGCAATTGTGTCTTGTAATTGGGGTGTCTCAGCCTTTCGGACTTCGGACAAAGGCACAATTAGGTCGGAGATGCGGAGTAGCTTCTCAGACACCAATTAGAAAAGAAAACATATATTATTGATAGAGGCGTCGGTGTGGGTAAGAAGTGTGAGATATTGGGGGGTCGGATTGTGTAAAGGAGAAGAAAACAAACCTCGGATATACGAAGTGACTTTACATAAAGAAATGCACATTTCCCATTTCGCGACCCAAGCCATTAAAAACTAATGACGTATGATTGGTCTGTCTAATCTTATCGCCGAAGCGGTTCCTGACCCGATTGCATGCATGTACCATGGTAAAGTACATGTACTGCGGAAATACCCCACGTACTAGCGGGGAACCGAAGTTTAATGCGACACCAAAGAAAAAGGACCCCTCCAGTCTTTTTATTCAACACGCGCTTTCTCAGCCTCATCATCACGCGTCTTTCCTTATAGTCAACCTATTGTCACCTTCATTGTCTGCCCACGATGGATAATCCGGGTGCAAACCCTTTACTATCTCCGCCCGAGCTCACGCCTCTAGAGCAGGAGGTGCTTGATGAGTACGAGCGACTAGCGGAAAACATGAAGAAGGCAAGTCATATCATTAGTTTAGTCTACGTAATTCTAGGTCACGCGTCAGCTTATAGTTCTTACTCGCATCACAAGCTACGATGATAACGACTTTTCAGCCAAACCAAGAAAATGTGGCTGTCTGAAACCTATACCCAATTGGCTCGGGAGAAAGCTGACCAAAATTCACAGCTCGCAAATGTTCTCGATACTATGGCCGGCCAGCCGACGACCGAAATCCTCGATGGCCTACGCGAACTCGAGCGCAAGACAAGTCTAGTATTCACCTTGCTCAAGGCCAGTGTATATAGCATTGTATTGCAACAGGAGATCGACTGGGGCGACCAATCGAGAGGTTGAGCGAGCAATGCGGAATATCACAAAGATGAAGAACAATAGCTTCGTGCCCCCGAGCCGAACCTAAAGGGCCATGATCATTAGGGGTTCGAATGGCTCTAGTTGGTGTACGCGATCCTGAATACGTTCATGTCGAGAATACGTCTTGCCCGGAATATATCGACTCGCGAAGGACTATTGTCCCAATTGCTATAATGAGGTCACGAAGGAAATAGGGATACGAAAATTGGGGACTTGACGTCAGAACGTAACTGACGGATAATGTATATCACAACAGAAGATACCCAATACGATGAATAACGAGCACATACAGAAAGGGTTATATCATGACCTTATTCACACACACCTTAACTTTGAGAATTCTTCATTTATACGATATTTGTACATGGTCGATTAATACACATTTCCACCGTAGTACACCTTCCGTACATCCACGAGTTTTTTCCCTCTTCCGAGGGCGATCTCGTTGGGGTCTTTCTGGCTTTGTAAGGCTAGAATGCAGGCCTTTACTGAGTTCATTGGATTCCTCGATCGCGGCATCTTGGCGGCGATATCGTGGATACCCACAGAACGGAAGATTTCGAAGAGACGGTGGGAAGCGCGTAGACCAAATCCTTTTCTCGTTTATTAGCATTCGCACGTAGAATTAGTGATAGTCGATATATAACTCACCAGGTGGACGAGCGTCAATCTGGACAATTGTCGCGCCAACTTTTGCCGTAACCGAGCCATAGATTGTCCTATCCTCGTACCTACGTATAGGCTGCATATTCTGAATGGCTAGAAGTGTCGCCTTCTGGCGGGCAGTAGCCATTTCAACGGACTTTGCCTCGCCGACACCGAGGCGTCCGTTACCGTTACCAGCGATAGCCAGGACCCAAGCGCTGCGGATCCTGCCGAGACGGGTCTGGTTGGAGACGAAGCGGACGACTAGGACCTTGGTGGTGATGTCCAGGATGTCCCTGACATGCAGGCCTATCCGCCGCTTCAACTTCTGGTACTTGCCCTCGTCGTCCAATCCAGCGTCCGCCGGGTCGATCGGCGGAATGTACATACCCGCGACACCAGATAAATTCTTGCCGAGTGACGGTGCGAGCGCTGAGTTCGACGGCCCGTTGGTATGCACCATCGTCTCGGGCTCGAGCAAGTACTTGGCCCTCTCCATATCAAAGTCGACCCTTTGCTCTAATACTTTTTCAATCTCCTCCGGTTTCATGCCTTCGAAGTTCACATCCTTCGGTATCAAGGCCTCGAGGCGGTTGGCCAAATCATCTGTGTGCTCCCGCATTGTCATGAACCTGGCTTTCGGGTTCGGTGGCGGATTATTCTGGGGTCGCTTGTCGATAATGGGGTAGATTTTGCTGAAGTCATCGAGGTACGGTAATCTGTAAGGATCTTTTCGTATTCGACCTTGTATCGTAAGATCGTTCGGGTCGATAGCTGCTTCACCAGCCTCGAGGGCCGCCATTTGTTCTGGCGTATACCTCGTTTTCAAAATTTCCACCTCTTCTAGCGTATACTTAGGAAATGTTTGTTCGGTAAAATCCTCAATCTTTTCCGGTGATATGAGTCCCATCTCCTCGGCTCGTATGCTCTTAAATCGGGGTTTTCGCCTCGCAGCGAGCTGCGCCGAGCTGTGGAAGGTGTGGCATTGTGATGGTGCTGCTGTCGGCTTGGCCGCGGCAGCAAGCCGCCTAGAAAGCAGGCATCGTACAGGCCGTGCCACGCTCATCGCATCTCCAGCGCCCAAATATCTGCCGTTTTATGGCTGCTACGACCACACAAGAAAGGAATGGTAGGGTCGCGTGAAATACCGAGCTTCAATTGGTACATATGAATGTACATAGAAATTATTTTTTTACGATTCTCAATATTCAATTCGGATTTACTATTTACCGAGAATGTCCCGCTCCATGGATCCACCCAACCCTGAATTTGTTACACAGCTTTAGCGTCCTTCTCTGATTGGTCCATCTTGCATAAGCAAGGGAGTTACTTCTTTTCTTTAACAATTTAGACCGCTGACATCAAGATCCCTTGAAATAAACAAACTAGTTCTCTTCTACAAATATTTGGTGCAAAGATCTAATTATAATGCTGCTTCGCGAAAAAAGGTGTGAGGACCTCATGCGGCGCAATCGCCAAAACGAGGCTCCTTCACGAATCGCACCCAAGATCTCAACAGTGGGCCACCAACCCCTGAATTCTCCCTATTCCTCATCGATGATTGGCCATCTCCAACCAGTCGACTCTGCCGCAGGTCTGAAACGCACGAGTTTCACAGGGATCGTCGCCATCGTCAGTTTCTGTACGTATCCATCGGTTCAAGTCAGTCGAGACCTCGCCAGGCGCTTGTCTCATGACAGCAACAAAACGTCTGTCAATGTAGGATTGCTTACGTTTCCCTTGTTCTCAGGGTGATTTCTAGTTTATCGTAGAAACCCTTCCATCTATTTTCCCTTCTAATCTATCCTAATTTTGCAGAAAAGTGAAGCTATCATCACTTTGCCCTCCCTCTTTTCTCTTCGTTCTAAGTGTGACTGGTGCACCATAATTATCCAATATTGCTAGCGCGTAGCCTCCTTCGCTCGTCTATCCGCTATAATCCATTCGCTCGAAGCACCTCTCGGCTTGAAGTCGAGTACTTTAAAAAACCAACAACCCGAAAGTCGTTGCGAAAAAAAAAAGCCAAAACATAATTCAAAATGTCGGGCCAATTCGGATTCATGGCCAAGCTCGGGGCCACCAACGAAGCCGTCGCCACCCTCAACGACCAACCGTACCTGTTCACAATTCTAGTTGTCGTCCTCGTCGCGATTATCCTTCAGATCACACTCATCTGGTACATCCACTACGCAACCTTGAAGCCCGAGCAGAAGAAAAAGAAGGAGAAGAAGGGCGATAAGAAGCCCGGAGCGAAGCCACCGGCAGCACGATAAAGGATCTATCATGAGCCAACTACAGAGCATGAATGTGATTTAATACTGCCGGTGGTTCTTGGTTTTGACGGCCGCGTCATTCGAAATATCCTACCCACTCATCCTATCTTCGCTGAGCATATACGATACAATGAACCGCGAGACTTATTAGGGGGGAAGATAGGTCGCAACCACGAGTCTTAGTAGGCGCGGTCCCCAGGAAGAGTGATGGGTTTAGAATTTTGGGAAATAGGAGGACAATAGATTCGAGGATAAGGGGATATTTAGGGGTGCTTCGATGACAGCGGGCCGCGTCTAGCACTTATAATATTATGTATTTACCGTTTATATGTTTATCAATATTGTTTATACATTTCTATGTCCTGAGAATCTACCTGTTCTTCCTTCAGGTAATACTCTTCTTCTATAGGACCGTTAACATCACTGCTATATCCGCTTTCCCGCAGTGTCTCCTCTTTGGCCACAATTTGTTGCTCAAATGATGGTTCCTCAATGGTATCGTGTATGTTCTCCATATCGTCAAAATAGTCTGGCATATCTAGATCTTCATCTACTGTAAGATTGCCGGAACCATTGAAAATATGCCCTTGGGAAGCTGGAATGCTTCGTGAATCTCTAGAACTCGAGGATTGATTATAGAAAGAACTCTCGTGATTAGAATGAGGCGAGTTGCGGATTTCCTCCGCTTCACCAGTAATTTCCGGAGGAAGATCTTCATCGGTACATTCCACGTCCTCATCTTCGCACCACCGTCGTGGGTGTCCCGATACTGTATTATACCCGTTGCCGTTATCCGGGGGTTGATATGTCGACATCAGATATGGTGGGAATCTCTCGCTAGGCATACCACTGAATCCGATGCTTCCTAATGTGTTATCTGAAATGCCATATTCAAATGCATCAAAATGGTCCACCTCTAGAGGCACAAGCACGTAGGGTTCGTCGGAGACCTCATCTAATTGTGGGTCAGTGTTTCTACCAGCACTTTTGGTGCGTGTGGTCGGGTCGAGTGATGTTTGTACTAAGTTCCAAAGCCTCCTCTCAATGGAACTCCGATAGATGATATTTAGATCTGTCTCAGTCCCTGTTTCTATTGTGGGCTGATGGCTCGAAGCATCATCAAATAATAACTTCTTGCTCTTTTGCCGTAGAGACGATGATCGACTTCGAGTAGACGATGCTAAAATGTTGGAAATAAGAGGGAATTTTGTAACATGGGATGTCACCGCCTGACTCTCAATATTAGATAAGAATTTCTCCATTAGAAGCAAGACAGACTGAACCTTGAGATAATGCGCGTTCCAAATAGTAGGGGCTAGTTCGAGTAATGATGGCTTAGTGTCGAGATGGAACAGCCGCAAACCACGTATACGCTTCTTAATGCCAATGGTTACATGTAAGGCCATTTCAGCTAGATGAGTCGCATCATCCCACGGGTGTAACGCCTGATTTGCAGGCATATTTGCGAATGGTTCCCCCCAGTAAGTAAGCGGCATGACATCTCCATAGGTGTCACTGATCGACTCTAGAGCGTGTAATGCTGTCATAGGGGAATGGTCGCCTATGATTGTGTCTTGTGTATCTGGAAGTTCGGTCGCAGTACTGGAAACCTCCGGATCGCCTGACTGATACCGAAAGAGACACTCTATCCCATTGAAGCGAGCAGTAGGGCTTTGCGGAGGCGAGAGTAGCATCGATGACTTCTGTGGATGCTCGATAATAAAATAAAGATTCGGTGCCCCTTCGTACGGCGGTTCGTATTGGATATCCTCTTGTTTGATCGTAAGACCAAGGGAAGCCCATAACTGAACCGCGCCAAGCCATGTAAGCATTTGCATTGCTACCGTGTAGAACCGACTTACGGAACATTGACAGATCGCGTCAGCTAGATGCTCTAGGAATGCGAAATAAGCCTCGGTATTGTCTAATAGCATCGATAATTGCTGTCGGTCTACGATTATTTGTATTCGGCAGACACCTGGAGACATGAGCCACAGCTTCTTTGACTGTATCAATTGACAAAGCTCCTCCGAAGAATGCTGGGATGGAAGACCGGAAATCATCGCAAGAGAAGTTACGGATAGAGAAGAACCCGAAAGCCCGTTAGAAAGTTCGAAGGTCTTCAATTCAAGTTCAGTTTGATTGGCCATGACAAGGCGAAACCCCCAGCATGCTTCCGAAACCCCTATGCGAAGGGTTAGGTAGATTCATAATCGCTTGCGAGGTTATTTCAAGCATAGCATATGGCTAGATGCTTCGAGAATATGTCGTGAATTAAGGGGTAATTTCGGATGGTTGATGTACGAAAAATATCGCGATGTCGTAACAATTACCACGAAGCTGGGGAAAAAAAAGAAAAAAAAAGGAAGAGAATTCTGGTCAAAACCCTAAGCGTTGATACCCGATAAAGCGTAGGATGGGAAGTAACGAACATCAGAAGTATGCTAGCTCTCAGCATCTGCCTCAGCACCTGCTTGTATGCAGCTATATCGCAGTTTCTTCATACGATACTCGCCAACCTTTTAGTGTTAGCGTCACCTACTAACATGCATGTAAGTCTCTTAGTCCCTCCCAATCGCCATTCATTGATAGCAATTGGTCAATTATCGGAGCTATCATCCAACGCATGAATCGAAAAAATCGGATGTGATGGATTCTTTTTATATACATATTAGTTACATACTGAATAGATGACCTTGTAATCAAGGGAGATCTAGTGGTGTCCGTTGGGCTTCGGAGCCCGTTACTTCGGGAAGAATCGGCGTTAGCGACTCCGCAGCGACTTTTCGTCGTGGTCTTTTCAAGTCTTCTAATGTGATTCCTCCCTTCAGCTTAGTAATTCCAACTATGGGCGCGTCGCCTTTCCTCACAAACTCCCATTGGCCTAATGCGATGTTAGGGTACTCCCCATGTAAAAAAATGAATGGGATATGAAGCTCACCAGGTAGTTTGTTGCCGGCTAAACGGAAAGCATCACGGGCAACTTGCTCGTGAATCATTCCCCTGAGCTCCAAGACAATCTGGTTTACTGCTACTCTTGCGGCCCAATGATCAAAGGAACCCTTTCCTTTGCCCATACGTATCTGTAATCATACGTTAGATATAGGGACGCACATTAAAAGCACGCATTAGGAGGCAAACCTCATTACCACTGACGAACACGCCAACATTGCAACAGACTCGTTTATATAATCGGTACTTTTGGCCACGTAATCGTTGTTTGATAGTATCCTCTGCGACCTTCAGTTGCTTCGCGCTGATTCTTCGGTGATGGTCTTTCATCCGTAGTCCCCAATCTCCCCATACTACTGTTGTTCCTTTGGTAGACCCGCCTGTTGCAACCCTAGGTCGTCCCTTCATCATCTTGTCCTTTCGATTCAAGTTCGGTTCTAACCAGTTGCCGGCCATTGATGCCGTCGCTGAGAAGAGTCGGACATTTTGAGGGGACGGGATCGTTCGAGATGCAATCGGTGTTTTACGTATTATTGACGGTCGCGTGGTTGGTGTATGAGATACCCTAAGGGCCCGAAGGGCACTGACGAGACATGATGGCCCGTTGGAAGGCATTGTCTCTGACAGTTGAAGTATTCAATTGCCGTTGCTGCTTCGCATCTAGAAAATTGATGATGGCGGATCGAGATTCAAAAAATGGATCCTAAAAAGTTCCATTGCCGCTAAGCGCTGCTAGCCGCCAGTCGCTAGTGGGATAGGTATTTGCTTAGGTACCCATCCGGGTACCTTCCCGCTTACAAACTTAGTACCTATGTACCTAGGTCTAGGGGTCTTTTAGCTGCCTGTAGTGGGGTCCTAGGCACCCATGACAGAAGGCCCGTGCACGCGCGAATCGAATCCATTAAGAGTCCCATATTAGTCTAGGGTGAGCGCGTCATTATTCGCGTCAAGAATTATCGTAGATCGTTTGACTTTAACTTTCTTGCGAGAGACGTCGACCTGTTTTAGTTGTCAATTAGACTTCGGCGTCTTCTCTATTTTACCAGAGTCCCTCAACGCTCGTTGAAATGCCGTCGGATATTCGCTCCTTTTTTGGAGCCAAAGGTGGCGCTGCGCCTACGAAACCAGCTTCAAAGAAAGCAGAAGACGACTCATCTAAAAGACGTACCGGTGCGTATTTTCTCCTATTATGTCATACCCACACTAACGATGCTTTTTAGAGGGACGAAAGGTTGTAGATGACAGTGATGAAGATGATGGCGATGTAGCTATTGAGTATGTAGAAAACCACTTTTCATGATAATCAATAGGCCAAAGCTAAAGTAGCTCCCAAGACCGAAGAAACCGACTACTAGATCTACCCCGAGGAAGAAGGCGACGTAGGTATACTACCACTGAAAAAGAATGGCTCTTTACTAATAATCAACATTAGCGAGGAGAAGGTCCAGGGAACTGCTACAACAGCAAGCGAATACTTTGCCTCGAACAAATCGAAGAAGAGCCAACCAGCCACAAAACCGGAGGCTAAGCCCCAGCCGAAACCTACAGCCGAAGTGCGGTCGAGTCCTCGAAATAAGAAGACTGCGGTGAAGGATGTTGTAGCCCCTAGCAAGAACGGTGATTCCGCATCAAAAAAGCCACCACCTAGATTCAAGCGATATGACCCGGATGATGACGATGAGGCTTTCGTGGACGATGATGCAGATGCCGGTGATGATATCTTCGCTGCTGATGTAAAGAGCCGTAATAAAAGGAAGAACGATGACTATGCCGAGGAGGAAAGCGAGGAAGAATTCCTTCCCAAACCTAAAAGAATTGCTTCTCGTACTAAGCTGGCCGAGAAAGACGAGAAACCCGCCACATTGAAGCCCCCGAAGAGCATTACAGCTGCTACATCAGCAAAAAAGAGGAAGACACCTGATGCCGCATCTAGTGAAGAAGAGGAAGAGGAAGATGAGGAGCCTGTGTCTCGCAAGAAGCCGGCCGCAAAGAAACCGAGAGCCCCGAGAGCTAAGAAGCCAGATGAACCAGAAGATGCAAACATTCAAGCGATATTTGATGATATTCCTATGGTCAGACCGCCAACACCACCGGCTAAAGATCCAGACGCCAAATTCGATTGGAGGAAGGCAGCCGCGGGAGGAGGCAATTCTGGTGCGCCACCAAACCCTACTGCGGAACTACCCGAAGGAGAAGAAGATTGCCTTGCCGGTCTCACATTTGTTTTCACTGGTCAACTATCCACTATTGCACGAGAAGAAGCCCAGGCTTTGGTCAAGCGGTATGGTGGCAAGATCACAGGTGCACCAAGTAGTAAAACCAACTATGTGGTATTAGGCGAAGATGCCGGACCTAGCAAGCTTGCCAAAATTCGTCAGCATGGTATCAAGACTATTAACGAAGAGGGATTGTTCGAACTCATTCGTCGTCTTCCGGCCGGCGGTGGGGGTGGCAAAGGGGCCGAGAAGATTCGCGAGAAGCGAAAGTTGGAGGAAGAGAAGGCGAGAGAACAAGCAGCCGAGATGGAACGAGAGGAGAAAGCTCGAAAAACGGAAGCAGAAAAGGCACGAAAAGCTGCTGCTGCTGCGCGTGGTGCCAATGGCCCTTCTCAAACCCCATCTGCGCCGCTTTCTCAATTATGGACAGTGAAGTATGCACCAACCCAGCCAAGTCATATTTGCGGAAATAAAGCAGCAGTCGAGAAAATCCAGAACTGGCTACGAAATTGGACCAAGTCACGTAAATACAACTTCCAGAAACGAGGGGCGGATGGCATGGGTGGGGCTCGAGCTATCATCGTTTCCGGTCCCCCCGGTATTGGCAAGACAACAGCCGCACACTTAGCTGCTAAGCTCGAAGGATACGACGTTATAGAGAGCAATGCCAGCGACACAAGAAGCAAAAAACTTGTGGAATCTGGGGTAAGCGAGGTTATGAATAACACGTCCCTCAATGGCTACTTCGCAGAGGACGGAAAGAAGGTAGACGAGGGGAAAAAGAAAATAGTACTCGTCATGGACGAGGTAGATGGAATGTCTGCCGGTGACCGCGGTGGTGTCGGGGCCCTCGCAAAATTCTGCAAAAAGACGGAAGTTCCTCTTATACTAATCTGCAACGAGCGAAAGCTGCCCAAGATGAAGCCGTTCGACTTCGTTACATTTGACATCAAATTCCAACGGCCGACAGTTGATCAAATTCGCTCGCGGATGATGACTGTCTGTCACCGAGAGGGAATGAAGTTGTCTCCACAAGTACTCGATGCCTTGATCGAAGGTAGTAATAGAGATATCCGACAGATTATCAACATGTTGTCAACAGTCAAGCTTGACCAGTCCTCTATGGATTACAGCCAGAGCAAGGATATGTCGAAAGCCTGGGAGAAATCGATCGTGCTGAAACCTTGGGATATCTGCCAGAAAATGCTTGGCGGCGGCCTCTTTTCTCAAGCGAGCAAGGCAACTCTCAACGACAAAATTGAGCTATATTTCAACGACCACGAATTCAGCTACCTGATGATACAAGAGAACTACCTACGAACCAAACCAGCCGTCCTAAACCAGAACCAGTACAACAAGCGAGAAGCGAACCTCAAGGCTCTGGAAATGGTCGATAAGGCAGCAGAGAGCATTAGTGATGGCGACTTGGTAGATCGAATGATTCATGGCCCACAACAACATTGGGGATTGATGCCCACTCACGCAGTGTTTAGCACAGTCAGACCAGCTAGCTTTGTAGCCGGCCAAATGATAGGATCCAACTTCACCTCCTGGCTGGGCAACAATAGCAAGTACGGAAAATTAGGAAGATACATCCGCGAGATCCATTCGCACATGCGACTCAAATCCTCTGGTGACCACCATGAGATCCGTCAGCAATACCTACCAGTGCTTTGGACACGACTCATCAAGCGACTTGCTGATGAAGGCAAAGAGTCTGTTGAAGAAGTCATCGAGCTTTTGGACAGTTATTTCCTCACCAGGGAAGATTTTGATTTTATTAAGGAGCTGGGTGTCGGTCCTCAAGACGAAGAGCAAGTGAACATTGACACTCAGACTAAGTCTACTTTCACTCGACTGTAAGTGGTATTTATGTGAGAAAAAAACCCGATCTCGAGGCTAACGCGTCTAGGTACAACTCAATGTCGCATCCGATTCCCTTTATGAAGTCCAGCAGTGTTGTTGCTCCCAAGAAAGCTGCGAAGGATAAACCAGATCTCGAAGAGGCAATAGACGAGGAGGATGACGAACCAGAAGTTGTCGAGGCTGCCGAAGTTGCTGATGAAGATGAGGATGTTGATATTGAGAAGGATAAATATATCAAAAGGCCAAAGGCTAAAAGTGGAAAGAAGGGCGCGAAGAAGGCTGCTAAAGTTGAGGACGATGACGAAGATGTAAAGCCAGCAGCGAAAGGACGCAAGGGTAAAGCTGGGGCAGCTAAAGGCAAGGCAAAGAAGTGAGAAACCCGTCATATCTAACTACGCTTTATTTGTATGACTAGAGCTTGTGTTGCTTTGGTGTACATATTTTACTAGGCACAGGGCGAGTAATCTACAGTGAAGAATGAAGATGACAATAACGATAATAGATATATTCATCTAGAATATTGATTTGAGGGAGGAGTGATCAAGACTCTTCCTGTATGTCTACTTATCCTACCCGCATTGGTGTTGATATCTTGAATAGGCGTTCTTCTAACCGGCGTTTGTTATAGACTTGCGGAAGTACCTACCCATCCACTTAGTAGGTACTTGCTATATCTAAATCATCCATTCCACCATGTAGAGGTGTTCCTGCCTCTACTATCGTTCCGTACCCTAGGTAGGTAGTTGCCTTTATTCGTACGCAGAACAAGCCACTAATCGGCGTCCTTGTCTTCACCTACGGCACCGTTCGACCAGTAAGATAATTATGCGTTCCTGCCTAAACTATTGTTACAAGGTCGCTATTGAGAATTTAGGGTCCGTGAACTAGGGCCCGCCGTGAGTGTTTAGTACCTGCCTGTTTACACTCTTTTCCCACCCACTCGGCGACTTGAATTCACTCTACAATTTTCTTCCACTAAATATCAATCACATCCTGTATTGCTTTTCTTTTTCGCCGAAAATAAATCTCTTACTGTCCTTTTCCTCCATCCCCCACATCATCGCCGCATTGTTTTGCTCAATCCTGTACAGCATATTTTCTGTTTTCACCTCTACATAACACGCCGGTAATTATATTCCTATGACCGCCGTCTGGCTTCTAATGCTTAGATATTCACCATGTCATCCCATCGCCTAAGCCAGGTATGTATGAATCTATTATTTTCAATGCGACCAAGCTACCTTGGTCTTCTTTCTTCTCTACACCTTTGGCACATCTCCAACCACCACATCCCTCCATCCATCAGTACAGTAGTAAGGTACTATCAAATAAACGATACGATGCGAACACTTCGTAATTCTTTCTCGTGAATTTTCCCATCTACATATTGACTCAAATACCCTCTACTCCAATTGCTCTTATACTTGCATCAACATCTAAATATTTGAGCCTTGAGAGTTCTTGTTACTCAAAATACCCTTGACTTTATCATACCTACAGGCATCATAAGTCCCATTTTCATTTATTAATCGTTCCTTTTGGGTCTAGGCGAATATGGATTCTTTCAATAATCCGCCCCGAGCGGATGGTATCCCCAATGTCGATTCGCAGGCGCTTGATAATACATCCTCCATGGATGTCAACTACAACAAGGAAATTTCCCTTGTAGATCCCCGTAAGTCCATAATTCAATTACAAGCGAAAATATGGAATATCTAATTCGAAGTAGGCACTGCCCTGGTTGACAAGCATAATTCCTGGATGCAAGGCTTGGATGACGTCGACTATCAATATGACCAGGCAGTTGTATCTACTGGGGAGTCGTCCAAGAACCGCGGCTAGAATCCGCCTATTATTAGCGGACGATTCTCCGGCTGTTCTCACGCTGAATGTCGAGTAGAGAAGCAAACTTTGACTCATTCTATGATGCAGGCCTATGCTGCAATGCGTGGTCCCTCTATGGACGAGTTCTCTGATCCCCTTTTCGACTGGATTCAGGCTCGCCACGACGTGGACGTTGGAGTCAAGCCATACGAGCCTACGGATCCCAAGGATGTTTCAAGGTATGCTATCCGCTCTCACCCATACTTCATTCGTTTTTCAAACTATCATATATATAGTAGGCTAATGAGTATATCGACTAGACTGCTTGAAAAGATGGACCACGCTCTTCGTTCTGATAACATGGGAGGCGATAGTCCCACTGATGCCGTGTACGAAATTCCTCGACCGGCCATTCACCACCTTGGAACTCCGGGCAAACCCCTTCTGGCCTTGGATGTCCCTGATCCCATGTCTTACTCGAATGAAGACCCGGACGATGATGAGGGAGGGCTTCCCAGTGTGCGTATCTCGCCTTGTACGTTCCTAGCCTGGGCCGAAGGATGTAAGCGTTGGGATCACGAGTTCATTAAGGATCCCTCTGGTGTAAGTTGTTATTTCTCCCTCTCCACATTCGTCATCTACTAAAATGAGCAGCTTCTGGTCCATACTGCGCGATGCCGTCCTCAGGATCCTATCGCCCGTGACAAGGACCATTACCCTGCCTATCTAAAGGGCGCACAGAGCCAGGTCGACAAAAACACTGGCGAAGAGTTCTCGCCATTCTACAATGTGCCTCAAAACCCGTCCTTGATTTGGTCTCCTCCCGGTGTTGCCGACGATGCCTACGCTCCAGCGACATTCCTACGTGGGTACAACCTCATGCTTCCCCTTGATGGTAAGAAGCGCTTAGACCGTGTCTATGGTAGACAGTCTAGTAGTGTCCCAGCCGCTGGCACTAACGAGCACTATGGCAATGTAAGTTCACCTCGTCATCTTGTAAACCTACTTTTCCACCAATTTCCTTTCCTACTGTCTACTAGGAATATGGATTTCCGTTCAAGCCATAGCTAACTTTCCAATAGACCGAAGTAGATGAGGCTGTCGTATGTATGGATGACGAACTGCCCAATGGAATGACCATAAAGGAGTTCGTAGAGGCTCGGGAAGATTCCATCAAATTCGAAGAAGCCAAGGTTGCTGGAAACCAGGCGGCTATCAATGCACAGGAAGCTACAATTAAGGAGCTCACCCAAGAGCGCGACCAGTTGCGCACGCTCTACATCCCGCTCCTGCATCATCGACGTGCCGAGCGCATACTCCATCTCCAGACGGACCAGCAGTCAGCCAAGGAGTCCCGCATCCGCGCACACGTCTCGGCTCATGTGCGCGAAACCCAGGTCCGCCTAGACAATGTTTATGTGCGCCACGCCGAAGTCAAAGCCCGCCGAGAGCAGAACGCGCGCGCTATTGAGCGCCTGCAGATAGAGATTGATGAAGAATGTCTCCTTGTCGGGAAGACCAGTCCAAAAGGCATCTACAATGAGATCGAGGCCTTGTCCTCTCCGGTGCCGAGCCTGAAGAGCACGAATGAAGATGGAAATCTGGATGGTATTGGGCAGGCACATGGTGGCGGTTTGGATGAACCCGGCTACCTCAGGGAGCACCAAAAGCCTTCGAAAATTCAAGCTACCGGCCCTGAGCGTGAAGCCGAAACTCACAAGCGATGGGAGCAGCGCACCGGCCAGAGATTCCGTCATCATCCGGGATGTATATGCATCCAGCGAGTGGCGCCCTTGTATGTCGATCCACACCCACCGTCAGTACCCACCAGCCCCGAAGAAGAGCTAGAACCTGAGATCGACGTCGAGAGCGTTCATGAATCCGAGAATATCGACTTTGATGACCCCAATGCCAAGTACAAACTGGACAGGGATTTCTACGGCGATGACGACGACTATGAGGTCGAGGAAGAGGACGAGTTTACCGACTACGAGGGTGACGGCATCAACAGAAACGGTCAAAGAGGCAAGGGAAAGACAGTCGCCTTTGCGCCTACAAACCGATTCGGTTCCAACAGCTGGACTACGGAGGAAGAGTATTAAACTTGCTCCTCAGATCACTTCCTACTTAGGTAGTGATGCCCTACCCATAGCTTCGCATACTTCACTCCATATTTTTCGGCATTTTCGATTTTGCCCTTTGTTCGGATACTCCGCCTGGGCTACTATGAGTATCACGACTTGGTTTCCCACTTCTGAATTTCGACATTAGTTGTTCTAAGCAAGACGCTTTGGCAGTACTTGGGTGATAAGTACTGGGCATACGATTGTTTTGAGAGTCAGGATCACACGAACTCCGTCTGGATTCATTTACGCGGAACATACCGCGGTAACACGATCTTCGGGTTGGTCATCGGAGATCGAAAAATACGCATACTGTTGTGTTACCCCTTTACGCATGCAACCACACGCTTTCAATTTCTCCAACCCAGCTTCCCTGTACAGGGATATCCTCGCATGGAACAAAATTCATAAAAAGAAAAACAATCAGTCGCTGGAGATATACGATTGCTTTTTTTGCCGATCGTTATGAGGTCTATCGTCTTCACCCCATCCCATTCGTGTGAGTTGTGTTGGGGTGTGAAAGAAAAGAAAATTAGAAAAAAAAATTGTATGATAGTATTTCTCGTTGGGCCATAGGCTTCGACAATTGTACTAATTAATGTCAATTTCCTTCAATCCCCTACCCCTATTTATGCTTACATAAGTGAACATGTGAACCGTGGTAAGACGATTGAATATCATCACAAAAATACTGGTAGGAAAATCCATCAAAATGGCAATAGAGAATCGGGACAGACTTAGTTACCAGAATGCTACTCACAAATCTCCCGGAATACGGAGAAAAAGGCGCCACATCACAACATGGGTTTTTTTCTTTTACAAGTGTACATCAAGTATAAGTAGAGAAACAATATCCGCAAATCCCAAATGCCCGCATGGATGATCCCTAACACAAACAACAAATTCGCCGGTCTCGTTGGCCTATAGAAACCTGAACAGGATGCAAAATCCGGACTTCGGAGTTATATAGACAAATAGTAACTCCGAATCTCCGCCCGAGATTACAGAAGCATCGTCCCTAAGCCCTGAAATCGAATCGACAAGACGTAGCACAAAACGCCACTCTCTCAAACCCCGCACTCACCAGCGTCCGCGGTTCTCTGCCTCGTACTCGCTCTCATTATAACTCTCCCACTCATTCTTCAGGGTCTGCGCATCAATCCCACTTCGCGTGCCCTGTCCAGGAGCCCTATCGCCGGTGAACTTAATGCCCCCCATGTAATCAATCTCACCCTCAATCCGGCCGTCTCCGAGGAAGCGGATCTCGCCGGTGTGTTGGTCTCCGTATATAATCGGACCCTCGTCCTCGCGTCCGCGCCAGCGGAACTGTAGACTCTCAAGTGAGGACTGCCAAGGGCGTTGCGGGAGGCGCAGGACACCGGTGATTACGCCGAAGTCGAAACGGCCTAGAAGTTCGGTGCCGCTGAGGGTTAAGACGAGCGAGAAGCTGTCGTAGTCCCATTGCTCGGCTACGTAGGGGCAGTCCATATGGTAGCGACCGTTGAGTAGACCTAGGGGACGTAAGTTGCGTGAGTGCATGGTGAAGTCGTTGTCGCTGTCGTCGTGGCTGGGGTACTCGCTGTACGGGGGAGGCGGGCCTCGGTCTTCGTTCGAGTCGGAGTCGATGACGTGGTAGTGCGTGCCGGGGCTGCTGGAGGGACCTGGAATTCGACCGCGAGCTGAGAATGCGCCGCTTCGGCGCGCGGTTTGTTTGGGACGAGACGGCGCGGGGCTGGATGCGGGGATCCTAGGTGCTGCTCGGCCAGGTCCCTGATGAAGACCACCGCGACGAGCTGTCTGCTTCGGGCGGGTTGGAGAAACGAGGGACGAAGACGGGATAGTATCAAGCTTCTGATTAGTAGGTGTCTTCAAGGCCGCTTTAAGCGGCATCATCTTGGCAGTCTTGGGCTTTGGGGTGGCTTTGGCCTTAGGCTCAGCGGCTTTCTTCGGAGATTTGGTGGGGGTTGAAGGTTTTGCAGTCGTAGCTGTGGTCTTTGCCTTCTTCTTGGCGTTACCGGCTGAGACGGTGATGTTTACATCGCCAACGTTAACAGTCAAATCAACATAAGAAGCCTCGGCCTTGCGCTTGGTGGACTTGGTAGTAGTAGTAGCAGCAGGGGCTGAAAGGGCCTTCTTGGCGTCGCGTTCGTTCTTGGTCCATTCTCTCTTTAGGTCTGACTCGAGTTGCTTGATGTGGGTGGGAATTGATAGCTTTCCTCCGTTGACGGCATCGTAAAGACGCATACGAGCTACTGCTTTGGTCTTGGAAGGCTGAAGACCGTAATGGATGAGTTGAGCCTCAAACCAATGAGCGGGGTGATCCTTCTCATTGCCGGACTTGAAATGGTCCTTGAGCTCCGCTACTGTGGCGCGCCGGTGCCGATTGTGACCGCTCGCTTCGGCGAAGAGGTCCCCGGCGTAGGCGAATCCATCTCTGGTAACAGCCGGAGCTAGCGACATGATTGCGCGAGGTTTCCGTTCAATGGATTAATTGATGATCTCGAATTGCAGGATGAGATTAGAGGAAATGTTGGTGTCGAGAGTAAAATTCAGGCTACCATTTGCTTCGAGCCCGATTGGATTGGTAAAGAGGTACCGACCCCGAATCCGACCGGGTCTATGTTGGTTGGGTTCATGCAAGTCTGAACCTTCAAGTCCAATGACTGAGTACCAGAGAAATTATAAGTACCTAGGTAAATTTGCAAACCTTTGTCAAGGTTAAATTTCAAGTTGCCTGGGCGTTTATTCGTAGGTATTTGTATTCTTCCAACAAATAACCTAAATAAACACAATCCACGTTGAACAATAGAATAACCTTTTTAAGCGCGCGAAATGATACACAATAGGCATTATTTGCGTACCTTGAATCCCAAATGACAAAGACGTTTAAAAGGAGGTACTTATTCATTAAATTGCAGGCCTCGGTGACCTGATGAAGTCCAAACCCGCTCTACGCAATATGACATCCCTTAGACCCCATCTAGATCGAGAAGCTGCTTGATTTTTAACAGCCATGCCATGCCATGCATGTATACTAAGACGTTAAATATTCGTCTCCGCCAGCCGCCTTTTTTTCATGAGAGGAGCATTTTTATATACATTACCCAACGCCGGCCCCATCGTCGTGGTGGTGGTGTACAAGGTCTTTTCGTAATATACACAGATAAAAGTAATAATTTTTTCGTTAGCATCGTTTATTGGCTCTTGACCACGCCAACCTTGGCGGCACGGAGCACTCTTCCGTTCAATTTGAATCCTTTTTGCTGGACGTGGAAGACAGTGTTGTCCTCCTTATCGGGTATTGGCGTCATAAAGGTAGCCTCGTGCTCGTTGGGGTTGAATTTTTCGCCCTCGGGGTCGAACCGTTCCAAGCCGTGTTTCGCTAGAGTTTGGAGCATATTGGTTTCGGTCATCTTGACACCTTCGTAGAAATTCATCAGATCCTCGTTCTTGTTCTCCTCTGCTGTTGCCTTAATCTTCTCTTGGCCCATCGTTAGAGCTCTGTCGAGGTTGTCGACGCTATCAACTAAGTCCTTGGCGAACTTTTGAATAGCAAAATCGCGTGCCGCCTTCATCTCCCTTTGCGTTCGGTCTTGAAGGTTGCGGAAGTCAGCTACTGATCGAAGGTATTTGTCCTACAAGAGTTGTTAGACTTCTAGCTCGATCTATGTTGCGGCGCATTGGATGCCCCCACCTTCCAGTCAACGACTTCTTTTTCCTTGGTTTCTAGCTTTTTCTTTAATTCCGCCTCAGCGTCCGACGGCGCATTGACAGTCTCGCCATCTTTAGCTTCCACTTGTGAGGTTGGGCCTTCCCCTTCCTTCTTCGCTGCGGATTCTGTTTGGTCGCTATACCATCTTGTGCTTGTGGGGAGTCCGGATCGTAGGGAATTTAAAGGCGCTGGGGAGAATTGCGATCGTATTATGGGTCGTTGTGCAATTGTCCTTGAGCTCGATGAAATGGCTCTGGATGATCTGGAAAGGGCTTGTTTTAACATATTGACGGGTATGAGGAATGAAGAATGAAGAATGTGAGGGAGAAAATTGAGGGATCGCATGAGAGTGCTAACGAATATTTAGATTCAATGATGGAGGCAATAGCTTGTGCAAATAAATTTTTGGCCTACGGAAGTAGCTCTGGGCGGGCTTGCCCCATTAGCCGCACCGTGCCACTTATCCGATAGACGGCACTAAACGGCCCCTGTCAAGTGACAAAAGTCGGTGGCATGGTGGGGCAAACATGTTTCTGCCGTGCTTCACCGCTCTAGAGTTGATTTAAATATTTGAGATTCGTGCTCCGGTCCCTGAGATCTATTTCTTTTCTTCTTCAGCTCTCTTTGCCTTTTGGCTTAGATCAAGTGTAGTATCTGTTCTTTTCAGTTTAATCTCTGGAAGAGTCACATAGTGGCTCAATCTCTGATTATTCTAATTTTTATAAAAAGGGGGTGTATCCTCTGGGCTTGCCCATGATCATTCTCAATGTGTCCCTGGTATTACACTGCCTCCAGGTGATGCGAAATTTTCATTGCTATCTCTAGCTTGTCTAGGGTTGCGAAGATGATTGGTGCGTCGCATTGGAGATGCATGATCTACTCGGGTTGATTTGGGAATGATTAAGGGTATAATTCATTCGACTGATTGGTTTAGATACCCAGGTACCTGACACATTGAGAATCTGGCTTTGTGCTTAAAGCTCTATTTTCTGCGTAGTAACCCACCTACAGCCTTTACTTTTCTGATATGTGCATGCCTGCAAGCGTAGTTCGCACATACGTCATCCTGACATTCCCAGGATTTGTTTTGCAAGTATAAAAGTACCCATGTAGCTTTTTTGATTTGCGGACCATTTCAGCCTTGCATACCGTGCGCTTAAGCTCAGGTACCTTCTTTAGCGTGCTTGACGCTAAAAGGCTTCACGCTTTGCCTCTTTTGGTATAGCGCACCGCCTGTTGTGCGCAGTAAGGAAATATTAGAAATCTTTCAGCCTCGGAAATTTACCAATGCCTCCATCACTCTTTCAACATTTCCCATTGAAGGTTGAAGAGACGAAACAATCCTTTCAACAACACGATCGCGCTGCCATTTCCGACGGAATACGGCATCTACACCGCAATATCTCTTTTTATTTAGTTCATATCGTTCTTGATTTTTAACATCATCAGAGCTGGTCGTGCTCACCCGTCGCAACAATGGATTATGACACAATGATGGACACAGACTTGAGGGATGAGTTGGGCCCTAAGATACAGGTGTCAGCTGTAGGCGATCTCCATCGTACCATTGTCTTATACTTTGGATCTTTCTGATGATTTTTTTCGCAGGCGGATAACTACCACGTCGATTTTGAGCTTAGCAATGTTGACCTGTCCCTCGCGAACTCCATCCGTCGCGTCATGCACGCCGAAGTTCCTACCGTCGCGATCGATCTCGTCGAGATTGAAGAGAACACCTCTGTCCTAGCCGACGAATTCATCTCCCACCGACTAGGATTGATTCCCCTGGACTCAAGCGAAATCGACCAACTTAATTACTCCCGAGATTGCGATTGCGACCAAAACTGCGGCCGATGCAGTGTCACTTTAACACTCCACGCTAAATGCACCACAGACGAGGTTATGAAGGTTTACGCGCGTGACCTCATAGTTGGTATTGACCGACCTACTTCGCAGATTGGCAACCCCGTCATCACGGATCCGGAGCGGCTTGGTTCTCTTATCTGCAAGCTTCGTAAGGGTCAAGAGCTGAAGCTCACCTGTATTGCGAAGAAGGGCATTGCCAAGGAGCATGCTAAATGGTCTCCGACTGCCGCTATTGGCTTCGAGTATGACCCTCACAATCGTTTGCACCATTTAGATCTTTGGTACGAACAAGATGCTGCGTCTGAATGGTTAGTCTTGTAGTTCTTGTTCCTTTTTGAAAGCGAATTAACTGTCGGTAGGCCTAAGTCGAAGTACGCTGAACTGGAAGAGCCGCCTGCCGAGGGTGAGCCGTTCGACTACGACGCTGAACCAAACCGATTTTACTTCGAGGTTGAGGGTATTGGCAATATTCAGTCGGACACCATCATCTTGGAGGGCGTGAAGGAGCTACAACGCAAGCTGGCCGGTCTTATCCATGGTCTCGGAGAAAGCGAGGGAATGAATGGTGATTATGGGGGCGGCCGCAGCCCCGATCCGATTGATGGAGGAGCCGGATACTTGGATGGTGGTTATAGTACACCTTACGGTAACACCGGAGGTGCTAGTACTTGGGGCGGCGGAGCGACAGCCTATGGAACCACACCCTATGGCAACTCGGGTTCGAACGGCTGGAGTTAAACGTTTTCTTGCTGAAAGAACCCATCGCATAAGAGCCTTAGCGTTTTGGCCTTCTTTTAGAGGTGGTTCAGGAGTTGTACGATGCGAAAGAGTCGTCCCGTAGAAAAAGCAGGAGGGTTTGGTTTACTCAAGATAGGTTTTCTTGAGCTGCATTGTTCAGGAGTTCAGGGTACCTCACAATAGGGGATGAGGACATTGCATTTTCACGAGTAATTTGTGCCCCTCTAATCAAATACATGCATGCGTTTTAAAAAGGTCAACCGAAGGATTTCATCAGGCAGTTTATTCGTAAGCAAAATAAAGCGCTATACCCTATCTCGCCATCGTCTAGCTAAAAGTGCGACATGCCGCCCCAACGCCTGTGGTAATGCGGAAATTCAATAATTCCAAACGCCGTCATTCTTTCTGGTATAAACTTCTAGATCCATGCCCCCTTTCTATAAGGTCTGCTGTATCGAGTATCGTCTTTATGTAGTTGTAGGTATATGTATATGCAGGCGAACTTAATCTTCGATTCCCTTGAATCGTCTATAAACCTTGCGGTGTGCTTCTAGGAATAGGAATGTACATATCGTTTGCCTATATTTCGCAATTAGTCATCGGGAAAAGGGGATATTCTTAGTAAGCCGGATAAAAACTTACGGTCCCAATCTCAAAAAGGCTGGCACCCATCCCTTAAACATCCACTTTATGCCCTCCTTGGCATAGATCTCGCTTAGTAGGTGAGCAATACCTTGCTGGTGGCTGGTACTCATTACCCGGCTCTTGATAACATCCACCGGGGAACATATCGTAGTAGCCACAAAACCAGCGAGTAGAGAACTAGCAAAGTGGGTTGTTGTAGTATCACCCAGAGGAGTGTAGGTCATGAGCCATGCCTTGAAGGTGTCGTAGGAGGCAAGTTGACTGGCGTTCATGAGTGCGGCGCGAGTACTGTTGGGCCATACACCTCGAAACCAACTACGCACACCCTCCTCTCGCAGCATGCGAAACATGCCGTCCAGACCATGCTTATAGTGGCGGCGTTGGGCCTCCGGTAGGGCAGCGTCCTGCTGCATGCGAACGTTGGTCACATCGGCAGCATTACCGGATATACCACCGAGGAATCCCGAGAACGTCGATAGCCCGATAAGTAGTGGGAGCGAGGGTTTCGAGCCGTCGGCAGTGGCCCGCCTCTTCAATTCTTCGTATACACCGAAACGAACCGTTGAGTACGTCATCTGTCGGAGCAGGGACGCCGATAAGCCATTGTAAAGTCCGAGAACACCTTGCGATCGCACGATATGCATAAAGGTACCGCTCATATTCTTCGGCGCATCGCCGGATCGTAGTTGGAGCCGTACTTTGACTACACCGATACGTCATCCGTTAGTGGGTTTGGCTCGGTCTAACTCGTTTTCGTAGGGCTGAACAGATGGGCAAAAATTTCGTACATACCGAGATCGAGCGGATGCGTCACACATGCAGCGAAGCTGCTTGCGCTACCTCCGAACCAGAAGGGATAAGATATCCTCTCGTGTGGTAAGGATTTCTTTTTCTTCTCTAGAAGCTTAGGCTTGGCAGCAGCGGCGGCGGTGACCGGCGGCTCATTGGAGGTGGATCGGGGTGTAGTAACGGATTCCATTTTGTCTTAGGAATACTACTACACTAAAGGGGGGCGTAACTCGGAGAATGAGTGGACAGAAAGCACCATCCCTATGTCCTGCTTACTGTTGTCGCCGTGCCTATATTCGTAGAAAAAAATCTGAGAAAACCAGAGTAATAGTAAGAAATTTAACGATATAGTCACCTACCAAATGAAGCGAGCCCAAGCCATAAAGAATGGTGCAATTGATATATTACCTAGCTCGGAGAAAAAGTTGGCGGCTAACAAACAAGACGGGATTTGATGCAGTCATCCAAAAATCCAACGAGAAAGCGAAAAGAAATAAGTCGGTCGACTCACAGCGCTTCGGCTGAACCGGTAATTGTTTTTTCTCGGACGGCGGTTTTTCGCCCGAGAAAAAACTGGAGATGGTTTTTTTTAACATAGCCTCACGGTTGGTCGAGCGAGTAGCATCGAATTTGTTTGGTAGTTTGTACCCAGGTACATATGGTTCGATCTTCATGCAGCCTAACATCAGCTAAACATCAGGGTTACTTCCGCCGCATGGTTCCAGAGACTTGACCTAATAGGGTGTAGCTCATTGGTTACACTGGATGTGGTAGGTACCCAATACACATCGTTCCTGCCGATCTGGGTAAGGTTGCGGATTTTCTCGGATTTTTCTGGGATTCAATTCTGCAAGAGCCTCAAAGCTTTAGCTTAAGCTTAAGCAGCAACAAACATCATCCTGAAGCCACCTCTCATGCGCAATGATGTGGACGAGTAGGCTTACCATATCGTGTCTTCGAATAAGAAGAACAAACCCCTCAATTGTTAACGGAGTGAATGGCTGCGCTTCCCCTCTTTTAGTACGAATAAATCGTTGCGGGGTGGTGTCGGGAGGTGCGTCTAATTGGCTATGAAGTGCCAGAAACCACAGCTGTTCTAATTTATCTGTGCTGCTAGCCACCCCAGCTCTGCAACACCGAGCAAATTCAACCTCCACAACGATCAATGGCACTTCGTACAAGACAGATTCCTGGTTCAATGTACCTCAGAATATCATCGATCAAGTCCCCCGCCGATTACATCTACAAAAAGACCATCCCGTATATATAACCCGACAGATCATCGAGTCCGTATTTCCAGCGCCTACCTACAAGTATCACAATGATTTCAATCCTGTCGTCACCACACACCAGAACTTCGACTCTCTCGGATTCCCAAAAGATCACCCTGGACGAGCGAAAACGGATACGTATTACGTGAACAGCGAGACGTTACTACGAACACACACAAGCGCCCATCAAGCGGACGTATTCCGAGCGAACCTCAGCGATGGCTACCTGATCAGCGCCGACGTCTACCGCCGCGATGAAATCGACAGGAGCCATTACCCCATATTCCACCAGATGGAGGGTGCGCGGTCGTGGGACCGCGCCAAGGTACCCAATGGAGACGTCGCCGCGGCTGTCTGGTCGGACCTAGAAAAACTCCCGAGCCACAATATCCAGGTGCAGGACCCTGACCCCCCTTTCCACGACGAGAGGAATCCTCGGCAGACGGACCACCACTCGCCGGCAGAGGCAGAAGCTATAGCTGCCCATCTAAAAAGATCGCTCGAGCTTATGGTTGTCGAGATATTCACCCGTGCCAAGGCGGCTGCTATAAGGGCTGATCCTAACTTTGTGGATGAGCCGCTTCAGGTTAGATGGGTTGAGGCGTACTTCCCCTTCACGAGTCCCTCGTGGGAACTTGAAGTATACTATAGCGGAGGCTGGCTTGAAGTACTTGGCTGCGGCGTGGTCAAGCAGGACCTATACATCAACGCTGGTGTACCAAACCAGTTAGGCTGGGCTTTTGGCATTGGCCTGGAAAGGATCGCCATGCTGCTCTTCCAGATCCCAGATATCCGCTTGTTCTGGTCGCAAGATGAACGCTTCCTAAACCAATTTAGGGGCGTGTCGGATGACCTGAATTCGCTAAAGCGTTTTGCACCCTTCTCCAAATACCCCATCTGCTCTAAGGATGTGTCGTTCTGGTTGAAGTCGTCGTCTGCTGCTGGGGGTAATACTAAGGCCAACGTACATGACTTTCATGAGAATGATTTTATGGAGATCGTGCGCAGCGTGGCTGGTGATGTGGTTGAGGATGTCAAGTTACAGGATGAGTTCACGCACCCGAAGACCGGTAGGAAGAGCATATGCTACAGAATCAACTACCGTAGTCTTGAGCGGACGTTGACTAACACCGAGACGAATGATCTTCATAACAAGGTCACTCGCGCCCTTGTTGAGAAACTAGGTGTGGAAATTCGGTAATAATGCGGTGAAACCCGCAATTGACCCGGAGCATAGAAAAGGTTGGAGAGATAAAACTGCCCCATGACATGGTATGAAACTAATGGCACAGGCTCTCAAAATGGGTCTTTAAGAATGGTAAAAGTTGCATATATTCGAAATAGTGTAAGTCTATTGGATGGGAAACTAAAAATATACCCAATTACCACACCATCTTATCCGAGCCTCTCAGAGATGATAACTGGTCCAAGTGATATATAAGGTCTCTTGGTCTTTGCTCCGAGAATTGCGCTTACTAACAGCGAATATCAGTGCTTATTGTTCTCCCACATATCAGCAACAGCATTGATATAGATGCTCTCATATTTACTGATGTGGTTACAGTGAGGGGTCTCTTCAAACATGAACTCTTTAACCTCCCAGTTCTTCGGGCGTGCTTGTTCCGCGTGCGACAAGACATCCCTCCAATCGATCATTTTATCGGCCTTAGATGCGACATAGCAAATTCTCTTACTATCGATGAGCTTCTCATCCAAAATTGATTTTCGCCAATAGTCTTCGGGGGCCTCATATCGGCCCATGGCGATTGATATATAAAGGGGGGATATGAGAACGTGTATAACCGCGGAGGAAATCAGATTAACCGGAAAGCGGGCCGGGAAGGAATACATGAAAGCTCGACGCGTTTTCATGTAGGAAGCCCCGGTCGGAACACTGTCGCAAATCAATCCGACCAAAGGCAAAGGTTTCCCGAGTCTCCGCTCGAGGACGCGGAGTAAGTTTGTCGCCGAGTTGATTCCGCCGTTCGACATCATGTGGAATAGTATCCGGGGCTTAGTACCCGGATTTCCGCTTTCGGATCCGCCGCACTCGTCTAGGACCTGGCAGACTACGTGCTCGGCTGGCTTCATGGCGCTTTCTTGGGTCGAGTATGGGCTGATCATGCTCGCTACATAGGACTTAAGGAGGAGAATCCTTGCGTTGGGAGCGATTTTGAGGTAGATCTCGGCGTATTTGGCGATGTGCTTGTCGGCGGCGCCTAGCCATGGGCATAGCACGATTAGCTGCCCGGCCTCGGGCTTTGGTGGGATGTGAAGAAGGATGTTTGGGTCGAGACTCGTGAATCCTTCGAGAGCTATGATGAGTTTGTAGCCGTTTTGAGGGATTACCTTCGGTAGTTTATATATAGAATTTAAAAGCTGACTAAAGTAATGAGAATATATCGGAATTCAGCAGCTCGGGATCCAATGAGTTAAGTCTGAGACAGGCCACATGGGAGAAGAGATAAGTCTAGGGCACAGAAATGTTTACATTTTCGCTGCGAGGGTTGACGTAAGGGATGAATTGAAGATGGTGTAGAATCACTAACCACCCAGGTAGTCAATGAAGTTGACTAGGTACCTATTTATTGACAAACTCTAAACAAATAAATATTCTACTATTCAGCCTAGTTATTCAAAATAGCGATCTCATTAAGCTACCTATATATGCCTTATAAGTTGACTTAATGTGGTTGTGTAGACTAAATCGGTGCATAGTAGAACACTGTACATACATACCTAGGTATCTAGGTACATATATAGCACAGTTACATAGGTACCTAACCTACCTGAGTACCTATGTAGGTACTGACCAAATAAGACTATGTGATAGATGGGCAGAGATGGGCAGGTACGACTCATTACCGTTATCGGCACACTATATCAAGTATTTAAACCCTTGAGCTTTTACACCTTTACACCTAAAAAATACAACATCTTCTACTCGAAACTTTTCTCCACCGTTATCGGAGCACTGTGACAAGTGTTTAAATCTGAACCCTACCTCATCAATTACTCCAACTTTTTCTATAATAGACCCTAAAATCGCCCTTCTGCCTAAGTACCTAGATATCTAAGTACATGTACATATATAATACGTACCGAGTATAAAGTGTATTGAATACGACAAAAGGTCAGCCAGCAAGCAGTGAAAACCTCCTTGACTAACTCACGGCGACCAGTAAGAAAACAACTATCGAGCGAGTCCAGGTATTAGAACCTACGCCTCATTTATAACTACCTGGGCGGATAATTCTGCCTAACGTACACGAGTCTGTACTCTAGTCTCATACATTCTATTCCCTTGCCTCATAGGTCCATAATCCGTATCACAATATATCTTCAATTAAAATGGAAATCAGACAGGAATCTCTTCATAATGAAATTATGTCATTGGGCGGAATATGGAAAACATAAAAGCCAAAGGTTGGGAGGTCAGGAGGTATAGCCCCCCAAACATAGCCATCCCATAGCAGTATATCTAACTAAGTCAGGACGATAACTCTTGAACACGCTATTCATAATTTCGCAACCCGGCAATGTGTCTCTTCGTTGCAAAGCCACATCTTCGCCCCTCCCCCCCCTTTCTTGGTAGTAGGAGAGAGATATCTTTTACTTAAGCAACCGCAAGGTGTCATACTAGAACAGGTACTGCTAGTGGCCCAGGGATGTCGTCCAACTCGGGTGTAGAACGCGAGGCCAAGTCCCTAGTCGAGAAGATCAGGCGTCAACACAGCCTCGAAGGCCATGACGAGCTCGCTATTCAAGTTCAAGAATTGCTCCATCTGTAGGTACCCAATTTGTTTTGAAAGCAGTGGGTTCGATGTTCATGCTGCAGACAGAATCGCATCTGAATTATACAATGTTTCGAATGACTACGACGAAAATGAACTAGTCGAGAAACTGAAAACATTTGACCCTGCACTACTCGTATTCTTGAAAAAAATACAAAGGGTGACGGTGCGAGTACTTATAGGGCCGGAGCAATCCTATGAAGAGAATTTACAGAAGATGACCACATGTGAAAATGGGAATTTGCTCACGATTCTTACCACAAGGAACAGTCAGATGCAATATCTCACAATCGGGTATCAAGTTCATGACTTTCCTATAGAGCCTAGGCGACCATTGCCACATTATTCAATAGAACTTGCTTTCCCTCTCACGGATCTCCCTAAGCAACCCCAGCCAAGCAGCCATAATGTTTATGCAACGTTGCCTATCAACGATTACGGTCTAAGGGTATGCAATCTTCCAATCCATCTCACATAGGCGATGGAAATTAAGCTAATTAAGTCTAGTTCCTGGTGAATGCAGACTTTCTGCTGACGGCGAATCGGTCGCACATTGATGTTTCACTCCCTTGGAACCAGACACTTCGGGATGGCCTAGCCCACGCGTTCGTTCAAGCAATTGACAATTTCAACGGAGGCTCATTCAAATATTATTGGCCTCACTTCATCCCAAATAGTGATGTAACATCCTTCTTTCAACCTTCTAGCCATTCAATTTTACGACATCTACGCCAGAGGAATGTCGTAGAGTCATCGGCTGGGACACTATGCACACCAGGAAGGCTATTTTACACCAAATACGTGGACGATGATGGTCGCCCATTCACCCATAACGAGAAAACAGAGAATAAATATTTGTCGCCAAGCTATCCGTCATGGACAATCCATCCCCTTTTGAGCCTGGGTGTCCGCGAATTGACCGACGAGTTGTTCTTAGAGGATCTCGAATCTATGATTTCCGCATCCCCGGCAAGTTTTCATGATAAGCCTTCAGTATGGCATGCCAAACTCGCCAAAGCTCTCCTTTCCCTTATAGATCGCCATATAGATGACATAAGCGGGTGGGAGAGAATATTGTTACTTCCTATCGTCCCTCTTTTGGGTGGGGGTTGGGCAGCCCCAAACTCACATCCGGTCTTCTTCTCTAAAAAGTTCAACGCCACACGTTTCCCTGTCAGCACTGTTTTCAAAGTGGTCGACCCGGAAGCTGCAGCACAGCCCCATCGTCGTATGCTGTTTGAGAGGCTTTCCATCTCAGAAGTTGACACACCCGCAATGTGTCGTCATATTGCTGATACACATGCATCATCATCGTTCAGACCTAATGAGTTGAGTCAAGAGGAACTTATTTCGCATGCTAAATTCTTATTCGAAGCCTCGTGGCTACCGCCGGACGGCACCGAGGTGGATTTGTGGTTTACTACGTCTGATGGCGGTCGGTGCAAGGGGTCCCACCTATATATCCGAGGGGACTTTTCGAAAACATCGTCGGCAACCAGAGTTTATGATAAATTAAGTGAGAAGTTCGCAGTTATCCACGAAGATTACATTTTTACCCCAGACGTTGAGCTCCCGGGGTTCCGGGGCGACGATCTGACCCGGTATGCCGCACTCCAAATAACCCAAATAAATCCGCAACGGGCTCGCCCCAAGAATAATGGCTTTAGCGCGTGGCTACTTGAAGATATTGGAGATAAAGATATCGAACTACGTAGGGAGCTATGGACCTTCGATTGTAACCAAATCGAGGGATCGTCATTGGATGTCTACGGTGTGGATGATGGTTCCTCTTTTAAAGCCACGAAAACTTACCACCCTCATCTTCGAGTAATTGGAGACTACTTTTCTCAATCTTCCGCCCAGATTGGAAAAACTATGAAATCTTACCTCGTGAAGACACTACATCTATCGGACATCCCGCGATTAGTATCTTTCCGAGGTGGTTATTCAAAATATGTCTACCATCTGTCTGAAGAGTTCAAGTTCCTTCTCCAAGAATGCACCATTTCGGACATCATTGATCTTCTTCATTCCCACTGGAAGAGTTACTCGCCCTGGATTGAGCTAGATGTATCCACAACCCAGAACGAGGAAGCGGTACGTTCGAATGCGTCTCTTATCAGAGACATCGGGGCAAGTATTGTACAGACGGTTCATGGGTTTTCGCCTCTGTCTAAAACCGTCCTTCCGAAGCTCGATAGTAGGATCGACGAGCTTGAACTTCCGATTCCTTCTCTAGACATCTCAAACTCCGAGGACAAGACCCTACGCCGCAGACTAGCTTGTTTCGGTATCAAGGTAGAGAATGATGTATGGTATTATATTAGGTGTCTGGAATCGATCTGTCAAAACCAAGGCTCACCAGAATACGAAACTATTTCCTACATTTATGAACAAATTCAGTCTCGCTATGATAATCACGAGTCAGCAGTGGAGTGAGTATCAAAGTACTCCCAGTATCATGTATCGACTGACAACTTAAAAGCGATGCATTTAACAAGTGTCGGTTAATATATGATACGAACTCGAAGTCCTGGCTTAATGCCACAGAATGTGCACAGAGGAGGACAAATATCAGGAACATATATCCCACAAGCAAAGATCTCTTCCTTGGGATAATGGGTCACGGTGACCGCCGTGTCGGGGCCCTGGCCATAAAAGCGAGATCAATTAAGCAGTCGTCAACATTATCAGACATTTTAGGCATCTTCGCCGATATCAACGAGAGTTTAGGGGATACGAGTCCCTCGAAGGCTAGGAAGCTATTGAAAACGATCCGTAGTAAGGCGATCTTCCCGATCAGGGAGAAGCCAAACCACAATGGCTTCGACAAACTTTTGACCCGCAATGATTCTTGGTTCATCGCCGATCGGCCTGATCTAGCAAAAAGTTTCGATGGCAAAATTCCACTTCTAGCGTTGCACGCCCAAGACATTTCTACTTTGGAGCATTTTCTCGAAGCTTGGCAACTAAATTCTCTTAGGCTATCGAAACTCGCCACGATGAAATCGGAGTTATTAGGCGGTTTTGTAGTATCTCATCGAGAAACTGATTTCATCCGAAATCGTTCTGTTTTTCTACGAGTGTGAGTATTAAACCCATCCATAGTCTACTTAGGCTAGCCGATACCTTTTCCTATCCCAGTATGAATTTTCTAGCTCTTTTAACCAAGTTTATTCGTCATCTAGGCTGGTTCCCAAATCTAATCCCCATCACGACGCGATAAAGTATCAGTTAGAAAACGTAACCGTTATTAGAGTTAAACAAATTTCGCGAGCGTACGCATTCCAGTACAAAAATGAACCTGAGCATATTGGGAGTCCGGTTCCGGGTGAATTTGCCATTTCGCCAAAACAAGAACATGAGCTGAGGATATTCACAACTCAGAAGCGAAGCATTTCTCGACTAGCACCTCTCAAACTTGTGGATTTACTCGCAGCCCATTGCGGCATTAATGACCCTATAGCTCGGTGTCTTTTATCTATTGCGCTCAGCGACCCTGATATTGATCGAGTTCAAGCCCGTTTCGGAGTCGAAGGCTATCATATTAAGACAATATGTATATACCCCACTAGATTCCAACGTAGAAATACTAATTTTATAACTTCTTATCGTAAGTTTACAAGAGCAGAGGCACTAATCTTCGATCGGGGGACTTGCTCACGGTCCCTTCGGCTTTTGTTGATGATGAGATCGACTATGACCAACCCGACCAATCGACTCGTACTAGCTGACGCGATACAGATTCCGACAGATCTGTGCCGGTGATGCAAGTTGTAGACCTTCATATGAAGCAGCCAGAAGATCCTATACGCCCCTTAGGTGTGAGCTTTCGAGGACCCCAATTGGATCCATGCAGGCATCTCGAGTACCTTGGAGAGCATATGGTATTTGGATTTATGGGCCTTCAGGTATAGTATAACAACAAAGTACTAATTTATTTTACGTAGGGCTCTCTATTTTTTACGCACGTTATGGGGACAGCCTACAACCCGCTTCGCCATTGGACCAGTGACCTTCGGACCAGAGCCGGCCTGCCGCCTTTTGCTAACAAAGATGTATCACCGTTCACTATGAGAGATCCAGCCATATCAAAAGCTATGACACAGCATCTTATCAGCCTTGGTCACGAAAAACTAGCGCAATGGAATTGCAGTTTTCTGGTATATCATCTGGAAATTGCAGCCTCTGGTGGCGATAGAAACTCCTCTTTCGTTTGGAGCTCGTCCCAAATCAGGAGGGTAAGTGGGATTTCTTGCGTTTAGGATCCTCTCTCGCTATTTCAACAATTCTTTCTTCACCACAAGCCATATCATAATATGTGGGACATGCTGACCTCATATTCAGATACAAAGATTCCAGATTGCTAGATCTGTTCAATCCAAAATGCCTGCTTGCAGAACCTCGGAGGACGTATTAGTCCTCGTGCGAATTACGGGCATTTATACAAACCCGAGATTTTATTTCATTATTGATCCATGGGAACTCCTTATATTTAACCGTTTAGTCCTACAGGACGGGTTCAGGTTCGAAGCTTCCATTGACGATCCCCGGGAGGTAAGCAAGCCCTCGGAACCAAATGTCATTCGCTTAACATCAATATCAACAGCCGCAGTTTACTCACCTCTTTTTAGACTCAATTCTACCCTGGACAGGTATCGACCAGCCGATATCAACAATTATGGGCAGATGCGGAAAGAGTCGTAACAATGCCCAGGAAGGAACCTGTTACAAATAATCTAGTCAAATATAATCGCCCATATACTTACGGGTACATAGGCGCTAAGGAACTACGGTTACTCATACTATTCCCTGGCAAGAAGCACGACCCCCTTCAAGGAACTATTTTCACATGCCCTTGGACCGATCTCACGGAAGCCGGTCCGTATAGAACGCTTTCATATGAGTGGGGTCCAGACCAACAATCAAAACAGTATCTATCCACACATGAGGGTATTGTCACCTTAAGGGAAAGTTTGTACATTGCTCTTACGCACATACGCCAAGAGGAAAACCCCCTAATCCTCTGGATCGATGCTATTTGCTTCAACCAAGAGGAAGCAGCAGAAAAAGCACAACAAATCCTGCTTCTGCCAAAAATATTTCAAAACGCAGCACGGACTTTGGCATTTTTCGGCGCGGGCGAACGCTTCGATGAAGCCATTAAGACATTACTGCAGATCAAGGCTAAGGATTTATACGGGACCGACTATAGGAAGTGGCCAAAAAGCGTGCCCCCAATTGCTGCCCTCTGGGAAGACAGCCCCACACCACATTTGGACGATATGATTTGGATAAACATTAAGCACTCCTTCGATCACACGTGGTTTCGACGCGTGTGGATAGTACAGGAGGCAGTTGTTGCACCTACCGTTAGTATCGTATGTGGAAAGTGGATAGTTGACTGGAATGAAATCCACGCCGCCATGATGGTCGTACAGCGAGAAGTAACGCCTGAGGAGGATATTTCTAATTCTTGGGAGCCTTTTATGACTCTTTCAAATATGCGGGGGTGGGAAGCTCGCGGATCCCGCTGGAACTTAATGGCGCTTTTGAACACGTTTTCTTATGTCAATTCGACTCTGAAATGTGACCGTTTCTTTGCTTTTCTAGGTCTGGCTTCAGACGGAGATCGCGGGGCGTTTCGGCCAGATTATAGGCACGAAACTACCTTCAAAGAAATTGCTTGCAGGTTCGGGGAAGCCTTCGTTGACCAAGGTTATGGCTTGCAACTGCTCTATCGAGCCGGGCTGGGTCCACAAACTGAACCCCTTCCTTCTTGGCTTCCGGATTTAACAAAGCCAAAAATCAATGGCCTTACTGATCTTCGTGAACAAGGAGCTAAGTATAAAGCTTCGGCAGACCTACATGGTGATATACGATGCTTATCGCCGTATTTATTAACCGCACGGGGCTATCTCGTAGATGAGATCGAACAGATTAGCAGGTCGAATTCCGGAACCGTGAAGGCGCGCTTAAAATATTTCCAACAACTCGAATCGATGGTCGATGAAGTAGCTGAAAATTACCCCCCTGACCGCCGAGAGGGGTTGAAATGGAAGGTACCCATTGCTGGTGCAATGTATCCCAAGGTTGCTGTCTCGGGGGAAATTGATATTGTCGGGTCATACCAAGCGTTCCGACAACAGCTGAGGAAAGATGGATTCAAGAGAAAGAAAGACAAAAACTAAAGCAAGCTATATGACTCCCATTCGGCGAACGTCTCTGTTGGCGGGTATATAACTCGACACCAAAAATGCATGGGCTTTGCCTCGTTGCTTGATGATAATCTTTCAGGCTGGAGATTTGTGGTAACGAAGAGGAAGTTCTGCGGCATCGTGCCAGGCAATGCTAAAGTAGGCGATCTTGTGAGCATTATTCGTGGTGGTGATGTGCCATTCATCCTACAGAAGGGCAATGTGCAAAACCTCGAGCAGTCGTATCGGCTTATCGGGGGATGCTATGTCGATGGGATGATGCTTGGAGAGGCGTTGGGATTCAAAGATATAACAGAAAAAACAATCCAAATTTATTGATTTCCCAGTATACCTAGGTAATATCTATAGAAAGGCGATTGGGTCATGTTTTGTGGTCCTAGGTTAGATTATTATTAGATCGGGATGAAAGCCCTTATGACGTTTTGAAATGATAGTACCGATCTTGAGAGCCCGATTATGGATAGGTGCTACTTAATGAAATATTTAGATAGTTATTGTAAATGATTTAGATATACTCCGCCATGCAGGGGTTGACCATTACCTTCGAGCACATACTTTGGTAAGCTAAATGCCTTTCAGGCACCCACTGGAAAAATACCAACTGTTCACGTCAACTGTGAATGCTGTTTGCCGCCTTCGAAAGTACGGGAATGATCCTCAACTTACTACCCATGAGCTGTATATAATCTTACTATTTCCTCGAACTTCCTGAATTGCAATTATTCTCTTAAATACCTAGGTACCTTCATCCGTAATTATCTCAGCTTCTGATCGGAATTTTCTTTGTGACAAACCCACAAGCGTGAGCGCAAGCAGCGCAGGAACGAACGCCAGCAGGACCCACCAAATGAACGAGAAGAAAAAGATCTTGGAATTTTAGGACGGAAAGTCATTGCTGTTGAAACTCTGGCAAAGTCAAGTAAGGAATCTTTGAAGATCCAACGTGAGCTGCTTGATGCTATGTCGTAGAGTGATGGAACTCCCGCTAGACACATCGACCTCGGAGAACACCGGACTTACCAACTCCTTATTTTGCCTCGGGGTCTTGTCGGATACTTACGCGACTGCCTTGCATGGTAGCAGTGCTGGAGATATGTTCATCAATGGTTTGACGACGAGATAGTCTACGACTTTGACGAAATTACCAAGTTGTGGGAATGGGTATTTGGGGTTAAAACTGAACGTGCCAACTTTCACAGTTGGCAAAGCTTAGATTGGTACTACACTATCTCAATGAGAATTTAACTCCATTTTCTTCTTATTTTGCTTATGCCGGATTTCGGAGTTAGAATCATCGTCCGTATGCGTAGGTGGCTGTCATGTACCCCTCAACAAGACTCCAATTATATATAGGATAGCCCTTATAATTTACTCCGTAGAAGCTGCACGTTGGTGGCTGGTGATATACTATCACCAAAACGATATGTCAGCTTTGGAATCAATTGTCATGCTTCCTCACATTTAGGCATTGCTGAGATATGAATCGTGTTATACAAGCCGGGAAGGATGACATGAAATGGAGAGGCACAATAGAATTAGCTAGAAATTCCAGGCATGGCGGTGGCGTTTGCTGACATAAGTTCGTAGAAAAATTCGTGTTGTAGGTCAGCGGAGAGATTCATAAATCCCGTTCACCACCATGTCCGTTTGTGACCCATGGCTTGCGGCCTCACGAGACGGGGGTCTCGGGGCGCAGAACACATCAAACCGGGGGCATCGGATGTGGTGGGTCACGAATAAATACACAGCATCATCGATAGCATCATCTAGTGTTTCGGTGTTGAGAGTGTCCGGGCTGTGTGAGACAGACTTGATTCTTGCATGACATAATTCACACTTGGCTTCGTAACACGATTCTCAAAGAAATGAAAACACCGAAGACTCCGTTCCCAAACTGATGCGTCACGTGGCAGTTGGTTAGCTGACATTCAGATCGGCCGAGATTCGCTGGACTGGCTGACGAAGAAGGCTTAGCCGAGCGTATCACAATTCGCGACCAAAAATCATGGGGATCGGAGGGAGCCAGATAATTTTGTTTGGTATGGGCACGAGCAAAAATTTAAGGCCGCCCAGCGTTCTGGAACGGAATACTGTTGTTACGCCACAGCCCATGGGATGCGTTCAAGGTTGTGCCGATCAGACAGGCGGTCTCGGCCTTGGGTAGTGCTGTAGTGCTTGTGTTTCCTAGGACCTGGGCGCTAGATAGATGGGTAGATAGATCGGCGGAAAAGCCGTGTGTGGGGGAAAGAGGCCAATAATTGGGTGGTTTGAGGCTGTGCTAGCAAGGCCGTTTTGCGCATTCGCTTCGATCTTCGTATCTACCTAGGTACCTAGGGTAGCTAAGTAATTCGAAATTGCATCGTGTCTTTACATCTAGGCAGTGTTAATAGTTTGATTACTAGTATTAGCATGCTTACGATTCATGTTAGGATTTGATGACATCGCCGAGGCATGATCTGCCTCTTCCTATACGTATGATGCGGTGTATTGTTGAGAAATAATGATGACGAATCTGGGCAGGGAGATCGAAGACGGGCGGTGCTCAACGACAACTATAACAAATCTAGGAATCGGGATTAGAAATGAAATGTGCAATTAGGTTATGGTCATTCAGCAAAAAGTGAAATCATTGTTCTAAAGTGATTATAGCATAGGAATGGGTCATGTTGCTTCATGACATTAAAAAAGTGAGCTGATTATACTATAGATAAGTCAAGATTGAATATGTATGAGGTAAGCTTAAGACAACTGTTGTGTCTGTTTGTTGCACTTTCAATGCATTACCGGCAGCAGCGGGTTACACGCTTATACCACTTGACTACCCAAAGTACCTAGGTAGCTACCCCATATCCAATTAATCAACGAAATAAATCCCGAATGTCGCTTAGCTCTGCCACTATACACATCTAAGGAAGTTGTCACCCACTACATTTGAGTAGGTACACCTGCGCCTTGAGATGGCGAGGAAGTTACGACATATACCACATAGCCTTCGAAGCAGCAAGGCAAAATCTAAAATATAGGACTGCCTCAATTCCAACTCCGCATTGGCCTCTGAGCTACTGCAGGGGTCCAGTATTGAAAGTTAACGTGTTTTCGACTTACACACCAATAGTTTAATAGTAGACTGGCCCGCTAGCACGTACCTTAATGGGTAGTTTATCGTACATTAAGACCAAAACGCCGTTAATATTTTAGACTAACCATTCTATTAAGCATCTAGAATGATAACGTAACGCCCTTGCTTAACGAGGTTGAATTTCGTAACCACGCCTCGCAATAAGGAATTGGATTGCTGTTATGAGGATGGCTCAGCAACGTTGAGAAATTTTAAGATTGGATTGTTGAGCAAACTGTTAAGGATTTACTTGCTTTTATGCGGCGGTTGCTAACAGTTCATTCCTTCGCAAGGAAGAGAATTGCGGGTTAGAGATGATCCATCAGTGGCTGCGGTCAATAGGGAATACGTACCTAGGTGCCTTCCATGCATAGCCGCCCCCTGTCATCCAAGTGTTGCTAGTGCAACAGCGTCGGGAAAATTGCTTGGGTCAAGGAATTCAAATCGACTCTGATAGGCCTCAGGGCTGTGCGAGCAAGCGCTAGCTTTTAAGTAGTGGGGTAGGTCTACGTACCGCCATGATCCACTGAGACGATCCACAAAATTGGCACTGTAACCCACTGAGGCGGTTCGCCCACGTTCGAAACGGTCCGAGAACATACTAGGTACCTAGGTACTGTACCTATTCTACACCAGTATTCTCCGTACATGCGCTATGCACCTACAATCAATCCTATCCATCGACTTGCATTGGATTTGCTGCGTGTTTGGAACTCGCCTGATTATACCGCTTCCACATCTGCGCAGCCACCACCATTCAATACATATTCTCCTCCCCCCTCGTTGTGTCCCTCTTTTCATACCTACAACTTCAACAACAAACACACAAACACACAATACAACTTACGCATCTACAAGAAGAAGAAAAATATCTTCTTATCGACGCCTCTTCGTTAGCTTTGACGTAAGCAGACTGAACAAAGCTACAAACGCCACTTCTATCCGAGACATATACCGACGCCACTGAACAAAGCAATCATGTCCGGATCTCAATCACCGACTTCTCCTTCTTCCCCTTCGCGGCCCATCATGGAACGCCGGGGATCTTCCCGTTCGCTATCCTTAGATCTCACAAGCTTACCGCCGCCGTCTCAACCGACACCTCCCTCCAACACATTACTTATCACGAACTTAAACGACACTGAAATCTTCCGCCCCGACAATCTACAAACGCTCCGCGAACTCATCTCGGGTACAGCGCCCATATATACGTGGTCGCCACTAAAATCATTCCGCCGCATAGTCGTATCTTTCTTTGACGAGGAGGCTGCTATTCGAGTACGATCAGTATGGGATGGTGAAGCAATTATGGGTGAGCGGTGTCGTGTCTACTTTGGCCAGCCTACGCCTCTAGATCTACACAAGGACGACACACTTAAGCTACCCGACGCTGGCAAGCTATTCTTCATCAGCCCTCCTCCCTCGCCACCCCACGGTTGGGAGATGAAGTTAGAGGATGCGCCAAATAAGCAAGTCCACGCCGAAGACTTAGCTGATGCTTTAGCGAAATTACGCCATCAAGCTGCCCCCGCCGATGTTTCTCCCGTGTCACCGGCGGAGTCTGGAAGCACAACCTTCAGAACCAGAAGCAGGAGTAGCACTTTAATCTACCAACCCCAAGAGCACGGTGGTAGCCCGAATCTACCTGCGATCTCGGTCGACGATATGACGGACGAGCCCGTTTCATTAAGCCCCACTGGGAACGCAAGCCCGGGCCCTATCAAGGCGCATACAGCACGGCCGCCCGTCGAACTTATGGGATAGGGATTCTTTACTTGGAGAATTATAGACTGCAGGGGTGAATTTACAAAAAGTGCATTTTCTTCTACTTTCAAGATAGTACGGCGTTACGGAGAGGGTTTTTCATTGGTCCATGGATTTTGAGGTCTGGGTTGAGATACCTATTCGCCACATTATAGCATTATCCGTGGGCATTGAGACACGAGCACATGAGCATGTGCAAAGGGGTAGATTGGATCGGGATTCGTTTTTCATTGCATCATAACACCGAAATACCAGAAGTGCCGAGGGGATGGGATGAAGAAATGGAGAGCTGGAGAGCATCCACATTCGTCTTGTACAATATTCATCAGAGCTCGAAAAGTTCGCTTAATACCAAATACTAAAATGAATTGTACAAAAAGTAAGTGTGCCGTGAAACGAGTTTTGCTAATGTTGAATTTTGCTCGTGCGCAATAGGATCATGACATTGCTTTTCCAACAGCTTATCACGGCCCCCAAAGCCACGGCAGATCCTCCCTCCCGCAGGATCCGGAAATGGCGCGTACACCGATTCCCAACGTCTTTTATTCTACTTTAAATCCTTTCCATGTGGTTGGGAGGACGAAGTAAATCCTACCTCGGGGACTACTACTAGCTTACGAGCGGGCCATACGTATACCTATGGGAGATGAAGAACGACGCCACGATGTATGACGATTAGAATGATAAAGTTATTATATCGACGACTTACTGCCATCCTACTATTCTTAGATATCACATAGAAGCGAAGATGACTGGAGCTATAGGCATAAGTAGCAAGGCCAATGCCATGTGTTCAACGATACTTAGCCCCCTATATCTGCCTAGGAAAGGGAGATAGCTTGAGCTTCCTTTACAGTACTACAGATGAGAGCTATACTAAGGGGCTAAGGGACATGCTGCAGAAACATAGGGGTATTCCATAGCGAGTTATTCCACTACGTTAGCCTCAAAACTAGGCGCAAGATGTGAGGGGTGAGGAGTATTGCGGTGTAGGTCAATTGGCTGCGTATGTTTGCGTCGATGAGGATTTATTTGGGAGGCTTATCCCTTTGAGCTAATATGAGCAGGTAGTTGTTAGTCTTGGTCACCAACTGACTTGCCTAGCTTCACAGCCTCGGCTGGCGGGAGTTGGGGTGGAACTTTGGGGACACAGCCTCGTCACAAGCCTAAGGCGAAACTCGATCTGGTCACAATAGTTACGGGAAGTCACTCAGCTTGGCATACTGATGCTGTGGTTCGCTTGGCTGGACATCCTGAACATAGCGCATCGCGCAAGCATCGGGGCGAAGTCAAATAGGTCAGGAAAAACTAGACACTCCGATTTCTAGATCTCGCGACAACACCTACCAGTTAAGCAGCGCGTCGCAGATGAGGATCATCACGAGGCGGGTATCAACAGTTACGTTGGGATTGCCTAATAATGTTGTAGGTGAAAACCTTGCTAAGCGCAATTCCGGCTATGAGAAAAAGTTCCATCGTATGCAGGTTGCTTTTTTCCCATAACGCCGGGTATTGGGTCGACTTTTGCTCTTCTAGCCCTATATCTGGCTATGGAAGGCCTACTCATATCGAGATGGTATGAATCTCAGCGAGGAGGGGGGCAGGATCTCATTTCATTTGGTGGTTTAGGTACATGCTGGATTCTACTCAACTCACATCCCCGGAATAGTCGTAGCTATGCTCGTGAGTCTGCCTACGCTTATGCAGTGGGACCAATCTGTATAGGATGACAAATAGAATATGGGCGATAGAAAAGAAAGTACTAGATACTAGAAATGGGGGTAATGACATAGGTGGCTGCACCTACGGATGCACAAATGTATTAACTGGTATGGTGGCATAACCGACTTATCTTGAGTTTGTTGCTCATTGTCACTTTCTGGGCATTAGTGAGTATAGATGTTTCGTGGGGTTATGATAGACTTGTTAACTAGCAAAAACAATAAAGTGTATGAGTTGACATCACTGTCGTGAAATACCTTAGAATCTAGAGGGAAGAGTCGACCCCCACAACCCCCACACGATTCTAAAGATCCGTGGAACACTTTATGCATGTGCATATCTTTATTTGTATATAGAGACCCCATTCATCCTAATGCACTTGATAATCGATAAGACATCCGTTATCGTTATCTAACTCTGCCCAACGGGAAAAACTTGGAGATCCTCAAAGTTGTCTCAGGTTTTGGTTTCTACACCACATTGCCGAAGCTAATAATCCAGCGCTCCGGTAATATGATGAGCTGCGCTTGCCGTACGACTTCCTTAAAATTATTTATACAAAGCCTTACGGGTCTTCGATTGTCTGATTCGGCTATTGCACCGACAAGGCGACGAATCCAACTACCATATCCAAGAGCCCTCGATTTTCCGTCACCCACCGTTTTCCCTAGGTCGTACAGCGCCACAGCAGCACTGCGTTTTCCGCAGGAGGCAGTGAAGGAGTCGGACTCATATTCTTCAACGGCCGGCGAGAATCAGGAAGATCCACAGCAAGAACCGTCTAATGATGCTACGGTAGACAAACACGGCGTGGAGGCGCTTGATGCGTCTGCAGACAAAATAGAGCAAGCGAAACGCGAAGGCACTATCCTCGACTACTCACCCGAGTCTATCGACGCCCTCGTCGCGGATCTCAACGAATCACCAGCGAAAACTCTCACTCCTCGAAGCAAACATGTCAAGTCAGAGGCGGGACACGATGCTAAGTCGCCTCCTATCGAGTCCAAGCGGCTAAAGAGGTTGAAGATTGTAAAAGAGAGCCCGAAGACAGAGACGGAGACATTCCCGGCCCACAAGAGGGAAGAATGGCAAATACAAAAATCGGCACTAAAGCAAAAATTCCCCGAAGGTTGGGCGCCACGCAAACGGCTATCTCCAGACGCACTGGACGGTATTCGTGCTCTGCACTCACAGTTCCCGGAAGATTATACCACAGAAGTATTGGCGGAGAAGTTCGAAGTGTCGCCTGAGGCCATCCGTCGTATACTTCGTAGTAAATGGACGCCGAGCTCCGAGGAAGAAGAGCGTCGCCAGAAACGTTGGTTTAATCGTGGAAAGAATATATGGAGCCAGATGGCGGCGTTGGGGAAGAAACCACCCCGCAGGTGGCGTCGTGAGGGTATTGTCAGGGATCCGAGTTGGAATCGCCCGAGAGGACCGCGCACGCAACCGCCTAGGCGGCCTAGGGATTTTGAATGAGCAAGTAATTGACCTTTTTTTGGTTGTGGTTGTCCTAATGGACAATCCTCGCCAGGGTCTGGTTGGTTTAAATGCTGTATCTACAGGCGCTTTGCATTATAATCTATGCTTAGGCGCTAGTTAGGATGAGGATCACCACTTAGTCTATTAGGCAATTCATGGGTATTTGATAGGCAGATGAAAATTAAAAAAATCGAAGTGCTTATCGCCGACAAGAAAGAAACCTATTCACTAACCAAAAAGACAATGCGTACTCAGAACTTTTCGTGAATGATAAGTAGATCTGTAATGCGTGTAAATGGGTAAGGGTGGTAGAAAAAAATCGTTGGAGAGGCGTAGCTTTGTTTGATTACCATATAATTAATGCTATCTTATTACAATGTAAGGATATTGTTGTCTTTCTACAAATTGGTATAGAACTTAAGTACGGTATGTTATTCAAGTCGAAAAGAATCATACTAAATGCTCTAGTTAGTTGTCTTTTGAATGAGACAGAGAAATCCAATGAAAATCATCCTATTCAGCCTATCAATTTGACCAATTTGCCGGTGAAGCCGAAAGGTGACCGATCGTGCATGATGATTAACACTAGATAGCGTATACAAACCCGGAATCAATTTAATGCGCTTCGATTTCCTTAGGACTTTTGTGAATATTGATATAATACCACTATAGCCCTTTAAACAGGCAATATGATAAGAATTGGTTACATTATATACCCAGGAATGAAACGATTAAGCTACAGTCCCTGGTGTATTGCTACTACCCCAAGTTGTCTAGTAAGATAGGACAGTTCAATACTGACGGAAGGGATTCTTGGAATATCATCACATGAACGGTCTTAGTATGATAATTAGACATGACACGGAGACTAGTGGCTTAGGAACCAAACTATCGGATCCTCAAGGCCGAACATATTCGATGTTCTGTGTGCTCGGTAAGCTCAGACAGCGGGACAGAATTTGATGATTGATCGAGAAAATTATGTGAGAAATAGTAGGTAGGGAGGGGATGCTCTAGAGCTTCAGGGGGACCCTGTCGATTCCTGCCTCATCAGTTGGTGCGGGTTTGTGCCCGTGCGTTCCTGCATTACCGTACGTAGTGTAGCCAGGGTCAAGATACGACCAGTACTTCGGGATGTGATAAGTTCGTCGTGCGAGATGTTGGAGAGTCTTGGAATCCAATTGAACTCCAACATCTCTTGTATACTCCAAAATAATGCTATGCATACGTGTAAGTTCTGGAGGACATTGATATACCTACATATGTAGGTAGAAACAATTACATATGTATAAAACTGATAGGAAGATGCCGAATTACTAACCCAATTGACTTTAGAAGAGAAAAAAAAAAGATGGGGAAGGAAATCGATGTGTGACGTCCCTGTCGACTTGCAGCCTCACAGAACTGCATAAGGACTAGCTACCATGTAAGCTAAACTAGGGTAGTAACCTCTTAAGGAAATCGTCACACCAAATAGAGTTTAGATGATCACCAAAGCGCAGGAACCAACCAATCAGAAGAGTCCCTCGGTTTCTCCCCGTCAACATAACCCTTGTCGGCTTACTCTTGCTAAAGCTACCCAAGTACTTCGTCTGTTAAGAAAGAGAAAAAAACAAACCTAAATAAACCTATTCCAATGGATATATTGACGAGGTCGGGGGTTGTGGGTTTCCACTTCTCCCACTCAAAGCACCATAACGATGGTCATGACCCAAAAACTTCCCGCCCTTCACAACGCACACACGCATACACATACACCATACGCCATGCACCTCCTCTTTTACCGACTGTAAAGAGCTCCAACGTGCTCTGAAAGGGTCGATCTGCTTCAATGACCCTTCTTTGTTAGACTAATATCTTATCCTTATACCATATTCGATCGAGTTTGTTGAAGTCGTGGAGACTTGTTAGCCTTCCTTGAGCTTGGTTGGCTTTGTCTCGCTTCTCTTTTTACTGACCTACCTACGTCCTACTTACTATATGCACTCCTAGTCTCGCTTTGGTGTTTTCTTTTCACGTCACTGTAAGTCATCAATGAACATGACTCGCGGTGTGGCTTCCAATTGACATTGTGTTCTCTAGCATTTGAATCTTTCATCTTTCCCTCTTTGCACCTACTACTATCTATTTATTCCTAAAATTAGAGAGCATTACAAACGCCTTCTTCCATTGTCTTAACTAATTTATTTGTACCGTTAATGATCTTTGCTGTCTCACCTTTTTCCTAATCCACAAGGCACTACTCTCCATGACACCTCACCGCATAGAAATTTCCAGCACTATCAATATTACTTGAAGAAAAGAAAATCTTTTTCTAGCTTGGAACCCTCTCAGCCTTATAGTATTCTAGAGAAATCAATGGCAACAAGATGGCATCCACTCCTTCGAATCGGCTGAGATTGACTCCATCGAACTCACCTTACCTTCCTCATCCTATTCGGTCGCCTTTCCGAGGCCGACCGCCCATGGACCCTCGCCTGTCTTTGAAACGAGTTGTCGGTACCACTTGTGTTTCGCCCACCGGTTTTGACACCGTAAACTCTTCCTTTGCCTATATCGCAGGCGCAGCCGTGGTCGTGGTAGATGTCGACGGAGCTGAATATACTCAGCGTTTTTTCAGAGCTCGCCCGACCGCTCTCCCCATCTATAGCACTCCTCCGCTTCCTTACTCTCCATCGACACCAACGCAAACTCCGAAAGCGAACGATAGTCGAAATAGAGTCTCTTTGCGAGAGTCGACATTTGGCACCCATGATTGGGCTGAATCCCCCACGTCATCGAAGACGTGGACCAGTCGAGAACGGATCAAGGCCGCAACGTGTTTGGCTCTCAGTAAGGAGGGGAGATTTCTAGCCGTTGGAGAAACCGGTTACGCTCCTCGAGTGCTCATTTTCAATCTTGAGGACAACTCGTCGGATACTCCCCTCGTCTCTATTAGCGAGCATGCATATGGAGTCCAAGCTGTTGCTTGGTCACCCGACTCAAAATACCTCGCCTCGCTCGGATCCGCCAACGATGGCTTCCTATACATTTGGAAGATCGACCCCAAGACTGGTGCTGCAAAGCTGTTTCAACAAAACAGATGCACATCTTATATCCGGGGTATGATATGGGTTGGCAACAATCTAATCACTTTAGGTGTGCGTTATGTAAAAGTGTGGCGAATTGAAGAGGGCCAATCGACGTCTCCCTTAAAGCAAAAATTCGTTGGAGAGTCGAGTACGACCCCTCAGCCACATCAAAAGACGTTACCTGGCCGAAACGTTTTGCTTCGTAACATGATAGACGCAACATTTTCATGCGCCGTTGCCATCGACGATACAAAGGCCATCATTTGCTCTGAGACGGGCGATATATGCCTTTTCGACGATACGGATAAGCAGATGAAGTTGACTAATGTCCTCGAAAGTGGATTTATAACAACTTGTGTCACGATCCGTGGAAACGTCGTGTATCTCGGCGGTAAATCGGGAACCTTGGCCACTCTTGATTTGGAAGCCTTCCTCAAGTGCAGTCCGGATTGTTTGAATACAGAAGTAGGCTCATTTTCGGGCATTCTTGCCATGGGCTTTCTTAAGGAGAATATGGTTACAGTCGATGTCAAGCGTTCCATCCATGTCTGGAACCTTGAATATGCCCAGGAAAAATTAGAATTCAAAGAGCCGATTCCAATCCCTGGACATCGAGAACCAGTCTTGGGTGTCGAAGCTCTCAAGCGTCCGAATGCTCCGGGCGCGGACTTTTACAGCTGGTCTGGATCTGGAGAAGTTATACTGTGGGATGTTGAAGGCAAGGTCAAGCGCTCCTTTCAGGTCCCGCTTGAAGAGGCTTGCTGCGATGATGAATCCGATGTGCTCAATCAGTTAACCCTAGTTCGAGCCACAGAGGGCGGCAATTTCTTTGTCACGGGCGATAAATTGGGAATTATCAAGATTATCGACTTTTCAACTATGAAATGTGTGTCTTCTATGAAAGCTCATGCTTCTGATTGCCAATTCATCACCACATTCGAGGACAAGTCAAAATTCATTATTGCGACTTGTGGTCGAGATCGTACAGCGCAATTATTCCACAAGACGGCCGGTGGCAAATTCGAACATTTCCAAACTCTCGAGTTTGCTGCTAGAGTGGTCCAAGTACTGGTCCCATCGGCCGACAGGGTGATTACCTGTTCTCTAGATAGGGCATTGCAAGTCCACGATCTGATAACGAAGGAGGGTGATCCAGATGTTATGGCGGCTATCCCTTCCAAGACCCTTCCCTTGAAGGTTTCCCCAGCATCGATGGCAATGGGACCAGATGGGAAGTCATTGTTTGTGTCGCTTTCAGATCGATCCGTTTGCTCGTTCGATCTGGAAAATGGGAAGCTTGCGAATTCATTCAAATGTACCGACGAAAGCGGGACCGAATCTGTTGTGTTGGATTCCCTTATTGCCCGGGCAGCTACTGATAAGGAGCCCGCGTTTCTCCTCGGCCTCTCGAATACCGACAAGTCAATCAGGATATACGACACACAGACAGGCACATTCTTAGATCGCGAATGGGGTCATACTGAGGCCATCAATGGAATAGCACTGCTCGAGGAGGAGGGCGGCAAGCGAAGGGCTGTAAGTGTCGGATCCGATGGCACGATTATGATATGGGACATGGATTTACAAGATCCATCATGGGGCACATCTACTCGCGAACCGTCTCCAATCAAAGACAGTTCCACTGTCTCCCGACCCACACTCCGACGTGTTTTTTCCAAGGCTGAGTTGGCTGAATTTCAGCGATCCTCCCCTTCTATCGCTGGCCGACGATCACCTCCACGCACACTCAACAAAAGAAAATCTATATATAACTTAGCATCTACGCCCTCATCAAGGACGCCTATTGCCCCACTTCAAACCGGACCTGCGCTCACTGTTCCTGAGGATACACCGTGTAGACGGCCATCAGCGGATAGTCGGTGTACCAGTCCACCAGCGAGTCCCAGGACTAAAGTAAGAAGGCGCCCATCTCTACCCGTGCTTAATTCCAATAAAACAAAGAGTAATGGTAATTTGAGGGCATTCGGTAGCCTCAGTATGGCCACCGAGCAGGCTTGTCGGACACTCCGAGCCTATCGAAAGAAGCTTTCATCTACAGATCCAATTAGCCAAGAGGTCCTGGCTGAGTTAGATCAAGAATTACGCCTCACGGCTGTCGCATTGGGCGACAGGGCTACGAGAAGTAAAGCCATGAGTGATTCTATGCTCAACGGCCTTCTCGATCAATACTCGGAGCGTTTAGTTGCCCTGCTAGACGAAAAACTCCGGATAAATTATCGATCACCCTCGGATCAAGAGCCGGACTCGCCCAGTAAACGTCCCGGGTCATCCGGAGCCGACTCTAGTAGCGGCTCAACATAATTCGTACACTCATTCGTAATATGTATTAGCCATTTGTACATCAAAAAATGCGCAGTGTAAAGAATGCGCTATAGCATGAAGGAACTAAGGAAGGAGGGTGGCATGTAGTCGTTGGAGACTTACGGCGTTCGGATAGGACCTTACATTCATTTGGGGAGAATACGTCTAGGTGGTGGACGTTTTCAAACGGCGTTTCCAGGATATGGCATGCTTTTTTCTTTTTTTTTTGTTTACCGAGTTAACTCGTCCACTTTATCAACATGATACCACTTGGCAGGAGAAAAAAATAGGAGTTATAAGGAAGGGATATAGCGCCGTAGGTGTGCGCTTGGACGGAGAGGGAGGACTTATTGCTATCACTTGCAATCGATGGGATTGCTGCTGTTTTGTTTAGACACCACCATCATCGCCAATTGATTTATGGCCCACCACTGGGCTCTACTTGTTCACTTCTTACTGCCTTTATGCTTATGGTGAAGTCCTTTAGAATTTTGATTCGCGATGTCTTCGGACGCTAATGCCGATATAAACAAATGGACGTTGGAAATTTACACATTGGTGAAAGTGACAAAATTCTAAGTCGGCCTCACTCAGCTCGACATGAAGGATATATGGATGCCACAACTCCCCGTCTTCACTTAAACAGCTATGGTTACATACGTACATACATACATACACATCTATCCAACCAAAGACGTTTCCCGCGCAGAAACTCCTTTTCATCTACTTTCTTTCTAGCCTCGCTATTCCCATATTCTAACACTTGCTCGTTTCTTAAGATTGCTTTTGGCTTGATTGCCCGCCCATCTTCATGCTAGACTTTTTGCCTTCTTTTTTCTTATCCGTATGTAAATCCATTATACGGATGCACAGATCATAGGTACCTGGTAAGTTTTATACGTGTCATGGTTCTTTCATCTCCCTTCAGCCACCCCCTTTACTCATTCAACTAGTCTAAACCACCAACCCTTCCTCCATAGCATCATCCCTCTCCAACCTCTCCAGCCCATTACATACCGCACCATAAACCCTTAATGGGACCGCAACCTCAAAACTCTCGCATTCAAGGTTTTCCGCGGCGACTAGTACCAAACCTCCTCGTTCATCTCGCGATATCTCCTCGAGTAAGGGGTGTCCACCATTCGACTCCATCCCAGGACCACCAATCCCTGGAATACCGAGTCCGCTCTCGTCGCTCGCGAATGAGGGTACGACGAATTCGATGCGGATCTTCCACTCTAGACTCAACCCGCTGGTGACGAACTCAGGGGTAGCGCTGATTGGGATCGATGGGTTGAATACGACGCGGCGAGCGAAGAGGGTGGCTTCGCTAGAGCTACCGTAGACCTTTCGTGTAACACGGTGTACACTTGCTTCGCTCCTCAAGGCTAGCGTCGGTTCAACACGCTCGGCAGTCTCGAGGGCTGCATGTACGGCATAACACGGAATTTCGGCGCCAGTGAAATCGATAGCCATGCTGACTGATTCGCCTAGTTTGTACGCTGGTCGAGCCAGCATTACTACACCGACGCGCCGACCATTTCGAGCGATCTCAAAGCGGTTACTACTTTGGCCGGATTCGGAGGAAAGGTTTGATCGGAGAATAGCCAAATCAATGGCGTCTTTCGCCGAAGCTGATTCCTCAAAAGCAGAGGTACGACGTGATTGTGGGGCTGTGGCTGTCGGAGATAGGAGACCGAGGCCTTGGCGGGGTCGGTCGAGGAGTTCCTCAACATATGAGAGGAACCCATTATATGTGGATTCGGGTCGGTCAGGTTTGCCTCTCTTAGTAGAGATGTGCGTAGAGAATGATTTATCGAGGGATTGTACCTTCGCAAGGTCACGAAGGATAATGTAGGGTGAAAGTAGGTCGTGACCAAGAATCTCGCCGTGACTGTTAACGCTTCCGAGAACGCGGAAGGGTATTTCGACGGATCGCACTTGTTGTTCCTTGGTACCACCAGGCCGTTGGGTACCAATTACCAAGCTATATGAAATTTTTATTGCCTTCCCCCTATGTGTCGGAGGTAGACCTTTCGGTAATTTAAAGGAGTATTCGTAAGTCCGACTCTCACCAGGGGAGAGTTGTAAATCTACGAATAATATCGACTGTGGCGTCGATAAAAGGGGAATAGATTTGGAGCTCGCAACGCCTCGCATCTGCTTGATACTGCTGAGTTCTCCACCACCAAGCAGTTCTCCAATAGAACTGCCAAGATTCCCCCAGCCAAAACCATTCAAGAGGCCACTGGTCCTTCTCGAGCTCTCGACGCCAATAACGCCACCTCCTTGGCCTCCTAGCACGGCTTTTCGTTTCACTGCTTCGAAAGGACCCAGGTTAATCAGTGATCCATCTAACGTAAACGAGCCCTGAACTTGTGCATAGCCCATCATCAATGGTTCTGGTAACCGCGCCTGGGCTATCATAGAAAGACCAGAGCTTCGCCGTAAATGAGCAGGCCTTCGCCCCCCATGTAACGGTTGTGTGACATATTCTGATGCTAGCGTCTCAGACGAATTATTGCTCAGTGAATAGAACTCGCCACTACTCCTAGGAGTTCCACCGGCAATACTCGCCGCAGATAATATCCGTGCCGCGGGGGCCACTTGTTCGGTAATGGTAGGTATTGAATCTCTCGAACGTACGGGTAAAACCACGCCTCCTGTACCCATCCCTGACAACGGTGCCGTCAAGTAGTCGATCGGCTGTGTGGTTGGCGAGATACTAGGAACATCTACAGGTTGGCGTGGTGGGGCCATAGGGAATTTGAAATCTGGTATTGGCCCTGGGCTTCTTCTTGGCGATTGCGATTCAACATAGCCGGGCGTATTCGGCGTGGTCGAGGCCCCGGATGAACGACCGAAGCCATGTTTCGTTGGCGGGAAGGAGTTATATAAAGGAGAGGTATCAGAACCAAAAGGTCGCCTGCTAGGCAGGGCCGCTGATTGTGGACCATTTATAAATCCGCCCCTAGGTGATATCTGTAGACTAGCAGATCTTCCATGGCCACGGGGAGGCCTCGGAGGTCGACCAGGCGTTGTATTCCCTTTTGATTGCTCTTCAATAGTTGCTGCCGAACCTATCGACACTATGGAAAGTGATCGCTTATGCGCGTGGCCAGATCGTGGCGGTTGTGATTGTGTTGGGGTCCATTGTTGTGGTGGCCCCCTTAAGCGCGAACTACTCGACGGGACGGTTAAGGATAAGGTAGAGCGATGCCCTCGCGCGGATACCGGGGGTGTCAACCCATTGTTAGGTTTCGTTCTCGGACTCAGTAAAGGCGAGGGTTGCCTCGATCGTTCGACGGGGTGAAGTTGGGATTGTGGGTGTCGGCTCGGTGATCTCGCCTCGTTCGGACCGGGTGCAATATTCTTGAATGTTATGCGGCACTTGATATCCTCGCCGGCAAAGACAGTCTGATCATCCCATGTTACGAAGACTCGAATATTACTTAGTACTCCTTCAGACGGCATGGTGACACTCCTTCCAATTGAAGGAGAGGTCTCATGTAAAGGACCGCATCGTCGTTGTCATCTCACGAGGAATTGATGGTAAGTAGCCCCAGAAAATAGGGGAGGGAGATTATCACAAGTCGAGATGGTCAATGTCCGCGATGACGATATGGAAATGGTAAGATGAGAGCTAGAGCTAGAGCTATGGCAGCAATCGAGTGAGCGTAAAGAGGGTATTAATTCGCCTTTAGGATGGTAATTGTTCGATTATAGGGGTTAAAGCCAAGAGTATGATGGTTAGAATTTAAAATGAATTGATTAATTTAGTCAAATGGAAAGCTATTCTCAAAGTCGCGACGATAAAAGGAATGTGGTTATCACACAGGTATACGGGTACGAGGTACGGGTCGCCAGGGATGGATAGTCCTGGGATGATGCAGCAGCGTCAATGGTTCTTGGTAGATCAGAGGGAAAGGGTACATGTAGGATGTACATACCTCCTACTAATATCGGCAATGTATTATGTAATCCTTGCAGCATCGGTTCCGGCAAAACCCGTCTCCCGGTCCTATCGCAACGAACCAATTGTTGTATTGCATCTCTCTCATCACACATTCCGCTGAGGACCTTAAATATAGAGTACTCAAAAGATGAAGCGATATTATGATATTTACGATCGCGCGTATACATTTTCTGTTCCTTAGGTATCGTACCCTTTTTAAAAGTTGTAAGTAAGACCGTTACCCGATAAATCAGGTAGGTTCGAGGCAAACGAAGCCAATATGTACTGTATGGATGTAGTGACACCAATACCTACACAGTGAGGAAGGAACGATAATATATGAAATGCGCACCTTCTCATTCAATTCACACTTGGTCGGCAAGTGCTCTTTCCAACTTTTCATCTGGTTGCCATGGTTTCTCTGCTAAAAAAAAACTTTTTAATTCTTCGGTCACCATTCAACATCTCGCAATGATCTCATCGTTCATTACCAACACCTTCACTTCGTTGACACCTTCTCTTAATTATCGCGTTGATCGCCAACATCTTTCGTTCTTCTACTTTCCTTTTCGGCGTATTTATTTTTAGTAATTTTCCAATCGCCACTCCTATTTCCTGTACGCCGCGACAACTTCAAGATGGCAATCATCGCCGAAATTCCCGGAGTGGAAGTGACCGTCCGGATCGCCGGCGAAGTCGCCGAGGAACACGACGGCCCAAAGGCTACAGATCGAAAAATTAAGGAGTCGGTTCTGAAGACTTGCAACATGTTCATCGAGTGTAGAGACAACACTCCGTTCGCCATCCATCTCAAGGTCGATAACGACTATCGATGGGGCAGAAAGAACCATTCTTTGAACATCGCCACATATATCGATGGACAATGGGCCAAGGGACATTACTGTCGCCAATGGGACGTCCACCGAGGCCCTTGGGAATGCGATGTTTCCTATCGCATCGTTCGAAACGAGCGCGGCGAGCTAGAACAGCAGAGTTTCCAATTCGCCAGTATTGCAGCTTGTACGTTTTACAACGTCTTTTCTAGCTAGTTTTCACGACATGCTGACGATTATTTTTGCTTTATAGCTGGGGGGTTAGACTTTGATCAGTATCAACGTGATCTGAAAAAGGTCCAACAGATGGGCACCATCGAGGTGAAAATCTACCGGGTTATCGAGGATGACAGCGATGACGCCAATAGTCATTCCAAAGTTCCCGGAGTAGGGATCACGGGTACGACGATTTCGAAAAAGGCTCTGGATGGCAAGACGGTTTCACACGGCACTCGGTACTTTCCCTTCAATCCAACTTCATAAACCTCATACTAATTTTCGGAAAATAGGTATGCAAACGTTACCCCTGCAACAAGGAAGCCTCGATACGTTGGCTGTACCACTTTGCCCGAGGATGATGGCCCTATTGCCACTTTCCGCTTCTTGTACCGCTCGAAGGATAACTTGAATGCCATCCTTCGAAGGTTGAAAGCAGTCAACCCTGTCATAGAAGCCTTGAAGGAGAAGGGTACTCCTCCCCCGAGTGCCCAAAGGCCCCATATTTCGCCTCAGGCGGCCCGGCGCCCACATTTAGCTCCGCCCGGAGCTCATTCATTACCTTCACGTCTGCGCTTATCCGAGCCCGAGGATGGAGTGCAAACCCCACCGGCTCTAGCAAGCTTGTCTCGAGACGAAATCGAGAAACTCGCTATAGAAGGACTGCGACAGGTAAGCCCACATCCGTGGAACAAGCACAGTCCAGCTACTCATTCATCAATATCATTTAGATCGATCATTCACTAACCAAAGCATAGCAACGCACTTCCTGGGTTGACGAGGCGATTAAGAACACAGTCGGCCCACCCGGATCAAAGGACGAGGAGAAGAGAGGTCTTGAGAAGGAGCAAAGAGGCCGGAAACGAACTCTTTCCGAGCCTAGCAGCCTCGTGATCCGATCTAGACCATATAAGATGTCTAAGACGGACGATGGAAAGGATATTATTCATCTGGATGATGATTAATAAATCATGTATAACACACTTCGTTCTTTCTAGGTCTTTTGTGCTAGTGAGTCTAGGGATCTAAGGGAACCAATAAAGAAAGGCATCGCAAGAGTTATTCAGGTACTCATCCAACCATTTAGTCATCCAGTCGTTCACTCATCCAATCGTAAGTTCATAACTTCCGTCTCCGCAGTGCTCCCTCCCCTTCCTGCATCCCTTTCTTCGTATTCTTTGATTAGATTTTTCCAAGCCCTATATGCGGCTTTAACCTGAATCTCTTCCGGTGTAACACCACCGCCGACCTCCACAATAACCTGCTCATTAACTAGGACTCTACAGAACAACTCCTTCGTCCCGTTCTCCGTATCGCGAACCTCGGTCTGGTACTCGACTTTCTCGAGACGGCTCCCTGCCAATATGCCTAGATGATTCTTTGGGTGTAGGATATCAATGTTGTCGCTAACCATGCGGCGTAGATACGGTAATATCCCCGCACGTTCAACAACGTATGCGCAAGCCTCCATTGTCGAAGCCCCGGAGTCAACCCACACAGCACCAAGCACGCTCTCGAAGAAATCAGAAAAGAACTTTGGAATACGGAGATGCGCAAGTTGCACCCAGGGGTACTCCGATCCATTATAAATAGCATCCAAAATCGGCTCTCTCTCGCACTTAAACCGTTCCTCAGCTCCCCGCTGCCCATCGCCGAGTTCTCGCGATACGTGGCGCATGAATTTCCAAAAAGGGACATTGGTGTATGTGAATTTAGTGTTGTTGTTATCTATGATTTCCGTGGTTTCTTGTGGAATAGTCCACTCCATACTTATGAACCCGAGGAGATCCGCGTTTACGCAAGCTGCACGGAGGAGATGCATTTCATGTTGTGACATTTCGCGTTCGAAATTCCATATACTGGTTGTGATGACGCTGTCGAGAACAGCGTCGCCGAGGAATTCTAGACGCTCCATGCATGATCCCGTGGAGTTGACGTAGCCGAATGACGAATGTGTGGCTGCTTCGACGAGGAGGTTCTTGTTGCGGAAAGAATACCCGATTAATTCCTCCAGGGGAGCTAGGAGGGTTCCAACTTCTGTGCTCATGGGTCTCTGCTGGAATAGAAATGCGCAGGCGGACTCGTAGGTGTGCCAATGAACTTCGGGAAGGAATATTTGCACGCATTTAAGCGCCTTGTCCATACCGCCGTCGATATATGCTGCTCCGATTAATGCTTCTACTACATCGGCGAGGGTCTTGGTCGACATTTTGCGTTTGTAATTATCGCCTGGTTCGGTGAGAATTTCGTCTACGTAAAGCGGACGCCATTTCTTTCTGAAGCTCTTTGTGATGATGAACTTATCCAAACCTGTCTCAATCGCCGCACGGTAAAGCCTGGTGTTAGATACAATCCTGGTCTTGATCGCATCTAAGTAGCCTTCTGGGTAAGTTGGATCTTGGATGTGTTAGTAGGTTGCTGCATTCCACGGAATATGGAAGGGAATCTTAACATACGTTCAGCTGTCACGGTGGCGGTTGTAAGCATCTTGAGAATATTGTCGCCGAGGAACTCGATCCTTTCATAGTTGGTCACTCCTGAGGACCCTTTAGAACTGATAGCGGTAGTAACCAGCGAGATATCTTTATATCCCACATCTTTTAGTAAAGTATTGCATAATTCATACGCAACTAAGTAGATCTCTATAATATACGTGACCGAAGGAATGAGTGTGCCAAAGCAGACGTTAGATATATGTGTCCCGTCTGTTCGGCAAAGGTGCGCAGGCCATTGGTGGAATTTCCTAAGAGGCGGCGTACAACCTTGGTCTGGAGGACGAAGAAAATTACCATTCTTGCGCGGCGGCCATTTCTCTAGAACCAACCATGGGCTATCAACCGGCTCCCCACGAAGAAACTCCGGCGTTTTTAAGTCCGGGTCATTAGAGGGAAGTATATTCTTGAAGAGCCAGGGGACGGAACCAGGGTCCCGAATGAGAATAGTATTGTCAAGATGGCTGTCACTGCTAATCTGGTTCTGTCCGAGCAGTTGCTGAAATGGAATGTCTTCTGTCGTAGACTGGAGATGCAGGGCCATCCGTGCATCGTCTCGCACTTTCAACTGGCGATGTCTATATGCAAGGTCAATCAAGGCCGGGCTTTGATCGGCTTGGAGGTCTCCTATAAAGATAGCTTTCGTCTCGTCGAGTTGAATCTTCCAAGGCTTCTCCTTGGTCCAGAATATTTCCATATCCGGTAGCTCCGGGAAGATTACGGGCAGCGATGCGTCAAATTCGCACACTACCTTATCGTGATCGTCTAGCAATCGTAGTCGACGTTGGTAGATCACACTTTGACAATTCCAGGCACGTGCAACTTGTACCCAGGGGTTCCATCGCTCATGAACCTCCACTTCTGAAGCTCTCGGATCGACGTCTCTTAGAAACTCATCCCTCAGAGGTAATAAGTTATCATTGAGTAGTCCAGCCTCGTAAATAGCTTTGTAGGCTTTGAAGGCAGCGTCTTTACTAGCGTTCTTTTCTGAATACCAGAGCCCATTGCCTTCCACCCTTCGAAGTTCAGCAGGTAATGACATTGGTAGGACCACGGTTGCGGATATATGTGGAGTTTCACTTGATTCGCTGGATCGCTTGAAGAGATAATATGGCTTTGAGTCAATATACTGTCGGCTTGAAATTTTCCTGCAAAAGTGTTCCAAATGGGATTTGGCTTGATCAAAGTCAAGATAGGCTCTGGTTTCTGGTATGTAGAGAGGATCAATTTGTGGTTCTTCCAAATCTTCAAGCTTTAAGAGCTCTTGAGCCTGCCTCATGTCATCCTCATAACGCTTCTTCATTTCAGCTTCAAGCGCGGCCCATTCATCGAGCTGAGACGTGGGCTTGTCAGTCATCATGACGAGCCTGGAGCCTCCCGCGCGTGCCCTGCCGCGCCTCTGAATGTATGCTTTCATATTATCCGGTTTGTCGAAGCATACAACCATATTGCATGCTAGGATATCGATACCCTCCTCGAGCACATTTGTGCCTATGAGAAGGTTGACTTTGCCACTCCTAAATTCATCAAGATTCTTCGTCCCATTGATTTTACCCAAGGTGCTAAGGTCTCTTTTTCTACCATTCCGCTCGCTCGTACCAATCATGGTACCGATTCGGAAGCGCTTTTTTATGGACGAGTGGATTGATAACATGTGTGCTAGAACTGCTACTGTGGCGACTTCACGTACGAACACTATACCGATGGCTCCGTCGTCCGAATTCAAAAGCTGATGAACGAGGGTGCTGACCTTGCTAGAAATACCGATGTGAGAAACGTCATCGAATAGTGGCACTGTGGGAAGCTTGATATTCCTTAATGCTTTCGCGAGATATTGTTGTTCTTCGACTCTCCACTCCCGGAAGAATTCGTCGTTCTTCTCAATAGACTGAAGGAATTGAGTAACAGCGACGGAAATGAAGTAATCCGCTGCCCACTAGAATTTATGAGTTAGTATATTGTTGACACGGCTTAGGGTGATGCATATGAGCCCATCCATATGGAATTTATGATACCGATATACCTATTCCTAAATATGAAGGAGATATTAAACAATAGAATTAAACTCACTGGTCCCAGCTCTTTTGAAATCTCCTTGCTTTTGCTCCATAAAGACCGCACCTGCCCGAAGACATACGTGTCCATAGTCTCTAGAGCAACCTTGAGTTGCGCTCGACTGCGTTCGGTGTTCTCTTCCGTACATCGACGAATGTAAGGGTCGTCGAATATATCCAAGTTGTGATACACATTACCTAATGCTCTCATGGCGCTTGTCGAAGGAGGTTGATCCGGCTGAGAATAAACAGCATAGTGTATAACTGGCCGTTTTACTATAGACATCAACTCATCCCTATTTATGGTTGGGCTTCTACACACGGCGTCCAGTGTCTTTTCGATAAGTTCTAGGGCTTCGAGTTTCGACTTCATGATGGGACTTGCCGTAAGACCAAGTATTGCTGGAATTGGAAGACCAGCGGTTTTGTAATTGTGGTATAGACCCATGATCTTGCTCCCGGGATGTTTGCCAACGCAGTTATGCGCTGGCGGATGAAGTTAGTACCGCGATATGTGTAGCGTTTCGTGGGTGATTCACTAACCTTCGTCGAAGACTATGAGGGATAACCGATCAATACGCACGAATGCGTGGCTAATCGCATCCAAGAGAACCTGGTGAGTCGAGACGACAACATGAACATTTTCCAGATAGTCATCCCACGTACGGACGTCGGTCCATGTATCGACGCCGTCGCTACCACTAAGAAATTTGATCTGGGCGCTTGGGATCTGAGATTTGAGTACTCCGGTTTGCTGTGCACCGAGAGCCACCGTAGGTGCCAAGAACCAAACAAGCTAAGTAGCACGAGTTAGTGCCGAGAAGAAACAACGAAAGACTGTAGAAGTTACACGTACTTTATCAGGAATTGATCTTTCAATCTCGGCTTGAATTCTGAGGACAGCACTGGGAGGTTATAAGCATACATGCGGAATGAGCAAGGCGGGAGTCAGGTTTCACACGCATCTCCGCATACCATTACGGGGAAGCGGATCTGTGAAAAGCAGGCTTACACTTGGGTTTTGCCAGTACCAGTCTCCATCTGAAAAACCGTGTAAGTGTAAGGTCATAGTGAATGTAGGAATCTTTACGCACCGCAACGATGATGTTGCGTCTGAGACTTTCTTCATACATCTCGAGCTGGTACTCGCGGGAATGTATGATCCCTGAATCTTCGGTTGGCTTTTGAATTTCTTCCATCTGAGTTTCGACGGACTCGATTATCTCTGGTTGAAGGTCTTCATTGCTCTTCTTAACGACGGGGTCATCGTCGTCTTCACTGAGATCGTCGGAACTCAAATCCACGAAATTAAACTGCGGGGATACCTCCATTTCTGCGGTGGGGATTCAAAAAAGAAAGGATTGTATTTCAGCCAAGGCGTATTTCGTGTCACCCAGTAATTTCGTTTGTTGAAGAGAGATGGGTGGTCGAGTCGGCTGACACACATATAAGAATGAACCTATCATTATTTACCAAAGTCTGCAAAAAGAAAGAAAAGTGGTTTTTTTCTTGCGTGTCCGCATCAGATACGATATATAGCTACCTAGGTAGGTATGTTGTTGATATGTCAGATTCTTCTTCAACCCAAGTACGACGTGATTCTGGCAAGGCTGCCTACTTGTGTAAAAGGATGTACGCCCAAAATAAGGAAACCTGCATATTCATCTATCCAATTGATATGATTGGTGGATACATGCATGTACATAAAAAAAAGTAAATTTTATCTGCAAACTTCCTACTCGGGCAAGTGGATTAACTAGCTCACCTGCCTACGGGAAGTATCGTGGGTGCTAGTATCCTACCTGTATCCTATGTCTAGTACCTACATCCGGGCTACATGTACCTATAACATAGGCCTGTAACATTGAATACAGGTGCTTCCTGCAACTCATAGCGCGGTTATGGAATTGCTTGCTACGGGTTTCAATGCCTGGCACCAACTACAATTTGACAAAGAGGATAAATCTGGCGAGCCTGATGATATTATTTCGTTTCGACTTATTTTGAAAGACAATTGCATTGAACGACCAGTTTCCCTTTTATCATGTACATTTGGTTGGTGTTATTCCTCTATGCCCTAACTCCGCTCATAGATATTCTAATAGGCTTTAAGTCGAAACCACAACCGGAATCCGACAAGCAGGCTTCATCGACAATGCATCAGAGGCAATCAGGGACAATCTCCTTTCAGCTACAGCTGCTATTGCAGGGAATGGAATAGTAGCCGGTAAGCATCATATTCTGATATACGCGCTGATTATCACTTACAAATAATTAGAATATGATGGCCATGATATAATTCGTCAGTATTTGTCTACTTCTCCTGGAGAATATCAAGCCTTTTCTGGAATGGGCCAAATCACACAGGTGGTAGCATACGAAACAGGGTTCGCAGCTTTGTCGCAAGACGGTCGCGTCTGGACTTGGGGAGATGAGCGTTATAGCGCTTGCCTTGGAAGGACAGTAACGGATTCAAGGTAATATATAACCCCTTTTCTGGTAAGACAGAAATTTACAATAAATAGTCCAGCAGAAAGACCTGGGATTGTAGAGGAACTCGAGGATCTGCCGTCCGGTAGGATAAAGAGGATTGGCGCAGCTGGATATCTCATTCTCGCCTTGACGGAGGGAGATGATCTCTATGCTTGGGGTGGCCATCCTGGGCGGCCAGCGATACTTGAGGGATTATCAAGTAGTCCAATACCCATAGTGGTCGACGAGGATAGTGATATAACGGATTTTGGGGTGGGGGAATCGCATATAATCGCGTTGACTTCTAACAGTGATGTATACGTTATCGGTGATAACACGAACGGTCAACTAGGATTGTCAATTAAGGAAGCAAGGTCATGGACAAAGATACATTTGCATTTAGGGGTAGACCGTGTAACTTGTAGCGTAGGGGCAGGAGGGCGCACGTCATTCATATTGACCAAGAATCAAATCCTTTGATGATTCCGCCTTAATTGCCTAAGACCCTCTATGCTGTCCTATGATACACGTGAACTCCGGGCATAATTTTGTAACTAGTAGCGACCAGGCTCATAGATTCGTCAGGTAATCCTCAATCTCTTGTGGAGTCAACTTTCTGAATCGGGGGCCGGTCGCGCCGTGAACTCCTTCAACTCCGAGCAAGTGGTCGGCGGGCGGGCCAACAATACCTTGGAACAGTTAGTAATATTTCTTAAAATATGTATTTCTTTAACTCACCAATCTCAATTGTCTCTCCGTTCATCTCGCCTTCAATAGTCTCCTTCAGGGTAAGAAGTGCGATGTGTACGGCATCTTCTAACTCGAGGCCTTCGGTGTATCTCTTCTCCAAGAACGTCTTGGCGGTTGTTGCACTCTTGCCGATGGCGGTGGCTTTCCAAGGGAAGTAACTTCCAGACGGATCGACTTGGTAAAGCATAGGACCACCTTTCAGAATACCACCAGTCTTACCGGATGGCTTCTTCTCGCCCTCAACTTCGCCCTCAACGGCAGCTTCCTCATCTGGTAGAATACCCTCGTCCCATCCGGCAATGAGTAGACTAACACCGTATGGTCGGACACCACCAGACTGCGTAGCTTCCTGCATTACACGAGCAACATCTTGCACCAATATCCTCGTAGGCGGGTATTCGTTGTAGATTCGCTTGTATCCGGTATGGGATACCTTTCGGGCTTTGTCCACCAGCACTCTGTAGTCGGGGCCCATTCCTGAATAAACCATACCGATGTTGGGAGTGATCAAGCTGACTTTGGACAAGGAGGAGGGATCGGCGAGGGGAGAAGATGACTTCTTTTCTGTTGCAAGGACGATGCCATTTGTCGCTATATATGAACAGTCAGTGGACATTATTTAAAAATATCGAGTGACTGATCTACAAACCCTTGATGCCGAGTGCCGTTACACCTTGGTTGACTGCGTTCAGAGCATATTCTAATAGATAGCTTGTTAGCAAATATCAATATCACCAGTAGAGGGCATTTCCTCCCATAGACATCTATATCTATATGCATGCGACTGGTCGGAGAGCTGGCATACCGATCTGAACTAGCTTTCCACTACCAATAAGTTAGTCTAGAGTCGCGATGTAGAATATTAGTAGTCCAAGGGAATTTACCTAGGGGAGAAAGTGGTCAAGGAAAAGGAGTAACGGTCAGCCATGGTTACGAATTGTTATTAAGTGATCAAATTATGGGAGGTAGCTTTGGAAATGTCGAGGTTGTAGAAATAAGTTGGTTAAGGTGGGATTGGATGAACAAGGCTACGGAACCTCGAAGCTGTGGTGTGGAGAGCTACAGTTACTTGCTAGGCATCGCGAGTTTGCGCGTCAGAGCTCAGGACCGTAGGTACTTTAGGTACATACATAGTTAGCACTTTCCCTAAGGGAGCTCCAAACGCACGTCGGACTACAATGGGCGGGATCCACTCATATCTCGATGCTAAATTTCTCGGACTATCTAGTCTCCGAAGCTAGGCTACATCCCGATCCGATGTGAAATATTACATAAGCACTCTAACTCTCAATTATGAGCCAAAATTTAGTAGCCGTTCAGAATGAAGTCCATGTCAACTTCAACATTCATCAAATTTTTTTTTTCAACTATAGCAAGCTGTCAAGACCAACATGACGCCTTACACTATGCTATGGCCCACAAATCATCTTTCGAAGATGGCTACAGGACTGCCTATCATTGAGACCAAAGCAAACAAGAGACCTTTTCTTAGGTTTGTAAGCTGATTCTCCGTACGCAAGTACAGTGACGATGCTCTTCAATGGTCGTCTAGCATTACAATCTCCTTGTTCCATCACGGGTCGGATAATGACAACCCATCTTTGACAACTAGCTTTGTGTTCCAAGTTCGACTTAGTGCGCGCTTTGAACCGTACGTTGAACAATAGTCTACATGCAATCCTATTGTTTTTACATCATACTTGGCACGATTATACAATAGTGAGAATTTGATACAAATCGTTCGGTGTTTCTTGTCAATCCTTCGTTTTCTCGCATGCTCGGTCTTGTTTTCATTGGTTTTTTCTATATTTAGGTTCGACTCCCCAGTCCTCGTTTTCCACTCCCCGTATATCAAACGACATAACCTGAGAGACGCTGTCAAGAACCTTGCGCATCGATATGAATCCTGGAAACCCACAGCCGAGAAGGCGCGTTCGAAAATGCTGGATTTGCCTTGCGGAAGTAGAGGCAACTTATGAACAGCAAGGCGCAAACCCGACGCCGACAAGACAATATATTGACGAAGACGGAGAACGATTTATCAACCCGTGTATTTGTAGAGGCAGCGTCAAATGGTGCCATGAACATTGCTTAAGGACCTGGATGGAGCTTAATGAGCGGGCTTGGCGATGTAGCCGATGTATGCATCCATACGAGCTGGAGCCGATAAGTTTGGCCGAGTGGCTCAAACGTCCTTCGGCGGCTTTCGGACTTACCAACCTCATCTTTCTGATTGCCGTCTTCACTCTCGGTTTCGTCGGTAACCTCATCATCGGCATCTGGCTTGATCCTTTAGGCACTATGGCCGGGGCCGGTTCTCATATGGCTAGGGAAGCTGAAAACCCTCCAAGCGGCCATGCTTCGTTACCAGGTGAGGGTGGTTGGATTGAGCATTTCTTGAGGGGAATCTGCGCCCTAGGCCTGCTTGGATTTCTCGTAAAATTTGTCACTGTTAGCCCATGGTCATGGTTCAATATGCGGACTGGCGGATTAATAGCTAGCGCTCGTGCTGGGACTGGGCCTTGGCGGATAGAGCACACCAATCTAATTTTTGTGATCATTGGTATTTTTACATTCTTATCTGTAAGTATCGATTCTGTTCGCGTTCGTTTTTATATCTAATATTTTTACTAACCTACCTATCTATTTAGGGAGTCTGGAAGGCTGCACGGCGTTGGGCTGAGAAGGCCTTCGGCCCAGTGAGTCGCGATGTTTTGAACTATCCGTCTCCAGAGAGTGACGACGAAGAGAATTAGTGAGTCGGCGTCGATGGAATGAACTACTAACAGTTCCCTAACTTCCAAGCATCTGTGTCCAGGTAGGTACCTAGTATCTACCATGTTCGAACAAGCTTGCACACTCTTAAGTTGCCATGAAGTTGCTCTTCCGTTTCTTGTCAACTAGTCTGTGTGCAAAGATTGATATCTTGCTACTGTCTGATGAGTATGGGCGTCTTGTTCGTACTCGCGTATAGATTGGTTCAAGAGCGTCGGATCCTCTGCCTAACGTTTAGTAGCTCTTTTTGAGTCTAGCTGACTTGACTGCCCCTTTTTTCCATTATTGGTTACGTATAAAGGTGTTGTTTGGCGATTGTTCGGCACATATTCTTTCATTTGTATCATGTAAATATTTAAACGGGTGGTTCCTTGTTAGGTTATTAGGATAGCAGCGAAAGTAGTGAATATAAAGGAAGAATTACGATACTTGTCAAATGTACCCAAGTACATCTCTAATCCATGGCTCCGGTGAAAATGCAATTGTGGGTCGTCCGGATTATTTTGTACACCGCCCCCACCTATGGTGATAGATGGAGATTTCGTTACTTAGACGGGTTAGAGAATAAGGTTCCTAGTTCAACTGGGGTCTAGGCCGCTCCAATAAATTTAGTCAATTAAACGTGTTGCCAAAAACGAGAATCCCGTAATTTGGCGATGAAGTTGCATGCACATGATTTTTTGCGACATGTCAAATACCAAATACAACGGCTATTCGTGCCTGAAGTCATATTCATATATGTAGCTATCTTAGCTTGCCATTCTCAGCTTTCTCAGGTCACCCGATGCGATTGGCTTCCTAGAGTGACCTAATAATTATTTCCAACGACATTCGCTTATCTCGATTTTTCGAACCCTTTGTACAGTTTGTACCGATTTAATTTGATTTGATTTGATTCGACTCGATCCAATCTTGCGCCAAAAGTGGCCACGTCCTTTACCTTCTCGACACTGGGCAAACTCGCCCGCGTTTCGGCTCAATCACTCGTTCGCTGATCAAGTAGTCAAAAACGGTTCACGGCTTGAATTTTGTCGTTTAGCCGCCATTTCCTCTACTTTCACCATACACGGCGCTGATCGCAATCAGGGTAGAAGACGAGACGTCTCTACTACTGCTACGCGCCGCCGATTAATAGGACCTACGGGTCTGGAATCGAATTAACCTCTACAATTTCCTCCTTTCGATAGTTCTAGAAGAGGTTATCCTCTTCGTTGACGTTCATTATGCATTACGCCTATCCCCCTCGAAAAAGTTCAAATCCACCGCCTTATCTACCCCGTACTTCGAGGATATCGAGAATACGGAAGAGCCATCTAAGGTCGATCGTTTTATTCGTGCTAGCAATCGTCGGATTGATATGGTTATTCTCCGGTAGTTCGAAACATAGGAGCCATCATACGATATCGGGAAAGCCACCTGTCGTCTTAGTGACCGTGCTCGATGACACGAATAGTAATTCCGTATATATAAAGAATATTAAGGAGAATAGGATACAGTATGCGGAAAAGCATGGTAAGATCCGCAGCAGACTAGATTGTTCGCGCTATGTCTAATTATTCGAGTAGGATATGGCACGTTACTCGTAAAAGCGAGCGATTACGATCTTAATGGGTCGCCTACGTCGTGGGCGAAGGTCGTGGCAATGCGACACGCGATAACCAAATATCCCGACTGCAAATATTTGTGGTATCTCGAGCAAGATGCCTTCATCATGAATCCGAGTCTCAAAGTGGAGGATTATGTAATGGGAACCAGCAAACTCGAAAGCGCAATGCTCAAGGACCTCCCGGTGGTACCTCCAGATAGCATTATCAAGACTTTCTCGCACCTCAAATCAGACGATGTCGAGTTCGTCTTAACGCAAGATAAAGAGGGTCTAGCTACGGGTAGCTTTGTGATAAAGAATGGTGAATGGGCTAAATTCTTCCTCGACACTTGGTTCGACCCGTTGTATCGAAGTTACAACTTCCAAAAGGCCGAGACACATGCTTTGGTAGGTCTATGCTGGCCCCTACCATACACTATACGCTATAGAGAAGGGATTCTAACCGGTACTAGGAACATATTGTTCAATGGCATCCAACAATTCTTTCGAAATTGGCGATTATCCCTCAACGAATGATTAACGCTTACAGTAGCCACGACCATGGTGATCAGTATAAGGACGGGGATATCGCCGTTTTATTTGCTAGATGTACTAACGCGGGGGAGAAGAGCTGCTCTAAAGAGTCGGAGCGATTCTCACAGCAATGGAGAACATCATTTTCCAGGGCATGAAATACCAATTATCTTACCAACCAACCATAATGTGTGACGAAAACGACTATATTTCAAAATACAAGCACTGAACTCACAATGCCGCAACGACGGGAAAAGCGGGAAAAGAAGAAAAAGAGGAGAGTGGTCGCTGTAATGGGTTATGGGCGTTCAAGGAGCACGAGGATAGTAGATTCATTCGGTTGTTCTATTGGTCCGCTATCAAAACATAGAGTGGACGGTGGCATTTACATAGGTGTTTTTGACGGCTTGGAGATTGCCTTACTTTTTTCAAAGGTGCGCCACCGGCGCTACTGGATGTATTATTTCTCGCAGACTATGGCCGAGAAGAGGCCATCGATGTTGGGTCGATGGCCCCCTTTTATGTACCGCGTATCCCCTTAAAAACAAACGAACACATTCTATGATCTTTACAGAGCGTTCATATTAGGCCAAATATGTGAAGACTACCTATACTGTCGCATTATCATCAGTAACCTCACTCAAACGAAGCGAGCTGATACCTAGGTACTAGGTACCGATGACGATGAATAAGCAAAAGTAAATTCGGATGTAAGCTGTATAATCCCTCGCTTATAACGGAGTTTCTCTTTGGGTAGTACACCTAGCTCGATTTTTGTTACCTATCTAGGGGTGAAGGGTTGTGTGACTTAGAATACCGGTATGAGATTGAAATTTGTAAGGGTCAGTCTTCACAAATATCCCCTCTTCCCTCCCCTGATGATGCGGCGGCTTGTTGGCCTAATCATCACAGATAGAAATTCTTCTAGGGGAACCTTTCCGGTTGGCTACTTTTACATACTGCTGTAATACCCTACGTAGAGCACAGGGTGTAGGGGCCTTTTACTTTCTTTTTCTCTAGGCGAGAATCGATACCGGTTGTCGGGTCTGGTACCATCCGATGATAAAGGGACAGCCGTATGTTTCAGCCAATACCAGCCTACCCTGGTTTTACTACGTAGTGTTACTACATAGTAGCCTGTAGATGCGACTGAAAGCACAGATTAAGTTAGAAATAAGTCATCTCTTCTCTAAGTTCGTCTGAAATGTATTAGATCCCGTATATATTAGTTAAATTGTGAAGTATTGGATGAAAAAGACATAGAGTTATCGCCAGATTCCCAGGTACCTTACCAATTAACCTTAAAATGTGAGCGTCGGTAGTGTCGGGGCCAAGCACTACCGAGACGGTGGCCGGTAAGTGGATCTTACCTGCAGATACCCGTGCATGTATCCAATCGTAAATCTCGTCTTTCCGTCATTGCATAGTTGTGGCTTCGATCTCTTACATAAAGTTATAACAATTTCATAAATCATTTGCATATCGTCAACCTTCTCGGAGCTCCGTTCCTCTCTATTTCAACATTTTTTTTCACGTAGATCATGAGATTCTAGAAACAAACAATTAAACAAACAGATTACGAATTCATGGATCCTCAGAATGATATGAACTTGTCACACTTCCTCGCAAAATGTGAATAAGTTATAGTCCTATAATGCACCTCAGATAGTATCACATTGTTACTGTTGCGCGAAGGTGTCGGTTTGCCCAATGCGGATGCGAAATCAATGCGGCTCGCCTCGATTTCATAAGCAATTCCCCAGTCTATCTAGTTACTATTCTTTTTTACTCGTTTCTAATTGTAGATCATACAGTCTACCAAAACGACTTAAAGAGTAGCCAGGGTAACTAAGGTGATCATACGTACCCCGGCTCCCCAGTTCTGAGCTCTTGCAGGGGAGTAAACTACGTATTCCCGATCCGAGTTCAACGCCAACAGCTCGGATCTTACTATACGCATGAATATGCTTCGTCCACATGGTAGATCTAGCCCTGGAAAGCGGGCAAAAAACCTAGACGAACGAGATGGGGACCGGAAGAGAACTATCGGTTGTGTCCGTCGACGACTGTCATATGTGCTTTGACCTTGATTTTCGTTTCGATCCGGTCTATCAGTCTTCTTTTCCCTCCTTCACATTCTTTTCTGTCTTGATGACATCGTCCTGGCGACTAGATTTACTTCGAGTCACTCGTTATGGGTTCATGAACGATGCTGCGGAGCGGGCTCTTGCGGTGCTCTCTTTTATTCGCGCTGGGCACGATAGGGATATGGGCTAATGAGGATGTTGGGGGAGATCCCGTGTCGGCGTCACTTAAGGTGGCGCAAGTGCCGAGAAGAGGAGAGCCATTCTTATGGAATAATTACGAACGCGCCGTCGTCGAAAAAGAGAACACAGTCGAAAGACTTATAGTAGAAAGGATACCAGACTCAATAAGGAAGAGTCCACGAGAGCAGGCGGCTCCCACATTACGAATCCCCGAACCAACAACACCACCACAAAAGCGCCAGGATGATGGCCAAGTCCAGGCGCTTTCCTCACAGCTGCAGTCGCTGTCACAATCAGCGACTCAAGCTCTGTCGTCCGTCTCGTCGAGCGCGTCTTCGGCCATGAGCCTTGTATCTCAATCCGCCCAGTCTGTCCGGCAGTCCGCCGACCAAGCGGTCCGGTCTGCCAACCAGAACGCCGACGATGCTAACCGGCAACTATCGCAGACTCGATCGTCGGCTTCAAGTGCCGTATCCGCAGCCACGGCACGCGCGAGCGACGATTTATCAAGATCGCTATCTAGTATGAGCAGTCGTATCTCGTCCAACTTAGCTAGCGCTCAGAGCAGTGCGAGTAATGCTGTAAGTTCTGCTAAGGCAGAAGCAAGCTCGAGCGCGGCCAATGCGGTGAATATTGCCGCGAGCCAAATTCAGGAGGCTAGAGCCGACGCCAGCGGCGTAAGAGTATGTTGAATATCTTTCCTCTAATCGATAATTGTTATCTCCTGCTAACAAGATATAAAAGGGCGACGCGAATTCTATCGTGACCCAAGTACAAGGCAACTCAATCTCAGCCACAAACGTTGCCATAATAGTCACGGCGTCGGTCATCGGCACTGCTATACTTACAACCATCGTCTCATGCTTCATCGTCCGCTATCGACGCAAGAAGAAGTATACCCGCGAAGAACTAGCCACGGCAATTAACACCAATAACGAAAAACAATACGAAAGACCATTTGAAAAACCAATTGCGGTCCGTGGTACGCCTAATAGCCCTCGTTTTACGCCGGGTGGCGGTGGAACGGGCTATCCCATGGACAAGTTCAAACTTCCGGACCTTACCTTGAGTCCGTTCTTAAGGAAGAAAACTGGGACTGAAGCCAGCCCAAGTGATATCGGGTTCGCAAGAAGTAGCAATAGCCCTAAGGGCGCGGTAACTTCCGCTCCCGCTCCCAACACCAACGACGTCTACGGCGTTTCCCCAACTAGCTTTAGGCTACAAAAAGAAAACAGCATTAAAAGCGCAACAAGCGTCCGGCTCATCAGGGTGGGCAGCAGTAATAAAGGAAAGACAAAGGCAGTAGAGGACGACCAGAGGGCTCTATTAAGCCCGATAGCTTCACCGGCGCTTCCCACACCAGTCCCGCCGGTATCGACGGCTCCAGCGGCGGTAGTCATACCACCGCAACCCCAACCTCGGGTCCAATCTATCCCACCACAATCACTAGTAGAAATACAAATCGCGGAACCAGTACCTATAGCAACTCGCTCCACCCGGAACACAGAACCAGAAGAACTAACCATAGAACCACGCAAACGCTCCGGAACAATGACAAGCCAACAACGCCTGCGCTTCCGCGACAGCAGCGACGTAGAATCCGCCGAGCCTTCACCGGCCACCTCATCCTTAACATCCATGCGGAACACCAACACAGCTAGTCTGCGCAACGGCGGTGTATCACCACCACGACGGCCGAAAAACGCAGGGGCTAGTTTCGCTACGTTCCCCCGCGTCCGTGATGGACCCCCTAGGGGCTCCGCGGCAGAGGCGATTATGAATAGGAGTCGGGCTGGACTAAGCGGTGTTACGGCGCGGTTGCGCGAGGAGGCTGAGCGGAGGAGGCGGGAGACGTTGGAGATGGGCGGGGGAAGGAGGTCGAGTAAAAGTGAAGCGTATGCTGCTGCGGAGACTAAGGAGCCGAATTGGCCTTTTGGGAATGCATAGCCAGAATGTTAGGTTGGGTTGGATTGGGTTGTGGTAATGACAGACTGGAATGGGTGTCGTAAGCTACCTACGTAATGAATATTGTGCGAAAAGATACCATAACTTTTAGCAAGGTAATTGGGGAGGGGAGGGGGATACCGAGTATACCTGAAAGGAAAAAGATGAAAGAAAGAAGATACATATGGAGAAGTAATTAGGTACAGTCGATAAGTGGCTGGGGGGCTGGAACGCCGTGCTGAATAAGTCCATATTTAGTTAGTAACTATTAGTTTATATATCCATCGTGTTTCCTAGATTTCGACCGGGCTATTTGAGAAGTGTGTGTAGGTACGTATCTTGTATGTATCTGTTGTCTTAGGTATTGCTTCGTATTTGGACCCTAACGTCTATGCAGGCTGATAGATTCATCTACTCATCTAGTCTGATGATCACCGGAAAGAACCAAAATAGATGTTCAGCCAAGTAATCATAATATGGCAATTCACTTTCTTCTAGTTCAAGGCAACTGGTTAGCCGGGTATACACTTACATACCTGGTCACGCGCCTCTCCTTGAATGTATCGTCTACATCGAACTACATACATCCCACACGGAGGTAGGCAGGCAGGTAATCAAACCCAAACCCAAGCTTTTCCCGTTAACCAGATCCTCTTACATACATATGTACATCCATCCATACAGCAAGCAGGTAAGGCCAGTCTAGGCATCAAGCATATAACCGTTACCAAACCGGGAGCCCCGGAAACTTGGTTCTATCTATCTTACATTTTACGCAATAGGACTTCTCTAACTGGTTCTTTGTCTATCGGGTCTCGGTCCTTGATTCCTAAGAAAACATCCCGCAATCACCATGTTATCTTATAATTTATCTATGAGTCTTCGTGCAGGCAAAAGCAAGAACCCCAGCCCAGCCCCAGCCCTGGATCCAAGTCACGATGTGTCACTCACTGATAAAGGGGGGCCGGACCCCCAGCCCGACCCAACGCCCCGGTCTCATTGGCAGTAACCCCCAACCCAGCTGCTTAACTTACTCGTTCTACAGACCGAGAGATAGGTACTTGACACATCGAATACGGAAAAGAAGCATGGGGGTAGCAATTCTTTCTTATTTATTCCCCTTGCGTGGGGGATGTGTTCTTCATCTGACCCCTTATAGCTAAGTCACCTGCCTGGTGGTACATGTAACGCGCACGTATACGCATGTACTGACATGCATGAATTCAGCTGCATGTGCTTTATTCAACGCTCACCATATTAGGTAGTTGTCAACGTGGCCATGTGTATGTAGTTCGCCCCGTCTATGGAAAAAAGAAAAGGACCCTTGAGAAGCTTCAACTACTTCTCTTCTGTTGGGAACTACCTAGGTACAGTACCCTTGGTTTGTAGATAGATTTGTATACTGAGTCTCAACGCCTGTTCACTAAACGTGTAATGTATGCGATGCCCGTTGCCAACTAATCTTGATTTGCACAACTTCTATCCCATGTTGCCGTCAACGCCTACTTTTATGCAAGTTCGATATGCTTTCTCCTCATTAGAAAATAGCAGCAGAGAAAGAAAGGAGAAACGAGACTTAATGGACGCCAAAGTGTCGTCTCAACCGAGCTTTCTCCTCGCTAGCCTAGAAATAACGGGCCACAGAATCAAACGTTATAATGCCTCATGATAGAAATGAATATCTCGAAGGGAGATACCAGTAACTCCGATACCCTGGTCTATGCAATTTTTTCCCAATTTGGAACCTGGTCATATGAATCGTATGGAGAAGAGAAATGTGCGTGCCGGGTCGCAGCACGAGACGAGGAACCTCGAAGAATGGATACAATCATTCTTCGAAAGCAGTCTCGAAAGGACCCGAACTTGCTAAGATCTATGCATGGTAGATAACTCGAGAGCTTGTAAAAGCTCCGGTCGATCGGAGAGGGCCTCCTTCGCCTGGGAATACGTAAACCATTGACGTTCCCTCTTATGCTTCTCTGGCCAGTTATTTTCCTCAGTTAGGACAGTGGCTTCGTAGAAGCGATATAGTGCCTTGGGCGCATCCTTTGACAGCCTCTTAGGTGGCCGCGAGTCAATGACGTCGCCTAGGTCGTAATCGATGCGAATAATTATGCCCGCCTCTTCCCAAGCCTCACGCTCGGCAGCTTCTGTACATTCTTCGTCTGATTCCCACCCTCCTTTGGGGAGAACCCAACCTTTTCTCCGAGTCGATTGTATGAGTAGGACGTATAGCCTGTCCTCTGTCAGAGGCACTACTCCGGCTACTAATCGTTCACCCTTCGAATTGTATCCTAGAATCTAAGGGTCAGTTGGTCTACGGGGTAGGCGGTTCAGAACTGTCGCGCCACAAGAACAAATCAAGACAAAAAATCGATCAAGGAGTTCGCAAGGAACTTACGTTGTTTATTTCTACCCGTACGAGACTCCATCGTGCGATTATTCGATGAGCCGGATGCCATTTTAAAAGTGGTAACAATGTCGGAAATGGCGTAGATGGTCAAGCTCTACCTAGGGAGCAGGTCTAGACGGGAGGAACCGTGGTGTGGTGGTGGCGGTGGTTGGAAGGTCCCGGGCAGAGGATGCCGGCCAGATGGAGCTGGAATTAAGGCGTTTACCGGAAAATATTGAGCTGCATGATCATGAATGGTCTCGGAATATGCGAAGGTCGTCTATCCGTGGGACGCGAGGTTTGAGTAGAAATGATTATCGCGTTCTAGTGGTGTTGTGGTTGTGTACGAAACACAATCTTTTTCCGCCGCTTTTCTTACTATTTCCGTTCTTGCTCGCTCTATAGGGTTTTGTTTGCGAAAGCTTTTTTGAGGCTCAATGCACAAAAACAGTATTGTAATATTTAGGGAATCCGGCCCTAGCAACCAACAAGAAAAAGGGAATGATGAGCGGTATTGGTAGAATTGCACATCCACATATATACGCACATTCGAATCCACGTGTCACCTCGGGCTTTTCTTTCAGAGGCTCGGAGACGAGACGGGGAGCGTGGCAAAGAGGCGCGGTAGATCCGGGGATTTGTAGCAAGTCAAAGTAGCGGGCGGGTAGGACGAACTCGTCGCATATAAAACACCGACTGCTCTATTTTATTTTTTTTCTTGGTGTGTTTGATTCTGCAGCGGAAGAACTAAATAATTGTGGGGAGTAGGGGGGAAATAGAAGGAGAGGTAAACCCCGGCGGTCAGGTAGGGAGCGCACCGAAGTAGTTGCTAAGTTGGGATGCAAAGAGAGGTCCAAGACTAGGATGTCTGAGACGATGTTGACGATGATGAGGGTGAGCCACTAACGAGCGAGGATGCGAATTGCTGTTCTGGCTGGACCAGCACGTCCGTTGCAAGTCTCGTGCCATATCTGTAATAAATGGAGGGGCACCGACAAGGAAGAGCAGGCAGAGTTGGGTTTTATAGTACTCCCTTTTTTTTTAAAGGGAAAGGAAAAAAAAAAAAAAAAAAAAAGGAGCCCCCAGCTTAGACGAGGAGCCGCGGACCAGGGCGAAGGCACGAGCTAGGTAGGTACGACTTCCCTTTAGTAAGGTTGTAAGATGCAGGGCCCAGACTACCTAGAAGGTACCTGGCAACTTGTACCTATAACTTTCCTCACCGCGTATATCTGTACCGCGCTAACGTTTAGCTTGGGTCTAATGCCAGGTGAGGTAAGGCAAGAAAACTAAGAGAGACAAGAAAATGGCAGGGCAAGCCACACACAACATGCGCACATCACACACATCACCCATCACAACTTTCTCGTCGGGACTATCATGGTAAGCTATTAATATGTAAGGTTATGTAGGTAACCTGACATAGTAGCCATGTAGGCAAGTAAGACATATACACATACACATATACGTACATACATACGAACATTCATCCTACGTACCTACATACAACCAGTCGCCTACCATATATGTACGCTGAGATCGTGCATTTATGTAGCTTACTTGCCTCAGTTGGTTTAACCACACCGGTATGCTGGGAAATTTTAAAGTTGGTGGCCGAGTATACATCAATGTACGTTTCGGTAGGTAGGTACATCCGTACTTACATAGAAGTACATATCTCTTATGTATAGATCACTCGCGGGTCGTTTTTTGATGACAACACCGCTTTATGTAGGTAGGGACCAAAGCCAGAAAATGTCAAAATCCGGTAACTTCCACTGGTCACGGACTCCAGAACCGGTCAAAACTAACCTGATGCCTGTATCAGGAGGGGACTTGTCGAAAAAATAGAACAAAGAAGAAAAAAAAAAAGTGCAAAGCATGAGAGTGGAGGAAGAAGGAAAGAGAAAAAATTTTCCTCAAAATGGAAAGGAAGAACCTGGATGATTTTCTACCTCAGTAATTGCATGCATGTATCGTCACTTGCCTCAGGCTACTCTACTTCACTAACACGGCTGTCCAGGTACGGTTCTTACAGAATTTAGCTCTAATGCGAATGACCAACCTTTTTTCAGTACTACCCGTGTATTGTGTATAACCGGAATACCGCAAAGAGAATTTATTGGCCTGCACGACTACCCTAGCTGCCTACTATACTTGCGATGGTCAAACAACAGCAGTAGTTAGTTGTATTCACGACCTCATACAACGGGTAATATCCACACAAACATACCCAAGCCTCATTTCGATCCTTACAACATAGACTTGATGTTTCCTTTCAACATTTGAACCCTGTAAATCTCTTATGTAAAACCCTTAAGGGTCCCTGTATATATCCGTTGGGCAGCCTCGAAACTCTCAAGCTACCTCAACATCTATACATGTTTCTATGTATTACTCGCATGTGTTGGCTACCATTGCACTTTAGTGTTACACTCTGCTGAAGATATAGTCCCCTTTTTACTCCATGTATCTAGGATTGGTCGGCACATGGATGTGATGACCTTGAATCGGATCTACCCCTCGCCTGCATCCTGCCGTCGATCACCGAGTTCCCCAGTTGAACTACAACTGAGACAACATCGTAGAGGGGGCCGAAGGGGACAATCCTTCCGCTACATCGACCAACTTGACCATTTCGACGTGTATAAGACGGCTGTATACTACACACCGCCGCACTTACTATGAAGATGGAAACATCGATATGCATAACGCCTGTTCATATTTCATGTATAATTTATACAAAAAAGTCTAGCTACCGATGCGGCATTCCGATAACGTCCAATGTCATAGCAAGAAAGTAAGAAAAAGTTGTTGAACGGCAACTCATCAGCGTGACAGAACCAAGCCGGGTTGGTGACGTAGTATTTAAACCTGAATGGAGATCAATATATACATGTAGCCCAAGATTGGCGTGGGGAGTAGGTAGAGAAGAACTTGGAAGTTTAGGTACATGTTGATAGAATCCTTCCAGGGTTTATTTTGTACTTCGTACAACTATAATGACAACATGGTCATCCATAGAAAAAGCCTCGACTCACTTACAACTTATACACATTTTATATACTATCATGCATAGATGCCTATAGCTTATAACAGGAAGATGGGGGGGGGGTTCCACAAGCCTTGACGTATATTCCTCGTAATATCCCAGGAATTAATATAAACTGCTCACACTATCCCCATCCTAGTTCAATTGACCAATATCTCTTCGAGGTTTTTCGTGACAATTAGGTATATTATTTCTTATAGAATTGATAGGTAGAGCCGGACTGTATAATTCGTCATAGCACCTGCATAATGCCATGCAGGTTCTGAATCCGGAAATTTGCCTAGGTAGCAGTGACCAGAGTTGTTACCTTGGGTAAACCCCTAATCTACCAAGGTAACATGTATGTAGGTACCGCGAGGCGTGCTTGTTCCATGCGGTAATATCAGGTACCTTCAACATGCGTATGTTATTGTATATTTTGTATGGCAAGAACGTACCTCATATTGTACCTTCTAGCAGGACAGATCGAAAAAAGCATCAATTGCCTCCAGCTCTTTCCGTACGTTCATGTATAAGAGGTACTTGAGTAGGTACCTAGGTACCATCGGACCTTACGTCTTAAAAGACTCCGGTAACTCCTCCCACTATTGATAGCACAAGTGTATAGTAGAGTCACGTATGGCACAACAACCTTTTTTTTTTTTTTTTTTTTCTAACCTTTCCTATACATTATAAGGCATTTCTCCCATTTCTCCCCCACCATCCGATATACATAAGAAGCATTGGATATGCTTAACCTCCAATATTAGCAATATCCCACCGCACAGCATCGTCCATTCATTCAACTCTTGTAACTGTACATACCTAACGCACATATTTTCCTCGGTTATTGTTCTATACATATACCTCGTCGTCTGACTCGACACCGACTCTTTCTCGTTCGGTCCGCCCGGTATGTCTACTTACATTCTACATTTTACATCCCTTGCCAAAAAAACAATCCCTGCGCGCGTGCGCTGCCAGGCTGTCTCCCCCCTCTGATCAAATGTGCTTGTCTGACCATCTACAAGTCTAGCCATTCTAGCCATCCGCGGGGGCGTCTTTTGAAAGGATGCAGGCCACCCCTGAAAATGCATTTTTGTATATAACGCCAATTGGTGAGTTAGATCATCACTCTTAAGTCCATCTACCTCTACCCCAAGCAGCCTCCCGTTCAATATCATCCAACCATTCCACCCCGTGCGGCATTGCGACGCTGTCGTTGGTCCGCCGCTTTGCATATGGTTTTATGGAGAATACAACACTCCATCGTGTTCGTTGGCGCGCCACTACCAGCCCACTGGCGTCTTCGAGAACCGCCGCACGGCTCCGGCAGAACGACTAGGAGTAACAGGAGGGCCGTCTCCGGCTGGACTACTCGAACTAGGGACCACTGTGCAGTTCTTTGTTGCCATTTGTTGCCAAGGAACCATTAAATACCAGGCAATCAGCCACAGCCTAGTAACATCTCGCGCTCCCCTGTGCGAACCTCGCCAGCCCGTACTACCTACAATTGCTTGCATCTTAGCCAGCCGACGTATCATCGCGTGTTACCTCGACCCGTCACTACCTTCAATCTGGGGTCCGTCTCGGCATCGTGTACTTTGCACCCCGAAATGCGCCTTTCTTTACTCCCCCCCTCTCCTTTTATCTCCGAGGATGATCACTGTAGGCAATTGAAATCAAGTGATCAGCAAAAATAAATCCTACGTCCAAAATTTGCTTTTTTAATCGATATATCTCTTACTCAGCTCACTAAAGAAAACCGGGCTCTATAATTCATGATGTCAAAGTAGTTGGATACTTAACGACTAACTCTTTCTAGGGTATAGACAATCAATTAGCTGCGGTTACTGCCGTAGAAAGGGTACCAGTTAGTCTCACAGGATGTATTCACTCGATCATGCCGGCATACACTCACGATCTGATGTCCTCTTCTGCACACATGCCTAACCGTCGGTATTTCATGGTGGCTCTGATATATTATCCACTTACTATCGTGTCATCTGTTGAACCTATTACTTTGTGTAGCGTCCTACAAGGATTTCCCGCCTAAGCACATGGTGGTTTTTGCAATCGTGATTTGAGCATGTTTGAACTTACCTTTGCCTCCAGGCCACTCCTACTATGCACGTGCGATATCTATGAGTCCGGCCATGTACGAGACTCTAGTCGATCGATGTTGGAGACGATCCGGGACGCTGCTCTATAGACCAAACCAACTTGATTCTTGTTGCCCTCATTACACAATTCGCCTTGATTCCGACCGTTTTCGGCCGTCTAAAGATCAACGGCAAGCTATCAATCGCTTCAACAAGTACGTCATAGGTGAGGAGTACGCGAAAGAAGCTGCTCGCTTATATCCGAAGTCACGCGAGCAGGCTCGGAAGCGGGACACCGAGTTTGACTTGGTGGAAAGAATTCATGAAAGCGACAGCTCATCATTGAAGCAACCACCCGAGCCCTCTCATACGTTTACCGTCACCCTAGAGTCTAACAAATTCACCGAAGAGAAATACCTTGTCTTCGAAAATTACCAACGGCTTGTCCACCATGAGTCCCCATCATCTATCACTCGTGAAGGATTCAAAAGATTCCTCTGTACCTCGCCATTGACACCAGAAAAATTTACGGCACCGGATGGCCGGGAACGTCAACTTGGTTCGTTCCACCAATGCTACCGACTCGATGGTAAGTTAGTAGCTATAGGCGTTTTGGACCTTCTTCCTCAGTCTGTGAGCGCCGTCTATTTTCTATACCATGAATCCATTCATAGGTTTAGTCCTGGAAAACTCGGGGCTTTGCGGGAGATCGCGTTGGCGATAGAGGGCGGCTACCGGTAAGTACGAAAAGGTCCATATGCGATACAGCCTATTCCTTATTACGGCGTTGCCCTAAGTGCCATCTACATTTGACTATCCAGGCATACACTTTTGTAATACCTATTTTCGACGCCATCATCTTTGATAATTCAAATAATTCATGGGTTTTACTCAGGATACATATTGACGAAGGAGCAGATGGTGGTACCCCGGCTTTTATATCCATACATGCCCCAAGATGAGGTACAAGATGGATTTCTCCCCGCAACAAGTTCTCGACCCAGAGACCCTCAAATGGGTAGACCTCGACCAAGATACTATCGCGAAGTTTGATAGCCACGGCTACCTTGATTTCAAGGGAACAGGGGAATACGCTCTAAGGAATCCTTCGCCCAAAGGAGAAAACTCAAAGATGGATGTTGACGGCCAGAAGGACGACTCGGAGGAGGATGCTGAACGCCACAAAGATCCGTCTCTCTTCCACACTGGGATGCCGGGGATTCCATCCGCTGAAGAAATGAGTTTGGTGAATTTGGATGATATTAAAATACGTTTTCTCGACAGATATTCTTTCGCTGATACCATATTCTCCTGGAAAGGGGAAGATATCACGGACCCAGGTGGGGCCAAGGCACTGGTAGCGGAACTTGTGGCGGCGATTGGCCTCGATCTCATACCTGATATATGCTTAGATTTTCGAAGACAGTCATCGGATCCGGCAGAATAGAACTACGAGACGGCATCCCTATAAATCAAACGCTTAGGGTGTAGCGGGATGATAATTCTAGGGATGGAAATTTATCGAGACTGGATTTTGTATGTCGGTAGACACAGGTCTTGACTACGATTCGGAATCCCTGGAAGTACTGCCTTTGGCCAAACCCAAGGCTGGAAAAGGACATGGAGGAAGATTGCATAGATATCCTATGTAACTACAAAACAGCGTATTGATGATTCAAATAACAAAACTAGCGGATTATCTTTTAACATCGCTCTAAAATAATCCTCTAAGGAGACTTTAACATATACTCTGTAAAAGATATCACGATCTTCATCTATGATCAACTATGATCAACTAACACGTCTTCAAAATAAGACGACGTTCACTATTCTTAGGCCTTCCTATCAATCGATTATGTCCAACCTAGAGATCATACACCTAAAACTTTCCTCGCCTCAGGAACCTTAGCGACGAATTCATTCTTCATCTCCGACCAAACTTGGGCTTGTAGCTTCCTCCCGACTTCGCCAGTTAGGACTATTTCTTCTAGCCTGGATCTTTGTGTTAGTCATACTAACTGTATGAAATCTTCAAGGACGACTTACTTCCAATACTCAGCTTCTGTGCCATAAAACCGGATGAATTTCCCCTGCGAGGCGAAAGGTTTACGTCAGCCACCAATAATAGAGATATACGGAAGGAGTACTCCTTACATGTTCTTCCTCCTTTGTAAGGCATGCTGCAAGATACGTCCTCGCGCCGTTCTCCGGTGACTTTCCGAAAAGCCCCATGAATATGCCGGCCACCACTGCTATCACTGCTCCCTTCGCCTTGTGGTATCTTGCTAGATTTGTTGAGACTAGGCCCGGGCACATTGTATTTATGACTACCTGAGGGCTGAGAGACGATTAAATAATGTTAGTAAGGAAGTTTATTCTTGAGGGATACGTTGGTATTCAGAAAAGGGGTAGGAAGAAACTTACCGTTTATCAGGTCCCAATGCCATTTTCACGAGCTCGTCGATGGCATAATGGACCATGAGCTTTGTTGCCGCGTACATGTCATCCGGCGAAGTCCAGTTCTCGGGCTTGTTGTAGTGGTTTAGGATACCGGTTTCCGCCTCCCATTTCTTCCAGTCTTCGATGTTGACATCTTGGTGTCGTGATGAACCGACTATAGCTAGGTGTGCGGGCGACGAACGATTGGCGCGTTCGGCTTTTAGCCATGGGAGCAAGAGAATAGCCAAGAGGGCTGTGGACAAGGCGTTTGCTTGGACATTTTGCTCCCTAGGGGTTTGATGTTAGCTAAACTAAGTGTTCAAATTTGGTGATAATGTCATTTCTCGTTTGTGGGTGGTTTTCCTCATGGCCAAAGGGAGGACAGGAGCCTTACCAGCCTTCATCCGCTATCTTAAAATCCACACCAGCGAGTCCAGCATTCAAGACAATATGGTCGACGCCACCCCCGCCTTGTCGGACTTTCTTAAGCTCCTTCACGAAGGCCACAACCGAGACATAACGGTTCATATCAAGGTCTAAAACGCGGATGCGACCTTTACTTTTCCCACCCGTCTCCTTTTCGATCGTTGCGAGAGCAGCATTGGCTCGGGTCGAGTCCCGACTCGTGATGATGACCTCAGTGGCGCCGAGATTGATGAAGTGAACAGCTGTCGCTAACCCTAAGCCACTCGTACCACCCGTCACAACAGCGATTTGGTCCTTAAAACTTCCTGGCGGCGGAAGTGGGATCGGGAACAATTTCATGTACCCTTGGTATATGAGTTTACTCAATGGAGGAGGCATTGTGTAAATTAGTAGGGAGAAAGGGCAGAATTTGAGTACGTAGTTTTGTATATCTGGTTAGTCGGGAATTGTCTCAGATCGGAAATGAGACACAACACAACACAGCACGAGAAGCAACATCTTGAATTGAAGAATGTACCCCCTTTAAATACGAATGATAAGAGTTCCGTCACTAACATGACTTTGTATTTCCAATTAATTCTTCGTACTGTCGCTTACATGATCTACACCGGAGACTTTCAGTGAGCGTTGCTTTAGATATGTGAAGTTCGAGGAGGACATCGTAGCTTGACATTGGTTGACTTATACGGGCTGTGATACTATTAACAGGACCACAATGCCCACGATCACCAAATCCTCTCGGTGCCGTCTGGGTCCGTCGTGGATTTGTCTCCGAGGACCCGGCGTTGGTTGCTCCGATTTCCGACATTACAAATCCGAAAACGACTAAGTCCTCCTAAATAGGCGAGTAGATAAACAAAAGTCCATTATTGTCGAATTTGGTAAATGCTTGAAATAGTGTACAGTTTTAGAGAAGCGAAATACCTGGAGTTCTCTTACTAGTAAGCAAACAAGAAGCCTTCGTGAGCGAAATTCGGCATCGCATTGATAAGCACTTTCCCAAGATCTTAATGCCTTATCGATAAGACACAGTATCGAGCCTCGCCGATCACTTACATAGAAAATCAAGAGCCCCACCACAAGCTCAAACCAATCAATTTTCCTCCCCTCCAATATAGAGCTCAAGCTCGAAAAATCTCCCACCTCAACCTCGCGACGAGACATAGTCGAATACATTTACATTGACAATTGACGTATGATCTCCGAGTCTAATTTCTCAAAGGGCTATGATCTAAGAAGAAATCTAAGTTTCCAAAAAGCCCACCGAGGCTACAATTCATCTCTCTATTCCCACTAACCAACCAATCGTCGAAAATATCACAATGGCGACAGCAACATCCACAACACAACACCTCCTCCTCTCCCCCGCCGAACTCGCCTACCTCCACAGCGCACTCCTCCTCTCACCACCAGTCCGCCCCGATGGCCGGGGCGCATCGCAATTCCGCCCCCTAACAGCCGAAGCCGGTGTCCTGCCCGGCGCCAACGGCAGCGCGCGTATATGTTTCGCAGACGGCACGGAAGCCGTCGTCGGTGTCAAAGCCGAAGTACAAAAGAGCCGAAAAGCGCATGTATCGTACCAAGACTATTTCTACGAGAATAAGGAATTACGGCGGAAACGACATGGAAAAGGCAAAGAAACGGAGAAGGAAGATGAAGTCTCTGATGAAGAGGAAGATAAGGGAGCGTTAATAGCGGGGGAGAATGATTGGGTCGAGGTTACGGTTGAAATTCCTGGATACCGCGACGACGATAGTAGCACCGTATTTCTGGCTACGATGCTTAGTGAGGCATTGTTAGCGGATGGGGAGTTTACGAAGAAGTTATGGATCAACCGACGATTTCACTGGAAGCTTTACATTGACGTGAGTCTACCCATATATACGTTATACAACGCTCGCGAACAACTCTTCCGAAATATGTCGTATCTTTCTTGTACACGAAGCTAATATGTATATCGAACAGATCATCCTCATCTCTCCACCTCTCTCCTACCCGCTCCCGCTCCTCAGCTTAACAACACACCTCGCCCTCCTCGCGACCCGACTTCCACGATTAAAATCCGAAGCGGACGAAGATCCTATGTTCGACGACGACTGGGCCTCCTCTACATACATATACCCGCGACAGACCAGCACCGGCACGCCTAGTTCGCGGCCGCCTGTCACATTACTTGTCATGGCTGTAGGCGAAAGCATCATTTTCGACCCGTCGAAGGAGGAGCTCGCGGTAGCGGACTCGGCACTTGCGGTATCGGTGGGCGGGAAGACTGTTATTGACGGCGACGACGGGGCGATGGACGTAGATGGCATAGCAGAGACAGGTAGACAATTACGCTTGCTCTCCGTACGGACAATAGATCCACCGTCAAGGTTAACAGCGCCGGGAGTGCCAAACTCGGTGAATCTAGCTGCGTGGGGACAAGGTGTGCCCGCGGCGAAGGACCCAGGAGCTCGAGCAGCGGAGATAGAAAACACGGAGGGTGTGTGGAAGGCGCCTAGAGGAGGAGCTAAGGTAGCTGTTCTCGGCGCTATGGTACAAAAAGTACTAGAAAAGGGCGGTATTACGGACGAGGTCCTGGATGGTTTGGACGCTGTGGATCTGGGATAGAAATCGTATTATGTGCGATACGATTTAATTGATATCAAATCTGGAGCTTGCTTTGCTTCGTATCCTTTTGCCTTGTCCCGGAGTTGAGATTCGTTTTAGGGAAGGCCGCCGTCATGGTAGCCTCTCACCTAGTAAATTGAGTAGTGGCTATTACTTCCTTTTTCATCTCTTTCCACACTACTGTATACAACTCCCACCACTTCAAAATATCCCAAGGTATTTCTTCCTCTTCCCATCCGGCGTGGTCTCCGTCGCCGTCGGCGTAGTAGCTTCAGGCTCACTCGTCGCAACCGGTTCCGCGGCAACTACAGCCGCCGCAGCCTCTTTCTCTACGCCGCCGTTACTCTTGCTTCCCTCATCATCATCCCTCTTCGTGCCCATTCCAAAGAGACCCGTAGCTGGTTCCAAGCCGTGGGCCTTGCGGTACTCGTCCCTCTTCGCGACGTCTTCAACACGGCGACGACGCTTCTCTGCCGTTATAGCTGATTCATGTCGCTCATGTAATTTCATGACTTCGATAAGGATGTCTATATACTGGAATGGGTGTCGCGGGAACTCGGAGATAGGCGGGATCATGTCGGCGAATGGGGATTTGGCGGCGAAGTTGGTAGCGAAAGTGTAGATGGCGAGGGATGTAAGGGTACCCTGATAATATGTTAGAGTTTGTCGTCATATATATACATAGACTATCGCCGGTAGTGGCAGACATACCAGAGTAATAAAAGTATGGATCCATCGGTTATGGAGGAACCAATGCGACCATGTGTTCGGCGGTGGAGGTAACCCTGGATACGCTTTCGTGTTCTGGGCTTGTATTTCCGCATCTGTCATAGGTCCGCCGTAGTGTCGCGGCGTTGAGCGTGGTAATCGCGCTCCGTGTGACGGCGGGTTGAAGCGCTCCGGCTTCTCGAGGACGCGAGGTTTCGAGGGGTCGACTGGTTCCGGGGCCGCTGACGGCTTTGCTGCGGGGGTCGGGTCCGGTGTCTTTGCCTTTGGCGCCGGCGCCGGCGATGTACTGGGTGCAGGCGAAGAAGCGGCGGGTGATGTGGGAGTTTTCGGAGTTGGAGCTTTGGGGGTTGTTGGCGCTGCTGATACCGGCGTCGGTTTAATGACAGCGGGTTTAGCCGTCGATGTAGCTTTTGCAGGAGGCTTCGTTGGCGCGGAATGCTTTGCTGCTCTGGCGGCAGTGGACGTGGGGCTAGCTTTCGTCGAAGCAGCCTTTGGAGTAGCTACTTTCGCCGCTGTTGTCTTGGCTGTTTTCGCAGTGGTAGTAGGTTTTGATGCCGCCGTTTTAGAGGCATAGCGCACTAGTACTTGTCCTAGCTCGGCGTTGAGGGGCCTTGCGAAGGCACCGGAGCGTGTGGTTGTGCGCCATAATGCACCATACTGAGGTAGAAGGTAGCGGGGTATGTAAGTCGTTTTTGAAGCCATCGTGAAAGCTGAGTACGGTGACGTCTAGCTCTCGGGCTGGCGTTGAGGAGGGGAACTTAAAATTCCTCAAATATTAAAATCGATGGAGGGGCCAACCACTAAAATATCGATGATTCGATTCCAATGTTAGACGTATGTCAATTGACTCATAAAATGCAGGCGCGTCTCAGTCCCAGTAGTATATACCTACTTAGGTATGCATACATAAAATTGAGCGCGTTTTGCATGAACTTTGAAATTTGAAGTTCATCTATCTTATGATCCGATCCAAATTCAATAGATCCAATCCGGTGAAGTTTCTTTTCCTTCAACCAATCCAAAGGGTCGGAATCGGCGATGGTCGGATGGATTTCCTAAAAGGGTTTAATGCTTGAGGTTAATTGGTGTCTTCTGGAAACCGCGTTGTTCTGGCGTCAGGTTCTTCGAAAATTTTCGTAGGTTTTCTGGGGCTCTACCCTTCCTCACCCTGACTCCGAGATTCCTCCAGTTCCGCCCCATCGGTTCCACTTATTTTTCATCGTTAATGGGAGTTTCTTAGTTGGATTGCGGACTGGGTCAAGGGAAGAAGGTACTTACCAGGTAATAGTGGAAACTTTGAGGGAGTAAAAAAATTAATCACCGGCTTTCCCCGGAAGCGTATTACTTCTAGTAAATTCCTATTGGTCGAGAATTAGCGGTCACGCGCCACAATGTGGCTCGCTTTTCCCTAGTAACCTGGCTTTAGCTCGTCCTGTTGCACTGCGCTGAGCTCATCGCTTTTTAAAAATTCCCAGGCTTGCGCCGATTTTTTTTTCTTTTTACTCTTCCTCCTGTCTTCACAACCTAAAGAGCAATTTTTACTTAGACGAAACAAACCTCTCGTTTCTACATACTACGCCTTTCTCTCGCCTATCTCCTACACATTTAATCTCTAATATCTTCTATTCGTTTTCTTACTCCATAACGACAAAATGGGTTTCTCTGCTGGTAGGTCTTTCGCCCCTTGCGTCTTTCTTTCGAATCCGCTTCGTCATGATGTCAACACGTTACGCTTGTCGAGCCATTGAACCACCACCACTGCCTGTACGAACACGATAAGCTACATTGCGGGACAGTATCTCTACCGCTATTGTCTCAACCACTCGTCTATGTAATTTTTATAATTCGGGTCTCAATACATAGAGCGTCGCAACTGTCTGCGCCATTTACCGGATGGTGGTATACAGCCGCATGGTGGTTGAAGACGGCGTATCGACCTCGTTTTTTAGGCTCTGGGGTGGTTTTTGGTCAACTAGCTATCTGCGAACATTACCGCTACATGGGAAATCTCAGAATTTCACGGAATCTTAAGGCTAACATTTCATTTCTTCAGGTGACTCCAAGAAGGGTGCCAACCTCTTCAAGACCCGATGTGCCCAATGCCACACCCTAAAGGATGGTGAGGGTAACAAGGTCGGCCCTGCGCTACACGGTCTTTTCGGCCGAAAGACCGGTCAGGTTGAGGGTTTCTCCTACACAGACGCCAACAAGCAAAAGGGTATCACCTGGGACGAGAGCACTCTGGTATGTTGCTATATCTTAGAGCAGCTCTTGCATGAAAACCACTAACATCATAATCAGTTCGACTACCTAGAGAACCCCAAGAAGTATATCCCCGGAACCAAGATGGCTTTCGGTGGTCTAAAGAAGGAGAAGGACCGAAACGACCTCATTACGTGAGTACTACCTCATTCCTAACACCCCTAATATCAACGATACTAACCTCATTTTACAGCTTCTTGAAGGAGGCTACGGCATAGACGAAGATTACGAGATAAAAGACAGACATGTACCAATACCAATCGCATAGACAGGAACCGGCCAGTTGTGTATTCATAGACTACTAGACCGATTTGGCACCCTCGACGGTGCGAGCATATATCCATCTCCTCTTTTTTTCCAACACCAAAGAAGCATCATGCGTTGTTGTAACAGTTGGCTGGAAGTGTGTTAGGAGTTCAGGCTTCTTTCAATAAAGGAGGCTTGGATTGGATTACAAAACTCTGCCAATAATTGAACATAAAGTGAATCGCATTGTGCGTCTTCCATAACGCTTTGAGTGATACATCTTTGATTTTCGTAGATTATTTATTTATAACCTATTCATGACGTACTATGGTTTGGATTTGCAAGTAATTTGTATGGGGTAGATGCGACGAATTGGCCAATGAGAACGAGTTGAAATAATACAGACTAGCCCTACTACTAGCCTCGGCTAGAATCGACAATCTCTGGGTCTTTACGTATGTATACATTGGGATTAGGGGTATTCTCGTAATTGTGGGATTGTTGGATGCTTTACTGGGTCGTGAATATTGTTTTGCCGTGACAATGATCTTTGTATGAGACAGACTCAAGGGTATATCACCTAAGAACATTCACTTCACAATGACTCATGACTGCTTACTTAAGATTCAGCTATGGTATCATTCGTAGGTACACGTAATAAAAACTAAGATGAACGGTCGGCCGCAGCCGACGATGCTCGCTATCAGTTCAGACTTTGGTATCTAAACTCCTCGCATGCCATCCAACTACTAAGCGCAAGGCGTCACAGATCATTCCCAGCCTAGCTCCTTAAGTTCTCTAAACTTACTCGAGTGGCTATCCGATACACTCGGCTTGATCTTGGTAAGGGCGACTTCCCAATCCTCCGGTGTGATCACGTCCGGGCCTCTAACATCAGCACGCTCCACCGCTGCTTGACCAGCTGCTACATGTAGATTGTCCAAATCAGCACCACTGAAACCGTTACATCGCGGGTCGCGAGCTACGGCCTCTAGAATGTGGTAGTCGGTGTAAGAGGGCAACAGGCGCCTCATTCGAGTCTTTAGAATGTCGACTCTTCCAGTGGCATCGGGTAGGTCAACGAAGATGTTGGTTCCCAATCGACCAGGGCGAAGGATAGCAGGGTCAATTATGTCCGGTCGGTTGGTAGCACCGATGACATAAACGCCTAATCGACTACCCATCCCATCGAGTTCCGTTAAGAGCTGGTTCACGAGTCTAGCGCTATACTCCGGTCCATTTCCGTCTCGCCGGGGGACTAACGCATCTAATTCATCGAAAAATAGAATGCACGGAGCTGATGCACGTGCCCGGCTAAAGACCTGACGAACAGATCGTTCTGACTCGCCAACATATCTGTTAAGAAGCTCCGGACCCTTGACAGAAATGAAATTTGCCTTTGATTCGTTGGCTACTGCTTTGGCTAGAAGAGTTTTACCACATCCAGGGGGTCCCCAAAGAAGCACACCCGAGGGCGCTTCCAAACCCTTGCTTGCAAATCGTTCTGGATTTTGTATAGGTTTTACGATTGATAGCATAAGCTGGTTTCGTACATCGTGAAGGGCACCGATGTGTGCCCAGGTCGTGTCCGGTATTGTTGTGAAACCCTCCCTCTTGGCGGATGGCTGAACTTTGCCAATCGCCTCGAGCATGTGTTCCATCGTTAATACGAATTTCTCCTCTGATACGGCTTCATCCCCCGCCAACATTATTGCGAGATGTAGCCGAAGCCCAGGTGATATTTGATACTCAGGGTCAAGATCCATCTCAACGGGTTCCGTCTGTGCGAGTTCAGACATCGTTGCTCTGGCCATTTCGTTCTTGGCAACAGAGACTACATCTTTCAGGTCAGCACCAACAAAGCCAGGAGTTCTCTTAGCTAGAAGTTTGTAGTCTATATCGGGAGAGACTTTGCTATTGTGAAGCATTTTTCGTAAAATAGATTCCCGGGCGGCTTCGTTCGGTATTCCAAGACTTATCTCTCGGTTAAATCGCCCAGCTCTTCGAAGTGCTGGATCAATGCTGTCGGGCCGGTTTGTCGCGGCCATTGTCACGACGAGCTTCCCCCCCAGCTTCTGAGGCGACGAGTCGTCCATGCAAGTAAGCATTTGCGCTACAATACGCTTTTCCATTTCTCTCGAGGCATTCTCCCTCTTTCCCATTATTGCATCAATCTCATCAATGAAAATGAGACATGGGGCTAGCGACTGAGCCTCCTCGTAAAGCGATCTGATCTTCCTTTCAGATTCACCAGATAGGCCGGCAATAAGCGAGGGGGCTGAGACAGGTATGAACGCTATGCCGAGAGAGGCAGCATATGCATTTGCGAGCATCGTTTTTCCGCATCCCGGCGGACCATGCAACAAAACTCCGCGAGTAGCCTCCAAATCGTTCTTGAGACATAATTCGGAAAATCGCATCGGAAACGTGACCGATTCGGCAAGGATCTTAATAGCATCATCCATGCCACCAAGATCGTGCAAAGAAACTCCGGTAGGGGGGCTACGATCCTCCTTAGGTCTCTCGAACCTTCGCCTTTTCGCTCTGGACTCTCCATTAGGTTCCCTCTCAACCGTAGGGGTTGTTGCGGTCGCTACATCAGCCCCAGAAACGTTCCCATTCGTAGCAGTCGATTCAGGAGCTGGTGCTTCGGGGGCCGATGTTTCAGGAGACGCCGTTCGCGTGTTCCTAGGTAAGTCCCAAGACTTTGAGATGTGTTTGTTCATAACGAAATAATCGCGTTCCTATTCATGTCAGTATATGAATGCATATCGATGTAGAGTGAGGGATTTGATTACCTTGCGCTTTGGTGACGTGGGTGGCGCTTCATCTAGGCTGGCTTCCTCATCAAATTCTTTCCGTTCTTCTTTTCGTAGGCGAAGGACTCGCTCGATAGAACTCTCCAGGGGCCTTTTCTTGAGGCGCGCAAGGCTGGAATTCGATCGTTTGACAATGTCGTAAACACCTGAGACAGTAAACCTGGGCGACTTGCCACCATCCTTATTTGACGCTTGGTTTTTTTGATCATGCTCATCCTCAAGTTTTCTGATTATTTGATAGACATCTCGGTCTATTCCCTGTAGTACCTTGGCCGGCATTATGTCGGCCGGCTACTTTTGGTAGTAGTGGACCATATGATTCGGAATGAATAGAAAGAAAAAATATGAAAAGGGACAGTAGTTTTGTCGACTTGCGCTCCGTCAAAAAGCCAATCTCGAATTCTAGATCGCAGGCTGAAGATACATAAGAGTGTAAATTTGAGTGAGTTCTCATTCTCTAAACCGCTTGAAAACTTTCGGGAGCTTTAAAAATAAAGTGGGTACATTGCTCATTGAAGGGTACTTTTTGCGGGTACCTTATCTGATAAGAAACGGTACTTCGGTACATTAAGTCTCTAAATTGTGGGCTTTTGGCACCCCCACCTTGGTATTTTCTACCAAAATATCTACCATTCTTTTCCTGTATTCCTAACTTCTCGCAATAACCCAAAATCATATCGACGGTCTTCTATAATACCAGCCCTTGGCCGAGAGTGCCATACTTTTATCAGGCTAAGGCAAACGCGAACACATATCTTGAAGATTTCCTCGTATGCCTATTCAATTCGGACCATGACCGACCTCATTTTGTAGGGTTCTGTTTGCCATGTCTCGTTGCGAAACCTCAAAGCAATGACCGCAGTCGCTTCACAAATGTTAGTAGATGTACGAAAATATTCAAATTATACCAATCATAATTACCTCTAAAGCGCCACGGCTACTATCCGTATCGCCGTTATCTTGATGGGGAAGCAGTACGCCAGCCAGTTGCTTCTTAGATTCTTGGATTTTCACGACTTCCTATCCGTGGATATTAGCTTATTGCCATAGGTCTAGCGTTGATTTTCTAGAGGTTAACTTACCTCTTCGAAAGAGTCTCGGACACAGAAGCGGACGGTTGTTACTTCTCGAGTTTGGCCTAGTCGGTGAATTCGCGCAAGAGCTTGTTCTTCTAGAGTAGGATTCCTGTACGATAACGTTAGGTAGATTCTATCAAATTTATCGGTCAGGATTACCAGTGGGGTTCCATCAAATAAGCACGCGACGCCGCTGTAAGAGTAAGACTATGAGGTATTCCGTTAGTAGTGGTTCTGTGTTATAAGTCGTGGGAGTTTTAACACTTACCCAACAGCTCCGCAAGATAATGTGAGAAGCATCACGCGGACGTTAGGATCCGACTCAAACCTTTCAACCACAGCTGGACGATCTTTCTGTGATACTTTACCATCGAAACGGATACTTTGGATGCCTTCTCGATCTAGGCCAGCTTTGATCAGATCAAGTGTCAGTCTCCAAGTCGAAAATACAATGCTAAGAGGATAAAGTCAGCATCTAGATGCTTAAGAATTCCTGGTTCACGCACCATTTAACATTCGAGTCGACACCTCTGATGTCCTCTAAAAGAGCCTTTATTTTCGAGGGGGGGTTGAAAGCTGCCATTCGGAGCTGAAGGCTGGCAGAGCTGTCAATCTCCTCTAACGCAGCACCACTTGTAGACACAGCAGCTGAATCACACGGGGGATTATGATCACAATAAGCAGTCTGGCTACGGCGACGCAACCTGTCAACACATTCGCTACAGATAAACTTCAGGCAGCTAGTGTACTGGGCTGCTTCTGCATTAGAAGTTGTGTCGTCGAGTAGAGTATCCGCTAGGCCCAGAGCCGATGAACACTGCGAGCAGGTAATGGACGACATATCTCGCTGAGAATCGAAAACCCTCTGTGCAGTATTGCTCCACTCACTTGCTCCATTGGGTTGATGTGACCTCCTTTTATGTCTTGATTCGTAAAAGAGCCCGAGATTGCTAAAAAGTCTTAGCGACTCTATATGTTGCAGAGCGTTGATATAGCCATGCGACATAGACATTCCGGTTCCGCACCTGAGTGCTTCTTCAATGTGTGCTATGGTTTGTTGTCTCAGGCGCTCGTAAGAAAGTCTTTCTTCCGGCGTAAACTCAACAGGATAAACCTGATCTCTACGAGGAGGAAGATTGATGATAGCCTTTGGTCTCCTTAGCAGCAGACATTCCGCAAGTCGCTTCAATCTCCTTACAGCCTCTTCATCTTCGCCAGACTTCCACGGTCGTGATATATCGGCCTCGAATTGCTTCGGGTCCGTGTAAGGATAAACCCGGACGAACTTCAAGAGGCTTGCGAGGTCACTCAGGCGATTTTGAATGGGTGTACCTGTCACTGCCCATCGTGATACAGACTCGAGGGCGCATACAGCTCCAGCCATGTTAGAATTTCCATTGCGAATAAAATGTGCTGCTATATTTAGTACAGTAATTTCCCAATTTATGATTGAGACTTACCTTCGTCTAGTATTATTCTCTTCCAACGGACAGAGAAGAGCACGGACTTCTGCGTGCCTGTGTTTGCTTTCCACTCAGCAGCAACAGTATGGTAAGTAGTAAGAACAAAGCTGACGCCATTCAGCTCTTCTATCCCGACCAGCCGTGTTTTGCCATGGTGTCGTCGGTACATCATAGTGCCCCCTATAGTATGACTGGATATTGTTAGTTTATTATTATTTAAACAAGTATTCCTTACTTCTGAATTTGCTGTTCCCACGTATTCAATACTGTTCCACATGTTAACATACTTCTAGTCAATAGACATGGTGTGCACATACTTGGCGGTGGGATTACTACAAGTGTTGCTGCCACACCCTGCTTGCCTGTTTCGGTATCTTCCTGATATATGCCGATGTCCTCTTTCGAATCTATATCTGTAGCAACCAAGGATATCATCGTTAGTGTCTTACCGAGTCCCATGGGATCTGCAATGATTCCACCGGAAAATCTCGCAGGCTCATGGAATTGGCATGCTCGAGAAACCGTATTGAAGAATCTAGCCCAGATTAGAATACATAGGCCTAAGTTAGTAAAGGATGTGGCGTGTTTTTAACTCACATTCTTGTATGATCCTTGTAAATGGTCTCCCAAATGTCTGGATAATCATGACCGAAACCCCAACCCTTCTCCCTATTTAACATAAAAGTTAAGGCCTGTTTCTGGTGCCTGAGCCATAATTCGTTAGTTGTAATAACTTAAGATCTGAGCCTTACATACCTCTTCAGGGCAGTATTAATAGAGGATGGTTGTGGTGCTTCCTCTAAGTCAGCGTAGCTACCTAGTATTTCTAAATAATCGGGAAGTTCCGGGAGCTCTTGTAGTACAATAGTAGATGATTCTGATATGACCTCCGAGACCATCGGGCACAAATGAAAGTCGCTCGAGGACATCCTGTGCGGGTTATAGTATTTGGTATCTGGTACGTCGAGGTTACATGATTCCGGATCCTGTAGGTAAACCCCGTAGTCCTGGAACCAATCACCAATGTCGCCGAATAATCCAAGAGGTCCGTATATAATAATACTTAGAGAACAATATAGTACGTTGTTACTCCGCCCCCTTTTCTTGGTACTCTGCCCTTGGGCGGGCGTGCACCTTACGTGTAGTTTTAGGGATTTTTCTTCCAGAAGACCTTCTATCATATGGCAATGTTCGGTCTGGATGCGACCTAAGAAGGATTTATATATGTCTGAAGTAAAATGAGCCGAAGGTTTCAATTGTACCGTGAAGTAGGGTGAAAGCGCTTCCTGACTCCGTTGCTCATAGGTTGCCGTTATGTTGTCGACCTGTAGCTGTTAGGTGCCGCATTCATAACAGATTAGGCCGCACATTACCATCCCGAAGCAAACCATCTCGTCCTCATCCGGGGTATATGAACTTAGGATATTGGGCAGAGTAAAACATGGGGGTTGGTTGATCGTAAAATCTATATGTGCAGAAGCAAATGCCTCATTTCCTGCCCCAAGGAAAGTACCAGGCTGCTGCGACCATGACCCGAATGGTTGCGATAAAGGATTGTCAAAATTTGGTAAAAGGTCTAAGGTCCCTGTAGAGACATTGTGACAGACATCCGTAGGCTCCGTGTCAAGATGACCACCTAGATTTGACCACTCTGATGCCTCTATCGCAGGGAGGGTATTGTTTGCGGTAAAAGTGAAGCCCGACGAACAAATCGGTGCCTCGTCTAAACGCGGGCGCTTCGATTTGGGTTGGCTTATATTATCGAGATCGAAATATGTAGACATGACGAATAATTGAGTCAGGATACTAGAAATAGCATTGGAAGCATAGGGAAGTCGGTAGACCGTGTTCTTGACACAACAGACCAGCCCTATGTATATCGGATAAAGATCGAGGATGTATTGCGGCCTTGTACCGAAGGTATTTTACAGCCCATATGCAGGCTAACTTGTCAGCCCGTGATTCTTTTAATTATGCAGATGGCATAGGTGGCTGTGTGTATGAGGGTGGTAGTCGTATTGATGTAGTACAGCGCCCACAGCCCGACTTGCCTCACTCAATAATTCCCTCTTAAGCAACCCAAATTTTTTAGCCATAGCATAAAACAAGTTCGCCTCGTCTTACAACTACAGACGGTATAGAAGTTCGCATCGGAATAGAATTAAGGGACGAAATGCCTCTCAGGCCCCCTGTCTCTGCCGTGGCTGGCCAAGCGATGAAGACTGCTTTCGACCAACTCGACCAGACAGTTCTTCCAGAGGACTCGCACAATTTCTCTACTATAACACTTGAAAATGTGAAGAAGTCTGCGCTTGTTCTTGAGAACCAACTCGCCGCAAGGAAGTCCCTTCGTAATATGCGACGACTTCTACCATTATTTTCTGGCCTAGAGCATTATGCAAGAGTCGTGGAAGTTTTATGCAATGGGACTCCTTACCTGTCTTGGATCTGGGCACCAATCACATTGGTGCTCCAACTTGCTTCCGAATATGTTGAGGCCTTTGAGAAGATAATCAAAGGGTACTCTCGAATTGCGGATTCTTTGGGTTGATTCCAGCTGCTTAGCGAAGCCTTGAGCAAAAACCCCGACTTCCAACAGACTTTGGCTGTTTTTTACGCCGATATACTCCAATTCCATAGACATGCTTACATCTTCGTTCGTCGCAAGAGTGGGTTGAATAATCCATAACCCTTGTTGATCAAGGTAAATATTGACGAATTACTAGGCTGGAAACTATTTTTTCTTACGTCTTGGGGTCGCTTTGAAAGGCGCTTTGACAACATCCTCGACGATATGAAGCGCCACGGAGAGCTCGTTGACCTTCAGGCCAATGCGCATGGTGTCTCAGATATCCGCCAGGTGCGTGAGGACATCAAGTCCTGGAGGGTAGAAAGCCGTACCCGAATGAATGAATGGAACAATCAGCAGACCAGCAAGCAACTCGAATCCATTGTGACTTGGCTGAAGTCGGAGGAATCAGGTCAACTGGCTATCCTCGAGACTATCCTGATCGAAGGGGATAAATACGATGGCACATGCTCATGGGCTTTGAATAACACGAGGATTAAATGCTGGCTTCAGTCAAAACCAGATCCCCCAGTCCTATGGCTCCAGGGCTCACCGGGATCAGGAAAAAGTGTCTTAGCCAGTCAAATTATGAAGTTCATGAGAAGCGCCAATATGTTTCTCATAAGCCACTTCTGTACTGACAGATATGCTTCTTCCACAACATATGACCAAATACTAAGGTCGATACTCATTCAATTACTTCGTAAGGACAGTGACTTAGTCGCGTATGTGTACGAACACTGTATGCTTGCTAAGAAACCCACTACGGTCAAAATTCTTGAGAAGTTGTTAGGTGATTTATTTACTCTAACCTCTCGTGGGCCACGACGGGTCGAATATGTTTGGATCGTGATCGATGGTCTGAACGAATGCGACGAAGATAGGCAAGGAGACATACTGACTTTCATTAGCCGTATCACAAGTAGGAAATCAGGAACAGATGGAATGATTTGCAAGACACTTATTTGCAGCCGAAATTCACCACGGATCGCTGGCAGACTGAGGGCAAAACAAACCGTATCTCTCACAGAAGAGAGAAGCAACATCGAACATGCGATTAGGGAATATGTATCGCAACGATTACGACGGGCACCCCTACATAACAGAATTTGTCAGCTTGAGCTTGCGACCGATGATATTGGTCATATGGGGGATATGATCACAGACAAAGCCAATGGTACACACATTACACACTGTGCATTAATACCGTACTAACAGATCATGGTAGGCATGTTTCTGTATGCTCGCCTCGTTCTTGATTACCTTTCTAAGAACGTCTTCTTCAACGGCAAAGAAATGAAGGCTGCTATTGACGAGCTGCCGAAAGAATTATTCGAGTTGTATGTCCGTCAAACTCCTGGTGATTGAAAACTCTGACCATGCTCAAGTTACCGCAAGATTCTGACACAGGTCTTGGTTCAACTAGACCAAAGGTCAGTGGAGCGCATCAGGTGTATATTTGGCTGGATCGGATTCACGAGAAGACCATTAAAGAAGATGGAGTTACTTTCTGCCTTGACGTTCAGCCGAGGAGACCCAAACGTGACCAATCTTGTCCCAAAGTATGTCTTGGATATTTGCGGAACGTTGGTGGAAGAGAGACCAGATACTACATTAGCTTTCATACATATCTCAGTCAAGGAGTAGGTACACTGACTTACTAGTCGCCCTTGATATTCTAACACGCCATTCAGGTTCCTCCAGTCGCCCTCGAGTAGCTTCATTATCAGAGAGAGCCAGATTATGACAGAACATTGTTTATCCATCCTGGCTTGTCTGACATGCGGCGCCGATATATTTCTTGGCAACGAAACAGAACATACCAAAGCTCTGCGTGTAGTAAAAGGCATACATGGCTTTCATGTATATGCTACCGAGTTCTGGACGGAATATCTGCTCGACCATGTAGCAACACCTAATAGCAACTCGTTGATTCTGGATTTGGCTTCAGCCCTAGCCCAGAGGTTTGGTGGAGTAGAAAATGCTGTGTTCGGACAGGAGCTAGACCCGCAGACATATGAAAGACTAAAAGCTTTAGAGGGGCAGCCTCAGCTGAAGAGGCTCGTCGAAATTTTCCTGAATGTTAGGTCTTCGAAGGGATTCGAAACTAACCTCATGAATGAGTTTCTATCAAAACCTGGAATATCGGTTCTTGGGGTGCAGCCATATCCTACCGCCAACTCGCCACACAAAGACTACATCTCAATGATGCTGTCGTCTTACCAAGAAGTCGTCAGACTACTTCTCAGAGTCGATGAATATCCAGATATATCCGCTGATGATTTAGATCTATTCAAGCGCCAATTCCGACGTTCGGCATTTACGTGTCGACTTAGCTCCTGTCCACAAGCTACTGAAGGTTTCGTATCGGAAGAACTGCGGCGCCAGCACGAGATTGGCCATACCAAGTTATGCTTGTGTACCATTCCGGAGTGCAGATTCCCTCCATTTACTTCGATTAGGAATCTTGAGAACCATATGGTCAGGTATCATCGCCCTGAAGTGGTTCACAAACCAATAAGGCGAGTGGGTCAACTAGCCGTTTCAAGGCCCCAGAGTACACCGAAGCTGGATGACAGCAAGACCTCAGCGTTGCTTGAAAAACAGAATATGGTTCTATCTTCTCAAAAGTTGTTACAAGCCCCCGAGGAAACCACAGGGCTGAGGTTATCGGGATCAATTAAAGAATTGCCATTATTCGGCAACAATCTTCTCGATACTTCTCAACTAGATATAATGATTAACAGCCCCATGAAGTTAGTTGGTTTCCGTTACTGCCGTATCTCGGGTTGTGCGGGGGAACTCACGCCTGAAAGTTTAACAAGCCACTATTGGGTCTACCATCACAAGAATAGGGTGTTGTCAGGTTCAATCATCTGCGGATGTCGGGAGTGCCATGCACAGTTTTCTAATGTGGAGGAACTTCAAACCCATTACGTGTTTCGCCATACGAGTTTCTTCTGCAACCGTTGTCTCAACAAGCAGCAGGCTGCAGTTTTTATTAGTGAGAGTGCTGCCGCCTTTGAAAACGAATTGCGCGATCATTTCCTAGACTACCATTCGAAGTTGGTTGAGAGATGGAAGTGCGGGTCTTGCATGACCACTTTTAATAGCGCAGTTGACGTTGACCAACATGCTCGTTCCGTACATCACGATTATTGCGACGCTCAGGGAATAATGGTTATTGAGGTGATAGATTAGGTACATAGGTACATAAGCATAAACGCTAGAAAACATTACCTACATATGTAATACTACCTAGGTACCTACCTAGTAGGTAGATACATGTACAGTAGGGTGTCAAAAGTTTGAATCCGTTTTGCGTACCTGTACTGAATGTCAGAATACTCTAACTAGATATAGCTAGACCAGAAGGATTATAGAACATTGATTGGTTAAACCTGCAAGCACCCTTCTAAGATAGGTATAGTGTATTTTAACCTTGTACAGATATGTAAAATAGATTCAAACTTTTGACACCCTACTGTAAGTGCCCAGGCAGCCGGAAGTAATGGGAAATGGTGCATCGAACCCACTTTTAAGATATCAGCTATTTTTTACCATAACTTTCTTGATATATATCGTATATTAATGCAACTTGATTTATTAAATAGGACTATTCGGATTAATTAAAAAAAATAAGTATAAAACTTATAGTATCATATATTTGATCAAGTTATTTGAGATTTAATTGTTGATTGATAACAGCCCAAATAGGTTAATCTATAATGGGTCCGCGTCTTTTCTATTACTTTAGGTCGCCAGGTGGGCATGATCCGTGTAATCGATAAGACATATACCCACCTTCCTAACTCGCAAGGCAATGCCGTCAACCTTCCCTCCCATTCGTCATACACATCCACCGAGATATCACACTCATCACATGCGTAGCAAAACCACAAGATTTATTATCCCAGAAAGCAGGCAGCTTTAGAGTGGGGGGGGACCGATCAACCCAAAATATACTGCTCCACAACCCCAAACATCGTCGCCGGCGGATTATGCACGCATCGGATTCGGCGGCGGCAGATACCAGGGCACGGCGAACATGGGCAACAACTCGAGCAGGGTGACGGCCCAGGACAAGTACAGCCCCCCTATCTCCTACCTTCAATAGCAAGCCTCCCTAATTGTTCTCACTACTGCGCTCGCCTAACACAACTCTCCCAACAAACAGAGCAATCCTAGACCTCAAACTCCAGCGCGACAAGCTCCACCAATACCAACGGCGCATCACAGTCCTCACCGACAAAGAAACGGCCGTAGCGCGGCAAATGCTCGCCGCAGGCGATAAGAAGCGCGCCCTCCTGGCCTTACGTCGAAAAAAGTACCAAGAATCGCTTCTCGAGAAGACCGACGCACAACTAGCGCAGCTCGAGCAACTCACGCGATCAGTTGAATTCGCGCTGATACAAAAAGATGTCATATTCGGGCTACAACAGGGCACGCGGGTGCTGCGCGATATCCACGCCGAGATGGGCGGGATCGAACATGTAGAGAAGTTGATGGGTGAGACGGCGGATGCTATTGCTTATCAAAAGGTATGTACCAGCCCAATCTCGCACGAGACCAACTAGTTTGAGGATTAATTGCTTGATATTAATACACGTTTGTTCGTTTTACAGGAAGTCAGCGATATGCTAGGCGGTCGAATAACAAACCAAGACGAGGACGAAGTCGAAGACGAACTAGCGGCCCTCGAACTCGAAGTCAACGGCCCTGCCGTACTACCCAACGCACCTGATACCAAACTACCCCAAGCGGTTGTCAAAGAGCAACAACCCGAAATACATGAAGAGGAAGAAGAGCTAGAACCACAACCAGAGAGGAGGGCTGTGCTTGCCTCGTAGTATACGACATAAATAACAGGGCACAGGCAGACGGACGGCCATTTAGTAATCAGCATTGCTTGTATAATTGGTGTTAGAATCATTTTAGTCTTGGAGATATTAGGCGTATGGTGGGATTCCAGTCCCTTTTGAAGCAAAGGTTATTATGATAGATCCCTCTTGTTGATTGGTTGGACATCTTGTAACGGGGATGGATATAGACAGTGTTTGGACGAGGATACTCCACTGGCTCATGTCAACGAATAGACAATAGAATTCAACTGTTTCTCATGGCTCGATTCCTATCCATCTATGATTTACTAGATCTGAAATACGACATCTACACAAGAAAGGCGCCATTAGCCTTATTAACCAAACTGTCAAAAATCCATAAGCTTAGGAATAGTTACTTTCAAAATTAACCCCCTTTAAAATGTCTTTATAACTACAATTACATAAGATCACTTGGTTCGTATCATAAGTAGGATGCAAAGTGTGTATTGGATTCAGCCAAGGTTATTGTCCCTCTCGACGTCTCCTTAAAATATATACAGGATGTATAGAAAAATGACTTTCTTAACTCCCTAGCCAAGCCGAAAATGCAATTCTGGGAACTCCTTAACCTTCCTGGTTATTCTATAGTTATGCAATGCCTTCCTTATACCGTGATGCAAATGCCGATAACTCCTGGCCATGCAACAGTGATTAGAAATTTTTAATGCCGAACGGAGGGTATCTTATGCTGGTTGGAAATGTGCCGACGTCATCCTCCCTTATAACCCATAACGCCTCGTGTCATCCATCCCCTGACCTTGAAAAGCGGAATTTCAAAGGAAAAATTTCCTCGCCTAATCAGTACCATCGTTGTCGAAGGATTCGTTTGCTCAATACTATTGGTCTACATAAACCATGCGATGTTCCGGAGCGTAATGTCGAAGCGGAGCATCATGATTTTCCATATAATGGTCGTGAGCTGAAGGTGCTACGAGACGTGGTCGATAATCATGACGGTATTCTACCGGCGGCAAAGCAGTCTCGCTAGCCTCGCCAGCCTCGCCTACTCTGTAGTACCGAATCTCCCGTCGATCCTGATGAGGGTCGGAAATTGGCGCAAAATCTGGTCGTTCCTGAAGACGTCGTTGAGTTGGTACGTAGCGCCTAAATAGGCATGTCAGCCTGCGTTGGAACAATAGAATTAAAAGGGTAGAAAAATCTCATGAAGAAGGATATTTTATCATGAAATTCGCGACTTACACTTCGGGTTGGTCTAAATCGGGAAGGGGAACGCGTCCTCCTTCACAGTATACATTACCAGATAAACCATGATCCAGTTGTTGACTACGTAACGGTTCCCTGTGATAACCCGGGTCATAGCTCGCGGGAGCATCAACTACGTGGTGTCGTGGCCCTGTCGCTGCTGTTCTACGGATTCTAGACTCCTGGAATGGAGGTAACCCGCCATTGGGAACATCAATTGGGCCACGGTAGTCAAGAGCGCTTCTTGGCCGGTCAGATACTGTGTCAATATATATAACCTCGGCACCATCTCGGTGATGAGCGGGTTCTTGAACAGGGAATCGAGGGGCTGGTTCCCCTCGTCTTAATGGAGGAATTGGGTAATCTCCATTGGGATGTCGTCGCACCTCGACTACTTGACGAGGCCGATAAGATGGTTCGTCATCATCAATGACGACCTGGTGTGGTCTAGTTCTAAGAGGAACATCACCGCTATAGTGGGCCACTCTTTCACTAGGAAGTGGCTGTAGCCGGTTGTGAGCCGGAAGATCGCTCGTAGGTCTATAAGGCGATAGTGGCCTGTCTGTAAAATATTCAGCGGGAGCATGTCGCAAATCCTCCCCGCGATTCTGACGGTCAATCTCGACGAACGCAGGTCCAGTACGTGTACCAAAATCCCTCGGCGGGTAATCAGTACGGTGGGGCATCGCTACCGATCCATTGCCACTACTCACAACCCTAGGGGACCAAGGGCGGGGCCCGGAACCCATGGGTTCATGAATTGGTCGATAGACACGGGGCGCTTCTACAAAGCGCTGAGGCTCACGATACACGATACGAGATGAATCCTGCGCCTTGCGGGGAGTAACAGGAGACGCAGGTTCAATAGACTGTAATACCATGTCCTGTAATCCATTTCTTACCGGCGAGAGTGGGCCATGTGGATGGCTGTAACTTGGTTGAACGTGCCCAACTTTGGGCCTATGATCTCCCAGTTCATTCAATGGTCGGGGTGATGCATATCCATTGGTTTCAATACCGCGAGGAATTGTAGGAATTCTCTCTCCGGGGGCTCTATTAAAGCGCTGAGAGTCCGTTCGTAATTCGAAATGGCGCGGCATCTGTTCAATGTCAGGAGTACCACGCGCGGCCACGGTTGGCTCACGACTAGAGTTAATGGTGTGAACGGAACCCGGACGCCTGGCCGAATCCATCGGAGCAGCACCACGTGGGACCATAATGGGAACGTTATCGCGGCTCCTTTGGTCATCGACTACACCGGCTAGGGCTTCAGCAGCGGCAGCATACCTCCTGAATCGCTGGGTCTTTCGAGCAGTCCTCTTCTCGGCCTTGGCAATCGCTTTCTGTCTAGTTGACGTAAGGACACCTGGGACGGATGGTTCACGTCTATGAGCTTGAGAAGACGGCTGATGACTCGCAAGCTCCAGAGGTAAGGGTTCTGCCGCATATCTTGGCAGCTCTCCGGCAGGCATGGTTCCAACGCGCGGCGTAAGCGTGGGCTCCGCATAAGGTGTTTCATCCTCGGAGTCTTCTTCAGTATCTGAAATTTCGATGACTTCACGAAGGATCTCGTCGAGCTGGTCACGGCCAGTCTCTTCATCACCTCGCCACTTGACGATGATATCTAGACAGGGTTTTTCTACAGCTCTTCGAGCGTTGGCCCAACTAGTCTGCTTCAGCAGGTCATCATAACGAGTATGCGTATGTCTGATGTGAGCAATCGCAGCAAGTTGAACCCGTCGTGCTAGTGTTAGTTCTTTAGCCATGCCAACTCTATACTCGCCATGGAATTTACCGTCCTGTTATCAGTATAATATTAACGTCTGTCCGTATGTATCGTAGTATGATATGTAGAAAATGAAGGACGCACTTTTTGGAAGGCATGTTGGATGATTTGGCGCCGATCGGTATGTGGTATTCTCGGAAAAAGGTCTCTCAGAACAGCATCGGCTTGGTCATTGATTTCGTTTTGATCCTGTGGAATTGGTTCTGGTTCGCTATGCTGATGGGCTGGAGCAGCATTGCAGGATTTCTTAAGCTTCGGACGAGCCTGTTCAACTATCATTTGCCTAAAATGGTAGCCAACACGGTTCATGTGGTGCTCGAGATTATCAGGATTCTTGCCCTCCTAAGTATTGAATGTCAGTAGAAATGAAGCGACGAAAGGAGGTGTGGCGTACAGAAACAATAAAAATCATCGCATCTTGTTCTCGGGACATGTCCTTGCACATTTGCGATAGATCTGGATTTCCTATGGGGACAAACTCGAAACCCGGAGGTGGTTGCTTATCGGTGGTGATCTATCAGCGGTCAGCATTTTCCTTCCGACAGTATCGTCATTCTGTCAAAAAATCTCAGGCTACCTTGAACTCAAGTTTCTTCTTCTTATCGGCGTTCTGGACCAATTCGAAAGTGGTCTTGTGTTTCATTTTAGGCGGTTCCTTTAACGGATTCAAACTTCGCCATGTATGATCATGCTGTTGTCGTACTCTCTCCATTTTGGAGCGTCGAGTTAGGGCTTGGACGCCAGCGCGTGGCGCTGGAACCTTCTTCCGTTCTCTCGTCATCACGACAGTAATCCTAACCTTACCGATTGAAAGGAAACTGTGGGATACTGGTATGTAGTATTAAAAAAAAAGAAAGATGATGGCTATAGTGGCACAGCTACTGCATCATATCCAAGCGCGATCGCGACTTGGAACCTAAAACCTGGACGGGCGGACAGAAGCGACTAAAGCAAGGCAACTTTCTGGCGTTGTTGGAATATGACAGGAGATGAAGATGGATGATGAAAGGAACCTAGGTAGATAGGTAGTGAGCGAGGATCACAGTAGTATACCTAGATAATGATCAATCAAATCAAATGCCTGCTAAACCGGGCGATGGAGAAGAGAAAGACACTTCTTGGGTTGGGCTAAGAAAAACGCGCCCAAAATGGATCTTGTTCTTCTGGCTTGTGAAGTTGGATTGACGGTGCGAAAAATCCAGGTGTGGGAAGTTTCGGGCTTGTCTTGTCTTATTTTGGTCGAAGAAGGTGAAGTGCATTTGGGTGGGCGCTTGGGCCTACATATATATAAATATGCCTGGGGCGATGATTAGTCCTGCACAAACCGACAAAATCAGTTAGGCTAAACCAAATTAAAAATCACGGCTACAGAGCAGGCACTGTACACGTGCTCGGAGCCCTGTTTATGCGTTGTAGTAAGTCACAAGTAACCAGTAAGAAGTGCAGGTTCTTGAACGAGCCATTTTAAATGTGACATTGTGGATCGTCCGAAAAAGGACAAAGGGTAGGAATTGAAGGAAGGTGTGCTGCATGCAAAAACGTAAAAAACTAAGCTAAACCAAATAAGGTTATGACATTCAACTGGGAAAACAGTCAAGCCATATTGTGGCTCAGCACACAATTTTCTAGAGGCTTGCGGGCTTGTTTTCTATTGACCCACTTTAGGTCAGTTCCAATGGCCCGCTAAAGTTGCCGGTTGGATTTCTTGCAGACCAAACCTCCAATACCTCTCTGAAGCCGACGACGATACATCACCACCCATCCCCTCGAAACCCGCATCAATTCCATCACCATACACGCCGTCATGTGGTCCCGACAGGCAATCCGCTCAATTCGAGCCGCAGCTCCCCAGCGGACCCTTGCCCGTGCTCCTGTGCGCTCTTATGCCGCTGCTGCCGCCGCTCAGGAAGTCAAGCCCCCTGTCTCCGTGTACGGTCTTGACGGTACCTATGCCACCGCTCTGGTACGCCAACCCTCAATTCCCTTTGCGATTACGGTTGTTTGGTTTTAGGATGTATTGAAGAATTCAATTGGGGAGAGATTGGAGCGAGGGAGAATAAGACAAGCCAGTTTACTGACTTGTGAGCTATTTAGTACACTGCCGCCGTGAAGTCCTCGTCTCTCGAGCCCACCGCTAGAGCCCTTACCGCCCTTGGCGAGCTATACACCAAGGATGCTAAGTTGGCCACGATCCTAAACACCCCCACTCTCTCCGACGCCGACAAGAGCTCCATCGTCGCCGAACTACAGAAGAACGTTGGTGCTGCTGCTTCCAACGAAACCGTCAAGAACTTCCTCGCTACCCTCGCCGAGAACAACCGTCTTGGAATACTCCAGGGTGTCTGCGAGAAGTTCGGCGAGATCATGAGCGCCTCCCGAGGCGAGATTGAGCTCATTGTTACCAGCGCCCAGGTAATTAATATTCAACCTAGAATTATACGTCGAATATACGAAATATACTAATTAGTATCCTAGCAATTGGACAACAGGACCCTCTCCCGCCTCGAAACTGCCATCGCCAAGTCCCAATACGTTGGACAAGGCAAGAAACTAAAGGTCACCAACCAGGTCAACCCGGACATTCTCGGAGGTCTCGTTGTGGAAATCGGAGACAGGACAATTGACCTTTCGGTCTCATCCAAGATTGCCAAGCTTAATAAGCTCCTTACCGACACCCTGTAAAATAATTTCTGTTTGTTTCGCGTGAGCGTGGAGGGTGATGTCACGGAGAGACGATTTGCGGCTAGAAAGGTTGGGTCCCCTTTAAATTGAAAGGAGATACCATTGTGTATAGGCTCGTAGAATAGAAGAAGCATTCGTCCCCCCAAATCCTACTTGTCTCTTCATAAAAGCATTAATCGAAAATATCCAGCTACTTGTTTCTTGGATGAAATTTCTACATGGTGAATTGGTGGTTGCGGTGTATCTCATTGATGCTTAGTGTGCCATCTCAGCTAATTGAACTGTTAAGAGAAATCAACTATTCATATTGCAAGCGCAATACGATTATCAAGCACAAGTTTACCAAAATAAACTGCGAGTATGGAGTATTACTACTGACCATACTCAAAATATATATCTATCATGAATCCCCCGAGCCTGATCACTTGGTCACCTTTATAGCAAGTATCATAAATCAGGTTATAAACAATTGCCAGCGTCCCTCGTCATTCCCAGCCGGTAGACAAACATTCTTTAGCCTCCTAATTATCGTCAAGTCCTCTAGCGTAATCAAGTATAAAGAGGGGCTGTATAGGGAACAGAGTTCCTGAGAGAAAAACATGGGTAGAACTGAACGATATGAAATCCTCTAGCAAAGGGGAAAGGAATACGCCACCATATGGAAGAATACAATACGACACATATAACAAAGCGCAAACACACCCCATCATTCCGTATAATTCAACTATCATGCCAAATACTTTTATTATATCATCCTCTCCAACATTATCATCTCGTATTCCGTCTACATCGTATGCAGCCTACCTATGTATAAATGCGTATATGTATAACCTCTAATCCCCATCTTCTTCCTTTCTAGTCCCTAGATCTTAAATGCACCTCTTGTCTATACATGCGTCTCATACTCCTCCCCGTCTGCATATTCATCATCCTTCTGAACCCTCTGCAACTGCTCCGAGATATACTGGTGTAGATGAGCATCCGCCTCTTTACGAAGCGCTTCACGCTCAGGGTCATCCGGTGCGACACTACGAGCATCATATTCGTCGTCGTTGATTGAAGCATCGAAGTCGCTGCGCGCACTAATCGATCTCGCGGTGGATGAGCGGCGCATATGTGGTTTTTGTGGTTTATTAGTGCCTCCGACGCCGACGTGGCGGTGGAAGATGTCATCAAAGTAGTGATTAAGACCCACTGATGGTGTGCGTGGTGTTTGGGGAAGTCGGCAACTAATACTATTGTAAATGTTAGTATCTGTAATAAAATTTTGGGAATGGTGTAACTTACCCAGTGTCATGGATCATGCGGGCGATGAGACCAGTCCAACCACATTGGTGTGTTGCTCCCAACCCACGACCCGTGTCTCCATCGAAGAACTCGTGGAACCACATATGATCTTTCCAGTGGGGGTCAAAGTCAAGTAGGTCGCTTCCGGCATTGATACTCCGGCGCCCGTCATCGCCACGAGCGAAGAGATGTTGTAACCGATGTTGAATTTCTTCGGAAACATGTCCAAGATGCATGTACTCCCCAGATCCTGTAGGACACTCCACTTGAAAATTAGGTCCGTAGAATAGATAGAATCTTTGTAAGGATTCCACCAGGAGGAAATTGACGCAAAGCCAGATAGGACCTCTCCAATTGCTGTTGCCACCAAATAACCCGCTATCCGAATCTCCGGGTACATATCCGACGGTGAATTTCTGACCATTCACATCCATGGAGTACGGGTGGTCTTTGTGGTACCTAGATAGCGATCGGATGCCATGCTCACTGAGGAATTCATCTTCGTCGAGCATACGCTTCAAAATTTTTTCTAGCCGATCTTTGCTCACCATCGAGAGGAGAATACGATTTCCCTTACCCCTCTTCCGAATGCTTGCCATATTTCTCTCGGCTATATCACATCGGTTCTCCACGAACCAATCCACCCGTTTCTTAAAAGATGGCAACTTATTCATCAACTCCGGCTCTAAGGTCAGTGTCGCGTAAAGCGGAATAAGTCCGACGAGGGACCGGACAGGAAGTTGTTGAATCCATGGCCCGCCCCAAGATATCGCATCGTAGTAGAAGCCGTCTTCATCATTCCACAAGGACTTCTCATCTTTTTCACCAGACTTGAAAGTCATGGCATCGCTGATGAATACGAAATGCTCGAAGAATTTTGATGCAATATCCTCGTAAATTCGTCGGTGCTTGGCCAATTCAAGCGCAATGTTTAGCATGCATAGCGAATAGAATGCCATCCATCCTGTGCTGTCGGCCTGCTCAAGGACACCTCCAGTCGGGAGGGGCTCGGAGCGATTGAAAAGACCGATGTTGTCTAGACCGAGGAAACCTCCCTCGAAGACATTCTTACCCTCGGTATCCTTTCGGTTAACCCACCATGTGAAGTTCAACAACAGTTTTTGGAATACCCTTTCCAAGAAATCAAGGTCTTGCCTCCCATACATCTTGCGTTCGATCTTAAAAACGCGGAACGTAGCCCAGGCATGAACTGGAGGGTTCACGTCGCCGAAATTCCACTCATACCTTCAAAAATTGTTAGCGCATTTCTCCATGTTCGCTTCAACGTGAATACATACGCAGGAAGTTGACCATTTGGATGGCAGTACCACTCTCTAGTGAACAGGTCAATCTGCTTCTTGGCGAAGTCGGGGTCAATCATAGCGAGTGGGATACAATGAAAGGCGGAATCCCAAGCTGCGAAGAAAGGATATTCCCATGAGTCCGGCATAGATAGGATATCGTCGATATATAAGTGTTTCCATTGTGCATTTCTGACCGACTTCCTCTCAGATGGAGGTGGTGGTTGAGCAGGATCGCCGTTGGCCCATTGATCCCATATGAATTGGTAATATTGCTTGCACCACATCATACCCGCAAAGGCCTGACGCTGGATGTTGCGAAGATCGTCAGCCATTGGTAGAGGGCTGATTCTATAATAGAACTCATCCGCTTCTTCTCGTCGCTTTTCAATGATATCGTCAAAGACCTCTTCATCTAGGTAGGTTTCATCCTTCTTCGAAAGTCGGAAACGGACAACTATTATTTAATATTAGCACCTCATATTCTTCTAGTGGTTTCATCGGCGACCTACCAGCACATTCACCAGGACCAACACCACCCGACTCATTAAATTGGAACCATGCTGCACATTTTGTGCCTGTTTTAGCTGGATTCACAGCACCCTTCTCCTTATCGACTATATATCGATGGAACGCGTCTTTGACGTATGGGACCTTGTTTTCTCCATTATAGAGGAGTTCATAATTCGTGTCATTGTCAGTGAAGATCAGCTCTGGCTCTACATCTTCCCCACTGGTGCCAACACCTGGTGAAGGTGATAATAGTACATATCGATCACCTAACTTGTGATGTTTCGACTTAGCCAAGTTCTCGGCGTGTTCCGTGATGGATGGCTTCTTATCTTCGGGTTCTCTACCCCATGCCCATGTGTTCCGGAACCAAACATGGGGGATGATATGGAGGGGAGCTGGTTCTGGGCCTCTATTCCACGCTGTGACTCGGAAGAGAATCTCGTCGGGGTCATTATCTTCCTTGGCAGTTTCAATTATTATATCCCAATATCTATCCTCATCGAAGATACCGGTATCAATGAGTTGATATTCTTTCTCGGATTTCGTTCTCTTGGCATTCGTCTTCAGGAGGTCGTCGTATGGAAAAGCTTTCTGGGGGTATTTGTAGAGGTATTTCATGTATGAATGCTAGGTGGCCGTAAGTATGGGTGTGGGCAAGGTTTATCATATTATCTCTTACTGTCTATGATTTCATTATTAGCAATTATTTTGACACAAATGACGTGTAAAGCTTACGGGTGTGTTATCAAGGTGGAAATGGGCTTCTTTGATACTCTCGCCATGGTTTCCCTGGGGGTTCGCAAGACCGAAGAGGCGTTCCTTGAGGAAGGGACTAATACGTGTTCGTGTCAGTAAGAAGCACTTTGGGGCGTACGGAGCTTGGCACGGACTCTTGCTCGTTCCAAAAAGCGAAGGCGATGTTTTGTAGGCCGTGGGTATCGGATACTCCTGCGATTCCGTCTTCACCCCAACGGAATGCTCGAGATCGCGCGTCGTCGTGTGTGAAGTCTACAAATATTCAGGGATTAATGCCTACTCGGTAGGGTCTCACAAGAATACTTACGACTCCATGCATCACCATCAGCACTGTAATCCTCTCGTACTACGCATTAAGAGTTAGTTAGTGAGCCAAATAAAGGCAGCTCCATAGTCATCTTGCCTGTAGCCCACTGTCGTTCAGCGACATAAGGACCCCATTTCTTCCAGTATTTGGTACGACTACTATCCTCCTTGAGGCGTTTCTCTTCCTCGGTGAGGTATTCGTGGTTGTCAACTACAACCATGGTGGAAAGCGGCCTAATAGACGCCAATCGAATAGAAACAAGACAATTAAAACCGCTTAAAACCGCAACGAAATGATCTAAGAGCAAGTAGTCAAAATGCCTAAACTTTTGGAGAGAGTATGAGACACCAATATTGATATCGTCGAGGTGTAAGATGACAAGACGAGATAAGTGTGACAACTGTAGATCAAATCCAGGTACGCGAGAAGAGCTTTATTGAGACTATCTTATTCAGGTAAGCCGATGGTCCTGGCGGCTGTGCGGATTGAGCCGAGCTAGTCGAATTACAGCTACGGTAATGTAAGAAGACGTCGTTGGTTGTTGCGTCAAGGCCTAACCAAGGCCGCGATGGGGGGGAGAAAAGACCCGAATGAGGGGAATAAAAGCATGTGCGGGGGACGTATGACATCATTAAGCTAGTTATACAAACAATCTAGACCTCACAAAATCAAAATCTGGGGCAAGCACATGTAACATTATCATGGATGTGGGGGGTATGTACGTTACTATCACCTTCCAATATAATCTCTCCATCTCATCAATCCTTTCTAACTAAAATGATATGTTATGGGTCGATATCAATATGTCTTAGACGCCAATAAAAAATAATATCCGCAACGTTGGGATAGCCAAACCCATCGTGACACATTACCACCCGATAAAGCGACCGTAGACAAGGAGCAAGCTCTACAAACAACTTCCCAAAATGCCCCTTACCTAACCGGTTGGTTGTCTATCTCACCGAAAAAATTAAAAGCGAGTCAATTTATAGACCTCCAAACCTCTCCATCAGTAATTACCAATTCATTGGAATGTACCTTGGATATAGCCATGCATCGATGGAAGAATAAACATGGTGGCTTGGGTGCTGACTCTCTAGCGCCATCAACTCCATTGTAAATCTGACAGGCTTGCTTTCAAGTAACCACTGCTAAGTTGAAGTTGTGGATATCGCTGCATTGAAAAGAAGTGGAGACTGACGATGTCACTACGACTTCGCGAACCAAGGGAATTTCTTCTTGTCGGTGCTTACTGAGCCACCACTAGGCGTCTCAACTTGAATACTGCGTTGGTAAATGTCCTAAAATGCCAAGTTAGTTACACACGCTCCGTTTGGTCAGTAAAATTATAGATGTCTTACTTCATCATCCGTAGGCATCAAGCAATCTAATATGAGTTCCCTTGCTGTATCATGCTTGGATAAATTTGGATAGGGAGTCCCTTGACTTTTCATGATGGGCAAGAGGATCTCCCCTAAAATCTCAAATTTCTTCCAATTTATTCGGTCGCCTTGGGGACCCACCAGTGTCATGCTACCCTCTTCAGCCGATACAAGGTCCCTACGATGTAGCGGGATGAAAGGGATACGTGGCAACGGTGAGTTTTCCCATGCTAATCGGTAAGCAAAATGACTCTTTTGCGTCCCCATGAGCAGCACCAATCTCGCGAACCGTTTTTGAACCTCAGCCGGAACGAGTGCCCGAGTCTGTGAGAGACGGTGGATGGCCGTTCCGTTGATGCCAGCTAGCACGGCTGCTAGACCATTATAATTGTTGAGTTGTCTGAGTCTCAAAGCAATACTCATGAATTTCTCTAGCATCTGTGCACGATGTTTAGCCTTATCCCGCATGAGAATCATATTCGAAACCCAAGTCGCGATATGGTTGAAATGCGCAATTGTGCGGTTCACATTCTTCATGGCTCTGCACTTTTCCTTCTGATCAGCGGACAAGCTGACGTGTCGGACCAAATCACGGATTCGGATTGAAGAGAACATAACCCAATCAATACGTGTCATCTCGTCGGCAATGTCCTCATTCGACGTGTCCATAAATATGTGATACCGGAATTTGGTTAGTGGTAGTGTGTATGTAGGCACCATCGTTGCCGCTTCTCGCTCGTAATCTTCGTATGAGTGAAATTGGAATGAATGTATCTTTCCAGCTATCCCACCATCCGTTTGGAGAGATGAACTAGCCGAAGGTCGTCTTTCGATTGGTTCATCTACACCAAGAGAGCTCATACTTTCTGACAAATCAGGAAATCGTTTCGTAGAGTCTTTGAAAGAGTTTGTAGCTAGCTCGTTGTCTTCGGTATCATCGGGACTATCAGCTTTCTCCCAGCCTATATCGTCGGCCTCGATCGCACCGTATTCCAAAGTTTTACGCATTTGTTGCGCTGCCGCAGAAAATATTGGCTCGGTGGACAAATGCCCCACGAAGTTCTCGAGCCTTCTTCTCGTCGCTGGTCGCGCAAAATCAACAGGATATGTCCCGACCCATTTGGCAATTACCTCGATTATTCGGAGTTGTGTGGCGGTTTTGGTAAGATAATGAACGGACTTGTCGTCCTTGAGACGTTCCAACCGTGATAAGAGGGCCGAAAAGAGTTGCCAGGGAGTTGCGAACTTTCGGTACAAGCATAGGAAGATATCCAAGAAATTGTTATCTGCTCTAGACATTTTCTGGCCAACGAGACGATCCACCAACTCTTCGAAAGTGACACCAACCTTCTTTGCTGGTCGCTCGAACATTGAGTCATCACTCCGCTGGAGTAAAGGTATATCATCGGAATATCTCAATGAGTCCGCATCGGAATCTTCGACTTCAAGATACGAAGCAGTATTTTGGGAACGATCTAGTCTGATGCCTGGAGTACGTAGCATACTTGAGACGGTTTGGCCTGAATCATCTTCTGCCGCGTCCGGGAATTGGCCGGTTACGTGGCTTCCTGTATAATCGACGCGAGGTGATCTTGTGGAATGACGGTAATCTGCCCCAGGCTGGTTGATGAACCCTCGAAGCAGGGACATATCCGAACTAGCACGGCTGTGTTTGCTATGTTGACTTAGCGGTCGAGAATTTGTTGGTTCTAATTGAGCATCAAGATGCGCGGCTGAGGCTGCTCGACGTCTTGAACCTATGCTTTCTGTGCCGTCTGGGTCTATAATATACCGTCAGCAAAGATGAAGACGTGATAAATTGTTGGGTTTATTTATATTATAGATAAGTATGTTCCAATTCTGCCTTTTCGTGTAGTCAAGAAATACCATGGGTAAAAACTTACCTTGACTTCTCATTACTAATGCTTTGAGGAGCGTGGATAATGCTATCCTCGCACTTTCGGGTTTATTGGCGGACGTCTTAAAAGTAGCGAGGCAAGATTGGCACGCCGCAGCGACCGCCTCCGTATCGATATGTCTTAAATTCTCCGGGTTATCGCACTTCGTTGCAACGAGGACCGCTGGTAGGGATGAGTTTACGAGGGCATCTATCAATATTAGTCTCCACTCATCTTATACATGAACACCAGTTGCATTGAAAGCATAACTGTATGTATTTGCCGCCACTTACTTAGGGTTTGTGGTAACTCTATGATGCTTTCCCGGTTCATCACGTCGTATAAGAGTAATACTCCGTTCACGCGGGGAAGAATGGCACCACCCATCTGCTTCGGCCACTTGATCTGCCGATCGGGATCCACGTCGAAGTATTCGAGATCCAATTCAAACAACGTGACGGCATAAGGTACATTGTCGATATTGATACGAGCTGTCGTAGGATTGGGGCCTGGGACGCGTGGTAGGGACATGGCCCTTTGTACAAAGTGTGATTTGCCGACCCCATTGGCCCCTATCACACATATGTTGATACTCTCCATGATGTCAATCGCATGTGGACAAGTCAAGGCGTATCGTCTGTGATAGGAATAAAACGACCTTGGTGTCCACCATAGAAGCTCTGTAGGCACATCCAAGCATTAGGATCACGTCTTGTTAATAGCTCCTTATGTAGAGCTGGTGGGGGAGAGCTTCAATTAAGAGCTCTCATGACTATAGTTGTACGTCGTCTTAGGTGGCTGGTTTATTTCGCCTACGATATCTATCGAGAAACAAAGTCCGAAAGGGTGGTGAGAGACTAGAGTGAATCCCAAGGGAGGTGGGGAATCAAGGGATATACTTCCGATCAGAATGGCGGGAGTCTGAAACTGAGATAGGGTCTCTGAGGTCGAACGGGTCGTGATCGGAAGGGGTGACTATATTATGGATAATGGAGAGAAATCGTTTGCTATGAATCGTTTACGTAGCGTGGCCGGACTCAAGTCGTTCGTATTGCCCTCGGACTGGCTGAGTGTATAAGGGCGGGTTGCGAGCTATTGTGTAGTGTAGCACATTCGTTATAGCTTGGTCAATCTAAGAGTCGGGTGTGACAATATGGATACAAGGCAGGTAGGTACTCGTGGAAAAGTCGGACGAAGGAGAAAGCGAGCGGCGCGAGGAGTACGGCTTCACCGATGTGATCGTGGATGAATTATATCAGCTAGGCGAAAAGCTGTGTAATGTTGCGCCATCCAAACTAAAGCGCTGATATTAATTCACGAAGTACGGAGTGACCATGGGGCCAAATCCATACCGACACAACAGACTCTCGCGGGTTACTCGTCGAGGTAGAGCTTCAGAATTGAACCGTAAAATGGAAACCCGGGATATGTGCGAAACTTCGACCAGCGATGCGTCGATGGTTTACCAAGAAAAAAGGTGATGGGATATATTCGAATACAGCGTCTAAAAGTAATGTAAAGGTAGGGGTCGTTGTCATGTCATGAAAATCCACTGAACTCAGTCGTCTTCGAATGCGACGTCGAGGGGTTCAAGTTTGAGTCCAATTATCCGGTTACGGGATAGAATTCAATACCCCCTCAGCTGAAGCACTAAGTGACGGGGACCCTGTAATATATCCCATGTATTCCATGTATATCCCATGTCCCTAGGAAGAGACTTGGGTGTTTGCGGTACATCTGCATACAAGTGCGTGCGATTTCGATGTGTCATTATTGGGGTTGCCAAGGGTCTGTTGGTGGCTTTCAACGGGAAACCTGTCACTATCAGGCTAGTAAATTTTAAAAGTAAATAGCTGTTTGATGTACCTGAAAGTACCCTTTCCCCAGCTTACGACAGGAGCTTCCCTACCCCTGCATCTAAGCTGAGCAAGTGCCCCCCATCTAAGGTCAAGAATTGACCATTAACTTAAATCATTTCACACCTCGGTATAAAAGTGGTAAGGGGCTCCTTTCTCATCGAAGCTGCATGCATCGCCAGATTCCGAGCTGAAGTTGATCAAAAGCTGAGGTTTAATCTAACCTCAATATCCAATTATCATCACTCCAAATATGGTACCTAAACTCAATCTGCATATTCGTACCTACAAAAGTACTATGATAACACCGAAATGCAAACGGCCGGCGGCAACTTGTACACCAAGTTACGACCGGCGTGCTGCTGGGTTATCTTGATTGTGACCAAAGACCAATCATATATCTTCAAGCTATGCTAGCACACATGGCCGTTCAGGCCCTCCATCCTTTCATGAGAGCTCCTTATACGCACGTGGGTTGATTGACCAATAAGCGTTGCGCTTTGATATCTTCCAACTCCTACGCACCTACGCCAAAATGTCAACGCCAGCAAACATCTCCTCCCTTCTACGAAAGTACGAGCCTCACATATAGTGGTGTTCTTGCGCGGGGCCTCGGGGACGGACTATTATGATAAATCACGCCACACCATCTCTGGATCAACCCATCGAGACGACATTATGTATTTCTCGTAAGGCTTTGCATCATCGAACCGTTTGCCTTTTAATCAAATGGCTTGTCTTACACAAATACGGGACGGCACGCAAGGCTCAGAAGGTAGGTACTTACCGGACTTTCTTATTCAATTGGATGTAATCTGTAATACCATCTTTTTAATCTCAACCCTGGCACTCCATTGTTGGAGTCTTATCAGGGGGGCAAACCGGACAGTGACGTAGCCCAAGAGAGAAGTTGTGTATGCATTTATTATGAAAGTCAGTTGTGAGTCCAAATTCATATCCCAACCTGGTACCCCCACAATATTATACATAGCAGGTCGTTACCTGCTCGATAGCCGCCCGGATATGGGCTCGTCCGGGATGAAATATCGCAGCAAATTAGGCAACGTTGACGGCCAGTCACGTATTGGTTCCTCTACCAAGAGCGCTACAGCTGTGTCGATGTTCGCACAGCGTCGATCTTTTCGATAAGAACCAGCTTTGGCTCAATTTCATGGTTACGTTGGTGATCTGACACATGATACGGCTCCGGGCATTAAGTCTTAAAAAGTAGGTACTTCTGGCCCTGAATTCCTTTTCTATTGTACGACCTACGAATTAAGCCTTTATATTTTCAACTTAGAATGACTGTCAACACGCCACGAAAACAACTATCATGAAGATCGCTCAACTAACTCTCGAGAGGAGCATTCCTACTTCTTCGGCAAATACCTACAGTCTCATCAGAACCGCCAGTTTTTCGGCTAGTACAGCAAAGCTGACGAATTTTCAAGTATAACTACGACAATTTGCCAATGCGATGTGTCATTGCTAAGGTAGTACGACGTGCTGTCACAAGGAACGTTACCGTACTGCAGATTACCGATGAGCCTATAGTCTCCTTTTGTTGTACTCACCTGGCTATGAGGACGATCCCGTTCGTGAATCCGATCTCCTTTATGATACGAGGCCGGCATTTATTATCATAAATAACATTCTAGGTGACAATTCCGATACTAGGTTAGACAATATCTTCCTTACCAGGTAGTCACATAGAGATAGAGATGAGAATAGAAGTGGAAGAAACAAGGCTTAGGTAAGTGATCTACCCCTGAAATGGGTTTATTAGAACAGGCAATGCGCATCTTTGGGGTCCGAAAAGACTGCGAGCTAGTTATTGCCCACTGACTCAGGATAAAAGAAACATGGAAATAGTGCCTGCTATCCAGCAAGTGCCAACCAACCTCATTCGACAGAGTCCAGTTGCTAATATTCGCGGTCGTGCCCGTATTTTAAAAACGCCCCATCCATAGATGCTTATATAGGTAGGTGGATACATGTTTACTTCATAGTCTTGAACATGAGCATGGACTTTGCGCGTCAAGGTAAGACCTAGGTGATATGCTGAAAGAATAGAAATTGTCCCAAGAGATGCCTAAGTACGAACATGATTCACGTACTGTGTTCCAGTTCGGATAATGACACTACATTAAGTTGGAGAATTAGTGAATGGGTGACTATTATAGGTACCTAGTAGGGCACACGAGCGTGCTAATGATGCCTGAGGCTCTGCCGTAGATCGATAGATCTCCTAGACCATTACAGGCGATTCTATCCTTACCTACGATTAGGTGGCATAACCGTTGTGCCTTTGTAGAACATGAATCAGATATTTTTGTCAAGAACTAGTATGCCCGTACATTAGACCGAACGTGCGTGTAGCTTCAACGTCTACGCATATTTTCATTCTACTTAGGATCGCTGTAGATGCGTGGGTATAGGTGTAGCCCCTTTTTGAATAGCGGGTGCCTTACGCAGGTATTGAACTCTTCGTATCTATGTAATCTTGAAAATTAAGCTTTCATTTTTTTCAAATAATGAAAATAAGGCTCGAAGCTTAAATGGCAGTAAGTTCACTGGTTGTTTTGGATGCTTTAGATAGGCGAATGAATGAGTAAACTAGTGTTAAGCGGCGTTCACTGCCTTACTACCACCCCTTTTTTATAGTTTCTATAGATAAATCATATTTCATAAAGATATCTATTTACAACAAAAATCAAAAAAGAAAAAAGGCTTGCATAAGTAATATAACATTATAAGATCTATCATTTTTATCCCAATCAATTATGGCAATTAATCAAGTATTGGTATAGGATAGGTAGCTTTTTAGGTTGATAAATTCGGATAGCTACAGCACTGGATAAGCAATGTGAGCAACAAAGGCGCGGCCATCTGATAATTCCTGCGTCCGATATCTCATGTGGACACACGCACGATTGAGGTCGTTTGCAATTATAAATTTTAGCTCGTAGCACAGATCTCCTTAAGTACGGTGCTATATGCATATTTTAACCCCGCGATTGCCTTTATTTTTTGAGTACTGTGTCCGATTGTTAGGTGGCAGCTGCTAGATTACCTTATCGTCGCTTCCTCCCCTAGGTTCCTTAGGAAGTTGCGACCTTGAACCACCAGCAATCAGTAACAAACGTACCTTCCCAGTATCCTAGCAACGTCGAAACTTCCTACGCGACCCTTGGTGCCCCACTATCTCTTGTTATTTCAGTATTCCTTTTTATTTCTCGATTCCTAGCAATGGATCAATCCTCTAATTATTCCACTTCATCTGAAGACGACACTCACGCCATGGCTCGTCACAATGCGACTCGAGGGCGTCTGCCCAAGCGTGTTGAACTCGACTTGAGTGCCGTCATGAATGTGGAACAGAAATTCCAACTTCAACGACTTGTCAATGCCATTATGGATGATATTCAGAAGCAGCTACGCGACAACTTCGATCAGCTGAGTCCCTCCCAGATCGCCCCCGAGCTGGGCATCAACCCCCCTAAGCCGACATGTAACATCATCCCCAACCCTCGCAGCGAGAAGTATCGTCACTTGTACATCGAAGGAGTACCGCCTCCGACCACTGCTACCGACTCCCGCAAAGAGAATGTGAAGCCCGCCCAACAACCCGACATAATTACCAAGGCACCGGGCGTCACATGGAAGGCCCCCAAGTCCCCTCATGAGCTCCGCGCGATGTATCAGAAGACAGAAGCTGAAGTGTTGACAGCCAGCCTTGCCGAATTGAAGCGAGACAACCTTGCTAACTTCAGTAAATGGCGACTGGGCGTGCAGAAGCGACTCCAAGATATCGTTATCAAGAATGGCGGAACCAGTGGTAATGTTGGTGGCCAGGGACTACCACAGGCATCAGGTAATGCCGGACGACCGGGCAACGCCGCAAGAGGAAGACCTTCGATACAAAATCGTAAGTTCTTCCTCCCTAGGCTTGCTGGGAGTGAACGTCTTATCTATTTCCTTCTTTTTCTTTCACTTTTATCGCTAATTTACACCGTCGACTCCTAATTTGCCTTGGATTATGAACAAAAGCTAATGTGGTATATCAGGATCCGGCACATGCGCCGGGGATTCCAACATTGCTCTTGTTAGTCTTAACCCTCCGACTCCAACGCCCTTGAAGGAATGCCCCAAGGAGAAGCGCGCATTGATCTTGCATACTATGCTACTGATCTTACTTGGTCTGGACCAATATGCCATGTACTCAAGGGTCTTAATGGTTAAGCTTACTTCTTCCTTGTGTATCCCGATGTATGTTCTACTACATGATGAAGTCAGAATCTCCCGAGCGCTTTCGAAGATCATTACGGGTATCCCTGTCGAAGAGATCGTCCAAAGGCGAACGGAGGAAGCCAAGACTTCTCGACGCTGGAGGCCGGGCATGGCCGCTGTAGCTCAGGGTGGAAATGCCAGCACGCTGGCGGCACCCCTCGTCGTTGCTGGACTCGGTACTGTATTTGGGGGCGCCGGACTCGATCCTTCTGCAACAGCTGTACTGCTGGGCCCCATGAATGAAAGCACAGTCGTCGTCGGCACCTTGTTTGGTCTGTATGGAGCTCGGCAAGGAAGCAAGACGATCGACGCGCACAGCAAGGACGTCCAGGATTTCGGTATGGTGCTTTTGCACAACACTAGTAAAAACGAGGTTATTGACCCCAAAGACGTCCTCCCCGAGGATCGCCGAATGCGAGTCACTATCGGAATCAGTGGGTTGCTCAATGATCGAAACGATTTCCCCGACTCCTGGAAGATTCTCGGCAACCAGAACGAAAGTTACGCTATGAGGTGGGATTTGGAAGCTTTGACGAAGATGGGCGTAGCGCTGGAATCTGCCATGAAGAGTGTAGCTTGGCACGAAGCCAAAAAGGAGATCGGCTCAAGGACCGGTGAGAATTCCTTTTTCAATTGACTTGTTTGCAAGCTAACACGGCCCTTAGTCTTCGACAGTCTCAGGCAATCCCTATGGCCGAGCAGCCTCGTAAAAATCAGCAAGGTCGTTGAGAATCCCTGGTGTGTCGGAATGGTACGGGCAGAAAAGGCAGGCGGTGTGCTAGCTGAGTGCCTCATGAACAGAATCTTTGGGGAAAGACCCGTTACCCTTATAGGCTACAGTCTCGGGGCCCGCGTTATCTATGCCTGCCTCATGGCACTGTCGGAGAAGAGAGGTTTTGGTCTGGTGGAGAACGTCATCTTGATGGGTGCGCCTTGCCCGAGCGAAGTTCGAGTATGGGCAGCGATGAAAAGCGTTGTTGCTGGAAGACTGGTCAACGCCTATTCCAAGTTTGATTACATGCTGGGTTTTCTCTACCGCAGCAGCAACTGGCAAGACGGTGTAGCGGGACTGCAGAGAGTCGAGGGCGTACCGAATGTCGAGAATTGCGACGTAGGCGACGTGATTATAAACCACCTTCGATACTGTAATCTCGCCGGTAGTATTCTGAGACGGGTCGGCTGGGAGGATATTGATTATAGCAAGGTCGGCGGCGAGCAATGGAAGTTGAACGTGCAGATGAATACTGAGAAGGAGCTCCAGGAAGAACGCGAGCAAATTGAAAAGGTGGCCGACAATGACATTCCCAAGACGAAAACGAAGGTCTCGAGGGAACTCCAAGAAGCTACGAACAAGATGCGACGTGCGACACTTGGTAACAAGTAGGGGCGAAATCCAGGGGAGCACCGAGCTCGCCCAAGCCCTCGATATTTGTGAACACGGAGGCATATCTAGGACGGGTTTAGTCGCAAGGTGTTAGGTGGGGGGAGGCTTATTGTTATGAGTATATCATCAAGAACCGCGAGCTTTTCGAGCTATAAGGGGGTTGCTCTGTAGGATAGGTGGCTTAAGCATTGTTCCTAATGTGGAGGTGGACGGGAAGATTTCGCGGTTTGCAACCGGAATCGGGACAACATGCATTTGCAGGAATGAGATACGCAGACTTTACTTACGCTAGTCACGATGAATTCACAATTATTTTTACATGTTCCTCGGCATCCCCGGTTTAAGTGATGTTCGTTTAGGCTGGCTTAGATGATCCAGTTCTAACGACGAAATATCGTCCTGCTGTCTCACTTGCACCGCCGAGTACGTCCCATCCCTCTACCCCAGCCTCCTTATTTCTTCCACTCCGGCTTTCTTCTCGGTGTCGTCGTCGTGGCCGTCGCGCATGGCCTACTACGTCCTCCCTTGCTAACGCGTCTCGTAGTCGGTCTAGGCCAATGGCTTGTTCGCGTAGTCCGGCTGTGGTTTCATCGCGGATGGCGCGCAGGGATTCGACGCCCGTGGTGTCGACGTCTCGGGCTGCGCGGACGAAGTGTAGTTGTGATTGTAGGGTTGAGAGCATACGGGATTCTTCTTCGGGCGAGCTTGGGGGTGGGAGGGCGGAGAGCCGGAGCAGGTGGTGGAGGGTTTTGGGGGTTATGGTTTCGTCGGAAGTTGAGGTTGAAGAGGAAGGGAGGAGTGATCGGACGGACCAGCTTGGTTTCGAGAGGATTTCTGATATGCTTGTCGAGGCTTGGGAGGCTGGGTTTTGGGAGTGGGGTGAAGAGCGAGAGGGAGATGAAGATATTGTACGGAGATGGTGAGATCGTAGGGTTCGTAGGGATTGGCGTAGTGCCGTACGGCAACGAGGGCATATTGTTGAATTCATTTTGCTTGAGAATGCTCTTGTTGAGTCTATAGGAGTAGGGAGACTCGATGTGGTTCGAGATTTGAAGTCTCTTTGAATTACCTAAAAGGGAAGATCCCTGCTGGAGATAGTGGTTACAGTGGATGTTTCCAGCGCTTGAGGCTGAACAAGCTACCTAGGCCTTGGCATATTGAAGTCACAAAGAATACGAATTCAGAAGAGTATCATTGATTGGTGTCTACACTAAAATATGAAATATTGTATGCAATCAACATATTAGAATATTATACACCTCATGCTGTTGAATGGAAGATATTCCTAATAAATTGTGAGTTTTGTTCACTGAATTTCTAGGATTCATGTACCTAAGGAGGTGTCCTGGGGTACATTTACAGGGGGTATTTTTAGCGTGAGACACGGCGATGTCATAGCTTGAGATTTAGGTAGCTGCGTCGCAACATCAAACTGACAACTTCCCATTTATATCATTCCTATTCCTTTGTCATCAATATTAACTCTGAACGGCCAAATTTATCGATCGACTATTCCTAGTATTTTTCCTTTTTTCTTCTTAGTGTAATACCACAAAAGCAAAACACCATGGCTGGAGATCCTCGCGCATTGCTACAGAAGGTTAGTTGATACTGCCCCGCCATCATCATCCCCACATTCAACTATACTGATAGCTGCTGACACGCGATGGCGAATGCAGGCTGACAAGGCGCTCGCCGGCGCCTCGGGCGGTTTCAGTTTCTTCGGCGGCCGAGAAGAGAAGTATATGAACGCGGCCGACCTGTATATCGAAGCGGCGAATTCCTTCCGGATCCAGAAGATGAACCGGGAGGCCGGTCAGGCATTCGAAAAGGCGGCTGCAGTGCAAAGTAAGCAACTCAACGAACCGGACGATGCTGCGAACACCCTAGTCGATGCCTTCAAGGTGTATCGGAAAGAGAACCCAGAAGATGCCGTGCGATGTCTCGACTTCGCTGTCAACCAGTACTGCAAGAAGGGGAATTTCAGGCGGGCAGCGCAGCATAAAGAGAGCATGGGTGAAGTCTTCGAGGTCGAGGTGGGCGATACGAAGCGCGCGCTCGAGTGCTATGAGGCAGCCGCTGGATGGTATGAAGGAGATAACGCCGGAGCGTAAGAAATATACTCTACGATCGTATTATGATAGTGCCTTGGAAGCTAATGATTCGTGTCTAGCTTGGCGAACAAACTCTGGCTTAAGGTGGCAGATATTGCCGCGATCGAAGGCGACTATTACAAGTCGATCGAACACTACGAGAAAGTCGCAGGGGCATCTATTAACAATAACTTGATGCGCTACTCAGTTAAGGATTATTTCCTCAAGGCCGGCATCTGCCACTTAGCGACAGGCGATTTGGTCGCTACGAACCGTGCGCTCGAGAAATTCCGAGACCTAGATCCAACATTCCCTAGCACCCGAGAGCACCAGTTACTTGTGGACCTAGCAGGCGCCGTCGAAGCAGGTGACCAGGATCAGTTTACGGATAAGTTATTCCAATACGACCAGATGAGCAAGCTTGACAAGTGGAAGACTACCATTCTTGTACGGGTCAAGAACAGCATCGAAGAGGCCGGTGAGGATTTCTCTTAAGTGGACTTAAGGCGCATATAATACCCATGGAGGAAGCTGTATACAAGAAGAGCCAGCTAAACTGATATTTCGGTGTTGGGATTGGGCGGGAGATACTACCACAGCGCAACATGATCTTGCAAATCGCAAGATAAAGACATGCTTGCAACGTCTTGGTTTAGAAACAGGCACCGTGGCAAACTAGCTACTATTCACAAGAGACTGCATATTATCAACCTCATAGTCGGCATGAGAAAGTATTATATCTATTCTCCATGTTTATCGATATTCCTGCTAGTGATAATAGCCCTCTATAGTTAACTGATTTAATGGAGTCTGTATAGCCTCAGAAGCTGAACTCGAGAATGAGTACGATGAGGTGGCTATCCGCACAGTGCACTAATCGTCGGAGTTTAGGTACGTACCCACGGGCAATAGGCACATGCTGAACTCCGCCAAGGCGCACCAATGGTGGGGTTCTTTCCTTACGATTAACGATAACACCGATAAGAAGTCGATAAGCGAAAATATTCCAAAATTCCTCGATGGACAAGACAGTCCAGAAACTTCACCAATTCAAGCTTCTGCGAATTGCGATAATCACAATGGCAACCCTGGAGGAGAAGCTGGATAAGATCCGGTCACCTAATCTCCAAAGCCAGCAGCAAGTCAGTATTCCCTATACCATCAATCACCGATTTTAGGTCGCTAACATTAAAATTCTGCGTAGACTGTTGTGGTTTTAAAAGCGGTCGAAGAAACACTCAAGGAACAGAATACCCAACCGACGCCGACAGGATACTTCGCTGCGCTGTTGGCCCTATTAAACCAGTCACTCGAAACTGGAAAAATAAATAAAGAATTAACACCATCCGTCGTATATCTCCTCGACATTGTTACGCCTTTTGCGCCGCAACCTCTCCTCCGATCCAAATTCACACAGATCCTTTCGCTTCTCGCCCCGGTGCTACTCCTAGACGATGCTGAGGCGCCATTAGTAAAACCTTCCATTGGGTGCCTTGAATCACTACTTCTTGCGCAAGATTCGGCAGCATGGAAACTTCCGACAAGCGAAATAAGTCCGCGACGAGCTGTCGCTGGACTTTTAAATCTTGCTACGGACCACCGACCGAAAGTACGAAAGCGGGCCCAAGATGCGCTACGCAAAGTGCTCAAGAATCCTCCCCCAAGCCCATCTTTGGATCATCCAGCAGCAGATCTCTGCGCTGAGACGGCGATGAGGAGCTTGACGGATATCGCAAATAAGGCTGCATTATCGAGGAAGCAGAAGAGGTCATCCGCCGAACACGACCCCGCGCTCATCCATGCGCTACAACTTACGAAGATGATTGCGATAGCTAGTGGTGGCTGGCCCAGCAAAAATATCGAGGCATTGTGTGAACTTTTACTTAGCATCGCAAAGAGTGGGAACGAGCACATGACAATGGCCGTCTTCGAAATCTTCGAGATGATTTTCGAGGGCATGGCAGATGAGGTTGCGTCTACCAAATTACCACGTCTCCTCGAAATTATCTCCGAGATGCGCCCCTCATCCAACGATACACAACTTCTTCCTCCTTGGATCGCCATATTATCCCGAGGTTACGATGTCTCAGCCCAAATGGAACCCGAAGATACGTTTCAAAAACTCCCCGATCTTTTCACAATGGTGTCCGAATTTCTTGAATCATCTTCGCATAACATAAGAATTTCTGCATCGGAATGCTTAATATCGTTTATGGTGAACTGCATCCCCGAGCAAGTCATAGTTGAACCTTCGATCTATGATGAGAAAGTCCTCGAGAAAGTGGCTAAGATTGCCGAGAACCTTCTTAGCGTAAAATACCAGGCTGCGTGGATGGAGACGTTCAACGTACTTGGCGCGACTTTTGATGTTCTGAGGTGGCGTGCTGATCCAATGATGCTGAATGTTGTGCGAACGGTTGGCGAACTCCGTGGCAACGACTCCTTCATGGGCAAAAAGGAAGCGGATGAAGTTCTCGGCAAAGCAATCCGAGCAATTGGCCCCGAATCCGTGCTCAGCGTACTGCCCCTGAATCTTGTCAAGCCAGTTAAGGGCCAATCCGGCAGAGCTTGGATGCTGCCAATTCTCCGAGATTATACTTCAAATACCAACCTTCAACATTTTAGAACTGAGTTCATCCCTTTGAGCGAGGCGATGTTTCAACGGGTTCTAGACAACGGCGAGGCTGCTAAGACTATGGAGATCAAGATATACGAAACTTTGGTACACCAAACATGGTCCATTCTACCGGGTTACTGCGACTTGCCGTTAGATTTGACAGTAGCATTTGACCAGGTGTTTGCTGAGATGCTCGCTAATCTTTTGTATAAGCAAGTTGATCTCAGGCTTGACGTTTGCCGAGCACTCAAGGCTCTTGTCGAATCGAACCAAGCGGTGGCTTCGGTCGAGGACGAGAGCTCAATCCTTACAAGTCGAGTCTCTAAAGTAGACGCTCAAAAGAATTTGACTTATCTCGGGGGGTTCGCAGGTAACTTACTAGCGGTACTTTTCAACGTCTACAGCCAAACACTTCCCCAATCCAGGGGCCCCATACTTCAGACGATCAACGCTTATCTTAGTATCACACCTGAGAAGGAACTTGTTGAGACATTTGACCGTGTCAGTACAATGTTGGCTTCTTCGCTAAATGAGGCCAACGGTGAGGAGAATAAGAAGCAGAAGCAAAAGCAGATGCCTTCTACAAGTCAGACGCTGATGGATTTGGTAATTACTATGTCGGTGTATCTCCCGCGCCAGAGTTTTAGCTCACTCTTCAACATCGCTGCGCTCATCATTGTCAAGGATGATGACCCTCAGTTACAGAAGAAAGCCTATAAATTAATACCGCGACTAGCCGATTCGGATACTGGCAAAGTTGCGCTTCAAGAACGAAATGCGGAACTTCAAAACCTGATTCTATCGAGCTCGGAGAAGGTCTCGGTTCCTGCGCGAAGAGAACGGTTGGCGACAATTGCCGCGTTGGTGCCGTTTATTCCCGACGATTCCCTTCACTTCATCCCATCGGTACTGTCAGAAGTAGTTATATGTTGCAAAGAACATAACGAGAAGGCCAGAACCTCAGCCTTCGAACTACTAGTGCTTATGGGTCAAATACTAGCAGATGCGAAGGGCAAATTGATCGACAACAGTAAAGTTCCTCACATGCCAAACGATTCCCCATCCGTACCTGCAAGCATCGAGGAATACTTCACCATGGTGAGTGCTGGTCTCGCGGGTAGCACCCCTCACATGATATCCGCCTCTATCACCGCCCTCACTCGCATCCTATACGAATTTCGAGAGACAGTCAGCCAGGCAGTTCTAAGCGACCTTGTACAAACTATGGACCTTTTCTTAACATCCAATAATCGAGAGATTGTCAAGAGTGTCTTAGGATTCGTGAAGGTGTGCGTTATTAGCTTACCCACAGAACTAATGCTGCCGCGCCTAACAACCATGATTCCAAACTTAATGGTATGGGCGCACGAGCACAAGGGACACTTCAGGGCCAAGGTCAAGCACATTCTAGAACGAATGGTTCGTCGCTTTGGCTTTGACCCTGTTAATCGGAATTGCCCCGAAGCCGACCGGAAGTTGCTTACCAACATCCGCAAAACTAAGGAGCGCAGCAAGAAGCGGAAGGATGCTGCTAAGGAAGCGGGTGACGAGGAAGATGGCGATCAACAAAGTGGCAAGCGACGCAGTCGGTTCGAGAGTGAGTATGATGAGGCATTGTACAGCAGCGATGAGTCAGATGCTTCCGATGACTCGGACGCCGAGGTCCTCGGAAAGTCCCGAAAATCCCAAAAGGGAGGTTCGGCATACATCATGGAAGATGAGGATGAACCATTGGATCTCTTAGATCGCAAGGCGCTCGCCAGTATCTCCTCTACTAAACCCGGCAAATTACGCAAGGCTGGCAAGACTAAGGCTAAGACGGACTTGGACGGCAAATTGATCCTTGGCGAGGAAGACGAGGATGATGATGCTATGGTCATCGATACGCCAGCTCAAGGGGGCAGAGAAGAGAGCGGTGTTGGTGCCTATGTCGCGGCTCTTAAGAGCAAAGACGTGGGGCGTAGAGGCCGCGGTGGACGTCTTAAGTTCTCCAATAGACGAGGTAAAGATGATGAAGACGACGAAGAAATGGATGTCGACGAGAAAGACGTCTCGGCTATTAAATCGCAAGTCAACAGAGGAGGTAGAGGTGGCAATGGATTCCGAGGACAGCGTGCAGGACGTGGCGGAGGTATGCGCGGTGGAAGGAGCGGCAGGGGTGGTATTGCTTCCGGAAGGCGAGGACTTGGGCAGGAAAGGAGACACGGTCCGTCTTTCGCTGGCAAGGTTGGGAAGCCTAAATCTCCCGGTAGAAGGTGATCCGGTATCCTGGGATTAGGATATTAGATCGAGTTTGATACCCGCTTGCAGTACACATCTCGTGCTGCCCTACCTATAAAATTTCCGTTTGATAGTTTAGTTACGGTCAAGGCGTTATTACGGATCATCGGATCATGAACATGAATTATACATATTTTTTCTCGTTAAAATTAAGGGGTGACGCAATCAATGTCTTTGGTATTAACTACTTCCAATCAAAATCCGTGACCCCCAAACAAAATTCAATAATTGATGGTAGGATGGGAATATGTACGAGTGAAACGACTGTGATGATGGTTCCAATGCCCTTCCTATACTTTAACGCTTCCGTAAAACGCCGTGGGTAACTTTCTTTCTCCTTTCAAGCGCACAAGATACATGGGTGAAAATTTACAAATGCCACTTCTACAGAATTCGGGACCGACTGGCTGTGTAGCCACGGCTGAATATAACTTTTCCGACGGCTTTGATCATCTGAACTTGCTGTAGATAACGGCGAGAATGAGGATCACTAAGACAGTGATAATGGCGATGGTGATTACCCGATTCGTAGCCATCCTATAAGTCCTCAGTTAGCTAACGTTTTCCCTGATACGAAACGAGTTAGGGGATAAAGGAGGTTCCATTACCTACGCGCCATCCCCCTCAACGTCTTCACACTACGATCGACATAACCCTCACTCTCATACAGCACCTGGCCCGTATGCGAGATGCGCTCGCGCTGCGCATGTAAATCAGCCAAGGTTCCTGCGCCTATAGCCTCTGTCTCGTTGGCTAGAGCCTGGCTCGCGCGTAGCCTTTGCGAGCTGCGATCGAGACGGTCGGTTCCACTGAGAAGTTGTTGGCGTTGCTCTAGCTGGACATCGGTGGGTGTGGATGGATCATCCGTGTATCGAGAGCCGAAGAGAGCCGCTCGGTCGGAGGCTAGGGAACGGAGCTTGCGCTTTGCGGAGTCGACGTCGGTTTCGTAGTTTCGGAAACGTTGGTTTACTTTTGTGCGCGAGGATGAGGGGATGTTTTGTTTTTCGAGACGCATTTGGCCGAGCTGTTATTTCGTTTAGAATAGAGTATATAGTATGAAGGGAAAGAAAGTGAATTACCAGTTCATCGGCCTCCTCTAGAGCTCGTTCGGCGGCGCTGATGGCGGATTTGCGCGGTTCGCCGTTGAGTTCGGAGATCTGGTCTAGCTTTTGGGTTAGGTCGGCTTGGACCAACTTGAATTCGGCTTCGTAGCTGCCGAAGAGCTCGGAGCCGGCGTCTGTGTCGAGAGGGTTGGACATGTTGATTGTGTTGGGATGGTTGTCGTTGAGAGGTTACGTCAGGTTATTCGTTCTTTGGTAGATGATTGGAATGGACGTCTCGAAGGCTCTCACGGAGAGGATCGTGGTTAAAGGAGCGTACGTATGTCGTTGTCGTGAGATTAAGAAGCAACTCGTTGCCTTGCTTACTAGACTTAGAAGGACTTATGGATCCTATGACGGGATGATGTGGTTGGTTGATGAGAGATACCGAAGTTGCAGGAGAGATGATTGAATGTTGCGTAAGTTGCGTAAGTTAAACCAGAAATGGAAGCAAGTTCCTTCCCAAGAAAACGGGAGTTCTGTCAGTTCCTAGATCCGTTATTATGGGTCCAAGCTAAACCTAAATCGGCACTATTAAACGGATTCAGCCCATCGCCAGCCACGTATCCAGCCACAACTAGTGGAGATTTAATTCGCCTAAGAAAAAGTATTTTAATGAATCCCAGCTCGTAACAATTTTTCTCTTTTCTTTCCTTTTTCTTCTCCATGAAAGTTGAACCCCCGGAAAGCAGAAATATAATTAGGCTTCGCGTCCTCATTTCTTTACGGACGTGAAGTTGTATTAGCCGGGCAGACCAAAACATGGAGCTTCTAAGAATTGGGTATTAGACGGTTCGCCGCCTCTGAATATTCGATCCCGTTGAGCCTCGACATTTGATTGACTAGGACCCTATTTATTATTCATACGTAGATCATTTATTGATATCGCAGCTGTTAATGAATCGCCCCGGAGTTGTGAAATTGCAATATTCATGCTTCAGCTCCTTAGGAACTCTCTTGCATAGCGACCAAAACATTGGTCCTTTCTTACACGTCGCTATAATAAAGAAGCGGGATTAGATTCCGATTGTCACATCGATCATATCATTTTTGACTGATGTCATGACCTTTGGATAACGTCCCAACCTGCAGAAGCATGCTGTACACAGTACATATGTAGGCGTTTGGTGGCTGTAGTCAAAGCGCCATAACCCAGCAATTGTCTCAGTAAAATAAGAAACACCTGGAACCCCGTAAATCAAAGCAGTAACTGTTTCAATTGTGACCTAGGGTGGCTATGAAATAAGAGTTGAAACCCTGCTCAACTTATATATTCACATCACAAACTTTAGCTCAACAACGAATCGACCTCGGACTACAAACGAGCGCGTGTAGTTAGCTACCTAGGTATCAACTCAATCGCTACGGCGGTATGGAGATGTAAGTCCGAAAGTACCCAAACACATCCTGCAATTGTCCGGGCCGTATGTATCAAGCAGGCCAACGGTTGCCCTATCAGAGCTTCCATTACTGTCAGCCAGCCACACTTCTGCCGGTCTAACGAGACTATTGAGGATTGGCACTGCTGTGTGACCGTTTGTGGCATACCTCCATTGCTAGCCCATTCCCCGACTCGACCATTCCATTCCTATATGAATTTCTGCGAACTTCGTTTGCTAGAGCCTCCCTTTCCGTGAATGATCATCGTGTCTTGATCAATGACATCATATACTAATCGGGTTCCTAGGAAGAAGGTGGCCATCGTCGGCAGCGGTTCTGCTGGAATTGGTGCTCTCTGGGCCCTGAACCGTACTCATCATGATGTTTACATGTACGAGGCGGCCGACCGCTTGGGTGGTCACACAAATACGGTAGAATGGAAGAAGGGCAAATTTACTACCCTGGTAGACACAGGGTTCATCGTCCTCAACACGGCAACATACCGTTTGTGACCTACGAAATCATGAATATGTATGCGACTTCGCTAACAGCCTTTAAGCCAATTTCATCAACTTCCTCAAGTATATCAAAGTTAATACGGTGCCCACTGAGATGACTTTTGGTGTTTCACGAGATCGCGGAACGTTCGAATGGGCGGGAACCGGTCTAGATGCCATATTCTGCCAGAGGAGGAATCTGTTCTCATTGAGAATGTGGAGGCTGATCTTCGATATTGTTCGCTTTAACCAGTTTGCTCTAGACTTGCTAAAGGACGACAGCGATGGATCGTATTCAAACTCGAAGGGCCCCAAGGATTTGTATAAGCCGATGGAAACTATTGGCGAGTACTTGGACAAGGAGGGATACTCAGACACATTCCGCAACGATTATTTGATACCCATGACAGCTGCTGTATGGAGTACGAGTCCCGATAAATGCGCCTTAGAATTTCCGGCTGTGACACTTGTTCGATTTATGTAAGTCTGGTAACCTAATTAGGGAATATGATTGCTGATACCGGCAAGGTGGAATCATCACCTCTTAAGTACAGTCGCTACACGACCTGACTGGCTCACTCTAGAGGGAGGCGCAAAATCGTACATCGATGCGGTGATGAGTGGATTTCCTCCAAATCACCTATTCCTAAAGACAGCAGTTAAGCATATCACCAACGACGCAAAAGGATCCGTGAGACTGCATTTTGAAAATGGAAAATCAGAGGTTTTCGACCAGGTCATCTTGGCTACTCATGGAGACCAAGCTTACCAGATCATCAAGCCATCAGCTACGCCGGAGGAGAGGGCCATCATGTCTTCATTCAAGACTTCAGAGAACACATGTGTTCTCCATTCAGACCTTTCACACATGCCCAAGCGTGAAAATTCCTGGTCAGCATGGAATTATCTTACAGTATCGTCGCCATGGACAGGCAAAGACGTTGATCAGGTGTCCTTGACTTATAATATGAATATCCTGCAGCATATCCCAAGACAAGGCTTTGGCGATGTCCTTGTAACCCTGAACCCCATTCACGAACCAAAGCCGGAGACTGTTCAAGGTCGATACTCATACTCGCATCCTCTATACACCCCCGCTGCAATCCAGGCGCAACAAGCTTTACCGAGGATACAGAATACAAGAGGAATCAGCTATGCGGGAGCATGGACGAAATATGGGTTTCACGAGGATGGGTTCAGTAGCGGCTTGCACGTAGCTCAGGCTCATCTTGGAGCGAAGCTACCATTCGAATTCGTGGACTCGACATACAGCCGTGGAAAGCAACCTCACATGGGCGTTGTGGATTTGTTCGTTAGACTCATCATTTTAGCTATTCAAACATTCGTAATAGACCTGCTGGAGAGAATATTTTGCAGGACGAATAGGAAAGTCTCGGTACAAGGGAACGGTATGAGGAAGAGAGTGGCTAATGGGAAGCATTTGTAGTCTACTCTGATACTGGAATAGACTGAAGTCGAAAATAAATAATGATATTATTAAGCTTACGACTGATTTAAATTACGACGAGTTCATTTGTTGAACCAATGATTCTACTCGAGCTTGTAATCGTCGGGAAGTAACAACCTTGGAAGTCTGGTACTGTAATTACTGGCTGACTGGAAGCGCTAGTGGATCTTGCGACAACAAAGTTACAGCGAGCAGATCACTAATCGAACCCCTGTAAACTTAAAGGCCCACCTAAAATTACAGGGACCTTAAGCTTTTCGACATGACCCCACGATAAAGAATATGGATGGCATGATGAATTCTTAAAGCTTACAACCTCCGTATATCAGGATGAACGGTCTTTTCCCGGCACCATGGCGTGCATTACGAGCAAGCACATCATCATGGGCGTGCGAATCCTGCCGTCGGGCCCTCGCTCGAGGGAAACCATTGCGATTACCGTCAGCACCGCGGAGGACTGTAACGAATAGCACCACGAAAAAGCAGCATGCCTCCGCTACCGCCGTATCTCCTTCGATGGAGCGAGTGCACGAGTACTATAAATACAGGAATAGGACTACGATGTATATACCCAGATTCCCCTGAACACTCCAATTGGTCTCGTGGAATTATGACTCAACTATGGTGGTTATAGGTACTACACGCTCAGCATCATCCTCGGTACCGTCGCCTTCTCGTACGGATCCGTACCTATGTACAAGATGGTGCGCTCCCGCTCCTACTCTTCAACTTCCCCCTATATCACTGCCAATTTACGCATATATGTACACTACGCACGAGATTAACAGCGGGCAAAAACAGATCTGCCAAACAACCGGTTGGGGCGGCCAACCGATCCGCGCGCCCGGCCACGGCGCCTCCTCCAGCGACGCCGACTTCGACCCAGCATCCCGTCTTGTCCCGGTTACCGACGCGCGGCGCATCCGCGTAACCTTCAACGCCTCCGTCTCGGACGTACTCCCCTGGAAATTCGTGCCCCAACAACGAGAAGTGCGTGTGCTCCCCGGTGAGACAGCTCTCGCCTTCTACACCGCAACCAACCGAAGCGATTCCGACATTATCGGGGTTGCTACTTACAGCGTAACACCGGCGCAGGTAGCGCCGTACTTCAGCAAGATACAGTGTTTTTGCTTTGAGGAGCAGAGGTTGAATGCGGGCGAGACGGTGGATATGCCGGTTTTCTTTTACTTGGATCCGGATTTGTTGGATGATCTTAATATGAGGGGTATTAATGAAGTTACGCTGAGTTATACTTTCTTCAGTAAGTTCTTTTCCTTCCCTTTCTTTTCATAAGGCAATCAGTGGAAGTGAAGACAAGGGGTAGCAAGTAGGGAATCTAAGCTAACGAGTGGTTTACAGAGGCGAAATATGATAATAATGGGAACTTCAAAAACTTCCCTACGGTGACGACGTAAATACTGTATATATCATTGTATCAAAATGTCACATATTACCACTCATCAACCTATGCTATACGCTCATGTGCTGTGGAAATGAAAAGATATTCTATCTACTCGGCTAGTGAGAGGCTCGTCTGAGGAAATCTTCATGATCGACAACTTGGATTAAACGCTGCCACTGGCGACTGTCAAGTCTCCCTCTTAAAGTTCAAAACGTCGCGACACTGGACAAATATGGATAGTTGCTTGTCTTGGTACGCCTACCCCTACTTTTACTAGCAAGCTTCAACGCAATTCCCAACCCACCTCCTTAGGGCAAGTTATCTGTTGTTGAGCTTCAATATCACCCTGTAACATTTAAGATATTCTTTAAACTCTTTTTCAAACCATAATAATTGCTAAGGAATAAATCGAGACGATTATTCTTAAGGTTCAAGGTGAGGATATCGACGAGCCACAACCAGCCACACTTTCCTCTCACATGGGTATATCATGTGGTCCCAAGACCTTACGTCACACCAATAATCCCTACCTAGGTACCTAGGTACCTAACTGTAGCTTCGCTATTCTCGAAGCTGCTATTCTATCCCATCTACCTAAAATCATCACGATCACAAACACAAACAACCCATCAGTTCGTCGACCTGACTTACCAAACTCCCTCTCCACCATGAAAGCCCAAACATAAATACCGAATTCAATTTCGATCTCTTCTCATCTCTCAGTCGCATTTACCTACAAACCCACCCAACACCACAACAAACACACCAAAAGCAAGCAACCCGGCATGAACAACATAACCACAGCATCATCCCGTCTGCGCCGCACATTCGCCTACCCCGACGACTCCCCCAACCCCCGTTCCAACGATTCATCCGACGACGAAGACGCACCAGCCCTCGACGAACAAGAACAAGATGACCTCATAGCGACCCTAGCCCAACAAAACGCCGCCCGAAACGCGCAGTTCCGACTCTTCCTTCTATGTCTACCGGCGGTATCCACGTTGCCTTATCTGACGGCTCTGGTCTTTCCTAGCGATGCGAGTGGGAGGTTGATAGCTCTATTGGGACTTACGAGTTTAGCGGCTACGGCTTGGACGTTGTGGTCTCTCCCGCCGGGGGTTTCTGGGATAAGGATTTTGGATGCTTGGGTTGGTGGTAGTGGTAGTAGTAATGATTCCAAACACGGTGCGGGAGGGAGACGTGGCGGGCAGGATATTAATAACTCGCCCTTCTGGGCGCAAGAACAAACCCACTCGCCGTTCGAGAAGTACCTCCCGTACCTAAACCTAGGGCTATGCGGTGTGTTGGTGTTGACGGGGTTTATATCGAAGTCACCGACGTCTCAGGGACATTGGGGCCACGTTGGACTAAGCAACTTGCCCGCCATAGTATACGCGGTCGTGCTGGTCGCGAAGGCGGTTATGGGTGGTGTAGATCCAGAGAAGGAGTTAAGTGCGCTACGGTACGAGTATAAGGGTGCTTAAGTACATAAAAGCTTACAATATCAAACGTCACATTACAACAACACTTTAGCGTCTCAAAACTCCATTGGTAATGCACTTTTTCTCATTTTACTTTTTAATTCTCGCAAGCCACATTGGCGTATGGCCATTGCGACCATCCAATTTTTCGCGTTAGCCGGATTCGAAGAATATGGATAGGGATGGATCCGTAGCTATGGCCACAACCGATAAATGCTCTAACTAGACCGCAACCCCCCTATACGTCTATAGATTCATTAAACCTCAAAACTCCGTTGCCCTTTAATACTCCATCAACACCCTTAGGAATAGGGAATGCGTCGGCATGCAGATACGGTTCCGTGACGTATTCGGCCGATTTATCGACCACTAATGCTAGTCCGTGCGACTTTATCGCATCCACGAGAGCCGGAACCATGTTCTGTCAAAAAACTTATGTTAGCATTGCCCCTCATGTAGACCCTTCGATGATCCGGGGGAAATCAAAATGTCGGAGATAACTCACTAATAGTCGAGAGCAGCAAACAAGCCCCATAAAATTGTTGCTCTGCGCTATCCTCACGGTCTCCTTAACCGAGAATGTCCTCCGTCCGCTACTCCTAATAACACCCGAGGCGATATTAGGCTCTTCCCGTCCGAGATCGTTGCAAAGGAATACAGGGAAATTGGGCTGTTTCCAATTCAAAGTCGCACAGAGCGTGGGGTTGTAAGAGCTGAAAACCACCGATCTAACAGTATCAGGAGCGGACATTGTCTGCGCCCGTTGCTCCCTCGCGTGGTCGAAAACTATAGTTAGTATGGCATCTGCAAAATTGTTGACGTTCATAGTTGGCCCTAGGCCGAGACTTCGCTCCTCCTCTTCTGACGGGTAGATAATCTGAAGATCAACATGCATCGAATTGGGAAGCAGGGAGAGTGCCTGTTCTAGGGACACGCCCGCGGTGTTGAGGACGTGGTGAATGTCGGCAATATTACTGATATTTTGCGAAGATATCAGGTGAAGCTGAGCTCTCCCAGGATTGGACGCCGTGACGGTAGAGAATTGCTCATAAGATAATCGTGAGATTGATATATCAATGCCGCCACATTGGATCATCCACTGTGGCCATACCACAGGGATGCCATCACTAGTATGTTGAACGTATAGCTGAAGAAAATCTCCCGACAAACTCGAGCCTGTGACAAACATGGTTGGATTTTGATCGAGCTGACTCGTAGCCTTCCAGTAAGTCTCAAAGTCCGTAATCTCTAGTGGAGTTCCTTGGAAAGGTTTAATTACTTGAGTATTGAAAGTAATTTGGCCAATGGCCCGTAGTCGAGGGTCGAATAAAGGAAGACAGCATTTTCCTGAACTATTCCAGGAAGCTCGGAACGTATTCGGAAGAGCAACCGTCTTCGCTATTATCTTCGCACCATAAGTAGGGAAAACGTCGAAATCGAGGGTAAACGTATCAAGGTTATCGACCTGAAAAGAGACAAGCCGTGTATCTTCTTGGAAAGGCAACATGATGTTTTTGGGAATGAGATCCGATAATTTGGAGGAGATCGTTAATCGTGCAGCAGGATATTTGCTATCATGAAAGAACACTAATGGGTGATCGCCTTCTTCTTGAAAGCTGATTTGGACAACGGCCTTCGTGTCCAAGAAATTGTGGCCATAACGCCGTAGAGGTATTATCGGTGGTGGTAATTCAAGGATAGGGATGGCATCAGCGTCAAGGGACATGGGAATAGGTGTATTCCCACTTCCCATGGGGGCTAAGAGTGAACTGCTTGTATGCATCATCAACGGGCTTTCTGTCTTCCCCTTTTGATGCGGCGTAAGCTTCTGCATGCACTCCAGATGCCCTTCCCATGCAGCGTAGTACATAGCAGGCAAGTCTTTCTCATCGACGATGTTAGGATCAACCCCCACGTTAAGGAGCTCCTCCAAGCAAGGTACGTTTCCCTCGCTAGCCGCGTGTACTAATGGGGTCCAGCCGTAGAGTTTATCGATTTGATCTAAATCGGCACCATATTCTTGCAATAGGCGGAGTAGCTGTGGTGTTTGGCCAGATCGTGCTACGAGATGCTGAGGATACAACCCTTCAGCATCAGGTAGTATTTGCGCGCCATGCTCCAAAAGTAGCTTGACTGTATCAAGAGATCCATGCTCGCAAGCGAGATTAAGTGGAATATGGTCTGTCTCTGATACAGGATCTAGTCGTGACGAGGTTGCGAGAAGTCGTTGTACGCATGTAAGGTGCCCGTGAATAATCGCGTGGATCAGAGGGGTGAAGTTGTCGTGGTCAATCAGATCGATCGTCGTTGGGTCAGCTGCCTCAACATCAGCATAATATTGAATGAATAGGGGGTTATATCGCCCTTACCTCGAAGGAGAAGTTCAAGCATATCCAACCGACCATGCATACTAGCATAGTGCAGCGGTACACGCCCGTAGACATCCGTTCTGCTAACCTCAACACCTTCCGAGAGACCAACGTTCAACACAAACGAGTTTCCATATATAGTAGCCTGATGAAGGCAGTTCCGCTCGTTGATGTCATCCTCAGATCGGATGTCGACCAACCCAGTCGCTAGTAAGACTTCTAGGGAAGCTTGCGGCGCTTCATGAATAGCAGCGAGGAACGTGCGTGTCACCCTTTCCATCAGCGAGACATCCATCCCTGACGGTGAACTAGACCCAGCTCGCATCCTTGTAAGGAGGTCTCTTAAGGATTCCAAGTTTCCGGTAATTGCTGTATCGAGCAGCAGACTATCTACGTCGCCTTCGTCCGTTCCAAGTAGATGTTGGCTACTCACCATATGTTCCGACCGAGCTTCAAACGGTACATGATCTCCATCTGCCCAGGCCCCAAGCTCTTGCAGGCTGGTCGTCGCCTGGTCCGAGAGTTCGCTGATGACGGTAGCATTGAAGAATGGTTGCACCTCCACAGCGCGGGAGAGATACAACTCCTTGGTCTTAGACTTAGAAGTCTTATCCCATTTCTTCAGAATCTTGGAAAAAGCGGTGCCATTAATTTCGACAAATTGCTGAAGCTTATTCAGGTCATTGGCAAATTGTTGGAACCCTTCCTCCAATGTCGTGAATTTGGCGGAGCGTCTAGAGACTCCTTGGCGAGATTGCAGTACTCTTTTCTTGTCAAGCAAAGTTCGAAGTCGAATTTTAAGCTTATGATTGTTAGCATCGAAAATATAGGTGCAAATAAATAGATTGTAAATCTACTCACTTCGGCTTCTTTCTGGAGGTAGAACGCGTTTACTTTCTCTAATTCTCGTTCCTACGGAATGTGAGCACTGCTCACCAGGGCGTATATACATAGCCCTTCAAAAGGAGAAGGCAATAGACTATACCAGTTGAAAGAAGAACTTTGCTTTGTTTGCCTGCAGAGCGACTTGGGTGTCTACCGGCGTGGGAGTAAAGTGAAGGTCATTTTGGGCGCTCAAAGTCGGGGTAGCAGAGAGCTTCTTGATGAGCTATTGGCTGGTGTTAGTGATACAATCCCACTTTGTGAGCAACGTAAGTTTCATCTAAGACAGTACGAATGAGAAGCTGGTTTCTGGCGAACATGGGATAGATCCCCTTCGACGCAGCGTCTCACGTAAAATTCATACTATCAAGTAAAACGAAGCAAGTAAATAAAGCAACGGCTGACATACTTTTTTGAGCGCCTTATAGTTTACGAAGCTGGCAGCATATTCGGGTACTTCAAGCTGGCGCTTCTGGATTTGCTTACCGAACTTCCTGGAGAAAGTATTAGTAACCCCTGCTGGTGCAGAAAAGCAATACTCTAGCGCGATGAACTGGAGGGGGACAGGAGTAATCTATGAGTAACAGATTTGACTTACATGGTGCGGCAAGCGTGCCCGCAACCAGCCCGTGAAGGCTGTTTACTTAGGCGGGAACCTCAAGATTGGCGGCAAAGGCGTGTCTCAATGGAGATGACTCTAACAGCGGGTTTCCGTGTGTAACGAAAATGCAGGGGAGCGGGTGGTACCAGGGGGGGCCTAAGCAAGATGAGATGCGAACTGACAACACGGTAGGGTTAATGTAGAAACGAGGGCCTAGGTCTCAAAAACGTATCTCCTCGAGTCATATAACTATCTGCTCGAAGAACGTTGAGTGGCTAAGAGAGACAGGCAGAAGAATAAGTTGATAATCTAGACGTAAGTAATACTAGATAGGATCAAATCCAAGCATGTGGCAAGGTCAAGAGAGGGGGGCACGCTCCGGTAGGGCGCAAAGCTCTCGGACAGAATTCCCGCCTAACTTGCAGCCACCAACGTCGGAAAACTGCATGAGGAGTCTTGGGTTAGACTAATATAGCAGGGACGACGGCGTCGGAGGTAATAAATGCAGCAGGTATACTATACCTTCTTGACAAGGGGCCTGGGTTTCCACGATCGATGAACCAACGAGTAGTGATGGAGGAAAGGTCACGTTCACGACAATCTGACCGGTCGTATAACGGCGCCTCGGTACTGAAGCTTAGAGCTTCAGGCAACTGGGATAGTTTGGTAAGACGAACTGCAGACGGCAGCCCAAACAATAGGGCGTTGGATCCAATGACGGTTGCCGTACAGGGAGGTGGGGGTCAGACGGGGTGAGGTGTAGTACTGTCCTTCTGCATGAAGCGGCTGGTGATCCCGATGAACAGGCCTAGGACTGCCTTGGCCAGTAGGTGGTAGAAAAAGCAAGCTCCTGATAGGTGCAAGGGACGCGGATGTGACGCAGGAGAGGTTTGATGAGGACGTGCCCCAGACTTTAATATGACGATTTCGAGTCCCGTGGAGGGGTTGATGGAAAGGTACCTTACAGGAAAAATGGAGAATCTCTCTTGAGCCGAATAGCTTTCACGACGTCAAGCCCGACTGCGACTGGACTGGTGAGCTGCAAATTTCTGGAATGGCCTTAGGGTCTCGAACCGGCGAGGGGCTAATAGTAAATGTTCTGCTAGCTTCCTGGCAACCTTGTAGGGACCGGGCAAACCAAGTAGAATAAACAGACGGGACAAGACTACCGCGGCTACATTAATGTATGGGTTTGTATAGACTGTATGATTCACTGACACCTTCGTAGGGTGGATTGGTGGCTAGGCTTCATGTTTGGATCCAGAGTCGAGCGAATGCTGTATTTCATACGTAATGGGCCTTCGTTGGGCCGAGCCCGTCGTTTGAATTTCGAAGTGAGCTTCTAGATTGATAACGACAAGCTTTGAAGCACTAATGGGATTTTAGAGGACAATCGGACAGACTTCGCATGTAGCGTATGTAAGTATTCCACAGTGGGGCCCCTAAAAACTAAAGAGCCAAATGCGACCACCGTCGTAATGTACTTGGTACATAATACGCTGTACAACCTAAACGTTTTACCTCATCATATAAATGTCACTAACTTACCAATATACATCTTCACGTATCATCGGTAAATATCTACCGTATGATTATGGTTGGAAAACTGAAAAAGGCAAGCCGGGCAAAAATCCCATTCAAAAAAAGGTGTTCGTGATGTTGGTATAGCGGATATATATCCCCCGAACAAATCCTGGCAGTAAGTACAGAGTACCAAGCAGCGGACTTCAGTTTTTCGGGAATGGGCTGCAGAAGTTAGCTCCTTCAATTGCAGCTCTAGCCCCACAATTGGGCGATCGATCCACCATATCATCGTGGCTTCCTTTTTTCCTCTCCTCTTTCCCATTGAAATTTCCGGCCAATGGTATTCTTCCTTTCCACCCCGTGGTCTCTGCATGACATTCGCGAGGCTGACTGAGGATAAACTAAATGGGGTGGGGAACTATCTCCGAGCCCGGGGTTCGTCCGGGCGTCTAGGCAAAGAACCCCTCGTGCTCCGCCGCTCTCCTCCGACCGTTCCATAATCATCCCAAACCTTTTCGGCCCTCCGATTTCCTACGTCATTCTCCATTGTTGATATGATTATTTTCTTCTCTATTTCCTTGATATCCCCTCTCTTCTCTTCTTTCAATTGTGTCATCTTTGTGGACAGTTCCAGTAATCCTCCTTTTTCTGTTCACTCGGATTTAACGATGATGCAAGTACTCATGCCCCGCAAGATCTGATCTCAACCCTGGGGAGATCTTCGACGACCTGGTGATGACAGATCCTTGATCAAGGTATCACGTGCCATGTCGCTATTGAGTACATGTAGGTACTTCAGCTCGACATTTTTAATCCTCCGATTTGGGGGCGAACCCATCTGTCCCAGAGATTCTTCTCTGTGTTCAAACTTAAGTATCTACTCTAGAACTTGGTATAGCTACATGAAATCCTTTCCCCTTATCCCCATTTCTCGTTAAGAGCGCTATGAGAATCAACTACCATTAACATTCGGTATTCTCCATTGGACCCGAGCTATTGAGCGTTGCATCAACTACCTAGGTACACAGTTCCAAATGTGCGCGCATCCGTTGGGTGTCTACGTCAAGTATCGCCTCTTCTGATCCTGGACCTCAAATACCCAACGTCAGGATTTTTTAATACATAGATCAACTATAGTCTCTATTGAGAAAGCAAGAGGTTGCCTGGAAAATACCAGTGGAAACCCAATCTAAGCAGCCAGGAAGAATGCATTACTACCTAGGTAAGTAACAGCTTAGTATGATGATCAACGTAGATTCGTGACAGGGGTATATTTTGATACAATGGTTTATAGATGGGAGTTTTGCAACACACATATCCTAGCGTCCTCACATGTACTCTACCTTTCGCCGCATAGATCACCCTACTCTTTACACCAAATCCATTGATATAAGCTAGAACTCATTTCTATGTTCCATATAAATGCTATTTGATTGTAAAGCAGACTATCGCTCTACCGGGGTCAAGTTTACGTAAAGAGGGATTCTGTAATTCCGGACTCAGGGGTTAGCGATGGTTTTCTGCGGCAGATTTATAGGGTAATATGCCCCATAGCATCGTAAGGGGTATGGATACTGACCTATCCCAAAGCGCAAATGTCTTTTGCCTCTCGATCCAGTTCTTGCTGTCGTCAGATAGCTTCAGATCGAACTCGTAGATAATGCGGGCTAGAATTAAGCGCATCTCGGCATACGCAAGGCTAATTATTAGGAACGATGTTAATACGACGATCTAACTCATTTCTAGGACCTGGTAGTGCCTTACTTGCGCCCAATACAATTCCGGGGACCAACGTTAAAGGCCTGTAGAGCTTCAAGCTGGTTTCCGGCTTTGGCAGCCTCTTCAGGGGTGGTCAGGAATCGCTCGGGTTGGAAGGCCCATGGGTCCTTCCAGTTCTCCTTGCTGTGGTTCATCGACCAGTGTTGGACTTCGACGTACGTCTACGTAGACACATGTGAGTAAGATATCCACTATTTTCATGCCAAGTTTCACTTACACCAGCAGCTACGTAGTGACCCGCAATCTGCTCACCACCCTCAGGAACTGATCGAACTAGACCCGAGGTGACGGGAGGATAAAGTCGGAGCGATTCGTTGAGGATTGCGAGCATATACGAGAGCTTGTTGACGGAACTAATCGTGATTTCATCGACACTGGTAAATGCCGAGCGAACCTCCTTCTTCAACTTCTCTAGGATCTCTGGGTGAGTTAATAGGAGATAGGTAGCACCAGATAACGTGGTTGCCGTCGTCTCGGATCCAGCGAGGACGAGAATGAACGCATTCGCAGACAGTTTCTGGAACGATAAGTTCTGCAGAATTTTCGAAATGGTTAGTATTAGTTTCCCTATGTGAAGAATATTAACATACCCAGTCCTCACGTCTCTTAATAAGGCCCTCGAAGAGGTCGTCGCGGTCCTTCTCCATTGATAACCGTGTCCTCACCATGTCATCGGTATACTTCCGTACTCTTTTAATCGCATTCCCACCCAACTTAACTAGCAATTGCACGAGGTCGCCCAAGCCAAGATAAGTCATCGCTACCGTGATAGCACCGAATCGAATACTGCTGAATATGAACTCGATCCAGGGATGATAGTCGACATTGTCAAGACAGTGAAACGACTGTCCGAAAACAAGATCTCCCACGATATCGAAAGTCGTCCAATTGTACCAAGCCTCGATGTTGAGTGCTTTCTTCCCATTATCACATTCTTCATGTAATCTCTATTGTGAGGTCGATCGTTAGTAACTATCCGGTAATATGAACTAGCCTATTCCAATGGCCGCCCATCCCTTACATCACCTAACTCGAAAGAAATGAATTAGGCGGTGTATCACCAACTACTAACCTGTAGCAAGAGATCGACATATTTCTTAATCATTGGCTCCTGTTGGCGCATCGCATTATCAGAAAACCCATGCGAAAGTGCTCGACGGAATCGAGAATGCTCTTCACGGTCTGCGTTTAAGATCGAAGTCGGCTGGGATCGAATTGTCTTGTTGAACACGCGAGTTTTGGGCATTTCTGCCATATCGCCCTCGGTACCAACACGATGACCATAGATATCTTTCCATGCCCTCGGATCGGTAAAAGTCAAGTGATTCGGCCCAACACGGACGATAGGTCCATATTTGTCGTGAAGCTTTTGCGTGTAAAGAGCTTGAGAACCAAGAGCATGTCGAATTGCCCATGGAAGTCTTGAAGCCCTTTGAATCAATGGTCCAGGGAAGTCGCGCAATGGGTGAAAGTAGAGGTTGTAGATAATTCCTGCTACTTCATACGCAACAGCCTATAACGCGCAGTCTGACATCAGCCACCATCATATACTTGAAACTTCACTCGTTCGAAACCTACCAAGGTAAAAATCAATATGGCGAGCGCACCATACTTCCCAACGCTGGACACACCGACCTCCCATAGCTCAGCTAACTTGGCCATTATGTTCACAGCAAAGAGAAAATAAATATATATAAAGAAGACCAAATTTATTATTTACCACATAAATGAAGTTATATGAGAAAATGCTGTAAATATGTCAAAAAGCATGTGCGTCGCCGATATGAACGTCATCCATATTCAGCTCCCTTTGCTCCATGAATATTTTCAAGATCGCCGACGGTATCATGTTATATATATTTTCTTTTGAACCCATTGTAATTGCGGGGCTATGTAGTAATAAAAGGGGAGCTTTAGAAGCTATGTACTTTCGGAAACTTGGAAGACCCCGGATCCCTCGCAACCCGGTAGCAGTGCAGGACCATCATCTCGGTGCGTGTAGAACTTTGCGGAGATGTATAGCCGAGTACCACTCGCAAAGCTCGCGTATGTCACGTAATGTCACGTACAGAATACAGGACTACAGTACGGATACGAAGAATGCAGGTCATCCATGACACAAGTCGACCAATCAGAGCGTCGCTAAATCACCCTTTGTTAGGCAATGAATGGCAGACGAGTTCTAGATCATTGCCCGGTTTGGTAGGTCACTCGTTAGAATTTCACCCACGTATCTAATATGATACCTAGTGGCTGCCTACTAGTCGGGAATCGGCTCAAATATCAGGCCGTCAAAGCTCGATTAAACAGATTGAATAGATATCCATGCTGGTGGAAAGGCCTGTAAACGACGCATTAGGATGGGTTTGCACCATGCTACCCAGCTGTATCATTCATTCAACGTTCCAAACATGTCGCCAAGAAACAATCTAGTTTAGCTATTAATCCTTGCCACCAGTCTTCTTCTCAGAGCTGACTAAACTATCAGCCATAGCATCTGCTGTGGCTTGCTTTAGCCTCTCACTAGCCTCCATCTTAATCCCACCACTCTTTGCATCTTTTTCATCCTCGCTGTCGCCGAGGCTAAAGGGATCGTTGTCTGTAATCGGATTGGGTTCTACCGACGATAGAGGTTGCCATTTGCTTTGCTTGCCCGGGGGCGGAGTCGCACTGCTATCCTTGGGAGGAATTCTCGGGGAAGCATCATATTGGTCGATATCTTCGAAGCCTTCCTTGAAGGCAACCTTGCGACCTTCAGGCCTAGGAGATGTAGATGGTGGGGGTGGTCTATGGAGGCTAGGGTTGCTTGACGGGCGATCTTGGGAAGATCCTGTATCATTGTTAGCCGCGCGTATTTCGAGTATTGTGATATCTGAGTGTCAGCCACTTACTTCCATCAGGATTAAGCCTTATTCCTGCGAAGTCATCACTTAGGACCTGCGGATCGGCGTCGTAGCGTTCATAGTCCGCACTCCTCCTTGAACCCTCCCCGCTACGTCTGCCTAGTGGGTGTTGGCGTTGGTTCTTAGAGGGCTGCGTTTCGTCCTCGTCCTCGTCATATTCCCCATCAATCTTCTTCTTTAGGTTGGTGAACCAACTGTTGACTTTAGTTTGGGTGTCGAGGAATCCTTTGCGTAGGTTTTCCCTAATGACGGGAAGGTCATCGTCGATGAAGCTGTGTTCTCGGTCGTACATCTCGTTAGGCTTCAAACCCGTCTCTGGTCGTCGGTACTGACCACCCGGGCCACGATTTGTTGTTCTTGCTTCGTAGGCACCGACGCTATCGTAATGCTGAGCGAGTTGTCGAGCGTAGAGCTCGTCGGCTTCCAATTGCGACATGGGACTTCTAGGCCCGGTTGGTCGTGGAGGTTGAGGGGGAGGCGCAGTCTCGCGTGCGGGCTCATTCTGGACAGCATCCGGGTCGCTCATGCCTATATCCTACAATTAACAATTGCTTCTACTGTAGGTAGCATCACACATACCTAAAAGAGCATTGAAAGCTGGGTCGATTTGACCACCGCTAGCTATCAGAACAGCCTTGATGACAGTAGCTTCAATACCTGGAAATGCCTCTTTTAGAATCATCTCATTCTTCTGCTGTTCGGTAAGCGGTCGAGGAGGTTTCGGAGGCGCAGATTCTTCGGTAGCTGTAGGCGGGTTGGTGGCCGTTGAAGCCGCTGTAGCCGCCGTAGTACTCGGGGCTGTAGGGTGGGCGGTCTCATCGCCTAGGACGCCAGTCTCTTGGATATCGTCGTCGTCCATCTCGAACGGGCGCACGGTAGTTGGAGATTCGGGTGCCGTGGTGGCGGGGCCGGTCTTGCTCTAGAAGAATCAAGCGCGGCGTCAGCAAAATGCGATTATCATCGAATGTGGATTGCGACATGTTGATTGCATCATATCATCGAAATTTACTTACCGCATCAGTCGGAGCGGACATCTTGATCAGAGTGTAAGTAACAGGTGTAACTGGAAAATGTGATGTGAAGGAGGAATAATTAATGTTGAAATGTCAAAGTCTCTATTTTATTATGAATAGGATTGAGTAAGAATGGTTGTCTGCCTGTTCAGGCCCCTAGCGAAGGTAAAACAGGAGACTAATAGGTGATGATACAGCTATTCATAGATAATCGTTCATGCAACCCACTGGCACCTACCCAGTAGCCCGGCAGCCTAGGTACAGTACCTGCTAATTATCTCGGCGTTTTGAGGGGCAACTTGCCCAGGCGAGTTGCGACGCGCATGACGTTCCCCCACCCCGCCACGGCATTGCTGAGCCACAGTGAATACATAACCTAATTTGATGCTAAGCCACAAATTTCCCAACAGTCAGATCCTATTCCGGTCCAACTTCTTATGGGTACTTAGGTACACAACTATCTTTAATGTCACTAAGCTTCAATAGCAAATCCAAATCCAAACAGCAAATTCTCGAATACCTACCAGCCTGCCTGCCTAGCACACCAAGTTGAGAGTGCTCAATTCAGATTAAATTCTACATAGTAGACCGTTTATGCCACAATCCACCCAGAGTCAGATTTAATTACCTGTATAGATACTGGGTAAATCATGGATGACACTTATACGTCTGATTCTCGAGTACACGACTTATAGTTCGGAGGTGTGAAGTAATAGTTCGGAGCCATTCTTACAGAGACTCGCCATGGCGGATTTTGATCTCGATTCGAGTTTCATTCCTGCTCTTCATAAGCCTTCGGCGCTACTACCTATTGCCAAGCATCACGATAGTCTACTATATCTAATTGAGAAAAATCCCGTCACTATCGTCGTAGGGCAGACAGGCTCCGGCAAGACTACTCAAATACCACAATTTCTCGAGCACGCGGGATGGTGCTCTGACGGTAAGATAATTGGTGTTACACAGGTAGGACCCCTCACTTTTTTTATTCTCCTCTTTTTCTTTTTTTCGGTGGTCCGTACTAATAGGCGACAGCCCCGGCGTGTAGCTGCTACAACCGTAGCTATCAGAGTCGCCGAGGAGTTTGGCTGCGAGCTTGGGAAGGAGGTCGGCTATTCAATTAGATTCGAGGATGTAACATCTGCTGCGACTCGTATCAAATTCCTAACTGACGGCTTACTCATTCGAGAGGCTCTGGTCGATCCGCTCTTATCACGATACTCGGTGATTATGGTCGATGAGGCGCATGAGAGGTCTATAAGTACAGATATTCTTCTCGGTCTTTTAAAGAAAATAAGAAAACGGAGACCGGAACTCCGAATAATCATAAGTAGTGCAACTCTTCAAGCCGAGGATTTCTTAAGTTTCTTTTCGCAGTCGGAAAGCCGGGAACCCTCCGACGACGAAAATAATGAAATCGGTTCAATAATCAGTCTTGAAGGTAGAATGTACCCGGTTGACATTCTTTACTTGGAATCACCGGCCGAGGATTATGTTGAAAAAGCAATATCTACGGTTTTTGATATCCACACCAAAGAGCTAGACGGCGATATTTTAGTCTTTTTAACTGGCCGTGAAGAGATTGACACAGCGGTCCAAGCTGTTGGGGAACGAGTTCCTCAACTTCCCCCAGGATCTCAGTCGATCTTAGCCTTACCGTTATATGCAGGATTATCCACAGAACAACAAATGTTTGTGTTCGACAGCCCACCTGAAAATACAAGAAAAGTTATTTTCTCAACTAATATCGCGGAAGCGTCCGTGACAATCGATGGCATTGTTTATGTCATTGATTCGGGTTTCGTGAAGTTAAGGGCCTTTGATCCTAAGACTGGAATTGAGACATTAACAGCAACCCCAGTCTCCAAAGCAGCTGCTTTGCAGCGCGCGGGAAGAGCTGGTCGTACGAAACCCGGCAAATGTTTCCGGCTTTACACCGAGAAATTATACCGGGTCTTACCTGATGCGAACATACCAGAAATACAAAGATCCAATCTCGCACCATTCATTGTACAACTTAAAGCGCTTGGGATTGATAATGTTGTGCGCTTCGATTACCTGACACCTCCACCTGCGGAACTCATGATCAAAGCGACAGAACTGTTGTTCTCCCTGGGCGCTCTGGATGAGTATGCTAAATTAACAAAACCGTTGGGTATGCGGATGGCAGAGCTCGCAGTTGAACCTATGATGGCTAAAACATTGTTGACGGCTTCTTCATTCGGCTGTCTCAGTGAGATATTGACGATAGCAGCCATGACCAGCCTTGGCAGTTCCATTTGGATTCAAAGAGATGGAGAAAAGAAACAAATGGAGTCCTCAAGACGAAAATTCGCTGCTGAAGAAGGCGACCACTTGACGCTACTGAATGTTTACCAATCCTTTATAACCAAGGGCAAGAAGGAGTCGAAGTTTTGTCATGAAAACCATATCAATTTCAAAGCTTTGACCCGTGCAGTGAGTATCAGAGCGCAAATGAAACGCTACCTGGAACGGTTTGGGATAACGGTAGACGAGAGCCTCAAGACATCAGTCGCCAACAAGGGAGAGCAAATTCGAAGATGCCTCACGACGGGCTATTTCGCCTACGCGGCGAGGATGCAGCCCGATGGGAGCTTCCGTAATGTTGAAGGTGGAACGACGCTTCATGCGCATCCTAGCTCTTTGATGTTTAATCGTAAAGCTGATTGGGTAATTTTCCACGAAGTGATGGAAACCGGCAGCAAGATTTTTATCCGCGACATTAGCAAGATTGAGAAGGGATGGCTTTTAGAATACGCATCAGGATACTACCAATTAAAGTCTTGATGACAAAAAAAAAAGCAGTTTTTGACTTGCTAGACCTATTCGACGATGGACTCGTTACAACTGCAATTGACACTGAATTTGCTTGTGAGACTACCTAGGTACTTCCCCCCTTACTAAGTTCGGCTGTTCAAGATGGGCTTGTTGAAGAGACCAATGAAGCAAACTGCAGGACGGAATTATTGAGACAATGTCATAGTCACTATTACTTTCAAAACCTGTTGAGGCTGAGACGGGAATAACCAATCGTAAGGGCAAGTTTTAAAAAGAAACAAACTTAACGTTAGCTTGGCACACTAGCTAACCGTGGATAAGTACATTGCTCTCGTACTTCTTATTATGGGATGATGTCTTTTGTCTTTCCTGATTGACCCATGGGTGAACTTACTGTACCTAACCTAACCGTCTGGGTCGGTACAGCGAATTGGGATCCAACCATCTGACGCGAACCATGTAAATGAAGTATTTATAACGGGATGGAGTCTCCAGGATTACCAACCGTATGAAGGAATGATTATTGAAGAAATAATGAATTGGAAATTGTAGGCCTCGTTTTGTTCAATAAAGGTAATTCATAAACATAATGACATGTTCATCTCGTCAGTTACCAAATTGAGCATGCGACAATTTAACAAAACTAAGCATTACTTAAGTAATTCAAGATCGTCAATTATGCAGAATGAAGTCCCATAGATCTTTCTCAGCTCGGTAAGTCACCAGCTCGTCTTAATTGGACCGGCCCTAAGTTAAAAGGGGGTATATGATGGTGGAGGGAATCCCCCTTCAATCCTTGATTCTTGCCAACAGATTTTTACCACTGTATTTCCGTACAAAGAACAGTTTAACAGTTTAAGCGGCCAGACGTAACAAAATGTCCAAAATAGGGGGCTAGATGAACTAGGACTAGGTACAAATTAGTGGAAACCCATCTTAGATTACTCCTCCATGTCCTTATCGGCGTTTCTATCGACGAGCATGATTGGACGAACTCCTCAGTTCCTGCATTAGTCCCCTGTTCCGATGGCAGGGGCCGTACAGTGTTAAACGGGCAGGAACATACGCAATTATACGCAATTGGAGCGCCCATCGTAGCCCATTTTGTTACTGACATGTGCCTGCCCTTTAATGAATATTGGAGCCTCTCAGGTACGGGGGGGTTAGTTGGGGACAGTGCCCTTAACTTGTTTGGAATTCTCGACCCTCTAAACCCAATATAGAAAGGTCCCCATAACCCCTTCGTTCATTTCCGCCTTGTCCATTTTCATTCGTCGGTTCCCCTGAACCTGGCTATCGAAAAAGGTACCTCCGTCGTTGTACTCGGTCAATCATCCTTTCTTTTGTTCTTGCTCGCACTTGTTTCCTTTCTTTCCTTCATCCTATTCATCCACCGCCTTACCCAGGAGTTCGTCGACAATCGGTCAATAGACCCTAACTGCCTGCCAGCGGGCGTGCCATTCTTTCATAGCTAACCTAAAGTCATTCATTTTTATGCCCAACCACTAGTCATTCTTTCCGGCCTTGTTGTCACTTAGGCGTTAGTGTTGGGGGCATCGATTTCGTAGAATAATAGTATTCGGTTCCAGCCTATCTAATTTTCGAAATCGAGGTATTATCCGCTCCCAACGCGTCTTTCGACCTCGACGATTCTCTACCCAACGGCCTGGCATGACCATACAACGAAACTCGGAAATTTGATCGATTTTTAACGGGTTTTTAAATACCAGCCGAGTACGATTGAATTATAGAAGGGTTGGATTAATTTAGGATAAGGGATTGAGTGTGTGTAGTAGACACGATGGCGGGGCGTCACTTCCACGGTCATGGCCATAGCCATGCCCATCAACACTTCCATTCGAAGCCAAACCATTTGGAGATCGAGCAACCGGATCAGCTTAAAGCTAGAGAAGCAATGGGCAACCTCGGGTCAGAGGGGGTAAATGCCGCTACTCGACTTATAGCTCGAGAAAACAATCTGGATGAAAAGCCAGTGGGCAGCTCGACAACTGTCCCCATTGTTCTTGGTGTCTGGTGAGAAGAGTTCTACAGTTTCGACAGTATTGTGGCTAACCTAGTTGTGTAGCATCCCGCTAGGAATTGCATTTCTTATTTTAATTTACTTGCACCGCCGAACAACGATCAGGCAAAGAAGGGAGGATGAAACAGACAAGTACAAGTCTATGGATTTCGGATTCGAGGGTAACGTGGCAACCAAAGGAAATAAGAGGCGAAGTGCTTTCTTCGGAAAGGAGAAGGAACCGGGTCACAAGATGCAGCTTTCCATGGACATGAATCTATCCAGTCCTTATTTACTTCCGCCTAACCTACACCAATCTCGAGAATCCATGCATTCCCTTGCAAGGAGCCTTCACCAAAACGAGGATCCCTATCGACCAGTTACTAGCTATGCCGGCAGTGACGTCGGCTCTTTACGCTCATTCCAGAAAGGGGGTAACAGAGAGTCTTCTTTGTACACCAGCAAGACACGTACCAGTGGTGACCGTGATTCATCGAGAAATACGCCTACCCTTAATACCGCCAATAATCTACCGCCTCGTCAAAAGTCGCTTCCTTCATCTCCTCTACAAGAGCTAGCTCCTGTCGCACAGCCTCCTTCGCGTCGTGAATCCGCTGAAGAGATGCCCCCTCTCCCAGCAAAGAACGAGTTCCGTTTCGTCGATGATTCTTCAACTCTTCCTCATGTACCAGAAATTCAGGAGCCTCCAGCTGCTGCTGGACAAGCTCTATCAAAAGAGCCCATTGCCACTTCTCGTCCCCTTTCTGAAGAGTCAGGTAACGTCGCCGGTCATGGCGATTCCATGGCCCTGCCAGAGTTCGAATTTCAGCCAGAAACGGATGGTTTGGGTATCATGGGTCCTCGCGCATCTCAGAACTCTGCCGATGTATCATTAAGGGACAGCAACACGGTTCCCGCAAGTGTACGGCCACCTAGGAAGGAGTCTTTGCCTGTCGGGTCGAACTTTGCCCAAGATTATCAGGACTACGCCGCGCATTACGACGTTGACGCACCGGTGCAACATGAACAGGAGTATCCGCACTCAGCCGGTTTAGGTGTTCCAGAGCAAGAGAACCGAAGGTTATCAGTCGGGTTCCGACCTCTACCACCGGAGGACTTCCTGGAATCGGAGGACCCCGAGTTCAGGGCTAACAGAATCCGTTCATTCTACAAGGAGTACTTCGAGGATACCAAGGTTGTGGATCACGGAAAGCCGCCACCAATCCCACAACAGGCAACTTACTACGAAGACTACGATGCGGGTTATCTTGGTGATGGTGCATTCTTCGACCCTGACACTAATGCATTCGTTATGCCGTACGCGCAGCCCGTTACCCGTCGTGCTATGACCCCACCTCCGAACTCGAGACGACCAATGCCTGGACCTGGACAGCGTGGTCCACGTGGGCCTCACGGTCCTCATGGAAGCATGAATATGCCTGGTCCTCGTGGAAGACCTAGAGCTGGCTCGACCATGTCAGCTAACAGATGGGCACCGATGAGCCCTCGTCCAGACTCCTCGGCATCTAACCCTCGATTCATGGGTGGAAAGCCCAAGAAACCCATGCCTCCTCCTGCTCCGCTTAACACATTACCTACTCCTTCCAAGTTGAGAGATGATTCGTTCGCCCTTATGGGTGCTGTTGAGTTCGCACCTCCTCCTACCTTCAAGGATGTGACGGCCGGTCGATCGCAGAGCCCCATTGGCGAACGCAAGCCTTACATGCTCAATACGCCAATCCATTCGCCGCTAGTCAGTGCTTTCGATGATACTCCGGCACTACCTAGCCCGTAAGTAGACCTCGTATTCCGTATGCGAAATGACATTTCTAACATGTATCGATAGGCATCTTCTGCGTAAATCAGGAACATTCACTGCACTTGACTTCGCTCCCCCGCGTAGGTTTAAGGATCCCGACGCGATGAGTGATTCGGGCAGTGTGGTTAGCAACCGTAGCGGTATTTCATCAGCTAACCTCAGCGCTATCCGTAATGGTGCTGGTAGAGTCAGTCGACTTCCTGGTGACACGGTCTTTACTCAGGCTTCTATGAACAACACTCTGAAGCCATCTTGGAACATGAGGGACTAGAGCTGGTAGTCAATGGCACAAGCCTAATGTTTATATCAGGGACTCCAATGTGACAAGGCTAGTTGTCTTGTATATCTGACAATATGTACTGTTAATGTCCTATATCTCTCCCTTGTGGTGGGAGGTAATTTAGAAACCATATCATGACCGGCGAAGCATTCAATCTTGCATGGCGGACACATTATAGAAGGATCGGTGCAGTTCTGCCACTAGGCAATTAGGGTTGTTTTTGCTATTAGGTATTTATTAAATATATCCAGGTTAGTTTGTTAAGAGTCTTGTGATTTCTGATTTCTATTTTGTTCTTTTCCTTGTTTTCTCTTCTATCGTGTAATCTAGCGTGTTCTGGTGAGGTTATCTTATTGCCCTTGTTTCAATGGGAGGAGAGGTTACTATTACCTCTGGTATGGTGTTTTGTTCATCGAAATAGGGATGTTATGCTTTGATTTTTTCTACATCCTGTATTTAAATCAATTTTTGAGATACCAGGTACTTGGACAGTTGAATAGAATTGTCCGGAGTTTGAAAATAAGTTTTGACAGACTCCGTTGATGTTTCGTTGTTTCGTTAAGATTATCTCCGGCGGTTACTCTGCTTTGACTCTCACCGGGTGTGTCACATTAAGCGCCTGTCATAAGCGTCTAAACTCATCAACTTTCTCTCAATATTAGGTGAGATATTTCCAATCTACCTGCTGAGTGTATAATAAAATGGGTTTCAATAAATAGTAATGAATTGTGAAATATTTAAGACAGTCTAATGTCTCGAGGTTTATCTCCACATCCATATAAAATAAGCTGTAGATCATATTCGCGCGGGGGCTTCCAAAGATAGAAGGAGGTTCTCAGTTGATGAATGGCTGTCTTGTATGTCGGGTCAGATCGAAGATCATCCCCAAAGAACACGGGCCAATTACGTATACATTTTTCTTCAGTGAATTGAAGATTGCATCTTCAATGGAGTTACTCCGGCACGGATGACGTTAGCGATAAACTATAAGACGGCGTATTATATGTACGGGTGAAGGCAAAAAGCAGGAAATATCTTCTACTTTGGAACATATAGGTGGATGGTTACAGCACTGATGGAAACTGTTGACGCCGATATGATTTATGGTGTTCCAAGAATAGGATTTTAGAGCCTGCTTTTGCTCTGACCGTCTTTATATGTATTTTCACCGAGAATGTTTGTATGCTGTGACCGGTGATCTACTTAGGTGCTGTCTATGGGTTGCAATACATGTTAGATGGTGGGCCAATGGGGCCTATGCGTAGAAACTGCATATGGCGCCTACGGTGCTCCATCCGCAGTGCATGTTCTCCATGCGCTTCGTGGTAGGTTAGTATCTGTGAGGCGTGCTCTAAATAAAGGTCAATGTTCTTATACAGTGGTAATAATTTACTGAAACTACTGTAAGTCAAGTCGAATACATCTTCTAAGATGGAAATACAGAATTGTTTGCTTGAAGGAATGAATATACTGAGCCAGCCGTGTTGTCAGCTTAGCTTCCCTGCCTTAGGTAGGTACCTTATGTACCTATGTACTTATCCGACCAAGGTAATAAGCTCCAAGTACACATGGAATAGACTTCCTCTGTGTCATGTCAAGATTTTTGACTTTGCAAATACAGTAGACTAATTAGAAGATGAGGCTAATATACTAACACTAACTGTTAGCTGGAGGCCTTTCATCAAACGTTGGTCTCAAAAATGACTTGCTAACATTTAACCAATTCAAAATTTCGGGCGCCAAATACCAAGGTAATAAAATCTGTGCCTGTCTAAGACAGGTTTTTTGAGTCGTATTGGTACTGTACCTAACTAGCTTGTAGGTATCTGAGGACTTAGGTAACCAGGTAGATAGGTACCTTTTCTAAGTATGTAATCCAGGGATGGTTATTTAGATTCTATCAAGATCGTTCCTTTTCTCAATACTCGCCGCAAACAAATTGGTTATTGAGCTTCCTCAATATATATGTTTGTCGAATCGTCTTATGGATGCATTCATTTTAGTATTGATACAAAATTGATATACCTGCATTGATGCTAATTAAGAATGTCAAAGGAAGAGACGCAATTTTAAAGTCAAGTCGCTCTCCACGGTAAGCGTTAGAAGTCAAGCCACAGGTCGCAAGGGGCAAACACGAAAGAGATGAACCGCTAGTCGATTTGAGGTAAAACCGAATCACTAGATTGTTGTTAGCTACCCTAGACACCTCGTAAGTTACTAAACGAAGTCACTAACTTCATCATAGCGGCCGGGATGTTCCTGTACCGGGCTGCAACGTTAAACTCAATTCGAAAGTCTTGCCGGATTGTCCGTGTCCGTACTAGATCCAGTTGAGATTGCCAGCAAATTATTGCAAAGTTTCCAACTTTTGCTTTTGTCACTTTTGTCACTTTTTGTCAATCATCGCTACTGCATGGAATTGCCCCCTTGCCAGCAGTACCTAAACCATGTTCTTTCTTTGAATCCTCCCCCGACATTCATTCTCTCTTCCTCATCTTTTTCCCCCATACTCGTTCTATAGTTTTTCCTTATCTCTGATCAAATCTATGATCTAATAACTAATTCTTCACTCTTTTTTACTAATAAGATATCGTTGTTTCTTCGTACCTAGACTTCATGCAACCAACACTAACACTCAAAGCTCCTTGGCCCCGTCGTGGTTTGCTGCATTCCTAACCTATCATTTGGACCCTCCTGCATAAGCTGAGAGACACGAGAAAGAGGCACAAGCGGGAAAAAAAAAAAAATAGAGGACTCAGCCACGACTTATCTAGGGAACCCCCCTGTACGTGTACTTGGTGTATGCAGTAGCCTATTCGCTGCAATTCCCTCTCTGCATACCACTCATACCACTGGCAGCACTGGGTACATACTAAGTCAAAGACTGCCCACCGTCGCGGCCGGTGCCTTACTTTTTTCACTGTCTGCCCGTACTGTACTTCCAACTTTCATTGTCTGTCTCGCCTTCGTTCCGTACATCCTTCTGGCGCCCTCCTGGCGTGCGTCTTCCTTCCCGTTCGCGTCTCAAGACGGCCCAACTCGAAACGATAGCCAAGATCAGAATCAATTGTTGATTTTACCACTAGAGTTGTGGTTTACTCTCGCCCAGTCTCTTTCGACTGCGTGAATCAGCCAAGTCAGGCTAGTAGGTCTCGTCGCATAGGTACGTTCACAGTCTGCATCTCACTGCATTTTATTCATGAATAAACACGACGGGCTGCTTTTAGTGTACATTTGACAATCTGTGCTGTGGCGACTTGCGACACATTCCATGATAACCTCATTGGACCGCTCAACTCCAGCGCCCCATTCACCCGAATGTGTAGTGTTCCGCTTTGTTTAGCTTAACCTCACGTTATCTTCGTCTTTCTTCAACCATCCTCAATGTCTTCCACCGCTGTATTGTCGGATTTCCTCATGCTAACATGACACCTCCTAGTTTTCTCACCGGATTGAACGTCCCAAGGCAATTCACCATGTCTACCAACACCACAAGTTCCGACAATTCCGCGCAGACGGCAAGTCCGTCGGATTCCACCAGTCCATCTTCACCTGCCACTCCTTCAACTAGCCCACCTAGTACACCACCGCCTGATACCACATCTACTTCCTCTACGACTTCAGATCCAACGACGTCGCCGTCATCAACATCGACAACTGAAACTCCTCCAACCACCAGCACATCTAGCACTAGTGATACTCCCACCTCTACCCCCTCATCCACTAGTTCTACCACGTCAACATCATCACCTTCTACGACATCGACGCCAACTAGCTCAAGCATTGTATTTACTATGACTCAGGCGAGCACGGGGGAGAACGGAAGCACAGCAATTATAACTGTCACTTCGACCCAGGTGACTGCTGGTAATCCCCAGTCAACTAATCAACCCACATCCACAGATGCATCTGGCTCTATCATAACTTCCACCCCTGCCAAGTCGGGAGCTCTGGCCGAGCCGGCTAAAATTGCTGTCGCCGTTGTCGTCCCAATTGCTGCCGTAGCACTATTAGTACTTGGAGGCATCTTTTTCTGGAGGAAACGGAAGGCACGGAGGGATGCGGCGGAAGAGAGGAGAAAAGAGGTTGAAGACTACAGCTACAACCCAAATAACGATCCGACCCTACCCGATATGGGAGCCGGCGCTGGCGGTGCTTACGAAATGAAGGAAGACGGATCAGGTTACCGTGGATGGGGATCCACCACTCTTGCGGGTTCAACTGGGAGGAAGGCCTCGACTACAATGTCGGGCGGCGCAGCAGGTGTGGCTTACTCAGATGCAACATCGCCAACCAGAGGCAACTTTTCTGACACGAGATCAGGAGACGGCCTTGTAAACGAAGGCTCCAATTCACCACCAGAAGGTGAGATCCTCGGTGCTATGGGTCCGTCTGCTACGGACAACCGTGGCGGTAACGGTACCACTAACGTACAACGTGGACCGTCGAATGCCTCGTCATCTTACAGTGCTGCTGGAAGGTCCGATGGCTCTGGTGACAACGCCGGTTCATATGGAGCCCCAGCTTACCTCGATCAATACGGTGGCAATAACCCATATGCTGATGGTGCTTACGGACAACAACAGGCAGGAGGTCAACCCGTTATAAGGGACAATCCAGCTCGACGCAATACCCGCATTGAGAACCCGTCGCACTATCCTCAACAGAGCGCCGGTATCTCACAGAATTTCTAAAAACAAAAAACAGTGTCTTCGGTTTTTCATTTCTGTTCAGTTGATACCCGAACCTGGACGCAACACTACCTTACTCAAGCAACGTTATTATGTCTTCTGTGTTTTTAAGTCCTATACTTGGACTTTCTGGTGGCGTTCAGCGGTTCTAGCATACATCTTACTATCCTTTGTGCATAATATTTCTACCTACTGTCGACTTCGGATGAAATATCTTCTAGACACATTTTCTTTGGAGGATATTAAAAAACTATACAAGGTCACGGATCTTACAGATAAGGGAATGTTGTGACTGCTGTACATATTCGGAAGAGGCGAGATCTACCTATTTATCGTTTAATTCCCGCTCGTTTTATTCTCGAAGTTCCTTATTACTATGATCTAATATCAACGGCGTTATCATATATGCGAACCAACGCACCATCTGGTTGCACTATCAACCGACTGGCCAATCAACCGTTCGATATCTTCGCCGTCCGGATGGAACAGCGTCGGCAGCCTAGTCTATGAGACACGAGGAGTAAGAGGAGGAATAGGAGCTGGTGGGAAGGAGTTGAAGCGACGGAAGGGAGGTGGGGTGAAAGTGGCGGATTTGAAAAGTGGTGAGGGATCGTGAGTTGACTGGTACGGTTTCGAATCAGGCTTCTCTGGCGAAGTTCGGGCTGTCTGGGGGAACGAGTGAGGAATATAGAAACGCCTGGTATCCTGGGTTTATAATACAAATATACTGGCCGTGATACGGGCTCTTTTATAAATAACAGCCTTTTTAAACTTATATTATTCTGTACCCTCCTAGCCTTGCTGTATCAAGCCTGGTCTAGATATTCGGTGATGCTTTATTTACCATATGGACATTATACAAGAATTAAGGGAGTAAGAGGTTTTAGTAGTTTATCGAATTTCTATTCACTACGGTCTTGATGAGATGTGACGATCCAGTAAATGCGACCGATATGAGATACAGTCAGAATAGAATTGAGAGTTGAGATGGCATATGTCTAAGTGGTTAGGTGGGTAATTCGTCAAATTCCAATGGGATGAATAATTAGACTATTTTAACCTTAGACATAAGTCTATTCAGTCCTGGCATCTTTGAGGTTAAAGTTATCCCATTCCTGACTGGATGGTTTGTTCCAAGGTTTCAGTGGGGTGTGACGTCGCAAAAATCTAAAATACAGCTGCTGACGCGCCTGTAGCCACACGTGGCAGGACCTGGCAACTGCGTTTTTGAACCCCCAATAAATTAATCATACCTTATTAACTTCGGCAACTCAACTTTTTCTTCTTCGTTACGTCGATCTAGAAAAAAATTGGACAATGTCTTTTACTCTATCGTAGCCATATTTCACCAACGAACAGTATGGCATCCAGGTACGTACGGATTAATATAGCCGTCCACTGTTCTACTGGTTTGGGTACGCTTTACCTCGCCACGCCCGCCGACCCGATTCTTTGGCTTCTCTGGAACCTTCGGAGATCGAATGTAGATCGCGCCGCGCGGCAACGGAATGGGAAAAGGAGAAGGGGGAAATACTTCTCTAGAAACCAGAGTATTGTATGGATATCCGTGAGCTAACGGTGAAATGATACTGTAGATTCGGTCACTCGACACTACACCAGCGGGATTCCCGCAGCGCCCTATTCGAGGGCTACAACGGCAGCGGTAGAAATAGCGCCGACCCGACGAGACGACCGAGCCCGGCTGCGCTGGGCGGCTACGGATATGGATACCCCGGAGGCAATGGCGCGGCGGTCGGCGGCGGGAGCGGTTCGCATCTAGGCGTGGACAACAGAGGGAGTTATAGGCCGGCGACACCGAATTCGAGGTACAACTTTTTCGTATACCTCTGCTGTAAGGGGTGAGCCACTGACAATACTGTGATTAGGGGACAATATAGCGATGCGGTGCTAAACGAATTAGAAAGCCAAAACGACCAGCAGGTCGAGGGCATCTTAGGGAAGGTCAAGGTCCTTAAAGATGTGAGTTTCATACTGCTGTTGCTGCTGCGCGTAAGATTATTGTTTTCTATTGAGGCACGGGAGAAGAAATGCAAAAATAAGAAAACATGTCGAGATCTACGCAACGCTGGAGATTTATGCTAATATGGATGTGTGCCCAAGATGACAGTAGCTATCGGCGACGAAATCCGCGAGTCTTCTGCGCTCGCTGAGAAGATGAACGATACGTTCGATTCGACGCGACTACGATTGCGAGGTACTATGAATCGTATGCTTCTTATGGCCGAACGAACCGGTGTCGGTTGGAAGGTCTGGCTTGGGTTCTTCGCCGCTGTTATATTTATATTCCTCTACGTCTGGTTATTCTGATGTAGACGTCTGCGATATAAAATTACCAGTAGAACTTGCGAATTTTGGTATATCGACTACCTACCCATGAACGAAAAGATGCATATACACATACACCTCTAAAGCAAGAGACAGGGCTTAGAAAAAGCAGAGCGACATTACGACTGGCGTTGCGGCGTGTTAACATGCGAACGAATGGCACGGTTACGATACGATCGTGAAAACGAATAGGGAATGGGGATATTCTCTGAATACGGGCGGGTGGATAGGAATGACTCCGAGTGCGTACGTACGGTACGAAGTTCACGAGCATACACATGCATACCTACTTTGGTACATACGTATTAGGGGGCATTGGACATTAGACACTTACTTGGACCAGTCAAGTCATCAACATTACTACTACAACGTTTGTAATACTCAATGTATCATATCTATACATTCATACATACATCAACTACATCTTGCATTGTCTCGTTCCATTGGGCATTAATTTGGTATTAATGATACTAAGGCTAACTTGTTTGGTTCCGGAAACCATCTCATTAGGGGAGTAAGGTAGAGAAGGATGTAAAGTAGTAATGGGTATCTTAAGGTGAATGCAGATGTAAATAATGGATGAATAGAGGAAAGACGTTATGTCATGAATCATAAAATCTTAGTGTTCCTTCACGGATCAACCTCGCCCGAGACGACGGGCCGCTCCGCTGTTGCGTCGTTGTACTTCCGGGCTACTTCCCAGCATGCTGCCGTCGTGGGATAGTATATCACTAATAGTAATGCTATTACGCGTCGCATCGCTTCGCGCTAAGCCGTGCCTATATCTAGACTGCAGCTGCTGAGGTGGTTGCGGTTGGGACTGGGACGCATGCGCAGCAAAGCTCATCTCGGCTCGGTCATCGTCATTGCCACTGCTAGTGCTCAAATCCGCTTCCGAGTCCGTATGCTCATAACCTGCGTCCTCGGCTTCGGGGATGTCGTCATCTAAGTTAGCGTCCATACCCATGTCCATGTCTCCACCACCGGCTAGGTCGTCTTCTTCGATCATCTGCGCTTGGTCTTCGTCGTCGACTTCATCGTCTACGCCGTAGTAATTCACGTCGTCCCGCCCACGGGCCATGGACTCACGGAATGCATCATCGGCTTGGCGCATACGCTGCGCCATAAGCTGCTGCTGCGTTCGCGCGACTCTCTGCTCCTGATCTTCTTCCTCTTGTTCATCATCATCTTCTTCGTCCTCATCCTCTTCATCATCAGACCCAGCACCAAAATCCGCATCCTCGGCTTCTGGTATATCATCGTCCAAGTCCCTAGCCCCGTCTAGCTGCACGTCGTCCATAACACCGTCATCCCCACCTTCACCGCCTTGCTGTACATCATCCAGCATAGCATCGACATCACCACCCACACCCACACCAGCAGCTTCCGCTTCAGCGAGTTCTTGCGCGAGGGCTTCGCGCCGCATGGCTTCGGCGTGCTCCTCCGCCTCCCGACGCTCTTCGCGCAGCTGGTGCAGGGTCTTGGGCACGCCGAGGGGTTTCAGCCATGTGCTTCCGAAACTCGCTACATTTTGCCTTCGCCGTTCCAGGTTCTGCTCATCGGACCGGAGACGCGCGAGCGGTGAAGCTTCGATTAGGTGGCGTGCCCCGCGGTGGTTAGCCCCGGTGGCGCCGTCTTGTTGTTGTTGCTGCTGTTGCTGTTGGTGGTGGTGTGGCTGGTTGTTTGGGGTGTAGGGGTCGAGGTTGGGGGTCGAGAGGGGATTGCGGGTTGATGTGTACCATAGTGAGTGTGACTGGGTGTGTAGATTGTGGTTAGCTGTTTTACCTATATGAGACGTGTTATAGGAGGTACTCACATCGCGTGGTGCTAGGTCTGGAAGGAGGGACAACATGCTTGCTATGTCCGGCAAATGTTGCAATTGATCGCTTTACGAGGTAGCCGGATAAGTAACCATGCCGTATGGTCCTCTGCGTGTCGAATTGGGCGGAATGAAGCTGCTCTGGAAAGACAATTCAGGGATGTGTTGCGACTGGTGCGGATTTGCTAAATCTAAATCTGGGGTTGAGTGGGATGTATTTTTGAGGCTCCAAAATTATTACGGTTTGTTATTACTAATCATGACATTTTGCCTTTTGTCAACGCACTTTCCTATCCTATTATATTCTACGTTATACTAATCCAAATGTGCTGCTGTATAATTAAATTTATGCACCCGACTTATACAGACCAATTCCATTATTTATTCAATGTTGTATAACCATTTTGGTTCCTCATTTGGAGCAACCTCAGTTGAATACTCAGATCGCGATCGAGCACCAACTTATATAAACATACATAAGAAAGAAGCATGTGATCAGGTACCTCGAATGGATGTATCCACATATGGAATTTCCCATTCGCAAAAGTCTCGGACCCCAAAGTCAAGTGCTTCTTGCAGCCTGCGATACAACTGTCAGTCTATACTCTTCTGGTATAGTAATTTATGTGCTGTCACTCCGGGTTCTGCTCGGAAGCAGGCTGGGCAGGTGAGTGATGAGGACACATTCATCGTAAGTTGCTGAACTCCTCTTTTTTGCATGCCATCTCACATCTCATCCCGTGCTGGCGACAAGTCAAGTCGTAGCAAATTACGCTTACGGGCTAATAGTAATATAGATGATATTTTCATCAGGTAATGAGAATTCGCTGAAATTTGCTAGTCAAGGGAATCGTACGGTTTGACTAGCAGCGGTGAGAAGGGCCGCGGGTTCATGAAACAGACAAAACAGACAAAACGAACAAGTAACTACCTAAAAAAGTAGGTATTTGGCATATTTGGGCCGTCCTCCATGGGGCTTGTTCCTCGACTACGGGATTTTTCGGAACAGAAAGTGGGCATTTTCGTGCTTGAAAGGAAGATGAACGCGTCCTCCTCATTATTTCGTACATTTCGTACATATGTAGCGCACGTGCTAGGGGCTTGACCCGCCGCCCGTCAGCCCTCTCTAATTAAGTCCGCCCCGCTCCCCTCCGCGACGCGCAAGGATTAGGAGGGGAGGCTTGTAGTTCCTCTGAAAGCTTATTCCCACAAGGCCGATCTCGCTTCGATCCTGCCACTCTCTCTCGGTCGACATCGGAAGTCGTACAAGTAATATATCGGTGACTAGATGTCTACCAACTCACGTCCGAATACAAACGCCGTGTAAGTATGCGAACGGGTGTAAACTGGAAGTTTCACGAAAGAATATAGCCCTCCGTAATGCGTGACACCCGTACTCGGGACGAGGTAATGGTTCTATCACATATTCGCCGAGATCTAGATTGAGTCCGGGTCTCCGGCCTTGCTAGCGGCTCGCAGGGAATTGCTAGCGCGAGATAACACTCCATCACCTATAACCAAGACTCTGATTGGTGGATTCTGGCTATTTACTGCTGTCGATTCTTTTACTTACGGATTTATAAAGGGAACAAAGGGTATTGAGTACAATAACACGGGAGGTCACGCGGCCAAGAAACTTTACTATGTAGCCCCCAGGTCGTAATACCCCAGTCGCATCCTTAACCACACGTACTATCCCTGTATCTACTGTACCTAGGTATGCACATGCTAAGTGTATTTTATGTATGTAACTTTGCCGCCCCGTTCTACATACATGATACATCTACCTAAAATCCAATGCAGGTTCAACCTGCAGAAATTACGCCGAGTAAAGTTAGGAATTCGGTTTAGAGAGCTGCTTCCTACATAGACCCAACAAGTCTAGAGCTGCTTCTTATTGGCTGGGCACTTTTATTATTTCTACCCGAACAAAGTTGTACAGTATGTAGGAATTGGAGCACAGCCTACGATACAACCATCTATAGAACCATTTTATAGTTCAAAATCTCCTCTCGAATTCCTTCGGAGATAAGCTTAATCCATAAGGCTACACACGGTTGAAGATATTTCTTCTTGAAGTTAGCACCAGCCTATTCATTACTTGCAAGGACAACTATAAGTATTTTTTTCTGCACGGATTTTATTCTTAATAGATGGACTCTTACATAGTACAGACGAATTGCTGCGTCGGCTCGACACCAAATACGACTTAGTTGTTTGCGGGATATATTGGCATTTCCACATTGATCGAGGAGCGTACGCACATATGTGAGACACCCGAGGAATGAGGCATCTTGGTTATTGTATGATTCCCCGTGTCTCCTTACTATGGTTCTCAAAACAGATTTGTCTGTCCATAATGGTGAGAGACCCCACGCTGCCACGCAGCACCGCCCAAATGGAGGCTCTCGTAAGCGGATTCGTCCTCGCCCGGACCCTGTCACCCGCTACATTGTGAAGCTGCATTACTACTACAATACCTGCCTATATACAGTATAATGCATTACTAGTGTTCCGCAGTAGCGGGTGACGCGACATCGGACCACGGAAGCGAGCTTTTTTCATAATCCAAGAATCATAAAGGTTTCGCGTTGATTGGGTGCTGAGATGGACTTTCTTTAAATTCGTAGTGCCTCATTCGACGCTTTAGGCCAGCTCTACGTCTTACCCGCCAGTCCCCGTACATGGAAATGGTCTCTTCCTGGATATATCCCTGCCATCGGGATATGCATGTCTGTGTGGGGTGCGCTCAGGGTACGGTTCTGGAATGGACTTTAGTTCATACGTCCATGCTCAGGCCCATGTTCATGTCCATCCAGCGCTGAGCGACGTTTTTGTTACTCAAAACTTCATTTGCGGCTACGTAGCTTTTTAAAGGAAAAAGCAAAGAAACAGGATGACCTCCGATGAACGGCAAGGAAATCATCCAAGAGTCGTTATTATTATTATTATTATTAATTTGCGAAGGTCAATCAAATGTGACCAAGTCGCATCTCAAGCGAATAGACTCATGCCTGTAAGACTCGATCCTCGGAGAACCGACTACCAATGAACCGGCGTCTTGGGTTACAAGTCAAATGCGCTCTCGAAGGCGATTATGTAGCCCTGAAATGCACCATTACGACATATATGTCTCCTGTGTAATAAGGGTCGTTTTACTTCGGATGCCACAAACGATGCTAACAAATTAATTATTCTCTTAACCAGACATCTAGAAGGACGGCCAAGCAGACAGACAGACCGACTAATTTTAAGGGCAGTAAGGGGGTATGATTTTATATAGTAGTTACAATCTCTAGTCGCTAATAGAATTTCAAGAAAAGCTACCGTCTCGCGACTCAATGGACTCTATGGATTCAATGGTATGTTGCATTTCTAGTATACGTAGCAGTGGTAACAATAGCAGTAGTAGCCCATGCACATTTCATAATACACTACATACTACATACCTCTCTATGCACACACTACTATGTAGCGAATGCAGCAAACAGCCTCGTATTTTTCACAACCCCCCAAATCTTTTGGAATTCCATCTCACCCATCAAAAACTACCTTGCACCATATCATACACCTACGTAGTCATTTCATCCAACTTACCTCTCATAACGTTTGTTTGGATCACACAGAAATGAAATTGATGCTTATTGGATGAATGAGGAGTGCGTATAAATTTGTATGTCATGTAGGTGCATATGTGACAAATTCCGAATTTGCGCGAATATTTTTTTGTCTGCCCTCCCTCGCCTGACAGCGGCACTATGGAGGCAAAGTTTAGGTTGTGGCCGAGTCCTTCTGTTTTGCGTACCAGTAGTACAAAAAAAAGGAGTACATACAGATGTGTAGTAGAAGAAATGGGCTAGTTATAGTTTACACCAAGCAACTGCCATGGACCCTGCTTAGTTTAACCAATCAGAATAGTTCATTTGTTAATCTTCAATGACTCTGCGTATGAGGTAGAGGCAACTTCGACTCCGGTAACGTCACCGAATCGAACTAGCCGCTCAGTCTAAACCAATAGACGCAAACAGTACGCCGGGGTCTGAAAGACTTGTCGTCCGTCCTTCGGCCATCTCCTTCCCCTCCCCCACTTAGACTCTACTCTTATTATTGAACGCTGGGGCTAAGAAGCGCAGTGGAGGAGGCCGATCTCTTGTTTCCCCATGTCGGGTTTCTACACCAAATTTGTTACTGACCTATATGAATAAATATTTTTTTTTCTCGACACTGGACTTGGAAATTGTGTAGAAAGCCCTTGATCGATTTCTAACCCGGCTTGGCTCCTCCTACTCCTCTCCTGTTGCTGTCACATCCATAAAAGCCAGACTTCCTGCCACACCTTTTTCTTCGAATTGCCCTCTCTTCTCTTTTTTTCTTTCTCTTGCCAGACCATTTAGCGAAATACCCAGCTTTTTGTCCCAAGAGACTTTGAACCTAGTTATCTCCTCTCGAGAGCCACCCCGCCAAGAGAGATAGCGAAAAGAGAGACAGAGAAAAGGAAAAAAAAAATAGGAGTCGCGTAAAGTTTTAACTGTGAGTATAACTATATAATTTTCTCTATTAATTCATTATAATTCCCCAACTTGCAACACCTCAACCTGGTTCCTCAATGGCCGCAATTACGAAGAACAACGAAAATAGACCTGGAATGCGGAAAACCTGGACGGTGGCACCTAAACCCAGAAACCGGGAATGGGATAGGGAAAAGCGAAAGCGATCAACAATTCGATGTACCTATGGATTTATGTCGGTTGTCAGGACTGGCGTTCGAGGGATAGGGTAATGCTGCGTTGGATGATGAGTGAGGCATTCTGTCTCCATCCAAATGCAGAAATACCCCGGTCCCTCTTATTGCTACCCTACGGATGATAACTGAAAGTATCGGCACCAAAAAAGACATCATATGCACGATCTCCAACCTATCAGACGCAAGATCGATAGCCGCATGGTTTCGTTTGGAAGCTTCGCAATTGGCTGCTATCGTATCGCTCCCCACGCTACCACCGTGCGAAAACCAATGATTCAACAGTCCGATTTCCTGATTCAGGCTGGCCTCTACATGGGTATGTCGTGGTGGTTTGTCCATTCAAAGCTCAATGACGCCAGTGGTGCATATGGGTAAAGCAACACAACACACACTGAAGGGCAAAAAAAGAGAGCTAAGGCTGTCCAACGCTCTTTTGTTCTCCTTTATTTCCCATCTTGTGTTCACAATAGCACATCTATCCTAATAGCGGCCGGCGTTCCTCCTTATTCTCCCGCCAAGTGGATAAAAATGGCATTTTTACTGGGTACTAGAAAGCGGAAGGGGAGGAAAAAGAGCAAGATGCTTCTTGCCACAAGAACTTCGTAACCCGCCTCACTTTCCTTCCCAAGTGGTTTCCCCGCGGAGCCCACTTTGGTCGTGCTTGAACAAACCTGGACCTAGAGCTGGATAGAGTTTCGTCTTCTACGCTCCGGCTGCAGGCATCACATGGCAAACTCCACACACTCTACCTAAGATGGAGAAAGAGCGATAGATAAAGGCGAGAGGATAAAAAAAAGTATCAGTCGTCAATCGTACCTATCACCCCGCACTCTTTTTTCTATCCTCCCAATCCAACGCCGTCACTCTGGATCACCCAATATCGAATGTTATCCGGATCGCCATTGGACCAACCTTGTTCTCTGCATTATCTTTCACGTTATCATCGTTCTTTCGCATCTGCCGATCTAAAGCCAAGTTATCAAACGCTGACATAAAAATTGTGAATTAGCTAGACCTGACGTTTAAGCAGCGTCAGCTGCTCTCATTCGCCGTATACACACAGGGGCCGCGTCTCTCGAGGCATCTAGATACCTCCGACCCTCTCTCTATTACTTTTCACCTCCAATTGGCCCTATTGTTCTCTTGCCTGACATGGGCCTTCCTGCCGACTTCGACGATAGACAAACACAGTTAGAGTCCGAGGCCGAGGCCTACCATCCTTATGAATATCAAACAGAGAATAACGACTCCTGGGCTGGCGCCCTGCCGGTGAAGCAGTATGTGTCAAGTGAATAAATAAAAGGCGATGTGATCATATAACTAATCAAATCGTATAGAGGATTGTACGATCCTAGCTTCGAAAAAGATGCATGTGGTGTCGGTTTTGCCTGGTACGACAGTTACACAATTGTGCCCCGTCTAAAGCAACAATTTCACTAACCATTTACGTAGCCACATCAAGGGCAAGGCAAGCCATAAAATCGTCAGCGATGGTGAGTTATTAATAAACATCACCATATTATATGCCCATGTCAATATACTAACATTTTGCAGCCCGCAATCTCCTGTGCAACATGACCCATCGTGGTGCGGTTGGTTCTGATGCTCGAGACGGTGATGGTGCTGGTGTCATGACTTCGATTCCTCATAGGTTCTTTATCAAGAATTTTGAGAAGGAGGAAGGCATTAAACTGCCTCCTCTGGGACAATATGCCGTGGGAAATCTTTTCTTTAAACCAGATGAGGAGACGTTGCAGGAGTCGAAGAGGCAATTGGAAGATATTGCCGAATCGCTCGGGTTAAGAGTTCTAGGTTGGCGATCACCTCCTGTAGACTCTTCTCTCCTTGGTCCTGCTGCGTCCTCGCGAGAGCCATTTATTCTCCAGCCCTTTGTTGTTCTTGCATCTGCGTATGGCTCTGGAAATGCTCCTGAAATGACGGACCCAGAGAAATTCGATGAACGGCTGTTCGAACGACAATTGTATGTCCTTCGAAAGCGTGCTACCCACTCCATCGGCCTTCATAATTGGTTTTACTTGTGCTCCTTGTCAAACAAGAACATTGTCTACAAGGGACAACTTGCCCCCATCCAAGTTTATCAGTATTACCATGATCTGGTAAATGCCGATTACGAGGCTCATTTTGCCCTCGTACACTCTCGTTTTTCCACAAACACCTTCCCTTCCTGGGATCGTGCTCAACCACTGCGATGGGCAGCTCACAATGGTATGTGTAGATCTAGAACTCCAATAGCCTTGTACGTCTAACATTACTTCAGGTGAGATCAACACCCTTCGCGGTAACAAGAACTGGATGCGTGCCCGGGAAGGTGTAATGCAATCTGATATATTCGGTGATGAGCTTGAGCATTTATACCCGATTGTTGAGGCTGGCGGCTCTGACTCGGCTGCTTTTGATAACGTATTAGAATTGCTCACCATCAATGGCGTCCTCTCGCTACCCGAAGCAGTTATGTTAATGGTCCCTGAGGCCTGGCAAGGTAACACCGCCATGGACCCCAAGAAAGCTGCATTTTACGAATGGGCCGCATGCCAAATGGAGCCTTGGGATGGCCCTGCTCTCTTCACATTCGCTGATGGACGATTCTGCGGTGCCAACTTAGACCGAAATGGTCTCCGTCCCTGCCGATACTACATAATGGACGACGACCGTATAATCTGCGCTTCCGAAGTCGGTACTATTCACGTTGACCCCGAGCGAGTTATCCAAAAGGGACGATTACAGCCAGGTCGTATGCTGCTAGTCGACACTCAAGCTGGTCGTTTGATCGACGACTCGGAGCTTAAGTCAGCTGTGTCTAACCGCAATGACTTCCGATCTTGGATCGACCAGGAGCTTATTAGCCTGCCCAAGGTTCTAAGCCGTGTATCGGGAGAGCAAGCAATTGACGTTGCAGCGAAGCTCAATGCCACACGCCTCCAAGAGGACCCTATGCTACTTGCATTCGGATATACCTATGAACAAGTTAGCTTACTCCTTGCGCCGATGGCGTCAGACGAAAAGGAAGCATTGGGATCCATGGGTAACGATGCACCGTTAGCTTGTCTTTCTCAGGCTCCTCGCTTGCTTTACGAGTACTTCCGACAACTTTTCGCTCAGGTCACAAACCCTCCTATCGACCCGATCAGAGAGTCTATTGTCATGTCGTTAGAATGCTACGTGGGACCGCAGGGTAACTTGCTTGAGATGGACCCCTCTCAATGTGCTCGATTATTACTGCCAAGCCCCATCCTCTCTATCCCCGAATTCAACTCCTTGACCAACATGTCCAAGTTGTACCCTGACTGGACGGTGAAGACAATTGACCTTACGTTCCCTAAGTCAGACGGTGTTGCTGGTTACATGAAGCACCTCGACTTCATCTGCGATGAAGCTACTGCTGCCATTGAGGCTCGAGACAGAATTATCGTACTCTCCGACCGAAAAACATCCGCCGACCGCGTTGCTGTATCATCTCTCCTAGCTTCCGGTATGGTCCACCACCATCTTGTCAGCAACAAGTGGCGATCTATGGCCGCCATTGTTCTCGAGACAGCCGAGGCACGTGAAGTCCACCATATGTGTGTCTTGCTCGGTTATGGTGCAGATGCCGTCAACCCATACCTTGCTATGGAGTGTATTCTGAAGCTCAACCGCGAAGGCTTGATCAGGAAGAAGCTCTCCGATGATACTCTCATCGCAAACTACAAGCACTCTTGCGATGGTGGTATTCTCAAGGTCATGAGCAAGATGGGTATTTCAACCCTGGCCAGTTATAAGGGTGCTCAGATTTTCGAGGCACTTGGTGTCGATGACGAGGTTGTTGAGCGATGCTTCAGGGGAACTGCTTCGCGTATCAAGGGTCTCACTTTCGAGCTCATTGCCGAGGATGCATTCCGCTTCCACGAGCGTGGTTTCCCTTCGCGTCAGACTGTTAGCGTCCCTGGTCTGCCCGAATCCGGTGAATACCATTGGCGCGATGGTGGTGAAGCTCACATAAACGATCCTACTTCGATTGCAAATATCCAAGATGCTGTCCGCACTAAAAATGACAAGTCGTATGAGGCATACTCCCGCTCGGAGTATGAACAAATCAAGGCTTGCACGCTACGTGGCATGCTTGATTTTAAATTTGAGGAGAGCAATCCCATTCCAATTGAACAGGTAGAGCCTTGGACTTCAATTGTTACGAGATTCTGCACAGGTGCCATGTCTTATGGTTCGATCTCCATGGAATCTCACTCTACTCTAGCCGTCGCGATGAACCGATTAGGCGGAAAATCGAACACTGGTGAAGGTGGAGAGGACCCTGAGCGATCACAAGTCATGCCAAACGGTGACACAATGAGATCGGCTATCAAGCAGGTCGCCTCTGGGCGTTTCGGTGTGACCTCAGCTTACCTTGCCGATTCCGATGAGCTACAAATCAAGATGGCACAAGGCGCCAAGCCTGGTGAAGGTGGTGAACTTCCCGGTCACAAGGTTTCGAAGTCCATTGCCCGAACCCGTCACTCAACTCCCGGTGTCGGTCTTATCTCGCCTCCTCCTCACCACGATATCTACTCCATTGAAGATTTGAAGCAGCTCATTTACGACCTTAAGTGCTCAAGCCCCCGATCTCGCGTTTCCGTTAAGCTGGTTTCTGAGACTGGTGTTGGTATTGTCGCCTCTGGTGTCGCCAAGGCCAAGGCCGACCACATTCTCATTTCTGGACAGTGAGTACTAAAAATCTTAACGGTTTTCTGATTTTTGACTAACAATTTCTTTAGCGATGGTGGTACTGGTGCTAGTCGATGGACTGGTATCAAGTACGCCGGTCTTCCCTGGGAGTTGGGTCTTGCTGAAACCCATCAGACGCTCGTCCTAAACGATCTCCGTGGCCGTGTTGTCGTACAAACTGATGGTCAACTCCGAACTGGACGCGATGTTGCAATCGCCTGTCTGCTTGGTGCCGAGGAATGGGGTTTCGCTACCACTCCCTTGATTGCCATGGGTTGCATTATGATGAGGAAGTGCCGTAAGTGGATTCTATGGTCTCGAAGCTATGATTGGGTTACTAACATTTTATAGACCTGAACACCTGCCCTGTGGGTATCGCAACACAGGACCCAGAACTTCGCAAGAAGTTTTCTGGCACCCCTGAGCACGTTATCAACTTTTTCTACTATGTCGCCAACGAGCTCCGAGCCATTATGGCTCAGCTTGGTTTCCGCACCATTAACGAAATGGTTGGACACGTAGAATGCCTAAAGGTCCGAGACGATCTCCGAACCAACAAGACTTCTAACATCGATCTCTCTCTCATTCTTACGCCTGCTCACAAGCTCAGACCTGGTGTTGCTACGTTCAACGTTCGAAAGCAGGACCACCGTCTATATGTCCGACTAGACAACAAGCTCATTTCGGAAGCTGAGTTGACTCTTGATAAGGGACTTCCATCTCGCATCGAGTGTGATATTGTCAACACCGATCGTGCTATGGGTACATCTCTTTCCTACCAGATTTCGAAGCGCTATGGAGAAGCTGGTCTTCCAATGGACACTGTCCATGTCAACATCAAAGGCTCCGCCGGTCAATCTTTCGGTGCCTTCCTTGCTCCTGGTGTTACATTGGAATTGGAGGGTGATGCCAACGATTACGTTGGTAAGGGTCTCTCTGGTGGACGACTCATCATCTACCCTCCCCGGTCGGCTGTTTTCAAGGCTGAGGAGAACGTTCTTATCGGTAATGTGTGCTTATACGGAGCGACTAGCGGTACTTGCTTCTTCCGTGGTGTCGCTGCTGAGCGTTTCGCCGTCAGAAACTCGGGTGCCACAGCCGTTGTCGAAGGCGTTGGTGACCACGGTTGTGAGTACATGACTGGTGGTCGTGTTGTCATCTTGGGAAGCACTGGTCGTAACTTTGCTGCTGGTATGTCGGGTGGCATTGCATACGTCCTAGACATTCACGACGACTTTATTGCCAAGCTGAACATGGAGATGGTTGAAGCCTCTGAGGTTACCGACCCCACTGAAATTGCTTTCCTCCGGGGCCTAATCGAGGATCACCACCACTACACTGGATCCGAGCTGGCTGCTCGTATCCTTGTAGACTTCAACAGGGCACTCCCACGTTTCGTTAAGGTTCTTCCCGTAGACTACAAGAGAGTCTTGGAGGAGGAAGCCGCCAAGGCTGCTGAGGCTAAGCGTGCTGAATACAACTTACCTATTGTTTCTGGTGTCCAGGCAAAGAAGGAAGAGAAGGCCGCCAAGCTCCAGGATATCGAAGAGACAGTTGGTGATAATGCGGCTGAGAAGAAGCGTGCTCTCGTCCTTGACAAGACTAAGGGTTTCATGAAGTACCAGCGACGATCGGAGAAATATCGTACTGTTAAGACCAGAACGAAGGATTGGGCTGAGCTTTCTCAACGTCTAAACGAAGACGAACTTAAGTACCAGTCCGCCCGATGTATGGACTGTGGTGTTCCCTTCTGTCAATCCGACACGGGTTGCCCGATCTCCAACATTATTCCCAAGTGGAACGAGTTGGTCTTCCAGAATCAATGGCAAGATGCTCTCAACCGTCTGCTCATGACCAACAACTTCCCTGAGTTCACTGGTCGTGTTTGCCCTGCTCCTTGCGAAGGTGCCTGCGTCCTTGGTATCAACGAAGACCCCGTAGGTATCAAATCCATCGAGTGCGCGATTATTGACCGTGGTTTCGAGATGGGTTGGATGGTCCCGCAACCTCCTGAGGTCCGAACTGGCAAGAAGATTGCTGTCATTGGTTCCGGTCCTGCTGGTCTTGCTTGTGCCGACCAACTGAACCGTGCTGGACACACTGTCACTGTCTACGAGCGTGCTGACCGAGCTGGTGGTCTTCTCATGTATGGTATCCCCAACATGAAGCTTGATAAGCGTGTCGTCAAGCGCCGAACGGACTTCATGGCTGCTGAGGGTGTTCAATTCAAGACTGGTGTTACCATCGGTGAAGATATCACTTTGATGGACCTCAAGGCCAAGAACGATGCTGTTGTCATCGCTACCGGTGCTACTGTTGCCCGAGACCTTCCGATCAAGGGACGCAACCTTGAGGGTATCCACTTTGCTATGGAATTCCTACATAAGAACACCAAGTCTCTGCTTGATTCTGAGCTGGCTGACGGTGCTTACCTCTCTGCTAAGGACAAGCACGTCGTGGTCATTGGTGGTGGTGACACTGGTAATGACTGCATTGGTACCTCGGTTCGTCATGGCGCCAAGTCGGTTATCAACTTTGAGCTTCTCCCGCAGCCCCCGCCGCAGCGTGGCCGTGACAACCCTTGGCCTCAGTGGCCTCGCATCTACCGTGTCGACTATGGCCACACCGAAGTGGCTCAGCACATGGGCAAGGACCCTCGTGAATACTGCATCATGTCTGAGGAATTCGTCGACGATGGCAGTGGACGTGTCAAGGGTATCAACACCATTCGTGTTGAGTGGACTAAGTCTGCTACTGGCGGCTGGGACATGAAGAAGCTTGAGGACACTAAGCAATTCTTCCCTGCTGACCTCGTCCTCCTCTCCATGGGTTTCCTGGGTCCCGAGGCTCGCGTTCTCGGCGAGGAGATCGAGAAGGATGCGCGCAAGAATGTCAAGACCCCTGCCGGTTCCTACGCCACCAATGTCCCGGGTATCTTCGCGGCTGGTGACTGCCGCCGCGGTCAATCTTTGATTGTCTGGTAAGTTAATGCATAAAATTGTTTGAAATGGAATTGAGCTAACAATACTGCACAGGGGTATCAACGAAGGACGACAAGCTGCTCGTGAGGTCGACTTGTACCTCCAGCACTACACCAGCTTGCCCGTCACTGGTGGTATCGTCAAGCGAACGGCCCAGGAGATCTTCAGCGTCGCCGCATAAGAAAAAAAAAACTGACAAACCAAGAAAAAAAAGTATTAAAAACCATGCGATGTTTTCCTCAACGAAAATGGGATAAACACAAAAAGAATTATGAGATATATGTATAGCTATGTCACAAAAACATTAGATTTTGGACAGGCTCGGTGCTTTTCAAAAAATCATCAAGGCGGGTGTGAACATATTGATATTTTACGAAGTGTTCTTCTTATGATACCACGAATAAAGGGGACGGAGAAGAGGCAGAAAATTAGGCGAGAATGTCTATGTACCTTATGCAGGCAGGCGGTCTCAAGGGGAAAAAGAATGCCTGGCTCTGGGGTGGCTCTTTGAATGCTGCTTGCTGATGCAGCATAGAGTTGTTAACACTATACGATTACGATATGTGCATGGGATGCGATGATTACCAGGAGTACTGTATATACGATGATATTCTGCTTCGATGAATTTATATTATTTGTAGTTTACATGATTTTCCTTCCCTACTTGAAGTAATATCATTGATTTTCGCCAATCGAGGCACTTACACTGGGAACCATTACGTATATGCTCGTTTCTTTCTGTGCCAACAGTTTCTCCCCTCTTTTTTCATTTCATATGTCATAATTTTACTTACAATAATTTATTGTTATCCTTTAATTGCTCGCTGGCGAGAACAACTTCGAGGGGCACGTGCTCCAAATATCACATATGTTAAGCCAGTATACGATAGGTTATCCACAGCTTCTATTACATATGAGATAGCTTTCTCGTCTGATATTCCACTCTATCCTAGCGGGCAGGCCGTAACTAGCTTTTAGCCATAAACTATCATCATAGAGGTTTTTTCCTCCTCAGGTTTTCTTAGAGTATTTTTCTTGTCCCTCTTTCTAGCGTGGTTATTAGGCCCGGTTTTGGATCTTGATGTTTTCTATTCAGGACTATGCGACAGCACGTTGCGCGGGCACGCGATCTTATTGGCGAATGGCTTTCTGATCGATATTTTTATACTATACCTATGCCGTAGATAGCGTAGTCCAGAACCTTCAAGCTAACAATATTAGAGCTTAGTCGACGGCTAGATGGCAGGTAAAAAGGTTTAGAAGATGGAGCTCTCCGAAGGAACCCTGGAACCCTGAACGAGCTAAGTATTTAAGTACCTAAGTAGCCCAGCCCCGCTCGGTAACAGTGACGAAAGAGCTCCAATTAGACGTCGCAGATCGCTGTTTATACTGTGTAAAATTATACCATGCTATGCTATGCTTGTGCTATGTAGATGTCACTTCTCTTAGCTCCAATTTCTTGATACCATCTTCCCAGCTATACAAAACGATCGGTTTGACACTTGATCGTGTCTTTTTTCCTCTTATAATTATTTTTCTGCATTTATTGTGTTTCTATCCAATTGATTTAGTCTTTGCCTTAGCCCTTATATCCATATTGCATTTGTAAACCCCGACCTCCTGATACGAGCCCCAATCGAAAATCCTGCCTCTAAACAACTAATTCCCTAACCCGACTCTTCTCGAAGCCACGAGCTACAAACATAATTCAAGATGCGCTTCGGCAAAACTCTTCGCGAGTCTATCTACCCGCCATGGAAGGACCAATACATCGACTACTCAAAGCTGAAAACCATGCTGCGAGAAGACAGGCGGGAAGACGAAGACGTGCCATGGACTGAGGACGACGAGAACCGGTTCTGTGACGAGGTCTTCAACGTACAACTCGAGAAGGTCGCGCAGTTTCAAGAGAAGATCGTCAGTGGTCTAAAAGAACGCGCCGAGGTCGCCTTCGAGAAACTCAAGGACATGGCGCCGTCGGACGATAAGCCGAAGAGCGATATCACTACGGCCCGGTTGAAGGAGCTGAAGAGCGAGCTTGATTCTATCACGAACGAGGTCAAGGAACTCAAGAAGTATAGTAGTGCCAATTATACCGGTTTCTTGAAGATTGCTAAGAAACACGACCGCAAGCGTGGTGATCGGTATAAGGTCCGGCCTATGATGCGGGTTAGCTTGTCTGAGCGCGGGTTCAATTCCGAACAGGCGTATTCGCCGTTGCTGACGAAGTTGTCGTTGATGTATTATGCTATTAACCAGAACTTGGATGATGGCGAGCAACAGCATCCGCTGGAATTGGATTTGGATAATCAACAGGAGGTGCACAATGGGGAACGTTATACCGCTCATAAATGTAAGTTGTTGGATTCGTCTCAACTTTAAATTGAATTTGGGCTAATATGGATTGTTATAGTCTGGATACACACAGACAACCTTCTCGAAGTTAAGACTGCTATTTTACGACACCTACCTGCCCTCGTCTACACCCAACAAGCTGGCCAAGAGCCTGACGGCAACGAAGACCCCAAGATTACGTCGCTCTACTTTGACAATTCCAAATTCGACCTATATGGAAGAAAGGTGGATCGTCAAGTTGACGCCTCGTCCGTCAGGCTACGCTGGTATGGACAACTCGATGCGCAGCCGGACATTGTCCTCGAGCAAAAGATCGTGCACGAGAATGGCCTTAGTGAAGAGAGGAAGTTTAACATTAAGAATAAATATGTCAAACAATTCATTGATGGGGACTACAAAATGGAAAAGACGATACAGAAAATGGAACGCCAGGGTCAGACTGCGGAGGCTATTGAGGAATTCAAGACTACGGTTGACGAGATCCAAGAGTTCATTATAAGAAGCAAGTTGGAACCCGTCCTGCGAGCCAATTACACTCGTACGGCGTTCCAAAAACCTTCGGATGACCGTGTTCGAATCTCAATCGACACTGATGTTGCTTTTATCCGCGAAGATACCTTGGATCGTGACCGACCGTGTCGCGATCCTCAGGAATGGCATCGCCGGGATATCGACAATGGCAACATGTTGTATCCATTCAAGAACATAAACCAGAGCGAGGTCTCTAGATTTCCATTTGCGCTTCTTGAGATTAAGCTGAAGGAGGAAGATGGTCGCAAGCAGCCGAGGTGGATAGAAGAGTTGATGGCTTCCCACCTTGTCCATGCAGCCCCTAGATTCTCGAAGTTTGTGCACGGTGTCGCATCTCTTTTTGATGACTACGTCAATCACCTACCGCTGTGGCTCAGCGATCTCGAAACGGATATCCGAAAGGATCCCCAGACAGCTCACGATGAGGAAGAACAGCGCAAGGCTCAGCAGGCAGAAGATGCAATGGCTGTAGGCAGTTTCCTAGGTGGCGCTAAGATCGGCTCATATAAACCAGCGACAAGTTCGCCAGTTGGGAAGTCTTATCTCTCGGAGCGAGCTGCCAGAGAATCGAGGGCGTCTGTACCTCCAACCGCCGTGAATGGCCGTGGTGATCATGATACCGAGACTGGCGACACAGACGGTACGCGGCAAAAGGGATATGGAACTCTTTCTTCCATCTTCCCTGGTTTCTCCTTATCACGGTACTCTCGAGCTAAGCGTCAACGGGCGCAACTTCCCGAAGGTGTCACAAAGCCGGAGGTTTGGCTTAAGAATGCCGGTCCGTTACAAGTAGAGCCAAAAGTTTGGCTTGCCAACGAGCGAACATTCCTTAAATGGCAGCACATCTGTATCCTCCTAGGCAGTTTAGCTATCAGCTTGTACACGGCAGCGGGAGAAAACTTCCTCGCTGAATGCATGGGCATCGCTTATATCGTGATTGCTATTATGGCAGGTGGTTGGGGATACTTCATGCTGCAGAAGCGCCGCAATATGATTATGGAGCGCAGCGGTAAAGACTTTGACAACATGATTGGGCCGTTGGTTGTCAGTGCCGCTCTTATGCTTGCTCTGATATTGAACTTTGTGTTTTCGGTAAGAAATGACCCTATGATCTATCCGATTATTGTTTTGAGGCTAACCGTTTGCTTAGTACCGGGCCGCGTTTGCAAAGTTGGATATCCATTTGTTGAATGAGACTGAAGCGGCTTTTGTTGGAGAGCTTGTGTAGGACAAGGGAAGCCGGCAATATCTGCTAGTAGTAAAGGTTACCTAGTTGTGTTACCTACATGGGTACATATGTGCTTGGGGAAAAAAAGTGTAGAAATTTGTTTGTCATGTATTGTATAGGTATCTTGGGTTATTCCCAGATGTATTGGATCTCCGGAGAAAGTTAAGAAAGTTATGCATAGGATAAAATCGGCATATTATCGAGGGCATGAATTCTCTGCCATCGAGCATAACATAGCATAACTGGTTCTCTTCGTGCAGTACAACGCCAAAAGGAAGAAAAGTCCAAATTGAGATGTGCCAGCGACGAATTATTGAGAAAGGAGTGTTGCACAAATGTTTAGGCGTTGTAAGTAAATGGGTAAGTACCTAGGTACGTGGGTAACACGTTATGTAAGCCACTGGCATGATCATTATATGATCCCGCTACTGCTAAACCAAACGCAACATTCTTTCCTGAATGGCTATCTTCGATTTAAAGCCAATGCAATGTCCTGTTTCAGCATGATGCAGCTGTTAGATACATCTGAGGCTGGACCTTTTTACTGGGTTGTGCATATGACACACACCTGCAGCTTCCTGCTTCCCGTGTGGTCATGTATGGTACATATCGACTATGGTTAAGGGCCTAAAACAAAAACAATAAATCTTTATTCTAATGCAGCGTCCACTTACTCGACTTGACTTTAATCGGTACTTTTTTTTCAAGTCACATCTCTCAAATCAATCCGGCACTTCAAGCGATATCAAATATTTGATTGATATCACATGAGACAAATCATAGTAAAATAAAAACACGAGTCTATTTATCCCGAGTACCAAAAAGTGTCACATCGAAACCAATAATTATTCTTGTTTGTTGCATAGCTCTGTTTTTCATTAATCCCTTAGGTGTGCCCAGCCACAAGACCTGACGCGTACCCCTACCTGCGCGAATCTGAAGCCGATAATGATTAAGAGGCGCATCGAGATATTTCTCACTTATTCCGATACTTGATTGCATATTTATGCTTAGCCGAGAGTTTCTCCGAGGCAACCATGGCTGAAGCAAAGAAGAAAGGGCTTTTGAGCGGTCTGCTCCGTAGAATCAGTACCCAAGGAAGCGGTAAGCTGGTACGTATTTTCATCGCCGACAAGTTGAAGATCTACTTATGGAATCGCATAGGAAAAAGATCCGCCGTCAAGAAGGGCTAGCGATGGCGATTCACTTTCGCGAAGACGGAGATCTGAGAAGTTTGACCCCGCCAACGCTCGCCGACGAACTCGACGCCCGGATCCTCGTGATGCAAAGGGCAAGGGTAAGGAGCATCCAAATGGCCATAAATATGAACCATCGCCTTTATCTGAATGGCCGCCCGAAGGCTTGTCTAGTGAGGAAAAGCTCACGCAAGGCCAAGCGACGGAACTTATCTCTACGGGTGTACCAGCGCATAAGGGACATAAACGTCCGATTCCTCATGTATCAGATAACTACTACGGTTTGTATACAACGTCGGCGGGTAATCACGGCGACGAGAACGACGCTGCTAACCAGCATAATGCGATGACCCAACTTACCACATTGAAGTTACAGGGATCTGGTCCACCTACCTATCCCTGGGAGACCCTTGAGCAACCTAGCCTTGCCTTCGGGTACGGAGCCCGGCCGGGTACTATTACTCTAAACTACTGGGCAGGTATTTTCAGCGCAATTCCGCCGCCGATGGCACTTCGCGACGTTGGAATGGTACCGAGGGATGTCGATTTAGATCAGATATTTCGTCGACTGAGGGATTTGGAGGGCGGCTTGGAAGATGACGATGAGGAACTCTTATATCGTCTATATAAACGATTTCTCAAAGACCCAGACAAGATATTTAGCCCGCATAAGACGATGGAGCGTCAGATTACGGATTTGGTTATGTGCTTGTCGGGCCCGGATTGGATCGACTTCTCCAACCCGAAGAATCAAGTTGTCACCAAGTTCATCTATGATACCACCGCTGAGAATGAGCAACAATACCACAGATTCTTCTATCAACTACTCTTAAGCCTTGAGCTTGAGTTACGGATTAATTCAAGACTCCATACAGATTGGGCTAAGGAGAGACTCATATCTTCGATACCGCCGAAGATCCAATGGAATCTCGCCCTTGCCCGAAGATGGAGGGACTTTGTGCGTGTTGAAGATTATGGCGAGACGGCAGAACAAGTCAAACTACGTTACAAGCTTAGAAAAAGACAGGTTAAGATGCTGAAGAGGTTCGCCCAGATGATGAAATGGCCGAACCTAGCCGAGACGATAGATGAGTTGAAGCAGAGAGAAGCAGAAGGAACTCTCATCACCGTTAGTTCTCATGCGATGGCATTTTTTAGCGGTTTGGTCCTGCCAGGGGTAAGTGCATGTTCTGGTATTGTCAGCTGAAATTGCTAATTGTTGCGCAGGCCACATTCCCTTTCCTCATTATGAACTCCCTAATTGATATTGATCCCGATAAGGCAACGGACGAGCTTGCCTTACTTACACATCTGCATCCCAACTGCGGCTTCCAGTATCGCGGTAGTTATACCTACTGGGCATCAACGTGTATCGTCGGTAAAGTGCTTGCGCCGACTTGCCTTGAAGCCGCTGGATGGATTGGACCTGCGCAACCAACAGAAGACCTGGGGCGCTCACAGATCGCGCGGATTCGCTCGAGAAAAGCTCGACAACATGTCGTGACACCAGAGGACGTCACTTCGATGAGCGAAAGATCGGACCCCCTAGGAACAAAATCCAAATTTTATCCCGTCGAAGAATATGAATTGCTCACACCCGATGCAGACGATATTATCGACACTATCAAAATTGAAAAAGTCAATCTGAAAGCGGTTACTGATAGGCCGGATTCCGGTCCGAAATTGTTCGATGCGTCGATACAATTCGCTATCGATCAAGTGTCATGGCCGCTTCATCTCACATTTGATGTTTCGTTCATCAATGCTTGGCCATGTTCCGACGGGCCGCACCCTCTATTCTGGGATTATGTTTACACCACCCGCAAAGTCGACGAAATCGTGAATATTTTAGATTGGGGTAAGCCGAGTAATAGGGAAAGGAGCAGTCGGTCGAGTGCGAACAAGCCGGCAGAGCGTATCGTGGGGGACGACGACGCCGATAGAGTCCTAGTAATTGAAACGTTTGGCAACACCGACAACGAAGTCTTGGCGCGGGCATGGTGTTCCCATTGGGGACTCAGTGCTGTGGTGGCGGATATTAGTAAAACTTGGTGAGTTGCCGTTGCAGTCGCACAACGATGATGAACAAATAATTAATTAATAACTAATGCATTACAGCATGGCTTGTGCCATACGCGAGGCTTACGCAGCGACCTTGACGGTTGTAATACTTGTTGAGGATCAACCGGACGATGCTGAGTAACGATCGCGATGATCGTGGAGTTCTCACGGGAAGCACTCGCAGAATTTCAACAAGGAGCGACGGGACGGGACGACAATTACACGCATTAAATTTAATGACAGCAATGACGCAGCGGACGAATTTCACGATGGTTACACTATTATCCAGGTGTTCCGGGCATTGAATAAATGGCGAATGGGCTTTAGGTTAGCTGTAAAAAATTGCTTTTGTATCTCGGAAATGGGAGTTTTTTCAAGGTTGTTCGCGTAGATATACCCATTCAGTCTATTTTATTATGCACTTTCTGACTCGCTGGTTATTTCATGAATACAGGTGCATACATATTCCCTCAAAAAAGATGTCTAGGCATTCATTGCCTGCTTTCTTCCTGCAGACTTTGCAGACTTTAACCTCCAATGTGCTGGTTGATCGGCACTCTTGCGGAGGGGTGTTCGACGAACCAAACGGTGTTGCTGCAAATCCGGGCTAGGGAGTGGCGGCTTGCCACACCATGGATCATCGTGACAATCCTCCTAATACCGGACTTCGCTGCAAACTCCCGGAGCAAAAAAAAAGTTGGCGGTGGACAGGTGTATGCACATCAAGTCCCAAGAATGTATCGCAACCCTGTTGTACAGCTGTAATGTGGATTTCGCTTAGTGAAATCTCTTGGGAAAATGGTATCGTATCGAGACCCGTCTTCCGATAATCTAAGAAGGAAAGAGAAAAAAAGGTGAAAATTTTTACTTCCCACACGTACGTTATTGCGAAATGAGATAAAAATTTGTGGAGTGGCTTGTCACCCAACAAAAGTCACGATACCTATCAGCTGCCAAAGCATGGAGGTTAGAAGATTATTCGCGGTACAGTCAGATACCTTAGATGCTTAGGAGCGGGAGCGGTCGACGCTGAACCCATGCGGAGGGGGGAAGAGCTCAATAAATTAGGGCAAAGATTAGCGGGGTATCGCTGAGCTTTTAGCGACTTTCCTCCCCACCTTTCTCCACCTTGTGACGACACTACGGTACTGCGGTGTACCCTGCAAAAGGGTAGGATTAGCACTTTGGCTTCGGCCAAGGGCCAGACTTGTCCAGGCCCCTCCAAAAGTTTCGCGTCCTATGGAGGCGTATGGCGTTGTGCTAGCAGGCTAGTAGTATTATAGCGTACTATAGTAGAGGGGTGGAAGGGGGGGTAGTAACGGGGCAGGGGGGGGGTAGCTTCAAATATTCTTTGGGAAAGGGAAACTCACGAGGTGTGACGAACATTTTTAATTCTTGACCAGTACCTTTTTCCTTGGTTCCTTCCTCCGGCTTGCTCTTTCAGTTTCGTACTGCGTCAATTTGTTCACTTTTCACTTACCCGGAACTGCCTCCTGCTTCCCCAAGTTTCCCAAAAGCTGCTGCTGACACAAGGTCGTTCCACGTTCCACGTTCCACGCAATTGGAAGCGACGGAGAAAAGAGAAAAGCCTCACACGCAACCATCGAAGGCAACTGTACGACGCAAGTTACGGTTGCAATTGGACGGATTAAAAACCTTCCTGTATATTGACTGTACTTTGGAAGTCTATTCACTCGTTCCTTTACCCGCGGTACCTTGAGTGGCTTATTCACTCACGGTCCTTCATTCCCCCCCACGATGGAGTTAGTAATGGTGCCCTTTTCCCTTTATCATCGTCTGTACGACTGAGAGTTTATGCCGAATCCTAACAAGGACTTCCTATTTAGCACCCGGAATGTAATCCATTTTGAGGACAACGTACGCGGCCAACCCCCATCTATACTTCTATCCGTCCATCCACAATCCTTCCACACATACAGACGATACTTCGTTATTCCCATGAAGCCTCTCTGAACCAACCCAATTAACATCCGCAACTATGCAGGACCATTATATTGGTATCGATGTAGGCACTGGATCGGCTCGTGCTTGTTTAATAGACTCGTCCGGCGATATTAAGGCTCTCGCTTCGGAAGCTATTAAGCTATGGCAGCCTCAGCAAGGTTACTATGTGCGTTACCCATATAAGACCTCCCCACCTTCTTGCTGCTTTGCTTTGTCTTAGCTCGGGTAGCCAATGGTATAACCAAGACTAACAAAGACATGTAGGAACAATCGACTACGGATATCTGGCATTGTATTTGCCATTGTGTACAGCGTGTTGTACACCAGTCCGGCGTCGACGTTGGACATATCAAGGGCATAGGCTTCGATGCTACTTGCTCGCTCACGGTCTTCTCTGAAGATGACGACCAACCCGTTACGGTTACCGGTCCCGATTTCGAAAACGATGGAAACGATCGCAATGTTATCCTATGGCTGGACCACCGTCCCGTCGAAGAGACTGAGAAGATCAATGCTACTGGCCACAACTTACTGCGCTATGTCGGCGGCAAGATGAGCATTGAAATGGAAATTCCTAAGGTCTTATGGCTGAAGAACAACATGCCCAAGGAGCTATTCGACCGCTGCAAGTTTTATGACTTGGCAGATGCGCTTACACACTTGGCTACTGGCAATGATAACCGAAGCTTTTGCAGTACCGTCTGTAAGCAGGGATACGTCCCAATTGGTGTAGATGGAAGTGAGAAGGGGTGGCAGGAAGACTTCTTCAATGAGATTGGACTCGCTGATGTTGCTAAGGACAACTTCAGGCGCATGGGTGGTGTAAACGGAGTGGTAAGTCTCACAAGCACCTCGTGACCTTCAATTGAGCCATTTTGCTAACTCAATTTCCAGAATGGCAAATACTTTAGCGCGGGAGAGTTAGTCGGTCACTTGTCTGATCAAGCTAGTAAGCAGTTAGGATTACAACCAGGTATCGCAGTAGGCAGTGGTGTCATTGATGCTTATGCCGGGTGGATCGGCACCGTAGGAGCTAAGGTTGACACCGAATATGGACACGCCGATGAGAGCGCGCCCGCAAACGATCTTGCGCAAGCTTCTACCCGTCTTGCCGCTGTCGCCGGTACATCTACTTGCCATCTTGCTATGTCCGAGAAGCCTGTATTTGTGAATGGCGTATGGGGCCCCTACCGTGACGTCCTTCTGCCTAATTATTGGTTAGCTGAGGGTGGTCAATCGGCGACGGGTGAACTCCTAAGACACATCATAGAGACACACCCAGCGCATAAGGAAGTAATTCCACTCGCCGAGGCTATGCATATGAACATCTACGACTACCTAAATGGCCACCTTAGGGAGCTTGCTGAGAGCTCTAAGGCCCCCACCGTTTCCTACCTTGGTCGACACTTCTTCTTCTATGGCGACTACTGGGGAAACCGATCGCCTATCGCTGACCCTAACATGAAGGGTTCAGTGATCGGTCTCAGCCCCGACTCTAGCGTGGACGGTCTCGCGCTGTGGTATTACGCCACGATGGAGTTCATTGCGTTACAAACAAGGCAAATTATTGAGGCTATGAACAAGGAAGGCCACAACATCCAGACTATCTTCATGTCCGGCAGTCAATGCCAAAACGACATGCTTATGGATCTTATCGCAACCGCCTGCCATATGCCGGTGTTGATTCCTCGTTACGTACACGCTGCTGTAGTACACGGGGCGGCCATGCTTGGTGCTAAGGCCGGAAGCGCGGACAGCGAAGGCAAGACGGAGGGTCTTTGGAGCATCATGGATCGCATGAGCAAACCTGGCCGGCTCGTTAAGCCCGGGACCGACGCCGACGAGAAGAAACTCCTCGATGCCAAGTATGGAGTATTCTTGGACCTATGCCGAACCCAACGGGAGTACCGCGACAGAATAGACGCGGCTACTAGCTCCTGGGTTCATGTGAATGGGAAATAAGTAAAAGGGGGTTGATGGGCATATGTATGGGTAGGTAGCTGTTGTGGATTAATGGGTACCTAGGGAACTTTCTAGCAGGCGCAGAAATGGAGAGGAGATAGAGAAATATGGACATGGTAGATTATAATGGCAATAGACCGAATTTTTGCATCTTTTCATCTCTTCCGTTGGTAAAGTTGGGATCTAATCGCATTAGACGCATTTCTTAGACAACTTGAAAGGCATGTACATAAAATGTGAATCATCAATGGCAATTAAGACTGCCTAAATCCGGACATGTACCTGCTTGATGAAATTTTAAATATGTACATATGTATAGGTACCTTATGGCCTACTTAATATGGGTAAGTACATTCTTATCGGTCGCGACGCGCTAAATGGCCCGTGCATAAGCTTCTACCCGCAACGGTGCAACGGTGTTGATTGTTTTTTTAACAGCCTTGCTATGAAATCTGCAGCTTCCCTTGAACTAAATAATCATCATAATCCCATCCATTGGGCTGATCTTTTTCTCAGCTGCCAATTGCAGCAACCCCCACGAACTACCGACAGCGACTGACCTATCATCTTTTTTCTTCTTCTTTCGTTCTTGTCCAAGATGTCGCTGTTTGGCGCAAAACCGGCGGGGCAGGCTGCTACACCTACTGGTAGTAGCCTGTTTGGTGCCGCGACAAACACAGCTGGAGCCCAGCCTGCACAATCGGGTAGCAGCGTATTTGCCAATCTTAATAATAATAATCAGAATCAGCAGACTGGGCAATCGCCTTTTTCGGGTCTTGGTCTCGGCCAACAACAGCAACAACAGCAACCGCAGCAGCAACAACAACAACAGCCCCAACCCGGCGGCAGCATTCTTGGTCTCGGTGCTTCTGCTCAGGCACCACAACCATTCGCGGGTCTCGGCGGCGGCGCAACAGCTACGACTACCCAACAACCTCGAACGGGAGGTTCATTCGGCCTCACTGGATTATCCGGCTTGTCTACCAGTAACCAACAGCCTCAACAACAGCTGGGCGGTATGTTTGCGTCTTTGGCCCAGTCCCAGCCCGCCCCCGGCGGCCTTGGACTCGGACTCTCTACAAACACCCAAGCTCAAGGAGCTGGCCAGTCGAATACCGGCGCACTACCACAGGGAAATACTACCGGCTACTTCGACAGCCTCCTCTCGAAGAGCAAGAAGCCCGACAGCGAACAATCTCCGCTCGGTGATCTCCCTAGCCTCCATCTCGGTTTGGGAGACCTTCGTCAACGTCTTCGGAAGCTGGGCCCGCGAATGGATCCTCTAGCGCACGATAAAGCTCGATTTATCCTCGCCGCATCCGGTCTCGAACCCGCATCGGCGGTGAGAGACTTGAACGATTTCGATGTTCGAATCGGTGGCCGCGTCGAACGCCCGGTAGCTGCGCCTGCTGCAACTGATATTGACGTCGATGCATACCTTTCAAATATACAGAAGAAGACTACATTAAGCATGATTGCTGATGGCTTGGAAAGGTCTACGCGGGACTTCGACAATTTTCTCGAAGATAACATCACAATGGAATGGGAAGCACAAAGGAAGCGTATCTATGAGCACTTCGGCATCAAGACCAGAGATGATGGACCTGCGGATGGACAGTCTGCGGCACCTAGCAGAGAGTCGCATGCAGGGTTTGGCAGGTCTCGACGAACGGCTAAGCCGTCTCGATCTACGACACCCGGTATCAAAGCTAGCACCTTTGGTCGGTCCAATCTTCAGAAATCTGTTATTGGCACTCCTAGCAAGATCGGTGCCCACCAGTCTGAATTCACGGATGTTCAAGAGACAACGGGAAGCCCAGCTGCGCTCAATGGTGCCGCTTCTATCGACGATCGATTCCTCAGGGAGAAGCAAAGTAGACTTGCGGAGAGGATCCGACAACTTAACCACGCTCGAATCGAGAAGCAACCATACCCTATATTACACGAACTTGCGCAGGTTGCCGGCAGTTCTGGCGATAGACACGCTCAGCAACTAGTCGATGCTTACCATGCTGCTATGTCTATCGTTGGGGAGAATCCTGAGGCGGATACATTTGCTGGTGATGCTACCGCAAGGGAACGTCAATATAAGGACAAATACTTAGATGTGAACGACAAGTCTGCTGGGTCAATCGAGGTCCGGCGAAAGATTCTTAGCGGTGCAAACGGCTTCTTGGAGAAGAAATTCTTTGTGGAAGTGGAAAATGTCATAGCCAAATACCCTAGGGAGGCAAACTTGGGTGGTCGACCCGACGTGATCAGCAAGATCAAGGCATATGTTCGATTACGACACGCGCGAAAAGATCTTGTGCCTGATAACGTCGAACTTCAACAGGTCGACGGGGAGTTTGTTTGGGCTATCGTATTCTACCTACTAAGGTCTGGAAAGATTGCTGAGGCGGCCGATTATGTCAAAGCCCAGTCAACCACCTTCCGAAGCATTGATCGTACTTTTGCATCCTACCTCCTCGAATATGTTAGCAGTCCGGATAGACGACTGAGACGTCAATTGCAAGAGCGCTGTAACAACGAGTACAACCAGCGAGCTCGTAATGCGCCGGAGAATTCTATCGATCCGTACCGCATGGCCTGCTACAAGATCGTGGGACGCTGCGATGTGAGCAATCGCAGTCTTGACGGCCTTAACACGGAAATTGAAGATTGGATATGGCTCCAATTCAACCTCGCGCGTGAAAACGACAAGGCGACCGAGGTGGCTGCTGAATCGTATGGTTTGCAGGATCTACGTGCAGGTATTCGGGAAATCGGTCTCAAACACTTCCCGAAATCCCCCAACGAGGATGATAACGGTACTTTCGGCATGTTCTTCTTCCTACAGATCCTCTCAGGCATGTTTGAACAGGCCATTGCGTACCTTTATGCTTTCTCGTATGTGGATGCTATTCACTTTGCCATTGCTCTCGAGTTCTATGGCCTTATTCGTCCTGCAGACCCCTGGACTACAGCAGATTCTCTGTTGTCACATGACACACGCTCGAGACCCCAATTGAGCTTTGGTCGGATGTTAGGCTACTACACACGGGATTTCCGTGCTGCCGACGTAGCCTCAGCCGTTGACTATCTTACCCTAATCTGTCTCAATGCCGATCTAGGCGGTGAGGCGGGACGCCAACAGGCAGAACTCTGCCACGTCGCTCTCCGAGAGCTTATCTTGGAAACTAGAGAATTCAGCAAGCTCATCGGAGATATCAGACCTGATGGGCGTCGCATCACTGGTCTCGTCGAGGAACGTGCTTCGCTCATCGGCCTTAGGGAGGAAGATGATTTCGTTAAGACAGTTACGTTACAGGCTGCCCGATTCGCCGATGACAATGGCCGAACTACGGACGCGGTCCTGTTATATCACTTGGCTTGCGACTACGACAGTGTGGTGACTATAGTGAGTCGTGCACTAAGCGAAGCGATCTCGCTGGAGATTGGTGAAGACCCCATGCGCCTGATGCCAGTTAAGCCACGATCGGATGGTAAGGACCCCGAGGTGCAACCTGGCAGCAGCTTGAGCTTGGCGTGCATCGATGATCCCATCCAACTCGCTATGACGATGATGTCGATGTATGAGAAGGATGCTATGTTCTACACGAAGATTGAGGATCAGAACCGAGTTGCTTGCCACATCCTCTTGCAGATGAGCGATGTTAAGGGCTTGGTTGAGGGTAGCCAATGGCCGGAAGCTCTAGACGTAAGTACTCTATTTATCTTTCTCCCTTGGGAATCAAACGAAAATGATACAATAATACTAATATTTATATAGAAAATACGTAATCTGGAGATTCTGCCTCTGGATGCTAATGGCGATCCGGCAAGAATCCGCCACTACGCGGCTATGTTCTCGGGATTGTCTCAGACAGTTGCTATTAACATACCTAACTTACTGATGTGGACTATTACTTGCTGCATCCGACAGAGGGAGCGGCTAATGGGTGGACAGTTTAGTGGCAATGAAGGCACAAGACGAATGATGTGTGACAACTTGAAACAAATCAGCATGGATTTGACAACGTACACAAGTCAACTAAGATATAGATTCCCGCCGCACCTACACGAAGCTCTAGCTCGGGCTTCTGCGGATTAATGAGATAGCCAACCGTTGTAATAGTAGTAGTTGAGGGAAATAAAAGAAAAAGGATGGCTGGAGAAACCAGGATTTGCTCGGCTTAATCGGAGTGTCATGCATGCGTCGATGGGGTAAGAACGAAACAGTTCGAGGCAATTTTTACCAATTTTTTAAAAAAGCAAAACGGCTTACTTCAAGAGTTACAAATATTTTATTCAGCTGTGAAGTGATAGATTAATGACGAGGGGGCTGGTGTCGTATCTTGCGTCCCGTGTGTCGTAGTTCACGATAATTTGCAATTGTGATTAGATGTAATAATGTACCTAGGTGATTCGGAAAGGGGGGCGGTAGTACGACCGGGGAATATAGCCAATTGGGTTGAAGGTTACGGCGGGCAGGAACCAATAGTTAACGTTAACGAATAATTTGGCTTTCTGACTCGAGACCCACTTAGCTGGAATGTATCGTGTTGGGGCCGATCTTTATAGGTTTCCGGAAAAGTGGCTTGAGCGGTGAGACGGGGGTTAAGTTTTTTTGAAATTGGCCAGTTAAAAGTACAAAAAAGTGACAGCGGGTCTAACTCCAGTATCTCCAGTGTTACAAACCCACTATCCCTTCTACCCAATTGTCATGACCCATTCCCTGATACACCACCACTTCGTACCACGCCCCAGGTAGTTGGTAATAATAATAATAATAATAAAAAACGGGATAATATACATTCGGCATTCATACATCTGACTAACTCGGAACCGTATGTGATATGCACCCGTCCGCTGGTTCAGTCTTCTCTTTCTCCACCCCTACTGCTACTACTGCTACTACTTCTGATCGTCGTCTTTCAAACACTGCTGCTACTGTTACTGTTGCTCCCACTAGCACCAACAACGGGAACACTCCCGAGACAAACGACTCGGCCGGACTCAACGGAGGTCTCCACAGACACGGCCCCTCCCTTGATGGCCAGTCATCCGACTCGGGTAACGCTTCGTCCCACCCGGGTCCCAAAAATGCCTCGGACCATATCGAGGATCAAAGAACTAAGAAGCGCCGGACCGGCCCTAGCTCGAGAGGCGTCGCCAGCTTGACACCCGAGCAACTCGCTAAGAAGAGAGCCAATGGTATATATAAACTTCATATCTAAAAGCCTGTATAATAAGCCCAACATCGTCATCTTCGTCCCTAATTTAGTTAGCCCCGTAAGCCATACTTGCGTTAACATACATATGTATATACACATTACCTTCTCTCCCCGTACGGTTACGTGTCCCGGTGTAACGTTGTGCTTCTAAATTTATCCCTTACTAACCTCTTTATCATCTTCTTTTCTCCAGACCGGGAAGCACAGCGCGCTATCCGCGAGCGAACCAAGAATCAGATCGAGACACTCGAGAGGCGGATCTGCGAACTGACCTCGCAGCAGCCCTATCAGGAGCTGCAGGCTGCTGTCCGTGCCAAAGAGGCCGTCGAGGCTGAAAATGCAGAGATCAAGACCCGACTGGCTACTATCCTGTCCTTGATACAGCCAATATTATCTAATCAACAAGGTCAGTCAGTACAGTACATATCTGAGATGTGATGTTATGTAGGTAGGTATAGGTATCCCATGACGTAGTACTCCAACTCCGATCATGTTATCTCCTACCTCGAACATACCAACCTACATATATATTATGCAATGGAAAGGAGGTATGCGTACGTATACTGACTATACTCTCTACCTTAGTGGAGGGGGCTTACGCATCTCTCTTCCCGAACATCGCGCCTATACACACCACCCAGCCGTCGCAATCTCCTGCTACTACCTTCAATGACTCGGCCTCCGCAAGTGCCCCCTCTCCCGGTTCAACAGCAGACTCACCATGGCAGGCACACGCCCAACCGAGTCCGAATATCACCCAGGTTAAGATGCTGAATCAGCAACGCCATGACTTGCTCCACAACTTGGATCTTGGCGCTGGCGAACAACTGAAGCTTGATTTTTTGCTCGATCCCTCGGAACGTGTGAATAGAATGCAGACGGGCCTCAACGGAGCACAAGATACCCCTGGATATCAACATCTTCCCATGAAGCATGATTGGAATGCTACTTCTCGTGTCGCTGTAACCGATGGGTACCCTCAGCAGCAACAGCACCGCATAGAGTATGCTTCGCAGAATACCGTTCAATGCCGGGAGAGATCCTGGATTGGTGTCTCGGCCCCGATCAAGAACGTACCACCTACATGTCCTCTCGATAGTCTACTCTTAGACTTTCTACAAGAACGTCGCCAGCGGGCTGCTGAAGGTGTTCCCGCGAGGGAGGTCGTCGGTCCGAGATACCCTTCCGTTTCATCCTTACTTAACCCGGCTAACAGCGTGTTCTCCCATCCACTATCGAAAGTCTTCACGGATATCCTAGCTGCCTTCCCAGGGATAAGCACACTACCGGAACGAGTTGCCGTACTGTATTACATGTTCCTGGTCATGCGATGGCAAGTCAGTCCGACACAGGAGAACTTCGACTTACTGCCGAGCTTCGCTCAACCGACGGCAGCACAGTTATCAACACCGCACCCTGCGTGGATCGATCACCTCCCATTTCCGCGTATGCGCGAGCAGTTAGCCCTCGAGTACAACGCGACCGAATTCTTATTCGACAACTTCTTCATCCCCTTCACGACTACTATCTCGCTGAACTGGCCCTACGAACCTACCGATACGTTGCTTAGAAGCCCGGATGGTGGGGAATTGTTAATTAACCCCGTGTTCGAGAGACATCTCAGACGTATAGAGAATTGGTCGCTTGGGGAAGATTTCGACGAGGCTTTCCCAAGGTTGAGGGGAAGTTATAATTTGAAGAGAGGTGGTAGTGGGGTGAATGGACGTGGAAGGGGGGGAAGAGCGAATGGTAGAGGGAGAGGGAGTATAGGGGAAGATCCTGCGGACGGACAATTTAGTGGTGGGTAGAGCGAAGGATTCGAAGGCACGGATAAGTGATACGGGGCTTACAGCAATAGCCTTTTGGTTCGAAAGCATAACACCTATTATGGTGCTGAGAATACACAGGCGTCTGACAGGGTTTGTACAAGTTATACCCATTCTTCGGCTTGGCTTGGAGCAACAAAAGAATTTATTTAAAGGGGTTATATCATGGAGTATTGAGTTGGGATGGGACGGCATGGCATAACATGGCTTTAAGAGGACAAAGTAGGTATCATTACGTACCCTGCACACGATTCAACATATCAGTGTGTTTTTAATAGCAATCAGCAATACAAAGTTCTGCATACATGTGTATACGGTGGTCTTGTGAAGAATAGGTAATGTGGAGGTGGTTAGATGCTGTGGATGTGTTGTTGATGTTGAAGAAAACTTTGTTGGAAGAGTAGGTGGTATCCTGTCAGAGTTACCAAGATCTATAGATCCTTGGATAACCCAAAGAAGACACAATTTCTCCCAAATATATACAGACGAGCAGTTAGATTTCGCCAGTAGATGTCAATGATACAAAGCGGCTCGAAGTTATCCTGGTCACCATATGGAATTTTCAGCGAGGACTATAAGAAGGAAAACACGTAAGAGGGAAGGGCATATTCACAACTAACCAGAGTGATAGGCCACCCAGGTAAAATACAGCAATTTTTTTAAATCATTTCATGGCAAAGCTATCTAATGCAAGTAGTCCTTAATTTGTAAAGAACATTGGGTATCTCGGGTCAAAGCAACTACAAACGCCTTTTCTATGCAGTCCGAATAGCCAGAGGCTCGCCTATCAAAGAAAGGTGGGAGGTGGGGTGGCTCTCATGGTTCATCAAGCCTCGTCGCCCGGGGAATTCGTGCCAAAGGAGTATACCTGAACATTGGTGCCCTCGCCCACAAATAGACTGGGTGTGGCATCGTTGTAGAAGTTCTGGAACTGCAAGCAGCGGATCGCTCCAAACCGCGAAGAAATAGCATCGATGTCAGGCGACGGGACGCGACGACCAGTGCGTACCGAATATAATGCCACCTTACCATCGTCATGAGCAGCCGCAACTATACCTGATTCTTTATGGTAGTCCAATCCAATATCGATGCGAGCTTGGTTCTTATAACCATCCATGACCATGACCGCTGTTGCTGTGGACGGCTCAAAGAATTGGAAGTTGCGCAAATCGTAGACAGCCAGTGTGTTGCGGAGGCTCGCTACTAGGATGTTGTTCTCATCGATGAGTCTGACATTGGTAATGGCATTTTGTACAGACATGTTAACAACGGTTTGGTCGCCCTTGCGCATGTCTACGGCCCAGACCCAGCCGGGACGGCCACCAAAATAGGCAATGTCTGGCTTTGTATCACAAAAGCCGATAGAAAAGACATCCCTATACTTCTTGCCTTCCGGGGAGATGGGAGTAAATGTACCCTGAGGGCTGACTGCCACTACACCTCTGGTTGTGCCCACCAAGCAGACGTACTCACTACTCGAGGGGGGTATACCTAGAGTACAAGAAACGCCCTCTGTGTCCATTTCAAGGCCTTTGTAACCAGAACCGAGCCCTAGATGATAACGGAGTTAATAATAGTCTAATCACGTCACATAAACAAAGATATAGAAAACTCGCGGGAAGATTATGAAGTGTGTTGGTGTTAATGCTGGCTTTGGTATCTAAGAGCTGTGATGGAAATGGAGAAAGGAAGTATGGCTTTACTCACTATGACTAATATTCATAGGTAGCAAGGTCCATGGATCGAGCGTCACCAGGGGACGAGTTGCATCTAAGGGTCGGGCGGGTGCGACAAGGACGCGGTTAAACTTCTCACTATGTTTAATATCCGCGCATGGAACATCCATATCAAAAGTGCGTCGGTAAGAACGCGTGTTGTCGATACTGTCGTCATCGTTAGTGTGCTCTGTGTAAACAGTCCGAATGATACATACAGCTGAGCCTCTCCGGCCCTAGAGATGCGGTCTGAGACAACAATACCATCATTCATACCTTCCAAAGAGAATTCAATGTTAGCATTATACGTTCCTTGGCAAAATAGACAAACTCACTTCCGTAGGCATAGCACCAGCCATCCCCAAACTTATCCGCAGCGACAAGCATATGCCTAAGGTTGGTAGATCTTCGACGAGGATCAATCGAAACACGTCCCTTCTTGACAATACCATCGGCGAAGAGAGCAGTGTCAAAATCGGGAATGCGTCCACCAAACTCATGAGCTAGGAAACCACCCATGAGCGGCGCATTGAGTACTCTAGAGCGCTTAATGAGGCCCTTGGCTCGGTCCGCTCGTCGAAGTCGTGCGATAGACTCCTCATCCTCAATCTTACGTCTCTTGAAGCTAGTCGAAGACCACGCGGCATCTTGCGGCGCGGTGTTGCTACTTTCAACCTTGAAATAACGACCTTTTTCGGCGTCTGCAAAATGATTAATATTAATACGATACGCGGAAAAATAAAATCAAAAAGGTCATAATAAATAAGAATAGGACTAGAACTTAAAAACTTACCCCAATAGTAGCCAGGAATGTCTCTGGGCGCCATTGTGTCGGATGTGTGGATGAAGATGACGCCGGAGAGTTGTAAAGTGGACGATCTAAGTCGCCGATTTGGGTTTGGGGGAAAAGGTTTCTAAAGCATCTCTGCACGCAGGTAAACAAGTATCTACAGCGCCGTCTGTTTCATCTACGCAAGTGGCTACCTAATCTGACCAACTACAACTTAAATATGCACCGACCATAAACTTTAATTTTCATACTCGTGAACCTGACATTTTCAACATTCCGCTCGGAATTTCAGATACCCCACCTAATCATATCGATACGCATCAGATTGCTGGAATGTCCGATAAGGAATCCAACAAAAGCATGCACACTGAGCAATGATGAAAGTCTACGGTGGCACACACCAACACCATTTGTATATATAACAGAAGTAGTTATTCACATGCGAAACACAACACAGGTTTACTTTATACTTTTTTCATTCTTATTAAGTCTAAGAAACATGGGTATGATGTAACCGAGGCCTATACGCCGGGGCAGTTTACAAGAAGGAAATGAAGTGCACGACCAAGCCTGAACGGAACGTATCTATAGACCGAAGGGCGAGTATGTACCACTGATTAAGAGTCCTCCCGACGACCATAGTCACCTAAACGGCGACCATTCTTAGCTCATCCGGGGATGGCCTATTGCGACTTTTCGTGCTGGGTGGAGACACGTTGGAGTGAGACGACTATGAAACATGTTAGCTAATACGCCCCCAAAACAAGGGATAGTTAGTTAATAAGGACAACTTACCAAAGTCTTCGAGCGACCTCTGCTTCTGGCTGCCCTTGGGGGACTTGCCGTGCATGAGGTTGTCAAATCCAACGCTGTCCTGGAGGATGTAGTAGACACCTCCCATGATGCAGAAGACACCAAAGGAGAAGATCCAAATACGGACGACAGACACAATGTGAGTGCGGGCACCATCCTCGAAGAAACCCCAGATGGTGAAGCAGGTGGCGAGGATATCGACGAGCAGAATAGCTCCAGTCAATTGCCACGAGGGGATGGACGACCAGAAAGGACCGTTGGCACGGGTGATGAAGATAAGCCAGTTCTCAGTAAGAGAGATCTCAAGGAAGAGAACCTCGTCCATGTTACCGTAGTTCTGGACGATACCACCGTTTTCACTCTGGGCGTACATAGTGGTAACAGTAATCCAGGTACCGACGGCGAGAACGACACCGAGGAGGACAGACATACCCCAGAGCTTGGGCAGGTTCCACTTGACGGGGCTCATGGAGTAGGGGGCATTGTCGTAGGCGATCGCAAGAGTGGCAACGTCAGCGAAGATGGCAATGAAGACGACCAACTCGATGTTGAGCGATCGGTTCAAGATAGCAATCCACAGACCAAGGTAGATCTCCAAGTGGAGGGACAAGGCAATACGGTAAACGACGTAAGCGTACATACGGTGGAAGATCTGTCGGGAAGTCTTAAGGGCATCAATGATAGCACCTAGACCGGGAGCCAAGAAGACGATATCGGCAGCAGATCGGGCAGCGTCAGAGGCACCTTCGACAGCAATACCAGTATCGGCCTTCTTTAGAGAGGGAGCATCGTTCACACCGTCACCAGTCATGGCAACAAGGTAGCCACGCTGTTGCAGAATCTCCACGACGTTGTACTTGTGTTGGGGGAAAACCTCAGCGAAACCGTCAGCAGCCTCGACGAAGTCATAGACCTCAGAACCGGGCATGTCACCACCACCACCGAGACCAAGACGTTCAGCGTTATAAACGTTGGTACCGAGACCGAGTTGACGAGAAGTTTCACGAGCGATACCGACGGCGTCACCAGTAAGCATCTTGATGGAGAGACCGAGACGCTTGGCTTCGTTGATAGTACGGGCAGTGTCGTGACGAGGGGGGTCAGAGCAGGGCATAATACCGAGAATCTCCCAAGCACCCTCACCACGCTTGCGGGCAACACCGAGAGATCGGAAACCACGGGTAGCGAATTCAGCAACCTTGTTCTTGTAGGCCTGGTCAATCTCCTCGGGGATGGGGTGGTCCTCCTCGACGGTCTTGAGAACGAAAAGAGGGGCACCCTTGACACAGGTAATGCGCTCACCCTGGGGAGACTCAACAACAGCGGTAACCTTCTTGGAGACAGGGTCGAAGGGGAAGAATTCCTTGACAATGTACTTGGATAGAACACCCTTGGCGCGGGGGTAATACTTTAGGGACTTAAGGAAAGCCTTGTCAATGGCATCAATACCCTTCTTCTTGCGGCTGGCAGCAAGGCAGGCAGTAAGCATAAGGTCCTCAGGGTCGACACCGGCGACGGTGAAAGGCTCAGAAAGAGAGAGCTTGTTCTTGGTTAAAGTACCAGTCTTGTCGGAGCAGAGAATTTCGACACCAGCAAGGGACTCAATGGCAGAAAGCTTCTGAACAATAGCCTTCTTCTTGGCAAGGTAAGCAGCACCGACGGCCATGGTAGTGGTGACGACAGCAGGAAGACCGACAGGCACACCAACGATGGTGATGGCCAGAGTGAAACGAAGGATGTCGACAATCTTGTTGGATCGGTAGAATGAGGAGATCCAGACAATCAAAAGAGTGAAGACGACGAGAATGAGCAGGATAGTACCAATACCGTTGAGAACCTCAGTGAAGTGACCACTGCCGGCGGAAGCCTGGTTGACAAGAGCAGCAGCACGACCGACGAAAGTGTTGTCACCAGTAGCAGTAACGACAACGAAGGCCTCACCACGCTTGACAGCGGAAGAAGCGAAACATTGGTCGCCCTTGTGCTTATCGACGGCAAGAGATTCACCGGTAATGGCAGACTGGTCGACTTGGAGGAAAGCATCCTCGGTGACGATGCGGCCATCGGCAGGAATGATAGTACCCTGAAAGATGTACAATTAGTCAATTGCGCTATTTGATTGGGATATGGAAAAAATCGCTCACCTCTTCGACCTGAAGGATATCACCGGGGACAACCTGGGGAGCCTCAACCTCCTTGAGGGTACCGTCACGGAGGACAACAGCCTTAAGAGCAAGAGTCTTCTTCAATTCGTCGACAATAGAACCGGCCTGGAATTCCTGGATGAAACCGACACAGGCATTGAGAAGTAGCAGAGCGCAAATGACACCGAAATCGACCCAGTCTTCCAAACCGGCAGCGAGAACGGCGGCAGCCTCCATAACGAATTGGATAGGACCAATAAAGAAACCCTGTCACAAGCTGGTTAGACGCTGATTGGTCGCTGGAAGCTCGGTTAGAACTCACGAAGAACTTGAGGATGAGGTTTTCCTTCTCCTCCTTCATCTGGTTGAGACCGTATTTTCGGCGACGGTTGGTGACCTCCGCTGTGAATTGGTTAGTTACCCATTGATTTGATGCGCGGCGACCGCGTCGCAAATCCATGGCTTACCCTCTGTGAGACCGACACGAGTGTCAGTCTGGAGCATCTCCTCCGGAACAACGCGACCGGTGTCACCGGGAGATCCATCACCCTCTTCCTCATCGTCCAAGGCGTTTCCATCTTGCGACTCGAGGTCCTCGATCAAGGCGTCAATGTCCTCGTCTTCATCCTCTTCCTCGGCCTTGGTGGTCTTAAGAGGAGCGGGATCCTCGACACGGTGAGCCTCCTTCTCGTCGAATTTGCCCGACTCTATGTTGGTGTGGAGCGCCGGCGCGGCGGCATTATTGGACTCGGCCATGACGGCGAGTTTTCTGGAATTGACAACTGAGGGTTAAATGCTCAGTGTCAGGACTGGATTGGAAAGAGAAAATAGAGGACCGAGTCCAGTGAAATATTAAAATTACTCCAGGGTAGGCGAGCGAGTATCGACGGCAATAGGTGGAATGCTAATTATTAGGATGTAGGATTAAATCGACGGTGTTGTTTGTGAGGTATGATGTCGTGGGTAGTAAATAAGGACGACGTTCAGACTAATCACAGAGGAGGGGAGATTTTGGCGGAAGGCACCACGGACGACCTTGGGGGGGGAATTGACAAGCCAGACGAGCCGAACCAAGTCTTCAACGTGATGGGGAAGAGAAGAGGAAGCGCGTTCTATTGCGGGCGAGCTTTTTCTTTATAAGGCGTGGGAAAACAACTGAACGACAAGAACGAGAGAGCTAATTCCGACTGTGGGGCCCTGGTTGACCAAGCTCACAAGCATGGAAGTAACGGGTACAGATCAATACAGTGTGGATGCACTTTCCGTTTGTTTCCACCCAGACCCCCACTTTATTACACTCAATAGATCCCCCATTGGCCAAGCCAGGGCGAATTTCACAATAATTCACACTACCACTAATAACTTTTTGTACATAAACCTCTGTTTGGGGCATTATGTACGTATTTTATGTACCTAGGTACCGTGCTATAACCTGTTCACGCGCGAATTTCGCAACATGTTACTGCGTTGCTGCTGTTTGCGTTGCCGAATTGTCCCTACGCAAAGCTTAAAAATTTTAATTGCAAAATAATTTCAATGTTATCACCAATAATATAAGCTAGAATATGATAGTATCAAATTCTGCATTGAATGGTCAGCCAAGTGGCCTATATCATAACTCTAACAAACGATAAAATCGCTACTTGGAAAGTTTGTTTACTTTAGGTCCGTGTATTAGATGTTGCCATAAGTTTATCTACGTATGTTGTAAGGATTAATTTTTTTTATTTCGGGAAATTGCTTCCTATGCACATCAGTACCCAGCAACTAAAAGGTACGACGCGTAGCATACAAATTACTATTGAACAAGGTTGTACTGTACCTGACCATAGCTACCATATTCGGGCAAGCGTGCTTTCTTCACTGGAGATGGGAAGTAACCACAGTGTGATTTAGACCCTGCAGAACTCCACCTTTCGGTACCTGAACAGCTCTGGGACTCCACATCCCATCTCCAGAGCAAGAAGCATTTTAACACCCCATGAACAACTTCTGATCTTGCGGGAATTACTCGATTGCGCCCATGATGACAGAAGATGCGCACCGACTTTTCCACTTATCATTCATGGTCATAGCTTAAAGAAAATCGATGCCGAAGCTGAAGAGCCATTTGTTCTATCCAATTGACCTAATTTTGAAAGCGTTCCGCTCTTATCCAAGCGATGGTTGGCATGGAAATAGTTTTTGGCCTAATTGTTTTGGTGAGTGTTTTTTTTTTTTCTCTTCCTTCCTCTGGCTTCCAGGTCCGTCTCAAAATCAAGATTCCGCAAAGCTCTGCATTCGGGAAGCACGGTCACTAGAGAATAGACCCATGGGCTTATGCGAGGGCTACTAACTACCTAGGTATCTAGCATGTACGAACTGGGTCCACCCATGCAAGGTTATGTTAGCCCTGTAAAGTATACAGTGCTAGCTTATGAAAATATGGCCGGTTACTGGCGAGTCAGTGCGTCTCTTATTACTGTGCTATATGTACCTAGGTATTAGGTATGCTATGCAACCCATGCCCACGAGCCCACACCATATGCAAAGGTATCTGCACTAGACCCAGGCCTGCAGAAAGCTGCTGCTGCTGCTAGACACGGTACATACATAATGGGTAACCCAGCTTTCTTACCTACCCTGCCTATCCTTCCTACCCTCGTTACCTTACGTATGTAGCATCTTTAACCAGCATTATGAGCCATTTTCCATTCACCTCTCAGCGAACGAGGCTGCTATTCGAAAGCGGAAAGGTGTTAGAACCCACCAAATTTTGCCGATCCTGCTAAGAGCGAAATGTCCACTACGTCCACCTAGCTTTGCTGGCTTGCTGTCTCATTTAGAGCATGCCATGCGACGAACATACGTACCTATTTACATCGTGCACCTCTCAGTGTCTACGATACAAGTAGGAGGGTCCAGAAAAATACCCAAGCCCCGTCTCCATTAACCGACAATCGTCATTGTCTAACGTGGAGTACGGTGTTCTCCTTGCCTGCCGGTGACCTGCCAAATGCGGATTTATTGTTAGGTTCAGGGCAACCCAGCTAGAACCGCGGCTAAGGGGAATGTGAGCCTGGCGAACGCAGCGTGGGAAATAACTTCAAATCCAGTGTCCACCGCTGGATTGATTGATTGATGGTAGTAATTCCTGTAATGGCAAGGCGTCTGGCGTGTGTGGCTTACTTTTCATACGTCATGGGTTCATGGGATCAATCCCGCATTTTTTCGAATCCTTCCACCATAACACGCGCATACCCCAGCTGGGAGAGCTCACAGACCACACCAATGGTAGGACAGAGTTGTAGATCGACGTTAGAATTTTATTACTATTTTTTCTTCTTCGCTCTCTTCCTGTATCCGCGGCATTCTCTTCACCGACAAGGCTCCGGCAGTGCGAAGCTCGGTGAAAGTAAAAGCGCCTTTTGCCAACCGCAAATTCTCGGATGGGTATTCGTTCGGTATGGCCGTGGCTCCACAAAGCTTGCCGCTTGTAGTCTCGTGGCCACCGTCAACTCTGCGTCCGATATCCGCCCATGGCGTCTTCGTAAGTACGGAGTGCGTTAGTCCCTGATTCCAGATGGGTCAACCTTAATAAAGGGGTTTTTCGCACTACTGCTATTACTACTAAGCTCCCTAATGTTTCTATTCCAAGTGAAAGTGACAGACATTCAGCCGGAAGTTGGTGGTTACCTAAGCCCAAGGCCATTTTTCGGTCATCGGCATTGTCGCCATCTCGAAAACAGTCATCCCCTTCGCCCCTACGCAAATGAAGGACCCAACACGAATATGACAACATGTTAAGCCTATCCCCTTTACGGTTGTTTTGCCTCCGTCAATCTCTCATGCCCGCCGCAAGCTCGGGGAAGAATTTGAAGTACTATAGAATACATGCCTACGTATATCGTTCACCGTAGGGGCAAGTAGTCGCGTGGGCTTGTCGCAGCTTATGTTAAGTGGTTATGCGTCCGGATCTGGAACGTCTGCTAGATAATTTCGCCAATCATGGTGACGGCAAAAAGTAATCTCAAGAATCGGGATTCGTGTGACTGGGGTCCGCCCGCTTGGTGTCGTAATTGCGCTAGGAGATGCACCTCAGGGAATGGGGAGAGGTCGCCTCGCCGTTTACGGACTACCTGAATTCAGGATAGCGGGAGAGACATGGGAGACATGGAAGACATTGGGACCGGGGGGGAAACTGAAGCTACTAAGACTAACCTATCTTAGACGGTACAGTAGAAATTGAGATGGAATTATACTGGGAGGATCCGAGGATCGAGCCGCTCGTGTCGCTAAAAGATTTTCCATTTCGCGGACCCCGTTCGAGCTCCTGTCAGTGGTCAATGGCTCTAATTCGGACATTATGTGGTTCCTCTCTCACGTCGCAATTTCTGATTTGTTTACCTAGGTGCGAATAGCTTGGGGTTCCTATTAGATTGCCTTTTCCTTAACCAGTATCCCACTTCCGACATTTGACACGTTCGTGCCTCCGAGCAGCCGAGGAGCCAACAACCCTCGCTGTCGCCATTGCTGTCGCGCCGCTATGGGCCTGGCTTTCGAAAGGGGGGAGCCACATTAGTTAGCTTCGTAAGGGAAAAAAAGCCTCGTAAAATTTCGCCATATTCCGTCTTGTCAATTAATGCGAGACGGCTACCTACATCTCCTTTATTCCCTCGCCATTCCCGGGTCGTACGAAAACCCCATACCTAATCATTTTTTTCCCATTCCCCACGAATCAGATTCTGCAAGAATCACCTTTGTCATACCAAATGTTTCTACCTAAGTGTTGCAAGTAACAGACGCCAGAGGCGCCGTGCGCGGTTGAGCATGGATCTCAAATGCAAGCAACCAAGCAACGCACGACGAAACCCGGCTATAAAAAGCTTGGTTTCTTTGCTGATGAAACTTTGAAACAATCCAGCAAGGATTGGAGTAGTAAACATTTTTGAAGCATGTGCTTTGTTGAGTTTACTATCATGAAATTATCTCAAATTCTAAACTTAGCGATTTGCTATTGGATACGAGTATCCTACTATGAGTCTTTTTTTTTCTTCTTTTCCTCTTTCTTTATCATTCCTACCCAGATACCCCCCAAAAATCAATGTTGCTTACTCACCCTATGTGAAATGTGAAATTTTACATCCTTGACCCTTGAGAATCGAAAACCCCAAACCCCCCAAACAAAGAAAAATTTACCATCTAAATGGATCAGGGTCTACTAGACAAACTCTACAGTCCCCTATGCACAGTAGAGACTTAATCAGAGTTAAGCTTGTATATAGTTGCGTTTCGAACCCTATTCTCCATTCGGGAAAGACCTTAGTTTTGTCTCGTCATAGATGGAGTTTATACTTCCATCCACCTAAACCCTATCGTCCATTTAGATTGAAGCTTTTTACCACGTCTTCGCTGTTGCAGCTTTAGAACAAATTCGACCTTCATCGACAAGACTAAAAACTCATCCTGTTATTCAAAATCCGCAAAACAAGATCATTTACGACTATTCAAAAATGATGATATCAACTATCGAAGCTTGACGTACAATTCAGACCCCATTTACTTGGCCCCCTTTCAGCCCAGAAAGCTACAGTCGATCCGATTGCTCGATTTCTCCGCCGCCAAGATGATTATTTTCCTTCTAGCGCACACACCCGCCAAAGCCCTTTGGGGATTGGGGGAAGGGGGGGTTATGGTACGTGTACCCGATACATCGATGTAGAACCAAACTTGGAGCAATCGTGGCCGACATCTGACATGTTATGTACTGTATGTAAGAGTTACTATACCTAAAAAACGACTAGGTACAGTGCTCTTGTACAGTGTTATGGTATGCTGGACATGTTACCTATGTTGTGCCCCCGACAGACCGCAGGCAGACCTTCATCAGACAATGTCATCTTGGCACGTATATTTGCGCGTCATGCCAAGAGACCACAAAGATGCCTCTAGCGACTTTTATTAGCTGGGCATTTTCCATTTCTGCCTCTCTCGGTCATCAGGATTGCCAGCGTTCTAGACAAATAAAAACAGTAAATGGGTCGGGAAGCTTGGCTCTCACTATCGGTAGTAATCCTCTATCAGAAAAAGGACCAGTTTTGTTAGATAAAATATGGTTTACGTGTAAGCCAAGACCAGACGAGCCACGATGATCTACACTCTCTCTGTCCCATGGGGATGGGGGAAAGATATTCACGAGGAACTACAGGCCCTTTTTTTATCTTCGATATTTCTTGGCACACTCGCTGCATCGTAATCAAAAGGAACCGACGGATGCATTAGGAGTTGAAGAACACGATAAACTACCTAACGCGTCCAGATAACGCAGATTAATGAGCCGCGCCGCGCAGAGCCAAGCTACGATCCTAATGAGAAATTACGCCAGCAAAGGTAACCCGAATAGCCTGGATTAAGATGAAGTGAAGTCAACTACCAAAAATACATCACCGCAGTATGGTTACATGGCAATGCGACGTAAATAGAATTACCGACAGCCTCAATCAGGCACATTGGAAAGCTGAGATGGCTGGGCGCGGACTAGGCAAGCTGATCACTGCCCTTAACCGGTATCAGCCTGTCGGTAAAGAACTTCTCTACGAAGCCCACCTGCGTCGAGGCATCAGGTGGAAACAGGGGAGGCCAAGAGTTCTCAATGTTCCATACAGATACAAGATTGTCTCAAGCCGGAGTTACGTAAACGAGAATACGGTCCATCCGATTCGCAGTTGACAGTTTCTGGAGGAACACAATACGGGCCGTCTCGGGCTCGGCAGGATGACGAACGGCTCGCTTCCCCGGAATGGCCCGTTGTTTGACTCCCGTGTGCAAGGCATATTTTTCTATCTCTCGTCTCGATCCACCCCAGGTCCTGGGGATGCATACATAAATTAGATACATTGTGGAAAGTGAGAAAGTCCCGCGGGCTCTTGGCCCAGTTCCGATTGACTCTGCCGACAAAAACCTGGAACTAGCCACGATGCGTACCTGGCTTCCGCCCGTGACCGTATGAGCTCATTGTTTCGGTCTAACGATGCCTACAACTATTTACCTGGGTACCATATAAGTTTGAGCCCCCTAGTAATAGCGACGGCGGTAATGGTGATACGCGGCAATTATGTTATCCATGCTCATTGTGCCTGTGCCTGTGTCTGTGCTTCCGCCTGACCGCTAGAATACCCCCTTATGACGCGCGCATGATATGAATTTGCCCCGTCAAGATACAGGTAATCAGTCAGCTGAGAATGAGAGATTTCTTCTCTCTCGTTAATTGCTTACAAGTCAGTGATGAGAAAAAAAAGTGAGAGAAAAGGCATGCGACCGACGTCAATTTGCGCGCTGCAAGTACACTCAATGCATGCAACACACCCGATAGGACAGACGGATATGTAGGGAGGTAGTACGTAGTAGCAGCATCTTATTGGAATCAAACCCTAGGTGCCTAAACCGAGACGTAACGAATGCGTCGTCCCGTTCGCCATCACCAATCCAATCCCCACTATCACTACCCGCCACGGAAGGGAAGCAAAGAAAAAAAAAAGACGCTCGGGATAATCGTGTAACGAACGGATGCGAGCCCAAAGCCTTCGAGAGTTTTCGATGAAATGATCCACCGAGGTGTGATTTGTGTAAATGTAAAAAGAGTGTTATTTTGAAATCGATACATTCGTTGGTTAGGCATTGATGCTTCTGTTAATTAGCATGTCCGTGCGAGGGAAATATCGAACTCGGTATATAGTGTCTTCACATGCAATACGACAATAGTCAAGCAGGTTGACTCTTCTAGAAGGGAGTCAATCCTACCTAGTTATCATTGGCATTGGTGTAGATGATGAATACTAGACACGGGAACTATTAATTGGGATTTTGTTTGAGCCTCAGGCTTTTCTACTTTTGGGGTGTTGCGCTGAGACATAGCGCTAGACCATTGAAGCTATTCGTATATTCGTCATGCCTTTCACTATGTTTACGTACTTCTGGCCCAGGGCAACGGAATATCGACTTGGCAGTGTAGATTATAGACAACTTAGAGTCTTAATATTCTCAATCAAATATCTTCCTTACTTAGCCAAGCTGAGTAGTAAAGCGAAAATTGAATGATGGTATCCGCCGTCCATTCATAGTTAGTGATGTTGACGCGTAAGTCGGCGACAGAAGAATATATTGACATAGCCTCGCTCGCTAAATCGCTGTTTATCACCTGCGCTTTGCGATAAATTTACCTTGGTATTGGACAAAATACAATAACGTTTAGAAGAATCAGTGCGCTCAATAAGAAACCGCTTTCAAATGCCTAGGCACTTACACATCGTAAACAAATCTGGAGCTAGACACGCCGCCCCTTTCGTGGCATACCCGAGCTTTCGAAAGCTAGAAGGGTTCCAAGGTTTCCATACCCCAATTCCCATAGAGACTGGCGTGCCTAGCATGAGTTTTTGCCCGCGCGTCCAAGCATGTCCGGGCGAGCCGCAATGTCAGAGAGCGCGCGACAGATGAAGTCGGCAATACTATCGGTAGAGTGGGGATCTCATTCCAAGTCGGCCTATCCATTCTAGGTAATTCACGAGATTAAATCAGAGCTCACGGCAACCTTATCATCGCCGTTGATACTACCGCCAGCAGCCTCTTTTTGGCGCAAAGCGTCGGGCACAGCGTAGGTATCCAGTTCTCGCCACGACAAAATTAGGAGTAGATACGTTCCCGTGAACTCATAGTTTCGGGGGGGTTATTGTTTAATGGCGTCGGGAAACCTTGTCATTGCCCACGCGAACAACTTCGCGAATGCTGCTCTGATCCGTCATAGTAGCGCGCAGGTGGTAGTTATTGGACAGTTATGGCTCTCTACCGCATATATTGCACGAGCAGTGTGAAGGAGTAGACTTTCCTGCTGTTCGGGACATCAACCTTGAGGTACAGCTCTGAAACATAGCGAGGATTCGGCCGCCACGGGCAAGCCTTTAAGGGTTTCCCTAAGCCTTGAAACTGTTGGTGATGAGATGCTTAACCCCGCGAACATTGCTGTCCCTTACATCCGTATCTACATTTTTAAGGATTTCTCGTGCCCAGAATGCCCACCCAACTCGAGCGAAAAGTTGGCGCCGAGTTAAATAGATATATGTTGGTTAGGATAATAGTAGCAGCCGATACAAGTGTTACCACATGGTGGTTACAAGTTGTTCGTGTAAACAGGTAAGAGGTAGTATTACTCTCGCTTTAGTAATTTGAAATGAGTGTTAGAGTAGGTTGTCATTTTATGCAATCTTCTCTCACATCCCTTCGTAATTACGAGCCCCGAGACGGCAAACACTCGCAGTACCTCTTGTTGGCAGTTACCAACCACAACACCACTATGTTACACCACAGGGAGGATGGCGAAGACTTAAGAGGCACAGCTGGCGATTTTGAGGCGCAACCCGAATTCTCGTTGCAATTATGTTGATGTCTGGCTCGGATATCGATTTACTCTCATTTTTTGTTCAGGCGTGTTGTCGCGTGTCTCTGATCCGCATTGATGAAATCCAAGGACAAGACAAAAACGCATGCCGCTCTCTAATATCGAGACAGGCAAGCCTGTGCGCTCAGCCATCACCACGGCATTGGTAGTTGTATCGGCCATATTCCCAGTGCTGTCAGCAATCGCTATCGGCCTCCGATTCCTATCTCGAAGAAATGCTCGCCGCCCAGTCTTCGCCGACGATATATGGGTTATTGTTGCTTGGGTATGATTGATAACCCACTGGTTTAGGAACTCTGTTGGCAACGTAGCTGACAAGTAAATATCGCTAGATATTCACATTCACACTTAGCATTCTAGTCTGGGTTTTCACCGATAGGTCGGGTATTGATTATTATAAAATCGATCCCAACCAGGGCACCTCGTACTCTCTTGAGGTTAGTTTGCCGGAGTACCTCAATCTCACGGCGCTGAAGAGAATTACTCTACATTTGAAATACAATGCTAACTTACCTGGCATGGTCGTAATTGATCTACCTCTCATCGTGCTTAATCCAATTCCCTCTCGCCACAGTGAAGATATCCATTCTTCTCTTCTACAGGCGTATCTTCTCTCCTCGGCCATTCCGCATCGCCGTCTGGGTTGCTATTGGTATAGTCTCGATATGGTGTCTTATATTGTTCGTCGTGAGTTCGCTCCGCCCCCCTCCATTCGAGGATTGATCTCAGCTAATAGGTAATCACCTTGTAGCTGGTCCTTACCCAGGTGGACCCTATTAAAGACTCGTGGAAGGGAGGTCGGTTGAGATATGATTCGACAGCGTTGGGACTCGCGCAGGTTGGCAGTAGCATCGCGCTTAACTTCGTTGTCTTGTGCCTCCCGCTTCTAGTCATATTTCGCATGCACATGACACCTCAGAGAAAGATTGCCATTGCCCTGATCTTCTGGCTTGGTGCTTTGTAGGTACATCCGTTAAAATGGCCGCCAGAATTGTGTGACTAATCTTTGCTGTACAGCTGCTGTGTCGCTGCTATTGTCCGGCTGGTGTTCTTAGACCAGTCGGTCCGGGCGGTGGTCGAGTCCGAAAACAACGTCTGTAGGTCGCTATCTCCCTTAGACTTCTATTTATATGCTAATCAGAGGCAGACCTTCAATCCAAACAATTTATCTTCCTGATCCTCGAGCCAAACTGCTCCATCATTGCGGCCTGTCTGCCCTGCTACGGCCCCCTATTCACAGGTGGCCGCGCGCCCGAGTCGATGGTCCGTAGTGTCCGCTCTGCACATAGTCTTCGAAGCCTCGAATCGAATGGAACTCCTAAAGAAAGCCAAAGTCACAGCGACTCCAACCCGGAACATGAGGGGCTTCCAACACTAGACTCGCATATTGAGCTTCAAATTCAGCATAGGTCCGGCGAGGTCCAGCAGGATATACACGATAGCCTTAATGAGGGATAGAGGTGGCGCCATATGAGCAGAGCAACGGTATTAATGATACGAATGGTTCGTCCGTATAAAGCAAACCCTTTTTAAATGGGAGGGATGGTTAAGATATTGCGGGTGTTGTTTAATACGAATGATGTGATTGTTAGGTTGTGGTTTTTCATTGGGTTCTGTTCGAGCCCGGCCTGAGAGTCGGCAATCGTTGCCGGAAGAGCTGAGAGCTCATCCGTGAGAGATAGTGGTAATAGGGATTCATCTGTCGTTCCATATCCTGGACCAGGATGGACTTTTGTCAGTTGATAAAAATTATACACAGGTTCTGATAACGGGAGCATAGTTATAAACTAAAGCTTTGAATTTACTTCCTCATACTCGTTTTGTAGGAGGACGATAGCCTTACCAACAAATGACGGATGGGGATAAATCTCGACGGAAAGGTCACCCGGCCCCCAACTAGAGGATTTAGAAACGGTGACACCTGACCTGTTGTGTAACATAGTAGACTTTCACTTTGCCTCTTTACTTTTTGGTGAGAGATCGGATCGTCATTCCTATTTCCTTCTCTAGGGTTTCTTCAGCAATATGGCGTCAATTGGCGCGGCCTATGGTAGCCATTATATTGGCTTGCCTGCTTGCGTACCCAGGTATTCAAGCCAGGCCGTAGCCGATACAGGAGCGGAAAGACAAGTATAAGGCTTAACACTATGTGGTACACGCAAGAATTTAGCTTTTCTACGCCGTTCCCTCGCCCTGATCCTCAGCCTTGATGCTTTCCTGGTATTCATGAAAGTTTTTGGTTCCCTTAGGCATACCATTCCAATCCAAACCTTGCTCATCCATCAGCCTTGTGCGGACATCCATAGATCTGATCCACGACGGCCTACTTGTCATACTTTCATGCCAAGCTCGAACATGCGGGAATCCATCCCACTTCTCTTCTATAGGGACACTGAGGAGTAGTTCCAAACGATTGTTCCAGGGGACGAAAGCCATATCGGCAAATGTCATGCGATCGCCGACGAGCCATCGAGGTTCGGACTTAGCAGCGAGTACGCCTTCTAAAACTCCGAGGACTCTTCGGGCTTCGTTGACGTATCGCTCAATAGCTGATGGGAGCTTTTCCTTGTGTAGGTGGGTGAACCTGGAAAACAAGAACTGCGTATTAATGAATGGTGGAGGATAGTGAAACTCGGAAGATCTCACCATGTACACTGTCCGTAGTAAGGGCCTTGGCCGCTGACCTGGAACATGAGCCACTGGTTACAGAGGTTTTGTTCCTTGAGAGTGGCGTAGCTCAACTTGTGCTCAGTGTCGTACTGCGCAATCAGGTACTGGATAATAGCCCCCGTCTCCCACAACGTGATATCTGTGTTCGGATCCTCGATGGCTTATGCCTGGGTCAACGACTAACGCCCCTATGTCGGCCTGAGTAATTGTGGAACAATACATACCGGGCACACGACCATTCGGGTTAATACCTGTGAATGGCGGCTTCTTGATGTTTTCGAACCTGAGCGACACGAGCTCGTACGGAAGCCCCAATTCCTCTAAAACAAAAATGACCTATGCATAGTGAAACTCGCATTAGCATACACTCGCAAAACTGGTAATTTTGGTATAGGCAACTTACTTTCCAAGAGTTAGAGCCAGGAGCTGCGAATCCGACTGTCAGTAACTCATTCGATAACAAGGCCAAAGGATCTTGACGTACGACACACCCAGACTCGAATAGGCCTCGCCATAGTAAAGGTAATGTGAATGTTCGATTTAATTATAAAGTATAGGTTTATGACGATGTTTCGAGTGTTCCAAAGGGAATGCGCCAGAGGGACTAATTCCAGTAGGAATATACCTATGTACCTAGGTATGCAAGGGATACAGTGGACAAGATGCTAGGAAACACATCGAGCGTCAGACCTGGAGACGTTCCTTCTACCGATTTGGTTGCCAACGACCTAATATACCTAATTGGAGATGGAGCCAGCGATATCCAGGCACCGAACGGAAATGGAAATAGACTGACACCAACACGCATAATAGTCTACAAAAGTTCCTTGTACAACTAGGCTCACAGCACATCAGCTGGTATGAACCACCCAAATTGATTTGTTTATAACCCATACTCTACTCTCCATATTATTATACCATATAAACGAACTTAGACAATACGCCGTATTAATGCTACACCTAGAAGCTTACGTCCTAAGCCAATGTACTATGACTCTTTATGGTCCGATGACGACGAGTCAAGCTGATTGAACTTTTGGTTATTAGCTAGGACACCACATAAGATAGCTGGATACTATGCATAGATTGAAAGTTGGGTACGGGTATGTAGGCGTCACATGGAATGAAGAGATTATAAAAAGGAGTATGAATTGAAGCTCTAGATGTGAAACCTGGAATGATATGTTCTTCATACGGAGGATTATAGCCATGAGCGTGTTGCTGCGGGATATACCTAGGTAGGTAGATTAGAGCAGCCAGTAGCAGCTCGACACCGAACTTCGACACCCTTATCAACCCCAACATCCGCCTACATAGCCACACCCACTGATATAACATACCAGACTAAAATCGCGCATATCACGGCATATAAACAAGACCAACCGTCAAGAGCGACACTGGAAAACGAATTCGACCCAAGGCCACAAGCTTGTATTGCGATTAGGTCTCTATAGTATGTATATATCTCGACCAAGAGCCATACGCCGTCGTCATACACCAATGCCAGACGTAGACCAGAAGAACAGATGCTACCCGGAATACGGGTCGAAGTTTAAGAATTCTATCAGTGACGGACCGTCATAAATATATCAAGAAAAATCATGAAAAAGCACAACACATTTGATCCCACACCATGTTCTATCAACACGTGAGTTACGTGACCATCCATATCATCCATCCAGAAAACGCCGCCTAATGCTTAGCAGTGACCTTCTCTCCGGTCAACTTTTCTACGTAAGTCTTGGCCCTATTTTGACTTTGGTTAGCGATCTGTCTTCCGATCTCGAGGTGAAGAGGGGGAAAGAAAGGGAAGAGAAAACTTACATATCACCCATGGCCACCATGCAAACCGTCTGCCAAACGCTCAACCCGACACGCGGCATAACGCCACGGTACAAACCCTTGAGACCGTTGGTGTCATAAATGTACCTGAAAGTGTTTCCGACCGTCATCTTCTTGGGTCGGTTGGGATCCTCCTTTTTGCTTTGCATCTCGACACGGATGACCTCGATCGGCTGGTTCCAGGCGGAAAAACCACCACCTACGGCCGAAGCGGTGATCTTCTCAACAGCAGTGAGCTTCTCACCATTCTCCTTGTTGGTGATACGGCGGATACCCTGCTCAGCAAGACGTGAGAGACCGAAACGCGATCCCCAGTTGGTCATCTGGCGGATAGCGACGGCGTTGACACCACGGTTGATACCGCGGATACCTTCCTTGCGGTAGATATCCATGAAGGTAGCAAAGGTACCAGGAGGCTTAACACCCGTAGCGGCCAACTTGTGTTGCGTGATTTCGACCGTCTTCATGCAGGTACAGAAACCCATGGTGGCGTAAGCCTGAGCGACACCTCCGGTCATACCACCGATGATACCACCACCGAACTCCGAGGCACCGGCGACACGGGCATAGTATTCGGCTTCGGAAGCGACGAAGAGCAACACGGCGCCCTTAGTCGAGGCCTCGATCCAGGCCCAGGGGATAAGACCCTGGTAGACTGCAACGTGGAAAACACATGTTAGAAAAGCACTGACATATGATCGCAATTGGGCTTTGAAGACTTACATCCGAGCACACCACCGCGGTTCCAAATGGAGCGCAGCGCAGAGGCAAACGAATCGCCTCGGTTCGCGGCAAGGTGGGTCTTGCAGACCTCCAGAGGCTGACCGAGCGAAGTGACCTCAAACAAGTTGAGGCCGGCGCCGAGAAGCAAGTTGGAGAATTTGATGGGCTTCTTCTCCAGCGTGTTGTTGGTCAGAGGGGGGTTGACCCCGGAGGCGGCAGCGGTGGCGGTGGACATCTCAAGCGAGGATCGGTTGACGGAAGGGGGCCTGACCAAGGCGGACGGGTGCTTCTTCGCGGAAAGGGAAAAGAGTTGACGGCGGTAGGTTCTCTAGAGGAGAATCGTGATGTTAGAATAATAGTGTAGGAAAGAAGTTGTAGTGGTGAAAGATTGTAAGACAAGAAAATCCGAGCGAGACGACGGGTGGTCGAGTCGGCGACTTTCTAACAAATGGCTTATGATTGGTATACGAATTGGGAGGATTACGGATTACCGTAAGCTTGCAGCTGTTACCGGGAACGTGGTCAGCAATCAAGTTAAACCAACAGACATCCTCGGACACATGTGGTAATGGTCATATTTTAGTCTACCGTCTAGGTGCCTTAGTTCTAGGCCTATGTCGGCCACTTTCAGGGGATTTATGGGATTCCTGGGGGGAGATTTGGGCGACAAAAGAATCTGGAGTTATGACCTACCTACTAACCTAGTGACTTCTAGTAAATTCAATTGAACAATGATAATTGATTCAAGATCAATGAATCAATAAAAACAAGCAACAGCAATATATCTCGACAAAAGTCTTATCTCGGATACAAGTTGTTTATTTGTACGGAGTTAGATGATGAGATGTAAGATTGTAAGATTTTAAAAAATTAATTTTTTTTTTCCTTTGACCCCCAAGCCACAGTAATAGTACCCAGCGCCGAGAAAAGGCGGAAGGTACCCTGCACATAATTGCCAGGCTTTAGATCCCTTGGGAAGCTGGGAAGTGGGAAGTCAGACTCCTCCAACGCTTTTTTTTTTTCCTTTTCCACCGGGGCACTTTCCACATCTCTTCCTCAACAATTGCCAAGCTCGCAGCCAACCGCTTCCCTCCTTCCCCCTAGATACTCCGCCCGATAATATTGCGGCTGCCCCCATCAATTACTAAGTGCATATTTGTCGGTAAGCTACATGTACCTTAGCAGCCTAGCAGCTTTTAGGCCTATCTTACCCCATCCTAGGCCTCACCTTATGTAACTCTTCCCTCAACAAGCGGATCGGACATTCCCCAATTCCAATTTGGTTGTCTAGGTACTTCTGTTTAATTTATTGGAACTATTTTAATAATTTCTACCGCCTTACCTATTCCGCACGTATCCATATCGAATCAATTGGAACGCCACGAACTGCTGAACTCCGTAGGTGGCTTCTGTAAGGTACCCTAGTTTCCGTGACACTTTGCGCAAAGACAAGAAATCGGACAACATTGTAAAATGATGAGCGGAGAGGTTTTTGTAAATAGGTAATGTTTAGTAGTAGCTACCTATACTAAAAAAAAAAAAAAAAAAAATCAATCATGACGTACTATTGTACAGAAAGTGCAGCTTTTGGTATCGATAGGAGCATTTCTAAATCAACTCCCCCTTGATACACCACTGCCCTCAGTATACCGATCTATTTCCGTTGTAAAAATCATGCTCTTTTGAGACTAAAGGAGAAATGCAAACTTTTCTCTTTCCTTTATAGCTTCTTGACAATCTCGGCCCACTTGGCGGTCGAGAAACTCTTGGGTCGCTCAATGGGCGCACCGACGGCACGGTCAATGATGAGCTGGGGTAGAACACCAATGGCACGCGAAACACCAAATAGGACAGTGTAGTAGTTGGCTTCCGTTAGGCCGTAGTACTGGAGAAGGACACCGGAGTGGGCATCGACGTTGGGGAAGGGGTTCTTGGTCTTTCCGTGCTCAGTTAGGACCTTGGGCGCGATCTTGTAGACCTGGCTGACTAGCTGGAACATGGGGTCATTGGGCATCTTCTCGAGAGCGAAGGTGCGCTGAGCGGTGTATCGGGGGTCAGTCTTGCGGAGGACGGCGTGACCGTAACCGGGGACGACTCGGCCGGAGTTCAAGGTGGACCACAGGTACTCGGTAATTTTCTCGTCGCTAAGATCGTCACCAATGGACTTCTTCATCTCAGTAAGCCAGTTCAGGACTTCCTGGTTGGCAAGACCGTGGAGAGGACCAGCAAGACCGTTGAGACCAGCGGCGAGCGATAGGAAGGGGGAGCTCAAAGCGCTACCAACAAGGTGTGTGGTGTGAGCGCTGACGTTACCGCCCTCGTGGTCGGTGTGGATGGTCAAGTATAGTCGTAGCAGCTCAATGAAGTCCTTGTTCTCGCCGAAACCGAGCTGGTTGGCAAAGTTGAAACTGTAGTCCTTGTCCTTCTGGACCGGCGCAACCTTTCCACCCTTGAAGACGTTCTGGTAAATGCGGGAAGCGATAGTGGGGAGCTTCGCGATCAAATCCATTGAGTCCTCGAAGGTGTATCCCCAGTAGTCCTTCTTGTTGATACCCTTAGCATAGGCCTTCGCGAAAGACGAGGTGTGCTCAAGAGCCGTAACAGCAAGCGAGAATTGCGCCATCGGGTGGAGGTCGGTAGGGCAGCGGTCGATGAGTTCCTCGACGAACTTGGGGATATCGGATCGAGCAGCCCATTCGGCAGACAGGTCACGAACCTGTTGCTCGCTGGGAACCTCACCAGTTAGGAGAAGCCAGAAGAGACCTAGTAGGAATTAGTTTACGTTTATGCCATTGGTAAGTGTAAATGTTTACCTTCTGGTAGAGGCTCATTGCCACCGGGAGCCTTGGGGAGAACCTCCTGGCACTCTGGGATGGTCTTGCCGCGGAAACGGATACCCTCCTCGGAGTCAAGGACTGAACCTTCCCATACTAGAGCCTTAATTCCTCGTGCACCACCGTATACTTGGTCTAGTGTGACCTTGTCGACGACCTTGGAGCCATGCTCTCTGCGAGTGCGCTATGAGTCGCGTGCATTGGGAAGAGAATTTCCGTAGTGAACTTACTTTCTCAGAGCCTTGATCTCCTCAATCTTCTCGGGGAGTAGTTCGGCGAAGCGCTCCTTCAGAGTCTAGACGCATTGATCAGCCAATGGATGTTGTGGGTTGGAGGGGTTCTAGAGGTTTGCTAACCTGGCTCTTGGAAGAAGAGTAGCATCGCACGGCATTGAAAGCTGTGGTACGGGCCGTGAAACCCGGTGCTCTCAGTGAAGTTCGGAGGGCGGAGGAGCCTAAACGAAGGGTGGTAGCCATGGCTGATAGTATGGCGGGGAGAATTGGGTTGTGGTTGATGATAAGGAGATGTCAGAAAAAGTAGCAGAAGGTCGAGAAAAAGGATAAAAAGAATGATGAAATGCCTCAAGGGCGAAAACTAAAGTCCTTACCTTGGTAAATTGAATGGGTTGACGGACTAGGGGCAGCTTTTTCGGTTGGATGGGGAAACCGAAGAAAAATTTAGTGGGCCCGGCAACTAAAAGGACAGCCAGCTACGGAGGTACTACCTCTATGTACATTATTTCGTACCACCTATCCAACATCCTTCCTTCCTGTACTACATCAACTACATCCTTATGAAGTAACCTAGGGTGATTCACGGCCAATTGGGGAGCTTAAATCTCACCAAAAATTACATAAGATGCTACAATGTAGTGTATTGAGTACGAAAGTACACCGATGATTTCAGCCAATGAATTATGCTCCTACGGTTGATTAGTGTCCGCATATCCGCGCATGGATCATTCAGTCCATCAATCCACTGAACGGCTTCTTTTCCGACTACCTATACATACACACATCTACATTACATTCCTATCGCACACCTACATATATGTATATGTATGCGCCTCGATCTCTGTAACGTTGACGTCAATCTAACTTCACTATATCTAGTAGAATTGGTTATTACAACACAGTTGGGATGATATATGTGCTTGCGATTTCTCTGATAAGCTTCTGTGATTCATTAGTTGTGTGGATATTAAGTCTGTACTCAACTAAGTATGTTTGTATGTACGTAAGGCAGGCCCTTAGGAGTTAGAATATATATACAAATATGTCTGCTCTAAGTGGATCATCTTCAGGGTTATTTCGTATACTAATATCAATTAGAAGTAAGCACTTGGGGATCAGGAAGCATTTGCTTGTTATATAATACCATCGTTTTAGTAGCAAGTAAGTGTAGGTATATGCTAAAATATAGGCCTAAAAAGCCTAGTCAGCAGGATTATTGCTAAAAATATTCTAGACGTTCTATCCTAGACTGACTAGGATATAAGTCTTTAATTTATCAGATGTCAGATATCTTTTAGGTATTATTTTCTAACATTGTCTAATTGTGACAATGCAAGCTAAATGTTCAAGGCATCCATAAATCTCTTGTTTGCTGGAGTTTTTCAATTGCAACTTACGAGGAAAGCGGGCACCTTCCGTGAGAATATCTATTGAACCTTAGGTACTAAGATAGTGCGCGCGTACTCGCACCTACCTAGATATTTCGATGTGGGTCCTCGTGGCTGGGTACTCGCGGAACCTAACATCTTTTTAGGTACTGTCCACCGGGCAGGTAAGAGCCCTGAAGCTCTACAGTATCGGACTCTTTCCCTCAATCACTCACTAGCCTACCCCCACCTTTTTACAACACGCGACTGAAAAATCTTGCCAGCCAACTGGTTAAAGGCCTCTATTCTCTCCTCTCCTCTTTTCGCAATCCTCTAAAAACCTTTCCAACCTTTCCGACGTAAAAAAAAATCTCCCACACCAACCCTCCCCATTACCTTCAACATCAACAGCTTACCGTAAATTCTGCCGACATCTTCGCGCAGCAGTATCGGATTTGTCGCGCTGCTATTCTCCATATTCCTACCGATAATATTCAGCTTACCATAATAATCCAGCCTACCCGCCCCGGATTTTTCTAAAACTCGACGCTGTACCGGGACTGGGTTCCCACGCCGTAGTAGAGGTGCAAGCAAAGCTGTGGTGGTGCCATTTGCTGTCGCATCAATTCAATCACTCGACTCCCTCCCTTGGCCATTTTCTTCCATCAATCAATCGTCCATCCAACCTGGATTGCTTTTGAAAAGGGCCTCTTGAAAAGCATCGACTATTTTTTACCTAGATTTGCCCCTTGACGGATGTAACTCGTTAGGTCGCGACAAGAAAATACAAGTAATCACCCGAGAGCAAACCCATCACTGCGCAACAAGAGAGACCCTCCTAATACTTGGGTGACTTATCGCGACTCTATCGTATTATCATTCCACAGGTGCCGCGAGCCTGTTCTCGTTGTACATTGTGTGCTTGCGCGCTATTCTCTCCAACCAAGTATACCCAAACAGGAGAATACTATAGCAATCATGTCATCGCCCGTAGCTGAGCTTGAGGCGGGCTTGAATGCCATGCAAAATCTAAAGCCACCTGGAGTTACCAGATCCCGTATTGAAGCGTTGACAAGCTTATGCGTCAACAGTGTTCAGGTAAGATTGACTAGATTGAAAACATCATGATCCTCCTGCCGAGTAGATGAATGCTAATTTGATTGTCTTTTTAACCTCGCAGTCCGAATCCGTACTTATTCAGAAAATCTATACACACTTCAAGAAAACCCCTGCGACTCACAAGTTAGGAGTGCTCTACGTTGTAGACTCGGTAACTCGCAGCTGGGTTGACCAGGCCAAGCATCAAGGTCAACCTATCAATAGTTCTGCAAAAGATGGAACCTACGCTGCCGGCGTGCATAGAGTAACGGAATTGCTTCCAGTCCTTATGAATGACATTATTCAGAACGCTCCCGGAGAACAAAAGGTACGCTATATCACATATTCGTCGCATATTCAAGTCGTAGCATAAGGCGATAGCATCGACATTCAAAAACCGTGATGCTCTTGGGATAAGCGGAATAAGCTATGTCTAGTAGCTGTGTCTAGTCGTGCTATCTCCCGGTATCCTGGTATTAGGGCCCTCGGCCTATTTTTTGTTGCTCTGATTCATTTGCATCCGCAGGACTAGCTAAGACACTTCCTGCGACCTTGACCTATAAAAAGAAGTACTTACCTAACCGTTCCCAATAGGAGAAAATTAAGAAGCTCATTGACATCTGGGAGAAAGGCCAAACATTCCCTCAGGCCATGATCGAGTCATTCAAGCAGAAGCTCAATTCTGCACCAGCAAAGAGTAGGTTTTCCGAGTTCGACATTGATAATAACCTCCCGCCCTTTTACTCATTTATCGTTTTGCCCTCGTATCTGTGGTCGTGTATCTGACCCTTGTTTGCTGTTGTAGACGAGTCTACCACACCCATTGGTAGCCCCCCGCCGGGCCCTGGTCTACCAGGTTTGCCCGAGAGTAAGCCGTCAGCCACCGAGGCTCCGAATGCAATCATGGAGGCCTTGGCCAATATTGCCCGACAAAATGTTACAGCCGCGCCCGTTAACAACGCCGTCCCGGCTCCAGCCAGCACGTACAGCGTGCCACCACCACAAACGAGCACGATTCATTCGCCGGCTCTTCCTCTAGGTCACAACCAGCAACCGATTGCTCCTTACTCAGCACCCCAGCAACCTGTAAACTTACCGGGAATGCCCTACGCATTCCCCCAGCCAGGTCAAATCCAGGCTTCAACCCCTGTGCCTCCAGTAACTTCTAGTAACCCAACTCCTGGCTTCCCTGGTGTAGCACCGAGTGCCCCCGCGGCGTCTGTGCCTGGCATGGATCCCAGCGTCCAGCAACAGGTTATGTTGATCAAGCTTCTTGCCGATCAAGGCGTCCCGTTTGATAAAATCCCCGCAATCATAGCCAGTATGCAGGGAAATAATGGTGCCACTCCCACACCTGGTGCTGCGTCAGCAGCTGTACCTCCCGTTAGTCAGTCCCCGTATGCTGGTTCCTGGGGTCAGGGGGGCTATCCTCCTGTCGAATCACGTGAACATGACTATCAACAAGTGAGATCGCCGAATAGATATCGCAATAGGTCAAGATCCCGTTCGCCCCCACGCCACTGGGATGCACGCGATCCTCATGGTCGCTCCGACCGTGAATATGGTACCTATGGTCGTAACTCTCCAGGCTTAGGACGTATGGATGACCGTGACCGCCGTATGAGAGGTAACGAATTCCGCCAGCGCAGCCCTGGACGCCGTGGCCGTAGTCCCAGCCCGGCGCAAGGCTTCCCTCACCCAGGCCCCAAATGGGTTGATTACGATAGGACCATTCCTCAGGGTCATATCAAAGGTAAATGGCCTGAATATCTATCACAATACATATACTAACGTGAATAACAGTTCTAAGCAGGACCTTATTCGTTGGCGGTGTCACGTAAGTTATTCATTTTCGATTGACTGAAAGATGTGTCTTGTACTAATGTATCTATAGATGCCCCGAGAGTGAATTACGCGCTGCCTTCAACCGTCATGGTCAAGTGCAGACCTGCATTGTCAACAAAGATAAGCGTCACGCATTTGTTAAGATGGTTACGCGCCGAGATGCCGTCACTGCAAAGGAAGCCATGGAGAATAGCACATTTAGGGTAAGTGATATCTAAAGCATTCGTCATTGACCATTATACTTACAAGAAACAGACACGTTGGGGTGTAGGCTTCGGACCTCGTGATTGCAGCGATTACCAAACCGGTATAAGTGTAATCCCTATCAGCAAATTGACGGAGGCGGATCGAAAGTGGATGTTGACCGCTGAATACGGCGGTAGTGGTGGCCGTCCCATTGAGACAGGTCTGGTCGTCGAAGAACCAGATATCGAGATTGGTGCCGGTGTTTCGTCAAAGGCCATCAGTCGACGAATGCAAACCGATAAAGGAGGTAGACATGGTCCCAAGTCTAGCCGTGGCCCTGGGGAGGACGATGGTGATCTTACCAGATGGCGGCGAAACCGAGATCCTCGTCACGAAGATCTCCAAGAGGACATTAACGGTATTAATAACGGACCCGCCATTCCGTCCTTTCCTTTCGGAATCGGAACTGGACCTAATGGAATGCCGGTCTTTCCTCCTGGATTTGCCTTCCCTCCGCCGGCCTCCGAGTAGCGGCGACGAGGCTGATCAGAGGTTAGGCAAAAATATGATGATTGGTCTTGAACGATGGCTCCCAGAAGCTATCGAGTTTGGAAGAAGTCAACAGTTCCCTTTGTCATGAAGGGAGTGTCATGGATTATTGGAGAGCAAAGCGAGGTCGTTTCTCGTATCATAATCTGCGAGTATCTTACGAATCACGTTGCATGAGCTGGCGTTGGGGCATTTTGCGTTAAGACTGATGGGACCTAGGATCTCCGCATTTAGCAACCGCGGGATTCTTCTGCTCTATCAACATGACATTACGCATATAGGACCTATTTACATTATATGTGGACGGGCCTTTTTGCGTTAGAGTCTACACGTTGCGTTCTGTTTTCCTTTTTGTTTTCAGCTTCCCCCCCAATTCTGGTATTGATCTGCATCTAGTACAGAGCAGGGCAGATTGGCATCTGTCCACGCTGCAGGTTGCAGGTTGCATAATGTATAGTACCCCCAAAAATCAGAGATGGCGTTGAGGATAGGAAGACAAAAAAAAGCAAGGGGGCGGCTATTTCGATGATAACTTCTTACTTGGGGAGGTTCGGCAGCATGTAGCATGTAGCTTTAGATAACTATCAATTAGTTATTATAACCAGACTTGTGTTTTGTCCATGTTAATGTTTATCTTCATTGGGGATGAGTAACAGCATAAAACTCCGTTACAGATTGATCGCCCGCATTTCTTTACCACTTCTTGCAGATTCCAAAGAATGCCACCGTCACATCGTACATTTGCTCGGGTGCAGATACATAATAAATAATTTGCATGATGCATGCAGGCCTTACAAACAAACTGCAGACCGATCAGCCTATAAAGTCCTTGAACGCCCCATGTGCTACCTACCTAGGTATCTACTACTTACGCCTCCTTGCTTGCGAAGCACTGTTCGAATACCCAATTCTCGGCCTTAATTAATTATATACCTAATCTAGGTAGCTAGTTAGGTATGCATATCCATCCGAGGTACCTACTTAATGATCAGTAGCACGGCACGAAAGGTACCTCGGAACGCAACAGTCGTAGCCGGTAATATAAACCCAGGCATTTTTGTCGTCAACATCGTACGTAATCCATAACCCACCGGAGTTTCTATCGCATCGTAACGCCCAACCTACTCCGTACGATCTGTACCATATCACATTTTTAACAATAACCTTCCTAACTCGAAGGTATTTCGTGAAACCTGCCGGCGCCACTAAGTAGTAAGTGGGGGTCAAAGAGGTAAGGGAAGCCCGATGCATTGCGTAATCGAGAGTACAGCATCCGGGATGTCCGAATACATGATACATGTGACTAGAAAAATGAATTATTTACTTTTTCTTCTTTCTTTCATCCGGCTTGGCTTCTTGGTGTGTTACTTGGGGTGTTACGGCTAGATCGGAATAAAACGGGTTAATGGTATAGGTCTAAGACATGATCTGAAGTATCGCTTTAGAAGCTAATATTAGGGGCGTGTTGGGACAATGTAGTACACCGGACTTGTACAGTATCCGCGTTGAAATTAATCATATTGCGACTCAAATACACTTCATAGAGTAGACCTCATAGCTTATGTAAAAATGTCATTTATTACTCCATCGGCAGGACTCTGCTCAGGAAGTTTTTAAACTATGCTCTGCTCTCTCTCCCTCTCATACGCCCCTAATTGATGCGATGTATTGATACACTAATCACTAATCCTCCTCATAATAACTCGACTCATAGTCCAGATCAAGCGGCGACGCCTGCAACTCCGCGCCCTCGGCCATAAGCGCGCTGAACGTCGCCAGATCTAGGGCCTCAACATCTAAACTTAGCCTTGTGTTGCGCTTATGAACTTGTTTATCCCACTGGGCCGGTAGTTTCTTGATCTTATCATTATCTTGCTTAAGCACTCTCGATGATCGCGAGAAAGTTTGGTTGATACGTTGGTGAGCCTCGAAACCGCCTAGAAGCGGCTCCTGTGGGTCTCCATTAAGATGGGCTTCCGCGCGGTAGAGGCCCGTTTCGAAGTACATAAACCCCTGGACGGCGCCGATGGTGGGGTCGGGACGAAGTATGATCTGTGATGAGTTTAAGTATTCTCGGGCTTGCTCCTGTCCAGCCTGGTATTTAGGTAATCCATTATGACCCGGTGGGGGGACTTCCTCGTGAGGTATGAACGGACGGGGTCTTCGGATAGCACGTTGCTTTCCGTTTAGTTGCAGTCGTAAGAAGCCGGATGATACGGCGGCTGAGCTTTTCTGGTCCGTCTCATCGTCGTCACCATCGATATCCATTAGAAATACTCGCCCACTGCCATCTCCAATGAGTAGTCTCTTGAAGTCTGGTGAGAAAGCGCCGACTGTGATGGGGCCAGGTACCTCGATAATATCCCTGATTAAGACCCCCTTTCCGTGTCGTATGTTCCATACTTTGACAACTCCATCCGATGATCCGGTGTATAGTCGGTCCACAGTTGTAGCCCAGGCTATGAATTTGACACCTACATCCTCATGTTCTCGATCTCCAATAAATTCCTCTACTGGATCTATATTTCCGTTAGTCCTTATTTCTTATTATAAAAGGGAAACAAACACTTACCGCCGTGCTCCAAAACGCACATGGGATCATCACTACCCGCAGAATCCCAAACGTAAACTCGGCCGTCGGTACAGCCAGCGGCAATGTAAGAATATAGAGTGCTATTGGGCCTGTTTTGGATATTAGCAACCTACATCACAAGAATATTAGATAACAAAGACAATTCGTACCTAATAGCAAGCTCATTAATATCAATAGCAGGGCAATCCAGTGTCTTCACCACGCCATACTGGCCCGTCATCTCATTCAGCTCGAAAATACGGATCTGGGTTCGAATGTGCTCCTCAATCTTCTCCGAAGTCTGTGACGCCGAAGTAGCAGCAGCGAAACTCGGCCGACTGGGATGCCACACAACCTCAAATACATTCGCAGTCGCCGCACTGTTGACTTTGACCTCGGTGTTCGTGTTTGTATCCCAGAGACAAAGCTCGCCGGTATCGCGCTTGTCCTCAGGGATCTCATTGTCGTCGCCGTTGAGACTTCGCGGAGAGTAGCCGATTAAGAGAAGATGGTTCACACTAGGTTCTAGCCCCCAGCGAATCGCAGACGGGAAGTAAGCCCACTTATCCGAAGGCACATAATCTTCGCCGTGGACTCGTTTACAAGAGAACTCATCATAAGCATAGTCTTGTGAAGGACGAGTTGGCCCGTCAAGAGTAGCACGATAGACCCGCACTGCTCTCGTAGAAATATCAGCAGCAGTCGCTACTTTACTACCGTGTATATTCTTATTCGCCACGACGAAATTGACCCTTCCGTCATGATGCCATGTCTCATGCAGCGCCATGGCGCCATCACGCGAATGCCAGACTTTGACCGTATTATCAAAGCTCGAAGTGAACACAAAATCATGGACGGGATCATAGTCCGATGATACCACTGAAGTAAAAAGCCAAGGATCTTGACTCTCCCTCATCGATGCTAAGGCGTTATCGCCGTGTTCGACGATAGGGCGGGGGATTCGGTGGTCAGGATACGCTCTTAGGGTGTTAGATGCCGCATCGCCGAATAAAAGGTTTCCAGGTTTGTTGTATTGCTGATTATGAGAATCAGAATGCGTAGTGGTGCCACAGACGAAGCGGGTCGCATCTGAAAGCCAGCTGATAGTCATAATATCCCCGGCACAGTTTGTCCACTCAACTCTCGGCTCCATATGATCCTCTCTATTACTCCTAAACGCCGTATTGAAGTTTTGGTAACGACGAGTAACTCCTAATCGTTGACCAACAATCTCCCTTGCGAATAGCAACTCTGGCACTATATCCTTCTTCGGTGCACCACCACGAGCATCACTATCGTCTCGTTCTAAGTAAAACGACTTAGGTTCGGCGTCAACCTGTTTCTGCAGTATATCATCTAAGAAATTATGGATATCCTCTGCAGAACGCTTCAATATAGAAGAAGGCGGGTGTTCAAAATCGTCATAACCTTGCCGATGAACATCAACAATGCGAGCTTGCATGTTTTTAGACTTTTTCAGGAGATGGCGTAGGTCCCGGATAGCCAATCTTTCTGCCTTTTGGAGTGGTCTACCATGTAGAGATCTTGCAAGTCGCTGAAGATATCTCACTTCCTCATCGCTGAAGTCTACATGGTACACACTCGGTTGACTCAGTTCGCCGAGTCGTAGAGGGAGCATTTGCCCACTACCTACCCCCGTTGCGATGCGACGCCGATCGGCGGCAGGCAGATATGGTCTTGATCGTTGACCGAACCAGCGGCTCTTAGCTTGTAATGGAGAACCTTCCTTCTTGAATTCATAGCTCTTTCCTGACTGCCACTGTGTAGCTTTCTGTCTCGTTCGCAATTGTTGCGGCGTGATCGGTGGCTTCTTCTTAGGTGGGAGTCGGGGCGGAGGCGTCTGAGCAGGTGGAGGGACAGCATCTTCGGACATGACTATATCCTCGTCGGCATCTTGCTCCACTTCCTCTTCATCGCGGTGGTCATTGCCATTAAGCGTAAACCCATCCAGCGGTTTCTCGATAGAAGGCAATATCGGCACGGGTATTTGTGACGTAGATATGCGAGCAGGCAGTTGCGGTGGTTGCGAAGCATTCGGCGGACGTCGAAACTCCTAGACCAGGTCTATTAGTAAAAGTCATCGTCGTAGGGCATAGATAGCAACTTACAGGTTCTCCCGCAAGCTCTTTTACAAGCTCACGAACGCGCACGTTAACGCTCGCCTCAACCTCGGGAGGTAGACGCCCATTGCCATCGTTAAAGTGGCGCTCGAACTCGCTATCCGCAACCCTCCCAATGACCTTTGACCCAAGCTTATCGATATCGTAGACCTCTGTATCTAAGTCCTCGATAGCACGCTCGAGATGTGGAAACACCTGGTTCTCCAAGCACTTGTTCAACAACCTTTTCACGGCGGCGGGGGATGTCGCTTTGTTTGCGTCGGCATGTTGCAACTTTCGGCGCTTCGTAGAGTGACCATTGGTTGGAGTAGAGTCTGATAAAAGCGGTGTCGATGGAGGTGGAATATAGCTCTGGGATTGCCTGGGTTCCTGCTTTATTGGAGGAGGCCGCACGCTCAAGGCATGCGCGTTTGGTATGGTAGGCGTGGTGGTGGGACCGGCGGGAAAGCTAGGTGCTTTGGGGGGTATCTGTGGTATAAAATCGTCGGAAATTCCTTCTCCCCCCTCTTCCTCCTCATCGGCGAGTGTCAGGTCGATTAGCTGGCCTCGCCGTAACGCTGCCCCTTTCGCGTCGACGGCCATGATCGATGGTGTCCCCAGTTATTAACCATTCGAAAACGTAAAACTAAAATAAAACTAAAAAAGCGGGTATTTTATTAAGTTAAAAACTTATTTAATACATTATTTATAATAAAAAAATAAAATAAAATAAATATTATTTTAAAAAATATATATAATAATTTAAAGATATAAATATTTAAATTTTATTTATATTAAAATATTTACTTTTTTATATTTTTAAAATAAACTTTATCATCTCGTTAACAAAAGGCATTTACTACGTCGTTGACTTTTACTTGTTATTATTAAATATGTAGTGTTGTAAAGTTGTAAGTTAATACGGGTATAGCTGTTAGTGAAGTAGTGGGTTGGTGGGGTTGTCACGACAATAGAAAAATAGGATTATAAAGACATCCAACAATATGTATGATTCATTCATCACATTAATAAGAATAGTTGAGCGCCATCGCTTATGTAGTTACATAACAGGTATACATAACGTAAAATAAAATATATGGTACAGAATCGCCGATATATTACAACTTCGGCTTGACGTTTGCGGTCTCTGCATTGATCTCGGCGTACATGCGGTCGATATCCGTCTTGAACTTCCTAACCGTTTGCGGCCTCTTAAGTTTCAACCTAAACACGATTTATGTCAGCAGGAGTACAATAAGATGATAAGACCCTTAGAAAAACTTACGTTGGTGTGAGAAGCTGGTTCTCCACAGTAAATGGTTCGAAGTCCAGAAGACAGTTGCGTACGCGCTCGTACCCGTTAAACTTGTGCTGCTTGGCAATGTTGTCAAGATGCTTAAGGAAAGCCTTCACTACACGAGGGTCTCGAGCAGCTACCTTGATCGCTTCAATATCTTCCGGGGCGACAGTCTTCCTTAGGATCTTACTAGCGAATGGACCGAATGTTACCGGATCCACACCGAAGATACCGACCAGGGTCGATTGGCTTGGTTCGCCGTGAACGAAGGCCATGGCGACTAGATTAGAGCTGCCCATGAAAACATTCTCAATTCGCTCAGGAGATATGTACTCTCCTTGAGATAACTTAAGAACGTTCTTCTTGCGATCAATGATCTTGATTCGACCCAATTCATCGATTTCGGCAATATCACCAGTGTGGAACCATCCATCCGCCTCCAAGGCTTTCTTGGTCTCCGCTTCGTTCTTTAGGTAGCCACGGAAAATGAACGGCCCTCGCAACAACAACTCTCCTCGCGGCCTGGGCTTGTCCGTCACGAGATACTCGAGCTCAGGTTGGGATTCTAGGCATACTTCTATGCCTGGCATGGGACCACCCACGTTCCCTATCGTAAAGTCGCCGTCCAGCTGGAATGAACCCGCGGCGTAAGACTCGGTAAGACCATATCCCTGGCAGAAAAAGTTGCCTAGGGCGGCTCGCAGGAACTCGTGGACATCAGGATCGAGCTGCGCGCTTCCACTCACCATGGAGCGACATCGGTCCAAACCAACAGCGGCCTTCACCTTAGGAGTCCATATCCTATCGTAGAGGAAGTGTTTATTGTGCGCCTTTCCAGGTGGCAATTTCATGCTAGCTTTCTTCGTCTCTATAACTCTTCGCGATAAAGCACCCTTCACGCCATCGGCCTGGATAGTCTGGGCTCGGATGCCCTGGTTGATTCGGTTGAATAGACGAGGTACCGAGATAAAACCGGTAGGTCTCAAAAGTTTCAAGTCGTCAATAACCTCTAGCATGTTGCCATGGAAATATCCTATAGCACTACCCGAAGACATAGCACACTGGTCGATCATTCGTCCATAAATATGGGCTAGAGGTAGGTACGAGAAAGTGACATCCGTATGAGTATAAGACCCACTGGAACGGGCACTGGCAACTGCTGCCACACAGTTGGAATGCGTCAAAATCACACCCTTGGGATCACCAGTAGTACCAGATGTGTAGTTGACGGTAAGAATATCTTCTGGACGAGGAGGGCGCGCAGGGTGAGCCACCTTAGCTCCAAGTTCCTCAACAGCTGTCATCGACCATATCTGGACACCGTGCTGAGCAGCGATGCCGTTTAGCAACGCAATTTTAGAGTATCCATCTTGCTCCCCCGCATCTAAGGAATCCACGCAGATGATCAACTTAAGTGAGGGTATTCGGGGCGCAAGGGCGAGGAGAGTCGGGATATGGGGTAGCGAAGAGACTACGCAAGATAGTTCGGCGTGTTTGATGATGTATTCGGACGCATCGGGACCCAGGGTCTCGTAAAGCGAGACAGAAAAGAGCGACTGCGAACTCAACCCGATATCTTTGTTACGTAAGTCAGAAATTTGAACACCTGGAGATCGGTCTCGACTTGGCAGCCGCTTCGAGTTTTAGGGGTTTCTCACCTGTGATTTGCCATTCGGCCCTGTTCTGACTCCAGATACCAACACCATGGTTACCAGGCGGAACGCCAATGCGACGATGAAGTTCATATATACCAGACCCGAAGTTTTTGCTTCGCGCCGCGACTTCAGTGTATGTCTGCCATTCGAAGTGGTTTTCCCAGCTCTTGGTTGTCGGGTTCCAAGGTCGCGTACCCAGGCATTTGTTATTGGGGTATCGCTTTACAGCATCCTGGAAAAGGTCGTGGAAAGTGCGTATTTCGGGCACATAAGTTTCGAGCAGAGGCTTATCTTGAAATCGCCAGTGCCTGTAAACAGGGCTTCGACCATCTCGTTCGGTGCCAGGTATAGGTACAGCGTAGGGCGAGCCGGGAGGTGGCGGCGTCGATAATTGCTTAATCGTCGCAAGAGTTTGCGGGTCAGGGCCAATTCCAGACATATTTTATCCAGCTACCCGGTAGAATCGAAGATGGTAGTATTGATAGGTGGGTTGGAAAAAAATAAAACAATTAAAAACAAAACGATTTCTTAAGATGTAAGGGAAGAAAAGGCGACTCAAGAAATTGGAAGTCACCTTTAGTCGCAACCTTAATCTTTATTCTCGACTTGCTACACAGACGTGACCCACTTAGAGTTTAGTCTATGTAGGGAAGATACCGAGGTGGATTGTTAAGTGGATAGCAATAGCTTCAACACTAAATACCTACCATCTAAAATGATAGAGATGAAAAGTATAGGTCTAAGCTTATAAAACAGTTTCGCCTTAGGAAGTATACACAACTGACAAAAGAGGTATGTAAAAATATTTATGTGCCCCTATCCGGCTCAATTTGTCTCGCATGTAAGCAAAAGTGGTGGAGATGAGCTTCGCCGAGATGCGCTGCACATGTGCTCGCTCTGTTTGTTTGTTAGGTAGGTACCTCCCCAGCTTATGCACGAAACTACTAGTAGCTCTATTAGGCGAGCCGAGGTCTAGGGACTCGATCTTAACAATACGTGGATATGATTGGACAGAAACTAGACCTCGGAGCAATAGATGGGTACTGACTTACCCCAGACATTTCGGTCATCATTGGTTGAAAGCAAAGACATTGGTTAAGATTCGGTCATCGGCCGAACAGTTAAAGACGTATGCATATAATCCGGCACTTTCCATGCCGTAGTACCGTGATTAGTTGAACTTTTTCTGGTTGGATTTAACTTAAGGTTATTATGGACTAGACCTTTTCAAAGCCAATAACGAAATGACCTGACTTAGATAAGCTTACTTTTATATTTACAAGCGATCTACGGCCTCACTTTGCGAATAACGCTTCTGGCTGACTCGTCTTCGATAGACTGCCCTTATAGACATACCATGAGGAAGCGAAAAGACTCTGGGCAAATATGCATGTTCCTTACCTCGTTCTAACTAGGTATGCAGGCAACAATATATAAAAATTATCACATGGTGGCTTCAACTAAAAGCCGATAGAGAGATACATTTGTAGGCGTTGCCGCCTCGAAACAATTGCACGCAGGTACCGCCATTTCGTGACACACGATTCAGCTCTCATTATCTCCTTTTTCAAGCCTCACTGCAGCCAGCCGTATGATTGAGAGATCGCCAAGATTACTCCGACACAATCCTAGCCGAAAATAGCCGTCAAGCCAAATGACATGTTAATAAAGAGGCTATCGGCCACCTTGTCACCACGAACCGCTCCTCATTCTTCAAGGAATATATTCTTCGTTGGAGATATCTGAGCTAGCAAGCAACTTATATCCATGTGAATTTATTACTATTCAAATAGCAATATCGAGATTCTTAATTCGAAGAATTTCTTTGCTTAGGTACTACCACACGCCTATTAGCGCTGTTTTGCCTTAATTTTCTCAGATCTAGCAGGATGGTCCAGAACAACGCCACTCAGTCTAAAACGACTCAATTCCGAAGAGCATCCAGAGATGATTATAACACGGCAGCAAGCCACGATAGAAACTCCGAAGATCCTAAAATAGGCACATACTTAAATCCATCGATTTCTCGCCACTACACTACGCAGGCAGGCCTGAGCGCACGCGCGTTTTCTTGGCCGTGTAAGATATTCGGCACTCAAAGCTTAGTCCCGAACTGATGAGACGACTTGGCTCCGGTAGCCAAGATGCCTTCAAGATTTCAGAACAAGCCTTCTGATACAAGCCATCAACAAATTCCGAGTCTTAACAGACATTGTTTTGCAAAACATTTTGTTATTTTTGGTTACTCTTTATCTTATCCCCGCAATCTCATGTTTCAATCTTTTATTTCTCACGTATTTGTTCATGATCCTCATAGTCTGGGCATTTCTATTATCGGTCGTAAATGGAAACAATTCCCATGCGCGTCAAACAAGGAGATTTTCTTGGTAGATTAGGTAAGTGCGTACGTAGCACTGCTAAATTAGACAGACCTTGGTATCGAGTCGATTCGATGTTGAGTATAGCAATGGATGGATATGCGGACTTCCGCTGCTGTACTTACGTGTACGCGCCCGCCAGCGTGATACACGCCCCTCTTATTTCGCTTCACTCGCATCTTGCCGCCAACAATAAACGCTAGAATCTCATGTACTTGTAAGTTAGAGAGGAATTTGGATCTTTAAGAATCAAATGTCTTGCTATGTTATAAAATAGGATTGCTACAAAAAATTATCGCATCACGAAATATCCGCAGTGATCTGTCAGTTCCAAGGTCGCTGGGATCGGAATCGATATTGATAAGACGATTCAAAAGCCAAACCAGAAACTCGAAGATTTTCTTGTCCTTGTATTAAGAACCCTTCCCAGCATTTGCGAAGCACCCCTGTGGGGACCGCCACGGCAGATGATGGGGGGATGATTGGGCTGGATTGGTCGTTCCGCCCTACCAACGACCCCGTTCGGGAAATCGAATCTCTTGCGCATGGCTCACACCCCCTGATCTTTGCTGTTTCAGATGGTCTCAAGGCAGCACATCGCCGCCCGCATTGGGGCGATCAGAGCTCAAGTCAGTGCCAACTCGCGGGCACACGATCAACCATCAACCAGGGATATTCCCATTCACCCTGACGAGTGACTTGTCTCCGGATTCTTGATAATTACCCATTGGTTCCCCCCCGGGATGTAGCATGAATGGTAGGTGGTTCTTCTTTTTTCCCCTTCGATCCCTTCCCAATTCTTGTTTTTCTTTCCACCCGTTATATCTGTTGCGTGCCTGGTGCCCTCTTTCCGTTCCTTGGGATATTTCTATTCTTTTGCCGCTGTTGACGCTCCTTATTTAACTATTATACAATCCAAATAATTCCCCCCTCGCCTCCCTAGCGTACTTCATTAAAATATCGTTTTTATGACGACCGGTACGCACCGTGACGTTCGTTTTCCTAACCGTACACCTCGATTTCAAACCGGCAACATGGCTTCATCTAGCATTATTATCCTGGGTATCCGGGCGGCCCAACTACTCTTCGCCTTCATTGTGATGGGTCTTACGGCATATGGTACGTTTGTCATGATAGAAAGGGATGCGTAAAGTTGCTGTTTTGGCAAGGGCTAACTTTGGGTTTGGTTAGTTGCGCACTGGTACAATGTAGACACATTGACTACGTCTCCTTCGCAGGTCAACTGGTTACTAGTAGTATCAGTAATCACGATTGTATCTGTCCTTTACCTCGAGTTAACACCGAGATTCGCTCCCAAGCGTAAGTAACCACAAAACGAGCCAAGCAGCTCAATATACGTCTTCCAAAAACTCACATTTTAATTAGTATCTCACCCACTCGTGGCAATGAGCCTCGAAGTACTTAACGCGCTCTTCTACTTCGCCGGCTTCATTGCACTCAGCGTATTCATGAGCCGCCTACTTTTCTGCCGAGGCAGCGTGTGCGGAGCAGCGCGCGCCGCCATCGCCTTCGGGGCCTTCGAGTTTCTACTATGGACCGGATCCGCGATCCTTATGGGAAAGGAAGTCGCGAAGGCGGGCCTCCCCAGCTTCAAGCGGCCGACTTTCGGCCGCAAGGGCAGCAACAAGGGCCCTTTAAACGAGCCCCCTATGAAGGAAACCTCGGCCGCGTAAGCGTGACCGTAAGCCAAACTGGCGACCGGCTCTCCGTCGGCAGCGGCCGCGGGTACACTGACATCCCGCTATCCCCGTACCGTCCGTCTCTCGATTACCCCGTAGAGGCGAAGACGGTTGGGCGGTGGGATCGTGTATACTTGCATCTAGGCAAAGTGTAGACAGTCATCTGTGTTGTACACATTCATTCATCAATCAACCCATTCATCCAACCAAAGGGATTGCGGTTTTTTTACTAGGATACGGGAAGGTGGCTATGAATGAGAGAAAATCGGGGAATTGAAGGCTTCGTCTAGATGACTAGCCAGCCAGTACGTCCATGGATGGGATGTACCGGGAAAGGGAGCTGTGCTGTGAAGGAGTTATTTGGAGTTAATTTGAAACAATAATAGTTAAAACTTAACTAACTAAAGGGAAACTGATTCGGCTGAGCTCTTGTTATGAAGACGGAACGAATATATCCAATATACCATCAATACTGTTTGCGCGATGAGAATTAATCAACTTGACACATAGTGAATGAATTATTGATGAAGAGGGATAAGGGGTTAGAGAATTGATTGCGATGGCGATGTCGGCTAGCCTTATACTACATGTAATGAGTCCTTAATTTCCCTCATACATGTAGCGAAGTTAATGTAGGAACTTTGTATAAACTTTATTCGCAACTTTGTTTCCAGCCATCTGGTATTGGGGTAGTACGAACCATCCCACCCGATATCCTACACCATGTACCGGTATACGGGCTTTAGTTCTGTCGCAATACGGCTACGGGATGGTGTTTTTTATTGATACCCCGCCATGCCTCGCTAGCTTTTGTGACCTCCCACTATAGCTTGCGTGGGATGCCCCGCGATACTTCTCCTTTCAGCTACCTAGTTTTTCTATACGTACAAAATGTAGAAAAGGAAGTATTAATTATGAAGTAAGCAACTCATATTCCAATAAAATAATTTATAATATCGAAATATCAGACCAATGAAGTCAAGCTCTATATAAAGGAAAGAGACAGGGGAGATGGAGCGAAGCTAGTCGAAAACCCCTCAGTCCAAGTAACTTTCTATAGCGAGCACCACGGCTAGCTACCTACGTAAGTAGTATGTATACTTGCAGAAGCGTATAGGTAGTACATAGACCTACATGGCAAGTCGACAGGAGATAGTCGATGGCGTGCTTTCTACCCCGACTCCACAATTCCCCAAAACGGAAATCCAAGAGTGACGATTCGCCTAAGAGTACTGTGCTATTGTCGGGAAGTCGTTTGTGATGAAGAGATACATATAAGCTAAGTCAAGTGACACATATCTTTGTAGTAAGTCCTATAGGCTTGTGAACTCAAATACTTCCTGTTTTCTCTCTATTTGGGTATCGCCCGACGTCGTGATATCTTGTCATTCTCACTTATCTGATTCTCACCTTTCTCTTATACCCGAGAAGACTTAATATCTGAAATTAGTCACAATGGCAGAGGAATTAAGTAAAAACTTTGAGACACTTCAGCTCCATGCGGGGTACGGGAATTCCTCAAATACTGTCAAGATATTCGGGCGTTGACAGCTAATTGTGCCATAGCGCCCAGATAGATCCAGCTACGAATGCTCGCGCTGTTCCCATCTACGCGACTACTGTTAGTTTGTCATGATATTAGCATATCGGACGTTTATGAGCTGACTGTCATTAATAGAGCTTCGCCTTCAATGACTCGGCACATGGCGCAAGGCTGTTCGCCCTTAAGGAGTTCGGCAACATCTACAGTCGTCTTATGAACGTTAGTAATATCTGTCAGCGCCAGTCATATTTGGCCCGATGTTAACCGAAATGAACAGCCTACTGTCGATGTCTTTGAGAAGCGAGTTGCTGCCTTAGAAGGTGGTGTGGCGGCAGTTGGTGCCTCATCCGGCCAGTCGGCTCAATTCATGACTTTCGCTGCTCTCGCGCACTCTGGTGACAACATTGTCTCAACTACCAACTTATATGGTGGCACGTACAATCAGCTCAAGGTTTTCCTGCCACGACTCGGAATCAAGACAAAATTCATCGAGGGTGATAAGCCCGAGGACATTGCCGCGGCTATCGACGACAAGACGAAGGCCGTATATCTTGAGAGCATTGGTAACCCTCGGTACAATGTGCCAGACTTCGAGGCCATTGCGAAAGTTGCTCATGAGAAGGGTGTCCCCGTCGTTGTAAGTTAAACAAGTATCCCAGGCAAGATGCAAAATATACTAACTTCAATAGGTCGACAATACTTTTGGAGCTGGAGGCTACTTCGTAAGGCCCATTGAGCATGGTGCAGATATTGTTGTCCACTCGGCTACGAAGTGGATTGGAGGTCACGGAACGACAATTGGTGGCGTCGTAGTCGACAGTGGAAAGTTTGACTGGGGCAAGAATGGAGCCCGATTCCCCCAATTTGTTGAGCCGTCTGAGGGTTACCATGGTCTTAAATTCTGGGAGACCTTTGGCCCTATCTCTTTCGCCATTCGCGTGAGAGTTGAGATTCTACGTGATCTAGGTTCTTGTCTTAACCCATTTGGAGCACAACAACTCCTTCTTGGCCTCGAGACACTGAGTTTGAGAGCTGAAAGACATGCGCAAAATGCAATTGCGCTTGCGAAGTACCTTGAATCCAGCCCCTACGTAAGCTGGGTATCGTACCCGGGATTGGCCAACCACCCCAGCCACGAACTCGCTAAGAAGTATTTGAAGAGGGGTTTTGGTGGCGTTCTGAGTTTCGGAGTTAAGGGTGGTGGTGCTGCCGGTAGCCAGATCGTCGATGGGTTCAAGCTGATCTCCAACTTGGCCAACGTTGGCGATTCAAAGACGCTGGCTATTCATCCCTGGACCACAACACATGAGCAGTTGTCAGATGAAGAGAAGATTGCCTCAGGTACGACTGAGGATTTGATCCGTATCTCAGTCGGTACGGAACACATTGACGACATCATTGCCGATTTTGAACAATCGTTCAAGAACGCGTCTGCTGCGACCACAAAGGGAGCAGAGGGAGGTTCGGGAGCGGAAGCCAAGAAGGATGAAGCACCAACAGTCGTATAAGGAACCTGCAAGCACATTTTTGAATAATTATACCCATTCAAGTAGTAAAGAATCATATCACATTTGTGAGATAAGGGGAAATTTTATGAGCACCCAAACTTGACATGTTATTAGAATGCGGAATAGCCATGAAGCACTAGTCAAATGAGACGCATAGTTTTAGCGATAAAAAGTTGCGAAGTTTATAGAAGACGGAGAGATGGGATGGTATGTTAAATTTGGCTCTGCTTTCCAGTTGTATGGTACCTATCCGGCGCCAAGACAACCCCCAATTTGGCCCCACATAATGTGTATGTAGGACTTTGAACCTTCCAAACGACAAACTGTATAACATCATAGCCTCAAACCCTATCTAGAGACTTACATTTCCATTTATCTTCACTACTTATAGCTATATACTAATAGCATCGAGAGGGGAGACAGACACAAGATGCGCATACCAACACTCACCAGCGTCCTCTTAGGCGCCCTCTCCGCATGCTCGCTTACCTCCGCCGAAACAACATCGTTCAGCGGCTCAACCAGCGTCGTCGTAGACGGAAAGACATACCACGCCAAGTACAAAGGCAAAGGGCTTAGTACAGATCAAGCATCAGACGCCATCCTCGCCTCACCAACAGACTCTCTAACACTATGGATTCCATCCTCACAACATCTTTCCAACCCACACGTCCTGCCACCGACTACGCACGCAACACTCTCCTCCCTCGGCGTCTCGCAGACCGCGCCGTTAACTGCGGCCGGAACATTCGTTTTCCAGAATCTAACGATCGGATCGTACCTCGTCGATATCCATTGTCGAACGCATGCCTTCGCGCCGCTGCGCGTGGATGTTGCGCAGCGAAGCACGAGCGCTACTAATACTGATGGAACGAAAGAGCATAACGAGACACCGGTATTCTTTGTGTGGGAGACGTACCGCGGAAATGACTGGGGAAATAAGGGCCAGAAGGTGCAAAAGAATGGGGACGGATATTTCGCGCTGCGGGCTTTGGGCCCGAAGGAATATTATACTGAGAGGGGATCTTGTACGTGGATTCTCTACCTAGGAGAAAACTGAATATATTGGGCTAAACTAACACGCACCTACAGTCTCCGTCTTCGGCATTCTTAAGAACCCCATGATCCTCATGGGTCTCGTCAGCATGGTACTCTTCCTCGGCGTGCCGAAGCTAGTTGAGAACAGTAAGCCCCTTCCTCTCTATGCGCACTATAGATCACTGTCTTCTAACCACCGAAAACTCCAGTGGACCCCGAAATGCGAGCCGAGTGGGAAGAACAGCAAAAGAACAACCCAATGAACTCGATAATGGGCGGTCAACAATCCAGCGCCAACCCCATGGGCAACTTCGACATGGCCGCTTACCTTGCGGGGCAGAAGAAAGATGAAAGCGAGGCATCTGCTGCTGGTAGTAACAACAGCGGTAGCAAAAAGGCAGGAAAGAGATAGAGTGTTATGAGATATTGAATTATGGCAAGCTTGTACGAACATTTATATAGAGGGAATAGAACGGCTAGAGGACGGTGTCAATCCTATCAACTCGAATATAGACACATGCGCATGGAGATAAGTGATTCGTAAAACGAAGCTGCATTGCAGGACCTATGTACCTAACCGACCCAACCCAGCCAGACCCTTCCACTTCATTTCTCATGCCCGATTTAGATTTCATTCAATCATGATCAATGCTTGGCTACTTGCTTCTTTGCCTATCTCGTTCTGGCTTCCTTGCTCGACCCAATCTAAACAGCCTCCCCAGCTAAACAGTGCTCATATGTGGTAGAAAGCATCGCAAACATAGGTTTAAATATGATGTGAATATAGCGTCAGGTAATGAGCAGCTTAGAAATCACCACCGAAGTCACCACCGCCGAAATCATTATCCTGGCCGTCCTGGTAACCATCCTGGTACGCTTCCTGCTGCTCGTGGTCTTCGTGGTCGTCAATCGCATCTGCGATCAAAGCACCACCTATTAGACCCGCACCTACACCCAACGCGGCGCCTCCCATTGCTCCCATACCGCCACCTGGCTTCTTTTGCGGAGCTTGCTGGTAGTAGCCACCTTGTTGGGGAGGGTATCCGCCACCGTAACCACCATACTGGCCAGGCGGAGGCCCGTAACCTCCGTACTGACCTGGGGGCGGTCCACCGTAGTATCCCTGTTGTGGGGGAGGGCTGCCGTAGCCACCGTACTGCTGGGGAGGAGGTCCTCCGTATTGTGGTTGCTGACCCGGGTATCCACCACCATAGCCGCCGCCACCGTAGCCCTGGGGCTTGTTCTTTCCACCAAAGAACTTGCCTAGCAGGCCCTTGGCCTTGTCGGTTGTACCACTTCCAGAGCGTGGTGGTAGTTGGCCTTGCTGATCCGGATATGGGGAGTAGCCCTGCGGTGGAGTCGGGGCGTTAGTGTACGACCGCGCAGCACCACCAGCACGAGCGTTCTCTTCCTCCTGTAGCTGGCGCGCTAATCGAGCATCCGCATCCTCATCGTGTGAACCCGAGGGCCCGCTAGGCTTGGTGGCTTCGTTGATGAAGGGATTCTTAGAGTCGGTGGGCGCGGGGCTTCGACCTGGGGTGTAGCCGGGAGGTGGGCCAGGAGGCAGGCTGTCGTCGCGAGCGTTCGGGTCTACGGCAGGCTCGGTGGGCTTATCCCATTGGGATTTCTTGGTAAACGTATTGACATAGAACCTATATGAAGCAAAGCGGGTTAGATGATGCGACGAATGAAGTAAGTGGCGTGAGGGGCGGAGAATTGAGGTATGAGAGCCAAGCCATGACTTACCACTCATGGTATTGATCGTTCCAGCGGGCGACCCAGCCTTCTGGTACCTTAGGAGGCGGCGGGCCTGTAGGTGGTAAGAAGTCCGCCATACGTGTCGAGTTTTATTTTGCGACGCGATATGGTGTTGTATGGATTACATGTACCAATGTCTATGTAGGTAGATAGATGTAAAGTAGTTGGCTGGTTGATGGACCGACTTATAAGAAGTAGAAAGTGGGGTTCCTCGCAAGCAAAGGAGGGGTTTATTCCCAAACTGATATGTTTGGTGAGGAATTAGGTATTTGAAAAAAAGATTGGGCGGAAGAAAAGAAGAAAATTGGACGAATATTAACGCAAGAACCTTCTTCTAAGATGTCTCACAGTAATGGGAATAAATAGTAACAAACCTACTGCAGGTGGCCACCCGTGGTTCCTGCTAAAGCAACGCAACGCTTCTAGATTCTACTAAGGATGATACAAGATGTACAGCTGATTCGATACGTCAAGTACACCCCTAACATACAAATGTACATATGTATCTAATGATGTGGAAACCGCATCCCATCCCCATTCCCCATAAAGCCCCCTAATGTATACCTAGGTGACTTAAAAAAGGGCATTGCCTCAGTCAGTTCGGTTTCGGCATCTTAAACCCCGATTATACTTTGACTAATGGTTTGTACCTGACAAGTACTTAGTGGGCTCTTCGTCACGAATGTGTAACTTGTGAGAGACATTCACCACTTTTTGCCCCTCGAAACTCGAACCCCCTCGATTGCTGGAGGCCACCAATCACCACCCGCATATATTGGGGCTGTGCTTGTATTTAGAATACTTCCCATCTTCAACTTTTTAGAGAACAGGCGAGACAGCTGACGACGTTCACAATGCCACCCGGTCACAAGTAAATTGTGCCTCTTTAGCTTACGAATTATTAGCATCTATGTAGGCTTTCCTTATTCAATACGACTTTAAGCCACAATTACGTACGAATACAATTTGAAATATCTAGAATTATTATCGCTTCGTATAATTTCGCTCTATCTTTCCCGGATTTGAAGGCGTCCACGATGACACAACCAATACAGAAATTTTAGTTTGCATGGGAGAAGGATTGCAAAGCGACTAAACCGTGATCCTCAACAAAACCAAAAGTTGGCTATACTATTAAAAGATTCGCCTAACAACTTTGCATACAATTGGGTCTATCATCGGCGATACAACTACCCAGTCATTAACCTCACACCCAAGAATAGTGAGTACGGAATATGGCATCACAAAAGACATAGCCTGGATATATAGCGACATTTCATTATCGACATTTCAAGTCTATCCATTTCGGCTCTAGGTGTGTTTAAATATCTATTACGATAGCTGGCCTTCCCTCCACATTGCCGGGACCACCCACAACCGCAGCATTAACAAGCGTTGTGCTACTTGAGGCCTCCGATCGCCAACAGAGAAGTTCAGAAAGCTTCTCAGATGCCAGACGGAATCTGATAACAAAGGTAGCCCAAACCCCTATTTCTCCCATCATTGGTATATCGTATGATGCTTCATCAGAACTGTAGGTAATAGCCTGCTGTCCATGGTCGGCATGTATGTGTCCGAATACGACAAGTCGGGGACGTACCCGCCAGATCTCCTTCAACAAGAATCGACATCCCTTGCCTCCGAGATCGAGGTGACCCCTTGGAGGACCATGAGTAAGGAGTATATCCGTGCCCTTGGGGATACTATTTGTCCACACGTCTCGGATAGGAGGGTATTGGAAAGCCCACGTACCGAATTGCTCGGTAAGCGGTGAGCCGTATATATCAAGTGAACGACCATTCGGAAAGTCGAGCTTGATAGATGATCGGTTGAGATAGATAATATCACCCCAATTTAAGTCGGTTTGCGATGTCCCCTCCCCTTCATATATACGGTCCGGAAACCGCTTCACGTACGCGGGGTCTAGTAAGACATCGTGATTACCAGCTATAACAACTTTATACTTATGAGGTGCTTCCTTGAGCCAGCCCAACTGCGCTTGGATTTCTTCGAATGATCCCTTGTTGGTTAAGTCACCGGCGTGAAGCAGGATGTCTCCTTCGGGTAAACTTGGCTGTGTACAGTGAGTGTCTGATATACAGACAATTCTAATCGACGAGGATGCTGAAATTTGATGTACTTGATATGGTACATCTTCTAGGTGGCTAGTCTGATTCGGATTGGATTGCCCCTGCGAATGGGGCTCTGAAAGAGGAGTCAAATCCATCTCTTAGCATGTTCGGTCTTGCTGCACGATACACAATAGATAAGGAGATGGTCGCGGTGGGCGGGATACAGATTATATATGTACTCTTCAAAACTCTGGGATCATATTACTACTAACTTGGGTATTGAAAGGGATGAACCAATCGCATTATCATACCAACAAACACGGCCGAAAGACAATGCCACCTGTTCATCGGAGATACTTTGTAAGAGCGAACAGTTTCTTACATTAACCAACAAGGCCAACTTGCACCAAGATCTAGCAAAAACATACCCTTGGGTTCAATATACTTATCAAACAGATACGTAATTCGAAAACTCGAGTATTGAGGTACGAACAATGTCCAACACCGTGCACCACAATAGTTGTGCGACAATGAGAGCGGAAATGTATTATAAGCCCGAAAATCCGCCTGGAGAGAGAGACTTGGACTTCCTCACCAGCACGCAGTGGCTTAAAAAGAAGAGTTGCAGAAAGGAAATCCTAAGTTAAGAGAGGAAATCTATTATATATACGAAAGAAAGTTGTCTATATACCACAGTACTTTCCTCAGACTTCCACAATGGGCCACGCACACTCCAAGCCCGAGACCGACGATCCCGTTGGGCCCACTCGAGTGGCCAGAGAGCGATACAGAGGAGATCGCAGGGAAGTCGGGGGCTCTTTGATTATCACAGCCCCAATTGGAGGACCTGTTATGGTCCCTTCACAGCGTCGCGACGCCGACGGTCATCCTTGGGAGAACGTAAAGTTCGACCTTACTCGGGACGTATTAAAGGAGGCCCTGGACGTCATGGCGACGTACTTAGATCGAGAGCAAGTCACGATCCGCGTGGTAGCTGTAGGTGGGGCTATTAACGTCCTATATTTCCAATCTCGGGAGACAACACATGACGTTGATTTCTTCTTGGGCAACTCACGGTCCCCGCAGAACCACGTCCTTGGCGATGCCGCCCGGTACGCCAATAAGGCGTTCTACAACGAACTGGGAACCGAATGGTTCAACAACTCGAACCAGATCTGCATCCCGGGCAAAATTCAGAAAGGTCTAGCCGACGCTGCCATAAAACAAGACGCCATCGTCTACAGCGGCGAAGGCGCTAATGGAGGCCTTGTTATTTACGCTGCTCCGTGGTCTTACGCGTTCTGCGGTAAATTGGATAGGCTTTGCGGGGACAACCCTAATTCATACGACCTGGAGGATGCCATAGAGTACCTCAATGAATACCTCTATACAAAGAGGGAACATTGGGTCCCTCTTCACCGGATCGCTCGCTGGTGTAAAACATACCAGAAGAAGGTGACCCGAGAGGTCATACGGCAGATTGACGATGCCTACTACGCTAGGTTCGGGCGGCGTGGAATCGACCGGCATCCGAGGTTTTAGGCCTTATCGTAGATGGTTAGGCTCCTCTGGCTTCGGGCAACTCGTTTTTTTCTCTTTGTACTATATCGTTTAGACATACGAGTGTATGTCTCTTTTTCCTTTTCAATTGGCGCTTATTAGGAGGATACCCAGGCTGTTTTTATTGTTTTTTGGGTTTAATCATCAAAAAGTTTTGATGAGCTGGTCGAGGAATCCGTGTTCATAGGGGTTATATAGTAGAGGTGGTTTTATTTTTTAAGGGGTGATTATCTTCTATGAACACGGCTGGCGGGAAGTTAAGCATCCGTGATGCTTAATTCAACCCATCCTGTCTAGTATTATAATTTAGCTACTATATAGGTAGCTTATGAGGTACGGAATTGACGGTATTAAATATTAATCATGATGATTTTAGTGTGAATGTGACGCAAAGGGGCATTGGTATTTAAACAATTTGAAGAACAAAGCCGTGTCTGTGGATGAAGCTCATTGTAGGTACCTAGGTATGTAAAACCCCTAAATCTCGAACTTGGGTGACCACAAAGAAACATGACGGTGATAACTAATGCTAGAGTTTGGTATAGATGATTTGTTTGAGAATGTCGCGAAGTCGTGTAATTATATGGTAAAGCCGCCTAAAATCAAATATGGGTTCATATTTACGATCCCTAACGTATCTAATACCCTATTCTTAAAACTCACTGACTGTCAATTCCCTACGTGTATTGAATCCCCTACCATCTATCCCAAGCAAACCACCACGTGGCATCATGCTATTCATGCGTCGAAAAAAAACACAAATAATTTCAAGTAGCCTTATTCTAACATGTCCAATCTCGAGACTCCTATCCACCGTCTTTGGCGGCGGCCTAGACGCGAAAACGCCGAAGCTGAAAAGTGCAATGCGTAATGTAAGTCAATCGGGAACACAAAATACAACATCCATTCATCCATCAAACCATGTCCCTCTCATCATATCTCCTGTCCTCGAATAATCTGGCTGCTTCGATGCAGTATGTCGCGCGTTCACTACCCAATCTCCTTTCACTGGCATAGCATATGAGAACTCCATCTAGGATACCTGATAGAATACCTTCCATGGCCCCTAACACACCCCAACCGATCATACTAGCTACCAAACCAACAACGTACGCATAAGCGCTTCCCCTGATGCCGGAACTATCTGGGAGTTGGACCTGCAGCTGCCGTGCAGTCATAACCCATGCCGCAAACCCTAGTGCCGTTGACATAACGAATCGTGCGGCGTGGAGGAGCATTTTTGCCATTCGGTAAGGCATCAATGATGCCGATGCTTGTCCACGTCGAGAGAATGCACTCGGTGTAAGTGTAGTAGTAGGTCCGGTAGCGAGAAACTGAATCCTACTCAGCTGTGAAGCCGACTCCATCAGGGGTAGCGAGTGGATTGACGCATACGTCAACGCCAGCGGGTTAGTCAGGACGGATACGGGGCGAGGAGCTAATCGCCATCCTATAAACTCGAAGATACTTGCGATACGGCGGGGCAAGATTAAAATAGGGATCCGAACCGCTAAGGATAGGAGGGTAGAGGCACAGATAGTGCCGAATACTGTGGTCGTTGAATGTCCCAGAGCACCCTTGACGACCGCATTTGAAGAAGCGGGGGTCTGGTTATTTCGGAAGAAATACCAATTTGAAACGGTACCACCGGTAGTGGCCCGAACAACTCCGCCCATGACGGAGAGTGTCCAGACGTACATGAGGAAAAAGAAGACTGCTAGCCACCAAGTAGCAGTGCCAATCACAAAGGCCGAAAGGGACTTAGAAAAGTACCCGCCGAGGAAGATCCTTGTGAACATCCATAACCATATCCAGGTCCATCCGACAACAAAGCCTAACGAACCGAGTCCGAGAAGCACCAGCGCCGGATTGGCAGTGAGGATTCGACTCGAAAAGTCTAGTATGTCTATTGCCCTTTGTATCTCGTGACGTCCCTTGTATAATAGCCATACCCATACAATAGCGCAGATACCTGGAATAATAGCCGCATATCTCATAACCACATCTTGTAATCGGGATCCGTGATCCGGCCCTTGGAAACTGGAAATCATTGGATATAGTGAGAATGAGAAGAGGACAATCGGGACACCGAGTAGGATGAGAAGCGCTAAGGGCTGTACGAAAGACCTTAATGCTGCCATCCATACTAAAGCCACTATGATTGACACCAGCGTATCCACGGCAAGGAGGTAAAATGAAGAATGTAGGGTTGTGTAGATAGTGTCTCCTATCTTCCTGCCTGGGACGGAGGTGTGCAACCATACGAGCACGAAGGTGGCGAATAGAGATGCGATAGCTATGAGATAGATCCAGGCGAAAAATTGATCGTGAACAAATATTTCCCCATACATTCGGGCAGGCGCCAGCGCAGGAATTTCGCCGCCTCGCTCCTCTTCTTCCGTCTCATCCTCTTCCGCGATAGCTTGTCGCATCAACCGTTGGTCATGTTCTAAATTCGAGCCTCTTCTCCCAGCTACACCCTTCGGACCGGACTTAAACTGCTGGAAAGCGGGTGGTGACGAATCTGTAGGTGTCTCCTGTAGAAGATCATCCGGAACTTGATTGTCCATTACCGTCGATTCCAAACCAATGTCAACCATCTTTCCACTCTCGTCACTCTCAGAATTCTGTCTCTTGTTCTGATGGCTGCCTAACCCCTCTGGCTCTTTGCCCAATTCCCGTCTAGAATGCCTATCTTTAAAACTCGATTCACCATTCCAACTGCTCTTAATACCGCCTATGGGACGAGCACTGGAGTATAGATTTTCGTGGGATTCGTTCCCATCGCGTTCCGAAGAGGCACCTAACCCATCGTTTTCCGACGCTGAGCTCTCCTCTAACCGGCTCGAGACAAAGACCCGACGAGACCGTTGTAAAGCCCGAAGATCCGCAGCTTCCCTCGCATCGTCGTCATCCTCATCCTCTCGGTACTCGTTCAGGGCACTATGGAAGAGCGGGGCGTCGGATATAGCGTTGTATCTCGAGAAACCTCCGAATCGTGAGTTCGCGGGCTGATAAGGGTTCCCAAGTCGGGTCTGGTACGAGGACCGAGCAGGCTGCCGAGAGAATCGTCCTGACATCCCCGGTGGTTGTCGATTTGAGGGTTCATTGTTATCCGGTTGGCCGAAGTTGGATAATCGGGACTGCGACTGGGCTAAAAACCTCGAGGCATCTTGGAGCGAAACGTCAGACTTCGGGTCCTAGTATAATAGGCAGAAGCTTGACTTACATTCTGAGAACATGTTGGATGTGCGCAGGAGGAGGTAGACTCCGGCAGGTTAGATAGGGGGAAGGGTTGTCGGGCAGAATTAGGCAGGAGTCGAAAGAAAAAAAAGCAAATCAATCAGCGGTGACAATAGCACAATAATGCAAACAATACGACTCGGAATACTAATGGTAATAGTAAGAAAGGGAACACCGGGGATTTACCCGCCAATAAAAGAGAAAATAAAGTAACAAACACCGAATCTTGATATGCTACTGTGGAAAGAGGATGGGTTGGAAGAAAGTATACGTCAAAAATAAAAAATGGTAGGTCAAGGCTGTTGCGTCGACAACGGCGGCGTCGCGAGGTTTGTTGGATGTGGATGTGGATGTGGATGGAGATGGAGATGGAGATGGAGGGATTGATGGATGGATGACTCTCGGAATTGCTCACATGCAGGCGTCCAATGTTCCATCTTCTGTACTAAATGTACTGAATGTACTGAATATACTAAATGTAGAGAGCTTAGTTACCTACAGAGATACGTAAGTACCTAATCTACAGCACTAATCACACTGTAAAGTACCCCTGCTTATCCGGACATAGACCCGCTAACTTTAGAGAGCTGCATTACGGAAGCGGTCAAAGTGGGATAGTGGGCAGGTATGAGCCTAACAAGTGCCGCCAACTTGTACTAATGGACCCTGAAGCCTGCAGTTACTCATTATTCAACCACTCTTATTTGCCCCGAAACAGTTTATCTCCGATAAGATAGGTTACTTTTATCTACATAAGTACTTGGGATGTACACATGTACGTATGAGCGGTTGCCTACATGCGGTACGTCACTTTAATCACTTGCTCAAGTTCACTAATTATATATGCAAATCACCATAAGAATAGAAAGAGTGTATAGAAAAGACCCTGTGCCAATAAGAAAATAGAAAGAGAGATAAGGAAAAGTCACTTATACATTTATTAACCGGCATGGTCTCCTTATGATAATGTTAATAAATGAAATAAATGGTGCGACCATGTCACGAGCCTTTCATAGCATACCAGGTGTCTAACGCGGTGAGGTCATCCACCCTCAATCAGGCGCTATCGGCGCTGCCAGGTGCTCGAAACGCCGACCGCCGCCTTACCTTTATGTACCTAGGTGCTTAGCTGCTTAGGTGCCTTCCCTACCTTACTCGCTTTGAATAGAGCCATGTATCGTGCCTGACTTAGTACCTAGGTATTGAGCATTATAGGTACCAACCTATCCTTCCATAGCAATTCATTATCGATAGGGAACAGGGACTAGGATAACGGAGCTTCCTTCTACCAAGCTGGCTGCAGTGAGTTGCCTCGACCCGCTGCCCGAAGCGCTAAGGCGAGTTTAAAGTAGTTGATCCCGGCGACATCATCAAAACCTATGTGCTACCCTAAGAATCTCTAGACTATTTCATCTTTTTTAGTATTCATTCACTTTCTCTCACTTACGTAACAAGGCGGTGGTCTTTGTGTCTTAAGATAGCCTGTTGGGCTCTATACTACATTTGTTCTGTCAGATGTCTATAGGCTCGCGCTCTTAGTTCAATACTAACTCTTGATTTGGATCGCCGGAGCTCTTCCTCGGCTTATCTCTCTTGTCACGGCGAAGATATAAGACATAGTCCACGACGAGGGACCCTCACACATTTCCACTCCTTTCATCCTAGGTCTTGTGACCGATTTCTTCTTTCGCCGATATTCCCATCCACCCATTCGAATCCCAATGTCTTCGCCGCCTTGGGACTACATCGCCAAGCTGGTCTGCATCGGAGACTCGGGATGTGGTAAATCGTCGCTCACGATCCGACTCTGCGAAGGTCGCTTCAGCCCTCAGCACGACGTCACGATCGGAGTAGAATTCGGTTCGAGAATTGTACCCGTCGGTCCACCACATTCGAAACAGTCATCTACTACAACCACAGATAAAGGTCTTCCCGAACCCCCGCGTGTCTCCAATACACCGCAAAAACATATGAAGCTTTCACTCTGGGACACAGCAGGTCAAGAAACCGTAAGCACTTCTAGTTCCATTTGTCTCATTTAACTACGGGGAGCTTTCAACTAACCTATCTCTTCCCTCTAGTACAAATCCGTAACCCGGTCCTACTTCCGCGGCGCCTCCGGGGCACTCCTAGTCTTCGACATAACCCGAAAAACAACCTTCAACCACGTAACCGACTGGCTCAACGACCTACGCGCGATCGCAGATCCCGATATCGTCGTGATCCTCGTCGGCAACAAGCTCGACCAAGCCCAATCCGACGACTCCAACAAGCGCGAAGTAACCCACCAAGAAGCTGAAGAATGGGCCCGTCGAAACGGTGTTTTGCAATACGTCGAGACCTCAGCGAAATCCGGAGAAAACGTCGAGGAGGCTTTTATGAGAGTCGCCGAGCGCATCTTTGAGAATATTAATGCGGGGAAATACGATTTGAATGACCGTCGGTCTGGTGTAAAGGGACCGGGGCCTGGAGGTGCGAAGCAAGTCAAGTTATCCGCGGATGCGAGTAGGGGCATTGCGGGTGGTTGTTGTTAATCTGCGCCTACGTGGGCACTTGAGATTCAAACGTAACTGTCTTTGAATTGGAATGGGAAAATCCCCAGACTGAACCGGATCCAGTCCGGTCATATCATAGCACTTTGAATGAGCTTTATGTTGAACGGTTAGTCGTCTAGGAAGAAGATGTATATGAGGTTGGGTCAAGGTTCCACACACTGTACATAAGAAAACTGCATTCTGGAAGGCATCGCATACGACATTCGATGATACCCTACGTAATAATGTCTACTTTCAAGCATATCAAGCATCAAGCACACATACGAAAGAACTTCAGATGAACAATTCATCACTGTGATTAACTACCTTCTATACCTAACACTGTGATTCGTGACGAGGGCCCCCTCCTTTAGATCTCAATAGAAAAAGAAAAAAAAATTGTGGTGTTGTATTAGAAAGCGGTGTACTGATTGATGGATTGATTGATGAGTTCTTGTTTGCTTTTATTTCCCCAGATATGCCTCATCCACGTTATACCGCCGTGAACTCCACTCTCTTTATTTTTCCCTTTCATGCAAGTTTTGCCTTCATATCGTTACATCAAACAACAGAGAACATAGAGGAGATGGAGATTTGATTCATGGCCATTATGACCAAATGGACTAAGTAGTCGAATTTTGTAGGGGAGAATTCCCTATACCTAAACGGCCTACCCTTCTCTAGCTTTGGGTTGCCCTTTGGACTTCATCTAGCCCTTAGTCGGACATACGCCAGCTATCTAACCACTTCATATACTTGTAGTTTTGGTTGCTGCCAGTCATACCCCAGCAGATAGGAATGAAGTAGATGTAGAGACCGATGATGGTAGTGTATAAGATTCCGTAGATGGTGTATTGGATGGCCTTCTTCTGGTTCCTCAAGGTCCAGTCGACGAGGAAACCAAGACTGAGAATGGCAAAGTATAGAGCCGGGTAGTAATGGTGCACGTAGGTAACACGAGCCATGATGACGAATGGGAGGTAGTGAAGGAACCAACCGAGGATGGGGTAAAGTCCAGAGTAGTGAATTTGGTCGATCTCATCTTGAGACAAGTCGGTAAACCCTCGTCGCCATCGTAGGATGTACCAAGCAGTAACGAGGCCAACAGCACCTAGGGAAGCTGTCGAAGCCCAGTAGATGAAGGGGTTGCCAAGGAGGAAGTACTTGACGATCTTATCGTCCCAGCCGCACATACGTAGTCCAACGTTCAAGATAGGCCATTGCCACCATTGAGAAGCAAGGTCATCCTGTTTATCAGGGTCGGGCACCAGAGCGTTGTTAGAAGTCATCATAGCGACGTTCAAGTGAATGAAGTCGTGGAAGAATGGCGACTTATACTTGCCGGGGTCTCCAGGAGGAACTGTGATTCCAAGGTTAGTAACTGATATATCTAATAATACCCCATGAACTTACGTTTGTCGTTGGTGTGAGCCTCGACGTTCCAGTGAGTGAAGGCATCACGGGGATTGTTGCTCTTATCACAGGTCACTTCGATTTGCTTGAAACCCCACTGAGGGAGGTTAACGTTGGCAGCCCTCAAATAACAGCCCATAACTGGATTTCGAAGTCTGAAAGCGGTAGTCAAAGTTCGAACCCTGCTCTTATCACGCGAGGCAACATCCTTGACGACCTCGATTTGCCAATGATCCTTATCGTCACCAACTGTCAAATTACCGTAGCAGGATACTTCCTTTTGGCCTTTCGAAACGGGGGCTGCGATATCGTGAGTGTGGAGGTTTCGTCCCGTCTGAGAGTGGATCAAGCGAATAACGTCACCGTTTCCAACGAAACGGGGTTCTTCCTCTGGGTTGTAGTCGGGGTCGTGACGGTTAGGGTAGAACCACCACTCGTTGTTGGCGTCTTTGTGGTGGTAGCAAGTGACCTGTTGTTGAGTCGAGCCCTCGGGATACGCTTGGAAATAGTTAGCAAAGTCCAACAACACAGGATGTTGGATACCTACTCTGGACGTGACTGTGGAGAAGACCACCACCATAGCCCATGTTCTTAAGGGTTACCTTAGAGCCGAGGGCAACTTCCAAGGGGGAGTTTCGTCCGATTTCGCTACCTTCTAGGTTTGCTTGGAACAGAGAGCTCATCTGGGCGTCACCGGGACCGCTTTTTGTCAAGATCGCGAAGTGAAGTGCAAAAGCGAACAGATAGACTAGGAACGGGATGACGATGAGACCGACAATTCGAGCAGCCAGGTGACCAGCAAGAACTGGAACTGGCATCTTGGTGTTACCAAACTTGTTCCAGAGATCCTCAATGGTGTACAAGCCAACAAGAGCAGTGACGAAAAGCCCGACAAGTTTGATACTACAAACGAATCCCAAGCTCAGTCCTGTCATGAATAGCCAGAAAAACCATTCGGGTTCGAAGCTGTATTTTTGCTGGCGATGGAATTTGGACCAGCAGAATACAGTCGCGACGGTTCCGAAGAGAAGCATAGAGTCCAGCAAGATGAATCGGCTGATCGTCGTGTACGAGTTTTCGCACAGAACCATAAGCGTAACTAGCCAGACAGCAGGTCGCTTAAGGTTCAGTTCCCTCGCAGTGTAGTAGGCCAATGGCACGCATAGTATCCCCCAGAAGGCATTGAAAGCTCGCATAAACGTGTAGTCGAGCTCCTCTGGGTAGGTTTCACCGGACTTGAACTCGAACGACCCATTGTAACCAGCTAGAACTCCGGAGAGACCGACGAGAATTTTTCCTAGAGGGGGGTGCCTATTCCATGCATTAACAACGATATTCCGACCGAGTTCTTTAATAGTACTAACACGTCGAAGAACAATTCGCGTTTGATATAGTGCGATCCGAATTTACCGAAGCTATCGAGGGGTCAGCGTCAAGGGAAAGGGAGGGTTGGAGGGTCGGACGAACTGGGCTTCCTATGCGATTGTTAGCAAATACTCTCGTGATTACAAGACATGTTTTCTACTTACATCCCAAGTAACAATTGGGCTAAGGCCAATCTTCCATAGACGCGTGAAGACGGCAAAGGCTGTAAAAATCAGGGGCGCAATGATAAACTCCCACTGGTCGAGAATGTCAAGGAACGAGGTTTCCTAGTTATATCCAAGTAAGCTTGCGGTTCGCATTGAGGCGGATTGTATGCACGGATGCAAGTACCTTCTTCTTTCCATGAACCTTCTTCTCGTCGGCCTCTGGTTGTTGTGCTTGAGAGCCAGGGGTGGTAGTAGAACCGGGTACGTTACGTCGGCGAGCAGCGTCACCGGCGGGATCAGCGCCGGACGCGACTGCGGCCTTCTTGTCGGCCATGATTGGAAAACTATCTCTTGACCCCGTTCTTCGAGTCGAAAGGGGAGAGAATAAAGAGAAATGGTTGAATGAATGTCACGGGTTGGAAACGGGGGCTTACGGACTAAAAAAGGTCAAGAAAAAAGGAGGGTCTTGAAGAGAACAAATTAACTGGTCAAAGATGGCAAAAGTAGAGCATCTCTTCCACAAAGAAAGAATAAATTGATAATTCTTGACACTACCGAGAAACACAAAAAAAGGGGACACCTGATTCTCGAAGAAGAAAAGGCTACCTTGGGTAGAGGTAGATAGTAGAAGAAGTGAAAAGGGAGGTTTGCGTGGCTTGTACGATTAGAAGCGATGATAGTACCAAAAAAAATACGGGTTACCCTAGCCGTGGCCCGGCTTCAGTTGGCACTTTCTCACTTTTTTTTTTCTTGCTTCAGCTGAATGAATGATTTAACAGGTCGAGGGCCTAGCCTTAGCTGTCTTAGGTACGCTAAAGTAAACCCCCTAACCCCCCTTAGCCTCCCCTGTGCAGCTACCTAGCTTTATCTAGCATCCTGCGTATGTACCTTCAATTAGGGACACCTTGCTCATTTATTTGACACGCGGCGTACAAAGTGTAATGTAATGTATTTATTCCACATGTGAACCGTACCTCGCTTCGCACTTACCTATGTAAGCCTACCCACTTTGTCGGGTGCCGTGCGGTCCGTACCCTCACCTAGCTCCGATTCATTTGTTAGTAACTTCTTTATTGTCAATATTACTCGGTATATCGACTGAAGCTATTCAGACTGATATCTCTATGATGATTAAATTTCGTAGTCATCATTGTAAATAAAGGTACATTAGAACCAAATGAAATATCGACAGCTTTTTCCGCCCTGCGTACTATCTGTTGTCCCAACCAAGTCCATACCTAGGTACCTTTACAACGAACCCGTACCTAGGTAGCTTATTACGGAGGCACGTAACCCCAAGACTTGACTCCTGGAATTATTGTCGGCGCGGAATCACCACCAGCTACATTGAGTAGTGGTGAGTATCCCGCCTAGTAGTATTAACCTAAATAGACTGCCTCGAGTAGGTATCTAATGCTCTCAATCTCTGTTCCGCACGATAAGACGATGTCCCGTTTTTCTTGATGAACTCGCGTTCATCCGGGGATCGGCCGGATATATGAAAATAGAAACTCGCTCCCCATCAGAATGTATTATGAAGTTCATTTCTCCGTATCTCTTTCGATCCTGTCACTTGTCGTAGAGGTCCTCGTGAGTTTGTTGAATGACCCTATGCAAAACACTGTACAATAATGCTGGAGCGTGGGCTGTCGTAGCCTTCAGAAAATCCCACCACGCGCCATCTATATGAATTAGAGTCTAAAGAGTTCTCCTGCAACCAATTTAACGTTCCCGTGTTTCGTAAATTCAGTCATCTCGCTGGTCTAATGGCGCATATCTGGTTCCACTAGCCGGGCTACTGCTTGTGCCTCGGTTCTGTCCAACCATCCTCGTGAGCCATTCACCTACCCGTCCTCTTGAACTCTGGCTTTCGGACCGTAACTGTGGCTTTCCATCTACAATATTCAAAGTAGGAGGATCGATATCCATCGGAGGAATATTAGCATCCGAGCCAAGGGGTCGTCCTCGAAGGTCAAGTGACGGCACCGGTGATCCGGCTCGGACCAGAGAACCGGTCTCAGATCTCACGCCAGGAGTGCCCACCGCAGTGCTAGCATCTCCAAAAAGCGAGTCCATGTCTTCTAATCGTACACCACAGGTCTCGGGATATATGAAATAAACTGTCTCCGGTTAATCATGTAATAATCGGAAACAAGAGCATGGAAACTTACCAACGACGAAACTGACTACACAGAAGAATGCATGTACTAAATACAGCCGCCACTTGATCCATTCTTGTAAGATAGGAGTCATCTCGCCGACAAGCCAGTTAAATGCCCAATTGGAAGCAGTTGATAAACTTGCTCCTTTCGATCGAATGCTGAGAGGCAGAATCTCGGGTGGGTAAAGCCATGGGATTGGTCCCCACGAATAACCGAACGCGGCATTATATATCATGACAAAGACGACTACCAATGTTGGTGTAGACTTGATGTCTAGGTAGATGAAGTATGATACTAAGGATAAAGATATTGCCATCGCAATGGCACCGGTAAGGAGGATGACTCGGCGACCCCATCTGTCGACGACGTACCACGGTGGGATGGTTGAAAGCAGATATGTTATACCGTTGATGCCGGTCATTTTGACTGCCTCATGGCCAACCCAACCAGCGGACTCGAAAACGTACGGAGCGTAGTATGAGATGACGTTAATTCCATTGAGTTGGGCGAGAGCTTGTGCTGACATAGCAATGAAGACTCGAGTCTTGTAGCGACGGAACATCTCGGTATAGGTTCGTTCGCCTTCCATTCGTTGGAGTAGGACATTCATCTTGATTTCGCGATATTCGTCTCTAGCTTTAGCATTGTGGATGTCTCCGCCACCGTATAGGTTAGCGATGACTACAATACCTTCCTCGTCGTGGTCATTGTCTAGAAGCCATCTATAAAGGTTAACACAAGTTCATTTTCGAAAATTTCGAAGTGCATTACCTTGGTGATTCGACAATAACTAAGCTGCCCAAACCTAAAAGGGCACCCATCACGCACTGCATCAGTAGAGGGATGCGCCATGACAAGTCGCTGGTAATGAAACCGCAGAAGTAATCGACCCAGACGGACGTCGTGTAACCGATAATGTTACCCGAGAACTCGATACAGGCCAATTTACCTCTATTGTGAGGAGGAGAAATTTCGGATTGGTAGACGGGAACAATGGTGGATAAAGAACCAACACCGAGACCCGCAATGATTCTACCCAGCATCATCATGGGCATATTGGCAGCAAAAGTTTGTAAAGCTCCACCGACGAAGAAGATGATCGAGCCGTACAAGATCGTCCTTCGCCGACCGATGATATCGCCAACTCTTCCTACTACTAAGGATGAGACTAAGGCACCAATCTCAAGAATAGCAACCATCGTGCCGACTTCTGCTTTCGACGGATTCTTGAAGTAATCCCGGAAGTACGGGCCCCTGAACTATTGTTAGAAGACATGACGACCTGTCAAGTCAGATTAGAATCATCAGCGAGCCTTACGTGATGATACCCGACATAACTCCTTGATCATATCCGAATAAGAAAACACCTAACGAAACGAATATACTCGTAAAGTAACTGTGACATGGTTAGCACAAATTGTATCACGCATGGGGAAACGTGTGCTACGAACATGAGGGCTTTGCCCGTGAAACCGTGTACCCCGGCACCCGGCATGATGGCGAATATGATACGCTCTGCTCTAGAGATACGACGTGGTGGTACGTTGGGGACCTCGATAGCTTCTTTATCGATAGTGCCGTTGAAGGATCTGGAGGAGCGTTGATGACTATGTTCGGAGACGGACCTCCTAAATTGGACGCGTTTATGCTTAGGATGACGTTTAAAGGCGCCGGCGAAGAGGTCCTCGTTTACGGAGGTATCGGCGAGGGTCTTCCGCAAGGGATCCTCCTCATCTGCCAACTGCTCGGCGAGATCACCGGTGTCAGTCCAAGAGTCGGAATCGGCAGAGTCGGAGGAGTGTCTCTCGTAGGATGGCTGGTCCCGATGGCCAGCCAGCAATGACGTCGATTGGGCGCCGTGTTCGGATCGGTTTGTGAGGGTTCGAAGGGGGATGTTGGAAGGAAGACGGTTGGATTTTGGTGAAGGAATTTTGGAGGTATTGGGGCTGTGAGGCAGCAGCACCCTCCTGCGATGATTGTGTTGACTGGAATTGAGTTGGGGAATGTGGAAAGGGTGGAGTGCGTATATAGGACAGGGCCCCAAGATTCAGTGTCATCCGGGCCTGACGAGTGACGAAAGAGCGTTGACAAGTTTTCAAACCACAACGCACGTAGGTGGATCAACAAAGTACAAGACACATGCACAACTGGATCTAGAGATGGATAGTAGCCCTGGAGGCCTGGTAGGTCCACGGGTATAGGTAGGTACCACACACTGTAGGTACCAATACCGATACAGAAGAAAAGGTTGCAACCTAACCAACGGAAGCCCGAGAACGGAGAACGGAGAGAACGGTTTTTTTTTTTTTACTCAAAGTAATATCGATAAAAAACCGTAACAAATGTTAATTGTAATTGGTGTAAGGGGACCAAAAAATGTCTGAGATAATGTAGGAGTCGGCAATTCGAGCTGTATACACTATTGGTATTGGCGAGATTGGAGAAAAAAAGAATGAATTGTGAGTAAATGAGTGAGTAAAGTTAGGTAGGTTTCGAAAAAAGAAAAGAATAAGATAATACAGGGCTTTCCGGGACAGATCGATAGAATCCTAATCTGCAATCCCCTATTTTTTCTGTAGTTCAGGGAGAAAAGAAAGGGAAGATGGACGCTGATCCTTCTTGATTCTTACACAAGCAAGAAGTACTCCGTAAACCTAATACTGTGTAATAGTCAGCCTTTTCAGCGGCAACCGCGACCCGTAGTCTTTGGAGGTTTCAGGGCAGCTGGGTAGTTGCAACTCTGAGTGTGGGGTAATAAAACCCCCACAACCCTTCTGAAAGAAGATAGTGCTATGCCGTATTTTATTACTTACAAAATTACAAAATACGATGTACTCTACTGTATCCATCTTAAACAGCTACTGTACTATATGCGTGGTGACGATTCGCCTTATAAACTGTAATACTTATTTTTTTTTTTTTTTTTTTTTTTTTTACTTTATTTTGCAGGTACATTTTGCTACCTACCCGAGGTGACACAGAAACATCTAAATATCAGACATCCATCCCATCTAAGCGGTGTTTGACGGGAAGCTTAATCTATAAAAACCAACTAAGCTGCCTATAGATGGATACCACGTGCGACCGTCACAACTCTGTCCCGCTGTACTAACGTTCTAACGGTTATCCTCACGTCCGAGAGTTTTCTTTCATAACTTCCAAGGTTAGCACTATCCGCAGGCAGACAAAAAGACAGAACAGACCCTCAGTCACATGATGGATCGAAGAGTCTGTGGGGTAATCGTGCAGTGTCGAGCTCTACTAAATCTAGTCTTTTGGGGGGCACCCTCTCTACTCGGATAACAATCCTATGCAAATCCGAACCCCTTTCGGAATTCGCATACGATACATTGTAACACATGTCAAATCCTCTACCTGATTCGACGAATGAACATAAGCCAGTCCAAGAAACCAGTCGGGTCAGGTGTTGACTCGTTGCATATTCAGCCGTCTGGGGATAGCGGCTCCAGTATGCAAACTGACCCACGATGGCATCATAGCATGAATACTCGGGCTAAGGCGGTCAGCGAGAATGTCACTTGAGGATGCAACACCCCAGATATTTCTCCTCGTCAGAATGAACCCTTTCCCAGTTCTACCAATGTCTCAGTCGATTGCTGGGAATTCGGAGAAGCTTAATCACGAGAACCATTTGTAGGGATCGCATATAGCTCGGCTGATAGCCCAACCCCCCTCATTAACAGCCTCGAAAGTCCTGGTATTCTACCCACGCGCACGTGAAAATGGAATAACTACTAATCTCAAGGGTTGCCTGCATTCTGCGAGATAATATTTTCTCTCTTACTTACTGTGGCTTATCAGATGATGATTCTTCCTGACATCTCTGCCTTCATCTAGTAAACTAACACAATGGCTTGACCTTGCTGACTAGGTAGGTAATAGTCATCGGATCTTGGTCAGTCTGACTACCAGGTAATGCGATTAGAACTTAATATAGCTCTTCGGACAATCGATTCTGCACGAAGAGCGTTAAAAGTTCGACAAACATCTAAGCGCACATGCTCGGCCCAGCCACTGCGCCAACATAGGAATCTTGGCCAACCCAACAAAATACACCTACGTCATTCGAATCTAGGGATGAGTTCGAAGCTCACACGGAATATCCTAAATACCCGATACGGACTTATCGTTTGCCTACTTTCAATCACCTCAACCTTGGAATTACACGCGACATAAAGACAGAGTCCCAAAGAGGAAGCTAGTAAGAGCCGCTCGAGGTCATCCTAACAAAATGTCGTCCTCGCGAATTGACTGGCTAGTTGGCAAATGATGGCGCGAAAATTACAAACCAACTGACCAATATATACGACCGACCATTGAAATTAGATGCCTTGGGACAAAGTCTGGCATGAAAAGGGATGGTGGCTGAAACGAAACGTTTCTATTTTCCATTAGAAACTACGATTACGCCCCGAATCCTGAAAATATGAGCATTGAGACTCGGAATGCCATCGCGCCATGTTAATTGCCTACTTTAATAGGTTTCAATTACGCGGTTGGTTAGAGATTACCCTGCGCGCCCCCAAGGTGCCCTGAAGACATGTGGTATCTGCGCCTATCCCGAGACGCCGCAAACGTGGAACTGAAAGCAGATCATCTATCATTAAATCGTACCACCAATTCTACACCAAATACCTAGGTACTATAGGTATTGTAGGATTATGGATTATTCTGTCATAATTCACATCCTAGGACGAATAGTTTCGAGAATATCTAAATACTACTGAATTCTTATCACACCATCACCGAATCATTTTTCGAGCGAATACTATTAACAGTATGGTACTCCGATAATGAGCGGGACCTCGTCCGTAGAAGTTATCGACTATGCACTTTCTTGGTAAAACGGACCGTAAGCGGATATTCATCCAAGATTGCAAAATGAAGGAGCATGGGCCCAGCGGGTAGAAGTAACATCGGGCGGGAAGAGATGCAGCGCTAATAAGAAATGTCTTAGCTGCTTGTATTGAAGTACCGATGTACTCAATACAATACACGATCGGCCTATTTGTCTCTCAGGACCAAGTTTACAAGTTTACGTATGCTGGCGTGTATGCTAGGGGCTTGGCTGGGCAAATCCAAGACAACCAGTGTCGAAACCCTCGAGGCTCATAGGGATGTTACCTATGTATTTCATCGCCTTCATTAATGCGGCCCCCCGTTACGGTTGTTGGGAAGAAGGAGTTAAGACGCGAGTGGGATGGGATAATCGTCGTATATAAGTGGTGTACCGTGAACTTGCTTATCTCATAAGAGGCTACACTTCATCACGCATGAAGATAATCCAATCCAATTACTCACAGACGTATGGGTCCTTAAAGCTACCTAGGTAGGAGCTAGGTCTTCCATGTAAGTCCTAGCCCATTCCAAGGTCGATGTACAACCACTTTTATGCAAGACATCGCGGATCTTGCTGTCCGGTTCGCAAACGACTTTATTTTATTTTATTATTTTTTCTTCCCTTTTTAGTCTTATCGGCAACGTACATTTACTACATTACCACCTACCTAGGTACATACCACATCTACACCAAGTAAGGATGGGCATAGTTGTCCACGTTAAAATATACTCCATTAGTACATTAGTCTATTTGGTATGCCGGCTAATAAGATGAGTTCGAACTTGTCAAAGTATGAAGCCAGTAATCCGAAACTTTAACGCCAATATTCGCATCCATATAAAATAGATGGGATTTAAGTTACAACCTAGTCTGAGAACATTGAACGAAGGAACGTCTAAGTGTGAAATGCGAGATACAAAATTGGCCCGCCCTGGCACCCCTGTTCAAACCCAGACAACCCAGACAACTAGATTTCCGACCCCTGCCCATCCATGTACACTTTATATGCTTGAATCGCGCTGTTCCTGCCTTTCCATCCAGGAACAAGTACAAATCGAATCACCAAAATAAGCTTGGGATAATTTAAGAAGGCCCACTGTTCTTCCTCTCTCTCCAACCACAGTCGTCGCCTTCCCCTACCAACCTTGCCTACCTTGCCTACCTACAGATTAACAATACAATAGATTGCCTACCTAGAAGGGTAGCTTCGTCTCTCTAACGTTGTCATAGAAGGCGCAAGGGGATCGAGCCAAGTTTGGCTTAGCAGAACCAATCACCCTAACAACCTTCGCCCTGGGTTTGTTGCGCCCTCATTTCTTTCCCTCTTACACATACGATCCCTCTCTCCGTGGAGGATTCACGAGATAATACACCCGTAATCTTCTTGGACAAACGAGACAACAACAACGATTAGGTTTTCGAGATACGATAATTTGGAGAGGAAGGGAGTCTTGAGGGGGAAATTTTCGAATTACATCATAATAATCCAGCCTTCGACTTTTTTTCTCGGCAACAATCTCATTTCGAATCGAGTATATCGAGTCGTCCGCACGCGCGAGTCAGATTGCGTTCAATCATCCGGACACCGAGCAAAATTCTCAACAATTTCTACCGTAGCGTTTCAATTTAGGATCAGGGCTTCAGCGAATGGTCACGAAATTGCGCGCGTTCAAATATTCCGTTGAAATACTTAGGTTCGCAAAGGACAGCACAATCAGCGCAAGTCATATTCCTCGACGAGCCATATACTCCATACCACCCTCAAGGGTTTATCATTGCGCGATCCCTTCGCGCTTTAAGGCCAAATGGGATCGACAAACTTCGGAAACTTCGACGTATGTTTCTCTTATGATTAAACCATGGTCGATATGTTTCGACCAAATTCCACAGCAATGCTAACTTTACTTCGCAATACGTAGGCATTCTGTCGCGATTCGACCTTACCAGTGTGCAATGTACGTTCATTCAGTGATACACATATGCAACGTCCCGCCAAAGGACCCGACATCGCTAACAATCATCGCTAGGTTCTCTCGGAAAACCACAATCAGCGGGGCGGATGGGGTGGTTGCGAACTACAAGGCATTTCGCTGTCTGGAGGCCGATATCTAGGAAATTTAGGTTTGTTTGACTGCAAGATCTACGTCAATTCCTACTAACAATGTGAAGGGTCAATATTACTTTGCGGTATTGCTATTGCCGTGTCAATACTACTAATATTGCGCTCGGAAAGAAAGAAGGCCGCAGTCGGCCGGAGGTCCGTAACGAATCATCATAAAACCTAAGGCCTTTCAACTAATTCATTTGCAGGGAAATACAATTGTTTCTCCTTGGTTATATCATAATCGAAATATGCGAAATATTCACGGTCGGGGAGTTTCCTCTTAGTGGGACAGTTCGGGTTGTATGTGACGCCTCCACTGGATCTGTGTCTCAAATAAGACTAACCCAGCATAGGCTTTTACTGGAATTCATATTGGAATGATAATCGCGACAACATGGGTCCTTCTCCTTAATGCCGTTGTAGGATACCAAATCCTAGACGATGGAACTCCGCTCTCACTAGGACTCATGCTCATCTCTGGTGGCGTCTTATTTATCGGCACCGGCTACATCACCCTCGACACGGGCTACCACTGGACGAATGAGTTTGTTCCGGATCCCACCAACCACTACCGAAATATTGCACTTTACGTCCTTTACCAGCTCGCGCCACTCATCTTCCTAGTGGCTTTCTACGTCTTGGAGTCAGTACTCGTTCTACGAATCTTGGGTGAAATCCGACCTATGATCTATCTCACGGGCGCTGCCGTTCTATTTGCATTGGGACAAATCTTCAACTACGTGGTCAGCCCCTACATATGCAATGGAACGAGTGGCAAGATCGATGGGGCGTTGTTCGAGACGCTCTTCACTCTACTATCCGTAGTCATGATCTGGGTATTTTGGTCAAGCATCACCGAAGATGATTGGCCAATTGCTAGTCAACCTGCGAGTTATCCTTGATTCTCCCGGGGTTAATCACTAATTTTGAATACGGAGTCGGCGTTCAGGTTCAACAATATACCCGTTCATGTTCTTTTCTTTTCACTCCTTGGCCGTAACCCGCCGATAAACACGGTGTCGCAGGGAACCGGCAACGAAAAATACCACCAAAAAATTTAATCCACGTATAAAAACTAGTTGACCTTTAAAGGAGGATGGGTTCAAAAAGCATGATTGCATACGAAGCAACGTAAGCACGCTTGAGAAGAAAACCAAGGAGAGGGGAAGAGAAAGGGGGAGAGAGGTTATATTCATACATATGATGGCAGATTTGCCATTCGCCAATTTGGCGAAGAGTGTTGTTGAGCATGGTTGAAAGTATACCCCAGATATGTGCGACTAATGTATATGACGTCGTATGATAGAATTGAATACTATATGTAGTTCCAGACCAACCAAAAACACGGTCCATCTTAGTAAATGAGTAAAAAGTAAAAAATGTTATTTATAGATTTCCGATTAAAGTTCATAAGATCTCGGTGCAGATGCGCGCACAGGTAGATACATGTAAAAGAGGTAGGTGCACTTGCAGGTATGTAGGTCTAAGTACGTAACCTTTGGAAGTACCTTCAAGTTACCAATTCAGTATTATCTACACAACATCTGATTGGTCGAAGCTTATAATGCTAAATACGAGGCTACGCAATCGCCGCGGTCGCGCTCAACAAAGAAAAACAGCCTTGTCCTATTGCATCTCTCCCGTCTAGATTTTACAACTTTTTTGTTCTGGCGGGATTGTGTCTCGCCGGTGTTTTATCGAGGATTTCATGGTTATTTTATGGGGGTTATGTGGTACTTTGATCCTCTTATTGACAATGCCTTGAGGTTTCGTAAGAAAAAAATCTCGCCGACGCATTAATCGTCATTAAGAGCTTAGGACTCTTTCTATTCTTTTCCTCCCTTTCTCTTTCTTCCTCTCCATTTTCCATATAACCACCCCTTAAGTCTTCGCGCCGACAAAGGGATTTTATTATTCTATCAATTCTGGCACGTTTTCACTAGTTAAAGTTGCCCAACACAAATCACGAATCTAACGCGACCATGGCCGATTCCGACGGTGAATACCAAGCCGACGACGTTACTGACGACGAGTTCGGCGATCACCAAGTGACATCTAGTACGCGACACGGTACACGAACCCAATCCAAAGCCGATAAATCTAAGAAAGGTGGACGTAAGGGCGCTAAGGCCGCTTGGGAAGGCATACAAAGGTCGTGGGATACAGTCGTCGAAGATGCAGATGGCACACTCGCTGGTGTTATCGAGGGCCGCGCCGAAGCAGAAAAGCGTGCGCGACTTTTGAAGGATACAACACCCCTACAACGTGGTATAATACGTCACTTGGTCCTAGTTCTAGACATGTCCTTTGCTATGCTCGAAAAGGATATGTTACCCAGCCGCTACGAGTTAACGATGGCCTATGCCTCTCAGTTCGTCCGAGAATATTTCGAGCAGAATCCGATCTCACAGTTAGCCGTAATAGGTATGCGGGACGGCGTCGCGATCAGGATCAGTGACATGGACGGAAACCCGACTGAACACCTTGAGAAACTACAGGATTGGATCAAGCAGGATCCCCAAGGAAACCCGAGTTTGCAAAATGCCCTGGAGATGTGCAGAGGTGCTCTATTGTGGGTCTCTATAGCTTTAGCATAAAGGACCAAGGAACGGGAATAACTGACGATTTTTGGGTTACAGCCATACACCATCGCATGGAACAAGAGAGGTCGTTGTTGTCTACGGAGCGTTAATATCAAGCGACCCGGGCGACATACACGAGACCATCAACTCCTTGATTGGCGACCGTATACGAGTGTCTATCGTCGGACTTGCAGCACAAGTCGCTATTTGCGAAGAGCTATGTTCCAAGACCAACGGTGGAGATAATTCGAGTTATAGCATAGCTCTTCACGAAGAACATTTCAAAGATCTATTATTAGCGATAACGACACCTCCGATTACCCGAACACAGGAGCAGAACAACGCAAGCTTGCTCATGATGGGCTTCCCCTCGAGAACTCTCGCCGCCGGAGATAGTATTCACTACTGCGCATGTCATAACCGACCTACACGAGAAGGCTATGCCTGTACTCGCTGCACCTCCCGTGTCTGCCGACTACCCGCCGAGTGTCCCGGTTGCGGCCTTACACTTATTCTATCAACGCATTTAGCCAGATCTTACCACCACCTCTTTCCTCTGCGCAACTGGGTCGAGGTATCATGGTCTGAAGCTCGCCGCTCGAAGGCGTGCTACTCGTGTCTAACGCCATTCCCCGAAGTACCCGAATCGAAGAAAGGAAAAGCTAGAGCCGACAAACCTAAGGACAAAGGCGCTGCTGCCGGTGCGTCGCTCCCGCCGGTCAAAGGTCTAAGCGAATCCGGAAGATACGCGTGCGAAGTCTGCCGTAACCATTTTTGCATCGACTGCGATTTATTCGCCCATGAAGTTCTGCACAATTGCCCCGGATGCCAGAGCGATACGAGGGGTGCGCAAAATGCTAATGGCAGTGCTAATGGCAACGGCGACGCTAATGGCGCGATGGAAATCGACGGATAGGCCTTGAACGACTGAACAAGTCCACGGTCCTTTTATAGGAGAATGAATATAACATCACCAACACAGTCAATTAGTGATTGGACAGAGGTAATCTTTGGATGACCTCGAACCTTTAGGCATTACTGCATAGGAAAACAAAGAGGGGCGTTGGTGGGGTCTGCATACTGAATGAATGGATAAGGGGTGTTTGCACCTAAATTTGCTGTTTCTAGGGGACGAATTGCTTCATATAGAGGGGACAGAACTCACGCTTACGATATGTCAATGAATCCATTAGGAGTATAGAGGATATCCGAATGAATGACAAAAAATAGCTAGCTATTGCTTATAGGCTATAGCCATCACTGCTCCGCACAAGCTATTAGTAGTTCGCTAATTGTACTATGATAATGGTTATGGCCATCCCATCTGTTGAATGTCCTCAAGCCATTCATCGCATTATAATATCATAAAATAAATCCATCCATTCATCCAACCGACTAATTCATTAAACAATCTCGCTGTGCCGGTTCGTAAGTTCGTAACAATGATTATGCACTATTGTACATCCCATTCCGCTTCCCTCTCTATACTCATTTAGAGAGCCAATTAACAGTCGCTGTGACTTCGTCATTTACAAATTCCCCCTTTCAGCTTGTTCACGCTCAATAGCTTCAAATAAGCTCTTAAAATTCCCAGCCCCGAACCCGCTAAACCCATGCCGTTGAATAATCTCGATGAACACCGTGGGGCGATCCATCACGGGCTTAGTGAATAATTGTAATAAATACCCACCCTCATCATAATCAACGAGAATGTTCAACTGCCGTAAGGTCTCAAACTCCTCCTGCAACTCCCACCCGCGTTTTTCCGTTCGCAGGCGTTCTTTCATGGTTTCATAGTACGTATTCGGTACACTTATAAACTCCACTCCTCGCGCGCGCATAGCCGAGACCGCGGATACGATATCCTCAGTTAGAAGAGCTACGTGTTGGACCCCCGGGCCGGAGTTGAAGAGTACGAATTCTTCGATTTGAGACTTTTTCTTGCCGGGGGCGGGCTCGTTGATGGGCATCTTGACGACGTCGTCGGGACTGCTCATTACGATGGAGCGGAGGGCGCTGTACTCGGTGCATATTTGGTCGTCGTCAACGCTCCAGAAGCGGTGGAAGGAGAGGCAGCGCTCGTAGAAGCCGCAGGTTGAGGCCATTTCGTTCCAGGATTGGTTGCCGACGCAGTGGTCGATGCGGGAGAGGTTTACCCTTGGACGTATGAGAGTTGAGGGTGGGGAGGACCGGGCTTGGAAACCCGGGAGGAAGGGCCCGGTGTAGTTGCGTCGCGAGATTAGGGTGTGCGTGGTGTCGCCGTAGGTTCGGATCACGGCCGTTAACACGTCTCCGTGGATCTTATCGTGCTGGAGTTGTGGTGGTTGCACGGATATGGCGCCTTGGGCAACGGCGTTGTGGTATACGCCTTCCACATTGTCAACCTCGAAGGCGACATCTTTGACGGCATCGCCGTGGCGTTCCAGGTGCTCATGCATCTCCTTGAGGAGCTTATGCTCGGCATCTGTTATGAACTCATTTTCGGGTAGATGAGCATAAGAGCGGATAGGAGATGTGAACACGAAGCGGATATCCCCACTGGCTACGACATATGATGTAAAGTACCGACTCCCTGTCTCCAGGCCCCGGTACGCGACTGTCTCGAAGCCGTAGAGATTGTGGTAATAGGAGGCGGCTTGCTTCGCGTTGCCGACCCACCATGTCGTGTGGTCGTAGCCCTTGAAGTTGGATACACCGGCTTGAACAGCGTAGTCGTCGGTGTGTTCTATGTGAGCAGGAAGGGTTGTAGCGGAGGCAGTAGGGTAGGTTGGGGGTGAATCTGTGATTGCCGAGGGGGCCATGATGAATGATTTGTGTAATTTGAAGATATGTCTATGTATCTATCCTAGTAGATATCACGCCGATATAGTAAAGGGGAAGTCGAAGCGGGAATGAAGGTATATATTTATAAGAGTGTTCAATGGGGTTCTTTGATAAGAGATTCGTATACTAGAAGAATGTGTACACGAACGGGAATATAGAAACAGTAGTACATATGGGACTGAGAGAATACCTAACCTACCTCCCCTATTATTTTAAACCTTTCATCACTTTTATAGACAGGTACATCGGATAGAGAGGGATGAACAGGGCCGGACCGAATTCCGCACTCCTAAACCGGGCGGGCCGTCTGTACCTTCCTCCCACATAATCAAGCCACTTATTGTACCTCCTTCCCCAGACGAGTGGGGAACTAAAACTTCGGGAGTAAGTGCAGATTACTATAATGCATTGGACATTTGGCGGTGGTTGTTGCCCGTTGCGCCTCATAAAACGCAAATCTCGGTGGATGCGGGATCAAACCATAAAGCCAAACCAAGCCGAAAAGAATAATAAAGACGTCAGACCCCTTTGCCGAAGCTAGCCGTGCCCCCATAGCTTTGAGCTAGTTACACCTATCCGACGCCACCCATTTCTGCTTAGAATGATCCAATTAGCATCTCTGGGTTATGACGGCTAGAAAGGGAAGAGCGAAAAAGGGGGCTCTTCGTTATCGCTGCTGACCTCAAGTTGGCTGCAGGTCTGCAGGGTGAATGAGGAGATAACAGGCGGTGGTAACAAATGTCGGCATTGCATTAGAAGCCGAGGTGGAGAAACAATGACTGCTGATGAAGATACACGACAGGTAAAGAGGATACCTAGTGTAGCCAATATTTATCTAGTTGTCTGTCATAAATGAGGTCAGCCTAGTTCGTATCATACTTCGATGGTATACTTCTTTTTGATTTCATCCATTCGAATCGTTTCCAGGAATACTCTGCTTTACTATCTAGCTCTTGGGTATTTCACTACATCAACTCGAACATAGCGATACCTCGAACGCACTTTCAAATCCGATACCCGGCCCGTTTATTTTACTAAAATGGCGACAAATTCCCTCAGTCGGCGTGATATCAACGTCCTGGAGAAGATCAAGGACCCGGAATCAAATCCTCTCACAGCCGTCATCGTAGACGCATCATTGCCCAAGGACCCGAACATAACGAACATAAAAATCTACGATGATATCTCTCAGAAAGAGCGGGATGTTATCTCAGCCATGCAGAAATTTGAGACCCAACTTGCAAATTTTCAAAGGCATGATTCCACAGCAGAATCGGTGAACGAGACACAAGACGCCGACCTTGAGCGACATTACTCCGTGGCTGGGCTGGTAAAGGAGTATCGTCAATGCGTATCAAGAATTGGCGATATCATCTCGGAGTACCCCGATTATGCGAGTGCTCGAAATAACAGGGCACAAGCCCTGAGGAGACTGCACGGAGATACGATGCTGTTCCCCGGCGGACACGGTCCGGGAGGGTTACAACATGATGCAGATGCAGCCGAGCGACGCCAAGCCGCAGTCCTCGCCCTCTCAGACCTCGACAAAGCTATCGCGCTTCTGACACCGAAAAGCCTCTTCGCCTCCATCTCACCGCAAGCTGGGAAAACCTTGGCACTTGCGCATACTCAACGAGCAGCCATTTATTACACGACATCCAAATTTTTCCAGACCAGTAAAGTGGCTGACATAAGGGAGAGGAAGGAAGCGACCTGGACCAAGATTGATTTTGAGGAGGCTGCTTCGAGGGACTTCGCTTTGGGGGGGCGGTACGGGAACGAAATTGCCAAGGGGTTGGCTGTGAGTACTAACCCGACCGCCAAGTTATGCGGCCAGATGGTGAGGGAAGCGATGAAGAAAGAGTATGGTCCTGCATACGCCACATAGTTATTCATGTAAATGCCAACGATGCGATGGTGTAACGATATAATGACGAGGGGGCTAATGGGAAATTGCGATGATTAATCAGGATTGGTTCTTCGGAGTTTGAATACTAGGGTCCAGCGGCAGCATTTAATATATTGTAATAGACCTTGGTCATGTCCATATAGCGGTCCCTTATCTCTTCTTTGCGTCGCCTTGTTTTCTATCGGACGTCAAGATCCGCGGGGCTTTTCGATGGCACATAACGATCCGTATTAAACTTGGTTATTGCTGACCGTCTTCGTAAGACTTCATCAACGATAGTCGTTGCAAAACTACCCGGTATTGAATTTCGGAGAAGGCGTGTTGTAGCCAGGTATGGTATTATTGGTGACGAACGCGCGTCGTAAGGTGATGTGAATGTACTCATAGTTCTAAGGACCGCGATCCTACGCCGGCCTCCGGTTGGTAGTCAAGTGAGTTGCCGTAATGTATAGAGTATCATTGCGACGGCTTATTAAATATGTTACTAAATCGTCTACATAAGAGACCAGGTTAGAGAGGGCGTCCCATTTGACTACGGGCTACGTGGAGTGTACCTCTTCCCAGCTTGAATGGTTTGCTGTGGCGTTCTACCCTTTTCTTTCCCCTCTCGATTAATTCTTGTCGCAGCCGCTCCGAGCCCGATTACAACGGCGAAGATGGGATCCCCTATACGGGAGATTATATAGGTTTGGGGAGCCATTGGAACGGTATGGAGCTCTAGGGGAGTATCACTTTTTGAGGAGGAGTATTTACAGAGTAGAGTCGGTAGTTCTGAGGTGGTTTACTAGAGTCCCATCGAAAGAGTTGAAGCTTTCTCAGAGACAAGCGATGGCGGGGTGTACCTAGGTACCTGAGATAAATACGAATGGATGTGTCCATTAAAAATGTTATCAAGCTCGGACCACGCATGACTTTTCATTCAAACCTTGCCCCACCAAGCACAATTTAGCCAATCAATGGGAAAACCCTTAGTTCGCTTAATTTTCTCAGGCACATTTTCGATTTTCTTAGCCATCGCGAACATCTTCACTACCTCAATCGACCTTACGACCAATTACGCCAACCCACCCAACAATCCCCGACTTCCCTTTCGCCCTCTCGATTCTCACCACGAAGAAGACGACAGAGAAGCCGAAAACATGAAGTTCCTCAAGGTCGGCCGAGTAGCCATCATCACCCGCGGCAGATACGCCGGAAAGAAGGTACGTTGAATGGAAGGAAAAGAGCAACTTCAACTTCATGGACAATTAAGACACGGATTGGACTGGATACCTACAACTTTGGGAAACCGATATTGATTCACTGCACAATTGTTTCCAACAATTCTACGGATTCCAAAGCACAAATTTTTATCGCAACAGAAATTGGGAAAGAAATATCATTCTAACTAGATTCCACTTCAACAGGTCGTCATCATTCAGCCCGTCGACAGCGGTAACAAGCTCCACCCCTACGGCCACGCCATCGTCGCTGGTATTGAGCGATACCCCTCCAAGATCACCCGACGCATGTCCAAGACGCGACAGGAGAAGCGATCAAAGATCAAGCCCTTCATCAAGGCCATCAACTACAACCACTTGATGCCCACCCGATACACCCTCGAGCTTGAGGGTCTTAAGGGTGTCGTCTCTAACGACACCTTCAAGGAGGTCAGCCAACGTGAGGATGCTAAGAAGAACGTGAAGAAGGTCCTAGAGGAGCGCTACACAAGCGGCAAGAACCGATGGTTTTTCACACCCTTGAGTATGTTTCCTCATAATTCGATATAATAGACAATTATATCTGCTACGACAAATATGCTAATGATTTATTAACAGAATTCTAATCCTTTCGTCTGCATACAACTTCCGTCGTTCGGTATTAGGGGGGTTTCGGTCTGGGATGTAAATCGCATCATCAAATGGCATTAGGAGCCTCAAAGGGTCTTGCTCTGAATTATTCAGGAACATGAAAAATGAAACACACTTGACGAATGAACCTCTACCTGCTTTTTATCTCGGGGCGTACATATGTGACCTTGTGGGCTACCATCATTCACGAGATAACTTGTGGATCGTAGCAATATGCCGAGATATAGTCCTATGGCATAAGCTGAATAGCTAACAGAATTTACGACTATAATCTATTCTTAGATGTCTCCCTAGGTACTTAGGTATCTAGACCTGAGTGATTCGTAATGTGAATACGTAGACATGTGCCAAAGTACCTAACCTCGATGGAACGGTTGTTCTGCTAAGTGACACTGCAAAGTTAGTAATCATATACACCTAAACATGTATCATTTAGACCCTTCATGTAGACGATAAAAACTCGGCCGATTTAATTACCCGTGATAGGTCAGCTACGGTGTTTCACTTCACAATGCTACCCATACTGGCTGAATAAGGATTATAAGGCCGAAACGAAACATCACAACTACAACGTAGCATCAACATCATATACCAATCACAGGAGAAAATAGGAGTCAAACAAATTTGATATGCAATTTTTAGTTTCGTTTCCATTCAGGTCTAATTCCTCCTAGGCTCTCTAAGTTACATGAAGATTAGCCCTATCGTGATGCAAACAGATGCAGTCCAAGTCCTTTTGCATTTGACGCCTTTCTGCTTTCTAATAGCCGTACAATAATTCCATGTGGCTACCCCATTTCATCAGCGTCCGCGAACACAAAGAAAAATTTCTCCAATTACTACCGCCCCCACAAACATAAGATGGTCGAAAATATGTGCAAGTATGTACTCGAAAAATCAGGGAAACGCGTACTAGCTCATCACGTAGCGTTCACCCGTCACGGGTCGGATCTCGTAGAGCCTAACCATAACTCCCTTCCACTCTGAAGATTACAAAAGCGTATTGTGAAAATGGAGGTTTGTATATCTTGTCACATTTCGCTTACGAAGAGACGCCAAATTTCTCGGCGGCACCGGCAAGGTATTGGGACGGGTCGTAGTCGGGGGCATATGTGGGAGCCAAGCCTCCAAAAAGAACGAAGACGAGTAATAGTACAGCACCAATGACAACGATCTTGCGGACAGCAGGGCGAGCGGCACCGAATTCTGCCCATTGTCTGTTGGCTTCGCCAGCATATCCTTTAATGGCTTCGATACCAAGTTTGTAGTAAATCATACCGCCAAGAGCAATGGTGTAACCGAAAGCCTGGAGACCGGAGACAGGAGTACCCCAGATAAGCATGGATGCAACGACAAGCATAACATCCTTGAGGACACCGCAAAGAGTCATGATAACAGCAGAAGTCTTGCCAATCTGTGCATATGATTAGCGATTATTTTCAAATTTGCAAATTGGCACTGAAAACTTACCAAGAACACAACGGAAACGTTGAGCAAGAAAGCGCAGAGACCGTTCAAGAAGAAGGTGAATAGACCAACGTGGTACACCTCAGCCATAGAAACCTTGGGGACTTCCCAGAAGAGAGCGACAACACCATTCATGACAGCGCAAATAGGAGCGAAGTAGTATAGGGAAACGAGGGGGTCCATCTTGTACTCAGCGGAGCTGAGAAGAGCCTGGACCAAGTTAAGACGGATAGCCTCGAAGAGAAGACCACCAAGCTGGTAGAGGAAACCAATCCAGACAAATCGGATTTCACCGAACGAGGCAATCATAACACCAACAACAATGGCGGAAACGTTTAGGAGTTGCTTGATGTTGGGGGGTGCAAGTCCCATAGCCCAGCTGGAAAGAAGGACAGCAACGGGGGTGGTGGCCTATCAATCCTTTGTTAAAATCCGTACATTCATGTAATTGAAGCTCTTTAATTCCATACCTTGATCATCTGGATGAAAGCGACACTGAGGTAGAGGTAGGTCAAGTTACCGCAGATCAAACTCAAACTGAAGAAGACACCGATCGGAACGATAGCACGGAGGTAGACGCGTCCAGTCATCTTAACGGACTTGCGACCGTCAAGGAGAGAGGTGTAACGCGCCATGAGCTGGGTCGCGACAGTCGCAAAAGACAAGTGGTAACATGTCAAAAGGACGGGGTAACCTGGAATACTGTTAGGTCTCGTTCACGGTCGCAAATCAATCAATTGTGGGCTTCTTACGGAACTCGAGAGTGTCGAGGATCCATTTGTTGAATAGAATGACGGATGACGACAGACTGATCCAAACACTGCAGGAATCCGTTGTCAGCAAGCTTCGTTCCTCGACTTCGACAATAACTATGGCTTAAGATTCGACATACGCGACGTAAAAAGCCGGGTGAACAGCTGGCTTTGGGGGTTGGGGCTTTTCAGCCTCAAGGTTGGTAGTGGGCAGAATAGGGCCCTTTGGCTCCGGTCGGGGAATCTCGCCCGAGGTACGACTCTTTTCGTCGGCCATTGTTGCTATGATTACTTGTATTTAGGTATGTGAAGCAGTTCGCGGGTTGCGAAATAAGTAGAAAGGGGTAGTAAGAGTTGAAAGAATTGAAGACGACACGGTTTAGAAAGAGTGACTAGGCCAAGCCTGCTGAGACCAATTAAAGAGTTAGGTGAATTGGGGAAAGGCGTTACTGGTGGGGGAAGCTGCAGAAGTTCACAAGACGACAACAAATATCTTTGATGTCAATCAAAAATGAACTCTTGTTTCTCTCTTCCGTTAGCTTCAAGAAACTTGAGGCTGTTTGTATGTAGAAGGGAGAAAAAAGTCGTCGACAACTGGAGGGGGAAACAGGAGTGACGAGTTGCGGATGGTAGCGCAGAGAGAAAAAGAAGGCGGAACAAAAAAAAGAGAGGACTGAAAAAAAGAAGATGGTACGGCTAATAAATTTTGATTTGAAAGGTGCTTCGCGTTCGACAAGGTCTAGGTACCTTGGTATGGGAGGTACCTGGGTACATCTTGCAATTTAGGAACCAAGGTGCTTATCCCGCACAATTTTAGCCCCAGAACCCGCCCCAATTGAATGAGAGCTTTCAAACACGGTCGCATCATCAGTGCGTGCCGTAGCAAGTGCAAAGCACCTACCCCCTTCTGGGCAGTGCCCCTCTGCTTGCCCTGTCCGCCACCTAACAGCACCCTATTAGACGGACTGCAGTACCAGTACAGGTACCGGTACATCTCATTCATGGGTACAAACCCATACAAGCGCATCTCTTTCCACCCCCACTAATAACTCTCATTCCCTGGAATTCCTGCGTTCAGGGGAGTCAGGGGCTAATAATTGCGTAGTGCTACCCTAAAGGGACAAGCGTGGGGTTAGTCTTATAGGTCTAATAGATAAAACCTGAAAATTGACAGCCACTGATGTCGTTTTGAGAGGCTCTCATTTCATCATGGGCCATCCCTCCCCACGGCGCCATAGAACAAGGACTTGGAACAATTAGAACAGTTTGTTCTTTCTATCCAATCCAATTTTAGAGGATTGTAATTCCAACTGTCTACTGTGTCTTAGCGCGGATAGGCATAGATTAAGCCTGTGTTTCAAGATAACACACCTAAGGGCTTTTTTTATTTTACACCTTTAGTAACAATAGACAGACATTAATAGACATTGATATTTCTTATACATTTTACCTAGGTACCTAGGTAGGGTATTTACATATTATTTCAACACATATTTTTATGTAGTTCAGACAAAACAAATAGCATTCCTTTATTCCCGATCACGTATTTACGTATCCTCAATCCAACTCGTAAGTGTAGGTATGTTCCGTATGTATTCTTTAGGCTTTCCACATATTTCTCGATTCCGATTTTGTCATTGGCCATCCCCGGACCTCGTAATGGGCACAGCATTTTTAGTGTACCTGGGCAAAGAAGGTGGGCAAAAGCGGGATGATGAGATGGGATGGGATGTTTGCCATCGAAACCAACGGGAATTATTCTACCACGCGGTTTCATATCCTGTCCGTCATATCTGAAGCTGTTGGAGATTAAGCATTTTTAAAGCCAGGGCCATCGATGAATTGCGGCCCCGTACCTTTTTTTTTTTTTTTTTTAACTTATTCCACTGTGACGTAGCCAACAAAGGAGAAAAACCCTCCGAATTTCCAACCTTTCTTTTTAGACGGGACCAGCCCTGGTAAACCGGGCTATCTACGCCAGGGTTAAGGTACGCTATTATGTACTCAAAGTCGTTTCGAGGCGATGAGGCTCAGTGGGGGGTGTCTTCGGATATCAATACAAAAAAGGTAGCGTAGACATTGGTCTTGGATCATCACCACCCTTCCAATCAGAATAATGAAGGTTGATTCGTATTCAACGTCATCACGTTTCCTTCGGTCCAAAATACGAGGTATGAAGCACAATATAGACTTCGGGGCCACGTATCACAGCCCGCGGCTTTCCGTCCGTTTTCACGATTCAAGTTTCCCGTCGCATCTACTCACCCGAATACCTGGTGCCCTTGGCAGTATGTCGTGGAATCTTGTTACTTACATTAGTATGTATTTATATGGTTACCTAAGATGGTAAGCAACACTACATACATACATACATACATCCCAAGCGAATGGTTGCCCGATTATGCAGATGGGATAGTTCGTACTTAGTATCTTCTAAAGTAGGTATACCGATTGGATGTAGATGGCAGCTTTCTTTCAGGTGAATAGGTACTTCAGCTGCTAGGTAAGGACCCCTTTGGGCTTGTGCCATACGCTAACTGTTAAACGTTGGACGCTACGTGCCGTAAAGGCTTGTTTTATTTTATGAGATTTTATATCGCTTCTGCATCTGTCAATAGTACCTAGCAATACTTTGAGATGAGGCACCCGATTTGCACAACAGGAGCAAGTAAGATGGTGGTATGACGCCATAGGATTATTCCCCAGCCTTTCTATCTCGCAGCTTAGTCGAGCCCATGTGTACGAATAATCCATCATATATTCCTTTATTGATTTGAATCTGCAAGTATATTTTACCTACTCGGTCAATATCTTACTCCTGTTGTTGCGGCTGACTTGATACATGTAATAGCAAATGTGGTGCTAGCAAGGGAATAGGGGATACCTAGTTAAGCCCCCCTATTAGTGAGATATGCTCACTGTATTTTAGTGCCTTATATTTATAGTAGCCACCCTAAAAAAAAAAAGGTGCTACTAACGCTATAGATGAGCAGATACCCTAAGACGATAAGATCAACCTTTTTTTCTTTCTTTTTTTTTTCTCTTCCCTCCTTGGCCCCCCCCCCCCCCCCCTCTCAATTCGGACATGTCACGATTCCACGTAGGACTATCACTTCAAAAAAGAGCCGGCTGAGAACTAACCTTTTAGTATTTGTATTCGCTCGAGAGGAAGCTATTCTGAACTTGGACCTAACGGAACTGAATACTCGGGATTTCCACTTTGGAAGTTTTCTTTTTAAGCCGCCAGGCGGCCCCGTGGGCCAAATACATCAACTTGAGACGGCGGCTTTGAGCACTTTGCAAATCTTGACCGTCGATCTCGCGGAGCTAACCGGTCCTGAGGCTCCAACTAGAAGCAAGTTGAAGAGGGATGCAGTTTTGCCGACCTAACTGGGTAGTGCTGGAAGCGGAAAACAAGATCGACATTGGTTTTTGTACATGTACATCTGAGTAGGAAATAGCCATTGACCTGGGTATGGGCGGGACACGACCTTATCGAAATTAAAAGATCTTCAAGACCCAATTTGGCCGACAAATGCGACATGTTAATCGCAGAGTAACGGGAAGTGGCAGAGTGGGTAGTGATAGTAATGATATTTAGCGGCGGTAGTAGAATGTAGTAGAGGACCGGCGAGAAGGGGTTGGCAATACTATGCACACTATGTACGCCAGAACAAGTTCTACTCCGATATTAGTTATTTTATTAGGTAGGTAGATAGTTTCGACACCATCTCAGTTGCCGGGGTTCTAGAGCTGGCTAGCCTCTGGTAGATAATACTCTCATCAGCGTTCCCACTGCTTTACTGGCTTGACTCGCGCGAAGTCGTCGTCGCAAACCTAAGGCGAATTATCTACGATATGGATCTGCCGCGAATTTTTTAAGACATGGTATACTGGGGGCAAAATGTCCAAAAATGGCCAGAAGGGTATCAAAATAGCATGATTAGATATACCTACGTAATGATATGTTAATGAGTAGTAAGATATTTTATTTGGCTCACCAGCCTCATCTTGTCACCTTGTCATCTTGTATATAATGTTGTAAGTGTTGCATTAGCACGATATTCCCCGGTGCCATGCGAAACTGGTCGTAGCACTAGGTACCACACATTTTATCTATTTCAGGTGACGGGTCTGCGGGCGTTGATGACAGGCTTAAGATGTCGTGCTTGACAAGCGATTAGATGCTGGGTGCTTCGAGGTTGACGCGTACAAGGGGACGAGTATGAGCTTCATCTTATTATGAAATTGCGGGCAGGGGTTTCCCGGTGGTCAATCAACCCTCTTTGTCTGATGCTCTGCTGCTGATTACTGTCACACACCGAATTTGCTCCTATCAGAACTCGATTATCTTTCACATGCGGACATTTTTAATGTCGGTTATGTATTTACACAGTATGTGTGTCAATAGAAAATTGTAGAGGGACAGCGATCGTCATAATATGATCCCCCTATTAGGGATTTTAGGGGGGGGGAAGAGTCTCTCCTGAGTTTACCCCTGAATTGACGGTGTCCTTTAGTTTGGAGGGAAACTAGCGGTAACTAGGTAGGTAGGTGGCAGTGTTTACTCTTTCGTGCGACTCGGACGAATCATGGCAGCGAAACTAGATAGGTACATGTATGAGGGATGTAAATCAGTATGACACTTGTGTTGTAGATTTGTAGATTGGGTACAAGAGATATAGTACTCTGAGTAAGAAGGTACCCAAGATAAAGTTTAGGAGAAACTCGTTGCAGGCTCTGGTCCCTGCAGCCGCCGCGTCGAAAACGTTATTGACGTTTTCAATACATACATGTAGTAGCGAAGCGAAAGAAGGAGAAGGAGGCAAGGAGAGAAAAGATTGATCTGGAATAACTCTATCTTCAATCCTAATTTAGCAGCACCGTTTTGTAGAAAGTCTCGATTGCTCGAATGCTTAAGTCGTTTATGTTTCATGCATACTTGGTACATCCCGTACCCGTCTTTCTAACACAAGAGGTTCGACGCTGATTCACATGTCTTGTCGCCTTGGCGGTCTACAAGTTCCAAGGTTGGTTATAGATGGAGATGTTTTACTTAATACCTAACCTATTCCACCACCCACCGATAAGTACTCTGCAATTAAGTAGGTAGCGATAATGTTAGGGTACCTAAGGTATTCATTTGTATGCAGGTGCAGGTACCATCTTGACCGTATCAGGACTTAAGCTCCACCTGATTGGATGGGTGAATGTTGCCAAGTTGCATGACGGAGAGACAGGGGGCAGGATAAGTGGATCGGCGCACACGCCTAGCACCATTATAGCGCGGTACTAATACAGTCCACAATTTTAGTGCAGTACCCCTCCAAAAATATTATAGAAAACAACACAACTGCTGCTCTCCTGAGGACTTTCTTTTTTCTTGAGTGCCCTCCTTGTCTGCCCACACGCACATACGCACACACTTCGTGTACACTATAGAGTTAGACAGACTTTGTCCTGCAGCCTTCGTTGACTTGGATAGTCTATCATCCATTCTTTTCCGCCGTTTCAAGATCCTTCTGTGTTCTTGAGACTTGAGGCTTCTTCCCCGCCTTCGAATAGAAACCATCCCAAAATAACCACGGGACAAAATGTGTGCGGACATGTAAGTTTTTTCCAGATGTAAACCCGAGGGTGTATACTTCCGTGGTGTTAAGAATCATTTTCAAAATATCCAATTGACTAACCTTCGCTCTCCTAGTAACGTCGACGTTCTCGTTATCGGCGCTGGACCGACTGGTCTCGGTGCTGCGAAGCGCCTCCACCAGCTAGTATGCCTCACCGCCAAATTAGATAAGAAATTATCGTGAACTGATAATTGGTATAGAATGGACCTTCGTGGTTGATTATTGACTCCAACGAGAAGGCTGGTGGTCTAGCTTCTACTGATGTTACACCTGAGGGTTTCGTAAGTCCATCTACTCCCCGCAATCTCGCCGTTTAAAACGTGGCTGACGATGAATTGTATTGACAGCTCTACGATGTTGGTGGTCACGTCATCTTCTCCCACTACAAGTACTTCGACGACTGCATTGACGAGGCACTCCCTAAGGAGGATGACTGGTACACTCACCAACGTATCTCCTACGTCCGCTACAAGAATCTTTGGGTCCCTTACCCCTTCCAGAACAACATCTCCATGTTGCCTAAGGAGGACCAAGTCACAGCTCTTGATGGTCTAATTGACGCTTCTCTTGAGGTGCGCGTTGCCAACACGAAGCCCAAGGACTTCGACGAGTGGATTATGCGCATGACTGGTGCTGGTATTGCCGACATGTTCATGAGACCCTACAACTACAAGGTCTGGGCTGTTCCCACCACCAAGGTACGTCACAGCCCCTCCTTACGAAATCGATAAATTTTTCTAAGATTCAATGTCCAGATGCAATGTCAATGGTTAGGTGAGCGTGTCGCCGCCCCTGACGTCAAGAATGTTGTGAAGAACGTTGTTCTTAATAAGGTTGCCGGAAACTGGGGTCCCAACGCGACTTTCCGCTTCCCTGCTCGTGATGGTACTGGTGGTATCTGGATTGCCGTCGCGAACACTCTTCCCGACGAGAAGAAGCGATTCGGCAAGAAGGGAGAAGTCACCAAGGTTGACGCCAACAAGAAGGTTGTCACCCTTAAGGATGGCACAACTATCGGCTACGACAAGCTCGTCTCCACGATGAACGTCGACCAATTAGTTGAGTCTATTGGCAACCAAGAGCTAGTCACCCTGAGCAAGGGCCTATTCTACTCTTCCACTCATGTTATCGGTGTTGGTCTCCGAGGTGCGCGACCCGAGCGCATTGGTGACAAGTGCTGGGTGAGTTATTGGTTAATACAAATTTACCTTGGATTATAACTGACTGAATATCTAGCTTTACTTCCCTGAGGACAACTGCCCATTTTACCGAGCCACTATCTTCTCCAACTACTCCCCCTACAACCAGCCCCAGGCTGATGTCAAGCTCCCCACTATCTCCATTGCCAACGGCAGCAAGCCCGCGAGCACGGAACCCAAGGAGGGACCATACTGGTCTGTCATGCTTGAGGTGTCGCAATCATCTCTCAAGCCTGTTGATGAGGCCAACTTGCTCAAGGACTGCATCCAGGGCTTGGTCAACACCGACCTAATCAAGGCTGAGGACGAGATTGTCTCCACCTACCACCGCAAGTTCGACCACGGTTACCCCACACCCACTCTTGAGCGTGAAGGTGTCCTGAAGCAGCTTCTCCCCAAGCTCCAGGACTTGGACATCTACTCTCGTGGCCGATTCGGTAGCTGGCGATACGAGGTCGGCAACCAGGACCACTCATTTATGTTGGGTGTAGAAGCCGCTGACCACATCGTCAACGGCGCCGTCGAGCTTACACTCAACTACCCTGACTTTGTCAACACCCGCCAGAACACTGAGCGCCGTCTTGACCAAGGTCCTCTAGCCGCCAAGAAGTCTGGCACGGCACTACCTTCGCACCCCAAATAAGCGAGGTAAATGTAATGGCAGCCCTGTGAAGCTGTGAAGATAGCCTATTTGCGGCCTACATTCTTGATTGATGTTTTTTTTTTTTCAAAAAGAACTAGAGCTTTCTGGCAAACCGTTATGTTGAGCATATGGCTGTTCATGTTTGATGAGTGCGACGGCAATGGAATGATAGGCTAATTCTGACTTGATCTTACGACGAAACAAGAAAGCATCAAAAGTCAGTGTCTTTCTACTACGGTAGGAGACTTAATGAATAGAAAGAAGAATAGATTTCTGATTAACTTGCCGTTTTTTAATAATGGACCGGATGTGATGTTATGTATGAAATGACCAATCAACTTATACATATTTAAGAGGTTACGTTGAAAAAGTCGTATCCAATATTCCTCGTTACCTCGTCAGCCTTGCAGACCTCGGTACATATAGTAAGCACCTTAAAGTTGTTAATTTTCGATCGATCAGTTTTTCGGTCATTTTTGCTTTAGTCGAAGGTGGTATTTTGCTATGTCCGAATATCGATATTGTCGCATCGATCGCCCTATACACTACTGCTAGTAGTTCATGTGCCACTCTCAGAAAAGGTACCAATATGATAAGTTCGTTGCCACCCCCAACCTCATGCCACTTGTATCAACTCAGCTGGACGAGACCGGCGCCGCAATTTGTTGCCAAGAATGAGGGTATACTGTTAATAAAGTTATGTAAGCTATCTATGCATTTACATATACGTCATTATCTGTGTACATAAAAAGCAATGTAAGACCGCAGCTTAATACTTATAGGTACCTATATACCTGTATGTAAGCGAATTGGTTTTTGAGCTACCCACGTAAGTTTTGTCACATGCACAGCTGGAGATGGCTGAAAAGTGCAAGTGTTCAAATGTTTGTATAACTGGTCAAGTGTTATTCAGTACTGTAGTATCTGATCGGCTGGGGTAGTTCCCAATTTGCTCTCAGTGGAAAAGAGGGGAAAGTTAGCCGCCGGATGTAGCGCCTGTTAGGGCAGTACCAGATAGAGGGGGGCAATCGCCCACAAGAAAACGGTCAATAAGATTACATACAAGTTAGAAGGTACATGTATGCAAGCTGGCTGGGAGGGCAGCAGGAGCAGGGCAGCTTTTTTCTGGGCTTTCTGGGTAGCTACGTCCCCCATTCGATCGATGTAGGTAGGCATGTACATATAACTCCATTCCTACAACTTTTCTTGTATTAGTCTCTTTATTAAACGAGTTTTTTCTTGTACAACAAACACTTGGCCATTCATATCTCATAGTTTTTACATACAAACATCCTAGCTACACATCAATCTTACATTAACACATTAACCTGGTTGAGGGATCTTGGATCTTGGAATTTATTATTACTACTACATGTACAATAGAGCAAACTTGTCGCCCGAATGTTAGCGGTCTCAAGACTAAGCGACAAGCACCAAATTTCTTGCAGGATTCTACAGCCCGGGTGGATGAAGGTCCCTAAGTTCCCTTAAGGCCCTTACACCGGGGCGAAGATCACCAATTCAGGGAGGCTCTTCGATCTTCGAATTTGTCTCTCTGAACTTTGGCCCCCCCGGGCAAAGCCATGTGTGTCGCGACGGTGGCGGAATCTTCCTTACTTTCTACCTTCCAACTAAACGACGCGCGCCGTGGACGGCCTCCTTATGTATGCTAAGACGTCATGGACGGGTCCGTCGTCATGTCGGACGACCAACTTGATCCCCCAGCCCGGATCTTCGAACGGCTCCGACAGCTAGGCGGCTTTACATGGGATGAATCTCGAAGGCCTTTCCATTCGAGTTATGACAACTGGTATCCTTCCCGAATGCGATCAGCTCGCATCTTACGTAGTAGCTGTCTAACGTGGAGCATCTTTGTCTAGGCACATCTATGGTACAAGATTTATATCGCCATATTCAACGACAACTACCACGACAACATCCCCCTTGCAAAACCTAGGTAGCCCACCGGCGATCGCCAAATTTGTCCCTAGTCGCGCGACGGCCGCCGACCTCCATCTTGGCTTCATCTCTCCAAGTGAAGCCAGTAGCGAACGTTCATCGACTTCCCCGCCTGCTTTCTCCAGTCTAGCCACCGACCTTTCCAACGTCGAGGAACAACAGATAGTCGCGCGTGTATCTTATCACGTCCTCCGCGAAGAAAGAACATTTCACATAGCGAAAAACCTGATCGCCACCGCCGACCCGGAAGGAATACATAATGTGAAGCCCATCGACCTTATCCGCCTCAGCCCACAACCGGGCGATCGTGCGCCTATAATAGTAGCTATTTATGAACATCCTGGGGAAAATTATCTCTTCAAGGCCTTGGATTTGGGACCCGCTTTCTACTATGCTAGGAAAATCGAGGACCGATTCGAAGCCTATCGCCGAGTTGACTTCTCTCTAGAACCGCCCATTAGTCTATTGCATTTCCTCGATTTTGCTATCGGCGCTACCCAGTGTCTGGAGATTTTACACCATGGCCATGGTATGGTTCATGGAGAAGTAAGAGCGGATGCGTTCCATTTTAACATAGAAACAAATAAGGTAAAGCTGATATCCTTTGGCTCGGGTGTGAGGTCCTTCGAACATGGACTCACTAGCACTGGATGGTCAACACTCTCCAAAGAACTTGGCGCAAAGAACAAATTGGTTTACATCAGCCCCGAACAAACAGGTCGCATGCCGGCAGAGCCTGATACGAGGACTGACATTTATTCTCTAGGTGTATTGTTCTGGATGCTTCTAACACAACAACCCGCCTTCACGGGAACCTCACCATTAGATATCGTCCAATGTGTTCTTAGTCGCCGCATTCCCTTGGTATCCAATATTCGGACGGATATACCTGAAGTGCTGGGTCGCGTTATACAGAAATGCACGGCCAAAAACGTTTCTGAACGTTATCACTCAGCTAGTGGTCTACGCTATGACTTACAGATGATTCAAAAATTCTTAGGAAATGGTGACTGGACGGCGCTGAAGGAGTGGCGCATTGCTTCAAAAGATATTTCGTCATTTTTCATGTTACCCACGGCTATGATCGGACGTCAGAAAGAACACAATGAGCTCATAAAAGTCATCGAGAGAGTTGCAAGAGGCCACGCTATCGCGAGTCTCGGGGCTACCAATCGATTTTCGGATGGCTCGGCCTTATCAAATGACCTTGTCGACGCCGCCGATGTTTCAAGCGAGGGCGCTAGCTCTGTCGAAGGGGGTGTTCGACGAAGCGGTTCATTCACCCAAACTAATATCTCAGAACCAAAGCAATTGAGAAGCGGCGTTCCTTCCTCAGTGAATGGGACGGACGCCCAAACAATTTCCGGCGATACTATCTCATCAAATCAGTCAGCTAGGTTATCCAAGCCATGGGACAGGCATCAATCAGTCTCTCTTGAGCCAAAATCCGTCCTCGACACCTTGGGTGAACGTCAATCTTCTTCGCGACATAGCGGTACAGAAACATCTACTAGCCTTTCAAGACAACTGGGATCAGCGAAATTTCGAAGACGCGGCCATTGCGAGGTCATCACTATTGAGGGTGCAGGAGGCTTAGGGAAGAGTTTCCTGGTCCAACAAGTGTTGGCTGATGCTAGGCGCAGGGGTTATTGCGCAACAGCAAAATTCGATACGGCTAGGAGAACCGCATTTGGGCCACTTCTGAAGCTTGTGTCTTCTCTTTTCAAACAAGTATGGGGAGAAAGTAACACGGAGACGCCTTTCCACCGAGCCTTAAAAGACTATGTTCGTCCAATCTGGCCAGTGCTTCACAATTTACTTGGACTGCCTGAGTTTCTCCTCGGCTCTCAAGAACAGCCATCATTATTTCCCCCATCCCAAAGTTCGACAAGCGTTCGGGTCAGTAGGGTTTCAGCACATAGACGTAGCTCATCTCCTGTGAGCTCACCGGGCAAGCCACGCCCCCAAAGTCCGCGAGTGACATCGCAGAGTTCCCAAGAATTTCTACGGGGCGGCGTGTCTACAAAAACAATTCGCTTGATGAACACATTCTTGGATTTGCTGAGAATATTTACAACCCACCACTTCGTATGTTTGTGTCTCGATGATCTCCAATTTGCGGACTCAGAGTCTCTAGAGTTGATCACTCAAGTGATCTCAGCTCGACTCAAAATGGTACTAATAATAACTTACCGGCCCGAAGAGATGTCGCCTGATAAGGTCCAAAAGATTCTCCAGCCGGCGGAGACTGACGGTGAATTATCCCGTCTTGTCTCTGTCGGTCCTTTTTACGCTAACTCAAGATCAGAACATCCCAAATCCGGCGGCCCAAGGATCACTAGAGTTGCCTTGTCACCTCTGACGGAAAATGAAATATTGCAATATGTGGCATCGACATTATGTCGGCCTGAAGAGGATGTTGCCTCCTTGGCCCTCGTAATTCAATCAAAGACCGCAGGCAATCCTTTCTATATGAGGGAGATGTTAAGTGCTTGCTTCCGCAAGAAATGTATATGGTACGATTATAAAGAAAATAGGTGGCTGTTCGACCTAGACTGGCTCTTCGAACAATTCAAAGGCGAAGATAATTATGACGTCTTGAATACCGACTTCATAACACGGAGGCTGAACGAGCTCCCACCGGCATCACGAGCTATTCTAGCATGGGCGGCCCTTCTAGGAAGTTCATTCTCGTTTGAGCTAATATGTCAACTCCTGAGCGGCGAATACGATCTTGTTGACGGCGAAGACCAAGAGCTAAGTGAGGTTCTCTATCGCACCAGATATACAAAACAGGCGGCCGTAGCAGGATTACAAGCGGCAATCAACGCCTGTATTATCGTGCAGGGCGAGACTGATGATCGATTTCGTTTTGCCCATGATAGATACGTCCAAGCAGCGTCATCCTTGAAGGAGTGCAACAATTCTCAAATGCACTTCGCCATTGCACAGACCCTCCTAAAACATCACGGGTCTGAAGTCAAGACACGAGATAACACCGCATCGCATATCACAGAAGCGGTGGACATTATCAGGCGAAAAGTCCATATTCGCCAGCCTTATAGAAAACACCTAATGGAGTGCGCGGCGTTAGCCGTAGAGAACAGCGCAAGACCCACAGCCGCCAAATATTACCATAGCGCCATCATGCTCCTGCAGCCTGATCCATGGACGGACGGCCTAGAGGATGTGGACTATGAAGAAACCCTTAAGCTTCATTTGCGTACGGCGGAATGCTATATTTATATGGGCAGCAATGCCTCGGCTCATAGTATTGCGAGTACCATTTTGCAGAGTGCCAAATCCGCCGAGGACAAAGCCCCAGCCTGGCTTCTTGAGGCCCGTGTCCATGCTCAAAATGGGAACGCAGAGGAGGCGCTTAGTGTGCTCAAAGAGAGCTTGTCTCAATTGAAGGTGGAAATTGACACGCACCCTACCTTTGAGAAATGTGATGCGACATTTATGAATCTAGCCGCCAAAATAAAGGTTATGGATCGGACGGAGATTATAAGCCCTACCGGTTTCATTGATTCTCATCAGATGACGGTCGGGGCCATTCTCACGGATGCCATCAGTGCTGCTTGGTGGAGCGACACTTTGGAGTTCTATAACCTCGCCCTTGCACATATCACTCTCGCTTTAACACAAGGGCACTTCCCTTATTCCAGTTCCGCCTTTTTATATGTCGCCATGATCGCGTTATCTAGGTTCAACATGGTCGAGTTCGCCGCGGAGCTTGGTACCCAATGCCTAGAAATTCTAGAGCGGTCCCGCGATCCGTTCTCCTCTGCCCGTGGTTATATGACATACGCCAGTTTTGTGAGCCACATTCAGGTTCCTATTAACATTTGCGTGACATATGCCGATCAATCTGTTGAGTACGCCTCTAGCTCTGGTGACCGCCTGACTGTTATTCTTAGCTTTGGACTTTCAACCCAACTAAAGTTCTTCGCGAGCGAAAACGTTGCCTATCTAGAATCAATCTGTCAATACTGTTGCGAGGAAGTCCCAGGCTGGCACCAGGATACTCGGGGCGGGACTTATTTAATAGCGGTTAGACAAATATGTCGAGCGCTACAAGGAAAAACAAATGTAACAAGCGCCGAAGCAGTGATGACCGACGACCAGCATAATTCGAACGCATATAAGACGTGGCTCAATATCCAAACACGGAATGGCGGTCGGTCGGTCCTAATCTACGAGGCGATGGAAATCATTGCGCTATATCTGTATGGTCACTACGAAGCAGCGTGCGAAATGGGGCGAAGGTGTTTGGATAAGCTGGATCTTCTTTGGTCCTCGCGGAGTACTCGGGCCGTCTTAGTCTCCTACGGCCTTGCCCTTGCAGGTCTCATGCAACGCAAGCTTAATGATCCGCGGACAGACGCTACCGACTCGAAGGACGAAGTTCATGACACCATTACACAGCTTGAAGACTTAAACAAGAAAATAAAGGACTGGCAGGTTGTTTCCAACGCCAATTATCTTTCATGGTCAAAATGGTTAGATGCTCAGATCGCAGAACTTCGTAATGACCACGGTTGTGCTATACGACATTATGAAACGGCATTAGACCACGCGTCAGAGTTCAGCCTTCTCTTCGAGGAAGCTCTCGGTAATTTCTTGATGGCTGGTTTCTTCGTTAGACAATCAGCGAGGAGGTCAGCAACAGCAGGGTTGAGAGAGTCGGTTGCGCTTTGGAGACAACTGGGAGCCACCGGGATCGCACAACGCATCGAGGAAGATCACGCATTTTTACTTCATAGTCCTACCCGCCATGCAAGAACCGCCGAAGTAGCTGTCCAGACCGATTTTGCTGGTGACTCCGCTTCCGTCACTTATGCCGCAGATAATGAAGATGTTCCACAATCAGTACAGGCTGTGAATGCCGAAACAAAAGAAACACGAATGGCGGCTTGGCGTGGTTCTACACAACCTGAAGCCGGGGCTGGTTTGCCCGCTCTTGACATGATCGACCTTCATGCTATCTTGGTTTCATCCCAAGTTATCTCATCCGTCTTACAAGTTGACGTCCTACTAAAGACGATGTGCGATGTGATTCTTCAAACATGCGGTGGATCCGCAACTCAGGCCGCAATTATCGTCCAAGATGAAGATGATGTGGAAGACAATTGGTGTATCGCAGCAAGCGGGGATTCGGAAAGAGGCGCCACGGCACATATCCCTGGGCAACAATTAGTTGGTACATCATTAGTCGCTCAAAACGTAGTTTTATACTGCGCCCGATTTCGCGAACCCGTCTTCATTCCGGACCTCATTAGCGATGAAAGATTCGGGAATGTTAGTGAGTCCTGGTTGCAGAGCAACTCCCTAAGCAAGGCCATCATCGCAATCCCCATTTGTCATGGAGGGAAGCCGCTCCTGGGTGTTCTCTACCTAGAGGGCGAGCCAGGGTCCTTCACAGACAGGAACGTTACCGTGTTGCAGTTACTTGTAAACCAAATCGGCATCAGCTATTCCAATGCCCTCTCGATGAAAGCAGTTGAGAAAGTATCCAAGGAAAACGAGGCAATGGTTCGGATACAGAAAAAAGCGGTCGCTCAAGCTCGAGACGCGGAAGCCAAGGCAAAACACGCGGAAGCTGAGGCCAAACGTAATGTCAAAATCGCTGAGGAAGCAGCCAAGGCTAAGAGTATCTTCCTCGCAAATGTATCCCACGAGCTTCGAACACCATTGAACGGTGTAATTGGCAACTCTGAGCTCTTAAGAGACAGCAACCTCAACAAGGAGCAGTTTGAGATGGCTGAGTCGATCCGAGTATCGGCGGACCTCCTCCTCGCGGTTATCAACGACATCCTTGATTTCTCCAAGATGGAAGCGGATAAGATGAAGCTCTATATTACTGCTTTCAACCCGGAAGAGATGGTCCGCGAAGTTGTTCGAGCCGTCTCCTACAGCAATCAAGATAAGACATCGAAAAACGTCAAGGTTATTCAAGATATAAATCTTCCTCCCATGTTGATATACGGAGATCCTATTCGTTTACACCAAGTCCTTGGTAATCTCATTAGCAACAGTATCAAGTTCACCGAACGAGGTTCTATTACCATTGGTGCTAGAGTTGACTCCAATACTTCCGAAAGGGCGAAATTGACTTTCTGGGTTGAGGATACGGGTATTGGCATTCCGGACAAGCAGCTGACGAAACTCTTCACACCATTCAGCCAAGCCGACGCCAGTACCGCTCGCAAATATGGTGGCAGTGGACTCGGCCTTAGCATCTGCAAATCGCTTATTGAAAACATGATGGACGGCGAGATTCAATTGGATAGTAGGGAGCATGAGGGTACGACGGCTTGGTTCAGCGTCACGTTCGATAAGGCATTACCTGAGGTATCAGTAGGAGAAGCACAACCTGTCCCTACTGGACTCCCAGATACCAGTAGAAAACGCGATGCTCCTCAACCGGTTTCTCACCACCATTTGCCGCACCCAGTAGTGGATTTAGCACGAGTTCCGAAAGATCAAATCCGCATATGCATCGCAGAAGACAATCTTATCAATCAGAGGATTGCTATTAAGTTTGTGCACAAACTTGGATATACCAAGGTCGATGCTTACGAAAATGGGCTCAAAGCAGTGGAAGGTCTACGCCAGAAGGCTAAGGAGGGAATACCTTACCACGTGGTCTTGATGGATGTTCAAATGCCTGTACTTGACGGTTACGAAGCCACGAAACTTCTCAGGCAGGACCCCATTGAAGAGGTGAGGAAGGTTTTGGTTATTGCTATGACAGCTTCCGCAATACAAGGTGACCGAGAAAGGTGCTTGGCATCAGGCATGAATGATTATCTCGCGAAACCAGTTAAAGCGGACTTGCTCAAGAGAAAGTTGGATACATATACCACGGGAACCATCCAGCCGCCAACACCACCCGCAAGGCACTCTTTAGACCCCATTCTCTCGCAAGTAACCCCTCCTGAATCTTCGGACAGCAACTCTACCCCAGTTCCTAGCCCGCCTGTGGTTAATGAGCATGACTTCACGACCGGTTCGCCACCCATTGTCGTACCAATCAGGGAGAGCATAAGGCCTTTCCAACCGCCTAGTGGTACATCCAGCGAGATCACGTTGTCCGATCAAGACTCCATAGCTAGTCCTTCGAGTTCCTTCTTGCATCAAGCGGCTAAACGCCAGCCACGTAAGTTGACTAAAGCTCGCAACAATAGTGTATCTGGCACTGCATCCACTAGTAGCGAGAAACCAAGAGCAGTCTTGACCAAGAAGAATCCACATTCTAGTAATTCATCTTTACTAGATAGCGACGCGGATTACGAAACTTGAAACATCCTAAAGCTATGAGGATACCTCTCAACCCCCGTTTACAACCATTTGTCTCACTATTCCGACTACCTCATCATCAGCATGGACAAAAGCAAGCATTCAGGAGTAATAGCATATGTTGTGGCATAATTGGCTTGTTGAAAATGTCTTTCGATCTATTTCTTATCTATCCAATATTTTCTTCATTTCTTCCCGCATATATGGGCCTTTGGGGACGATGTTGTCGCCATTTCAGTACACAATTGGGTTGGTCGTCGTGGCCGAGGCGAACGGGGAATGGTGATTTGGTGTTGGGAATTTGGAGTACACATATGGACACTTTTATTTATTTCGTCAGGATTCCCTGTGAGAAAAACTGCATTGAGGGTTAGGTTCATTGCGAGAAATCTATTATGGTTGGACGAAAGAGAGCTATGTCATTTGAAGTTATGATATAGATAATGTGGCAAACGGCACATGATGCACATTCATGGAATACGAGATACGCGTTTCGGGTCAGGGTCCGAGATGAAGTACTACAAGTGAGTTTGGAATTATGATATAAGAGAACGCCATCACCTAGCTACCTAGACACGAACATATAGCATTTTTACTTTTGGGGACGTCCTCACCAGGGATAACAGAGGATTCCCTATTCAGCTAGGTTGGATGGATGGACTTGTATACTTGGGAAGCTGTCCTAGGACCCCGATCACACGAATACGCATTGAAGAGAAGAGAATAAAGAAACAATTTTGGATACACGCTTATTGTGATGCTGATCACCCGTAGTCGCTTTTAGTATACCACGTAAGTCTATACGAAGCGCCACCACAAAAGCTACCACGCCAGGGCCACGTGAAAAAGCATTCGTAGTCATCTAAAGTAATCTTCACTAGAGTACGTGGCTCAGACCCGACGCTGGAATGCAGCAGTGCATTAGCTGAGACATACTTACAGCACATACATTACATTACATATTCGCATCCATAGCCACCACATCCGAGGCTCTGGGGCGGAGTGAAGCGGAGTAGAGTAGTTTCGCGTAGGTATAGGTAGGTACCCGGGCTTGACAACTTCACTTACTTACCCAAGTAAGAGAAATTCGCACAAGTCGGTCCGAGTTGCCCACCGGGATGATCTAACTCACCTAGATCCTAGTTTACTTCTACTCGAGGTAGGTATACGAAAGGGGCGAGACGATCTAGAATTCCTCGATGTTTTAGCCTGTTGAGCTAGATTGGTAGTGTGTTTGGTTTGGATTTTAGTATGGCCCGACAGTTTGGGACGGCTAATTTATATGCCGCGGTTAATGGGTCCTCTATTGTTGATGGAAAAGAGAAAAAGAAGGGGGAAAAGGATGGGATTGGAATGAAGCTAGTGGTGGAATGCTAATGGTATTGTTGAGATGTTTCTCACTATACAAAATACTAGCTGAGTCACTCGATTGTATGTTTAGGTAGTGATGTGAGTCGGTTATAAGATGATAGGTACTCATAAGTACCTCCCTACTGAAAATGCACTTATATGTATGTACACGCAACGAACATGACGCGGCAAGCCTCGTCCCGTCTACCTACCTACCTACCCCTCTAGCCCCCTTTTATCAAACCTGGTAACCTGGTGGCCGGTTCTTGTCTATACCGGTCAGATCCTAATAGAGACCGAAAGTAGCAGGCGCTACAGGTGATTGGAATTGTTGGGAATTCCCTTTTCGGAGTTCTCAAGAGTTTTATCGTTAGTTGTTGCCCGGTTTAGCAAACTTGTCCACCTGGGCAACCGGGATTTTTTCATGTGTGGAGCTTACTATAGGTGGCTTGCGCCTCCGAAGCTAGCGAAAGTGAGAGATAAACACAGAAGCAGCTTAGATCCGCGAAATAGTTCTTCTCTTTGGAAACTAAAAGGCCGTCGGTTATCTACCTGATGCGTATAAGCAGGGACAAGGTTATAAGATACTACCGGTTTGCGAAGGAAGGATACGCCAAGAAGTCGGATGATTAGGGCTCAACTCGGTGCGACTATCTAGACTCGGTTGGCTCGGTGAACTTCGCAAACTAGCAGTTCAAGGAGTATTGCGGCTCAAGCGAAGGATACCACGTGTCGTCAAATAGACCTCTTCTAAGATACCTCTTTCGTGCCCACGAGGTACAAAGACTATCCTGTGTGGGAATGATCCATGAAAGATCACAAGGTAGGAGCCTATCTTAGAAGAGCGGGAGGCGTTAAACTCGCGCGTTTCAGCTATGCAGGCAAGATTTCTCTAATATAGAAGAAGCAAAAGGAGCGAGCGTAGAAGCAGGTGTTTGCTTTTTATCGGATCGACTACTACCTAGGGCTGTAACCACGGGAGCGTTGTGGCGTCCGCACACATACCTAAGTACACGTGTCGAGCCGTTGGCCCGTGGGGGAAAGGTACTAGGCAGGCGGAAATCTAAGATGAAAGGCTTCTGTTGCACATTTCAGCGAAATATAGGACCTAGATCTAGTAGATCTATCTGTAAGGGAGGTCAGCTGTCATAATCAGCACGGTAGTTATATTAGAAGTACCATGTTAGACTTCGCTCTCTAAGTTAACCAACTTAACACATCAGTAGAAATAGGTAGCCATCGTGTACATATGAGACATAAGGCTGCCACACGGTGTCGGGATCAAGGTTCGAAGGCAAAGGATCGGAGCGAGCCAGGAAGTTGGAAAAGGTTGCCAATCTAAAGCTGCATATTGGCGTGTAGCACATGTTCCCATGCAGAATACATTGACGCCATCTCGACTAGGAATAACCTCGTAACTCTACGCCATCTTCTACTATCGGCTGCTGTAGACGGTAACTTGCTTTTTCAGAGACCAGAAGAATAAAAATGAAAAATTAGGTACGTACCTAGGTACCAACCGCTGGAGAGTGGGAGTAAACTCCGAGCAGGTCACTAGTTATTAGTTTAATGGAATTAGTCAATAAAAATTCAGACATCTCCATATGGGGTTGGGCCTCGGTTGCTGGGCTGAACGAGTTCGTCCATAGTAATAATTGAGATAGTAGTGACGTTGTCGCTTCTCGGAAGCCCTAAACCCATTAGGAGCTATTCCGGAAGGACGAAGAAACCTGTAGAAATAGCCCATACGTATAGTTCGTTTTACGAACTTGAGTGGACTGTAGCTGACAATTATGCCGGCCTAACCATGATTCTGTAGGTGACCTAGAATCCGACGGTTCCTATACGAGGGCTTTGTGGGGGCAGTGAAAAGTCAAGCCCAAGAATATTTTTCTAGTTGAGGTTTCGAATAAAAGTGTACCGAGGAACTGACACGAAAGAAATTAGATGTTCATTTCGATCCTTGTCTGCCATGCTGTTTACCGTCTTCACTTCGTGATGCATCGTCAATATGCGCTTCTCGGCGGTTGGATTTATTATGTACGTGCGTGGCTCTCCGGAAGTCCGTTCAGTGTTCACTTTACTACCGTATTAATTATTTACGAACTCCCCGATGCCGTAAGTGGACCATGGCCAAGTTTTGGATCCGAAGATATTCTCGAATCCCGTGGAGAGGCCCGGTCTGTGTATAGTAGTGAAATATCTAGGCTGTTCATTACAAGGGAATACCTACCTAACCTACCTAGGTACATAGTAAATGTAAAAGAATGGGGTCACGGTGTAGCCGAATATCTTTGAGCTAGCAGACTAGTTATCTTGCCCGGAAACCTTCGAAGACATTAGAGTAATTAGAGTGAACTAACATTAGTCTACCCGCTGCTGTGCGTTTTCTCGGCCCCACAAAGTATAGTAAGAAGGTTCACGCCAAATCGTATCGGCGAGTCGTGGATGCCCGAATTGTAATCCCCAAGGCAATGATAGTCGACTTGAAGATGGGTATAGCCAATCAATTCAGAACAATGACAACTAACTAAATTAGCATAACCCATTAGCTACTTAGTCGCTTGCAAGGTAAGCCACGAGAAGTATGGTACTCGAGCAATAGGAACTGCTGCCGGTAGGTCACTGGAGCATCCGACCAAATACTAGCATATCCGTAACATGGATGCGAGCGCACATTATTCGTCGAAGCGTCCCTAAATGTCGCCTAAGATTTTGACTGCCTCACGTATCCGAAGGGGTCAATGTCCCTGCAAAGCTGACAAGTGAACTATATTGAGTTGACACACAGTATAGCTTCCAGAGAGTATCGGTTGACAGTCAAGTTTGGGATAGCTTAAGTTGGATCCCCTGGCGTAGTAGTTTCTCTTTTTTAGTCTCTCGTGCCATCATCCCAGATTTATCCAGGTGAAAGCAAGGAGCCATCTTGGTGGACATTACCTAATTGAGGAGACGTCCAGACCCGCGGAAGCTCAGTCCAAGCAACCGAGAAATTCAATTGGTGAAGAATAGCAGCGGTGTTGGGTCAAACTCTGTCCGGTTTGGTAAGAGTCTCGGCTTTTGCTCCTGTTCATATTTCAATACGGCTTCATACTGTATCGACAGTGAGCAGGGACAGGTTGCAGAGCTAAGGGATAAGATGGTCCGTCCCAATTACAGCTGGTAAAAGCAACGAGCTTGCGCAAGAATCGCAATTGATGACAGGCCAATCTCGTGTCAATTGATGGATTGACTTGTTCAACTGCGCATCCCGGGTGCGTTAGAATTGAAAAGCCAAGCATCGTGCTAATGGGTTTGATTTGCGCCGTGGCGCATCATCACTCTCTCTTGAATATCCACTACAGGACTTGGTAGCGGGGCTCAGCGGCTTTGCGTTGAGAAGACGATACAAATATGGATTTTTTTCAAGTCGAGGAAGACTAAAATCGACAGCGTCGTTTCAAATGTCGTCTCGATCAGGAAAACTCAATCGCCTAATTAGGTGGAAACGGGGGAAAGACTAACTTCACATCCATCCGTATACCTACTACATCTACCTAACATACTAACATATGTAAGTAGTAAGTACATCCGGATATACTGTGTCACCTCAATTTATGTAGGCTAGGCAGGCTAGGCGTAGAAACCTGGGTTAGGTACATGTACCGACGGGATCGGATCATACAAGGTTTAGAACATCCCAGAACATGCATAAGTACTGTACCATGACTACCGGGTACCTCATACACCGGGTGAAAAGCCCCA